TATTATAATTTCGCGAAACTTTATTATAAAATGTTTAATAAAAACATATTTACGTTACGAGAAGTGATTTTTAAATAAAGTAAAGATATTAAGGAAACTCGTAAATAACTCGAAAAGACCGTTTTTTATTTAAATGGTTTTATAAACGAATATTATATTAAGAATAACGAGAAGGTTATTAAAAGTAATATATCTTTTATTATACCTTTTAAGGCTATTAAAGCTTAACTTATAACCCGGATTTTAATAATAATCTTTTTAAATTTAAAAATATTAATAAAGAAAACTCCTTTATTTCCACTCTTATTATTAAAGTTAATAGTTTAATTATCGCTCTTAATATTAAACTTTTTAATAACGAAGAACTTTATATAAAGTTAAAGGGATTATTTAATAAAGTTAATAATAATATAATTAATAAAGGGGTTAAAGTTATCGAGAAAGCTAGTAAAATAACAAATAAAAAGTAAAGAAGTTAAAATTAATAAAGTATAACGGGCTCGTTCTTAGATTATAACTAATTAATTTACTTAAAAAGGACGTTTAAGTTATTAAGCATAAGTTTTTACGATATGTTTTCGCTTAAAATAATAAATTATTAAAGTCGATAATGTTTTATATTAAAAAGGCACTTCTTATAATAAGGTTATACGTAATAATAAATATATAAAGAGATTTTATAAATCTATTAAGTATATTAAAATAACTAACGTATAGTTAAGAGAAGAGTGTTATATAAAGTATGTTTAATTCCTTATTTATAATATTAACTTAATTAAAATTATAACTAGCTTTATATTAATTTAACTTAATAATATCTTTATTTAAAATCATTCTTTAATTAAAATACATTATAAGCTTATTATCTTATATTACTATTATTATTATTATTAATATTTATAACTTAGTGTTATTCGTACTTATACTCTTATAGTTTATTTATTTTAATAATTATAATTTTTTATTATTAACTTTATTTCTTTATATTTATAATTTTAAAGCTTTATATTAATATTATACTTAGCTTAAAGCTAGCTTTATATTAATTTTACTTTAAATATACTTATTTAATAAAGTAATTATTAATAATATAGTACTTTTTATATTTAAATAGTCTTATTATTATAAATATCTCTTTATTCAACGTATTATATTAAGTTTTTAATTTTTCCAAATTTAAAATTTAATATAATATACTTTAATTATATTTAACTTTAATAATAATTGTTATATTATAAATAAAGAGTCTTAAAAGCGTTAAACACGTTTTATATCTTAATTATTTTTATATTAAAATGATTTACTCGATTAAATCTTTTTTAATATAAATAAAATTAATATATAATAATTATAGTTTTTCAATTTTAATATATTTAATTTATAATACCTTTTTATTATAATGATTTAATAAGCTTTATAAACTTAAAAAATTTAATACTTTAATCTTAAATACTTTTTATATCTTTATTTTATTTATTCCTTTATGTTTATGATAACATCAAGTTATGTTTAAAGTTTCACGTTCCCTAGTCGGGGCATTCGATAACGGGAACATAATATTTCCTGGAGAGGACAATCTTCTGCCTTTTCTCCGGCGTCCCCGCGGCGCTGTTCTTCTGGAAAGTGATCTCGGTGAAAACAGTTCGCTCTCCGCATACCCTAGGTCACTCAGCGCGTCTAGCTCCTCCAGCTCAGATTGCACTATCGGTGGTGGTTCTGCCTCGAAAACCGCTTTTATGTCACCGTGCGGCGAGAAGCCGCTGAAGTTCCAGTGTAAGAAAGAATCTCTGCTCCGCCTTGGTGCCTTCAGAAAACCGTGCCGTTCGATGTAGCCGACGAACAGTAGGGTCGGGAAATTGAGAGTCCGAATGAGAAACACGTTGATTGTATGAAACAGCCTTGGTGTGATCAAGGGCTTCAATGGCAGCAGAACGAGCAGAGCTGCCAGATTGAATGGTGGTGGGTATGCGAAGATTGAATCACTCTTCACCCCAGCAAACGTGAGTACTGCTCGCCGAAACTGTATTTCAGCAGGAGCATCCGTGATAATCTGAGAAATTGTGTTTGTGAGGAGCGCGACGAGGATGGTTAGGAATAAGGTGTTGCCAAGAAAAGCGAAAGCAGTCATGAGCGCTGGACCCAGTATCGGATGAAATTCGCCAGATCGACTGAACCCGGTGCCGTCGAGACCGAACCAGACCCATAGCAACCATTTACACACCGTGACCCAGCCAGGGGACAAGTCAGGATCGAGACTGCTGTTGAGCCACATTAGCGCCAGAAGGAATCCCGTAAAGCACCACGTGGCGAGGAACGTAACAAGAGTAAAGTCCCGCATCATTGCGTGTATCGATATGAAGACAAGATTGTCCGGCAGGAGAGCAAATGCTGCACGAGTGAGGAGAACGGGGGCGGCGGTACATAGGATATGTGGCCCTAATCCATCGGCCATGGTAGTAGCGGACATGTCATAGTTCCGCCCGACTGCATAAGCCCCGAATATGAGCATGAAGGTCATGTCTAGAAACGACCACAAGGTCTGCGTGTAGACCTGCCACCCGTGCTCTATCACTGCTGCAAACTCATCTACCACCCATCCAACCGTATAGACTATGAATAGCCACTCATAAATGGTAGTGTTAGGACTGCTGCGATGGACCATGGTCAGGACATATAAAATGACCAGCACAAGAAACTGCGCCAGCTCTAGGACAGCTCGCACACGAGGAACGGATAGCCGAGTATGCGGCAGCAAAGGCGCGCTTCGCGCGTCATATAATGATATAGGACGGTATTTGTAATGGTCCGGGAGAATGTCGACAAAAGAGATCGGTGTATACACTATCCTGCCCCCATATACAGCGTCGATCACTTTGAGGCAGGCGGCAGAGCTAATGAAGACTTTGCTTTCTGATATGATCGCCAGTTCGAGCGAGGTTAGTTTGCGCTCGTGCCCATCGTGTCTCTGCAGAGGCCATTGCGGATGCCGATACTCCTCCTCTATGTGTGATGGAGCCCCTTGGAATGGATCAAACCCATCAACAAGGATGTGAGCCATGAGAAGTAGTCCAATGGGGCCGGCATGGTCCTCGTTGAACCGCCGCAGGACACGAGCAGCAACGAGCTCACATAATGCCGCACGAGCTGTGCTAACCGTTTGCTGAGCTGAGTTGGACTGCTCGCGTAGGAATTGTATGCGATTGGCAAGCAGGCAATACACTGTACCACATGCTGTTAGACCTTACAATCACGGTGGCGGTGTATAGATAGATCCTACCAACCGAGGGATTGTCCGGGTCATATAGGCGATTGACTAGAGGCCGTACGATAACCACATTGAGTCGAGGTCCTCGGAGTTCGTCAAGGGTATAGGGGTCATCTGAGACAAAGTCGGTGGCGATTCAGTGGGAGATGTGAAAGAAAGAACTCACCCAGTGTGGCAATTACTAGCCGCCGAATGCTGTGTTACGGATGCTCAGTATTGTCGATCTCGGTTCATCAGAGCATACACCCACCGATGGATCAACTTATAAACCGGCAGAGCCTCATCATCCTCTGAGCTATCACGGCCTTGTTGACGCAGTAGGCTGTCAACTTCAGCAGACTCAACGTCGAAATCAACACTTTGGGAAAGTGGGTCCCACGCTTCTTGGGAGCTGAATAGATCCATGCTGTTGAGTCTACATTATTGTGGTGCATTGTGGTGCAGTTATGTGTGAGCGGTAGCATTGGAGGCCTCACTGCACGGGTGCACGGTGATACGGCTACTACAAACCGGGTACCAAGTAGGCATTCTTGGTATATGCATCAGCAAGAACTAAGTGCCGACACGCGGACCCCACGTTACCGTCGTCACTTTTCGTACTATCTAGATCTCTTGAAGCTTGCACGATCAAGGCGCCCGTCGAACCCTATTGTGACGTACGGGTAACGAGTTTGCTCATGAAAGTACATGTAACCTGAGTTTGCTGAAAATATACAACTTCTTGGCTTGATCATTTGCAGGCCTTGCTAAGGCATGGGGGTTCAGAGCGTGGTACATCGTCTTCCAATGCAACCAGCTGGTTTTGCTCCGGATGCATTGTTATACTCGCAGCAGAAGTGCGATGGTACATGTTCTCGTTGCTTACCAGCGGATGTTGATTCACCAGTTACGAACGAGGCCGTTAACATAGACAAGACAGCAACACGACCAGGGCCAGAGTTACTATCCGTGTCTGAGATCACTGCGATTAGAGGTGTAGGTGGAGATGGCGCCGGCGTTAAAGGTGGACTTGAGTGCTCGGGCACTGTTAGATTCTAGAATTGAGGTACTTCTGGCAGCGTGCTGAATCTCAGGTCGTGGGGATCCAGTGTGGCTGGTATAAGCGCGAGAAGCGCTAGGCATGAGTTGTAGCCGCGACTGCGCCCTTGCATAATATGCGCATAAAGTTGCAGCTTAGCAGGTGAATGACCCACGAGACCCACAAGATGTAGCGCCACAAGCATCAACAGAAGCGAGCATGAAGAGAGAGGTGTGCAGTGGTCTTCTGCTTCGCGTTTGCCCACGAAAATGAGTAGCCCAAGAACAAAAAGACAAAAAGAAGAGGTTATCATCAATTCAGGTCCGAACGTGGATCGAACACGTGACCGTCAGATCTGCAATCTGCTGCGCTACCACTGCGCCACCGAACCTTTGATGATTGATGATTGTGGCTGAGGAAATGCTTATTGAGATCCAATATTGCTCATCAATTAATTCATACCCGAAATGACACCGGGGATAGGTAGTATTGACTGCAAAGGGGCTAACTGCAGCCAAGGCATTCGGACGAAATAAACATAAAATGGCAAATGATTTGTTCTTACACGTACAGTTGCGTTATCTCGGTGGCTTGATTAAGTTCCTGCGTTAGCCCGTTGCTGGTAAGGTGTTGTTACTGTTGTTGTCATTGTTATTATGATCGTGTATAATTTGAAATTTATTTCCGAATATAATAAGTTGTTATCATATATTACATGCTAAGAACTATGGCTTGTCTGTTAATTCCTGCCATCGACGATGAGTTTTCTGCTTGGTATCATTAGAACTCTGTATATTTGGATTTATAGTTGTCCAATCTTTGACACATCTACCCGTAACATTCATGGGTGCTATATGTCGACATTTATAATGTCTTGTTTGTAGCGGTGGAAATTGATGTTGAATAGTTTGCCCTGGCGCACAAACCTGACAGATGTACCTTGTGTTAACCTTCCCTCTTTCCCAACTACAATCACTTCGTGTTGCCAGTTATTGTCGCCGATCATAACGTTGACCTCGTGATAGCTCATATGGATAAAGACTTGGAGCTTGTAGGAACTCGAACAGTGGGTTCACAACGAGCCAAGTAGAAGCCCCGCTTGTTATCATCTCCTTTGTACTGAAATAAACGTGTGTTTATGGTAATTGGCTGGTCTCATGATTTAAACACATAACTATTCGATATAGCAACTTTCGACATGAGCCGACTAAATGAAACAACTCACGGACTCGTGGGATGGATCCATATGTATATATATCGATAAAATAGGTAACAAACTAGTCAGACGTACCAGAGGATGAGAACTACTGTATGTGCCAAGCAGCTGAAGTCGGTTTATAGTGGTGGTTTCAATTTTATTCATCTCTTAGTGATATAATCGGGTGCCAATATATGTAAAGAGTAAACATAGGGTCAGTCAAAATTATAAATAGATATGTTACCACAGCTCGCCGATTCAAACAGAATATGCTATGCGTGATGATAGTTCACAGTTTTGTGCCTGACTGTCGTTCATAGTCGGTAATGTCCACAGGCGTTGGGTGTCAACAGCCAACACGTGGCAAGTATTTGATGGGTGGGGAAGGCTGCCAGAAGATTATGGATCGCTTGCGCGTGGTCGTCGGTACGTCGACAGACTATCAATGAAGTAATCGAGATCATCTGGCTTTGCTACAATTCAGAGGCAGGTCACTGCGTTGGGGCCAGTTCCCTTTCACAATGCCAAATCAACACGAATATAATGCAGAGCCCATACATCCAAAGCTGGATGATTTTACTCATGGTGTCAATATATAGAGTTATAACATAAGATAGCCAGTTCAGGCAACCGGCACCACAGAAGTGAAGGGTGCAATGATATGGCCACACACCGTTAGCATGTAGCACATCTCATACCCTCCGAGGCCATGACAACTTGACAGCAGTCCTTATATTCCGACAACCGACATGGCAGGATCAACTGGATAGACTCGCAGTCTGGTCAAATAGTCTAACTCCCACGTGGTATTATATGGATGATATCTGCCCAGAAATAAATATATGAAGATAGTTTGCAATAATAATGGGGGCATGTAGTGATTACAAGAGTCTGCACTTGACCACCTGCAGGTTAAGCCAAGAGGACATCGAAATCAAAATTCGAGCCTGGGAGCATAAATCATGGCCAGAACAGTTTGAATGCTCAGTATGGAGTGAAGATCTGCCGCTATATATATTTTGCATACAGCAGTGTTCAAGCTACGCTTGCGGCTGCCGAGAATATCAGCTAGCTTTCTCTATTTGAATATCGAGACGACGCAGACATAGTCTACATCGACCTAGATTATGTCGAGCATATTGCGTTAGATAGTACTCACTGTTTTTGCCCGTCTGTTGTGACTGGACCATAATTTGCGGAGGAAGTAGCTGGTTATAAACAACTCGATATTCCCATGGTGCAAAATGTTAGCATATCAAATTCTCCCATTAGCCAGACCCTAGAACATGGACACTGACCAAGGTTCGTCAATAGGAGCACGACTATCACAGTCACCAAATCATACATGGAAACTGACGCGGTGGACTACCAATTCTTTATCTAGCTCATAGAAGCCTGCTCGACCTCGGAACATTTTACCACAGATTCCTTCTCACCATCACTGAGCGGTTGAGCATGAGCAATGCTTTGTCAATCTCGCACGTTTCAACGTTTAACGCTTATCTTGCGCCATAACAACAGCCCACACAGACCCCAGACAAGAACTGCACACGGCAACTCTCACCGCGACAACAGCAAGTACATTTAAACATATGCGCACATACCAAAAAAGACCGCGGGACAGCGGTGCACTACTATGATCATCCCGCCCGCACATTCGGAACCCGTCGATCAGAATGCTGTGCGTACAACGTTCTCGAAGAAAGCAATAGGGATACTAGATATTGCCACGTGGAACAATCTCGAGAAGCAAGTAGCGTTATTTGCTATGCATCATTATTTACGTCATCGCGGCCTATTCATGATCACACAAGAGTATTGGTCAAATCAATACCAATTGAACAAAAATGAAACAATGCTCTATTATTACGCCCATCATGCATCCGTATTGTACACTATGGACATGGTTTCCAGCAAGGCTCCAGCGCCTAGACCCAAGACGAAGCCTACAAACTACGTATACCAAAATTACAAGAGCATGCGCCTGGGGTCCTCAATGTATTCCTTAATCTTGACCAAGAACTGAACAGCTTCCCTACCATCCAAAAGACGGTGGTCGTAGGTCAATGCGAGGTACATCATTGGACGGATCTCGATCTTGCCGTTGATGGCCACGGGCTTGTCCTTGATGGCGTGGAGACCGAGGACGGCGCTCTGGGGCAGGTTGATGATGGGGGTACCCATGAGCGAGCCGAAGACACCACCGTTGCTGATGGTGAAGGTACCACCAGCCATATCCTCAATGGTGAGCTTACCGTCACGAGCCTGGATTTCTCATTAGTATCGCGATTGGCTCAGTGGGGTGTACCTGAAACGGGAGGAGAGAGAGGGGGAAAAAAAAAACATACCTTCTTGCCGAGCTCAGCAATGGTTTTTTCAATGGCGATCATGTCCATGGCCTCGGTGTTGCGGACAACGGGGGTGACAAGACCCTTCTCGGTAGCAACAGCAACGCTGACGTCGACGTAGTCTCTGTAGACAATGGTGTCACCGCCGTTCTCGCCCTCAATGGAAGCGTTGACAGCAGGAATGTCGCGCATGGCCAGGACGGAAGCGCGGGTGAAGGCGCTCATGAAACCGAGCTTGACACCAGTCTTCTTCAAGACATCGTCCTTGTAGAGCTTGCGGAACTCCATGAGGGAGGACATGTCGACCTCGTTGAAGGTGGTGAGGGAAGCGGCGGTGTTTTGGGACTGCTTGAGACGCTCGGCGATTCGGAGACGCATGCGGTTCATCTTGACCTGTAGCCATGGTTAGCCTCTCGAGAGTAAGGGAAGATTGGCGTGCGGTAGGCTCAACGTACGCGACGCTCCTCCCGGCTGCCCAAGAGGGGACCGGAGGTCTCCTTGGCGGGTTGCGAGGGCTTCGACTCCTTCTTGGGCTCGGGCTTGGGGGCAGACTTGGAAGGCTCAGGCTTGGACTCTGATTTGGAGTCCTGCTTGGGGGCTGGCTTGTTCTCCTCCTTGGGCTCGGCGGGCTTTGCGTCGGTGGAAGCGGCCTCCTCCTTCGGGGGCTCCTTTGACTCCGACTTGTCGCCGCCCTCCGGCGCACCACCGGCCTTGATCTTGGCGATCTCCTGACCGACGGTGACGGTGTCCTCCTCGTTGGCGAGGAGCTCCTGGATGGTACCAGCCTCGGGGGCATTGACGGCGACATCGATCTATTGATGGTTCCGTGTTAGTATATGTACGAAGACTTGACTGGCAGCACCGAATGTGTTGCGTCGTACCTTGTCAGTCTCGATGGTAGCAATCTCCTCGTCGGCCTCCACGTAGTCGCCAACCTGCTTGTTCCACTGCTTCAGAGTACCCTCGGAGATGGACTCGGCCATTTGCGGGACTTTGACGACGGTGTCGGCATAGGTGCGAACTTGGCTCATGAGAGAAGACAGAGGCACGCCGCGCATAGGCTGCAGGGTGCTGCGTGTCTGGACGACACGTGCAGCGGTGCGTAAACTCCTGGAGAACATGTTGAGGTTTGTTTATGTGGTGTTTTGTCTCGTGTTGTAATGTGCGAGAATTGCAAGCAAGGAGAGGTCACACGGCTAGATGCCAAGCAAGATGTACAGGGCAATGCAACAAGCTGAATGCACGACTTGAACTCAAGTGAAGAATACTGTCTTTTAAAAAGCTACCCAGAGCCAGCAAAGGGTAGAGGAGACAGGGTGGTCACCAAGGGGGTATGGTGGTGGTGGTGGTGATGTTGAGATCGGGGGTAGGGGAGAGGGAGAGGGAGCAAGTGTCATGGGGGTAAAAAGTGAACTCGGCTCAATGCAGGATTTCTCGCGATGACTTCGCAGGTACGAAGCGAAACGAAGAAACGAAAACGATGGAGACAGAGCTTCTCACTAACTAACTAGCTTCTCCAAAATTTGGAGCACGGCCCGCTGCTGCCAGCCAGACGCGAGGGAGACCACAGCCACTACCACCACCATGACCGCGACAACGAGCAACGATCATGGCCGCTGAGAGGCCCTGACACCTGAAGGTCACCGTCTCGAGAGAACTAGCCCGGCAAAACAGAGCAGCAAGGTACCGATTTCACCCGCTAATCCGGTAAAGAGCCTGGCGACAAAGGGGGGCGCTTGGCTTTGGTTCGCTGTGAGGGAGTTGGAATTGGAATGACGTCGGGCGCTGAAAAAGATCCGCGCCGCCCGGTCACCGACATACCTTGTCTCGTTCTGGGCAGCTGCCGCTTCAGCTCTGCCAGCTGCGGCAGATGGACAGCGTAGCAAATCATCAAGAGCTTGAAAGTCATCAATCCGAATTCCACAAGCTCCAAGAGCCAATCTCTTGGTGCCTGAGGCCAAAAGACACTCGGACCCCCCCCCAAGCCCAGCAGAATCCAAAGCACAAGCATCCATCACCAGGAGCCTCCAATCCGCTTGAGAGCAGCAGCCCTACACATCACCAGCCAGCTACCGCTTGCGAGTCCAATTGGCCGCCAACCCGCAACAACGACGACACATCTCCGCTCATTCCCCATTCCGTCCGTCGCTCAGAGACGACGTCCATTGACGCTGGTCCGGCAGTCGCACAGAGCTTACAGTGCTGGGGAAGCCGTTGTCTAGCAGATCGCATCCGGAGGCACCAGAAGGCGGCACGTCAGAAGGAAAGAAGGATATAAAGAAGGAAAGAAAGAGATCAACTCAACATGTCGACACGACAGGCTGCACTGTGAGCACCCACTCCTCTGGCCCCCGGGCCAAGATAAGAAGAACGTTCAGGCTCTAATACAGCTGCATGACAGGTCGCTCTACCGACGCTCCTTGAAGCTGTCCCTCGACTGGGCTGTCCACCGGCACCTGTGGCGCGGCCAGGCTCTCTACATCCGATCCCTCTTTGAGGCAAACCGAAACATCACAGACGTCAGGAAGCAAAGGGTACGCCACGCGTCGCAATGTCTGTCCCCGGGCTACCTGAGATCAGGCGAGCTTGGGGGATGGGAAGGAATGGTTGACCAATGTATGCTGACCAATCAACGCAGGCGTTACTGAACGAGACCGAGAAGCTGCTCGAGACGTGGAAGCACCCGGACCCCTACTGCCCCCCCACGGCACCTGGAGGTATGTCAGAAGTTCCTGTCCATCCTGCGCACAAGGGTTTGCGAGAGTCACATATACTAAGACAGTTGACACTACAGGCTCGAAATACGAGAGAAACCTGCCTGCACACACAACAGCAGGTAAGTCTTCTGTTGATCATTTGCATCTGCACAACCCAGACTAATCATACCCTCAGCCCCACCCGATCTCAAGTTCTAGAAATGGTTACGTCGAGGCACGGCGGCGTTGGAATGTACATAGAATCTGTAATCTGCGCATAGATATTATCAAAACAAAGGGGAAAAAGTTGCAGGGCCAGTTCTGCACTACACCACACTACACTACAATTGACACCATCAAAGCTCACTTCTTACGGAGTTCTCGGGAGAAACTGATCTTGTGCCATGGATCGGACCTCATGATCTGCGCTAATCTCACGACTCGCAACCGATACTGTTCAGACCTGTGCGCGTATCCCAATGACAAACACACCAGGTGCTGACGCCTCCATCTCCAGTGTTCCGCCCTCCGTAATTTGATCATCTGGTTGATGATATTTGTTATCATTCGTAGGCTTTGTTCGAGATATCTTCATCAACTCTTCCAAAGCCCAAAAAAGCATGCCTGTTTACGTCAAATCAATAGGTAACACGAACCATCACAATGAAGCAACCAGTATTTTTGCGGCGTGCAAGCCTGGCTTGTGTATCCAGCACGAACTCGACCATGTCAGGTATGAATCTCAACAATGTTCAACGTGATACTACGAGTCGATAATGAGTGTCACGGTGCAAGATGCAAACAAGATGTTAAAAATGTTTGTTCAGAAGTTCTCATTCATATCCATGTCCCTTAAACCATGGGTGGATTATCTTAATGTACAACCCAATTCGCAATTCGCGTGTAAAAGAGCAAACCATGCCCAACCGTGACCCCTTGATCGTAAAGACGTGCCGAACTACCAGAAAAAATCAAATGCAACCACGAAAAACCATCTACAACTCCTGAGAACCAGCGTTCTTGCCAGGCTTGCCGGTCTTCTTGGGCAGAAGGTCTAGGAGAAAGCGTGTTAGCACGGGGTGGATGCGACCCGGGAGGACCGAATGACTTACTCTGGTGAATGTTGGGCAGGACACCACCTTGTGCGATGGTGACGTGTCCGAGCAGCTTGTTCAACTCCTCATCGTTTCGGATGGCGAGCTGAAGATGTCTGGGGATGATACGGGTCTTCTTGTTGTCGCGGGCAGCGTTACCGGCCAACTCGAGGATCTCGGCGGCGAGGTACTCGAGGACGGCGGCGAGGTAGACGGGAGCACCGGCACCGACACGCTGAGCGTAGTTGCCCTTGCGGAGCAGACGGTGGACACGACCAACGGGGAAGGCGAGACCAGCCTTGCTGGAACGGCTGGAGGAAGCTGGGTTAGCTGATGGATCGATGTGAAAAGATGCGACCCGATGCGCCGAGAAAAGACGCGTCGGGAGACGGCATGAGAAGCAGAATACTCACGATTGGGCGTTCTTGGAACCGCTGGCCTTGCCGCCGGACTTGCCACCTCCAGTCATTTTGAAGAGTTGGGGTTGGGGGGTTTTCTGGGTGGAAAAAGTAGATTGCTTTGAAGTCGAGGACGACTGTAGATGCTCGAAGGCTGAAGAGTAGTGGTTGCTTTGTGAGTTGCGTTGGGAATGGATGAATGGATGGGTTGACGGGAGAGAGATGGATGTTGGTAGTGGGGGATGAGAGCTTATGTACTAGTCGCGTCAAGCTGCGGCAAGAATCACTGATTTGGGGAATCTACCGCCCTAAGCCTCTTCCGGCCACGCGATCGAGCACGAAAAGGCGGTCCCCACTTCGGCTAAAAAATGCGCGTGCGCCTGGGGTGCCATCAGCACGGCAAAGCACAGCCCAAAGCACAACCAGAAGAGAGGAGAAAATCAAATCAGAGCGTAATCGCATCAGAGCCCCCAGACCACTTTCTGCACCCACTCCCCGAAGCGAGTTTTGTCCCAAATGCCTGCAGCCCACGCTCCCAACTTGCATCACCATCCCCTAAGGACACTCCGACCAATCATATATTTTGCTTTTCTTAGCGTCTTTCTTATCGTGGCTTCCTGATGCGATTATTTTGATTTTCCATATTAAACCCGGCGCCCACTTCTGCCTTGTCCCCTCGTTTCTCTGATTTCTGATTTTCCGATTTTCTCACGCACCCAACTTGTTTTGCCGCCAAATCACTCGACGCGTCTCTCGCAGCCGGTTGATTTCGCCAGCCCCCCTTCTCGCCCTCGCCCTCGCCCTCTCCCGACTCTTTGACTGATTTGACCTTCCGTGTCTAGCATGCTACTTTTGGTCCCGAATCACAACTCGAGGCAACCGATTATTCTGCCATGTCCTACTGTGCTCGTCGATTTTCTTCCTTTTTCGACTTGATTTGAGGCATTTTTTGTGCGTGACTTTTTGCATGTTGAATTCTCGGGTCAGGCATGCTCAATTCCTTGCTTTGGTCATGGTTTGTCTGACCTGAGAGACTCAGAGGGCTGGTTTTGGTCTGGTCGCTCGGTTTGAGCTGGAGTTGGTTAACGTCTGGATTCCATCCAAGATCCATGGACTATTGCCTATACGGCTTGAGTTGTTCGACTTTTTGTGTCTTACATACTCGGGTCTGAGGTATTTTGATTTAGTTTGAGGCTCATATGGTCCATGGATCTTTGGTTTTTTGTGGTTTAGGCCTTGAAGTCCGGCTTTGTCGAAGGTACTTTCTGACCTTTGAGGTCAGATATTATACTATTTTGAGGTAGATAGATGCTAGTATGGCATATATAGTCAAGATAGACCAAATAGACCCAAATTCTACATCAAGTAAGGCTTATACAAGGTTCAAAACGTGTCAAATAGGGCTGCATGGTCCATAGACTCGGCTCAGGTGGACTCAGTGGCAATCCGGGGACCAGATTCTGGGGTATCCGGGCTTAGATCCTCGGGCCGGCAGTCACGGGTAGGCAGAGTTTGGGGATAGCTTCATCTGGAGGCCGGATTCGGTAATCTGGACGACTCTATGGGGCATGGGTATGGTTGTACGGGGGACACATGGCGTCAGGCCAATGATGGAATGCATGGCTCAACGGCTGAGATCGAGTACGAATCACGAACCACGGACTATGGTGCCTGCTCCATAGGGCTCCAGTACTCCAGTGCTTGTTCCAGTGCTTGCTCCATTACTCTCCATGGCAGACTGGAGGCCCTGCGGCCGTGAAATCAGAACAGAGGGGATTGCCATTCACGGGAAGAAGGGAGGCGTGGCACATGCCACCGGACCCGTGTCTGCACCATGGAGAGCACTAAGATGGCTGTTTTGCGCATGAGAAGCCATGAATGTACATTGAACAAAGGGTTGGTGGATGGGAGCCGCATCCCCCAATCAATTCTACGTGGTTATCTGGCTCTGAAACTGTACCGATGCCCATATCCGTGCGTGTTTCTGTTTCTGGTAGAGAAAGACCAGGAGAAAGACACATCCTGCGGTGACCCTCCCTCCTTTCCTCTCTTGCTGTGTGGTGTGAGCCTGCGACGCGTCGGGAACAGAGAGAGAAGGGCAGTCGAAGAAGACGCGCTTTTGCTTTTCCGTGCTAGACCAAGTTCGTGGAGGGGTGGCTGGGTACGTTCTGATTTGAGGGCCCCCGAAAAGCGACGCCCGGTAGACTTTCCCCCCACCACCCCTGCTTGGTTATTTATTTAGTGGGCGTGCCTCAGCAATCGCGTGCATCAATTCGAGGTGTCAAATCAGTAACTGCGCTAGTCTTCGCCGCGTCCAGCTACAAAAGGTCCTCATCACCCACCTTCCATCTTCCCAACAACAACACCCGGCTTCATTCTCCATCAACCAACGCAGCCAACATCATTCACAACAACTCTTGGATTCAATCCAGTACAGCTCTCGCAACTTCCAAGCCAACCCACCCTTTTTCCACCCAACTCCAAATCAATCAAAATGCCTCCCAAGGCCGCTGACAAGAAGCCCGCCTCCAAGGCCCCGGCTACTGCCTCCAAGGCTCCCGAGAAGAAGGATGCCGGCAAGAAGACCGCCGCCACGGGCGACAAGAAGAAGCGCACCAAGGCCCGCAAGGAGACCTACTCCTCCTACATCTACAAGGGTAAGCCACTTCCAGATTCAGGGCCTAACGACCGCGTCGCATCGCGTCACGCCTCTCTCTCCACGCGACGAATTCCACTGACGCTTTCTGCTCTAGTCCTCAAGCAGGTCCACCCCGACACTGGTATCTCCAACCGTGCTATGTCCATCCTGAACTCTTTCGTCAACGGTAAGCTCAACTCCCCAGTGCCCCTCCGCACTCCTGGCGCGTCATCTCGGCGCGTCTTTCTGCCCTCCACATCAAATACTGATTCCCGTGCCTGCAGATATCTTTGAGCGTGTTGCCACTGAGGCCTCCAAGCTCGCTGCCTACAACAAGAAGTCTACCATCTCTTCCCGAGAGATCCAGACCTCGGTCCGCCTTATCCTGCCCGGTGAGCTTGCCAAGCACGCCGTGTCAGAGGGTACCAAGGCCGTCACCAAGTACTCTTCATCCACGAAATAAGTGCTTGATTAATGGGCGGGCGAAGGGTTGCGATGGGGCTGATTTCTCTTTTGGGCATGGGGTCCTTTCAGGCTTGCAAGTTGGCATCATGATGAGGCTTGGCCACTGCATAGGCTTTGATGCTACGGATCTCGATTACGGAGTCTCAATAATGCGTTACGGAATGGTTTACTGATTTACGGGGGCATTTGTCTCTGCACAACACGGTATGGGGTTCGCGGTTGTACTATACATTCTGCCGATAGGTTTTCGGAAATGACACCTGAACATGAACAAACTACTCTGCTGTCTTCAATGCACCGTGATGCTCGCTTTTGTTTGGTTTTTGGGCCTATTATACTCACTGCTATTTTCGGGTCTCTTACAGGCACATTCAATCCAGACAACTCGACTTGTACGCGCCGCTGCCAAACACTCAACCTAGAAGTGCGTGTGCTTCGAATTCGAGCGGTCATTTCCTCTCGGTCGAGGATATGCTCAAGTGCGGCCGCAATTATCGGTCGCGCTGCTTTCGAATACTGGGTTGGTGGAAAATGAGCAACGCACGCAAACTGGGGAATCACAGTGGGATTGCGACCCGTAATCAGCTCTCTGTCGTAAGATTGAGGGGGGAGATTTGGAAAGTCACACGTCGTGATGTCCATTCAGCATTTCTCGGGGCAAGTGTTCTATATGCAGGCCAAATTTCCACGCGGCGGCATTGAACCACTAAATATGCTGCAAGGTATTTGGGCGCACTGGGGGGTATTTTCGACCATAGCTTCCTCAAAGCAACTCTATGCCCGAGATCATGATATATGCAAGCCCAAAACGCCCGTCTCGCCACGCCGGAATGTCTCCAAGTCTCTAGACGTTGCACCTCACTGTCCAGCATCACCCAAGCCCAGCTTGCTCTTCTTCATGACATGCGTGACCGGTACCATGATGCCCTTGTTGTCTAGTGTACCAAGTGCCATGCCCTTGGACCAGCCCATTTTCTCGAGCAACATTCTGCCCTTGTTCTCTGCAGCCAACTCACGGGCGTGCTGGCCGACGATCTCTCCCTCGCGGTAGCTGATCGCATTGTCCTGACGCTTCGAGCCACTGGTGTCCTTGCGGAGACCGGACCTATGCGCCTTCGCCACCTCCGTGTCTACATCGACGCGTGGGAAATACTGGCGGCGGATAACCCTGTTCACCATGGACTCGAAGGATCGCTCTTCGTAGGCCAGCGTACGACCAGTGCGGAAGAGGACGGGATGCCGATTGTCGCCTGAACCTGATGACTGCGACTTGATCTTGAGGTGACCCGCGACAGTATGGAGGCATTTCCTTGCCTGCTTGTCGAGTGGAGGAAAGGTGATCCTGAGAATTTGGTCAGCAAATGCAGCAGGTCGATGCTACTAGGACAGCAGCATGATGACCCCAGGTCGTCCCAATTGACATGAACGGTATCTGAAGACTGCTGTGCACGCAAAGGCAAGGAAACTTACTGCTCATCTTCACCAATAAGGAACTGCTCCAACTCAAATACAAGTTCGTCCTTGCTCATGCCCACTAGATATTTCACACGGAGGTCGTCGGGTTTTACGTTCTTTCCCAGCAAGCCCTGTGCTCGGAGCGCCTCCCTTTGCCTCTTCTTCTCCGCCTTCTTGAGACGGTCCTTGTTGAAGGCAATCTCCATGGCCTCCTCGAGCTCAGAGTCTGAATGCACGGGTGGGCGGGACTTGCTGTTTGAGGTGGCTCTATGCCAGTTCATGAGGTCGAGATGGTCAAAAGCATCGGCCATTGCGGTCGCACTTGGAAACTGGCCCTTCTTTTGGATGATCTTGGCTTGCTTGGTGGAGCCCTTCTTCTTACGGCGTGGCGTCACCTTGGGAGCAATTTGCCAGTCATCTTGGTCGTCTGAGTCTGAGTCATCGTAGAGCACAATGTTGTCGCCTCCAAAGCCAAGCTCTTCCTGCTTAGCAAGCAATCTCGCCATACGCGCATCTTGCTTTTCGATTCTCTGGCGCTGCGCATCTGTCAACTCGCTGTTCTCGGCCGCTCCATCATCCTCGCCCGAGTCAGCTTCGTCACTGTCGTCCTCCGTAGTGGGCTCCGGCACAGCGTCACTATCGGTACCACCGAGATCTCTGAGAATCTGGAAAGCATGAGAACCAAGTCCAGGATGAGCCTCGCTTTCGTCATTGTCGTCGTCGTCCATGTTCGCCATGTAATCGGCAATCAGCGCAGCTTCTTCATCGGACAGTGTTCCGTCTAACAGGGCATCGAGATGGGAACTATCCGCATCCTCAGCTGGAGCTGGAGCTGGAGCTGGAGCTTGGGCTTGGGGAAGCGGCACCCCTGCAATGGCAGAATACTCCGTCTCCTGATGTGTAGTCTCGGCAACAGACTCTTTAGTGACAATTGCCGGCTGGGCAACTGTAGTGGACTGGTCGATGGTCTTTTCCACAACCTTGATCTCAAGATCCATCTCGCGCATCTGAATGGTATCGCTTGTTTCCTTTGGCCTGGGAGAGGCGCGTTGCGATTCTGCGGCCGAGCGTAGTGCAGGATCGCGACCCCTGAACAGGATGACCTCCTCGCTTGAGTCGGAATCATGATCCGACTCTTGACGGGGCAGTATCGGCAGATTTGCCAGTTTTGCAGGTCGCAATGACTTGTCACCGATGGTGTCCAGAACGAAGAGCTCAGGAGGTGTTGAAGGTTCCAATTCCATCTCCAGGGGTGTGTGCACCTGGCTCTGTGACTTGACCTCTGTACTAGCAACCAAATCGGGCCGTGTATCGACGGCGGGCAGAACATGTCGCTCAATCTGTGACTGGGCCTTTTTTCTTGGCTCGAGAGAGTCCTTCTTCACCTCGAATTCCTTTAAGGGGTCCATGAGGCCAGCACTGACAAAGACGACTGGCCTGTGGCGGAGCTTTGCATCCAGACCGAACATACCACGAGGCCGCTTGGTAGTGTTCCTTGCCTCATCTGCAAGGGTATGGTGGCCTAGCAATGGAAAATCAGCGATGGCATCAGTGTCTATAGGCGAATGGCATACCACGAAATGCTGCACCTGCGCTGACGGCAGGTGCGAATGGGCTGTTCGAAGAGGCAGAAGGACCGAACTTTGAATTCTGAGCGTTCCATCGTGAACGACCACCATTAGAGGGGCCGCCACCTCGCTTGCCTCTTGGCTTGTTCTTATGTGGCATGGCTAACACTCCCGGGTGCTTCAGATGTTTGGAAACACTTCTAAATGAAACTGAGCCCACTATGTTACGACGAAGCTTCGTGTGCCCGATAAAAACCAGACGACAAAGAACGAGGCAGACCCAAGTGATCTGAAGGAGCTGGAAGTGAAGAAGTGAGAGGCTTCAAGTGAAGTTGCTGGTGGAGTGTGTGGTCAGCTAGCAAAAGTTGAGATGGACTGGGTGGCGAGTGACTAATATCGTCTACGACATGCCCATTAGCAAGACGTATAGTGCTGTGTAATCTTGGACGTGCGTACAGCAGATGATTTGCCTGCTCTATTACAGTCTTAACTTGAAGGATTAAATACTATGCCTGTCTATTCTCGGACGGATATCCATTTGTTTGTAGACTGGTGATAGTTATGCCCGCCCAAGTTCCTAATGGTAGACGATGGGCAGGGCACGACAACGAGTCGTCGTTACTCAGCTTTATCGATAAGGCACTTGACCTTGGCTGCCTGTGCCGCCCTGTCCACTAAGGTTAAACGACTAAACGGAGGGGTCAGTGGAGCGGGTGTCCACCGAATGATGGCCCAAAGAGTCCCTAGGAGTCCACTGTTGGAATGCACGCACAGCACCTTAGATAAGCTCGGAGTCGGATGACAGGCGCTCCAAGAGTGCCATTTAATAGCACAGCAACCAGATACATGGCGGCATGACAACAAGGCAGCACTTCTCCTCATTATCTCAGCTGCTGCATATACTGCACTTGCACTGTCTTGTTACAGGATTGTGTTCTTGCATCGGAATACATCCCAACAACTACTCAAGACACTGCTGATTGTCTCGAGTGAGTGTCGGGCGTCCATCACAGCTGTCTACCCGTCACAGAGAAAGAGAGAGAGAGAGAGAAACATCACAAGGCATCGGCTGCTAGTCCGGCCATATGACCGGCCCCAACTAATCGTCTTCCAGCCCATCCATCCGTCCCCCTAACAATAGTATCGCCATCGTAATCCTTATCGTGTTTTTCTTCTTGACTTGCCCGAGTCCCCCGATCTGAGGCTGTGGATACTCTGTTTCTATTGCTCTTCGCTGCTTGTTGCTACAATACCGTAGTCCACCCACAGTTGTCCGGCTTGTGAGCACACCATCGAGCTCCAGCTCGCCCTCGCCCTCGCCCTCGTCCGCCGACGGCCCTCCTCCGGCTGGACCATCTCTCACACTTGACTTACACCACATCCGGCGCCCGTCTTGACACGAACCGACCCTCGACTATCCTCCACTCCCCCCAACACTTTATAAAATGGACACTACTTTAGACGTGGGCCGCCGCATCGTCCAGATGTTCTGGGACCCAGAGCCCACTAACGACGTGGTCAAAGATCAGCCTGCATGGTGCTTGGGCACCTCCTACAAGCTGAACAACAGCCCCGTCACCAAATCTGCCGAATCCGCAGCCTCTCCCTCTCGTGCCGCCCGTGAGACATCGAAAAGCAAGTCGCCGGTACGACAGGCACCCGCAAAACAAACCGAGACACCGCCCGAGTCTATATCTAGTAGCTTTGACTCCTCCCTGGCATACGAAGAGGCCCCCAAGGACGGAGGGTGGCCGCCAGCCTTTCTAGACGACTTTGAGTCACGAATATGGATGACCTACCGGTCCGAGTTCGAGCCCATCGCCAAGTCCCACGACCCCAAGGCCCTGGCCGCTCTGTCTTTCTCCATGAGGATCAAGCAACAACTCTCGGACCAGACCGGCTTTGCCTCAGATAGTGGGTGGGGATGCATGATACGATCTGGTCAGAGCCTCTTGGCCAACGCCATGGTCTTGCAGAGGTTGGGAAGGGACTGGCGCAGGAAGCCAAACGATGCGGACGAAAACAAGCTACTTCAGCAATTCGCCGATGACAAGAGAGCTCCTTACTCGCTGCATAACTTTGTCAACCACGGCGCAACGGCCTGCGGAAAGTATCCAGGCGAGTGGTTTGGCCCGTCAGCGACAGCTAGGTGTATACAGTAAGTCGAAAGCATGGCAAATGATGCTCCAGGGCAGGACGCTAATGAGCGAGCGTCAGGGCATTGACCAACGAACACGAACCGAACCTGCGAGTCTACTCGACAGGAGATGGCCCTGATGTGTACGAGGATAACTTTATGAAGATCGCCAAGCCCGACGGGAAGACGTTCCATCCAACGGTCATCCTCGTAAGCACGAGACTGGGTATAGACAAGATCACGCCGGTGTACTGGGAAGCGCTCATTGCATCTTTGCAGATGCCGCAGTCTATTGGAATTGCTGGGTGAGTAGCCCCCACATGTAATTGATTCGTTCTTCTAACCAAGCCGTAGCGGTCGACCCTCGTCCTCACACTATTTCATCGGTGTTCAGGGTTTGTACCTCTTCTACTTGGATCCTCACTACACCCGCCCTGCCCTTCCGTACCATGAAGACCCCAATGACTACGTCCCGGAGGAGGTTGATACCTGCCATACTCGCAAGCTTCGACGCCTCCATATCAAGGAAATGGACCCAAGCATGCTTATTGGTTTTCTGATCCGCGACGAAGAGGACTGGGTCGACTGGAGGCGGAGTGTGAAGCACGTCCAGGGCAAGTCTGTCATCCACGTTTCGGACCATGACCCCGTCGCTCAATGCGAAGCCCAAGGCAGCAGTTTCATGGATCGAGTGGAGGCCATGAGCGACGATGATAACGACGGCGATGCTATGCTTGACGACTAAAGATTACCTGATTTGTGCAGCGTCGGGATTATAGGGGGGGATATCCAATAGGGGCGTTCTGGTTTTGATTTCAGGGATTGCATAGGAACATTGTAGATACCGTTAATGACCAGCGGCCGGGTAGTGACTCTGCACGCGACTGGTGAGTCTTTGCAGCTACCGAGGCGGCTAAAATCGGCCGATTATGCACGTGTTCCTTGAATACACGTGCGGGCAGATGGCGTGTAGATTCGCCCAGTGAGCCACTTGGTAGTAATACGCAAACATCCACACCGGGAATTTTATCGCTTTTTCTTGTTAGACTTGGCAGCTTTTCCGGCAGTTTTCACGCTGCTGGGCGGGGCGGCATGTCCAGTGGATTTGATGTGATTGAATAGTTTCGTTTTGGAATCGAAGGGCTCGCTGCAGACGGCACACTGATGCGATGCTCCTTGTTGCTCGAGTTCAGCCTGCTTCGCTGCCTTCTTCTCCCGCTTGGCCTTTGCCTTGCCGACCTTCTTGGCCGCTTCGGTTTCATTGAGAGACAGTTCCTCGGCCTCAAGAGCAACCGCGTCCAGGTCCTCTGCTGTGTCTGCCTGCAAAGGGTTCGACGATAACCTGTCCTCGACGGCTGATCTAGGGGCGTAGTCGCCGTCCTCGCTTTCCTCTTCGGAGGAAGCATCCTGTGGTGTCGAGTCTGGTGCTCCCGTTGATTTGGCATCTGCGTCAAGCCCTGCCTTGGCCGTAGGACCTTGGTCCAGAGGCGGCGCCGTTTCAGCCTCTTGGTCGTCCGACAGCACTGCGGGAGACGCACTGGCCGAGGGCTCGTCTAGGTCGAAATTGATGTTCTCCTTCTTCATTTGCCTTTTCAGCTGCTGTACGGCCTTGACATGCTTCTTGCTCTTCTCATGTGCCTCGTATTGCTTCTCTGTCTTGAAGATCTTGTTGCAGACGACGCATTCGAGAACCTCGACCTCGGATTCTTCCTCGCTCTCCGAGAATTCGCCCTCGAGACCGTTGTCGTCCCCGCGAGACTGCGCCCAGTCTGGGACGACATAGTCCTCCATGGCCTTTTGGTTGGCGGCCCTCGCTCTGGCAGCCTGCTGTTTGGCCGAATCTTGTAGTATCTTCTGCCTCTCCGCTTCCGACTGGGTGTTTGGCACGTAGCGGGGGTCTCGTTTTCGGACAAAGGCGACGAGTGATCGAACGGCGTCGTTGAAGTCCCGCCTTGCCTCCTCTCGGAGTTGCTTGTTCTCCTTTTCCATCAACCGGCGAACTCTGCGGTCGGGGGCGTCAGATAACCGCCACTTGTCCTCCCAGGCGAAGCTCTTCCTGCTCGCGAAGTTGGACCAGGCGCTGTAAAAGGGCCTGGCGACGCTGTCGTAGTCGTGCTTGGCGGAGCCAAAGGACGGGTACTCGACGATGGGCTGGCCGTCCCACTCGCAGGCGGCGATCTCTTGTTGCGCGAGCGAGTCGAATGTGTCCTGGAGTATGCCGAAGAAGCCGTTGGGGGCATCGGTGAAGGGGACAGTCGAGTTGAAGCGGCTGATGAGGGTGAAGAGTTCCTGGGCGCTGGTCATGCGGACGTTGTAATACTCGGCGGTGCCTTCGTTCTGGTTGGGCTCATCGCCGCGCAAGATGGCATCGCGGTGGGAGTCGTACCAGGCTCGTTCTTGGGCATCAGAGAGGACTTCGTAGGCGGCCTGTACTTCGGCAAACCTCTGGGTCGCATTCTCCGTGTCTCCATAGTTGCGGTCTGGATGCAATTCGAGGGCCTTTCTTCGGTACGCCTTCTTGAGCTCATCATCGGTGGCCTGTCGATCCACTCCGAGCAGTTCGTAATAATCCGTCTTCTGCGGCGCACTGCTTTGCGGCCCAGGCTCTCTGTTGGAAGACTGTTCCTGGCCCATGTTGCCCGAGTTTCCTTTGCCTGGTAGCGTTCGCAGCACTGGTGGGGGTTTGGTCTCAGACAGCTGCGGAAAACTTGCCCAAGTAAGCTCCTTTATAATAAACAGCCTTATTAACAACCTCTTATGTGCTCTTCACTTTCCAAGAAGGGTTTTGTCGTAGAGCACGCGTTCACATGCCAAATGTAGTGGCTATGGCGGCTCTCGCGTATCTCATGGGGAAATGATTAATTCTGACTCATTGAGAAGAGGTACCAGTTATTAACTTGCACTGCACATTTTTTTTGGAAATTTGGCTGCCCCGCGGACGCCTCCGGACTGCAAGACTCAAGGTCAGGCACTTATGCGCAGAGATTACTACCGTGTGTTACAGACGCTGATGGCGGGGTTGATTTTCATAAACGGGGGCGGGGCTATAAAAAAAACAATGATTATGTACACGAATGAACCCGGTCCGGCCCTACGACGCCAGGGACGCCATCCTGTTCTCTCTGCTTGGCACGTGGGCGGTTGAGACCTGGCGATTGATGACACTGCTTCCCCCCACCATCTTCGACAAGAAGACCCTTTTTCTTGGCGGCCTGGTGGCTTCTGACTCGGCTTGCCCGATCTAACAACTGCGAGACGGAGCAGTACACTGTATGTAGTACATGCCACAGCAAAATACGACTAGTTTTGCACTCCTTACAAAACGTTATGACAATGCTCAGATGCGTTGCATGGGTTCGGAAGCATTGAACACATGACCTAGCACAGTTCGATAGTAGCAACTGGTCGCGTGCTCCCCGCATCAAGGGGCAGGTCTATGGTTAGCAACAGCTTTTGATTGGCTTCCTGGTGAGATGCGCCGTCTCCGAGCCAGTGGTTCGGGTGCTGAACAAAGGCCCTCCCCAAGCTTTTGTGAATAAAATCTAGACTCGCCGCCCCCAGTTTGTCATTCAGAGGTGCGGTCGCGGGCTGATAGATAGAACCAACTTTAAACTAGGGACACTCTCACTACGGACGACGGTATACTTACTCCTAACTTTCTCGGGTCTTGGTTTTTGCACGCTCCCCTCTACCGTCATTGTTTCGTTTTGTTCTTTGCACCTGCAGCACCTCATCGTTATTACATTAAATTTGAATCCCCATCGTTGTGAGTCACTCGCTCACCTCATTAGATGAATTATGCCTACCCTCGATATCTTCCGCATCTAATCAATTAGTGGGGACGGCGACTCAGGAGAGTGAATACCGTCGGCAAGTGACAACGATTATACCGCCGGCCAAGACTTTTCGTCGCACAACATGAAATTTGCACAGGAATTCAAGAGGTCTCTCCAGCAAGAGGGTAGGTCGCCTGTCCCCTCTCGGTGACGCCTCCAGCTGCTTACTCTGGACCAGGGTTCCCACAAAAATGGGTCGACTCGGCCATTCCATATGGGCAGCTCAAGAAATGTCTGAAAAAGGTCACCCGCGAATTAGAGGATCTCGGACTGGACAAGGGCACTCTTGCTCAGCTGGCAGCCGACCAGTCTACCTCCACCGGCCACTTCAGTGAACAGCATGGATGGAAATATGATCTGAACGGAGAGCCCAGCAAGAAGTATTTCCGGCCGAGGCTAACCGTCTTTGTCCACCTTCGAAATGGTGTTGCTGTCGATGCGCAACTCTCGCCAGCAACAAGGCAGTTTCTTGGCAAGATCGCCTCCGAAAAGGCTACCAGCACTGTGCCTCCGACAGATACTGTGCTTGAAAATGAGCCGACAGCCTGCCAAGACGCTGTCAGTCCCGACGAAGGTTCAGATTCCGACGAAGGCCACACGCCAAACCGGTCAGAAAATACGAAAGCAGCCCTGATGGTACAGAAGGTCGAGGTGCCTCTTGTATTCGATGCAGAGTTCTTTGACATCTTGCAGACCGACGTGTCGGTCCTCGATGCCCTGCAAGGCGAGGAGCAGCAGAAGATGAAAGGCGAGATCGTTGCGCTCGGACAGGAGATAACCAAGGTCTCGAGGCCCTCCAACGGCAAGAACGCCAAGGACGATCTGGCAAAATGGCGCGACATCTTCGAGCTCTACCTGGATGCCCGCATTTTCTTCTCCAATCGCGAGAGTGATCACGGTGCAAGGACGAGCGCTCAGGCAGTCGAGCAATTGCAATGGTTTCAGGACCAGGTCGTGAAGCGGAAGTTGGTGCAAAAGCTCAAGCTTCAGCCGAGCAGGGAGGCTTTCACCAAGTTCCTCAATGTGAATGCCATGTTACTTCAAAATCTGAAGTTTCAGGAAATCAACCAGCTTGCTATAAAGAAAATCTTGAAGAGTATGCCCTTCGCTTGATGGCCCAGCCAGAAATTTCGTTGCTGACAAGGACAGAATTTGACAAGAGGACCTCGCTAGGGGTGGCCCAGACCTTCTCAGTAGCAGTGCACTCGGAGAGACTCCTGGCAGGCAGTGTGGCCAAGGATCTATGCGCTCAGGTGTCCAGCGAGATCATATCGGCGGTGCCCCAGCTCGACGACTATCTCTGCCCGATATGCTTCGCCATCGCGTACTGGCCCATCCGACTAGAGTGCGACCACGTTTTCTGCAGTCGCTGTTTGGTCAAGATGCAGAGGAAGGGCGAGAGGTTCTGTCCGCTATGTCGCGGGGACGTCATCATGAAGGCGGGCATGAACAATTTCGACCACACTCATGCCAACTTCCTCAAGGAGTACTTCCCCAAGGAGGTGAAGGAGAAGATTAAGGCCAACGAGCTCGAACGCGGCAAAGAGATATTTGGACCGGACTACAGCGATAGGCCATGCTCTGTCATGTAGTCTCGTCAGGAGCCTACTGGTTATATACCACGAGTGCCTGGATAAGGCGTGGTCGAGGAACCGACGCGAGATACTTAGATGATACCCCAATGATGATAAATGGATAAATTTTATGCTGTTGAATGCATTATGCAAAGAAGTAGTGGTGTCGGTACAGTTGGATGCACCAGTATAACGTTATAAATATCTACCAAGATCGCTCGCGGCACGAAGCGCCGTGCGCTACGTCGATTCGTTGGGCACTGATTCCGTTGCCGCCAGTGCCTTGCTAAAAATCGACTTGAGCTCCTCCGGCTCCTCTAACCCAACACTGAAGCGCAACAAGTTTGGATCAACGCCGTAGCTCTCGGCCCAGTCCAGCTCTGTGTAATGGGCCAGGATGACATACGGCGACGTCAGGGTGAAGTTCGTCCCGAGACTCGGCCCCTTTGCGGTATGGAGGGCATCGAAACAAGCCACGGCCTGCGCTTTGTCCCGGAAAGAGCACGACAAAAGACCACCATATCCACCGCCAGGAGTCTTCACTGTTTCGAAGTGCGGTTTGCTATCGTTATGCTTGGGGTAGTATACCTTGGTCACACTGGGGTGCGAGAGGAGGACGTCGCAAATAGTCTCAGCATTCGCATTCACCCGGTCGATTCTAGAGATGAAGTCACGGCTGTTTCTCTCTAGGAAAATTACGTCCTCGGCCCAGTATGTATCTTCGAAGGTTTCGCGGTTCAGCGTCTCCTTGAGTGTTTTGTAGCAGCGGCCGTTAGGGTTCAGCACCAGGCTGCCACCCATGACGTTGCTGTCCCCAGAAAAGATCTTGGTGAGACTGCTGACCACCATGTCGGCAAACGGCAACACATTCACGTTGTGGAAAGTACCGATAGTATCATCGACAACCACGGCAAAATCATAGGTTTTCGCCAGTTGGTGGATGCGGGTCAAGTCTGGACAAGTCAACAAGGGATTGCCGGGAAACTCGCAAAAGAGGCCAAGGAACCTTTCGCCATTCTTCAGGCGGACCTCTAAATCATCCAAGTCGGCGGACGATGCATGGCCATAGAATACACATCCAGGCCCAAACTTCTCTAAGATCTTGAGCGTGTCAACGTACGGGAAGCCGAAGTTGACGCTCTTCCGGGGCTCACGCCCCTTGAGAAGGGTCTGATGTGCCGTGAAAATGGCGTTCATGCCACAAGGGAAGAGATAGATGTCATCCTCTTTGAAGTTAGTGACGCCACGAGCATCTGATTGCATGGACGGAAACGAAGTGGTCAGGTCGTGGTCATCGGTCAGCGTGCCAGCGATACGTCGCCGGATAGCTGACTTGGCATTGTCGACAAGAGACACGTCAAGGTTTCTCCCGAATCGCTGCTCGAGGAACCTTGACATCTCCAATGTTTCGGTTGCCTCGTCTCTGGATTCATTCTGGGCATGGTTTGTGCCACTCAAAGTAGTGTTGCCATTTGTGACATCAACAGACGAGGGGCGCTGCTGGTATCGACGAGGACCGCGGCATTTTGAGTACGCCTGCGGCGGGGACTTGGGCGTTTCTTGAACGAGCAAGTCATCCTTGAACAGGCCATGACAGAATTCAGCACGTCGACTGGAGACACCATCGCCGGAATGCTGCCAATACTGCTTCGCCACCGGAAACGCTTCCTTTTTGAACAGAACTGCCGAAATTGCAGGACGAACGGTCACGAGTGCATCAGAATTCTTCTTCGCAGAGTCCAGTACCAGATCTACTACCTCGAGGCGGTCATGCAGATCTGCTGAGGCCTTTTCTTGAATGAATTGCAAACACCTTTGCGCTGTTTTCTTGGTGGGAAACAACATAGCGCTCTGGTTGGGCTGTCCAAATTTGGCCACAATATCACTGGCAAAAGCCTGTATGGCCTTATGGATGAAGAACCTAGGTTACTCGTCAGCGAAGCACCACCGACGTAGGTGCGTAGTATGATGTTCTGGTACCTCGGGTAGCCCGTGGTCATCTTGTCGACGACCCATGCCTCGCCCTCCTCGTAGCCAACGTTTGCCCTCCACGTTGGTAGAGAGACACTCACAGCCTAGCAGGGGATTAGAATCAGGTTGATGCTGCCGCAGACAAGAATGGCATGACTCACGTGAGCAGTGTCAGGAGGAATAGACTCTCCAAGGTCGAACATGTTGACTGATTTGAAAGAGAATAGACGGAATAGTAACTTGTTAAGAGTGGGGATATACCAAACGTGTGCGCGTGTCTGGCGATGCTTAGTTGGTGTTTTAATAAAAAGCCGCGACCAAAACCACGCGCGGAAGGCTATCTGACTCCTCTTTATTGGTCAGATATGACTGTTGGGTTTCCGGGCAAATTCGAGCAAACACTAGCATCACAGCTGCCGTGATCGGACCAGGAATTTTTAGATTGGCGGTGCCATCCGAAATCTGGGGGTACGGCGCCACCGCAATGATGTCAACGGCAGATGGAGAACGCAAGCGTCAAACAAATCAGTCAGCAATTGCAACGAGGAGCGAAGTCTGTAACTAATGCACAATTGCTAAGTGGTTAAGCAACCGCCAAGCAGTCCATTGCGAATGCTACAGGCTCTGCCCTGGCAACCTGGCTGCTATTCAGCGGCGCCTATGTAAAAGACTATTCCACAACTCCCAAGTCTGACCCCGCCGACCGCATTCATTTAGAGTGGGTCTGAACTGCATACTCGATAGTAATGAAGCTCGACCAGGTTGACTTGTGTTTGCACATGATCGATCGCAAGACCTTTTCAGTCGGCCTCAGACATTACAAGTAATCACCAAGCCCAAACTGATACTTTACAGTCATGGGTGATCTGACCATCGAGCGCATTATTCTGCCAACGCGAGGCAATAAGACCAAGTGGGACATTGATGTTAAAGAGGGCGTGATTGAGAGTATACTCCCGTCACAAGACCAACACGCCAATTCTCATAGTAGCGGTGGTTTGTTACTGCCACCTTTATGCCACCCTCACATACACCTCGACAAATCTTGCATCCTCACTTGCCATCATGGCCCATCGAGGCATCTCCCTGACTACAGTGACCTGGCGCCGATATCCGGTTCTTTCGCCGAGGCCCTTGGCAATACTTCTGAGGCTAAAAAGCGTTACACAGAAGGTGATCTCTATACTCGCGGCGCACAGCTGCTTGCCACAAGCTACAAGCAGGGTGTAACTTCACTCCGGGCTTTCGTGGAGATCGACCATGTTACAGGCACTCTAGCTCTAGAAACGGCGATCAATCTGAAGGAGGAATTCTCGCATTTGATAGAGATGCAAATTTGCGCGTTTGCACAAGACCCAATCTTCTCCGGCAACTTTGGAGATGCGAATAGGGAAGCCATTCAATCAGCACTTTCGAGGTTCGCCGGCGCCATCGACGTCTTGGGATCGACACCATACGTAGAAAAGTCCCGCGAGGCGGCCACGGAGAACATTGAATGGGCAGTCACCACGGCGCTTGACAACCACCTGCACCTCGACTTCCACTTGGACTACAATCTTGACGACTTCAAAACGTCGCGGCCTCTTACCTACACCGTATTAGATATGCTCGAAATACATCAATGGACTGAGAAAGCCGAAGAGTCAAAGACAATTGCATTGGGTCATTGCACTCAGTTGAGTACGCTCCCTGACGTGATGCTCAAGGACCTTGGCCACAAGATCAAAGCTAGTGGACTGCCGATACATTTCGTCGGTTTGCCGACGAGCGATCTGTATATGATGGGCCGCCCGGGCTCGGAGGATGCATCAAATAAGCCGCATACTCGGCCTCGGGGAACTCTGCAGGTGCCCTCGCTCATCAAGGATTACGGACTCTCTGCCTGCCTGAGCGTAAATAATGTTGGCAATGCTTTCACGCCGTTTGGCACGGGCGACCCATTGCAGCTGGCGTCATGGGGTGTTGGTATCTACCAGGCTGGGACGTTGGAAGATGCAGAGACCTTGTATTCCTGTGTCAGTTGGGCGGCTAGGAAAGCCATTGGCTTGAGTGCCAACCACGACGGCAAGGATATTACTGAAGGTGATAAATGGCAACCGATGCTCTTGGTTAAAAACGAGCAAGAATTAAAACTTCCTGCTAAACTGGGCGGCCGGGAAATGACAGTAACAGCGAGACAGCGAGTTGACCTCAAGGATGTTGTCTGGGATCCCCCAGAAACCCGATTGAGATGTATCGTTTAGACACCAATAGATATTACTAGAATAGAACGGTCTTGCCCTGATTCATGATACAACGACTGCATCCGTAGCGGCAAATAATTTTTTTTAATAAATTTTACTACTGTTCGTTGTTGGAAGATCAAGCTCTTGTGCTGCGCTTCTGACAACAATTGCGAACCTACCAATGGCCGTGGCGGCGGCAGTGGTTGTTATATGCAAGTCCGTTGCTGCGCCTGTTGTTGGTTGTTGAGATGTCCTCACAGCGTCAAATCCCCGGTTAGTTATAGTCTGTACAGCGGTGAAAAGTATCATGGCATGTTGGGATACTCATGAACATTGTCTCTTGTTGGTCTATCTTATCTGAGCAGAAAGTGGGGTTTGCAACATTTGTTTTGAGTCTGCAGGGGCAGGGTTGTAGACAATGCTAACCTTAGTCTAACTGTGAATTGTACAAGCAGTGTGACGTGTAATCTCAAAAGAGACAGCTGACACACAGGGAGTCAATGGCCGCCAATCGGGGATTTGGCAAGCGGGCTGCAGAGACATCTCCGGCCATTCTGCATATAGCGGCCAAATGGCCAAGTGTGTTGGACTTGCCTGCCAGCCTGCTATGTACTCGCATGCGTGCGAGTGAGGCGGCGTAACTAACAACCTCGGAGATGCAGCAGGCGGGCCCGATGGGATAATCCGGAAGACCGATGAACCAGGACCGGACGTAAGAGATGGGGGTTTTATTGCAGTGCTGGGATTTCCAGATTGAGTGAAGGAAAAGCGGACCAAGACGATGGCATGGGTCGCAGAGCAGACAAGTGCGCTGTCACGGTGCTACTATGTATGTATGTATGCATGTAAATTCGTACCCTTGGATGAGGAATCAAATGCGGACCTAGTGCGGATCAGATTACGAGTGGATTTCGCTTATGCTTTACGGGAGGAGGAAAGCAGCCAAAGAGAAGGCTTCCGAGGATCTGATAAAACGCTGAAGTGGGTAACAAATCAGGACTAGAAAGATTTCAGAACAATAACAGCCAAGGCAGCCTCTGCATCCATGGGAAACGGCCAATGTGCACAAGGATCAGGCTGCCGCGTGGTGTGTAGGGTACATTATGTAGTAACCTGGGTTTGTTGCTTGCGTTGAGGCGTCAAAGAGATAAAGGCGCCAACATGATTGCGGAAGATAACAACATTATGTAGTTCCCAAGCGAACTCGGAAACCTGGGCTGCCAACCTGATGGGGAGAGTGACGTGCGGTAGTACCTGAGGAAAGGAAAGGAAAGGAAAGGATTGCGGCATTCCCGGAGAGACTACATGTTTTGCACAGAACAAAAACGCATTCCATTTTTGCTTTGATTCTTTAATCAAAAGGCCAGACGGTGTTCTCCTCAATGCCTTGGCTACCGTACCTCTGCACTGTAAATGCAAAGTAAGTGGCCTTTGTTTGTTTCTCCCCACAGGCACAGGCACAGGCAGGTACCTAAGCTTAGAGTGGGCGGCATTTAATAGAGCTAGCTTTGGCCAGGTAGAGTAGCGTTCTGACCCCTGCGATCCGACCTCCGAATTGCGCTGAGTGGAAAAAGTTATCGACGTGCTCGACTCTCCAAAGATTTTCCCCGGGCCAGTTTTTTGCCGCGAGACCGCGGCCATACTCAGACGACTCCCGACTGCACGACCTGACAGCAGTACAATTAGATCGCAAGACGCAGGTCTCACGAGCTACAGACGAATTCGACTGGACTACGTATATGTACTTTCCGAGTAATCACGCTGGGCCCGAGCTTCCGTCGTCACCGACCAGTCAAATATCAGCAGCAGTAGCAGCAGCAGCAGCAGCAGCAGCAGTAGCAAGTGGCAGTGGCAGTAGCAAATAGCAGTACGGTATCAATATTTAATATCAATATCGATTTTGGTCTCGACTTTGGTCTCGATCTCGATCTCGATATCGCCGTCAGCTCTAACGGCAATACAACTTCACTTCACTTCCCACCTGTGCGGAACATCCGTACGGAGCACGCCAAACACCCACGACAAACCCAGGTCCGCCTCGGGTCAAACCTCAAAAGAGCCCCAGAGCTCCATCTCGGTCACTGATAGCCTCTGCCAAAGCCAAGCTCGCGACAACCGCCCCAGACGAGAACGACACAGTCGACAACCTGGCGCTGTCTCAATCTTTCGGCGAGGCCACCACAGCTGTGGCCAACATGGCCCAGCCAACTGCCGAGCCGGTCGAGGACTACGAGTATGTTATGTCGTGTCGTGTCGTCTAGTCCATGCTCCCAGAGCGAGAGGGCATCCAAGGGAAAATAAATAAATAGAAACTGACCACTCGCACATCTATAGCTATGAAGCACTACCTCCCAACTTCTCCTTGGCGCAAAACATGGCCGCAGGTGCCTTTGCCGGTATTGCAGTGAGTTTACTCCCTCGCCCGACTGAAGATGACAATAACAAACGGCCCCGGCACTGACAAACTTATCAGGAACACACCGTCATGTACCCAATCGACGCGATCAAGGTGCGCATCTCCAAACCCCCGACACTCATGGCATGGCAAAACCCGCAAGCCTGGCTGACTGACCACAACAGACGCGCATGCAAATTATCAACTCGAGTACTGCATATAAGGGTATGATTGAGGGCACCATGAAAATCGCGTCGGGAGAGGGCTTTCTGAAGCTCTGGAGAGGCATGTCCAGCGTGGTTGTAGGAGCAGGTACGTTTCGTTTCCTCGCCTTTCCTCTCCCTTCCCTTCCCTCCCTATTCTTTGACTTTATATAAACAAACAAAAAACCCATGCCTTATCTATCCCCCCTCCTGCCGCGATTCATCCACGCTGACTTGCTGTTCTCAGGGCCTGCACATGCTGTATACTTCGCAACCTACGAAGCCGTCAAGCATGCTATGGGAGGCAACCAGATCGGGGAGCACCACCCTCTTGCTGCTGGTATGTTTATACCCTTTGTTGCGTACCACGAGAGCATGATTTGACTGACCTGTGACCAGCAACGAGTGGAGCTGCGGCAACAATTGCCAGCGACGCCTTCATGAACCCCTTCGATGGTAGGCTCTTCTAACCCCCTCTCAGCTCGGCCCCGTCGGCTGCAACTTTCTTTGTGGAAGGGGGACTCACATGTTACTTCATAGTCATAAAGCAGCGCATGCAGATCCAAAACTCGAGCAAGATGTACAAGTCCATGTTCGACTGCGCACGATATGTCTACCGAAACGAGGGCTTGTCCGCCTTCTACGTCTCCTACCCAACCACTCTGTCCATGACAGTGCCTTTCACAGCATTGCAATTCCTCGCATACGAGTCGATATCAACAAGCATGAACCCCGAAAAGAAGTACGACCCCATGACCCATTGCACGGCTGGTGCTGTCGCTGGTGGCTTCGCTGCCGCCCTCACCACGCCAATGGATGTCATCAAGACCATGTTGCAGACAAGAGGAACTGCCACAGACCCAGAACTGCGCAACGTCAACGGTTTCGCCGCAGGGTGCAGGTTATTGTACCAGCGAGAAGGTATGAGAGGCTTCTTCAAGGGTGTCAAGCCTAGGATCGTCACCACCATGCCCAGCACCGCCATCTGCTGGTCAGCCTACGAGTTCTCCAAGTAAGCCCATCCCAATGACCTTTCTTCGCTGTACCTCGGCTGACAGACAAACCTCCAGGGCATACTTCATCAAGCGAAACACGTCGTGATAGATGCTGGAATCGGCAACCTTGCTCTTGCGGCCACGAGCACCATCGCCGATGTCGGGATTTGCTGCATGGCTGCTATTTGCGAATGTTCTTGCATTGCGCCCAAGTCCGTGGCCGGGAGTCGACAAAAGTAAAGTGCTTCCCCCGCCATTTATTGCAACAATGTTGCTCAGGTCTTCTGTCGGTTCGGCAAGTCCCTGAGCTTCGGGTGATGTAGTTGGGAGGTTGGATATAACCTGTGGAAGGCTAGACCCACGTCGAATTTGATGAAGATCTTTTTTGGAGCAATCAATGCATCCAACGCGGTGCAGGGGAATGAACCATTCACGACAAAAACAATTGTACATAAGTCCTTTTTGGTAGGGAGACTCGCAAGTCAGGGTGTCACGTGGGATGCTCAACTGGACCTTGCCGTTAGACGGCGTTTTGCTTTTGGTTTTTTTTTCCTCCCCCCCTGACTGAATGGATGATACCGTGGACCTTGGAGGGTGCGACGGCGTAGTGGTACTTGATTGGACCATTCAACACCAAACTGTACACTATTGCATACTGGGCGAAAACAAAAAACTACATACTCATCGAACATTTCGAACGAGCTAGAATCATTTGTGTTGACTTTCTCTCGAAAGTGACGTACCTACTTCCAATCATCGTTGTAACCACCCGCTACCATGAAACTTGAAGCAACAGAGCTTACATTGCTATCGCCGTCGATGCCCTCCCTCCTATCTACAAGGTAGGGTCTAGAACAGTCAGCTGCACGCCCAGTCCTCCCAGTCCCGTCGTTGTAGCTAGAGACTGCTGCCGCACGCCGCCCTGCTTCCACTTGACGATGTACGTCCCCTCGACCTCGGTCTCGCCGAGGTAGAAGTACGACTGGATGCTGCCGTCGTCGAGGATGGGGAACAACAGGTTCGCGTACCGGGCCCAGAGGGAGAGGCCACCCTCCGGCAGACCGGCAGCGCTGCTTGAGAAGAACAGGGGATCCGAAGCCCCCGGGGCGTTGTTGACGGCCAGGAAGGTCTGGTCCGGCACCTTTGCCCCCGGAGTGGCAGGCTCGATGTACAGGGGGCTCCTGCTGGGGCTGGAGACTGAATGCGTGTGTTAGTCGTATGCGTGTGTACCAATAGCACGTGATGCCGAACAAATTCTGTTGTTGTTGGGAAGAGGGGGGGGGGGGGCAATACTTGTGAAGTTGAAGGCCGTGTGTATGCTGGCTGGGACGGTTGGGCCGACATAGAGGTGTGCGTCACCATACCAGGCACGAGCAAGGAAGTCCACGTTGTTGATCTTGTAGTTTACTGTGAAGTTGAATGGAGCAGCAGCCGCGGCGGTCGCGCTCACCACAACGCAAGCAATAGCCAGACGCATGGTGATGTGGTGCATCTTGATCACTAGATCTTGGAGTATGTTTTGAGGATATCCGAATGTGTCAAATACAGTTTACAATAACCGAAGACGTTGCGCTGGGTAAGGGGAGATGTACGCCGAACTACTCCGGGAAACGTGATCGTTGTGACAGTGAGTTATATACATCCCTTACTGCTCTACCCCGGACTATTTGTTTTGCTGGTCTTGTCCACCTGCGGAGTTTAACGCCATCACTCATTTGGAAACATGATTAAGTTTTGGACAAAAACATGCCATGTGACTGTCCCGGAAACTGATCTCCATGGGTACTGGGATATGGCAAGGAGGGAGGTTGCATTTGTCAACTTTAGTCAGGGTTGCCTCGAAAGTCATAAGGACAAGGTTTTAATATAAACGCCATACTAAACGGCGGTCGTTATCATAGCAGGAGTTGGAGAAATGCAAGGCTTGATGAGATTTTGGCGGGGTCCAGCAAATCAAACCAGGCAAGCAGCTGACGAGAAACGCAAACTGAAGGTAGATATTAAATCACGTCACATGATGTATGGAGTATGATGTGACATTCTGTTGATAGACGACCGCAAGGGTTACTGTAGGACTTTGGTGGCGTCCAACAGCCAATCATGGGGGAAGAGGTCATTGCCTGAATGGGATAAAGAGAGCGTGCTCCGCAAAGCAAACAGGGCTAGAATGCTGGCGTTGGTTGACTGCAGTTTCGGTCAGGTTGTCAACAAGCCAGAGCCAGTCGCGAATGTTATTCTCGTTCCAAGGTTTAAAAAGCAAATATGGATGCTGCCGTTTATGTGGAGTGCTTGGATTAGATGAAGATAAACGACCAAGTCTTGTCCCGTCTGACAGTGGCTGCGGATTCGAAACGCAGCTGGTGCTTTTTTGGCCGACCAAGACAATCTCATCAATTACCCGCCAATCTGAAAGAAGTGCGACACAAGGTGAATGATTTGATTAGTGCACGTATTTCATCCAGCATGGCCCGATTGGTGTAGAACGTGGTACACCAGGAAGAGGCTGTCGACCTCTGAGGAGTGTGCTACAGTAGACTTGTCGATGTTTTGTTTTCCTTATTGGAATTCCACTGACTAGAAGGTTCGAAGCCCATTGGGCCCCGGCGTTGAGTCTAGGCATATACCAAGAGCAACTATGCACTCTTGTGTGGCATATGCAGTACCATTACGGCATCTGCCACATACGAAAAAGGGGCGAATGTCAGACAAACACCCACGAGCTTTTTGACAGGTAACGATAGTGATGGATGCTACCCAGCCATATCTCCTCGTCGTCGGGATCAAGGCCGTCTGCTGCGAGGTTTGAAAGGACTTTCACGTTCTACCAACCCCTCCCATCCTGCATCCCTTCTGTGCGTGGCAGTCCTGAGCTCGGTGCGAAGATGCTCTAATTCTTGCCGCGCTGCTTCAATGTCGGGAGGCAGACCTGCGAACGCCTGGAGCTGTGCGTCGAGATCTTTCTTCTTGGCCAGTAGTTCCAGGTAGCCTTCCTCGTCCTGCCTTACATCCTCCACAGTTGTCTTTGGTAGGCTGACAGATGTCTCCAGAGAAAGAACCTGCTTCCGGAGCTCAGGGAGCTGGAGGGACATGGTCTGGACGAGACGTTGGAGCTCAAGATTCCGCTTATCAAGGTCGATAGGGAGTTGGTGTTCTTCACCTTGTATCTCTCGGAGAAAGGTCTCCGCGGCTGCTGATTCGCGGTCAAGATACTTTTGAAGCAAGGCGACTCGTCCAGTCATCTGTTCCAGCTCGAAGCTCCTGGCTTGCAGCTCGACAAAATTGCAGGCCAGCTCTTCGGGGGTGGGATAAGCGACGCCAAGCTCAATCGCCATGTCGGCCATGGCGTCCAGCGCTGCGCTGCCGTCTTTGGGCAGACGGCTCTCGACTGCCTGTAAGACATCATCTGCGACGGATTCGGCGCTGAGATTGGCCTCCCCACCGGAGGATTGGTATGCCTGTCGGCGTTTGACCGCCTCGGCCTCGGCAGCTTTGACTTCCTGTAGAGCAGAGGCTTCGATGCGAGCGAGCTGGTGGCGTTCCTCGTCAGCAGACTCGTTGTGAGCTGCCAGTGTGAGGAGAGCCTTCAAAGTGTCTACATTCCGTTCAAAGGGAGGGACTTTCTGGCCGGGGAACTTTGTTTTTAACCATGCGTCAACGTAGGCCCAGTCCTTGGCGGTAGAAGCGGCAGCACGTGCAATTGATGGTGAGAAAATGGCCGGTTGTTGTTTTAGATGCTGTGCTCGATGTGCCATGGTTGCGTGCGTTCACGTGGGGGACAAACTGGTGTGAGTATGACCCCTGATCTTGAGGTCTCCCGGGGGTGGGGGCAGTATCTGCATCCGAATGATGAATGAACGATACTACCGAATGAATGATAGTTACTGCCGGTAATAGGTGAGTTCACAATCGTCAACCGTCGCCGTCCAAGCTCGCTCTTGCTCTGTACTGTAGGTATGGTCGGGGGGAGTCTTGCGGACAAGGTACAGACAGTACATACTGTAGGTACCGTGGTACCGTACTTGGGTGCATACTGTACGCACTGTGCATGGACTTGGGCACACACCAACCTGTTACAGGTTAAGTTAACTGCCATACTAATAGTAAAGTTAGTGTGATGGTGGGGACATGTTATGGTGGGGACATGTTGAAGTCGGGACAATTTCTTGGAGAACCCCCGGGGCTGGGCTGAGTCGCGAAGTGGCCAGCTTTCACCGCAGGAGACGCGACTGTTAGTGAGGTACGGAGGCGGGCGGGTCGGCTGTCGTGTAGCGCTGCTGTAAAACTGTGGCTGCAGCAAAGTATCTCTTAACAGCAGTGGTCGAGATACTAAAGTCACCACGGCGCATTATCCTCCAGGCCACTTGTTAATTGAGTCGACATGCCCAGAAGTGCTTGATTGTCTTCGCCAATCTGGCCTCGATCATTTCCAACTTCGTTTCCCTGCCTTTCACCTCTGCCCCCCTTCTGCTCATACTCCAGCAGACACATGTATATCACCTCGTAGCCTGCCCTCCGCAGTTTCAAGTGGTTCATCCCATTTGCTTATTCCCCGCCGACATGCTGGTGCCGCTGCCGACCCTGGCCGTAGTGGCAGCCGGCCTGCTGCTGGTCCACGGCCTCGATATACCCTCCGACACGCCCATCTCCGCCCTCCTGTCATCTGCCCAAGCACATCTTGCCAAGGGCGAGACCAGCAGTGCCCTCGAGTACTACGATGCCGCCATTGCACGAGACCCCAACGACTACCTGACCTATTTCAGGCGCGCCACGACCTTCCTCTCCCTCGGTCGCACGTCCCAGGCCTCCCACGACTTCAACAAGGTCCTGTCCCTCAAGCCAGGCTTCGAAGGCGCGCATCTGCAGCTAGCCAAGCTCAAGGCAAAGAGCGCAGACTGGGAGGGCGCAAAGGAGCAATACACACTGGCCAACAAGTCCAGGGGCTCGGCAGAGTTCGACAGCCTCGTCGAGGCCGAAGGCGCCGCCGCCCTCGCAGCCGCCGCCGCCACAGCGGGCAACTGGGACGAGTGTATTAGCCAGGCCGGAGAGGCCATCTTCACCGCCAACCGCGCGCCGGCCCTCCGCGAGCTGCGCGCGACGTGTCGGTTCGCAAAGGGCGAGGTGGAAGAGGGCATGGGCGACCTGCAGCACGTCCTGAGCATGAAGCCGGGCGACACCACCCCTCACGTCACCATATCCGCAACCACCTTCTACGCGCTCGGCGACACAACGCAGGGTCTTGCGCAGATACGCAAGTGCCTCCACTCCGATCCCGACTCGAAGGTCTGCAAGAAGCTGCTGAAGCAGGAGAAGAGTGTGGAAAAGACCATGGCCAGGGTCAACAAGGCCATGGAGAAGAGCCAGTTCATGACCGGCGCCAAGCTGCTCGTCAACTCGGGAGACGACAAGGGCCTGATCGACGAGGTCAAGGAACAGGTTGCCGAGCTGAAGAAGGACGGCTTCATCGCGGAGAAGGCACCCGCCACCCTGCTCAGCCAGATCGTCGAGCTGGCCTGCCAAGCCTACTACGAGTCCAACGGCAAGAAGGCAAGCATCTACTGCGCCGACTCGCTCGAGCTGGACGGCAACGCCTTCTACGCTCTACTATACAAGGCCAAGACCCAACTCGAAGCAGAGGACTTCGAGCCCAGCATAAACACCCTCAACCAGGCCGCCGAAGCAAGACCCGACAAGAAGAACGTCGTCAACCCCTTGCTGCAGAAGGCCCAGGTTGCCCTCAAGCGAAGCAAGACCAAGGACTACTACAAGGTCCTCGGCGTCTCCACCGACGCGGACGCGAAGCAGATCAAGTCGGCCTACCGCAAACTATCGAAACAGTTCCACCCCGACAAGGCCGTCAAACAGGGCATCACGAAGGAGGAGGCCGAGAAGAAGATGGGAAACATCAACGAGGCGTACGAGGTATTGAGCGACCCCGAACTGAGGGCCAGATTCGACAGGGGAGATGACCCAAATTCGCACGAGCAACAAGGAGGCAATCCCTTCCACGGCAGTCACTTTGGCGGCCAGCCGTTCATGTTCCAGCAGGGCGGCGGCGGCGGCGGCGGCCAGCAATTCAATTTCAAGTTTGGCTCTGGAGGCGGCGGCGGCGGCGGCGGTTTCCCTGGTGGCTTTCCCTTTGGTTGAGACATGTGTCGTTATCATCTATAAAGCAGTATGGGCAGGAGTTTGTGGTGTTTGGTGTCAGCATCAGCCGTGACAATCTTAATAAAACGAACTCAATATCACTTAAAGACTTTTGGCATATGTGAAGCTGGCCAGTGGTGGACACAGCTTTCCCGGTTCTCATTGTCACTAGATCACTGTACGTAGTCCGCAAGCGTCGGGAGCAAAGCCGAGCGGCATGATACGGACAAAGGTCAACTTGTTAGAACCCCGCCGGACGGCCCATTCTGCGTCTACGCGACTGAAGGAACCCTTGCGCCTATCACGTGGTTGCCTCCAACGTCTACTTGACATGTACTGTGAGCGCTGTTCAGATTTCCAGTAGGTCTACCCATGCCCGAATAATGTGCGTCGCTGTTAGTTTCAAAAGGAGTAAATCAAGTGCTACTCTCCCAATGCTGTTCACCAGTACTCCAAGAAATGCTGCCTTAACCCCCCACGGAATCAATCAACTCCATCATACTGATCTGCTGGAGGCGCTGAAAGGTCCTATCCCTGCGACCGCTTGCCTCTACCAGCGACCGCACCGCCAAGACGTCCAAACTGCCTGCCAATCCCCGAGCTTTTCTTAACTGGGGGTGGTGCCTGAGATGGCGCATCCTTTTGAGGCACGGGAGGCCCTGCGGTAGCCCGAGGTGGTTCTTTCATTCCTGGTGTGCTATCTCCAAAGCGCAAGTCCCCAAAGTCCGGTCCATCATCCAAACCTCCGCCCAGACGTTGGGCTCGTCTCGCTTTTTCCTGGACGCTCCTAAACTTTTCCAGGAGCTGATCCCAGCGGATGATGTTCTCCTCGCGACCTGGGCCCTTGAGCCGGTTGGGCCGATCATAATTGGAAGTACTAGGGGTAGTGGTAGAACTAGGAAGTAAAGCATAAGTGTCATGGCCGCTTTTGGAACGAGTGTGACTCTGAAGGTGGGATGTGACGGCCTCGACGACAGAACCTTGTCGTGAGTGAGACCCTGGTGTGCTGGAGGAAGGTACATACGGTCTGGGCGCGATGTGCAAATAGCCAATCGAGCTCACGCTATTCAGCCGGTTCTTCAGAGCAGCAAAAGCTGATGACTGGGGTAAAAGCATTAACAGTCCATACAGGCACTTGTACAAGTATGGATACTTCTCGGGCTCCAGAAGTTGGAGCCGAAGATCTGTTCTCACGTGTCAGCTCATCTCGCCGTTGCGTAGGCATTGCACCTTTGACTGACATGTGAAGACTGGAGATTCAATCAGTTGTACCAACTTATCGATTTGTATCAATATGTTGACCGTCATCTCGAGTTCGGCACTGTGACAGGTTAGCCTAGCATTGGGACAATGGGATGTCTGCCTACAAGATCTGCAGCAGATTATATGCCGCCTCATATGCTTGGGCTAGCAAGCAAAGTGAAAAGGTCGCGACGGCGTTGTAACACCAGGAGCGAAACAGCGCAACGAAGAAGGTCTGGCCGTCCTGTCGAACATGTCAACACCGATCACACAAGAAAACATCATTCTCAATACCTTTGACTCCAAGTTTCGTAGGCGTTTCCTCAGGTCTGCGAGCTCAGGGGCAGTGATGAGGTTGTTGTTGAGGTTTTGCACCATAATGCTCGCAAATTCAAGGTCCTCCTCTTTTTCGATACATTCGGCCAGGGTGCGATATATGCGCTCGGCGCTCAGCGACATGCACAATTGTCGAATAATCAAGTTGCCCCTGGTTTCCAGAAGTTTTCTATCAGTCGAAAATAGTTGTAGAAGGCTGACCATGAAGTTGGAGAAGTAGTCGTCCTCGCTATTTCGGGAAATCTGTGACAATAATTGCAGGTCCTTGGTCACCACGGCCTCAGCAGGGTCCGACAATGTCTTTAACAAAGCCGGAAAGGTGCCATCGTTGAAAGCAACAATCTTCCGCGGTGCTTTGCGATGTAACATGATGAGCCAGGTGAGTGCAGCGACACGTGTAGCTTCATGGTCATTAAGAAAAAGTAACGTCAGCGAGTTCACAGCCGCAGCGTAATCCAGGTCGGCCTGTGGACTAGCTGTAGGCGCCGGTGTAGGTGTCCGCCTGTTTTGTGCAGGTGTAGGGCTTCGCATGTCCAGTTCTCTCGAACTCGAGAGGGAGGCACGGGTACTGGACGGGCCATCTGGACGCTCGACGCCAAAAGAGGGGGGAATGCGCGTGGACGGCTGGTTCGGGTTGACACCAGGCTCGTCGGACAATGATACGACATATTCCATCAGCGACGAGTTGACTCTGGCAGCTGCCTGGCGAATGGGCTCAACACCGCTTGCCATGGCCGGAAGCAGGTGCGCCAGAATTTTCGGGGTGAACGGCAGGACCTCTTCTGGGCAAATGTCCAGGAACGCAATGATCCAGCGGAGAGATTCCTGAAGGCTATCCTCTTCTACTGTGGGTCAGCATGGGGAAATCCCCTATGGGGTAGCAGCAGACTTACCCAGCGGGGAATCAAGCGTTGCCGTCAGGATTTCGAGTATAGCCTTGTAGTTGATCTGTACGTCCTGGCCAGGTACCCAATCATCTTCACTACTGACTTCGCCATCATCATCGTCATCATCAGCGGCTGTCATGGACCCGGCATCGTCCTCGTCATCGCCACCCATTTGTACGCTACCACTGTCCACAGACTCCTCCCGCTTGCGTTTACCATCTGCCCGCGACTTTTTGCTGTCGGCAATACCCTTCTTGACTCTAGCAATGCGCTTGATCTCGTCCAGGAACTTGTTCAAACATGACTGCGTAGCTGCGTGAACGTCCGGGTTATGGCCTCCGAGGAACTTGAGCAAGCCTCCAAGGAACTCGGGTAGATAGGTGACCAACTCCAAGTCCGGGATGGAGTCAAGCAGAGTGATCCAGCCAACAAGGAAGGTCCGCGTGAATGGGTTGATGACCCAGACACGCTCCTTCAAGAGCGGGATGAACTGTGGGAGAGAGAAGGCGGTCGGAGGATCTGCATGGTCTTCCAGTGCATCTGACTCTTTGTCATTATACTCTAGACTTTCGAGAACTGATACGTAAGTAGCAGCAGACTCGGAAACGATATCTTTGATCAGCCGATCTAGCAGTTCTGCGCCATTCTTCACGGAGAGCTCCGAGTCTGCGCCTAGCTTCAGGGTGAGTCAGACTTGGAAAGAATAGCAATGGTATGTAGTGGGGCGTACCTTGCACAGGGCATCAAAGATGAAATTAAAGTACTTGAGGATCTCTCCCTTCGCAACCTTGGCAATGTTGTACATGGACTCGCACGCGTAATATCGGACCCGCGCATCTTGATCCGTAAAACAAGCTAGTACAGGTGGCACTATTACCTCGAGATATCTGGGCAACTCCTTGAGCGAGCAAACAAGCAGGTGTCAGTCACATGAGCACAAGCAGAGATGGCGGCAGAACGTGGCGAGCATCCGCGAGGAGGAATGGTAATACTCACTGGGCCAAGGGCAATGGCGGCGGCGGCTAAGCCGATAAGACCGCCGTTTCGCGCATGTGGTTGATGGACGGCATAGGCATACTCGTTGCAGAGTTGCTCGAGGATTGCCTGGACACGCTGATAGTCTTTGGCGGCACTGAGCTCACGTATGACTCGTTCCAACCTGAAAGAAATAATCAGTGAGGGGGCTGGAGGCTGGATCCGTCGGAGCAGGGACGTACTCAAGGGCGCCGACCTTTCTTTTATCGTACAGCTTATCGTTCAAGAGGCGTTGGACGTTCTGCTCCATGGCGACTTCCGAAACTCGGGCTGTTGATGACAACCATGCATTGCTGGAAACCGACGCGAGGCAGCAAACTCGAAAAGCTGGGTGACGAAGGAAAGGTTTGAGATTGCAGACTACCAGACGCACTTGACGCAGATTCGCAGGTGTGTGCAGAGTATGCTGCGACGCCCTGGCCCAGGTTAGATACAGTAGCTTGCCGACGAGTTACGGTAACGTGAAGTTCAAGGCTGGTCAGGACTCAAGACTCAAGACGAGGCTGGAGAGCAGGGATTCGTTCGCTTGACAGTCCAGCACGTTAACGTCGCTGGGTTGGGCGCGGGGAGGGAAGGGGGTACGTACACGCGCTATGTTGGCTACGCTACTCGTGTGGCGTCACGCCCAAGACGCCCTCCCTCGTCGTTCCAAAACCCAACCCAACCTTCACTTGCGTTGCTCTAGTCTAACCTTAGTCTAGACTAGACTAGCATGCAAGGTCGACATTTCCACCGCTGTTTACTGTGTAGTTACTTTGGTGGTAAGTTAGGTTCTTGTTTCAGCGGGCTAACCGTTAGTGAGATAGCGCTATGTACGCAGCATCCCACTCGCCCACCTGGGCCGTCGTATCCATTCTCTTGGGTTCAACCATGCTAGCATTCTTGAAGCAAACGTTTCTTCTTGCAAGCTTCATCATCATATATCACTTATATGCCAACCCACCCATACACAGTTGCTTCGTTCTCTACCCGACAAACGTCCATCCGTCACGTCACTGTGACACAGCAGGACCCGCTCAGTTAGTTGGGCTCTTAGATTGAAGCAGAAGCACTCCAGGGCCGCCGCCGCTCATAAGATGTACTCACAAGCCTGCCCTCCCATCTGCTGTACCGCTCAACTCCAACAGCGTCTTGGGCAAGCATAGACACATTCTTCGATTGTTGCAAGACACGCCGGTACCAACGTCCATGTGATTATTCATGGCCTGTGCTTGGCTTGCATTCGAGAGTGCAACAGCCCGTCAGGTGAGCGGAAGTAGTTCTTGGTCGCCCGTTTGTACTCGAGGACATTCTCAATCACAAGACTTGAGTTTGCTGTCTACGACTGCCTGCCTTGGTCTTGAACCGGTGGCAGCAGGGCTTCGTCTCTCAGCCGTCCCCGAATATCTGCCCGTGGCAATCTCTTCCCGCCAGCAGTAGAGATTGCTATACTCATACACATCGACACAGATTGCAAGCATCTCGTGCGGGTTTGCCTATGATTCGGATGTGCTGCAATCTCCCTGGCTTTCAAGACGATGATTGTCCCCATTGTTTGATGCAGTTCATGGGTAATCTAGCATCAGCCGAAATGGCTTGTAGTCGCTCCGAGCCTTGTATCTGGTCTGGCCTCAACGGGCACGACCAGACCCGCCTGACGCTCGCAGTGGAGTCAAATCATTATCATTGTCTGCTATAACGTAGGAGAGGGACCTATACCAGGCGTCGGGGCAGGTTTCCAACAGTTCTTCCTATTTATAATAAAATTCCTTTTTCTTTTTTACTTCCCTGGAATACTGATGAGGTCGACAGCCGCTGCACTATCAGCTACTGATCAGCACCGAGAGACGAATCACACATCTTTCACTCCTGTAAATATTGGGTAAGGACAAGGGTTATCCATGGTCGACTAAGGTTAGTAGGCAACGTTGCCTGCAGCTTGCCAATTGTGGACATTTGCAGCAGCTTTCTTGCCTGCCTCATAATATGCACGTTAAGATTGTTTGCCCGATTCTGCAAATTAGTATGCAACTTGACAAAGATAGAAGGCATGGCCTTTTTCCAGTCGGAAAACTCGGCCAACCCTTGTCGGCACTACCGGGAACTCACCGAAGTCCACCGGATCTCATCTGCAATGTTGCTGTCAAGCATGATATGCATCTCGCAAACAGACACTAGTAGAGTTGGGACCAAACGAGTATGAGGGCTGAAAATAAGCGCACGTTCTTACTGGAGCTTTGGGACACTCAGCCCTTACCTGGCTACCTTTCTTGCTCTCTTGCTCTCCTGCTCTCTTCAGTGTTTCTTTGGAGCCTTATCTGTATTGAGACGGGCCGGCCCTGGTCGCGTTCGATCTGCACCTATCCTTTAAAGATTGTGTTCGTAAATTATGCAGTGAAAAGATGAATACAAATCACTCCTGAAATGAGCACAACCTTGTAACTTCATGACCGTTCCACATGGTCTATGGACCGGTTTGGCATCCTGTTGGCTCATAACAACATTGAGTGTAAGTAGAACCGGGATTAAACACGAAGTCGGTCGGTGTGGTGTTCTGTACAGCCCTTTGCGATTGGTGACAGTTGTGATTCATTTCCACATACCACAATATCTCACTACCGCCTACTAAATATGGATTTGCTTCGAATCAGAGTAATCTTTGGGTAACCAGGGAATATGATATCTGGAGAAAAACCTAATATATTTCTAAAATTATTAAGAGGCTAGTTACGGCACAAATCGCCTTCATCTACTACCATATTCGAGTACTGTCACCTTTTCATGCCTAACGATATGATGCAGTGATTAATGAAATGGTGCGACGACCATATGCATACAGCTTAGCTACAGATACAATGGTAGCAGTAGAAGGTAAAAAATAATAATAATAAAAAGGGGGCCAGTGATGTTCCTTTCGTCATAATGGAACGTTACCAGCCTGCCCGAAGACTTTTAGCAAGTGATGTGATAATGTGAAATGATGGGTTCGGCAGCAATTGTTACTGATTTCAGCACATTGGTGTTAGTACCGAGTAGTTCCGGTGGCTCTTTCCTTTTGCTCCGGCATTGGGAATCGGGGCATGAGGTTAGGGACAAATCCACCCCTAGATATGCAGCTGTGACTGCTTCTGGCCTAGATCTGATGGCGTGGGTGATCTATTGGTAATGTACCCTGGACCGCATCTAGACTAGTATAAGCATGATGATATAGATTCAGACTTTATTAATTGCAGGTTCTTTCTAAACTGGGATTCGCCGATAGGTCGTGCCGAGATCACCCTTGTGATAGTGGCATGCCGTGTTCGTTCCTGGACGTTGTAGCACACTATCCGTTGTTGATCGTCTATAGCACAATGGCTTCTCAACGATAGACGCCGCCATGAGACCCATTTGTTCGCTTTTAGGGGTTGGTCACATCCAGCTCTCCGTCCGAGCACTGCTGCAACAACGCCTAGACGCTCGCAATGCTCCCAAGCGACCTCTGTGGTTGTGCATACTCCACATGTCAATGACCTGGGGTACGAACTATGGCGCGTAGACACAGGTCCTCACAGCACTTGTGTCTTATTTGTGCTTAGACTGGTCACTCTTATCCTTTTTCGAGTTGTCTCTTCTCCAGGACCCACTAGAACCACTCTCCCGCTCCGAATTGTTTCGTGAGGCCATGGCCGCTCGTTTAGCAAACTCATCCTGTTTGGATCAACTCTGTGCTTCATCTGGTTGCCTATGACATGACTTACATTTTGGCCGCGAGCCTTGGCAATTCTAGCAGCTGCTTTGGCATCCATTTTGTCTGGCATGGCATAGACCACTTAATGGTTGTTAGGAATTGGTACGGGCGATCGGTGAATCTGATAATGCAAGTAGTGAATGGGGAAGCTGAGGAGCTGTAAGCTTCTTTTGTAGCCTGTAGTTACCGCTCTAGAGGTATGGTGTCGAACGATTGACTTCACACCAGAATTCTGCTACGATCAAGGCTGTGCCTTTGCGGCATCACCTTCGTCATTCACCGCTGTCAAGCTACCCAGGATGTATCGACGTGATTTAACATAGTCTAATCTTATCTTGACTTGTCACAATATCCCTTACCGAATATTTTCTACGGGATACCATGACTAAGCCTATCCATGCTTGCTCGACGAAAACTCCCTCGCCTAGCATGCAAGGAATTCATCGCGTCCTCAGCAACATGGGTGCAGTTTTCCGGTGTACCCGCTATGCAAGCAAACATATGACGATGACGCGCACCTGCCGAACGCACCCCAGTTCAACAAACCCTTTTCTTTTTCCTAGAAATATAGGCACCCTGGAACAAACAAAGGCCCCCGGAGCACGAAGATTGGGCTTCCTTCATACGGTGACTGCTGTTTCCCTCTGAACACCGACCTTGTGTACCGAATAACGTTGTCGACACAACACAGGACGATACAACCAATGAACCTGTCGGTTTTGCCACCTCCCCCCCCCCTCTCTTATCAAGGGTCAAGTAGGTAAGAATCCTCGACAATCACTAGTCGTTTTCAGGACAGGCCCGTTTAAGTATACGCTTCTTTTGAATCCAAAACATTGCGTTTGATGTGGTGTTTGTACTGATTTGCGTTCAAAGGGCTAGCAGGCACGTGCTGCATGTTGCAACCGAGGAGTCCTCAATGTTGGGCAGTGGCTTCTAAGTTCTGTCGAATCAGAGAGCTAACCGATATCCCAAGTCTAATTGGCTTTTACAACGTCCAAGATCAACAGTGCCAATATGAAAAGCGCTCATTGCTGAAGAGACACCAAGGAAAATGTGCAAAGACACACAGCTACATCTCGACCACGAGTCTAGTGGAGTCATACGTAGCCGAAAGGAGATTCTAGCCTGGATCACAAGTATTTCTCTGAGTCTTGAAAACCTGGGTAAAATGATAAAAACCTGCTGGAAAATGGTGTGTTGGCTTTTAACACATTTTGCGGCTGTCGGGGTTTGAACTGGAGGTATATGATCAGAACCCGAAGCCCTGTTTTGTATCTTGTCTCTGACATAATACATAGGTGGCTGATGAAGAAGAATATCTATTCGTGATTTTAGTGGAACTAGCTCGTTATGCATACCTGTTGTAACGAAACCCCTGTGCACGCAAGCAGTCAAGCCATCGCAAGATTACCCAAAATAGGCTCAAGCTAGGCATATGCCGGGGTCAGCGGCCCGGTCAACCCCAGCAATCATGTTGCGAGGTTATGCACCATGGTAGCTCAATATGTGCTGAAGAATTGTGATATATGACTAGGCACAGGCCTAGACCACCGCTCAACGATTGCGGATGGCGGCGTCCGCATAGGCGATTGCGGGGATCAACCCTAGAGAGGCGTTACACCAAGGTCATATGGTACTATATGATCGATCTATGTCTTTGCTCATATTGTAATGCTTGGTCTAAACATGCTGGCTATTGAATGGTAACGTCATACATACTTTGCCATGATCAGTGCCCATGGCCAAGAGGATCGTCGCTTTTCGCGAGTACCTTCTGACACTTTGCCAGGATTGCTGCCTGTCTGGATACTTCCGCAAGCCGGCTGATAACTTCTTGGTTTCCACCGACAAAGCCATAAAGCGCATATGGTATGTCAACATCGTCACAGAACTCCTGAACCAGCTTCTGTGTACGGCGCAAGTTATGACGCGGAATGCGGGGGTAGAGGTGATGGATGGCTTGAAATTGTAGGCCACCATGGAAGAAGTCTAGCCACTGCGGGCAGTCCACATCCATTGTGGTTCGCAGCATCTTCTGGGGAAAGGATTCATGTACCCCAAGGTCGGCCGTGCTCATGGCGAAGTGAGACAGTGTGATTTGAACATGCAAGGGCATGGTAACCATGTGACTAATCATGACAAACACAAACCTGTCCCATCCTGTAGGAATGGATTTGTACACGACACCATAGCCGAACCAAGCCCAGAAGAAAAACTGGCCAGCGATTTCGAGCCACCTGTGCCACCAAGCTGGGCCCTTGCGTGGTCCAAGCCCGAGAATGAGGAACTCCCAGGAAAGCCGGTAGAGGTTGAAGCGGCCAAAGAGCAGGATGATATAGTATGTGTAGTGCTGGATAGAAATCAAGAACTTGGCCGCGGCATCATACTCCATGACGCGCTCATAGTATGTCGAGCGTAAACCTCCCAGTAAACGATGCGATATGGCGAAGAAAGGCATGTGTTCGATATCTGGATCATGCTCAGGTGAGTTGGTGACAATATGATGCACATTGTGATTCCTCTTCCACCAGCCAATGGATAGCCCGCCGAGGAAGTCGGCAATGACGATACCTATAACAGTGTCGACGTGAAAGCGGTGCGTTATTCCCATGTGGCCGGCATCATGAGCCGAAAACACCAACTGATGCCAGAATACGCCGAGACACAATGCGCTCGTTGCATACCAGCCCCAGTGGAGGAAGAGCAACATGCCGGCAAACAGGAGACTGTACCGTGAGATCTCGATGGCATACGACTTGTAGTTGCATTGATACAAACCTTCAGCCTTGATCCTTTCGTTCAGAGCCCGATACTTTTGTACAATGGTGTCCTGGGTGGAGAAATCCAGTGACGGATACTGGTCGAGATCCAGGCTGATCTTTGCCTTGGTCTGCGTGTCTAGGTAGGTCATGCCATCCGCCTCTTCCGTGGAGGAGACGGATGAGACTGAAGCAGGGCGCCCAGCGCCCTTGGTAGCAGTACGGTTCCTGAGTACAGGTTCTTGGGCATCGAAGACAGGAGAAGGGTCGCGCGAGCTGGTATGACTGGAGGCAACGGCAGATTCGGGGCATGTGTCTTGGTCATCATCCTCAAGACACTCCTGGCCACTGGCGGGGAGCGGTCTGAACTTGCCTCCCTGGATGGGAGGTAGGAAGTTGGTCCATCGTCCTTCGATCCTTCCAATGCGATATCGCAGCATTTGTTGTTTCGCTTCGGGGGAGTGTAGTCTGCAGGTACAGCATATGTCAGGGAGGCACAGCGAAGCTAAGGGGCCGGGTCAAACCAACACTGTGACCTCGTCGGTGCCATCACGTCCAACCATGTGGCGGATTGCCTTGTCGCCGCCTGGGTGGTACGGACACCAGGCATCGGCTTTAATTACAAATTGGTCCAGGATGAAGATGGATTTGCCATCAGCTATCATGCCCTCCACCTGCCTGCGTGAGAGGACGGGATATGTTCTCTCTCCCATGGTTGCGTTGCGCTTGAGGGAGAGTGCTATCGATTCGGAAGTCACGGAGCAGTGGACTGACTATGCGATCGAATACGCGTGGCCTCGGCCGCTTCCACTCTGATCAATCAATCGCTCGACTCTCTTAAGAACCTTCGGTTTCTGAGTGGTGAGGTAAGCCTCCCTCGATTCCTACGACGCGGAAGGAAAGGGCTACAACATTTATAATGTTGGCGGGCAGGTAATTGGCGGTGGCTAGTGAGAACCTGGAAACATGTGCATCGCACTATCGCTAACTTAGTTATCACACAGTCCAATTGAGTTTATCGAGCCAACCACGCAGAACGATTAGCAGCATTGCCACACCATTCAGGGGTGCCGCCCCGCAGGTCTTCCAGCTCGATCTCTTAACGTTAGACTACCCGGACAGTACGGAGTTAAACACGACCCGAACCCAAACAGTAACACTGGATACTGAATGAAATGCACAATCACAATCATCCGCGTGATGACCATATTTAAATTCTTAGAGGGTCGCCTTGACAGTTGTGCGACCAACTTCTATAGACCAAATTCTAACACCATCTTTAACAACTTGTCCATCTGTAGTCTACACACAACATGCCCAGTTGGAAGCCTGTACTTTGTTCGTAGGCTCCGCAGAAAGCTGCCCATATCATACGATTGCCAGTTCAGGAAACTTTCGAAATGAAAGGCTGGCGAGCTCCGTGATGCGAGATGCGCTTCTGCCTTCCTTCGATATGGGTTCACGGGAAGTCAGCTTCTTTGGAAGATTCTGACGGAGGAATTGCTTGAAACAGTCTCCGAGCTATGTAGTCATCTCGTTCTCGTGCACTCCTGCTGTCTCTCCTAACCACACACGCTTGCGAGGGCAGACACTGATCCTGCATTTGCTGTTTGCATCGTGGGACATGGCTTATCACCCACATAGCAACTCACCGCCTGTGAATTATTGACAAACGTAAACGCTATGGTGTCAACATGCGGTGACAAACATGGTCAACAAGATGCTTGGACGACCAGACGACACTCACAAGGCATACCACGCCGTGACATGAGTTTCTTATGCATGTCATTGGCGACCCAGCAAACATGTAAGCATCTCTGCCATAGGTGCGATTCCTATCATTCAGGGGCTCGAGCAAGATCTTGCCTTGCGTTCACTTTTTGTGCTGTTCAATTCGGGATCATTTAGTCGACTCCGGACCGTACATGGTCACGCATTCCACTATGACCTGTCTCCATATTGGGCAGCATGGCTGCTGTTCACATACCAACAGTACAGTGAGAAACCACTGTGTAAGTAATCAGGACACCAGCTACAGCACGACATGGTTATACCCTTGTCAGCACGTGTACGGCGGTCGTACGTTATGCTCCTATCTTTGCATCATCGGGCATGAGAGAATTAAAATTGAGTACCTCTAGATCACCAATCCCAGAATGCGAGCCACCCTTGCGTTATGTAAGTTCTCCTGATGTTGACCATTTCTCGGCTGGCTTACTGGCTGGGCCAGGAGACAGGTAGCGCCATATTTCCTCTTCGTCCTAAGTATACTGATGAGTTGGTGCAGCAATAACGGCCCGGTGTTGGTTCAGCCTAATATGAGCTGCCCTTATGCTCTAGCATCAAGATCGCGTCACCATCATTCTGATGGTCATGCTACAGCCCATGCATACGCTCAACCCATTGCGTGCTCCAACGTTGCCAACACGGCCTTTCGAACCGAACACCATCATAATAATCATCACCGTCACTATCCCAAGCCGCTTGAAACGCCAGCCCCTGGAATATCTGGGCTGCAGCAGGTGCGTGGCTTCGCCGGCAGACGGAACGAGAGCGGTAGAACGAACGGGGCTTTTGCTAGCAGGGCAATCCGGTGATAGACAAATACGGTTGTCACAACCACCGCGACGAGAACTCTAGGCCTGCATCGTATTTTGCCGATATCGAAACCAAGCGCCATGCATATGCCTCTCAGGGGAAATATCCTCTAAATGCTACGTAAAAATCGAGCTCAACCCTGTATTCGCGGGCAGTACCAGTCCAGCCGCGCCGTTGTAACACGACGGCTCGTCATGGACACGGAATTTGATAGTCTGTGTTGTGTCAGGCCTGTTACTACAATCGTCTTCGTTTTTGGTTTACCCATGCTTCCATGACTTCGTCCTGCTTGCAACTCTTCCTGCTGTAAAACCTTGCCATGACCCGAGCAATGAATCCTCCCACCTTCTGAACTTGTGCGGCTCCATAGTAAGACAATCTGTTTTGTGATTACTCACTGTCTCTGAAAGATGATGTAGCCTATACATGGACACTGGAATGGACTAAGAAAAAGCCCGGGAGAACTCATAGTAGGGGTCGAAATGTCGCGATGCTACTGATACGAAAAGTTGACCGACTATGACCATCGTAGCCCTTTGGTGTTCATGCTGTGCTTCTAATTAGGTACTCCTCGAGGAATAGAAAGATTCTAATTTTCCGATAGTAAAGAGACCCGTGCCCTTCTGAATGAATTGGTGGCGCATCACATCTTCATGGTGTGTAAGTGAGATTTGCACGACCCAGTCATAGATTTCACCTACCAAGGCTGTCGAGGTTCTCTCTGGTGCGTGACCCCAAGTCGACATGAATAGGGCGTATGTTATACGAGCACAGATTTCAGAAGAAAAAGAGTATTCAGTCTCGTACCTAGCAGGGGCGCAAAATTTTTTTTTCCTCCATGGAAAGCACACATGAACTGCCCCAAAAAAATGTCAATACACACGACGTGGGGGATGTGAGTCTGAACTTCTGGATCAATTACCACCTATTCTATACCGTCCCTAATGACACAAGAAGAGTTGCCTCGCCTGAATTCGCCTTGAAATTGACAAAGAGGACCCTCGTATTGTTCTCATGCTGGATTTAATGTACACCTAGACACCAATGCATTTCTGGATTTCATCTTCCAGCCACTCTACCCTCACAACAACCCCGTGATCCGACGCTTAGAAGTGGATGGCCTTGGAGTAAGTGGCCATGGCGGCCTCCTTGAACGCCTCAGCCAATGTAGGGTGAGCGTGGCAAGTGCGGGCAATATCTTCCGTTGATGCGCCGTACTCCAGAGCCAAGGTAGCCTCTGCAATCATCTCACCGGCGTTAGGACCGATGATGTGGCAAGCCAACAGCCTGTCAGTCTCGGGGTCGGCCAACATCTTGACCATACCGTCCGTGTCGAGGTTGGTCTTGGCGCGAGAGTTGGCGCTGAAGGGGAAGGTGCCGACCTTGTAGGGAATCTTGGCCTCCTTGAGCTCGGCCTCGTTGGGACCGACCCAAGCGACCTCGGGGTGAGTGTACATGACGGAGGGAATGACACCGTAGTTGACGTGGCCGTATCCCTTCTTGATGTACTCAATGGCGGCGACAGCCTCCTCCTCGGCCTTGTGAGCCAACATGGGGCCGAAAGTGACATCGCCGATGCAGCGGATGTGCGACTGCTTGGTGCGGTACTCGGAGTCAATGACGACGCGGCCGCGCTCGTCAACCTCAAGACCGGCGTTCTCGAGACCAAGACCGGCAGTGTAGGGGCGGCGACCAATGGCAACGAGGACGACGTCGGCATCGATAGTCTCGGGCTTGCCACCCTTGGCGGCGTCAACCTCGAGCTTGATCTTGTCGCCGGAAGCGTCTCCGCTGACGACCTTGGTGCCAAGCTTGAAGTCAATACCCTGCTTCTTCAGGAGCTTCTGAGCCTGCTTGGAGATCTCCGAGTCCATGCCGGGACCGCCGATCTGGTTCAAGAACTCAACGACGGTGACCTTTGCGCCGAGTCTCGACCAGACGGAACCCATCTCCAGACCGATGATACCACCACCAATGACGACCATCTTCTCGGGGACCTTCTCGAGGGCCAGGGCGCCGGTGCTGGTGATGACACGCTTCTCGTCGAACTCGAGGCCGGGGAAGGGGGTGGACTCGCTACCGGTGGCGATGAGGATGTTCTTGCCCCTGACACTGGTCTCGCCGCCGTCGTTCAGGGCGACCTTGATCGTGTGCTCATCGGCGAAAGCGCCAGTTCCCTTGATGTACTCGACGCCGTTCTTCTTGAAGAGGAACTCGATACCCTTGGTGAGACCGGTGACGGAGGTGTCCTTGGCCTTCATCATGCCCGCCAGGTTAAGCTTGACATCGCCGACCTCGATACCTCGGTTCTTGGTATCGTGGAGAATCTGGTGGTATAGATGCGAGTTGTTGAGGAGGGATTTCGACGGGATGCAGCCGACGTTGAGACAAGTACCACCGAGCGCGCCGCGCTTCTCGATACATGTGACCTAAAGGCAGATTGTCAAAAACTTGTACTCGGTGGACGTTTTGCTTTTCTTGTTTCTTTGTTGTAGCGTGTGTATATATGTACATACCTTCAGGCCTTCTTGGCCGGCCTTGATGGCTGCGACATATCCTGCAACACCACCTCCGATGATAACCAGGTCCTTCTCCTCTGCGGCGCGTTAGTATGTATTCTCCGGATTGGACGGCAGTTGTTTGGAGAGTTCGAGACATACCGGCCTCAGTAGCATAACCCCTTCTCCATCGCGATAGAGGGCTGGTGACTGTGGGGAGACTGGAAATAAGAAGAACAGGCGATGTTAGCGAGCGAGTTATTTACGTGCAGGAGCAGAAGCTGAGGCTGAAGCAGGAGAAGCTCCGCCCCGTCCCGAGGCAGGATGAAGTCATCGCAAAGGGGAAAGACTCACGAAGATTGTGTTCGGAAACCCGAGCGGACGACAGTCCGTGGTATTAAGCGGCTGGTCATCATTGTGTCTGTGAGGGAGAGGATCCGAAGAGTTCTCAATTGAGGTTCGGAGGGAGAGGCGGAAGATGAGGCTTGGAAAATAACAATGGGGAAAGAACAAACAGCTGTGCTGCAGCTTTTGCCCGAGCTTCAGGTTTGAGAGGACTTTCCACAGAGTATGTAAGAATGAATTGATTCGCCGCGAAATTTTGGAGGTCCGAGCTGTTTGGCCGCCATTGACTTGGCCTTTTTCCTTTCCGCCTTTTTTCCCCCCAGCAAAATCGCTCGGTTCCTCTCGTGACAATGCAGCCGCCCCATCTTCGCGTAACTACTATCGCCCCCGGAAAGAGCCGGCTCAACAACCAAGGTTACCAGACTAGTAAAAAGGTTCCTGTGTATTCTATATGCATCGCCAAATGACAACGTCTTCGCTGTAATCAGATGGAGCTGTTCTTTTGAGCTGGCAGACACTTGGGATAGACAGGACCTGTGCATGCCGAGTTGGACAAGGCCTTGCTCAAGCGTGTAACCAGCAGGAATTGCATACATACATGCATACATACATACATACATAGGGAGACGGCAACGCTAATCCCCGTTGTCCATCTTGACCCGCATTATTCGTGGCAGACTGCTGAGGTGCCTGCTAAAACAACGGGTTGATGACAGTATTATTATTCATGCTCCAACGCACCCTATCCTATGGTTCGCATCGACGGCTATTCTGCTGTAGTGGACAGCGACGCCTGTAGAATACCATCTGCAGTGGCAAATGCCTTCTTGAGCCTCTTCTTCTCGTCACCTTTGACGATATCCGTCTTCCTGATATACTTCTTGAGGAAGTAGTGAACACCCGTCGCTAGATCCGCGTCGAGGACGCCGAATATCTTTTTCAAGGCATCATCGTCTGGCGTTTCGAGTAGTACGGTGATGAGCAGTACTTCTGTAAACCACTGCGCCTTCTCTTGTAAAGCAGCAAGATTCCGATATCTGAGAAGATCCAGCCCCAAGCTCCGGTTAGCGACCAGGTTGCCGTAGAATTTGCCTACGTTAACAACGCGGCGCGTGTCATAGTCTTCATCCTCGTCATCAAAGTCGTCAATGTCAACATCCTCGCCCATCTTTTTGAACCTCTGCGTCAAGCACCTCTTGAACTGAAAGGCAAGCTCGCGGTCGCCGCAGAAACGACTTGCTACAAGCCAATAGTATTTGTTAAACTCTGCCTGGCCTTCACCACTCCGGACAATGACCTCGGGCATTTCCTTCCGCTGGTATTTGTTCAGGCGCAGCTTCCGTAACAGGAGCTCTGCATTCTGGCAGTCCGTAGCAGAATGTAGAGCCACGAAGATCTGTTGCCTGACCTCTGTGTTGAAGCCCTGCGCTTTCGCCAGCTGCCAGAGATCGGGGATCCCTAGGTCATCGTTATCGATAAAATCTGCCGTGTCGTCAACCACCTCGTCGGTACTCTCTGCTTTGGTCTCCTTTTCGCGATTTCCAGACCAGCTCGCACCGACGACCCACCACTGTCCGTTCTTGTCCGCGTTCTCGATATCCTTGAGTCCTACATTCAGGGGTTGGATCTCGCGGCTCCCGCTCAGAGTACCGATGCGTTTCCTGATCTGTGTGCGCATCTCAGCTAGATCTTTGTTGAGACTAGCAGCCTTGGATTTGTTGGTTCCGAGATTTCTCATCTCTTCCATCATAAAGCTCGTTCGTACGGAGGCATTCTTCAGATCGGCAGGCTTGATGAGGCCCAAAATCTCTTTCAAAGCTCGTGGATCCTCGCGCCTCAACGACGGACCACATGTTTGGATGATCCTCAAAAGGAGTTCCGTGTTAAGCTCGGAAAGCTTTACCAGGAACAAACGGACGTAGTCGAAGATTAGTCTTGCACCAACGACCTGCATGTTGTACAATTCCGAAAGAAGGATTATGAGATGTTTCGTGCCCGCATCTGACTGGTTACCAGATGCTTGATCGTAGTGTTCCCTGAAGACCTGAACTATCTTCTGTACGAGATTGGCGGATACGTGAACGCCCAACGCCTTGTATGCGGCTGCTATGAAACCGGCAATCATGGTGAAGAAACTGCCTGGTCGTGGCTCGGGAGAGGAGACCAAAGTGATGAGAAGGTTGACCAAGGCAGAGGTAACACTTTGTCGCGGAAAGTTATCGTAGAGACCGGAGAAATCCTTGAGTATACCAAGCATGTTCTCGTTGGTAAGTCGATTGATCAAACCCTGCACACGCCTACGCAGCTGTGCGTCTACTTCGTCCATGGATTGGCCCTGCTTTCGAAGAGAAGGGGGCACGTACTTGGCTACGTTTGTTGTAGGAGCAACGTAGGGGTTTTCCCTTTGTCGAGGAGCAGCAATAGACTCGTCGTCATCATCATCATCATCATCTGAGAAGCCGCCGAAAGCATCATCATTGTCGCTGCCGCCTTCCATCTCGTCGTCTGAGTAATCTGAGTTTCCTAGGTCAGATAGCCCATCTCCACCATCTCCGTCCACGGAAAAGTCGTCCTCGTCGCTAGAATGACTGGGTTTCCCACGGTTTGCTTTCGATGCTGCTGCTGCAGCAGCATTGGCCTTCCTCCTTTTTTGCGCCAGCCATTCGTCGGCCTCTGCCTTCCGCTTGCTTCGCACCGCCGACTCCTCGTCGACTTCATCCCCACTGCCGTCTAAATCACCAAGCAACCCATCGAGACCATCGTCGTCATCGCCGACCTTTGATTTTTTGCCCTTCTTCAGCCCTAGTTTCTTCTCCAGCGCGGCAATCTCGGCATCTTCTTTACCCAGCTTTTTGCGATCTGATTTTGAGGCTTGAGGCGCATCATCCACGAGTTCATCAGCCGACTCCTCTTCCTCGCCGTCCTCCATACCATCCTCGTCGTCCTCCTCGAAGTCATCTTCATCCAGATCCATATCAAAGTCAGATTCATGAATGCTGTCATCGTCATCCTCGGGGTTGACAATGCGCATCGGCTTTGAGGGTTGTTTTGCCTTTACAGGCACTGGGGGCGTCCTCAATTTGGCCGTTGCGGGATGTGATGCATTCTGGCGGTTTGGCGTTCTGTGGACCTGCTTCTTTTGCACTCTTGATGCTTTCCGTTGCTCCTTTCTCGAAAACTGCTGGCGTCTCTTACCACCGCCAGCACCAGATTGCGGTTGAGCGCCGATCTCCTTCAGAAACGATGCTGGAAGCGCCAGCTGTTTCCCCTGAGGAGGCATGTTGCAGTCCGTAGTTGCCCGGAATATCCTGGTTCAAGCAGTATTATACAATGAGATGCAAGAACTCGGGGGGTTTTGCTTGATTGCAGAAGGATGCCAACTGGTTCATGTGAAATTCGAACATTGAGATAGAAAATTTTAGTGGAGTCTGGCTTAGTGGCATGTACGCTAATTTCATGGAGTGCCTCCATGTACCTAACCTTAGCAGCTTGCCTGTGTACCTGATAGCTAGCATGTGGCAGTATACACCTTGTGAAGATCAACACCAACAAGGACTGCTCTACGGAAAAGTTCATCTGGATTATTTTGCATCCAAGAGTAGCCCGAGTCGCTTTAAACATGTACCATTTCGAAGCTAGTAAAACCCATGTGGGATTTAGTGCTCGTTGTGCAATCCTTCAATGTTCTGAGCGATCTAATGAAGACGTGTGTACGTACCACAGAAGTCCAGTGCCTCATGCAAGTCCTCATGTGGTAAGTAGACACGAAAGCTCAAAAAAAGTCAGGACTGGCTGCCATATGACTTCTCGCAGGTAGGTACAACGTGAGGTAGACACCGAAGAGAATAATCCAATCCAGTGTATACTTTGATGTGTATATATAGAGTGAAACAAATGGTTATGCATTTATAAATAATATATCAAAATTTGTTAAAATAAATTTCGAGCTGTCTTACTTTACCGTCTTACCTGGACCGAAGTTCCAATGTGCGCTGTTTCAAGGACCTCCCCCACAGCGGAAAGCCACTCACTACGGTACATAATGAACCAGAACCAGGACCATACAGTAAAGCTGAGGTTAACTTAGTTTCGTCTGACCTTCTGCGGGGCATTTTCTGACCGACAGCCTTTCGAACCCTCCCCACCATTAATTGGCCTTGACGACATAGAAAACGAAAGGCTACATACAATACGGGAGTGGACGCGATCTGAGAAAAACCCCCCGTCCCAGTTGCAGTCTCATTCGCAATGGGCCACTCAAGCAACGACGAGGTAAGTTCTCTCACAGAGACGCTGTCAATTGAAGCGCATAGGAGGCTCACAGTTTTTTTTTTCTTCCGCTAGTTTTTCGTCAAGCTCCAGGAGCTCTTCGACAGTCGCAAGGGTAAAGATCACGGCATGATCTACCTGACACAGAAGCGATGTACGAATCTCAGTTCGCCCCTGCCTCTAAATTACTCGTCTCCTCTACTAACCAACAGTCGCGCAGTATCATACGACCAAGATCTACCCGAGGCTACGATCGACAACCCACTTCCCGACCTGCACCCTGCCAAGCCCCTTCCCATTCTCATTCGGGCCACCAACGGCAAGTCGAAAGAGAAGAGGAAGGAGAAGCTCAAGGTGAAGCTGTCCACCGTCGTGGAGGCCGATGCCCTGCCTGTCTTTTTCGAGAAGTATGCCGAGGTATGCAAGGCTGGCATGGCGACACTGAAGCCGAGAGACAGGAGTAAGAGGAAGGGCAAAGCCAAGAAGAGGAAGACGGTGGCTCCTCCTGCTGGCACATCATGAGATGGCGGTCATTGTTGCTGTTACGAAGTTACGAGAGAAAGCCAAATAAGTAGTTGCCAACAGGCCTACACTATCATAACATGGAATAATATAGAATCATATGAGGGAAGCCGATGGCTTGTTTTGGGATGTCTATTGCCATCGAGTGGAATCTCAGTAGCACAAGATGGGATAGCGGTGGACTGCTGTGGCATTCTCGGCTGTTTCATAGCGTAGTTGTTAACCCCTGGTTGTATGCTGTCTGCCTTGCTTGCCGTATGATATTAGACGAGACGTCTCAGCCCCAAGGTTACGGCTTTTTTTGCAATCGGGTGGAGGACACCGTGTTGGGACACCATGTAGAAACATGAACTATATGCCGGCCAGGTACCCGTGCCCAACTATATCTCCAGTAAATGACAGACCTAAAGGGAGCAGAGAAGGTACGAAGACACTTGGTGGGAAAAGCGTTATTCCTCGTGGACGTTTTAACATGTCTAACGTCAAGTGAAAGTTTACAAGAGCCTTGCTTATATCGACCTTCAGAGCTTTGTAAGGGTGCAGAGACTCCCCGGTCTGCTTGCTACATGAAGTCACAACAAGTCGGGATGAGCCACTAAGGGGGCTGATGCCCGGTACCACTTGTCAGAATGAGTCTGTTTGGTGTAATGGGGTGACCACAAGGTTTCGGCAGCGGATACGCATCTTCGGTGACGCCGGTTCGATATTCGCCATCCTTTCTTCTTCTGCCATCGCAGAGGCTTTATTCATTATTCTACAAGCCACGACTTCTAGTCTACCAGTAGAACATAATACCTCAAGACCACTCGTATGAGTTTCCGCAGCAGATTCCGAAACGGTGCAACGAAACGCAATTTTCTGTAAAGACGTAGTCATAAGCTTTCTCGCAGCAGCATACAGCTCGTCAGGTCGAATCATCACCCCCGAATATTTTGCACCACGGCGACCTTCTTCCTCAGTCACGCCGAGACGATCTCCAAGACACCAGACCAGGCCTCACTACGTAGCCAACACGATCTCTTTTCTGTCTGTCCGGATGTGCGAGCTTCACCCCCTGAAATGCATCAACTGCAAGAATGTCTGGACGGCCTGCAAGAAACTCGCCAGCTGCGAGAGCCAGGACCCTGCCATCGAGTGCCCCTTTAGCTTGTGTATGTGGGTTGGTGACCCTAAAAAGCCGACCAAAACGGAGTGCGATGCTTGCAGGGAGGTTAGGGAGTTGTTGGAGGACTTTGGCGACGATGCTTGACCGTACATGGATACTCTGATGTGAAAACCCATCAACAACTTGGGCGAGGGGAGTGCGACTGTCAGGAAAGAAAGTAAGGATCAATGGAACACAACGCGTATGAGAGAGAGACCTTTTCGGGAAACGTCATGACATGCTCCTATACCCAGAAAATGGGAACAAGAGCACATGGAACCTTGCAGCCGCGTTCGCGATGCCACTTATATTTTACCCTGATAACATAACTGTAGTCGAATAACGACATCGCCCGCGACGATCGTACCGCTTTCAGTATCTGCAGCGCTCTGACATTACTGCACCGTGGCACCAATACCGTTGCCCATTGATCGTGACTCCTAGATTGCGCCGTCAAAATCAAACCCGGGACTGGACCATGCACACTCCTCACGATAACACATTTCCTACGCAATGTCACCTAATGCCCATCCAACGCCTTAATTGCGCCTTGCAATGAGCCTGCTACCAAGCCGAGGGAAGTCAGATGCTATTTGACGAACAATCTAAGTAGAGCTTTCCGAGATTTCCCCTTTTCTTCAACGACACAACCTTTTCGTGTCGCGTATTCCACACAATAACAACATATGACAAGGAGAGTGAGCTTTTGGTCGCAACTCAGGCTGAAACTCAGGCCCACCCGGGTAGCATTCCGAGGATAGCTGCCCGAGTGACACACCTTGAGATCAGCGCGTTACGCAAAGTCGTTTTTTTGATCCGTAACCATCGTTACTTCCATGAATGAAACTTGGCCTTCCGCTAGAAGGCAACGAGTGCTGTAAGGAAACAGTAGTACAAGTATGATAATTGCATTCGAGAACTGCAAGTTCGACGGTCACGGTGCAGACAAGTTTCACGCCGAGGACCTTACATTATCTGGTCCTGAGTCAAACCGCCGTGGGCATCCGTATCCATGGCATCGCTGCCGCCGCTGCCGCCGCTGCCGCCGCCGCCACCGCCAGGGGTGAGATACTTGACATAGCTGAGTCCAAGTGGTCTACCTCCGTATTGGTAGCCTTGGAACTTGGAGATGGCAGTGTCAGCAGTACCCACACTGTCAAAGCGGACAACACCAGTACCGCGGGATCGACCGCTCGGCTCGTACTGGATTTCGGCTTGGTCAACCTTGCCGATGGTAGTGAAGAGCTCGACCAAGTCCTCGTTGCTTGTAGACCATGGAAGCTACACGAGTCAGCAGAGAAATCAACAATGATGAATTGCCCACTCACGTTTCGGACATAGATCGTCTCGCTGGGATCAGTACCAGTCGTGGCAAAATCGGTAAATGGGTTAGGAGCAGCGGCCTGCTGAGCATTGCCAGCGTCGAATCCACCAGGACCGCCGCCACCGCCGCCTCCACCGTATCCACCTCGGCCGCCAAAACCACCACCACCGAAGCCGCCACGGCCTCCGAAACCTCCGCGACCACCGAAGCCTCCACCAAAGCCTCCACGGCCTCCGAAACCTCCACGACCACCGTAGCCTCCACCGAAGCCACCACCACCGCCACCAGGACCACCAGCATATCGGTCTTCGCGTACTTCTAGTTGACGGCCTTGCCAGTCATAACCGTTGAATTGCTGAATGGCATTGCGCGCATCGTCCGGGCTTTCGAACATGACGATACCTGAGCCCTTGGGGCGACCGTCCTGGCCGAGGTGAACGTCGGCGCGAATTACGGCACCATTACGGGCTGAAGAAGCATATATTAATTAGTAGGTGAAGAAAAAAGAAAAGAAACAGGGAAAACAAGGCCTTTCTGCCGTAGATAGACTCACCTGCTTGTCTGAAGAGATCTTTGAGGTCTTGCCAGCCAACAGTGTAGGGAAGCTGTCAACACCGTCAATATACGGAGGAACCTAGGTTAGTAATAAAAGGGGCAATGCGTAAACTTACGTTGGAGATGTAGATCTGGCGACCCGCGCCGCCGCCGCCGCCGCCGCCTCCGCCGCCACCCATCATGCCTCCACCGTAGCCACCGCCGCCGCCGCCACCACCAGGACCAGCGCCGCCGCCGTAGCCACCTTGCATACCGCCGCCGAAGCCGCCACGGCCTCCTCCGCCGGTTTGCGAGTTACTGAATCGAGGTTCGGCCTCACGATCCTGGACATGATCAGCTCCTACTGCCTAAATAAGTCGAGTCATGTTGCTGCTTACTTCGCGGACATAGACGAGACGGCCCATCAAGTTCTGGTTGCTAAGCGTCGCGACTGCGTTTTGGGCTTGCTCCCGTGTAGCATATTCCACAATTCTAAGAGGGCATTAGCTTGACTGAGACTCGCACCGACAGCGATAAATTGTAGACTTACCCGCATCCCTACAATACCCACGGACACAATGTCCCATCCGTCAATCCATCAATTCCAACAAGACCAGAGAGGGAGAGGAAACCAGGAAAAAGGAAAGAACCAAGCCATGAATCACGTGTGAAAGCCCACCTTCGACATTCCATTTGGAAGCAGTAAAACATCGGCGAAGAGAACCTCTCCAGCTAAGCACGCCATATCCGTCAGCCATCGTTCCATCGCATTGAGTTCCGAGCTCATGTGTAAGACCCACCCTGTCGCATGAAATCCTTGAGGTGATGCCATTTCACATCGTATGACAAGTTGCCGACGTAGACACGACGGTCTTGCTGAGATGACTCCCGGACGTTGCTCATCATTTGCTCGCGCGCAGCCTGTCGTTCCTCGTAACTTCGTTGCGGGGGGCCCCCGAAACCCTGACCAGATCCTCCAGGAGCGCCGGCACCCGTCATAGGAGAGCGTGACGAACGTCTGTTCGATCTGCGATATTCGTCCCTGTCCCGGCTGGGAGACCGGCTACGAGAATAGGATCGGCGACGACCACCGGAGCGGACCGGACTTCTTGATCTTCCACGACGCGGGGAGCGAGACCTCTCACGCTGTGACTCGTCAGCTACTTGGTCGTTCATGAGCGCTAGTGGCTCCGCAAAGAGAATGTGAAGAGGTCTTGATAGATTGGTGCAGGAGGGCGCCCGGTAGAAACAGATTTTGGTGTCGTGCGGGGAATGATTTGCATGCTCCAGGCTAGGAACTGTGCCGCTGGCTGGTTGCCCTCGTTGCTTGTGCGCTTTCCAGGAAAGTTTAACACCCGCGCCATTCCCGCTATGATCTATCGATACGTGGCAGGAAGGGACAACGTTTGAGCTAGTGTCGCGCAGCGAACCAGACATTAACGTGGCCGTGACGTTGAGCTAGCTCATGGGATATGCAGACTGGACCCAGTATATAGAGTTCCAGGGGCGGCATCAAGGTATGAGCACTATTGAAACATGAAGAGACAAAGGCGTTCATGGCAACAACGACTACAGAAATGCGCGGTTGAATCCGGGGGACTGGTGTACCACTTACCGGTCGATATGTGTCTCCTGAATCAGCTGTAAACGGGTTAGAGTTTGGATCCGAAGTTGAGCGGAAGTGAAGAGGAATGCGAGTCGGGGTGGGTGGGAAGGAGGATATGAGGGACAAGGCTAGAGGATGGCAATCAGGCGGGCCGCTGATGCATAAGGGACAGTGTAGATCAGGAAAGGAAAGTGCCTAGGGAGGATGTGTGTGGGGGAAGGCATGGTTTAAGCTCCGTGAAAACATGTCGGTGCCGTGAGCATGAAAACCTACTCTATACCCTATGTAGATGAGTGCAAAGAGGAATGGCAAGATGACAGGAGCAGGAGAGGTGAGCTGAGCTGATTCGCAGACACTAGCAGAGGGAAAGTCGTGGGCTGTTTACAATAGATGTAGTAGTGGCGCGAGGTTAGGGGGCCGCACACGTCACAGAAGGACTTTGTTTAATGCCTCTGAGCACGCAGGCACGCAAGCACGACGACAGATTGGAGGATAAGGCGCGTCGTACGGCAAGCGTGATGCAGTGACCAGACCAGTGGGAAAGGCGAATGGGAAGATGGGGGTTAGGGTAGGTTATAGCAGGATGAGGATGAGGATCAGGCTCCGGCTCAGGCTCAGGCTCAGGGTGAAGGTGAGGGCGAGGGCGAGGTTTGAGAGAGGGAGAAGGAAGATCAGGTTGCGTAGACTTACCCATGGTTGTATACTTTGTGGTGGTCAACTCTTCTCAAGAAACGTGACTGGGTGCTTCGAAATTTTCGTCTGGCACGACCTGAGAGACAACGGAGTGTGCCCTTTGGTTGTCTGTATGTAATGATGGAGGGGTCAGCTTGGGTTGTCACCGAGGAGTACGTTGATCCTGGGTGGCAGATAGGCCGAAAGGTAGGTACAGCGTGCGGAGTGGATGAGGGAAACCGAAAGGGTACAACAACAGCGCAGGACAGCAAGTAGCAATGCTGCGAGCAAATTAATAAGAAGCAGGCTTGCTCGGGTCGCTGGCCTGCTGCAGGAGGCAGCATCCAGTGGCAGCAGTACCCCGTATGAACCGCAAAGAGAGACACGCGCAGGCGAGGCAGCGCTACGTGCCGAATCAAGACCCCAAGCTCGACAGATTTCTCCTGGCTTACGTCTCGTGCCTGCAATGCGACGGCGCTTGGTCCTGTTGGAAGCTCGCAAGATATTGAAGGAAGATACCGATTCAAGTCGCACATATGCACGCATGCATAGAATGGACCTCACGTACCTTTGGTTGTGGAGAGGGCTGGTGGTCGCAGCTGTAGGTCTCGTCTTACCGTGCTTGCGGTTCTTGGAGGTGATGGTTTGAGAGGACTAGCAAGCGCTTCTGGCCTGTGACGCGATCGCAAATGGGTGCAGGCAAAGAAAAAGAGGAGCCCGGGGGGGAGCCTGAGGTGAGAGAGGGAGCTCTGCGCGGGCGCGTCGAGGTGGATCGGGTGTGTGCAAAGGCCGTGTGCAAGGCGTGTGCAAGGCTTGTGCAAGTCGCGGTGGAAGAGGAAAAGACGTGCTGCAGGCAAAGTGCAGGCTAGACTAGGATAAAAGAGAAATTGTTAGGGGAAATCTCTGGGCCTGAACGGGTCAAGCGCGGGAGAGGAACCCGGCCGTGCTGATTTCGCCCAGGGACAGGGATCGTCAACCGCCCTAATCTGCCGTCTGCTCTTCCAGTCCCTCTGTTCAAGTCCCTCCTGTTTGAGTCCCCTTTGTTCCACCAACGCAGTACTACGGACTTTTTCATTTACTCACATATCATATTGACCACTCTCGACCCAGCTTTGCTCGCGTTGAACTCCAAACCTGTGCCGAGCCCGCGACAGTCTGGTACACAAGCGGCGACCTTTCCAAGGAAATACCGTGTGAGCTCATGGCCTTGATACTTGTCGTCATAGCTCCTTATGGAGGAGGACTTTGCGTGGTACGTATTGCCTAACCTAGGACGAGGGACATGATCCTGGTACCCTCGCTGCTTGCAGATGGTGGGCGCCACGCTTAACGGATCTTTGTTGGCAGAGATTCGGCGAGATTGCAACCTGCAAGTACTCCCGCTGTCCAAGCATGGGTTCAATCACGATGCGCCCGTGAAAGACCGGGATTTACTTGCTGGCTGGGACAACTGCCTCTGGCTGCTGTATCTCGCATATCGTCAGTGATAGTCATGTCTTGATGTCCTTGCAGGTTTGGAGGGGAACTATAGCTACTGTCTTACTCGGATGACGCCCAATGGCTTTCCCACCACGCCAAACTTTTCTAAATGCTTCCATACCCATTTCTTGCGCATGTCTACATATGCCAATTCTTGGAGTTTCCATATGCGCGCAAGTGGGTCAAGGGATTTGGGGAACTCTTCGAAATCCGTCGAATACGATGACTTCTTGAGCTCCGTCCACTGCGACTTCCTCCATTTTGGAGGCTCGTTGAATCCGCTGCCGCTTTGGTATCCATGTGCATACGGTAGTACAAGCTGGTGGGATTTTGACCATGGAGTGCAGCTAACCATCATGCAAGTACATCGACAATGCACTGCAACTTCAGCTTTGCCTTCTCACATTAGCGCATGTGTGTCTCCGGAAGAATGTAGAGCGTTTCCATTAAGATACGAAAGACAAATACGGCTTGGTTGCTGTACGCTGTTTGAAAACAGCCTGTCTAGTATAAAACTTCTTCGCCATTGTTAGGAAGCGATTCCGACTCCGAGCCTCGACAATGGTTTGCCAGCTATCCCATTGTTCTGGTAGCATGCTCTAAGCAGCATTCCGTTTTGCCAAACTATTGCTGCCGGCTTATTCGCCTCGTCCGCCGAGGAACGTGAGGCAGACTTACTACTGCAATCATCCTAGCTACTTCCGATGATGAACCGGGTACCGCAGTGGTTGGTTGACTTGTATGAAAACAATCTTCAGGAGGGCGCGCACCATGATTGTATGTGAGGCGGACAACACAATACGAAGGGGCCAACATCTCGCCTACTCCTCTGAGGTGGGAGGATCTATCCAAATAGATTGATTCGTGAGAAGGACAAAGAATGGTACGCTTGGGACAACTAATGTGCCAAGTTTCTGAAATCTAGGTCTACGCAGAAGCCGAAGAGCTGCGCTTATACACCTGGTAAAATCGTCGCTCCGATTAGGGTCGAGTATTCCCATCACGCCAGCAATCACTAGGTTAGTGCCTTTGTCGACTTGAGACTGTGTTGTGTCGATGCTTGAGGTAAAACATGCTCCCATACTGCTACTTGCCAACCCACGTATATTACTGATTCACACATGATCACGAACCTGTAGGTGCATATTGCTGCTGATGACAGCCTGAGTGTCCGAACCTGTGCAACCCTGGCTGCTGATAGCATAGTGAATCCCCTGCAGCTCAACCCCTCGGCTGGACCAGCCAATCTAGCCCCCAAATATTTGACCTTGGCCATTAGACAGACTACATTACAGCTCAAATTTGAGTAGGCCAGATGTTGTAGGCAGTATGTATATGAACCCTCGCCAAAGATGCTGTCGAGTATCTTGTAGCGTGTTATGATGATTCACTATATTCACGCCCTTGGCTAAACCACGTTTGAGATAGCCACGAACACATACTGGCTACAACAAAACATTCAGTCAGATTCCATACCAACTACGACGTGCACTCGACGGGGTATAGTGCCTCTTCAGTCATCAACAACAATGAATTCTGCTGCTTTTTTCTCCCCTCCCCTTTTATTTTTTCTTTTCTGAGGAGGATACATGTGGTATTCCAGAGGGCTGGGTATACTGAAAATGAAACCGGTTAGGAGCGCCATTATGCAATAGCTACATATGAGACTCAAGTTGTCGCTGTCTTCAAACACAGTCCGCAATCATACTAATGCGAAATACCTAGTTGTGCAAGGGAGGGCATGCCAGAGATGATAGAGACTTGGACCTGCACAAACACGAATACGCCAAAATCCACGACGGAGCTTCATTTAAGGGTTTACGCTGGTCTGGACGCTGCTACCGAGAGGAACGGGCCCCATCATGTTCGTTACTGCAGTAGCTTCTTCGGCTGCATTTAACCAGGGGCTGACGTGATGATCAGATTGGTGACAAGCACAGTACAGCTTGAACGAAGCATCCCCACTACATGGAAATGATTGTACTGAACTTAAGAAATCATATTAGTAGTGTACATGGCATGCCCAGGCGCATTTGGAGTCATTACTAGATATTTCGGACTTGATGACACAGTTTCCCGCGATATAGTCTGATTGCTGTGAGGATGTGTACATAGTATCTTGCTGACATGGAGACAGCAATCTCTATTTCCTTCCAATCAAAAGGCCAAGAGCGGCAGCCTCTTGTCACCTTTTCCCGACCCCTGCTCATATGTGAGGATTATGACCCACGGAACGCATTCCTCACTACTTTGCACGCACGGCACTACCACTGAATGGGATATCTGTCCGTATTGGAGAATGAACGCTCTATCCGTGCCATGCTACCAAAGAGGATCCCAAGTACTCGCTACGACCAAGCCAGCAAGCAAGACTCCCGAGAGAAGCTGAGTACCTTGCCGGCGCCGCTAAAGTATAGACGCACAAAGGTACTTGATTAACGGACTTTGGACTCTCGAGACTCACACTATTCCCGGGTGACAGACACAGTCGCGGAAAGAACTTTTCCAGCCCAAGCATCCTCCATCGCCATGCCGCGATCCAGCTGGGCACACTATTGGACCCTTGCTCGCCCCAGGGACTTTCATTGATGGTGGGGTCAGGTCATCTCGATGGCGGCCAAGCGGCAGCGCATCGCGGAAGCGGGCGGGAGCGATAGTGGTGGAGCAGGTCTTCTGATTTTCAGAGTTCACTGCTTACATACTTCACGTATTGTGTGCGTACACTCTAATTTCTAACAGGAGCTTGAATCGACCGTTAGTCGGACGATAAACTGCCAGATTTGACTAACCCAAACCGGCACGTCCGAAGCTCCAAAGTCCAGAGTCCAAAGTCCGGAGTCAACAATTCTCCGGCACACTCTATTCGCGATCGCCCAAGTGATGCGTTCGCTATCGGCAGTCTGCGATAAGTACTTTTTTACGCATCTTGAGCTGACCCCATCACATTCGCTACGAATCAACAGGAATGGTACCCTCCAGAGCACTCGCCCGCCTCGCGCGCGCACCTCAGCCGTGCGCCTCCGCTGCTGCACGTAGCAGCAGCCTTCGATCCTACCACTCCTACGACCACCCAGCGCCGCCGGGCGCCTTCAATGCCACCGAGCGCGCCATCCTCTCCGCCGCCTATGCACATGTGCCCGAGCACGGCTTCTCGCAGCATGCCCTGGCCCTGGGAGCCCGCGATGCCGGATACCTCGACATGAGTGCCACGATACTGCCCAACGGGCCTTTCAGTCTGATCAAGTACCATCTTGTCACGAAGCGGGAGGGCCTAGTACCCAAGAGCAAGGACATCTTCGCACCCGGTGCGGAAGCCGAGAGGCTGCCGACCAATGACAAGGTCGAGCGGTTGACGTGGGAGAGGTTGCTAGAGAACCGCGATGTTATACATCGGTGGCAAGAGGTATGGACTCTACTACGAGCGCGTTGAAACACCACTCCCCCCCCCGACCCCACGTGCTCATACATGCAATTTCCCCCCAGGCTTTGGCAGTGATGGCTCAGCCCAGCCTGATCCCAGCCTCCCTCCACGAGCTTGCCCTGCTCTCCGACGACATCTACCACCTGTCTGGCGACAAGGCTGTCGACCCCACGTGGTACACCAAGCGTGCCTCCCTCTCGACGACCTACGCCGCGGCGGAGCTGTTCATGACCAACGACCGCTCCTATGGCTACGACGAGACGCGGGCTTTCCTGCAACGGCGGCTCGCCGAGAGCAGCGGCCTGGGCTCCGTGGTCGGAAACATTGGGCAATGGGTCGGGTTCACCGCGGCTGCAGGCGTGAACGTTCTCAGGAGCAAGGGTGTGAGGATATGAACATGGCCCGTGGCGCCAAGATACTCTATTTGCAAGATAAGGTTCATGCGGGACCCTGATTTTGCTGCAAGGCAGACCGGTGAAGAACATATGGACTGGTCATCCCTGTGTGCCAAGTGTGTAAATATGTACAATATGTAAGCTGGACCGAGGATAGACAAAAGATGAACAGGTCGCCCGCTGCCTCATGATGAGGTGGACATATCGAAAGAGCACGCACAGAGCGTGATAAAATATAAAAATATAAAAAAGCACAAACTCCTCCTTAACGTTCAAGCAATGATATTTATTCATTCATTGTGGATAATTTCAGAGTTGTAATCCTCGAGGGTTGCTCCGACCCTACTGTCAGGCGGCAGTTCTTGATCGCGACAGTAACGTATCCTTCAACCCAAATGGTATGACATGCCAACACGGCTTTGGGGCCGTGTCTCTAGTGCGTGTACAGGAGTCGAACCATGTGAACTATATACTCACCAACTACCGAACTGTTGCAGAAGCCACCAAATGGAAAAAGCAATGTCACTGCGTGACGCCAAAACTCCTCGCTCCGTTTCATACCTCAGCTTTCAAAACGAACCGAATACAAAGTTGCATGGTCTAATACTGGACCGATATCGCGCCAAATCTAGACATACCGGAGCACTAGTCACTCTCCTGCATGAAATTCGTTATCTGCTTCTGACGAGGATCTGAGAGTCTGTGAAGAAGAAGGAGATCAGTTCACATTCGAAAATACATAGAACAACTAGTAGCATACCTAATAATCGTAACATCTTTATCGAATCTGACATTGCCTTCGATGGCGTTGGGTGTGATGAGGATGAATTGTTTACTAACGGATCGTCGTGCGGCTTGAACCTGTCGATTGAGTTAGCGCCAGTAGAATAGGTTATAGAATAAGTACGAAAGGAGAAAAAAGATATAGAGAGCTCACAATCATCTTTGTGCTGATGCCACGATTTATGACGTCCATGAAAACGTCGAACTCATCCAAACATCGGAGTGGTGATCCCATGGCATCCCAGATAGCTAACAACAAGCAAATGCTCGAGAAGGACTTCTCACCACCAGATAATGTCTTGGTGTTACGGCCAGAAACATCTTCTCTAGTCTGATCAGGCTCGACTTCAATGGCAAGCTTCTTGGCCTTGTGGTCCAGTAGAAGCCTGCCTCGGAATGCTCTTTCGCTGAGCAAATAGGCAAAGTTCGTCCGTGCGGCTGCTGAGATCATGCGCTGGAATATTCTCCACTTGTCCAATCTGTTGGTCAGGGCCTTCTTGCTTTCCATGACATCTAGCTCGCAGTCACGCTGGTACTTCCTTGCCTTGTCATAGGCCTCGAAAGTTTGCGCTGCCTTCTCGTTGATTTGCTGCTCGTCCATACCGTGACGATCTTTGAACTTTTCGAGCTGACTTCTGATAGCCTCGAATTTTTGCTCAATGCTCTGATAAGTCTCCCCTTCCGGGATCCGCACACGATCCGGGTGAACTTGCGTGGCGCCTTGAATATACGCATCCACCCGCTCCTGTTGCTTGTCGCGTTTTTCCACAGCATGTTCCCGGCCCATTTCTGCCGTGTCGACTGTCTCGTGGGCATCATTGTTCTCCTGAACCGTGGTGCGCCGTAAAGCATCTAGTCGGCTGATTTTGTTGATGGCTTTCTGTATGCGATCGTTGAAGTTACTATGATTCGAACGAGCTTCCTCGCGAACGGCTTTGGCGGCCAGCACAGCCTTGCCTTTTTCCTCCTTCTCGACAGCAAGCTCGCCATATTGCACGCCATATTGTTCCATTTGCTCCTGGGCGTCTTTTAGTTGTTGGCGAAGCCCTCGCAATCGCGAATCATCTCCATCGTAAGCATCATAGGCCTCCTCAGCCTCACGCTGGTGGACTTGAGCTTCACGTATCGCCTTTTTGAGGTGTCCATCGTCACGTTTGTGTTGAGTAACAGCCTGACTGCATCTTTGCGCCGCTTGTTGGCAAGTCCTTCTAGATAACTCAAGTTCTTTCAAGTCCGACTTCAGATCCGCAAGCAGTTGTTTTTGATGGTTGGCTTGGTCTTCTGAGTCGGATTGCATACGTCTCTTATCTGATGCATTGATAGGCTCCTGGTTTAGATTTTGGCCCCGACCAGGTTTCAGTGATGCACCATGACCTCTTTTGCTGGGATGATGAGATACACTCAAATTGGCATTTCGAGGAGCGTCACCTTCCATGACCCTAAATGCATCATCCAGGTTGTCAATAAGCAGAATTTTTTCTATCTGATTGGTCATGACCAGCTGGTTTCTGACCCGATCATTGTCGAATCTGAGAACCCTAAGAATGGTGTGAAACTGTTCATCGGGCTCGTTCAAGTTCCGGATCATCTTGCCGGGGTTACTGATGAAGATAGTGGGCTCTTCTCTGTATCGAAGCCGTGCAAAATGGCCGGCCAAACGTTCCCGGTCTCTTCCATTTGAAACGATGAAGGCATCCAGGTTTCTGCCGAGCATGGACTCTATAACGGACGACCATGCAGGCTCCTGTAGTTGGATGTGCAACCCCAAAGGCCCAATCGGCTTCTCCGAGAAACTGGTGTCCTGTTCGATGATTTTCAGGAGTTGGCGAGTCTGGGGGTGGAAGCCGGCGAGCGGGTCTGATCGGCTTTGTGCCAGGGCGCTTATGCGAGACTCGGTCGCCATGATCTCCCTTTTCTTGTCTTCTAGAGGCCTGACGGTTTCTTGGCAGCGCCGCTCGGCTTGTTTGAACTCTTCCTCCAGCTTTGGGAAGTGAGCGCTGTGCTCCTCCCGGGCTCTTTCTGCCGCATTCACGGCTTCTTCTGCCTGTTCCAAGGCTTGTTTCTTCTCAGCACGAGCTCCTCCCTGGGCCTTCTCGAGCCGTGCTTCTTCCTCGCTGACTTTTTTCGCGAAGTTCTTGGCGTCTTGGTTGGCATTAGTCAGTTGCCCGTGAATCTCGCGTTCTGCCAAGTGAATCTTCGAGACTGCAGCTTTTGCCTCATCATATTTATCTTTTGCCTCCTCTGTCTTCTGCTGCAGCTGGGACTCTTCTTGACGCAGCTCCTCCAGTTCGCCCTTGGCGGAAGCAATGAGCCCATCCTGCTGTTGCAACCTAGCCTCCAGTTCCTCAATTTTTCGTTGAGCCTCGGATTTTTGGTCTTCGAAGCTAGCGATACTGTTCTCCATTTCCTGGAAAATGATTTCTTGCTCTTGTACTTGTGCCCATGCGAGCTGCCGTCTGTGGTTTTTTGCCTTCCTGCGAAGCTCATCGTTCTTCCCAGCGATCTCTTTGAGCTTTCTGTACTTGTCCATGTCAGCCTTGATAGCGCTGAAGTTGTCCTCGAAACCGGCAAGCTTGGCCTCGGTAGCGTCGATATGCTCGTGGATGAGTTGCAGGTCATCGCTGAGCTGTTGGAGCTGGGTACCTTGAAGAAAGTAGTTGTACTTCTGGGCGGGGGTGGCGGAGTTCAGGAACTGCCTTGCGTTATCTTGCGACAAGACGTTGAGAGGGTTGTCGACCTGGAGACAGTAGTAATCGACAACATCTTGGACGTCGTCTCGCTTGGTAGAAATGATCCTGTTGGCTGTAGACTTGAGCTTGAAACCACTGCTGCCACTTTTGTTGAAGTTACGCTCGACAATGATGGAGTCGCCGAAAAGGTCGTGCTTGTAAGCGTCGGTGCCCTGGTTCTTGATCTTGACAACGAGCTGGCCATGGTCCTTGCCTTCCTTGATGAAAGACTTCAAGCTGGCGCCACGGTTGGTTGAGCTAGCCTTGCCTCCGAGGCAGAGGGTGATGGCAGTGAGGATAGCGCTCTTGCCACTGCCGTTCTCACCAACTATGAAGTTGAGCAGGGGTCCCAGTTCGACATGTAACCTCTCGTGGCACATGAAGTTGTATACTGTGATGCTCTCAAGGACGGCGTTCAGAGCGGCGTGATTTTCGCCAATCAATTCGGGGCGGCTTTTGAGGCGTTGGGTGGCTCTCTGGTCGTCTTCTTCGATGTGCTGTAGATGCTCAAAGTTCATATCGCGGTCCAGTTCGAATTGGGAAGCGGCTGGCAAGTCGGCGGCCGGGGTTGGTGCTTGGGTGGCCTCATCTTCGTCTTCCGAGGAATCTTGCGATCGCGGGCGACGAGATATTGACGAGTCCTTTCGCTGATGGGCTCCCGACACGCGCGCCTTCTTTCTCTGCTAGCAGGCTGTCAGAATAGTAGCACGACACGGCACGACACGGCCGGAGGGGGCAGGCTATAGTTACAGCATCATTACGAAAACTCGAGCTAGCCTCAGCAACAACGAGACCATCATGCTCTTCCCCCTCGAAGGCGATGCGCCGCGAGCGCTTCGCGGTAGCAGACGGCATGGCGCTGGCGTGCTGAAGCTGGAGTCGCGCAGGATAGATGGTGCCCTAGGTTGGTGAAGCCAAGGTCGCTTTGCCGTGCATGAGGAAGGGAAATGTTGGGTGTATACAAGAACAGTCAATATGATCGGCGAGCCCCAAGGCAGTTATGCTGCTACAGCGAGCATCCACGAAAGTCCATTCCGTATGCGTAGTCAAAAGGATGGATTTAATTGATATCAGCCGCAAGACGCGACTTGCAGTGTGACGCGACTGTCAATTTAGTGGACTTCCCGGGCTCGCAGAATGGTCAAAGCACCTGAAAGTTTGACCTCTCCGCCCCGAAATCTACCCCGCCATTCCACTATCGTCACTTAAAAAACCCCCCCCCCCCCGCTATATTCATAAAGAAGTCAGCAGGGTTTAGGTACCTGTACTCCTCCAAGGTAGACAAACTGCTGCTGCTGCTGTTGTTGTTGTTGTTGTTGTTGTTGTTGTTGTCGTTGTAAGGAATTTTTGCACAAGTGTTGATTGATCCAGGGTCATGTGATTGCATGCTATCGAGAGCCGCTTCAGCTTCACCGTACGGAAATCGCTCGGGATTCGCTCAAACCCTCCCAAACTCCTCCTCTTGATGCTTCTTGCCTTTCAAACCTAGAAAGCTCGATAGACCTGGTTTGTTTCAGCATGTCCACACCAAAACCCACGTCACAGCCGGCCATGCCACCAGGGGACAGAGTGGACTTCTTCCAAGATGGGTTCGATGGGTTCCCAAGACGACTACCGGAGAACTGCGTTGAATACATCATCTTCGTCATTGACAGCCAGCTAGAAGCCCGTAAGCTTCTCTCCGCTTTGGAAGCCGTCAGGAAGGCCGCAGTTCAGCTTACGGAGACCCTCACAAAGGAGTATATATGGCAACGTGATGGCCTACAGCTCGAGGTAAAGACCGACAAGCACCTTCTTTACCTGCAAGGCACCAGTTACTACGGCGACTCTGTCGAGGATGAGTGGCTGATAGTCTATCTGCTTCGAGAGCTTACCAAGTCACATCCAAACCTGTGGGTGCGCGTTTTCGACAGCGATGGCGAGTTCCTGCTCGTCGAGGCGGCGAATGTCCTTCCCAACTGGCTCAGCCCGGAGGTCGACAGCAATCGCGTGTGGATCCATCAAGGGAAGTTGCACATCATCCCTTTGAGAAAGGGATCTCATGACAAGCGTCCCTTGACTTTGGCCGAGTCTGTCCATTATCTCAAATCTGAACCAACGTCAAGCCTAGTTCATTCTACCTTCATCGAGGCCGAAGCCTTCTATCGTCTGGACAAGTATCCTGGCCAGATCGCCGGGTCTCTCCACCACTCGGTCATCACGATACCGCGCAAGCTCGCGTATATCCTGCACGAAATGCCCGCCGCCATTGCACCTGCCGTGGAGGCCTTCTACCTGAGGGATCCGGTTTCTATGAAATCTCTCCTTTCTCCATCTGGCAAGCTCAGCTTCCCTCCCAAAGACCTCGTGACTGTTAGTGCCAAGTTCACAAAAGTTCTCTTTGCCCAGCTGAAGTCTCAGCGCTTTACGCAGCCACCTGTGTGGGTGCCTATCGTGGAGGCCGCAGAAAAGGGTGGCACAGGCGCAGAAAAGTCACAGAAAGCTCTTGACCAGCTGGAAATCGGCATGAAGGTTACTAGCGGGTTCGAGATGCTAGCTGTAAATGCAGAAACAAAGGACAATCGGATCGCGCGAGAGGTGGCCATTCTTCTAGAAGATCTCGAGGAAGACGGCGATCAAAGCCTTCCAAGCGACGCCACAATCCAAGCCTGGCCGAATGTCAATCGTGACGATGACGAGTCTTGGATGGATATCAACTACGAGGATTTTGAAAAGGAGCTCGATGGCAAGAGTGCTACCAAAGGCGGAAAGAACCCCGGCTTTGGGGACTCGACCGCGCAAGCAGATTTGCAAAAGATCGTGTCGAGGTTCGAGTCTTTCCTCAATGACGACACGGCTGGCTTGGAGGGTGCTGAGCTGAATGATATGGACTTGGATGATGACGATGAGCTCTCGGATGACGATGACGGTGAAGAAGACAGTGAAGACGAGGATAAAGACGTCAGCTTTGATGAGGAGCAGTTTGCCAGAATGATGCGGGAGATGATGGGCATGCCGTCGGTTGAAAGGCCTACCCCGAGTTATTCTGCCAAGTCACTTAACAAACCAGGGCGTACCACATTGGCTGAAGAGCCGGACGATGAACATGAGGACGACGATGATGAAGCGATTAGACAGCTTGCAGCACAGATGGAGTCTGAACTGAACGAGCATGGTGCTCTTCAGCTGGACCCAACGCCCAAGAAGCTCAAAGCTTTGAGAGAAAAGGACGTAGAAGACACAGGGAAAGGCAAAGGGACAGAGGCTGCACAAAGTGACGGCGAAGAGAGTGGAGATGATGAGGTCGATATCGACTATAACCTAGCAAAGAACTTGCTCGAAAGTTTCAAAGGTCAAGCGGGAATGGCTGGTCCAGCAGGAAACATCTTGGGCATGATGGGGATGAAACTACCCCGAGATGAGCACGACGAAGACAAGGAGTAGATGTGACCGTACCTGGTCTAGGTTTTATGTTGTACAGTCTCTAGCAATCAGGAGTGGTATATATCCAGTGTACCCGGGTCGGGCTATCCGCAAGAGCTAGTTGCAGCAAAGAAATAACGTGAACCTCTCTGGGCTTTATCAATTTGATCGATCGTATCACTATCATCTCATTCGACTGGCTGTTTCGACCTTCAATCTCGTCCATACAGCATTCCAGGGAACCAGGGCCAATTCAGTGCATACCGGTAGATGTATTTCGGGCGACTTCAAATAGTAGTGACCCCCCAGCCACAGTGCTTGCGACACCCCCACTAAGCTTATTAGCACTAAACATATCGACGTCACTGGCGCCCGAAGAGCCAGCCCACTTTCATTGTACTCTGCTTTTTGAAGTGAATCATGCACGCGTTTTACATTCACGGGACGAAATAGAGCATAGACATGCCTGACTGGAGTGACTACTGAAGGATCGCTACTCTTCTTTGCAACAGTCAAAGCAGCATCGTTCACACGTTGCATATACAAGACACCCTACCCGGCCAATGCTACGCATGGCTTGTTTGGCCTCGGAGTATTCGCATCAACACCACCACGGGAGCACTTCTACAATCCAGCCAAAGCTGCCCTGCTTCCGCGATCACTTTGTTGGTCATCTCTAGTTATACAAATCGACAGTCCGATATTTTATCCCAAGCCGACCAAGCTGTCAAGGGGCGTCTGTCACAGTCGCGGGCCTTGCCGAAACCTCGTCTGGGCATTCACGACGGTAGATGAATGGTTTGGCTAGGTTGCGCGTGGTTCCTATTTGATCGAGTGCAAGCATGTGGCCTAGCAGGATTATTTCCAATCTTCAGAAGACGTACGATGAGAGCTATCTGAGATGCTCTACTGCCGTTTACTATGAGAGTCAGGTATGTTCTTGATCGAACATGGTGCTCAAATCAAGCCCCAGGAACCCGGGAACAGCTAACATGAGTCCTCCAACAGAGCGATGAGAAGGAGGCAATGCGCTACTGGAGGTCAGCGTTAGACCTCCTTACACAGAATGCCCAGAGCACGACGACCTATACACCAAGGACGGCGACCGAGCGGGCCTTGATCGAGAGTTTGAAGACGCTTGAGGTGCAGTGCAAGGAAAGAATTGATTTGCTGGAGGCTTTGAGAATATCAAGGGATGGCCAGCCCGACCGGCAAAAGCCCTCTTCTGGAGACGCTGCTGGCCCTTCTGGCGCCGACGTGACTGAGAAGGGCTGGATAGGCGAGGGCACAATACCAGCCGTATCCTACCAAGATCTCACAAGACCGTCTCTGCCCCCGCGACCGTCAATGATGTCACGAACCTCCTCAGATAGGGCTGTCGTGGGCCGCAAGATTAGCAGTGTCGAAGCCGACGCGGTTGCTTCATCCTCGAAATCACCGCCAACCTTACCACCCTATGCGGCAGCCGCACCTGCACCCAAGAAGAAGGTTGACCGTTCGCCCAGTCCTGACAAGCGCACTATGCGCACAACGTTGCGTTCAAGCAAAGGGAATAAGCCCTCCAAAACTGGTCGGAGTTCTTCCTCGAAAGCAGCCGAGCCGCCAGGAGCGAGTAAAGCTGCAACATTGGCCTGGTCCGCCATTGGTGCCAAGGACAACGTCGGCCGGCCATCGTTACCAGACATTTCCGGCTCGAAAGTGTCCAACACGTCATCGCACTGGGACAGTCATACCCGTAGGCTGGTAGCGCCGGCAGAGAACGGTGTACCGCGGCCAGCCAGTCCAGACTCTTTGGCTCCTAGGCGCAGCGAAGATCTTGGAGATCCAAGACCGTCTCCTCTGGCTCTTGGTGCCGCTTCCAGTGCTTTGAGCTACTTGTCGGTAAACGACAGGCAGGATCCAAGCCTTGCGAGTACCCGCGCCGAGCGTACATCCAAGTCGAAGAGCACTTCCTCGGCGGCGCAAGATGCTGCCAGAAGAACGCTGTCCGAAGCGGATGTTCCTGGTTCTGGCAGGAGCTCCAGCGATATCCCTATCAGAAGGAAACTTGCCACACAGAACACGCCCCCCAACAGCGCTCGGAAACGAGCAATACGTGAGAAGCGAACTGTCAACCCCAAACACTCTTCCGAATCAGACGACGAGCCAAGACGATCAGGCTCGCTCCGGCGGAGCGGCAGGGGCAAGCGCGAGGAAGATCACGTCCCAGCAGATAGCACTGCACATTCTGGCGAGTCGGGCGAAGACGAAGAGCAGAAGAAGGCGAAAAGTGCATGGGAGAAGAAAAAGAAGGCTATCCTGAAGCAGCTACCTCCTGGAGTTGACAGTGCTTCAGCCAAGGCTATATTCAACGAAATCGTTGTGAAGGGCGACGAGGTGCGTTGGAGTGATGTGGCCGGTCTGCACATTGCCAAGAACGCGCTCCGAGAAGCTGTGGTATATCCATTCTTGCGACCAGATCTCTTCATGGGCTTGCGTGAACCAGCCAGGGGCATGCTCCTCTTTGGGCCTCCTGGAACAGGAAAGACCATGCTGGCCCGCGCGGTCGCCACCGAGTCCAAGTCAACCTTCTTCTCCATCTCTGCTAGTAGTTTGACGAGCAAGTATTTGGGCGAATCGGAGAAACTCGTTCGAGCACTCTTTGCCCTGGCCAAGGCTATGGCGCCAAGTATCATCTTTGTTGATGAGATCGATTCGCTGCTCTCCCAGAGATCTGGCTCAGGGGAACACGAAGCTACCCGCAGGATAAAGACCGAGTTTCTGATTCAATGGAGCGACTTGCAGAGAGCCGCCGCTGGGCGCGAAAGCCCTGGTGGAAGCAAGGAGTTATCAGGCGATGCCAACAGGGTCCTGGTGCTTGCGGCTACCAACCTTCCATGGGCTATCGATGAGGCAGCAAGAAGAAGATTTGTAAGGCGGCAGTACATTCCACTTCCAGAGCCAGAAACCAGGGCTACTCAACTGAGGACATTACTTGGCCAACAGAAACACAACCTCTCAGAGGATGACATGCTTGAGCTGGTGGCGTTGACTGATGGCTTCTCCGGGTCAGACATAACGGCCCTGGCCAAGGATGCTGCCATGGGACCGCTTCGATCGCTAGGCGAAGCGTTACTTTCTATGACTATGGACCAGATTCGGCCGATAGAACTGGTTGACTTCAAGGCTAGTCTTGGTATGATCCGTCCCAGCGTCAGCAAAGAAGGCCTGAAAGAGTACGAGGATTGGGCCAGGCAGTTCGGTGAGCGCGGCGGTTGAGGAATTTTGGGGCCAAGGGTTTTCTTCTTTTTCTTTCCTGTTATTAAATGTCGTACATGGCTAAAGAGGAGGACGAATTATGAACTTGGGCCACGGCGTTGGACATAAGGAGTTAAAGTAGACAGCCTGTCTGCGGTATGGGACATGATACCACTCTGGTGTAGGAGAAATAGCATAGAAAAAGTCCACGAGTTCGGGTGCTCTTGACTTTTTTTGTATTTTGCGGCTTCTGCAGGCCGCTGTACAATATAGTACACGATATATACACTTTATCCGCACCGACAATGGGGTGAAGACAACGACAGCCTCCACGGCTTGGCAGTACTGGCGTACTGGCGTACTGGGCACCCCTAACCTGTTTGCTGTCCGGTAGTTATTCATTCCGCATCGCCGACAGTGCTCCGGAGCTCTTGCAGCTTCCTCTCCTTGGCCTGTTCCCTGCTCTGTTCCCACTCTTCCTTGCGCGCCCTCCTCTCGAGCTTGGCGGCTTTCTCGGCCTCTCTCTGTTTCCTGGTCTCGGCGTCCCTGGCAGCCCTCCTCTCCAGCTTGGCCTCCCGCGTCCCGGCGTACTTCTCGTACAGCTCGGTCTCGCTCAGCACTGCAGGGCGCTCGTCGATGGGGGGCCCATGGGGCGCGATGATGTGTCGCACGATGTGCCGCACGTGCTGCGAGGCGCGCCAGCCGGCCGAGATGTTGATCACGTCGCCCTGGCGCACCGAGTTGTTGGGGTCGTGCACTAGGTGGTAGGTCGGGACTTGGAAGCTCTATATTTTTGGGCAAGGTATACTCGTCAGCGATTTCTGTCTTCCTTTCCTTGTTCTGTTTTCCCTCCCCTGTTGAGAGGAAGACCCCGGGCCCCTGATCCTCCCTCCCCCCTTGAGTTGGGGGCACTGCTTCCTAGGGGGGGAAAGGGCTCACCTTTTGCACTTGCTTCTCCCACCTAGATCCCCATAACCGCACTTTCACTGTCTTGTCCATGGTGCCTGCCGTCACCACCACGGCGGTCTTGGATCCCAGGAGTTGTCGGCCCGGGTTGCTGGCATGCGTGAGCGCCTTGGCCGAGAGGCTGGCGGCGGCGGTTCTGGCCGGTGCAGCCATTGTTCTGCGCGGGTTCGTCGCTGCGACTGTTTTGTACCAGCTATTGAACGGTCTAATCAGACGGGAGGGGCATCCACCGGAATGGAAATAGCGGAGCCGTAGAATGAAGTTGCGCCGTGATGACGGAGGGTTTCTGCTGCTGCTGCTGCTGCTGCTGCTGATACGACCAATGCCGACGTGCTTAGCTGCCAACTACCTTCGCGATGGAAGCTCGACAACTCGAAATATTTCGGACAGGGATCTCAGAGTCGGATTAACCCCTACCGCGCTAGTCAGTTTCGGGGTGTGTGTGGTCCACTCCTGGCCGTAGCATGGTTTATTTAACTCTAGCACAGGCAGTGTGAGTAAATCATGACAGCTGAAGAGTAATTCTTTCAGTGCCATCTCGTGTGCCAATGCAATATCAACTTGTGCCTGTTGCAGAAAAAGGACAATATGAATAGTCTCAAGCTGTGAAGAAAGAAAGAAATTTGGCACCCGAAGAGAACAAACGCTAGGATTAATTGGCGTAACGAAGCAGCGTAACTGCGCTTGTAGGTAAAGTGTTGCAGATGCTAATAGGCTTTTCACCGCGTTTATCTTAGCAGTCCAGTAGGTTAGACCAGTAAGTGTTAGACAGAGCTATTATGTAGCTGCACGGCGTTCTCGTCAACACTCTGAGACTCTGGTCGACTCCAACCTCCCTACCATCAAAACGTGATTTATGTTGCCTCGTACTTTAAGGTATTATGTGATCTGAGGGTCTACGATAGCCTCTAGGTAGAAGGTGAAAATCGCTATACCTACCGTTTGAACCTACTGGCCACATCAGAAACGTGGTATCGGGGTCATGATCTGAGTGACTGCTCATTTAAAGGCGGAGACATGTCAACACTGCTACAGAGCTTTGGTACGTTCTGAATCACGTCAGCCCGGTCTATTGCCCTGGTTGGAATCATTCACGATAGTAGGTGTAAATCAATAACTGATGCATAAGATAACCCTCGAGGTTCACATACCTATACAGATATCGACAGCGTTCTTCAACAGCCGTTTTATACATAAGGCGCTAGCCCGAAGTCCGTTAGTGTGTGTCAACGAACCAATCACTAAACTAGTTTCTTCACTACCGTCACGCTATCCTAACATGGTCAATACTTCGTCCTCGGTCCATCGAATGAATGGCAAGGGTTTGGGAGCCTGGACTAGGGGTTGACAGACACGTGCGCCAAATAGCCTTGCTAACCACCAAGTGAAAAGGGACGTTGCGAAGCGATTGAGCATATTAAGCCGCGACCTGTCGTTGGGGTAGGGGACATTCAGCGACAAAATTCGGCACCGATAAAGGGGGTACTCTCACAGCACTGTGCCCGTGTCGTGGAATATTAATTACAGCATGGGTATCATTGGTGCTTTCCTTGCCTTCTGGCATTCCCATATATTCCTTACTCTTCCCGAGCCCACCAAGCTCTTTACCGGCCAGACCATTGTTGTAACCGGGTCCAACACGGGTCTTGGGCTCGAAGCAGCACGTTACTTCGTGCGCCTTGACGCTGCCAGAGTAATCCTAGCTGTGCGTAGCCTCGAGAAGGGCAACACGGCCAAGTCCTCCATCGAGGCCTCGGAAGGGCGCACGGGTGTCGTTGAGGTCTGGGAGCTCGATCTCTCGCGGTACGAGTCGGTCAAGGCATTCGGTGAGCGCGTCAGCAGCCATCTCGAGCGCCTCGACGTCGTGGTCGAGAATGCCGGCGTGCTGACGCAGAAGTGGGCCATGGCCGAGGACAACGAGATCACCATTACCGTCAACGTGGTGAGCACGTTCTTGTTGGCATTGCTCGTCCTGCCCAAGTTGAGGGAGACTTCGGTCAAGTTTGGGAAAGACGCCGTCCTGACTTTCACGGGGAGTTTTGTGCACTGGATTACCTTATTCCCGGAGAGGAACGCGAAGAGCATTCTCGAAGAGACCGCGAAGAAGGAGAACGCGAGGCTCTGGGATAGGTAAGATTCGTGACAAAGTTCAACTCTGAACTGGCTGTTTGTTGACCTTCGTACTCTAGATATAATGTCTCGAAGTTGATGGAGACCTTGGCATTTCGCGAGTTCTCGGAGAAGCTCATGCAATCTTCAAATCCGGGCAATGTCATCACCTCTATTCGTGAGTATTGACTCACTGTCAAGGAGGGTAAATAACAGACCTGGGATGCTAACAACTTGTGCAGTGAATCCCGGTGTTGTGGAAACAGACCTGAACCGTGAAGTGCAGCTGGGAATCCTTGGAATACCAAGGAGAATCTTCATGAAGGTGGTTGGCCGGAGCCCGCATGAAGGCAGCAGGACACTAGTCCACGCTGCAGTAGGTGCACCCGAGACCAATGGGCAGTATCTAGATGATTGCCGAGTGGGAGAGTAAGCATCCTGATCCGCCCTAGACTATGAGATAGGCCGACGCTGACCGTGATTTAGATTCTCAACATTTGTGCAAAGTCAAGATGGCATTGAGACACAAAAGAGGCTTTGGGTTGAGCTTGTGGAGAAGTTGGAACACATTTCCCCGGGCATCTCCCAGAATATCTAGTCTTTGCAAACAGCGATGGCCTTGATGGACTAAACCAACGACTCTGTGACTTGCCAAGATGCAATGCTATCCAGTCGCAATAACGCAAGGTTGCTTCTCGTTCGATATCTACTTCCCAGGTCCAGTTACGGACACCCTCTGCTGGCCGTCACACTTTTATATGTTCCTACTAGGCATGTACCTCAACAGGTTCAATTTCCGCATACTGTTGGCCCAGAAACGACCACAGCCTTTGAGAGGAGCGAAGAGAGAGTAAAAATAGGGTCGGAGCTCGGGGTCAAACCGAGGGCCTCTTGCAAGTAGTCTTTGTAGACCCAAAGCAAGAACGCTAAACCACTGCGCCACACCGACTGTGGTGGTTGACAATGACAATGTCTATCGTGCCTTGGGAGGCCTGGGAACGGCGAGGAGCTCAAGACAATGCTTGCCACGGTCAGTGTTGAGGGCATGAATATATTGGTAGGCGACTAGATTGGTTGGCATCAGCAGTCGACGGCCCTCAGCCAGAGATTGGGGTTTCTCGGGCACTTATGAACGCAAGCTCACTCACAGACCCGGCCACGTGGCAGGGACAGACATATTATGGCTTCCTTGAGAATGAATATTCAGTCGCGTTTGGAACATGCAATGGACTCTTTATTTCGAGGTAAATGAAAGAACAGTATGCGTCAACTGTTCCCTCATTGGTATAATCTTTTTGGCCGTCTAGACTTTCGGTCTATCCCGATCTAGAGCTCGTTATATACCGTCTAAGACATACATGTCTTATCTATACGTCATACAAAGCAACTCAGCCAGTAGCGAGCTTGCTCAGACCGGCAGCATCTCCATTGAACTTGTCACCGTCACCACCATACGCATACGAGTCAGAGTACTGCCAGATCGTTTGATACGGCCAGCCACCAGGGGCGGGCCCAACGGTGCTCGAGTAATGCGCCAACACCAGAGGGTTTGTCTTCGAGAAAGCCTGCGAATTGCCTGTGCAGTCCTTCCACCACGACGGATTGGTGTACAGCATTGGGTATCGCCCCGTCTTAGTGTGGTAAGTATCGCTGAAGTCCCCGATAAAGGTCACCATGGCGCTTGCAGACAATCCCCAGCATTCGCCCGAAGATCCGGACTCAAGATCGAGCATGCCAGGAAGCGTGAGACCGTCCCCTGTCCATCCGCCGCCGTGGGCAAGGAAGTAGTTGGCCTGTGCAGCTCCAGCGCCCGAACTTGAACTGGGATGAGCAAAGTGGTAACCACCACGGATCAGTTTGGCATTCGTGGCACCGGTGTAGTGGTCTGAGAACTTGGGATCGATATATGTTGTGCCCTCTGTGGCCTAGCGTACGTGTTAGGTATTGGCTATCTCCTTGTTGGAAATATGAGGGTCGGATTACCTTGATGATAACAAATCGAGCACCACTAGAATAGGCTTGCGCGAAGTTGACAGTGGATTGATAATGGGAAATATCAAAGCCTTGGACCTCTGCTTGAGCGTAACCCCAGAAGGCAACGGTGCTCGCGAGAGCAACCTTGATCGTGTTGGGAACCATGACAAGAGATGAGATAATCGCTCTTTAGTAGAGTTGATACGGACTTATAGTTAACGTTGATAGATAATATTCATTGGAAATTTCCTGCTAGATACTTGCAATTTAGGCCTCTTATAAGTCTGCAGGCACTTTTGGTCTCCTCGATTATAGTACCGTGACATGACGGCATCATGGCTGCTCCTTCCCGTCCATGGCCTCGCTGATGAGAGCAGATGGGGGGGGGGGGGGGGGGGGGGGGGGGGGGAGCTGAAGATTGACGGTGCTAATCCCTCCAAGATCTGCGAAGATCGTCCCCATATTCAGTCCCAAGGTTTCAGTTGCAACGTCAATGGCTGCCATTAAACAAATTCCATCCAGCTGATATGTGTTTATACTATACTTTTATGGAGCTGAATTTCAGGGGTTGCTGGTAGCGAAAGAAACCCTGCATAGAATATTTTAAGAAGCGGCAGACTAATGCAGGGCAGATAAAATATGCCTGGGCGGAGCGGCGAACTGATTCTGTATGGCTAACGAACCTTCCTATTTAGTACAGGTGACACCTTCCATGCCGACGCTCGATACTTTAGTCTGCTATGACTTCATTGTTTCTGTTGTGCAGTCGTCCTTTGCAATAATGTTAGAGCTCCAGCGGGTGACAACCTGTGCGTGACATGCCACAAGCTAGGGATTGGTCGATCCCGTGCACCTCTCCAAAACGTCAAGTTGCGGGTGGCGACAGCTTAGGTTTGTTATAGTGTACGAATTTATGTTTATCCCAAGTTGGCGCTGTTGTACCCGGAATCTTGAGCTATACTGTGCCTATCAAGGACACTAACTAGTATGAGGGTCAACCTGGGCGAGTTTATGAGCTACAGCCTCATGGTTGTGGGATTTTCAAAGCCGGACTAATTCCTTGAGGATCACTCCGGTTAAGGTACCCGAAACACTGCTCTCCAGCTGAATGTTACATAACGGATCTTCAGGACGGTCTCCCTTTTGGTGACGTATAGTCTCAGACATGCTGATATACGCACTACAACGCTGTTGCTAAGCAGCTAGTCTAAGGCTGATGGTTTCAGACAGCTCAAACTTCAAGCGTCACTGTCCCGATGCTTGTGCTCACACGTGCTATATAATGACGATATTGATATGTGATAGAAATTGGATCTTGCTATTGACGACTGGCAAGCAGGAATTGCAACAGATCATTGGTGACACCATGTGACAGTTGCCTGCAGCTGATATTGAGGTCACCAAACTAATATGCAACCTGATTGGTTGTAATGGCCATGATTCGGGACACGATCATGAGTGTATATATTCCGTGATCTCCATTTGTTTCGATTCTAGTGGTTAGTTTGTATAGTCCACTAACACAGTCTTAGTTGTGACATAAAAGTTTAAAGTTTCGTGTATGTTACGATTCTAGTTATGGGCTTTCCCACGAACATATGAGTCTTCCCCTATCCATAGCACTATCGTATACAGTTCGAAACGTCTCCGAGATCCTCAAAAAAGGAAGTCTCTTCGGTAGCTTTTAGTCTATGTCTTGTGTCTTGTATCTTACTCCTGTGTTATACCTGACTAGTCGTGTGCGTATATCGTGACAGAGTACTCGAACACATATTAGTCTTACCGTGAAAGCTAATCATATTCCATATAATCGTACTAGCTTCCTTTTGGAAAGCACTTCGAGTTTAATGACCGACTTTCAATATTCATTCCCCGCCACATTAGTCTAGGTGAAGATTATTAGAAATTACTCACGGCCTCCGCGAACTTTCGTATATGCCACTTGACAGTCTTCGCTCTAACCTGGAAAGCGTCTACATGATTCTACTACCTTCGATCTGATATCTCCTGAGACGGGCTTGGAAGGTCACTGTCGGAACTGCATGATGGATTGCATGCGAGTAAGCTGACGCGGTGTGAGCGATGCATATTATTAGCCTTGGCGTGACAAGAACAGTCCGGGGAAACAAAGTTTAGAAACAATGGGTACACTGAACTCCGGCCCCGAACACATTCCTAGGAATTGTACCAGTTTCGATAAACGTGCTGAGTAGACCAGAAGAAATCTCTTGGGAACAGCTCATGCTTTCACTGTAAGAGATACAATGTTTGTTCCAAATTTGCTGGAGGTTTCAATGTTCAGGCGGACTACGGAGTGAGAAGATGATCGGGATTATGGATGCTCTGAGCCGTGAAAGCGGGGTTGAAAGAGGTTGGCTGGTTGGCAGGTTGGGACAGCGGACAGGGGACAGCCCAGAGTGTCTCCTTGTCGGGTCCCTTACTCTGGATTTCAGCAGTTCTACTAACAACAACCCCTCACCCCTTCTAATGGTACCCCCACCGGTCCTTCAGCCACATGCAAAATACGGTTTATCTGGCTTGGCTGTTATATGATCGCTTGTCGGGAACGGAAATACCAGTAAGCCGAGACTTGTGAAGCGTTAACTGCAGCCAATGATCAAAATTACTGTGGGTTGATCCTATGGCAAGAGCAGGTTCAGCCACACGCCCGACGATATGTTGGGTGGGGCGGGGGGTTGTTGTTAGCTGGATTGATATCGACTGTAGACTCGCATGTGCAGGTTGTGGGGTAGCAGAATAAAACTTTCTCGCTTCGTTCGCTCACCTCACCGTAGTTGTCTATTTCTATATAATCTTCCACGTTGACCATTCCCTCACGAGCTGTCAAGCTGCCGTCTTACCAAACGAGTGAACCATCTTGGACGTTCTACCAACTCCTCTTCTGTATCTTACCCATTCCCAGAATCCTTCTGCATATATACTGCCTTAGTTGCCTCACTTGGCGCCCCTCCCCTACACATCCATCATGTCGTCTCCTCAAATGCGCGCTGGCAACAAGCGACCTCGTAAGTTTTGACCTGCTTTTCGTGCTCTCCTCAATTATACAATACTTGCGAGAAGACATGGCCAATGCTGTTGGCTTCTCCAAGCCTTCTTCTTGTAGGGTTATGGACAAGGCTCAAACATCACAATGGCGGTGCGCTGAGTGCTCTCTCTTCCAACCTGGCCCTTTTGTTATCTTGACTGTTTCTGTTCCACGTCCTTGTCGGCCAGTTTGACTTCGCTTGGCACTTGGTGGAGCAGTGCCTATCTTTTCACCTTTAGGGTCAGGCCAATGCAGCTACCCGTCGTTGATTGCTTTTCTTCTCACTTCTTTCTCTCTTTCTACCTATCTTCTTTTCTGCTCTTATGCGCGTCAAGTCGTTCGCGGTCATCTTGTAACATTATACACAAGACAGCTTAATCCACCAGAATTTGCATTGAAGAAAATCTCCCCAACTGACATAATGATCCCTTCAACAGGCACACAGTCGCTTCCTCCCCCCGCCTTGCCTCAATTGGTCGCCGAGCAACAATTGCCCATTCCTTCAAGCGACAAGGACTCGCAAAGGCTGATCGTCGTCCTCTCCAATGCTAGTCTAGAGACCTACAAGGCATCACATGGCGGTGGCCGCATGGGCGTGCAGCGAGACGACAAATACTCGCTGCTCAACAGTGACGAGCACATCGGTGTCATGAGAAAGATGAACCGCGATATTAGTGACGCTCGTCCAGATATCACCCATCAGGTAGGACGAATTCAACATGCCTAGAGTCTGGCATCCAACATGCTGACTGGACTGACCTAGTGCCTGCTTACCCTCCTCGATTCACCCATCAACAAGGCAGGCAAGCTGCAGATCTACATCCACACTGCCAAAGGTGTCTTGATAGAAGTCTCACCCACCGTTCGGATTCCCCGAACATTCAAGCGGTTCGCCGGTCTCATGGTGCAGCTCCTGCATCGACTTTCCATTCGCTCCACTACCTCCCAAGAGAAGCTCCTGAGGGTCATTCAGAACCCGATCACCGATCACCTGCCGCCCAATTGCCGTAAGGTCACTCTTAGTTTCGATGCCCCATTGGTGCGCGTAAGGGATTGGGTTGAGAGCGTCGATTCCAACGAAAGCGTATGTGTTTTCGTTGGTGCCATGGCCAAGGGCACCGACAACTTTGCCGACGAGTTTGTCGACGAGAAGATCTCCATCAGCAACTACAGTCTGTCCGCCAGCGTGGCCTGCAGCAAATTCTGCCACGCGGCCGAGGATGTCTGGAATGTCCTTTGATCGCACCCGATAGTGGCCAAGGGAGCGTACTCGTGGTGTAAGACTAGCCACGAGTCTTGGAGGAAGCGAAGAAGAGAACGGGTGCGAACGTGTCAGGTATGATCTAAAGTGGAGTTGCTCTCGTTGAAGCCGTCATACAACATTTCGGCTGATACAAGCGCTCCTCGAGCTTGGATCTTCGGTTCTGTTCAGTCTCTGTTTTTACAACCAAAACATAAGGCGTTCAACATGGGATCCAAGACGTTTTCATCGTCTTCGTGGGCCACTTCAACTTGGCCCACATTTTCTCTTGTTTCTCCATAACTACTCCATGTACTACTACTAACATGATCACTGAACTCAAACGAGGAGGCCACCACTACGTGGTGCTCCCTCAGGGCAGACACTAATCTGTCAGAAAGCACAGACTAACCCCAGTGAAATCCGAATCTCACCAGCCATTTGTGCTGGTGGCGGAGGTATATGTCACAAATCCATTCACTAGGCGTTGTGACGTTGCGACAAACGCGCGATTGGTAGGATTCGCGAAATAGCTTAGAGTCGACTTGAAAGGACGGCGGTTGAGCAAACTAATGGAAACCACGGCATTCATTCCACTCTGAATTAACGGAGAAGGACCTTTCGATGCACATGATCTGCATAGGGATGCACAGTCGTGCATCATGCCACATCTACTTGCATACTTACACAAGTTAACACGACAGTCTTACATGAGGCTGGGTGACGTTCAGATTGAATGGACTGGTTACGAGAGCTTGTTGCGAGCCTATATTTGACAATCTCCGTCACGATACATACCAGCTAGCCAATAGCGTCAGCCAGCTCATCAATGAACTTTCAATCAACCCCGAGATTCGCATTTAAGATGCGCCCAATGCTGCAAGCACGAGGGGTACATGAAAAAGGGGACGCGCTGCCCTGGCTCATGCCCCTCGTTCTGCTCTGTTTGTCATTGGCTTGTCAGTCATGTGATCTGTTGGCATGTCTGTAAATCAATCGCTTGTTGTGGAGAATGTTGTGTATCGTTTGACATATCGTGGCCAAGTCTGCAGGAGTTTGCAGGCAGTCATGGAAGCTTTGGAAGGGAATGTTGAGTGAGGCACATGAGCACAACCACGTACTAATGCTGCCCAATTACGATTTCTCCACTATTGACGGGTCCTGCAGGCGGGCACTGTTGGCGGGCAGCTCTGCAAATGGGCATTTCTCAGCGAATGGTACTTCAGCTTCCTGCAATCAGAGATGAATCACGCAAGCCGCAACTTTCTCCTTACCTCTTGAGCGCAGATTCAACGTGGCAGACCACCTGTCGCCGCTTATGTTACATAGTACCCGACACTTAGGCAGTAGAGACAAGGGGGCTATCCTGCCAGGGGGAGTATAGCCCCGATCGCCTTGTACATGTAAATCCTTTATCCTTGTCCTGAGACCAATCAACCAACCTCGAGCCAACCCAACGGTTTCGTTGCCGTCCGTGACAGCCCACTTTGTCCATGCCCTGTCTGTCTGTGATGCTCCGTGTCGATCTAGACTCGCGAGCTGAGTGGCAGGCAATGAGGTATGTATGCAGGGCTTGGAGGGCCTTCACTTTCGGTCAAGATGGCTGGAAGAGACGATCGCTGGTTAGTGCGGATCCCTGCTCCGTTCTACTCCGTACAGTGTTGCGGTTCGAGCAACCAGGAATGAGCCAGCGGATACTCTCTCTCTAACATCACAGCGACTCTGCATTAGTACCTGAATCGAGTCGCGCTTGGCGGTGTCGCTTCATCTTCCTATTCCGTGGCGGTCTGGTGCAGTATACATATTAGGGAGTAACCAGTGCCGCAGCCATCGTGGATGTCGTGGTGATCGTTTTGACTTTCCAACACATCCACCAAGCACCATTAGCAGCAGACAGCCAGCTCACACTATCTCGTGGAGCCGCTGTGTTACAATTCCTCACCTATCGTAAATTTTTTGGTTTTAAATTTTAATTTTTTCGTTTGCAAACCTTGGTCCAAGGTTATTCGATTTTTGTCTGGTATCCTTTTTAATTACCCCGCCCTATCTTCTACGTTAATAGTGTTTCGGTCTGCCTTGTGAGGCTGCCCAACTGCACGACACCAACTCAATATCACTGTCTTTGTCCGGGCGCTTACACTTTAAGCTTCTGCCCCCTCATTGCTTGCCTCCTTTTTCCCCCCGTCCCGTTGCGGGAACGTCTACTCTATGCTACCCTACATTGAGGTCTCAGATCTTCCTCCATCTGCATCATTTTACTCCGCTGTCACTCATCCCCTTGGACTCCGGTATATAAGTGCAAATCCAGGTGCTATTGTCTACGGTGCGCCGTCTCCAACTGACCCCAACACCAACACTCCAGTCTTCGAAGTTAGGAGTGTTGGAGGCCGTGCCGAGCCACGCCAAAACGCACGACTAGTGCTTTCGGCGTCCTCGCCTTCGGAAGTGAAAGCCTTTTACGCGGCGGCGCTGCGGGCATACCCTGATCTACCGCTGATCGGCGGAGCTGAGGACCAATCCCACCGCCACTCTGACGCCGACCTGACTAGTGGCAACTGCCGTTCAGAAATTCGCGACCTCGACGGCAATATAATGGAAGTAGTCTATCTCCCTCCTGCTGGATACCCACCTAGCCATAATGGTTCAACTGTTCGTCGCACATCATCTACCACCCACGAAGTGAGCCGCATTCTGGATTGGAACCTGGACGTCGCTACTTCGCAGCCCTCAAAATCCGTCGTCGCCGGATCTCCTGGTGAGGCACTTGCACGGCGCCCGTCTGCTACCGCCGAGGGAGAGCCTTACGTCCTGAGGAGGAGCGTTACCACATCTGTTGTCGAGACCTCGACGCCCCCTCCACAGGAGAAATCGAACGGATTGAGCACCAGTGCCGTCGTCAGTACGGTTCTCGGAGCCGTCGCCGCCGGTGCAGCTATTGGTGGAGCCCTGACTTACATGAACATGAGGAGCCAACGTGATCGGGCCCCGCGGCAGGACTTTGATCCTCCGGCGTTTGCACGTCGAGCTACTGAGCCTGTGCCCGACCACAGGCCTCGCTATGTCGAAAGGACTGTGGAGAAGGTTTACTACGCGGATCAGCTGCCACCCGTCAAGAATCGTCACTATCCGCCGCCCACATACATGGCCAAGTACTCTCAGGCCGGCACCCAAAGTCGGGAAGTTGAAGAGCTCGATGATCGGTCTAGTCGGCATTCCACACGTCAAAGTACTGCTGGGAAATCTCGCACCAGGAGCGAGGCAGGCTCAACCCGCCAGCCTCTGATGATTGCGGACGCTGAATACATGAGTGCTGCGGGTTCCAAGTATACCACAAACCCCAAGTTGCTCATGGACAAGGAGCATAACAGCCAGGCTGATTACTGGAGTCGCGCCCCGTCGAAGCATTCCGTACCGCGTTCCATGAGTCGTGCGCCTGAGGAAGCGGAAACATATGTCTCATCCAGGAGCAAACATCATGAACCCGGGCCTCGATCGTACATGTCCTCCCGCAGCAAATCGTATCACGAGCCTGTAGCCGAGACGTACGTCTCTTCTCGGAGCAAAAGCCACGCTCCCGATGCTTCAACTTATGTCTCATCTCGGAGTAAAAGGTCGGAACGGTCAGACAGGTCGGAAACTACCATTAGGCCAGTCAGACAATCTACGGTCTACGAAGCGCCTCAGTCTGTCGTATACGGAGAGATACCCATCAGGTCGGCGGCACCCTCAAGGGCGCCGACTAAGGTGCACTCGAAGGCGCCCAGCCGTCACTCGGTTGCCCGTTCATCGGCGACGACGGCCATGAAGGTTCCGGTCATGTCTACCGCCGGTAGCCGTGCTGCACCTAGAATGGTTCCGTTACCTGAAAGCCACGTGAGCTATACCTCTCACTACCCGGCTGCCATTCCTCTACCTCGAAGTAGTATCGAATACGACGATGACAACGATAGCATCGCTCCTAGCGATAGCATCAGCTGTATTGGCACCCGCAGTAGGAGATGATACCAATCTATCCAAAGGCGATGCGAAGTCTTGTTCATTCGTTAAGACTGGGTTACAGGCCTCACTGCTAGCTGGGGTGTTATGGCCTATTGGACCCGCTCAAGAGGGGAAAGACGACAGAATCTCTCGCTTTCAAGTGTTTGCTGAGAGAGAACCAGGACGGTAGAACGGCATCGGACATTCTTGAAACCAGAGTCACGGACAGAGCAATCTGCAGTTATTGCATTGGGACGGTTGATGCATAGGGATATTTGATGCGGATATGTATTATGTGAGATGTCAATGGGTTCGTGTTGTACACACGTTGGGGGTATTTCTATTATTTCTATTTTGTCGTATAATATATTTCGCAACAGTCGATGCGCCAGTTCGCCAGTGGACAACACAAAGCGAACAAAACATACGGGCTTCGCTATAACCACTCACGGCTACAAACTCTTGGGTTTGTCGCCACCACCGGTTTGGCTGCTGCAATTGTCCCATTGATAGCGTGGCACGCCGAACATAATGTAGCCAGATGCCTCCAGTTCAAAGAAGTGATATGTATACCGAGGTTTCATACCCATGCGGCCTCGTAAATGTACAGCGTTGAATTTCTTTCATCTGGTAAGAAATAAAACCGCATTTTGCCGTCGACCAACGCAACATCCATTGGGTTCTTGGTAATCAAAGCTCCTAAATCACTCGTCATCATCATCGGAACCTCGTACAGAGGTCTCATGGTATGCATTTCCACCAGCGCCAGTCCTCCGATCGACACGCCTTCGCCTAGGTTGGCGATACCTGAGCATATCATCACGCTCACATTCCCGTAGTATCTAGGTCGGCCTAGATGTTTGCAGTCCTGGTAATCAACGTAATGGGCCGGGTTTCTCACGGTAGCGAGCGGAGTACTGAACTTTGGCGAAGCACCGAGGCTGTGAACCTGGGGCCACAGCGATGCTTCTCTTGAGCCCCAGTTGAAGGTCGTCAGCAAACCGCCGCCGAACGAATCACGCACCACGCCGCCTTGGTGATCCGCGACCTTGAGCACGACCTCCGGCTCCAGACGTCCCGGGTCCATCCTCACCAGCGTGCCCGTCGTGTTGGGCCTGTACTGGCTCAGCGTCGCCCAGAGGTGAGTGCCGTCGTACTCGATGCCCCCGTTGTGGTACTCGAGACTCCCGGCCTCCGAGATGCTGGCGTCCGCGATCCTGCGCCCGCGCCCGTCGAACACCATCATGTGCGCGAACCCGGCGCCGGCGCTGCGGTCCGTGCCGTCGATCCACGTGCCGCCGTCGGGAGAATACTTGACCGTGCGCTCCATGTACTCCCCTGCGGAGACCATGTAGAGGTCAGACCCGAGGCGCACGAGGCCTTCGGGCTCAAACGTGTCGCCCTCGAAGGGAACCTTGTCGACGATGTTCCATTTGGTGGAGCGTGAGAGCACGATAAACTGGGCCACTATCTCATCGCATGCTGATGAGGCCCCGGGTGGTGGGAGGGGGCTGGGAGCTAGCGGGGTGTTGGGCTGGTATATGGTTATGTTCAGCCTCGAGGCCGAGGGAAGGAGTGAGAGTATCCACTGGTGTGGCAGCATATCGGATATCTTGCTTCGACTTGTTGTATGGTACAGTTTGTAAGTTTGCCTGTACGACTTTCTTTTTTTTCTTTTTTTTTCTTTTCTCCCCCGAAAGTATAACACTCCGATCGTGTGATCTTTGGTCTTCGAGATCAAGGGACCAACCCTCACGTGTCTACCAGATAGCGGTACAACTCAGAGATAGGATATGCACTGGTTGTTTATCGAGGACGGCTGGTTAGATGAAATGCATGGCGATAGACTAATGGGGGTTGAACCCATCATGGCTGATCACCAGCGCCGGGGTCCCACATGCTTGCCGGGCGTGCCGGGAACGCCGCAGTCGCCACGACATCGTGTGTAGGTGATACAGTACCACTTTTCCACTAGAAATGTATCCGTCCAAGAACCTGTTCAGTTTCTGGGTTGCAGTATTTCACGTGCCGTGCGGGTGCTTTATGTAGGGTAGCAGGATTCGATTGCTTTGTAATTATACTACAAATACGCCTGGTGCCAGTTTTGCTGTAGGAATATTAGTTCAGCGATCTGAATCAAGAAATTAGACAAAATAATTCAGTTCGATATGTTTAGCGATATGGCCTTATCATAGACAAAACATACCTTTTATCTCTCCAGAATGATAATGATCATATGAAATTCATCGTCTGGAGTTTCGCGGCAACTGAGGTCCGATACAGCGGTTGGGCACCAAATGAAGAGATGGCTCAGCCAGCCTCGAACGACCCCGAAGGCGACATACATTTTGGTCTCCATAAGAAGTGACGACCATTTGACTGGTGTTAACAGAAAGTACCAGATTCGGGGAAATGGTAATGCTTCTACGACTGCACAAGTATGAGATAACAAGGGTGTATGAATGCTACCAGACCAATGCTGCTGAATCGAAACGGTGTGAGGCTCTTCACAAGATTTCGAACCTCTAGAGAGCTGTAAGTCTAAGCTTAGTTATAAGACTGGTGAGATTCATATGGCACACAAGCTACAAAATTTCGAGCTTGATAACTGTACGGTGCTCTTGTAGAGCCTGCCATTAGTTTGACACTCTTGCAAGTAGTCAGCATGATTGACGAAGCCACCACATTCTGGTCATATCTGTCTACTGTGGCCGATGGTTGATTGCCAGTAGCAAAGCGCGGCCACCACAGGGACTGTTAGCTCCTGTGCGGAGGATTTATTGCGAACGGCCATTATGGCAGGTAAGGGAAGAGTCGTTTATAGCGATATCATGTAACACCTGAGAGCCATTACAAAAAAGACTACGCTGCTCATTACTACTGGGCGTCAAAGCAATGGTGATGAGCCAGTTTCAGAAGCTTGTCAGCTAATCCTGAAGTTCTCAACATATTGTGTCCATGGATGTGCAGGTGGACACGGATAAGATCGACTTTCATCACTACGTTAGACTAGTACCAAAATTTCCATTATCCGATTCAAACGCCAAAGTAGATACTTTGACACGAGGAGCTGGGAAAAAAAAAAAAGTGTGGATAGCTGAGCCACGTACCGTACTCGAACCGATGACCGACAGGAGAGACTCGACATAGCCGGTGGCCAGAGCATGACACCGCTCCCAAAAGGCCGAACTGGTTCATTTCCCTGACACCTTCGCCAATGGTAATGAATCAATTCCGAAAGCTTGCAAACTTATCCCAACCTACCAGGCCTCCTCAATACCGGATAACTGCCTAGAGGGTAGACGTCGGGTTCATTCAGCCCTCGCCCCTATGGCAACGCCCCTGGATGTCCTGCTTCTTCCGCTTGCACACGCTACCCGGCATGTGGTGCGTTTGCTCATGGAGCCTCCTGGACAACGTTGGCTGCCGGTTTGATTCACATCACCGGCACAGCATCTCCCGGCCTCCCTGGAACACCCTTTGACTGCTGATGGCGTGAGTGATTGATATACATCTTTGATACATATGATTCAGAACATATTTAACACAAATACAACACCAAGAACGACCTCTGGGGTGTAGGCATGATTCACACGGAAAGGAATCAAGTTGACATATATGTTCCTTAGTCGGCGTTCTGCACATCGGAGTGCGTTGTATCAACAGGTCACGCCATATATTTAATTAACGACGGTCGTAGCTCACATTTAGTCACGAGCCTTGCAGGTACACATGTTTCGCCAACTTGAAACTGAGCGTACTTCGGTTGAGCTAATTGGTCATGATGTCTGGTATGTGGAAAAAAAAAAAAGAACTTTTCGTGTACTTCTCCAACAACTCTGCACACCGCACCAGTATTTTTGCTCAGAAGGTCCATCCGAGCCCTGACACCATCTCTAGCAGCATAGTAACATAGGAAAGGGGATATCAATAAGAGACGACCGCACTACCGCCGGAACGACTCGTCCGAGAAAGAAAAACAAAGCGAGCGGGAAGAGTACAAATGATATCAAAAAAATAAATAACAAGTAAAGGTATACCAATAACATTGCTCCCATTGCATTAACCAAGTCAGAATTGTGTAGCCTGGCCTCTTCTGACCCATGCCTAGATGCCAGGTGTGATAGGAAGGTTCCGAGGATATTCGCCAGGAACGTGCGGTGTGCTGTCCGTCCTACGTCCAGCAGGACGAGCATATTCGTTTGAGGGGTAGGAACCACTGCCGTTGGCGCTGTACTCGTGGGCGGCGTAACCATTTCCAGCTGTATTACTCTTAAGAATTGGTGCAGTTGTGGGGGCGCTGTAATCGACTGCAGCCGTCTGCGGCGCATAGGTAGCCTCCCCATTGACGTCTCGGTGAGATGCCCCATTACCAAAGTCCTGACGAGAGCTGATCACCCCTGGATCGTGGTAAGAAGAAGCATTTGCCGAGTCATGGCCATAGTCCCTGTTCTGTGTCTGGTTTGCCTGATTACCAGCAACGACAATAGGCACGCTGGAGTAGTGCTGTGAACTGTTGCGTTGAGCACCGACTGGCTCTCCGTTGTAAGGGTTGATGCCGTCCTGTCTTGCCTGGTCGTGAATAATTGCGGCGTGACTAGGGGCGGTATCCATGTTTCTCACGCTTGCTGTACTGCCGTAATTTTGACCAACCATGAGTTGAGAGGCTCTGTTTCCGGGATAGCCATCCCCTATGCCACTACCTGGCAATGCTCCGGCAGCAGCTACTGTCTCGTAGTCGCTGGCTGTGTTACCATTCTGTCCAAGACCTCCTCTCATGGCATACTCACTATTGTCAAAATACCGCTCAGAACTTTGGCTGCTTGGGGAAAGGGGCACTTGCATGCCTCGCTGAGCATTCACTTGTAGGTCGGATGGAAATCTTCCGCCAGGTGCCGGGCGCCCGAAGGAGTCCTGACGGGATCCGGGTGTAGCAACGACAGCAGCAGCGTTCTCCTCGGAGACAAACGGCTCCTCATCCACATCATCCACCATACCATCGCTCGAGATGGACCGCTGCGAAGAACGAGAAAGACTTCGGACGTGCCCACGGACAAACTGGCTACGTTCCTCGGGGCTTTTCTCTGTCAAGGCCTTGATGTCTTCGTACCAAGCCATCATAGTATCGTGGCTTTCGGCACGGAAGACCCAGGTATGGCCACGGTGCATCGACCCGGTCTGGCGCCCCTTGAGGACGAATTTGTTCGAAGAACCACCTTCAGTCGAATGCGAACCAACTTTCTGCTCCGGAAGATACAGCGACATGACAGGCGGACCGCTCTTATCCGCGCTCTTGAACTCATGCAGATGAGTCGGCGAAAGGACGTACCTAGAAGCACTTAGTAAGTATCCCAGATCTCCCGAGGAAATTCAACGTACCATCCTGCTGTGTAGCTCTTCAGATACTTGCTCTTGCGTTCAAGCAAGCCAGCCCGGATCTCCTGGCAAGCATAGTGATCGCGGCCAGGGTAATGTATGTGCTCGGCTGAGCGAACAGGTAGATCTGGATCGACGAATTGCGAGTCTTTCTGAACGAAGGAGGTCCATTCATGGTCCTTGGGCATGGCGATCGGACCGACACGTAGCTCGTCGATGGCATTATAGGCGGCATCCGACTCCCTCTTCAAAATTCCAGCGTATGCATTGTAAGACTTCTGGATCTCCCCGACAACGATCGATTCGAGCTCGCGACCAGAGGCCTCGAGGTTCAGATAGGCTTGGTGGAGATAGTTCTCCTCGTCGATCTGCCGCTCGACTTGGCGATCCACGGCCAACCTGAGCAGATAGGGGTCCTCCTTCCCGGTAGTCAAAGAAGAGTCCATGTCGGTCTTACCCAAGATGCTTTGCAGGCTATCGACCGCCCGCCTTGTGTTGTCCATCTCCTTCTCGACCGAGTTCTTGAAGTCGCCCGAGAGACTCTTGATTTCCTTCATCTTTTGGCCGAGATCGCTTCTCAGTCCAGTGAGCGCAAGAATGACATCTTCCTCGATTTCGCGAGCCTTGTTGGACTCGAGAATGGCCGTCTTGTGGTAGTTCCTCAGGATCTGAAGAGCATCGTCCAATCCGCCAGAGGGGAGGAAGCCAGGCGGGGTCTGCGTGTTGTTCAGGACATTGGCCAGTTTGAGCAGGGACTTGGATCGGTGCTCGTAGAATGTCTGGATCTCCCGGAAGTAGGCGATGAGGTCCTTCAGAATCTTGCGCCACAACTGGAACCTGTTGGACAAGCCTTCCGTAGGGTTGCCGGTGGTTGGCACGGGACAGTAGAAGGCGCTGTGGGTTTCATCGGCATCGTGTGTGCTCTGCAAGGCCAGACTCCTGACGCTGCCAGCCTTCATGCTGCGGCGACTGCTGCTGCGCATGATGCTCCCGCTTCTGCTGCCGCTTCTGCGCATGGAGCCCTTCTTCTTCAGGGTGTTGCCCCTGGACAGGGAGATAGTGCCAGCTACGGTGCCGTCGCCGTCGGTGCTCAGGACCTCGGGGCGCGAGGATATGGAGGCGGATCGTTGCATGGTGGGTTGATGAGATGGAAGGGGACCGTCGATGATGGAACTTCCTCTCACACTGGCATCCCACTCTTCAGTGAACTTTGGCTGGCGACTCGGCGATAGGTAACCGTCGAAGGCGGGCGAGGTGATGTGAGAGTTTGCCAAGGTATTGGACAAGGTTTCGTCGTCGACAGGGTTTCTTTGTGGTGGATGTGACGGTATAGGTTGCTGCTGCTGCTGTTGTTGCTGCTGATTACCGGTATACTGGAAATAACCGCCACTGGCAGGAGGTAGGTGACTGTGGTGGGAAGAGTGTGCGGCAGACGGGTGTTGCGGCAGAGGAGGTCTAGTACCCATTGTGGGTGGAATGCACCAAGTGGTGTGTTGACGCAATTGCAAAGGCCTAACCTTAGTGATGTCCCCGACTGCGACTTGCTTGACCCGGACCGTCTTAGGCTGCGTGTTAGAACTCAGACGTGCGCAGCGTGTCAGCGTGGCAGCGTGTGCGGTACTTGGTGGGCACAAGTACGCAGGAATTAGATCGTAGATCGCAGATCGGGCAGCCCGCGGCGTCTTTCTGTCTCTGCCTTTAACTCGAAGGGGTCAAAGCTGACTGAGGAAAATAAGTAACGAGACGGCTAGTGCCCAAGATACCAAGCATGTACCAGCCAAGATCAGCACAGCGTCAGACGTCTTCCGCTGGCTCTTAACTATAGTATTTGAAATAGATAAACAAGAAAGGGCGGTGCTGGGTGGTGCGAGTGCGTGTCCCAGACTCCTGTTGGTTAAGCTGCGTGATGAGTCGGATGCGTGCGACCGGAAATCCACTCGAGAAAGGTGGGTGGTAGGTACTTACAACAACGTGCGCGGCTTCAAGTGTAAAACTATTTTCGAATGTCAAAGGGCAATTGACTGTATTTCACGTAACGTAAGTAACAGAGCGTTCGACTACTTTCATGGCACCTCGAGAGACGGCGTCGGTAAAGATATGGACCACAACACAGCGGGCGCATCACAGATTTTGGCAAAAGAAATGGAGCGGATTATCCTGCTTGTGACATGCCTTCGCCGACGGGTGATGACATCGTTCGACGCTTCAGCTGCATCTTCTGAAGCATTTTTTCTTTCTCTCTCGCACTGCTGCCGTCGCCATTCAAGCCAATGCCGGGCAGCCAGATCGGCTGGTGCCCTGCTCTGAAAGCAAGGCCTTGCAGGGCCTTTTCAACGAGCTCAAGTGTCTGAATGGATCCTTTCCATCCGAATCCAGCCAAATCATAGACAAGGGTCCTTCTCAAGCGGGCAGCGCTAAGCTCCCGCGGGGCCTCCTGGCGGCGGGGGTGATCCCTTTTGCGGCGCTGTACATAGTACGGATCCCTACGGGTCCCCTACCCATGTCGAACATGACGTCACTATCCTCTTCAAGAGAGCCCTGTCGATAGTTCAGAGGACCCTGATAATCAATCCTCCCTTGACAGATCGCATTGGGCGTCTTCTGGTCGCACGACTTCCCCCACGCTTGATAGAAAGTTGTCATGATCGTTGCGGTATCCATCATCGTTTGCTATCGTCGCCCGTGTCTGCAGCTGCCATCTATGATGCAAAGTATGAAGCTATGACTAGAAGAGCCTTGATTGTCTTTGGTCGCGCTCATTTTTGAAACCATTGAAAGAATGAATCTTTTAACATATATTTTTTTTTAAAAATTTTTACACATCAATTCCGCTCTGCCTGTCTGAAAAATTGCTAATGCAGGAGGAGTCTTTCCATGGAAAAATACTTTAGAGTTCACACACTACGTAGAACTGCAGCTAAAGTTGACGGTTAGCCACCGGTCTCTGGGAGTTCCTGGCGATCGCAATTAACACGGCATCAGTGTCCTGCTTTTCTGCCAACTCCCAGCGTCACCGTTGAAACTTGGAACCCAACACATGTGGTTAAGATTACAATTGCCGCGCTGCTTTACAGAAGTACATGTGGCACTGCTGACGATATTCATGTTACCTACATTGCGCAGCATTGTGCGGCGGTATAAGGCCAGGACTGGACACCACTAACCTGTGGTTAGTTGAGTCATGCTACTACGTAGACGCCAAGCTTTGAGTTTCTCCAAAAAAACAACAAATGGTAATAAGCGACTTACACGTGATAGGTCATCTGCGTACTGGTGTTTTTTTGACACAAGCCGCTCTATAGCCATTTCCTACCATACTTGACTATCTTCCACCCCGAGGACTGATCGGCTACCGTCTACCTGCACTCGGCGGTGGCAGGCATAGGTAGATACAAGAAACACATATGCAGCATCCAAGATCTCCCTGCAACGTGCACGTACTTGACCCTCGATCCTGCTATTCGCAGACGTGCGGTTTCCTTCTCCCAATATACATCTTCTGCGCATTGCAGGGCCACCACCCATCCAGAACCAATTAATTACGCCTTCGACCACCTACGTGACATCTCGAGCCTCACGTCGTTCGCTTCTTAAGTATACATGGGCAGAGGTTCCATTAGCACCCAGTAGATTACGCAGAGTTCGTATCGACCGTCTTCAGGTGGCTGGCAGGCCTCTTGAGATTCCGGTCAAACTTTTGAAACATGCGCTTCTTGTCCTTGCCATTAAGATCCGAGCTTTGTGCGTGGAGTTGAGGAAGAAGATCAGCCTTCCCCTTATTGAGGAGTCCAGGGTGGCCGGGGAAGATGGAACTCCGGGGCGTTGCTGGTAAACATACCGGGTCAAACGATGTCGGGCCTTTCTTCCTGATATGTGATAAAGGGACTCTCGAGATACTCTGCCATCCGGTCACTGACGAATTGTTGCGACACCAAAATTGGTTGCACGGAATTCAGGGCACCTAGCTGAAAACAAAGCAGCACTCCTTAGATGATGCAGGTTTGGCATAGAGCCTGTAACGTAAACTACCATCGTCCCTCGGCCTCGGCTTTCAAACGACTTCAGTCGGTAAACTATCCCCGCGGAGCCCCCTTTACGCCGTGCCCTCGATAAAATCATGATGCTTATGCTATAAGAAAATCCGAGCATCCGCTCTTTCAGTACGCCGTTCCCAATGCTAATGATAATCGTCATAATCGTAGAGTTTCGAACACTCAACATAAATTACCCCTCAAAGTCGTTGGTCTCATGTCTCCTCGATTCGTAGTCCCAAGCTTGTCCTTCTACAGACGGCTTGTGCGTTTTGAACCTCTAGGCCACTCTAGCTATTCGGGGCCCCTTTCTAGGATGTCCGAGTCGGCGGAGAATCTGGCGCCCTCAGTCTGTTGAACCGTCGCTGGGGCGGTGGCTTCGGAGGGAGTTTCTTTGCCGGAAGTGCTTTGCCATTGCCGCTCTCATCTACTGGCGCCGCCACGGGGATGGGAATGCCATGTCGACGCTGTGGGACTGCGGGTAGTGGTTTTCGCGTCCTCCTGGGCGGTGGCGGCACCAACTTCTTGTCCGTCTCGGAGGACGCAATCCGCTCGGCTGTAACGTCTGCAGCTTCGATTCCATCTTTCCTGCTAGGCGTCTGTACTCCGGGCTTCTCTTTTACAGCTGCCACATCAATCACACTAATCTTGCTAGCAACATCGCTAGACTCCAGACTAATCCCCAGAAACTTGCGTGCAATCTCTCCTGCCCCTGTGCCCTCCTCAGCTAACCACTTCACTTTGGACACCCGATCGACCAGCCTTGCTGTGGTATCATCTGGCGGCGCAAAGTGGTAACTCCCTGTGCCGGCAAGAATGTTGAGGACCGTGATAATCTGGTCCCTCTTGTAATGCGGCGGCTGGTTCAGCTGTGTGTGCGCCAATAACGGATACAGGACGCGCAGGTAGGTATGCCGCAGTGACAAGAACTCGTTGGGCAGATCGAGGAGGTTGCGTATTATGACATCGAGGAGGACGCGCAGATCGTTGGTATAAAAGTACTCGTAGGTTGCCCTTGTGGTAAAAAGGAGATAGAGCAGCTTTAGAATGAGCAGCTGTAGTGAGGTCTCGGTCTCGCGATTCAAAAGGAGGATGAGGTTCTCGCCAAAGGTCCTGTACTGCAAGCCATATAGCGAGAGGCACTTGACCACGCGATTCGTCAAGGGCGCATCGGGCAACTGGGGATCGGCAAGCGCAGTCGTGGATGCCACCATGTACTGCTCGTTCAGGACCAGCAGAACGCGGATAATGGGGTAATGGTATGGGTCGTCGACATCGTCAGAGAATCCCTCGATTAATTGAAAGAGATACGTAACAAAGCCGTCGTCCACCCGTACCAGATCTTCATAGCGCAGCTTCTCGACGCGAGACATCTCGTACATGAGCGTTAGCAGTAGCCTGTGCAGACCCGGATCGTTCTCTCTACCCGCGACGATAAGCTCGAGCAGCCGGGGAAAGCAGCCCTCGTCTATCATGTGCCGATACGTGGTGTCTTCGCTGCGACCGTCCAGCAGCAGAAGGGTCGCAATGCCGTAGAGGGGCCCCGCCTCGTCCTCCTGCAATAAGCTGTAGATGATCTGTGTGCGCACATATTCCCGATTCGTGTTGAAAAGGTTTCCCTCTAGCAACCGTTGCGAACAGCCTGCGACGTCGTCTTCCGACTGGGAGAACTGGTCGCGGCACTTGGCAGCAAGGTGAAGCCATGATCGCAAGGCGTCGTCGATGGTCTCGTGGGCGTGGCTTGGGCATTGGGTCGCAACAACCTGGTCGATCTCTGCGAGAAAGTTTGTCTGTCAGTCGAAGATACATCAGACACACACACGCGCGCATACATGTTGTATATGTACAAGCGGGGGGGCGACGTGGTACGAAAAACAAGGTAGTGCGCACCGTCCCAAAGCTGCTGCTCCGTCTCGATGGTATAGGATGTGTCCGAATCGGCCATGATGGCTTCATCATTAATCGCATTGCGGTGCCAGATCGGCGAGACGCTCATTACAATCGTGTTTCCTTCCGGGGAAGGGTTATGTCTGCGGCAATGAGAGAAAAGGAACAAAGAGAAGTCATGAATGGAAAAAGAACTACGAAAGGAAAGGCTGCATGGCCTGCGTAATGCTTCGACGGCTGGGTTGGCCGGTGGTGCTACAGACTTGAGGTAGATCTGGAAGTGATAATGCCTTGCCAAGCTTCGACGTGCGGGACACACAATTCTGGACACTCGGATCCAACCGAAAACGAAGTGACATTTATTGTAACCTTGGCCCACTACAGTAAGTAAGCTGTCCACTATAAGCGCCCGCCACGGGCACCGCTATAAGCACCGCTATGCATGGATGGGTTTATACTTACTCGGCAGGTAAACAGTATATTACTGCCTGAATATGATCCGCCAATACACGGGTCATTCGGGTATGTCCACACCTGAATGCCTCGTAAATCCCTCTTCCAACAACACAATTTAATACACCTTGAGTTTATTGCGTAGGCATTTAAACTTGGTATACGTTTGAATTTGACACAACGACAATTTGTCTAAGATCATGAATTTCGCTATCCATCAAGTATGTTGGGCGTGCCGGTTCTATCTACCGTAGGTATCCGAGAAAAAAAGCAATCGCACTTCACCTGGCATCGATCCAAGCCGAGGTTCTCAGCTAGACCGCCTCCTCGCTTCCTCAGAAGCTCATCTGCGGCTGGCTCGATAATGTACAGCCTATATTTTTACATTTTCCATGTGCCATTGCTTGTCTATCACCCAGTATTATGGTTCTCTTGGAGCCTGGAACAAATACAACCGCGTTTGGTGTTGCCCATTGCGGCGCCCACCGTTGTCCACTCCTGCACGTACAGGTGTTCGCACCAACCATGCTGTCCACAACCCGTTCCCGAATACGAACATCCCCGGAGTGGCTCGACCGTTTCGGCCTCAATGCTATTGATTGAACAGCCCGGCCACTCCATCTAGACCCTCTTCTGCCTTGATGGCTCCAGAGTAGTCTCCGTTGGTGCCTTGCGGAGCAGCCGGAGTCATGAATCCTTGGGCCATCTGACTTCGCGACGCCTTCTTGGCATGCGACTTCCGCGTCGATGACAAAGAACCAACTCCCGTACCCAACTTTCCCATCTCAGATATACTGACACCTTTGAGCTCACTAAACAACTGCAGCACGTAGTTACGTTGCACCTTGGAGTTTGGTGTTTCTCTGATCTTGTCAACAGTTTCGTCCACATCTTCCTGTCTCAAATTGGGGATCGAAAGGAGTACTTGTCTTGGAGTTTGGGTAAGTGGGCTGTAGTACGAGATAATAGCCCCGATGAACGTGGCAATCTCTTTCTGTAGTTCCACATAGTAGGGCTCGTTGATGGACTGGACGCAAGACCTCAGGACGTCGCTGGAGATGTACTCGCGTATCATCGATGCAGTGTTTGCAGGTATTGGTGCATTGTCAATGTTGCTGTCTTTGTCATTGTCAGAACTAACTTCCATGCCCTCCACTGTGCGGAAGTCAGGAACAATGGATCGGAATACTCGTAACATGATGCTGCAACAACGCGTGTCCCGCACTCGGATGACATGCGTGCAGAACATGAGTAGAGGTTCTACGATCTCAGATCGCATCAAACAGAACTTGCGAAGCGTTGCGTATCTTGTCGTGTTGCCAGCAGCCTTTGATAAGGGCAGGTCTAGCCACATCTTAGCAAAGCTGCAGTGTTTGACGTGTGGATGTGATTTGACTTACTCATCCTGGCAGGATCCAGGAAATCGGCCACCATCATCACCGCAGTGTATGTCAGCTGTCTCAATATGCTTTCTGACTTCATCTCCTCAGCCAGTGCGGCTTCACCAGCTTGCACGCCCCTCTGGTTCTCCAGTGTCTCCCACTCAGAAGTAATCTTGGCATCCATTTGCTGAAAACATGCTGCCATCAACGGTGGTAGGAAGTGGTCACGGAGGTCTGTTGGACAGTTGTCGACCAGGTATCGGACGAGGTTGAGTAGGTTGATCTGTTGATGCGGTGAGAGGGAATAAGAATTTGCCATGAGCGCGTTGGCTAGAGGTCCTGGTAGTTCTTTGAAACCGTAGAACTGCACGTCCAAACGACTCATGCAGTACAGTATCGCGTAGACAGATTCTCGGACAAACCTGATGGTACCTCTAATGGTAGAACCGAGGCCCTCCATTGTGTGTTTTTTGTCCAGCACGCGAGCGTAAAATTCATCCTTAGAGCCTTCTGAGATGCCTGCTTGCCAGAAACGGTCTGTCAAAACGCGGCCTACTATGGACTTCATTTCTTGTGGCAGACCAGCCCAGCTGTCAGGGGAAGCGGAAGCGTGAGCGTGACTATTGATGGTTAGCTGGGCCACCGCAGCACACTAAGCTGTGTGTCTCACCTAAGGAAGTTCAATAGCTCTGGAAGGATGACAGGGAACCCATCTTGCCATAGCAAGCAAGCGGTTTTGTAGGCGACAGTCTCCTTATCGATTTTTTCGATTGAGGCGGTAAGCATTGATTTGGTCGGCCGCAGGGGCAGCGCCTTTACTTATCGTCAGCCTTGCGTTGCATCGCGGACGACTATAACATACCGCCTGTCTCTCCTCCATCTCAGCTTGCAGAGCTTTGCCCTCGTCGTCTAGAGGCATGGAGCCCCAGTCTTTGACCTCATGTACTCGCTTTCGTGCAAGGTAGTCCTGAGCTTTGTCCAGTCCCATCATCTGGCAGAATCCGCTGTAGGACGCCAACGCTTGCTTGAGCTCCTCGTTGCGCCATTGTGCTTTGACAGGCTCTATGAATTCTTGGAGCTTCTGGACCTTTGTCTCCTTGTCGAGACGACTGCACCGATGGCTACGCTTGTCAGATAGAACAAGGAAGTATTGTAGTCGAAAAGACTTACATGATTGTGAAGAGAAACGTCTGATATGTAATTTGACGTTTCTCGTCCATGGTTCCTGATGCAATCATCTCATTGACCCTTGCAGAAATCTGGTCGTACACGTCCTACCACGCGTTAGAGTCTACTATAAAATTAAAATTAAAAGAGCATACCAGAAGATGGTCGGGCATTTTTGCCGCAAGCCTTTGCAATTCGAGCATACTTTCTGTCTGCAAATCCTTAATAGCATCATTGTATTGCCGATAGTCGGGCTGATGCGCTGGCCAGGTTAGGAGAATATGCTCAAGCACCTTGAGCATGAATCGAGGTTTTCGATCAAGTGCTGTTGTGGAGAACACTACTAAGAGTTGAAGGACGCGTTTTCGTATGAGGGGGTCCTACACATAGTGAGTAATCTTGCATGTGGTCTCAGCCCTTCACATGACTTACTTCGAAAGACATGGAGAGCAAGCGGGTAGCCCAGCCCTCCAACATATCTTCTAGAGCGCCTATGTCTTGGGCTTGAATATCAGACCTGCCTCTCCATTTCATGCAGCCTCTGAGTGCGGCTTCAATGACTGTGGCCTGTGCATCGACTCGCAGCACGGCAGAGGAGTTCTTCTCATAGGTCGAAGGGTTGAACCCTGGCTGGCCATCATAGAGATGCTGCAGAACGTTTTCCGTTTGGCTCAGGACATGCTGGACAGCATCGGCGAGCTTGAGTTGGACTATGTGCTCAATCACAGTGGAAGCATATCGTCGGTAGTTGCCAAGGAACGCATGCCGCTCGGGGACCGTGTCCGTGTCTTCCAGCAGGAACAGATACGTAGCATCCTGTGTATCTTCCGGAAGACTTTCGTAGCGCACCAATCTCGAGGCACAAAGTTCTAGCAAGGGGCCGATAAAGGAAGGCAATTCAGCAATGCTTTGGCCCAGTGATCGGTGACCCAGCAGCCGCGTCCAAGTAACAAGCACAGGGATTGACACTATTAAGCTCTGGCTTTGTACCACCATAAGCAGCAGCTGGAGAAAACCCTGGAAATCCACACGTTCAGGATCCTTGGGCAGGACTGCAAACCGGCGGTCCAGGTAATTTCCGAGGAAGGAAAGAACCTCTGACAGCTTTTTGCCGAATTGGTACTTATCGTCGTCGATATCTTCAGCATCTACTGTTGACCACTGAATTAACTGTCCAAACACTTCCACTGACTGGCTGTTGTACAGTGGTACGACCAAGTCGAGAAACTCTTGATCCACAAGACTGTTGCGTGAGTACAGAGCATGCATAGCCTCCAAAGCACCCTATAGACAGAGTTAATAGGCCGGTGATGACTTGAAAACGCCGTGAAATACCTTTTGCACAGAAATGTGTGAGGCTCGCAGACCTTGACACATGGCGGGCACGCACCCAGTAGCCGTCGCAGCATTCGGAATGACCCAAGGCATCAGTGAGAAAAGCACAGCAAAGGCTCGGACGGCACAGCTCCGTAGCTCCTCATTATTTTGTACATCGCCGGACAGGCATTGGGTCAGGAATTGTGTGATCCTGCCCAGCCAGCCTTCGTCGCCATATCGGACTTCAGGTCCTGCCTCTCGGTTGGGGAAGGTTTCGAGGAGGACAGCGGCCGGTGTAAAAATCTCCACGGAAGCCCTGCTGAGAAGGCCTTCTCGCACGGCGACGGCAGGGTCGTCCGAGTTGAAGATCTCGTCAGACAGCGTCTCGAGTATAAGTAAAACCAACTCCTTGTGTACGGCGGAATCGGGAACCTGCCACAGTTGTACCAGCAGAGCGTCCATGTCCATCCATGACCCAGCCCAACACCGCTTGGCGACTTCGACCCATAGCTGGGCTATCTTGTTCCGCAGATACACCGGGTCGTCTCGTGACACGTCTCGTGCAAGCTCCAAAACCCACTGTCGGAGGGCGGCCTGGAGCTCTTGGGGGTATTTGTTCCACTTGTGTTTGATGGCGTGTTCGAGCAAGGAGAGTGCGTAGTGGCGTACGAAGGGACTTTGGTTCTTGTCGGAAGCGAGTGTGTAGCCGTGTGAAGGAGCTTCGTCGATGGATTTGACTTGCTCGAGGAATTGCTGGGCTTCTTGACGGGCCTGGTTCGAAGCTCGCGGGTCGTGTATAAGTTGGAGGGCTTCGTGAATCTTGGGCAGAATCGACATGCCGTTGGCTGCGTCCCCATTCGCGCCTGGTGCACCTGCCATGGCTTGATGTCCCCTTGACGCGCCCTGGATGATCCGTGATGTTCCTCGACGTATTGAGACGTGGTGGTGGGCGCAAGAGGTGCTTTTAGTCAGGAATGTGGTCAGCCAGCTAGCTATCAGAATTGCCTCGATGCACCCACGAGAAGCTCGTGCTTGTGGTTGTGCTTGTGCTTATGGCTTGTGCTTGTGACGGTGATCGTGGTGGAGGGGTGTAGGTACCGCGCCGTAGAGTAGTTCAGGTAGCTGGGTGGAAACGGGATGATCCACCAGAGCACCGGTTTGTCTTAAACTTGACTCATCTGGGTGTGTGATGTGGTGGTGGTGGCTTGCAGGAAAGAAGGCCCTCTGAGATGTCCAACGAGCGGGTGAGCCTGGTCCGCACTGGAGCTTGATGCCCAAGTATGAAGGGTTCGGTTCGGTCCAGTGAGGAAAATTTGGCAGCGTTCCTGAAGTCTCAGATTCACGAGTCTCGAATCTGTACTCGGATTCGCTTTGATAAGAGAAAAAAGGAAGCAAGGGCCCAATCAGTCACAAGGCATGCCTGCACTATGTAACATGCAAGAGCTAGGTCTGGCGAGGAGCCTGGTAAGGTACAGAATGCGCTAAGGTTAGTTGGAGCAGATCGCCCGGCGGTTTTCCAAATTAATTGAGTATCCTACCGGACACAAACTGACAGGGTCTTGCGAGGTCTTCATTGGCGAGCCCACCCCGGGACTGCCCAGGTCTGCCAGGTAGCCAGGCTCTTGTTTAGCAGAGCTTAGCGACCAACCCATTGATCCGTCAGCGCCTAGCATCCACTAGAAACCTTGTTGGACCCGTCAAGTTTTGTTTATGGAAACACCTTAAGTCACAGCAGCGTCGTCATGCATATGTATGTATCGAAGTAAGGTTATATATGTTCCGCAGGGCAGCATTTCGTTGACGGGGGCCAAGTCCTGCGAGTCTCTGGAAATCCACCTGTGCATCAGCACGTACACCATCGACACACCATACACTTGAACAACCTTCACCCGCATTTGTGTCTTTTCCCGTGCAATAACTCTGCCATTATGCCGACGTAGAGCCCTGCTCCTATGAGAAATCCCACACACATAGCCGCTTATCATAGAAGCTGGTTGATACAATACGGGCTGATTCCCCATTTGCACTCAGCCGGAAATCGCTCCCATAGTTCATGCTCTCGTGCTCCTCGAATCGTGCCAGAACCTCCATCTTGCATTCATACCAAGTGCCAGATAGCTTCACGACCCTGGCTCCTGTATACATGCAAGATGCAAGAATGGTAGCTGTCCATCCACCGAGGCCTTTGGTGTCTGTGTCAAACCGCATCACCCTCAACCTCCACACTCCACCGCCGAGGTTGAGCTTCGCCAGAAGCCGAGGCGCAGCTCCTGCAACGTACACTCTGATATGGTCATCATAACTTCCAGTCAGTAGAACGTACTCCTGAGTGTCCTGGTTTGTGTGCAACGGCAGAATGGCTGTAACCCCGTAGTCATGCCTGCCAATTTGCTTAGTGTCCCCTAGAGCAGACCAGGATTCCTCATCGTCGGACTCGCAAGTGCTGGCCAAAAGTCTGAAATCATCCCCCCCTGAAAGAATCTTGAAGGATGCCGTTTCCGCGTCGCCTTGGACGCTGGGTCCAAAGGCCACCGTCCAGGCTTGGTCATCGTGGGAATGGATGAGGCTTTCATCTGATTTCATATGCCAGTCTTCGCCCATGCGAAGCAAGTGAACTTCGCAGGTAGAAGTTGTGACCGCGATGAGGTTAGGGATGGTCGGATGCCAGCAGCACGATAATATGAGCACATCTTGCTGAGCGCCCAGTGGCTGATGAGCGATGATCTCCGTCAATACAGGACTATTGTCGGCTGAGGATGATGCTAGTCTCAAGAAAGAGAGCCTACCCGTGCTGTTCACGACAGCAAGCACATCGGTCTCGCTGGGGTGGAAATGCAGATCAAGGATGGCGGAGGGCTGTGCCAGAGTCTGAACCTTTTCCCTTTACGATTGTTAACCTATAACTCTTACAAAGAATGCTTCCGCGCAGACATACACTTTCCCTCCAGTCAACTGAAACACCACGAGACTACCATTGCGGGTTTGTGGATGTTGACCGAGGGCGTCTTGGCTCTGTTCAGTTTCCGCCTTGTCTTTTTGCAAATCATAAGTTCCCACAACAAAATAGTCTGGGTGCGATGGGCAAAACTCGATGCAGCTTGGAGGGAGGTCCAATATCGAGGTGTGCAGCGAACTGATCAGTCGCCCCTCTTGCGCCATGTCATGCAAACAGTCTGGGTCGGATGTACCTATATATGGATGGGTGTGCGACCACATAAAATTCCAACTCTGAGAGTAGCGTACCCAACCAGAAAAATTGCCGAGAATGCAGATCCGGCACTCGAATCCAAGACAGGAAAGAAGCAGTGGCGTTTATTGGGCGCTCCGATTCAACGGTCCGGCGGCTTCCCCGCTGTCGAATTCCTTGTCCCTGCCTATCGTGGCTTCTAGCGGCCGTCCTTCCTGCAGATCCCTGCAAGTGGTAGTAGACAGCAATTGGGCACACATTCAAAGCTTGTCGCGGTGAACATCCATAAGAATACTGCGGGTAGCTAGCAGATTGCCTGGAATTTAACGGACTCGCAGAATATGTTGCGATGGAACTTATTGGCAGATATAATGAGAAAAGCATGCATAAGCCTCGTGCCGCCAGTGGTGGAAAGAGTTTCGAACGACTGCGCGCGCTCTTGTTGTGCCCACTGCTAGGCGTGGAAGCTTTAGTTGAAACCCCCACATGAGCTTGCTTCTCCATCCGTGACATCCTTGAGCTTCCACCTACACCCAACGTCATGTGTGTTCCCCTGAAGTACAAGAAGAAGACAAACCTGGGGGTTGTTGGCAATTTTCGTTCCGCCAGCTCTATCAAATTCTCAAGGGAAAAGTCTTTATCCTCGGCCAACGATCACATTGTCAACCTATATATTCAAAAGGTAATTGTCCTTGTTTCTTTTATCCCCCAACATTTTCTGGCAATTCAAATATTGTGGTAAATATTCACCTCCGGGCCCTCGCGAGACCAACACTTCACTTTGTGTTCTTTTCACAATTGGCGTTTCGGCGTTCGTGGTCATGTAAGGAGCATTTGTGGGACGCCAGAGACATATCAAGGAAACATGGATTCAGATACCGAGTCTGATTTTTATGGTACAAACTCAATTCTAGCTCGAATGAGCAATACTGATAATTGCCATAGGAGATGAAGCCACCGTGGCAGAGCTTGAGATGAGGGTTGAGGACTTTGACACAGATGAGTGGTGGATAGATGACAAGATCATCCAGACCCCGCTGAGCTTGCAGTCCAAGAAACTCGCACAGCCAGATATTACCCGTTTTCACAACCCATACGCTGGGGTTTCTGGCGCCTGGCAGCTTACGGAGACGGTTGAAGACTTTCTTGTCCGCCTTCCGCCAGCCACTTCGGATGAGGCCAAGGTTGGCTCATGGATCTTCATTTGCAATCCGTACATCGACCGCAAGCGTAAACACGATGCCCAGAACCAGCGAATCAAGGGCTGCGAGGACGAGGCGCCCGAGGAAGAAGGGGCCGACCTAATGCGATTTTGCCAAGGCGGGGAGGAGAGACTTCATCTCGTTACAGATTTCCATCTGACATTGAATAAGGCTCTGATGACGCCGGCTATGCGTACTCGTGAAATGAACAAGGCTGCGTTGGATGCATCCAATGACATACTGAACTTGGCCCAGGCATTGCATGTCAGATCCGGAAAGTGGATGCTCTTTTGTTCAGTTCATACAGTGAACGAGGTCTGGGGCATTGTTGCAAAGGCTACGTCGAACAACGAGTTGGGAATTGCCGCTAAAGTGGCTACAAGATGGAGGGACGATACCAGAACAGAACGTTTAGTCTGTGTATACACTGCCGACTTTGCGGACAAGCGTGATGTTGAGAGGGTTGCCTTGAAGCTCCAGGAGCTGGGTCTGGTGCAACCCCGTGGGAAGCCTCTGTATTACAAGCCAGGTTAGTCAACTCCTTCCTCATGAGTTTTCCGGTTTTGGGTGGGATCATGTACTACGTTAGATTGTGACTCACACCGGAGATTTGTTACTCTTGATCCTCGAGCATACATTTAGCCTATCTGAGTTCTGTTGTTTACACGGTTACAGATGCATACACTTACTTGGGGATTGGTTCTGGTAACTCGTGGAGTATCAAAGCCTCAATTTACAACACAAAAGACATCATGGGGAAGCTATGAACAGCGGGCGATGCCGTGCTCCATTCGATCATAAAGTCATTTAATTGCTTTATGATACTTTGAAATCGTCTTGCAGTAATTGCTCTACATCTGAGCTTCATCTCCTCGTTGTAAGGGATACTCTCAAGCCTGGCCATTTGTGCCATCGGTGAGAGATAAATGTCGGCTTGCCATAAAATGTCTCTCGATTTCGGATTTGGCTGGAGCTACTCCCACAATTTCGCCAACCAAAAGTCCCCAGAAACGTCGGAAGAGGCATAGATGAACTGGGCGTTGTATATGAGTTGCTTAGCGGAGAGTACACATCCGTTCTCGAGATTTGTTTCGTGCAGATGCCTTGAGCTTGTACTGAATGACTATAGCATCCTGGATGGATACAGCTATTCGTGTGGGGGATGATGGGTCAACGAAGTAGTCCCTCCAGGTGCACTCTTCACCCTCCTAGACGGCCTGAGCTTGTCCTTCGGGAATTGTTTCAGGAAGTTGTGCTTGCATCTGCGGTTTCAGCAAGAGCACTAGTCGGTAAGCACTGTTGCCGTTGAGGTAGTATCTGTGTAGCTTCTTAGATCGCAAAAAGCCTAGCCGCTCGTATAGACGCATCGCAGGCTTGTTTGTCTCTTCGGTTTCCAGGACAATCTCATCGGCTTTCTTTTCTACCATGGTATCAATAGCCTTCTTGACCAAGGCTGTAGCTATCCCATGTCCGCGGTATGCAGATGCCACAGCCAGCATGGCTATGTATCCTCGGTAGGTAGGGGGGGAGTGCGAAGCGTGATGCTCGAGTTTGCAGATGATGACACCTATGAGAGAGTCGTCCTCCGGGCTCAGTGCCTAGTGTTGCTGGAGATTAGCACACGACGGAGCGCCGACTATCTCGCGAAAAGAAGTCGGAAATGCCATACCATGAAGCATAGGTGAGCCCACTGGTACAAGAAGTAGCGATAGACATATATGCTATACGGCTCGCTCAAGTCCTTGGATATCAATGCTCGAATAGCAGGCAGATACTTGTCCTCCAGGGCATGCTCGTACTGGATATAGCGCAATTCGCCGGGGAGCGCGGCCGCGGTTGCAGAGGCCATGGTTGAAGCGCTTGTCGATCAAGGGTGTGAGCCGGAGTGGCTGCTGGCTGGTCATAGAGTCGTCGGACAGATGGGTAAGAAAAGAGATGTCAGAAAAGAATCATCACGTCGTGAGCCAGCACCCTGTAAACGCAAATGCGATATGTACACGCATGCGCGGGGTTCAATCCAGTGCCGCCCCTCTGTAACGCACGCAGCAATGGTAGGGCTGCAGACAAGGACGATTGCTAGACAAGGCGATGTTGGCGTACAAGTGAGATGATGTGGTGTTGTTGGAGAAAGCCCACTTTCACATGCTCCAGTTGGGATGGTTTGAGCAAAGGTCCGGTTCTGGCACACGAGGCGCTCAATTTGGTTGCATGTGCAACCAATTAAACCATGCAACCGCGGGAAGCGTCGAAGCGCTATACTTAACTAACCTTATAGTAGACTAGGTTAGGTTGGAAATACACTAAGGTTAGAACAACCTCCCTGTGCTTGTACGCATCCCGTCCTCGCTTGACGTCAGTGTGCGCGAAAGGTTCTGATTCTGATCTGCTTCCCTCATGCCGAGACCTGCCATACCTGCAGTCTTTCAAAGGGACAGCTCTAAATTGTCTTGGCCAAAATCTTCGTCGCACACACGGCCGCCCATCCGAAGTCGCCCGTCCCTAATCTTTCAACCCGCCCAAGCGTCGTGCCGAGCTGCTAGTCTGGAGACAAAACCCGGCACGCTTGTTTTGTATTGTTTCGTTTGGCAGCGGCAACACCGGATACACTTGTCTAAGCCGAACACTGCAGCCAGGTCTACGTCCTTGACCAACACGGCGCCGCGCATTCCAGTGATGTAGGACTGCTTCACCATGGCCTCCGAACTTCGCCGGCGAACAATCGCCGTGGATGTACCGCCCGAGTCCCCTACCCTGGAGTCCGCCTCCCGCAATGAGAGCCCGACGAGGTTGACAGACAAGCTCGAGCACACAAGGCAACATGGCCACAAGAAAGAAACACGCAAGAGAACCAGTACTTTCATCTTCCTTCTGGGCAGCTTGTTTGGCATAATAGCGGCTGGCTTCCTGGCCAAGAGCAACAACTTAATAGACTTTCCCGAGATTGGGGAGCTGAGTATGGACAGCTTTGTAGATGTTCTTCCAGCTGGTTTGGTGAAGGATATGAGAGACCTCGTGGTACGTAAAGCCTTCCCGGCACTCACATGTGTGCGCTGGTTCTAACGCATCCAACTGGGCAGAAAGGAGAACGCGAGTTCGTCGATAGCTACGACGCCTTTTCCGTCGGCCTCAAAGCGAAGAGCGAGGGCCTCCACGTCCACCACCCCATTATCATGATACCCGGTGTCATTTCGACCGGTCTCGAGTCCTGGGGCACCCAGAACGCCTCCCGCCAATACTTCCGGAAGCGCTTGTGGGGCAGCTGGTCCATGATGAGGGCTTTGGTCCTCGACAAAGAAAATTGGAAAACCCATATCATGCTGGACAAATATACAGGCCTCGATCCGCCCAATGCCAAGTTGAGGGCAGCCCAGGGTTTTGATGCGACCGATTTCTTCATTACCGGCTATTGGATATGGAATAAGATATTTGAGAACCTCGCCTCACTTGGCTATGACCCCACCAACTCCTTCACTGCTGCGTATGATTGGAGATTGTCTTACCAAAATCTCGAAGTGCGCGATCTGTACTTCACCAAGTTGAAGAACCACATTGAAATCGCCCAAAGCTTCTCTGGCAAGAAGGTCGTTCTGGCTTCGCATTCCATGGGAGGCCAGGTTCTATTCTATTTCCTCCACTGGGTGGCTTCCAAGAAGGGAGGCAACGGCGGCGACGACTGGGTTGAGAAACACATCGAGGCTTGGATCAACATTAGTGGCTGCATGTTAGGCACCGTCAAAGACATTGCAGCAGTCATGTCAGGTGAGATGAGAGACACGGCGCAGCTTAACGCATTTGCTGTATACGGTCTAGACAAGTTCTTGAACAAGGATGAGAGAGCAGAGATTTTCCGAGCAATGCCCGGAATCTCGTCAATGTTACCGATCGGGGGCGATCGGGTTTGGGGGAATCTCACCTGGGCTCCTGACGATCAGCCTGATCAGAAACACTCCTACGGCTCCGCCCTCAACTTCCGTGTCGGTGGTAATTGGACGGCCCCTGAAAGAAACTTCACCGTTGGCGAATCATTGGACTATCTTATGAACACAACCGAGGACTGGTACCAATCCATGCTCAAAGGGTCTTACTCACGTGGTGTGGCCGACACAGCCAAAGAGGTCAATGCCAACGAGGACGACCCCGTAAAATGGATCAACCCGCTCGAGACACGGTTACCCTTGGCACCAAGCCTCAAAATATATTGCCTCTACGGAGTCGGCAAACCTACAGAACGTTCATACTACTACCGTGCCCCGGATATGCCACACCTGACCAACCTCAATATCACCATCGACACAGGCCTTACAGTAGACAACATCGACCACGGCGTCATAAATGGAGAAGGAGATGGAACTGTGAATCTCTTGTCGATCGGCTATATGTGCAACAAGGGTTGGAACATGAAGCGCTACAACCCCGCTGGAGTACAGGTCAAGGTCTATGAGATGTTGCATGAACCGGAGAGGTTCAACCCACGGGGAGGGCCAAATACGGCGGATCATGTTGATATTCTCGGGCGACAGAGTCTCAACGAACTCGTCTTGAGGATAGCTGCCGGTAAGGGTCATACCATTGAGGAAAACATTGTGAGCAATATTAGGGAGTATGCGGATAAGGTGAAGATATGGGAGGAGGGAGAGAAGCCGAAGGATGAATGAGACCTAATGAGAAGAGACGATGGAAATACCTAATGACAATGACTTCGGGCACATAGAGGACGGGAAGGCGTTATTGGGGGACAGAGGATGATTGTGTATACACATACAAGTGCAACAGATGTTGCAGTGTACATGCTGCTGTCCAGACCAGGATATTTAAGCATCAATAGGCAATGTCTCATACATTCACCTGCCTCATTTCGTTACTGGGATTACGCGCTGGTGACAGCGGGCCGAAGCCCAGTAGAGTTGGGCATACTGAGATAGAGTTCGCAGCTCTTGAGATACGAAGCACGCCTTTACTTTTGTGTGGCAGGCACGTAAAAGCTTCTTACCAGTGCATCCATCAGATTCTTGTGGTTACTTTGAAGGTAAATTTACTGGCATCAAGGCCTGGGACAAGCCCCTGGCGTAAGCAGAACTTCATCTGCGTTAACCACAATGTCTGCTCCCAACATTGCGAGACCTCAGAGCGACGAAGAATGCAGTGAACTAAGTTGGGGGTACACAAAACCTGCAGGTGGGTGGTAAGTGGCGCCCATAGGCTTTCTAGGTTGGTGCCTTGAACATATTGCTTCGTGGGGGGGCCAGCAAACATTTGGGCCCCTGATCCAGTCGTTCTTCCCCATGTCCGTCTTTACGATATTGTGACCAATATACGTCCTTTGGGGGCGTGTGGCATATCAGGGCAACTATGATTATTTTGCGACAGGATCGGAGTTGGCCTCAAACCGCGTCCTGAAGTGTGCTAGCGCAGAACGAGACTCTTCGCCCTTCTTCGCAGCAATGAGCAGGTTCAAGCGGGAAGTGAGCACTGAAAATAAAATAGAAGCATTGCAATTCAAACATGTTGTAGACCAAACTAGAAGGCTTTAATACTTTGCATATTCACCTTAAATTGGAATAGTGAATGCAATCAGACCACGTGATCTCCAATTTTCCCATTTTGGCCGCCCGACGACGTTGATTGGGTCTTTTTCTTACCTGCTCAACTACGCACGCTAACTCCAAGAGAAAGTCTTGAACGGCACACCAGGTCATTCCAAAGCTCCTCTAATCATCCTTGCACCATGGGAGAAGCAGCAAAGCGGAAGGGTGGCCCTGGAGACGGCTCCCAAGGTCGTCAATTGAAGAAGAGCAAGGTAAGTCGAGGCTCCACACCAGAGCTTGTTGGCACTGAGTGTGCTGCGACGCGTCTATTGCCGCAAACGCTGATCCGATTTCAGGGTGGAAACCAGGGCAAATGGCAGACTCCCCATCAGAAGGCTAAGATCGAAGCTCACAAAGGCAAGGCTGGGACACTTGAAGTCGGTGATGTGGGATTTTGGGTCTCGTGCCAGCGTACCAAAGAGCAGAAAGCGTTGATTGAGCTTGCCGCAATTTGCGATGAGGTTGGTAGGATTTCTGACATAATCCCGACATTTACTGACCGCCGTTGCAGTATGGAGAGAAAATTTACGGCATTGAGCGTCAGGCGGTAGCCGAAGACAGTGACGATGATGATGCCGACATTGAAGCGTCCATTCAGAAGGAGATTGAGTCGATGAATACAGTGAACAAATCCCGACGTGCAGACTCGGCATTTGCTCCCATGCGCGTTAACATAGACTGCTTGCTTTTTGTCAAAACGAAACCCCCGGTTGAGCCACGGGAGTTGGTTCGCAGGATCTGCGAGGAGGCACAGGTCATCACTGACAGGGGTCAGAGAAAGTCCAGGTTCATCAATAGGTTCATACCCATAACGCTCATGGGTAAGGCGACCGAGAACGGTGTGGAGGAACTTGCGAAAACCGTCTTGGCGGAGCATTTCCAGCTCGTAGGTGTAGATGACAAACCCCAGGATGAACAGAACCAAGGACCCTCGGTATAAACAAGCCCACCAGTTTCCAAGGCGTTTACAAACTAATAAAGCCAATAGTACGCAATCCGATACTCGTCCAGGGCACATAGCACGCTCAAACGGGATGAGGTCATTAAACAAATTGCAGCGTTGATTGGCCCACGTCACAAAGTCAATCTCACAGCACCAGACAAGGTTGTTATCATTGAGATCTACCAGGTTTGTTTCGGAGCATTCAGGGACCCTCAAGCATGCACTAAACGTATATATATAGACTTTTTGCGGCATGAGCGTGGTTGATGGGGATTTCGATGCCTTAAAACGATACAACCTTAATGAGCTATACGTAGCAGCAATGCAGGCCAACGAGAAGGCAAATGAGCTGAAAGAGGGTGACTCTAGGGTTAAGAAGGACGGGCCTGAGGTTCAAAAGGACGAAAGCGAGGCAAAAGAACCCAGTGACTGAGGCTCATGCTAGTTTTGTTGGTACACATCATTGTTGCGTCACAGCTGTAGCAGCAATTGAGTTTGGCTCTCACCGGCGTTGAATACGTGGGAATCAGTCAAAAACCCCCGCATGATCTGTTGTGCTGATGCTGGCAAGGCTGGGTAATGATACGAGCAGATCCTGTGTTTCCAGTGCGAGCGTTTGAAAGGAACGATGGTGAACGTTCAAAATTCTAGAACATGGGACCTTGCGTATTCCAGCCATTGAAAAGGAGAGATCGCAGGTGGGAGGTGGCACGGCATTGGATATTAAACAGTATGCAACAACTACCTTGTGTGTCCCATTAAATCGGAAACAAGATCGCACAACAGATTCTAACATGTCGTTTGTCAATCCTGGGACTATGATGTCGTGACGAAAGGAGCAGGATAATGGTCCGTGTGAAGGAATCATTGACGACAAATTCAAATTTTGGGGGTTGCAGCTTACCTGCACGGTACTTACAGCATATATGGTTGAACTCCATTGGGTCTGGATAACGTCTCAATCTTTGGCGCTAGGCCCTATTGCGACAAAATTGACGAATACTCGATTCAAAGGTACCAAACATACGTGTGGTGAGGACTATGGTCAGTGGCTGCTTGTTAGTGCCTATGGCGACTCGACCGTCCTCCTAACCTTAGAAGTGTGTGTCGTGGGCCTGAAAACGAGGTATCGCGGGCGTCTGAGACGGATTGCTTGGCTCGAGCGAAGCGGTCTCTGGGAGCACTGCCAACAAGTCAACCTGAAGATGCTTATTAGACTGAGCCACGGTGATGGATTTGGGGCAGCGGAAGCTCAGCAGAAAGATGTTTCAATGTGTGACAGACATATCGCTTCGGTCTGTGACATGTGCTTCGTTGCAAACCAGGGGCCAAAAGCTACATTAGCACCCAGTCGGCACGGGACCGAGAAGATAATTATGGTGGGTTTTATTTAAGCATGGGGTTCATCGTTTGATGGTGTCGCACCGAAGCCAGTCCCAGCATTATGGTAAACAGGAACCAAAGCTTGCCCCAAGCCAAATGCGGCCCCACCGTTCCGCGCCCTAGAAGCACCCACCGCGGGGCTTTCGAAGCTCTCGAGGCTCTTCTTCAGGGCCCGGAACCACCATTGCGCGTAGTATCCACACCTATCGCTTGAGACCAACCCCAAACGGGCGCACTCGCTTACTCTCAGCCAATCAGCACATTTCTGGCTCGCTTCTCGATGCAACCTCATCTTGTCCGCCTAATCCTCGAACCTACAACCTCATGCTCGCCGGCCTCGACTTATTAGTTTCAACATGACTCTGGATCATGATGCCCCACGACAATTGTCCATCCCGTAATCTATTCGCTCCTTCGCTGCTCATGGAACTTTTCCTCTGCTTATTATTAGTGGCACCACTACCCTACCGCCTCTCTCAAACAGGCGCTCACACCGCTGGACATCGAGATACATAATAAGCCGTCGTCACCGTTGTGCTGCGGTCTCGCTTCGTTAAGCCAATAAGACTCTTCTTGACCAGCTAAAGCGGATCTTCTTCAGTCGAGTACAGCAACTCCTCAACTTCGGATTGCATGGGAGCTGCCACGGCGTGCTAGCGCTTCATCGTCGCTTGAATTGTCCTGTTGCGAGTGCTACAGCCATGTTTCGAAAAGCCTCCCTCAGTACTATTGATCACTATAAGCAGATGCAGTCGTCTAGAAAGCCAATGAGGCTTCTAGAACATTTCCTATTGCGTACTCTCCGATGGCACCTGACATGGGTTTGATTGCTTGGCGCAGTCCTTTACGCCTGGCTGTTGCACTTCATCCAGCCTAAGCCACGCCTCGCAAGTGTTGTTGGACGTAATCTTGGCACTCACTTTTGTCAGTTTATGGAGTTTCGAACACTTACTAGCGTAGACTAGTTAATTGTTTATACTTTACATCACGGTTTTCTGCGCTACTTGGTAGACATAACATAACGGCCCATGTCTCTGCTCGTCGTCAACCGTGACCTTTCGGTTAATGGCTGGGATTTCAGCTCGAGCTTATTTCAACAAGCCGTTAATTGTGCTCTTGGCTCGTCGTGTTGTGCAATTTGCTCTTATCTAGAATTGCTAGGTAGAACATCAAGTTGGAAATAGCCACCTGATGTCATCAAGGACTGTATCATCGAGCGCTTATGCTTTCTTCACTCCCTAATCACACTGATTCGGTCCTACCTCATTCGCTCGGATCCCTCAACTCCCGAACCTCTTGGATGCCTCATTCTGATATCAGCATATTCCCCGATCGATTGCACCTCTACCTCAACTAAGGACCATTCACACAAACACGGTTTATTAAGGTAGGCGAGCAACCTACAGCTTGGCAACTACCGTTAATACCACCTGGCTGTTATTGTCCCGAGTCTATATCCGATATCAATACGTCCATGACAACAAATTCCAGCCATTTGTGTGCTATATTGTCTTCGACCCCAGTCCTCGCAAGCGTCGCGTTTTGAGAGACCCCTGAATGTGTGGTTCAGTGGTCAAATGGCACACCCAGACGTGGTGAGTACGAGGTTCTCTCTAGGAACAAGCCCTGGTACATCACTCATGCCATGTCGTTGTGCCTCCATGTCACTCTCCACATCGGATTGCACCTTTCCAAGCCCTCGCTTGTTAAAAAGTGTCGAAAGTCCACAATGTTGCACCAAAACTCGGATTCCACGTTACCAACCAATTGCTGTTCCACGAGTTTATGGCTCGTCACCAGTCAGATTGATGAATACTCCATTAAACCACTCGCCGTCCATTGAGGATTTGAAGGCTGTTATAATCCGTGCCTTGCCCGACGTATCCATCGAGTCTATCCAACCGCCGCCCACAACTAGGCCGCAAAGAGATGTTCACATCAGGATATCAGGTAGCAGAACACTTATGTTGACCATCCCGCCACATCAAATGCTGAGGCTGCTGCGTTCAGAGCAATGGCTGGTGCTCTCGGAGGCGCTGATAATCCCATGGATGTGCAGGAGGGCATTGGAGTACACAACGAAGGACAAAAGGACATCGATCTCTTATCTTATCGAAACCGAACCATCACACGACATTGCAACAAGCCCAACAAACTCAGAAAAAGACTTGAGGCGGGTTGAGACGTCCGAGGGGTCTTTGATCCGGTACCTTCCCGCCCTAATCTCGCACTCACCCGCAAGTGAACAGCTGGGAACGGCATACAACTTGACAGAGCCGCCTCGAGGAGTACCTATCACTTCTTTGCCGGTTCCTCTTTCCGAGGCAGAAAGGAGTAGGGTGGAGTACCAAAAAGGTCAATTTATCAGATGTATATCAAACCTGAAAGAACCAGGTTCGAAGTTTGGATTAGTTGTCTCTGTCCTTGGGCCACAATCGTCGTCATCGGCGGATTCTAGCGCTGCAGCGGCAATTGTTGGATCAGGAGGCGTAAACTCCTGGTCAAATGCTTTCCTTGCTCTGGTGGAAGGGACGCTCCGGGATGGCGAAGACCGTGCCGTTACCATTAGCTATTCGTCGATTCGGCATCATATGCATCGGCTCAGTCATCTTTTGGATGCGGTAACACAATCACGGCTTGTGGTATTAGACGCCGGCAGTGATCTCAATGTGTTGGTCTCAGGCTCGAGACAAAAAGAGGACCAGAAGGATACACAACCACTATCAACGGGGGCAACGCAAGGCACACTTTCTCATACCAATATTGCCAAACAGGATAGCTTGGGCGATGAAACGAAAGAACCAGGGTCAAAATACATTAAGACAAAGAACCCAGATAGAAGACGGACGGGGAGTCCAGGTGGCGGGAGCGAAACAAAGCAAAGCTATGACTTTCCCGGAATGTCAGTTACGGGCCTTCGAGACTGGAGCAACTGCATTTTTGGTGACCCGCTCATGACATCAATCTTCAGCGAAGACCCATCTCCTGAGTTTATTCGCGGCTTTCGACAGCAGCCACCATCTTCTACGACCTCTTCGGCGTCCACAACAAGTACACCGAGGTTGTCAAGTCCGCCAACTGACGAGATCATCGAAGACCGCGAGAACGCAGCTGTTCGTATCCTGATGTACGAGTGCTACCACGCCACAGTATGCCTTGTCAAGCAATTCTACCGGCCCGCTAGGGCTGACAGCAGCAAGCGCGAAGTAGAAGCTAGGAGGCGCCTGGCAACCGTTCTGAACAAACTAGCGGAGGTCGATGAGAATGCGACAAAGAGACATCGCACAGCAAGTGCGGACATCTGGCCGGTCAAGAAACCAAAGGCCAGGACCGAGGCACAAGATTCTGAGTGATGAGGCGTATATTTTAGAATTAAGAGACCCTGCTCAATGTAGAAAAGTATTGTGGCAAATGGAATCAAAAGTACACCAGAAGCGTTCATGAATTACACTGGGCAGCTATTGAGCAAGCGGTCGGGCGCATAGTTTTAACGAAGTGAGGAAGCACATATGAAGAAGGCACGCATATGGGGACGGTACGAACTTTCCGTCGTGACGTCTTTAGTATATGTCTAGTTATGAGAACACTCAGTTTCCAGGTAAATTCTGAATTGCTCAAGTTCCCTATCTTTATGCAATTGTCTCGCACGGGTATGTGACACAAATTTGAAATTAAACGACTTCAAGTTACCATCATTAAGATAGTAGGGATGAAAGGGCGAAGGGAACGAAAACAGTTCTGATCAAACCGCACATTCACTTATGGTATCGTGAACCTTTTATTATGGAATCCTATTGCAGGGAATCCCCATTGTTTTGCCAACGTCCTATTTCCAGAGATAGGAGAGACAGCTCTACAGTAGACCTACACAATATTCTAACAGACTACTGATTAGCTTTTACATTGTGATGTAGAATTAGACATTGGGGGTTGAAAGAATTGGTGGTAACGTTTGTATCGAAGCAACTAGAAAAAGCGAGGCACCACCACTGATGTCGGACATGCCTTCGAGACTGCCTGAAGCATCTCAGCTGCTGTCCTTTGACAACGAAAGGCCCCAACAGGTCTTCACTGCAATTTCCAGCACAAACGAAGTCGTTTCTCCCGCCATATGACATTGATGCCGGAATACGCGACACAGGGGGGCTCCATAGATGAGTCACTGATGCAGTCTGCCTCCCCCAGTAAAAGCGGTGGGCGGCCTCTGGCATCCCCAAGTTCGAACTCCTCACGGGTGATGCTATGCTCTGACTACATTACCCAATGCTAGTGGCGTGCATTATAGTGGCTCGTGTAACTTGATGCTAGTGTGCATGGCTGCCTTTGAGACGTCAGATAGGGGGGGCTAAGGCCAGCAGCGTCCGGTAATCTAATTCGCTAGTTGTGGGATTACTGCCACTTCTCTGCAGATCCTTGCATATAGTGGGAGCAGGTGCATTTTCACTGCAATTTTAACTCTCCCAGGAAGGATTACAGCTTCCAAGAAATGTTTGCCAACACTGACGTGGGGCAGGTGTGATTTTATTTTCCTAGTTCGATAGCACCTACACAGAATTCTCTCGTGTATTACCGAGATTGGAAAGTAAGTAGTACACAATATCCATGACCTCACAGAACATGAACCTAATACCTAGAACTGAGCGTGCTTTATTCGCGTCAAAGATGAACTATACCCTGGAGTAATTGATAAAGCAGTGAACAGCTCAATAACATACAGAAAGAAAAGCTATCGTTAGGATAGAAGAAAGAACATGCATTACACATTAACAAAACACCATGAATCATTTCTTTTCCTTTTGCTCATGACCAGCTGAGGCTTCCGTGTCTGATGCTGACGAAGGGCTCAAGTTTCCGGCCTGCTCTTCCCGTGCCGACTCGACCTTCGCTCGCTGCCTCATAACAGTCGACACCGCGAAGGCAAACGCGATGATGCATCCCAACCCACCGAAACCCACTCCTAGGTACTGCGCTCCCCGGAACCCAGCCAGCACGTCGGTGCCTTCTTTGTTGACATGCGTCTCGACCGTCGCTGCAAACCCCAACGCTGTGCTGATGCTATAGTTCATCACGGTGACTACGAGGCTCGCCGCTATGCCTTGGTGCTTCTTGGAGACTGCATTGCTCAGAATGATGATCCCTGCGGGTGAGCTCATGTCCATACCAAAAGGCATCAGGAGGACTGAGAACAAGGTGTTCAGCCAGTAAATCTGGCCCACGGGCGCGGTGGCCATAAGGACGCTGCCGCCAAAGAAGGCGATCATGGAGAAGAGCATGATCCAGTGCGGTCCGATTCTCATCATGTAGCGCGCAACGAAGAGAGAAGCGATGAGACCGGCGAAAGGGCCGGGGGCGTTGGACGCGGCTGCCAGCAGAGGTGACCAACCGCGCAGGATCTCAAGAAATTGGAATTGGTAGAACACCCAGATGGAGAAGCTGCCCCATCCAGCCGCCGTGCATGCCAGTACGTAGTTCGTCTGGAAATGCATGGCCGAGATAGGGACGAGTGGGTACTTGGTACGTCGCTCGACGTAAACGAAAGCCACGATTAATATCAAAGAGATGATCAGAAGGAAGTACGTGTACGGGGTGTTCCAGCCAACATGCACGGCCTGGTTCCACACAAAGTTGAAGAGAACGAGACCAGATATGCCTAGAAGGACACCGGGGATGTCGAGTTGAACCCAGAGACCTTCACTCTTATCTCTCTTGCCGACTGGGAAGGGAGGAATAACTAGAACTCCGATGGTACCAAAGGCGAAACAGACAGCTGCCAGGATCCAGAATGCCCACGGCCAAGTCAAAGTCTGGGCACATAAAGAGGCCATGGCCCCACCGGCAACGAATCCAAACGGCGCGGAGGCCCCGAAGAGACACATAACTAGAGCTTTGCGTGGTCCTGGACTATAAGCGCGGCCGAGCATAGCCTGTCCGTTGGGGACTTGCAGGGCAGGGCCTATGCCTTGGAGGCCGCGGCAGACGTTGAAGAATATGACGCTGTTCCCACCGACCTCCTGAATCAGTGGCGCAAAGCCCACAAGGAAGCTGAAGAGTGCGAACCAGAAGAAGCCAATGATAAACACATTCTTGTGACCGAATAGATCACCCAGCCGCCCGGCCGGGAGAACGAAGGTGCCGGATGTAAGAGCATATGATGCTGAAAACCATGCCCAATCAGCGGGCCTAGTCAAACCAAATGATTGGCCGATGACGCTTGCTGGTATGAGAGCTTGTGCGACACCCGAGAGCATAAGCGCCTGCGCAGCTGCAATCATAAACACGAACGCAAACTCGTGTATAAAGATAAGATCAGGCCCATCAGGACTGCCTTTGGTAGTCTTCTTTTCTTTCCGCTCGGGCGACTCTGCTGGTTGATCTGCTTCTAACCCCTGTCGAATTGGACTATACCGAGTTCCCGAGTCTCCGCCAGGAGGAGTCATATCGTAGGCCGGATCATACGATTGTGACCGAAGTGTAGTCGCCTGGGAAGTTCTGAAGGGCTTGAACGCTCTTGCTTTATGTATCGCGTCGACAACATCGTCATGGGTCTGGTGATCTAGATGTGTCCGACTAGGACTGCTTGAATAAGGTGACATAACACCATCGGCTTGTGAGAAGTCTTGGCCAGGCGACATTGGGCCATGAGAGGATCTGTTTCCAGAAGACCTGTTCTCACCGTAGTGCAAATCTGCCGTACCGATGGAGTTACGCCGACTTCGCAAAAGGGTACGTGCTGAGTCGTCTGTATGTCTCCAGTTCTCGCGTTGCGGTGAGGCATCACTTGGTAATTGGTGACTTCTGATGGAGTCCCTTGGTCTTGCCTCATTGCTCAGTCGAAATGCTCGCGGGCCAGGAACTGATGTTCGGCCGATAGCTCCATCTAATGTAGGAAAAGTAGAAGACTCGTTCTGCATGGCCCGCGGAGAATCTTCTGCACCAAATTGCGGCCACACTACTGGATTATGGTACTCTGAGCCCGCAGATCGACCATGGCCCGCCCAATCATGGGGAGGTCTCGCTGGCTCATGGGCAGACATTGGACGGTAGGGTTGATAAAATTTGTTTGAATTGCCAAAATGCTGGCTATCGCCGTTAGAGTACCGTCTGGCAGGAGGAAGTAAAGGAATGGGAGGGGTTGGTATCTGCTGCCTTGAGCCGGTCGCCGCGAGAAAATCCACGTTGGCATGTTGTTTGCCGTCGTATGAGACGGGAGGGCCCCGACGGCCTTTCTCGTTTGGACTTGACATGATTAAGCTCGTAAAAGCAAGATGTCACTACAGTGGTTAGTTATGGCCGTATGAGCAGAGGGCGGTACAATCCTTAGCACAAGTTGAACCGCCCAAGTGATCTGAAATGTTGTGCCTTATGTGCCTTGGTCAAGATTGGTATTAAAGCCGGAGAAACCAAGAAGACCTATAAGCGGCGGCTCGGTAAGGAAGCATACGGGTAGATGGAGGCTGGGCTATAGTTGGAGGTAGAGCAAAGTAAACATACCAGAAGACCGGGATCCCATTACATCACGCTCGTCTCTGCGAAAGCTTGGCCAGGAAAAATGCTTATTTCAAGCGTTTAGTGTTTCCTGTCCGCGGGCCTTCTCCCGGGAAGTTAAACTCTGCTGCAATTTCCACAGCACATGCACGTTCAGCGGTGAAAACGTACGACCAGTGGGCTGGTGTTGTCGGCCATGTTGAAAAAGTCTCAGTAACCAGCAGCTATGCTTCTTGCAAAATACCTCATTCTGTGCATGGTCGCCGGCTCCACAACAAGCCAGAGTCGGCTTCGATGTATACAACGCTTGAATCTAGGTATGAAGTTTGTATGATCTGCCGTTGATCTCCCACCGAGCATTCTACGCGCATGATAGAGTACGTGACAGGTAAACTTATTCTGTACCTGCCTGCAGACGTTACCGCCGCAAGGCGATTGGAATCCGGACGAACATGCGACGAGGTTCCTCCCACAACTTACGTTGTTCTTCAGGGATGCATTTGCTCATGCCATATTGCCGTTCTCAATATTATGCCCATCCCATGACAACAAAGTAGACCGACGGAACATAAACACCAGATGTGAGTGAAAGAGTAGATTTCATCGACCTAGACTAGTGATCATAATTATAGGTACGGGGTTATTGGCGACCAAGGATGACTTGTCTTTTGTGCTTGACCCATTGATGTCGGCGCACTGTATCAGCGCCGTGACCATGGGCGCTTGGCGGATCAATAAATAAAAAGTAGGATCCGTTTCCTATCGTTGCCTTGGCCTGCTCTTACTACTTAGCTACTGTCGTCTAGCATTGGACGGAAGCGGAAGCAAAACAAGTTGAGAGGTACAAATATGGTTAGACGGTCAATCCACATGGTTCACCCCCCCAAAGTCAATTGGCAATAAGCTTCGCGATGAAGTGACCTTGCCGTTTGTGGCCGTTGCCGATCACTTAGGTTTCACCTATTCCGGACATCCCCAACATCATTTCCAATATCGTACACGGCAAAGAACTCTTAATATGATAACAAAACCGAAAGCAGCAACTCTGCAACAATCTCGAAACGCTTGCTAAAGGTAAACTATGTAAGCAGTAACTTTCGGATTTGCCAAAGAAGCTTATCTCATTGCTGCCAAATCTTTCCTTCATAGGTAGTTAGTATGAATATAATTTGATGTCTAGTGACATACCATTCGATTTATGATCGCTCGAGTCTGATGATATGGCCATGGTGACGCAGTCGATATGGTCTACCGGACCGCACAAGGGGTATGAGACAATGTAAAGTTTGTAAAATCCGGCAATGCACGATATATCGAGAGGCAATTGCCAGCCTCCAAAGTAAATGAGGTCCTCTTTATGCATCAAGGACGTAGACACGTGGCCAGAGAGGGTTGTGTGGATGTCACCGACATGCATGACGTGGAAATTAGGAATAATTAGTCATGTTCGAGTCTATGAAAGAAGAACCCGAATTTCGCCTGTAGTTCTGGGGAATAGCGCGCGCAAGTTGGGCGGCCCATCTGAGTCGTGTCCCTGCTCGTCTGCGTATTCCTGCTCTGCTGCTTCGTCCGCGCCGATAAGGATCTCTTCCACGTGCTCGAAGTCAACACAAAATTTCTCTGCTGCCTCCTCCGTTACTTCGCGTGCCAGCTTAGAATCCTGAAGATGGCGCAAGTTCTCTGTTGCGTCCATGAGCGCAGATGGCAAGAAGTCATCAAGGCTCTGGCTGGCTGCTACCAGAGATTCAGGGACGAGAACTTTCATGCCATTGAGCTTGGAGATGTCTCCTTTCGTATTGTTCAGTGGTCCAAGAATATCGAATAAAGCGCTCAGCCCTGATTTGCTTTTGAAATATGCATATTGAATAACAGCAAGTTTAGCAGCATGCTCTTCTATTTTAGACTGTAGGATCTCCGCTCGTCTCTTTGTGAAGTCAAATGGTGCCAAAGCGGATTTAGCTGCGACGAGGCAGTTGATGAAGAATACAGAATTAGAAGGAGGTTGGATTGTTTTTGACATGTTCTCGCAACCAGAGATGAACGGATCGAAAGATTCGCTGAGGATTGGCTGGAAATCTGCTTCCCTGTCTCCAGTTGACGCCAAGGAGGTCTCGTAGGTTTTCATTATGGCGGTCAACTGCTTGAGAGAGTCCTGCAAGAAATCTGGTGGGCCGAGGTCTGAAGGTGTATGCTGGAACTCTGCTTGTAGAGTCGTGATATGATCTCTCATCAAGGAACGGAACTGCCGAAGCGCTTCAGTCTCCAAGTTCATCATGAACTCTAGAAGAATAGACTGAGACCCCAAAAGCTTCGAGAAGGTGAAACGATAAAAGCTCAAGAGATTGGCAAGCTTGTATGCCAATATCGTGTCTTCGTTTGTTTGAATCACCTGCTCAATTTTCTGCCTCAGCACACGCGCTGCACCAGAGACGTCGCGATCGACTAGGTCATTGAGGGCTTTGATGGCATCGAATTCAGACACACCATCTGCCTCGTCAGCCACGAGCCTCCATATCTCATTGTCACGACCCTCCTGTATGCCTTTTGCAATCTCGTTACCATCTGATACAAATAGCACCTCGAGAGCTTCTCTCTCGCTCACAGCGGCTGAATGAGTCCAGGCGAGCATGTCTCCAACGTAGCGCAAGGTGTCATGTGCAACGAGTTCGATCGGCTTCACAGAGTGATCTTCTTGACCGGACGCCGAAGTACCTGTCAATGCGAGATAGAATGCATCAGAAAGAATCTGCTCTCGTGCTTCAGCGAAGAAGTCGAGACAGTTCTGGAAAAGCGATGGCCTCTCAGCCAAAACACGAAGTGCTCGGCGGACAGATGAGTTGATCTGAGGATTTTCTAGGTTGAGAGTTCTGAACTCCTTCTGCGTCCATCGATACAGCTTTTGGAAAGCTTGATTAAGGTTGTTAGATGTTTGCTCCATGATCTCTAGTCCAAGTGTTTGGCTCTCGAAACCAAGAAGCACTTCACAATCGCTTCTGATCTTTTTTGCCTTTGCGAGCACCATGAAAAAACGATCGTCTACGGGTTCAGAAGTCAAAGTCAGCAGTGCGACATCATCCTCTGAGAGAATGAAATGCTCCCGGAAAGCTCTGAGAATCTCTTGCTTCTTTTCAACATCTCGCCGTTGCGTCATAAGGCTGGATGCTTCCTCCAGAGTGGAAGCTGTTGACTGATGGGCAGCTGTGACATGACCCTTCATGTCATGATAGCTTTTGTTGAGTTTCTCTATAGTCGTGCCTATGCGGCGTAATTGCTCAGCAACTCGGCCGAATTCAGTAATGATTTCTCCGTTGCTTTCAATGACATCCTTTTGGATATCCAGGCGCAACTGGCGCCGGGCATCAGCGTTGTTGGTAACCCCGCGCTCGTCCAAGAGAGTGAGAGCATCTCGAAATTCTGCGTCCGCATACGAGGTTGATAAGACGCTGGTGACTTTGGAGTTGAGCGGATTTGTGCTCCTCAACGACAGGCCAGAAGTTGGCGGTGTTCCCGTTCCCGGCGACAAAGGCCCAGAGGTAAGTTCATCCCTTGGAGGTAAGGCAAGGTGGCCGAGATTGCTTGAGGCCATGTTCGGACGCAATTCGCAAGAAGACTTGGAAGGATATCCTCCCTACTTTCGCTTCCTGTATACATTCGATGTGGTCCAAAAGATCAGGGTCGCGGTACGTATTCCGTGAAGACGCGCTAAGGCCAGGTAAGCTGCATCACTGTAAGAGTACCTGAGCGGTAGAGAACGGCCATATTTCTGCGCCGGCTGGCTATACTGTTACAAGTCACAACAAGTCCTTTGAACATGTCTCCTACCGAGGAGCACGTGCAGTGCATATTAAAAGCATGAGGTTCTGGATGGGTTCAAAAGTGCTTGGTCGGAATAGATATTACGATGTGTACCATTCATTGTATCTGTACCGCTTCAGCAGCAGTCCAGGGCTGGCGGCTAACGAGCGTCAGGGAGGTGGCACCTGGGCAGAGTTGCAGTTGCAGTTGGCACTGCGGATCCGTACATGTACATATGACTTCACAAGCGGCACGCGATGCCGGCTGCCTCGATAGCTCTTGCACATGATCGTGATTCGTGATCAAGACCAGGCGAGGGAGGCAGATGATTCGCTTCCTTGAGACGTCCATCAGAACTGACTGGGTTGCATAAACAAAACGCTCTTTTACAACTCCTGAGGCGTCCAACACTGAAATCCAAATTGAAACCGGAATAGGACATGGCATACAATTAATCGTCGGCAGCACATTGACGTCAACCCTGCGTCCCCCCTGCTGCATCACCCAACGCTGAATGCTACAAACTATCACGGATGGTCCATTCCACGAAACGATGCGAGCAAATCGCTAGAGCCCCCTCTTGAAACCCCAACAAGCGCACATTGCTGTAGCCCGTAACAGAACGTTCGCGATTCGCCATGGCTGGCAACTTGTTCTCCCGGTTCGTTCCCGGGAAGGATGACGGGCCCTTCTATGACCAACTTCATGACGACGACGATATCGACATCGAGAATAGAGCCGGTCTGGCACTAGACGAAGAAAACCTGGCCCACCAGTTTCACGCCGACGATTTGCAGGATGCAGCTGGCCTCGGTATCGACGACAGTCGAGTATCCGTCGGCAGTACGCTCAATCCTCCCAAAGACAGGCGCGGCCCCGTGCGACGAGGCAGGCAGAATCCCGGCTCGAGGTGGTTAGCAGCTGACGACGATGGCGACAATGAAGTCCCGGCTTCGCTTCTGGTAGAACCAGGTGCCGCTTTAGGAGCAGCTGCCACCATTACTACTGCCCCGACGCATTCGCCGACATCAGGGCCACGACCTTCCATACGCACGGCCGTTCCTGGTCCATCTAGCCGAAGGACTCAAGCGCAGTGGGAAACTGCACAAGCACAGCAAAGACTACACCGCGATGATGACTTTGGAGCTGCAACTCGTGTTAGACGACCGAGTGCCCCCGCAAGACGACTGGGCCTGAACGTCAACCCCAAGGACAAAGCCATGTTCAGATGGGCTAATGTCTCTAACCTGGATGCTTTCACAAACGAGGTCTATAACTATTACCTAGGAGCCGGATTCTGGTGCATAATGCTCGACAATCTTTTGCATATTGTGTACGCTCCTAAATACCACACCAGATGGATGCCCCGCTGACTATTTCTAGCAAGGTTATCTTCATGGCCAGTCTATTGACTCTGCTCACACAATGCATCGATTTTGGCACAATCCGCCATAGCAAAAGCCTGGCTCAGGTCATGATTCCGAAGTGCACCAAGAACATGTGGGGGATTTGGAACTTCGGACTCTGGTGTACTACTTTTTATGTCGTGTGGAAGCTCATACAATATGCGCTCGAGATACCACGACTGATGCATCTTCGCGACTTCTACGTCTACCTGCTAGAAATCCCCGAAGACGACATGCAGACTGTCTCATGGCAAGACGTCGTGTCAAGAATCACTGGCCTGAGGGATCAAAACGTCAAGACCGCCAGCAATATCACCCCAAGCCAGCGTCGATTCTTGTCCAAGCAACTGGGTCGGCATATGGTCGGTTCTGCCAAGGAGAGGCTAGATGCTCACGACATCGCCAATAGGCTCATGCGGCGGGAAAACTACATCATAGCACTATTCAACAAGGACATACTTGACCTTACTGCCCCTATCCCCTTTTTGCGGAGTCGCCAATTTATGTCTCGTTCGCTACTGTGGACCCTCCAGTTTAGTATCCTGGATCTTGTCTTCAACGAAAGCAGCCAGGTCCGACCACAGGTTCTGAAGTCGGACCACCGAGGCGTGCTTAGTCGGGAGCTGAGAAAGCGCTTCGCATTCGCAGCAACCATGAATCTCATACTCGCACCGTTCTTTGCTGCTTTCCTCCTCATTGATTTCATATTCACATACTACAATGTAAGTACGCCACTACACATCATCTGACTTTTCCTAATGCGTGATTGTAGGAGTTCAAGACCAACACTTCCGCAGCGGGCATGCGCCAGTACACGCCCTTGGCCGAATGGAAATTCAGGGAATTCAACGAACTACCACATATATTCAAAGAACGATTGAACATGTCGTATCCCTATGCCAAGCATTACGTCGACCAATTTCCCAAGCTCAAGACTGAATCTGCTGCTAGGACTCTCCGGTTCATCACTGGCGCCATCATTGCTATATTGGCGACTGTTGGTTTCTCGGATCCCGAGATGTTCGTGGATTTCGAGATTTTCCCCGGCCTCAATGCCCTCGCGTTTCTTGCTATCTGCACAACCACATGGGCCATTGCTCAGGGCCAGATCTCGGAAGACCAGAACGTTTTTGACCCGGAATATGCGATGCGCAATGTCATCGAGTACACGCACTATGAGCCAGACCAATGGAAGGGTCGGCTTCACAGCTATGAGGTCAAGACGGAATTTGACGTCATCTATAAACTCAAGATAGTCATCTTCTTGGAGGAGGTCTTAGGTATTCTTGTGACCCCTTTGATACTGTTCTTCAGCCTTCCAAGATGTGCAGATCAAATCGTGGACTTCTTCCGAGAGTTCACAATTCATGTTGACGGGCTAGGGTACGTATGCTCGTTCGCAGTGTTTGATTTTCAGAAGGACCCAAAGAACACACGCCCCCAAGGAAACACGAGCGATGCCCGTGAAGATTATTACGCTACGAAGCATAACAAGATGGCAGCTTCCATGCATGGCTTCTTGGACAATTATGTCTATAACCCGAGGTCTGGCCTGCCCGGAGCACATCCGATGGGTCTTGCTGGACGATATCCTTTCAACCCGCCGCCCGCGTTTCCCGGCCTCAATTCTCCGACGCTGGCTGCAGACATGCGAGCTTCTCGAATGGGTCGGAATGATCATGCTCGAAATCGTGGTGCGCAGCCACAACAAACAGGAAAGACGCCACGCTTCGGCCCGGCAATGCCACAGCCATCGCCCATGGCCTCGATGCTCCTGGATCCTCACAACCAGCCTTCAGCGTCCGTGCTGGCAGCAAGGGGGAGTCATAGGGTTCGACAGCTACGTGCCCCTTACCTCGGAGAAGGAGGCATCACCGAAGAGTCGATGGAAGAAGGCGCCGCAGCAAGCACCTTACAACGACAAGGCACGACATTTACGGATGAGGATGTTGAAGATAGCGTGGCTCGCTTGGGCGAATCTACTTGGGAGGGAAACCCCAGAAGAGCCCTCACTCGCGAGAACAGTGCAGCGGCGGACAGCGAGGATGGGCCAGGCGTTGTTAGGATGATGCAGCAGTTCCAGCAGATTGCCATGAACAACCGGACTGGTGGAGTACTTTGATTGCAAACGTGATTGGAATTTCAGCAAGCAAGGAGTTGATAGGGTTTGGCTGGCTGGCTGACTTACGAGGAGCAGGCACAGGAACAGTATTTGATTAATTGGTTGGCCGGCGTTCTTCCCCAGGATTATTAGCATGACAGCATGATAGAGCTCAGAACACTGAGGATATCGGAATATAGACGCCTATCATGGGCTGGCTTTTTCCTTGGTTACATACATTGAGGCTTTTTTGCCAACCTGCGCCGTGACTGGTGTAGTTGGACAGCCATGCACACCTTGTCACTCCTTTCAACATGGACATGGGAAATTCGTGTCGAACCTGCCTGGTATTTTGACCCAAAAAAGAACAAGCTATTGCAACAAATGTATCCCTAAACGCCTTGGCCTTTTTCTTTATGACCACACATGATTCCTGTATGAAAAGAGACACACAACGCCGGTGATTGATGGTACTCGGACATAACCCTGAGTTAGTATCCTCCCCGACCACCTCGGCTGAAACCACCACCTCCTCTTCCACCGAATCCACCACCACCACCGCCGCGGCCACCTCTGCTGAAGCCGCCGCCGCCACCACCCCTGCTGAAGCCGCCACTGCCGCCTCGGCCGCCTCCTCTAGCACCGAATCCGCTACCACCACGGCCTCCACCTCTGGAGAAGCCGCCAGGAGCACCGCGTCCGCCGCGGCCACCACCTCGGATGGGGCCACCTCTGCCGAAGCCACCGGCACCACCGCGGGACTTCTTGACCTTGGGAGCACCTGGCGGGGGCTTGGGCTTGGGCAGGAACTTCTCGAGAGGCAGCAGCTTCTCGCTGCCAATGAAGAACTTGTCACCGGTCTTGAAGCTGGTGGCCTGGATGCCTTCGGAGGGCTTGATGGTGAAGTAAAGCTGGTTGATGGGGCCGAGGACCTCGTCGAGCTTTCCGACGGCAGTCTTGTTCTCGAGGAAGACCTGGGCGTTGAAGTGTGGGATCTTGGGGTTGGTGGACTCGCAGACCATCTCGCCCTCGCACGAGTGCATGAAGGAGCCGAGCTCGAGGATCTGGGCTGGTGGACCGAAGTCGCGTTGTCCGAAGCCACCGCCGCCGCCGCGACCTGTTGGGCAGAGACATGTGTCAGCCGTGGGTACTTGAAGGTTGGTTCTACGGGGGAGCCACCATGTCCGGCTGGGGAAGATGCAGTGCAACAAATCCATGGGGACTGCATTGCGCAGGGACTGGGCGAAGAAAAGACTTACCACCACCGCGACCACCGCCGAAACCGCCAAAACCGCCCCTTCCTCTGGGCGCACCTCTGAACGACATGTTGATTGATTAGGTGCCGAGAATTGAGTTGGGTGTCGTTTCGTTCTGTCCCGGCAAAGTTGAATGTCGCAATTCGTCGTCGAAGAATTTCCGTGCACCAACAAACGGACCCATTCGGCGGAAGCTTTAGCACCTTGCACTTTGGAATTTTTTTGCTACAGCTTGATAATTATTTCTCCGGCCGCCGAAACCGACCACGAGCAGGAGCACCTTTTGGCTCTCGAGTCTCCACCATTTTGCAGACGCCCAGCCTTAGTTCATTACCCACTTAAGAGGGGCATCTTTATCGATAAGCTAAGCTACCGACGGGGCAGGGCCTCCTGTGGCTTTAGAAAACGGTGTACTATACGTAGCGCGAATAACGTGAGCACAATTTGTTATACTGAACCTTGTTATATATTCGTATCTTATTCTTAATACATAAATGAGTATTTATTAAAATCCGACGGGCTCAAGCCTGAAGACGGTGGTAGTAGTGTGGGGCTGGAACGGTGTCGTGTGTTTGCGCTGTTGCTCCTCAGCATTCTTGTGGTAAAAGGAAGCAAGCACGGTCAACTTCTCTCGTCAAGCAGAACCCGTAACATCCACCATTCGACCGCTTGGGTAGTCTCGTGGCTAACGATGAGTTCCGGGGCCGTACCGTATACTCGAGCGACGCCGGTAGAATGTAGTCTCCAGTGCCCGATATCAGTTGGTCTAGCAAAGCAAAGATATACTTGTTATGTAGAGACTCCAATGCGAGGATCAGCTCGGCGGCGTAGAATCTAGCCTTGTCGCCCCGGAAACGCCGCTCCTTTTAAAGGAGATGGAAGAGGTGTCCTCCGCTGGCCAGTGGTAACAAGAGGCTAAGTAATGCACTCGATGTAAAAGCGAACTTGAGCAGTGCGATAAACGGGTGGCATATAGAGGAGCCGAGGCCGTTTGCCTTCTTAGGTTCTAGGACAGCATGAACCGTGCGAATTTGAACTGTTGTCCTTTTTTGTGACATGGAGGAAGTTAATACGATTCCCTCCAAGAAGCTCCTGGACGTTTCGATCTTCTAGCGATGGTACTTTTTTGCTAGAGATACGACACTGTGAGTTCCGCCTTTCCGGTCCCATCCTGGACATCCACTAACATTTTGCCCACGGGGTAGCCATCCGGAAGGGAGGCTATTTTACATCGCCCGCGGGGCTTAATTCGACTCCCTTTTGGAGCATTACGTTTTCCGACGGTCAGGTAGACCACCAACTTAGGGGGCGTGGTAAAGTCAAACGGAAGATCTCTCGCTATAGAACGCTTTCCTTCTTACCACCCCACTAGGCGGCCCTAACAAATATCTAGAAGCTCTTATACTCGAGTAAGCGTAGATAGGCCATTAAGCGATCTCTTTCCGACATAAAGGCGATCCTATACGGGTTACGCTATAATGCTTGATCTTAAGATTCCACCTCCATGCCTAGCCCTAAGAGCACCGAGCGGCTGGGGTGGAAAGGTAACGCTCTTAAAGGAGCCAAGGATGAGAAATGGGATGAGAATCATATCTCTCGTGGCTATAGAGGCCAAGCCACACGTACCATCGCCGTTATCTAGGGGCAGCAGAGAAGCCTTTGGAGGGGGCCTACCAGCTTAGACTACGTGTGAGCATCGTTGTCTCAGCGGATACCGCTGTAAGCCTTTGTGGTATAACGGTTTTAAAGACATTATACATTAAATAATTTTATCCCATAGAGAAAAAGGGTTATGTTTCTAATTACTTTATCGGTACTGATAATAACAACAACAACAACAATAATAATTATGGTGACGCATGGACCTTTATATGTACGGAGTTCACACGCCGCCTTTTCTCATACAGATGTGGTTAGTTCAGCTAGACCAGGGGGAGTCACATCTACGCATTTGTATACCAAGCAACTAGCCCGAGGTGGCATACTCGCATAGCATATTCGGCGGCTCGACCTATAGTGTCATAGGGGAAATTAAATCATTCTGCTCTGACCTCTGCACAGAAAGTGTGACTCATCTGCTCTGGGGGAATAAATGGTCGGTGTAGTGTCCGAATAAGTAGTATAGACAATACCACTGGCCACGGTCCGGTCGACACTGTAATCATATAAGTGACATTTAGGACACGCGACCCAGACATGGACGTTAGATTAGACTAAGGTTAATAGATGGCATGAATCTGCCGGTATGACTGTGACGGCTCATCTTATCCTTTATGTATATCATAACCACCGGGTACCGTCTTCCCAGGTCATATCGTGTGTTGAATTCAGCACACCGAAAACCAACTGGCAATTGGCTGAGTCTACACGAATTTTGTCCACCGCTTGTCCAACCCACCAAGTTTTGTGTCTAAACGTTTTAGTGTAGCGCCTGCCCCGCAACATTGTTGTTGTTCAATTGATTGCAGATCGATAATTAACCCCACCAACTTTCAACCTCTCCTTCCACTACGCCAAACATCAGCCCAACTGCCCATCATGGACGCGGCAAAGGAAGCTGTTGAAAAGGCCACCGAGGGCGTCAAGAACCTCGCGGTTCAAGGCGAGAACAAGAAGGCCGGCAAGAAGGACAAGAAGGCCGATAAGAAGGCAAAGGGCGGCGCCGACGAGTCCTCTGGCCCCCTCATGATGTCCCCCGAACCCGATTTTCTCCAGCGCCGCCTGGCCCTGTTCGACAAGATCAAGAAGCGCCAGGACGAGGAGCTCTCCAAGAAGCCCCGCGAGCCCATCACCATCACTATGCCCGACGGCGGCATCAAGGCCGGAACCTCATACGAGACCACCCCTGGCGATATCGCCAAGGGTATCAGCAACTCCTTGTACAAGCGCACCATTGTTGCCAGGCTAGACGGCGACAAGGAGCAACTGTGGGACCTGGAACGGCCTCTCGAGCGAAGCTGCAAGCTTGAGCTTCTGGATTTCGAAGACGAGCAAGGCAAGATGGTATTCTGGCACTCCTCTGCCCACATTCTGGGAGAGGCCTGCGAGAGACGCTTCGGCTGCAGCCTCTGCATTGGTCCCCCGATTGAGCGTAAGCAACTTACCCGTTCATTCTTTGTCCTTCCGAGCATGTACTATAAGCCCATATTGGCCGAGTCCGCCTGTTGTGCTCCCCGCAACACCTCAAGCTGCCCTCAAAACATCATGCCCAATCAACGTCCGACGGGTAATAGCTAACACGAGATGTTGCAGGTGGCTTCTACTACGAGATGGCACTCCCCGACGGTGGTGCCGTTGTCGAAGGCGACTGGAAGCCTATCGAGACCATTGTCTCTCAGGTTGTCAAGGAGAAGCAAAAGTTCGAGCGCCTGACCATGACCAAGGAAGAGCTGCTCGAGATGTTCAACTACAACAAGTACAAGCAGCACATCATCAACGACAAGATCCCCGATGGTACTTCCACCACTGTCTACCGCAACGGTCCTCTGATCGATCTTTGCAGAGGTCCTCACGTGCCAGACACTGGTAGAATCGAGGCTTTCGCTGTTGAGAAGAACTCTGCTTCATATTTCCTTGGCGATGCTGCCAACGACTCGCTGCAGCGAATCTACGGTATCTCATTCCCCGATAAGAAGAAGATGGCTGAGCACAAGAAGTTCATGGAGGAGGCCGCCAAGCGTGACCACCGAAAGATTGGCAGGGATCAAGAATTGTTCTTCTTCAACGACATGTCCCCCGGATCCGCCATGTGGCTGCCGCATGGTACCAGGATCTACAACACCCTCTTGGAATACCTTCGTAAGCAATATTGGAAGCGAGGCTACGAGGAGGTCATCACCCCAAACATGTACAACTCCGAGCTGTGGAAGGTTTCGGGTCACTGGGACTACTACAAGGAGTAAGCAATTATCCCGTTCATTTTCTCCCCTTTCTAGCCTATCTACAGAGCGTACATTGCCAATTCGAGGCAATCGCGCTCTTTGTCATTGTTTCCAACACTCCTACACGGAGCCTACAATTCAGCATAAAGAAGTACTTGCTAATTCCAGATCAGCGATATGTTCGTAATCGATTTGGAGGACAACGTCAAGTTCGGTAAGTGATTTGAGCCGTGTCCTGGCTTTCCAAGCATATACCATGGGCGCATCATGACCGAACTCGTCTTTGGCCTTCGTATACAACCCATGTTGCCCCCGAAATGTCGCCAATCAATCACGTCAAAAAATTTATTGCTAACAGTAGATGTTATAGGTCTGAAGCCCATGAACTGTCCCGGTCACTGTCTTCTGTTTGGCCATCGCGAGAGATCGCATCGTGAACTCCCATGGCGGGTTGCAGACTTCGGTGTTCTCCACAGAAATGAAGCATCAGGTGCTTTGAGTGGGCTGACCAGAGTCAGAAGATTCCAGCAAGATGACGCTCATATCTTCTGCCGAGAGGACCAAATCAAAGACGAGATGAGCGACCTCTTCGACTTCTTGCACGAAATGTATGGTCTCCTGGGCATGACCTTCAAGCTCAAGCTTTCTACTCGTCCGGAGAAGTTCATGGGTGAGATCGAGACCTGGGACAGGGCCGAGGCGCAGCTCCGTGAGTCTCTCGATGGCTTCACCGCTGCTGGAGGTGGTGCTTGGTCTTTGAACGCTGGTGACGGTGCTTTCTACGGACCCAAGATTGATATCACCATTGTCGACTGCCTGGGTCGTGACTGGCAGTGTGCCACTATCCAGCTCGACTTCGTGCAGCCTGTCAACTTCAATCTTGAATACATGACCAAGGATGGTGTGCAGAAGAAGGATGAGACCGAGAAGGCGCCAGCAGGACCCAAGGTCAAGGTCAAGAACCCGCAGGCTGTCATTGACTCCGCCAAGGCCGCCGCTGAAGGTGGCGTTGCCCCGGCTGCCGCTGGTGCCAAGAAGGAAAAGCCCTTTGAGCGAGTGGTCAAGGCTGTTTCTCCTGGATGCGCTCGCCCCGTCATGATCCACCGTGCCATGGCTGGAAGTATCGAGCGTTTCACTGCTATTCTTTGCGAGCACTTTGCTGGCAAGTGGCCCTTCTGGCTTTCGCCTCGGCAAATCTTGATTGTGCCAGTGGGTGTGGGCTATTACGATTACGCTCAGGAGGTTCAAAAGATCTTCCACAAGGCTGGTGTTTACATTGATGTCGATCTAAGTGGTAACACTTTGCAGAAGAAGATCCGTACTGGTCAACTGGCCCAGTATAACTTCATCTTTGGTAAGTAGTCTTGCCCCTTATCCTTGTACCAAATAATAGCTAACTTGTGCTTAGTCGTTGGTGACGAAGAAATGAAGGGCAGACAGGTCAACGTACGATGGAGAGACGACACCTCGGCTCAGGACCGCGGCAAGCCGATTGCTTTAGACGAAGCGGTCGAGAAGCTCACCAAGCTCAAGGCCGACTGCGGTCAATATAACCCGTTCCCTGAGATCGTGAAGCCAGCGGCCAAGGAAGCCCCTAAGGATGCCCCTAAGGAGGCCGATGCTTAGATAGCTTAGAGTCCTTCTAGATCTGGTCGACTTTTGCATTACAATATAGTAGCATTAGCGTCGAAGTGCCGTGACTTGCGAGATAGCGGAGACAGGTAGACAAAATCAGAGGTGTTTCAAAATTTGTTCGATCACGACGCACTCTTTTGCAATTATGAAGCCTTATCTGCCTAAGGGGGCTAAAATTGCCTTAAGCGGCTTTTCTCTCTCTCTCTTCAAATATACATTGCTAGCACGCTAAATCAAGAGTCGGAAGGGTGCTTTCCTTCTTTTTCTTTTTAGTAAATAGAGACTAAGCGGTGCCTGTCTACCCGACTGCTTTATGATAACTCAGAATGAACTTAGGTTCCTTTTCGAATGATGCTGGGGTTCTGTCTCTTGTTTTGTACAACAAAGGGACGTATCCTTATGATTGACTTCTTCGACCAGTGGAGAGCTATGGTAGAGGTATGATCTACCGGCTTTTCCACGAACAATTAGCAGCATAAACCCTACAAGATTATTCTGTTCCTCCTTTTCCATTATTCGAAGAAGAAGAGAAGAAAAAAGAAAAAAAAAGGGCACTGCAGCTGTCTTACCGTGGGATTAGATTATTTTAGATGAGATGCTAGATCCGGGCTGCTACAACAATGGAATCATCTCGCTCAGTGGGTCCTGAACCACCATTATGCAATAATGCCGGTTCAATAGGTGAAACTCCCGTCAAAGTTTGTAAAGAATATTGATTCTGATCTTAGCATCTAATGCTATGTGAAGTCATAGACTAAGCACAGCAGAGTCACCACTTACTGATAGATTGCCGCTGCTTCGTTTGCGGTAATCGTCAGCTCAGTCGTTTCTCAATATTATTACCAGGACGATCGGCCTCGAAACATTCGGGGCCAGCCTGGTATAATACGGGGCAGAGCCTATGATCCAAGGGCAACTCTTCTTCGGTCAGACTTCCCAATGACCCCAACGTTCATTGTACCAGGGCTTACAGCGAGAGAATAGCGCCCAGCACATGGTATTTTGCCACTCCACTGTTTTCTTGGCCATGACCTGGACCAAGCTCGTGATATCCTCTGCATCGGGGTCGCGATTAGTTGTATCAAAGCCTGTCTGTGCCAGGAACGCGGATGTCCGGTTGAGGCCCCATGTTCTCTTCAGCCTCTGTCAAGGCGACCTCGACCTCTTCCATGATCTTCCGGTCTCCTTCTTCACCCTTGCTGTTGTGCGGTTCGTGGTCGAGGTCCATGGCTTCGTCCTCGGCAGCGCCCGTGTGCAGGTTCTCCTGTCGGATCGCCGCGACCCAGGTCGTGATCTCGTGTTTCTCCAGGCCGGTATCTTGTTGAAGATCCGCCAGCTCGACTGCGCTTGGGAGACAACTGAAAGTGTGCGATGAGAGCCAGCCCATGAGGATGTCGTCCGGGGCGCGGTGGGGACCATGGTCCTTGCCGAACCGATCAGGTCGGGCCTCGTGATCGTGTTGGTCCGTAGGTCCTTTCGGTAAGTATTCTGTCGAACTAGTCGAAGGCTTATCGCCAGAGAGTCCTAACGTATTGCTTTCGACGCCTTCGCCAAGCCCGTCGCACTCGAAGGCTTCAGACACAGTTCTTAGTGAAGAAGAGGGGCTGATGTCTCGCAGGAATTCCATGCCTGTTATGTTCTCTTCCCGCGCCTGACGATCTGTCCTGTGCGTTGAAACCGGTGACATGGGCTGCTTGTCTGTTATGTGTTCCTCAGACCGCGTTTCTTGTGATGCAACCGGACTCTCAATGTCAGACCGGGGCGGGAAAGGAGCTGAGCACGGAGTTGCCAGAATCGAATTTGCTTTGGAGGGCCTCGCCAGACTCGTCTCCTCAAGACCTTTCGCGTTCTCCTCGTTGGCAGGTTGTCCGTACTTCTTCGACGAACCATCGGAAACACAGAAGTCAAGCTTGTCGTCGCTTGATGAGCTCGAGTCATCCCGCTCTCGCTTCACCGACGTCGGCGTTGCGGGAGTCGCGGGGAGGTTTGCGGTGTTGTCGATCCAGAGATGTAAAGCCTCCTTTGCGATGTCCATTACATGCTTAGACTGGACTTGTGTTGAAATCCACTTTTCCATTTGAGCACTTACAGGCTCTGAATTATTCTCGCCCAGGCCGTGGTGTGCCGGTGTCACTGGGAACCCAGGCTTGACGGCGTTCTCCGTGGCGGTGTCTTCAGCTTGACTGTAAGTGTCGCTATGGTTACCCGTGCCATCATTACCTCGGAATCTGTTGTCATGTTGGTTTTCGTGCGGCTGCCCATTACGGTCCTTGGAATTGTTGCCTTCCAGCGGATGCCGTTGTTGACATGGTTTGCTAGCCACAGGGGTGGAGACATGATCTCCGTCCCATACAAGCCCTAGATGCATCAAATCAATCACCTCGTTCGATAAAATCGGCATGGCGTGGCCCAGAACAGAAAGTGCAAGATCGGATGTAGCCCAGAGCCGCAAGAATATCACGGGATCCAGCCTTTGTTGCATGTCATCGTGCAATGCTGCCCATTGTACATAGTGACCCTCAAACTCTGGTGTTGAGTAGAAGGACGTTGCCTCGAGCATTGTCCCGGCAGCGAGAACTAGTCTCTGTCCTGGTGTCTTAGTACGTTGGGGTGGTGGAGTGCGAAGGCGGTGATGATGCTGAGACGGGGCCCGCGTGAGTGTGGATTCAAGCTTATCATTCTCACCAGTCTCATGATCCTCATCAGACTCGTGATCATCCCAATATGGCTGAGAATCATTCGACGAAAGAGAACGTGAACGTGAACGATAAGAAGTTCTGGAGATATTTCTGAGTATTTGGCGACCGGATCGACGCACAAAAATATCTGACAGCGAGGGTGATTGCTCACGTTCTGCCTCAGATATCTGGTCTGTCTCTACGGTCCGAGGCTCGAAGTGCGTCGAAGTCTCGTATGATGTGTCTAGATGGGGTTACGTTGGTCACTTTTCAAGAGAAGAATCGACGATCGCAAAATCGGAAAGGGTGATACACGATGATATGCTGCCAGATCTTGCTCATGATGTTGTGAGCTGTATAATCACGACTGATAGGCAGTCAAACGGAGTCGTGCAAGTGAACTAACCGTGTCCTGAGACATGTTGACTGATTGACTTAGTTAAGTGTCGACTTTGAAATGTTCGTGAAACTTTTGTGCTACTGATTTTCTTTTGCAATGAGCTTGTTTATTGGGTTAGAAAGTTGCGTTGTGTTGTGTTCGCTCTGCTGGGTGATTGTACCCTGCTTGAACGAACACAAAAGCGTTATAGGGTAAGGTGGTGAAACATACCTCATCGATTCAGAAGCAATTGGAAGGATTGTCACTGCGTAATTATGTGTTTCGAGTTAAACTACTTGCATATGCTGTTGTACCTTCGTTCTCTGACAACGACCAAGACGTCTGGACATGCTTAAGAACGTGTACTCTAGCAACGTTCTCATTGGGGCAATATAAGCATAATTCTATTTATAGGTAAAGCGTATCTGCATCGATATAGATAGAAAGTGAGAAATTAGTGGTGGGAGGTAGGTCATTGTCAATGTCGATTGATACTGGGTAATCAGGAAGCATTATCCAGAGAACAACCGACAAGCAAGTACATACATACATATTTTAAAATAACTCAACAATATTCCAACCAGTCCCCGGCGTGGGAACACTGTGAGCCCTGGGGCATAAGTCCCACTCGTTGTGGTGCAGTGGTAGTTTGGGGTGCTCTCGCACCCAGGGGCGACTCCTGGTTGGGTTTCAATTCCCAAAGGTGCCCAGTTCAGTTCAACTGAGCTGGGGACAACACCTTTTTGACTTTTCTTTTTGCTCATATCATTCATTCTACTTTCGTCTTGATTGTTTGCGGTTCGGTCCAATTCTTTTGACTCTTTTCGGCTTTTTCACTACATACACACCATCCTCCGTGAGTGGAATCATTTCTCGGTGACGATGGTGTTCGTCACGCTTCCGATCTCATCGATCTCCAACCTCACTATATCGCCTACCTTCAGCTGGAATCTGGCATGCTCAATACCCGCTCCAGCAGGGAATGTCCCAGAGCCAAAAAATTCCCCAGGATACAGCCTTGTGCTCTTGGAAGCATGCGCAAGCGCTTGACCGACTGAGAATTGCCAACTATCTGCCCTACACTCACTGACCACTACCTCATTGATAATGACTCTGCCCGTGAGTTTGTTGATCATGGGGAAAACCTCATCCGCCGAGACCACCACGGAGGAAATACTGTTGGCGAAGCACTTGGAGTGCTGAGGGCCAAAACCACTGAGACGGGTTAACGAGGCTCTCTTCTCATTCGCAAAGACCAAATTTAAAAGAAATAAGAAGAGAAAAGGAATTATGCCAGTGCGATCTCACCTAGACATCTCCTCCATCTGCCCATTCCGCACCGAGAAATCATTAAACACACAAAACCCGGCCACCGCCTCCTCGGCCTCCTCTGGCGTCGCATTGAACAACTCCCCGCCCAGCACAATGCCCAGCTCGAGCTCGACGTCGAGGTACTCAGCATAGCTAGGGCAATGAACCGGGGCGCCGTCCGCATAGAAGGCGAGATGGTTCGACTGGTAGAAGATGGGCTGCCGGTACCACAGCGCGGGCGGGTTCATCGGGGGGGAACCTGGACCCGAACGTCGCCAGGGACCAGAGCTTGGCCGCGTAGTAGGCGGACGGACGCCACAGCGAGGTGGAGCCGAGGGCCGCGCCGTAGTAGTGGTCCTCGAAGAGCATGAAGTCCCGGTAGGAGCGCGGCTGGAAGGGAAGGGCGCGCTTGAGAGGGTCTTGGGCATCCGGTGGGTTGGCTGTCAGGACAGAGGCGAGAAGGTCCGGGCAGGAGGATGGTGGTGTTGCTGCTGCTGCTGATGGAATCCCGCTGTCCGGGAGTTGCTGGATCTCGTTGTTGATGCGATGGTATCTCATTTCGCCGGTGGAGTCGAGACTGATATGCTCAGGAGCAAGAGGGAAAGAGACTGTGTACTACGGTAGGATGAGTCGATCACTTGAAAAACTCCCTCCGGCCCAAGTCTTGGCCGATTTTGTTACAAGTTCCTAATATGACTGTTGTACGTTGTCCACAGCGCAGCCCGGAATAAGCGAATCTTGTAAGACAAGCGAACGGCTAACGCTAGCGGGCGTACATACACTTGCGGCCAATTACTGGTCCTCCAGAAACGGCTATACTGTAGTATCGCAGCTCTCTTCTACACATATAAAAAGACAAAATACATGGTGGTCAAGCCGTGAACGCTTGATAAAAGGAAGCTTCATGCTACAGAGCAGAAAATCTGTCTCGGTGCGCCAAGCTGCCGCTGCCACCTATGACTCCGGCCCCCTGCGATCAACTGGACGATCAATTATTAAGAGGTTGCGCATGCTTTGATCGGGAACATGTATTCCATTATCTATTTTCCACAAAGTTGAACTCTAATTTATCTATTGGATTATCAAACCTTCTATACCCTCATTTTATTTTCCACTTTACTCAGTCTTGGCGTTGTTCCTTGCACTAGCCTCTGCCGTTGTCTTCAAGCTCCGCGGTGCATCATCCTTGGGCATATATAGCTCGACGAACCGAAGCCCCTTGCGTTCATTGAAGTCTTGATCCGCAAATAGCTTCTCAACATCATCCTTGGTCTTGACCACATATTTCTTCGCACCGCTCTTCTTCTCCTGCTCAGCGCCGCCGCTGAAAACGGTGACAAGCTGCTTGTAGTCCCATTGCACAATATCGTTGTACTCTGCCTCCATACCATGGATGAAACGCTCGATGGTATAGCCGTCGTTGCAGATGACGAAGCTTGTACACGTTAGTATCTGTATCACTTATGTAAGAAGATTTTCACTCACATGATCGCGTCCAGTTGGTGTCGGATCACTGTGCTCAACTCCTGGGCCGTAAGTTGGAAACTGCCGTCACCCTCGAACAGAATCGTCCTTCTGTTCTGTCCAGCATCCTTCGCACCTAGTGCGGCACCTTGCCAAGCACCGACGGCCCAACCAATGGATCCCCACAGGGTCTGGTTCAGTCCTGTGACTCCCTTGGGGAACTTCGTATCCCAGATACCGAAGTTGGCAGTGCCAGTCTCAGTAACCACGATATCGTCATCTCTGAGGAAGCCTGAAATGCGGGGCCAAATCCACTCCTGCAGAATAGGTCCATTGTCCCCTACTGCCTTTGCGACCGTCACGGGGGGCTTAGGAGCCTTCTGCACCGTCAACTGGCTGAGATCGACTCTCTCGGCGACCTTCCTGAGAACACCGCGCATTTTGACACCGGGATACTCGCTGTATCTAACAGAGCAGTATGTGCTGTGGAAATCCACTGTGTTGAGCTGACTAAGGCGGTAACTGAAGCCGGCGGTGTTGAAATCACTCTTCAACGCGCCCACAGTAAGAACAAGATCGGAGCTCTCGACTGCCTCCTTCACAAACGGATGCGACGCAGTGCCTGCATAAACACCACCGAATGCCTCATGTGTCTCGTTGATGGCGCCCTTGCCCATGGGTGTAACGAAGACAGGAATCTGTGTCTTCTCGATCAGGGCGTGTACCTCGTTGAGGACGCGGTGGCGGATAGCGCACGCATCGACCAGAAGCACTGGGTTCTTGGCCTGGTGTAGGTACTTCAGGATAACGTCCACCACGTAATCCTCGCGCTCTACCTCGTTCTTGGCTTCCTCCAGATCGATTGGTGTGTCCAGCCGTGCGCCCTCTACCTTAATAGTCACCATGTCCGTAGGCCACATGATGTATACGGGGCGGGACTTGAGGTAACATTCGCGGAGTGCATGGTCAATCTGCGCGGCGATCTCTGCAGGGTTGTTGAGTTTGGCTATTTCGACTGACACGGACTTCGACATCTCCGAGAACACACTGAAATCTCCATTGCCGAGCGTATGATGCAGAAGCATGCCGTTACGCTGTGAGACAGTGCTGGGGCAGCCTACAATGTGCACGATGGGCACCATTTCACTGTAGGCGCCGGCAATACCATTGAGTGCTGAGAGTTCACCAACTCCGAAGGTGGTGATCAGGGCTGAGATGCCCTTGATGCGGGCATAGCCATCTGCTGCGTATGCTGTGGACACACATTAGATTTTGTCAATCAGAAGCTGAGGGTGGCGGGGAAACATACAGGCGTTGAGCTCATTTACACTGCCGACCCATTTCAGACCAGCGCTGGGCAAGTAATCCAAAGCGACCAAGTTGTAGTCGCCAGGTAGACCGTGGACTGAACGCACACCAATCTGATGCAGGCGGGCAAAGAGATACTCAGCCACGTCGACGGGCTTCGTAAGGCTGTTCGTGCGAATATCTAAAGACTTTTCGCCCATGTTGATGAGGAATAACGATTATGTCGTCGGATAAGTAAGTTTGAACTTGGACAGTCAATGTTGAAGATGATAGAAGTTGTAGGTTATTATGTGATTCTTTGCTGCATGCTACTAAACTGGAAAACGAAGCAGGATATGGATGTATTTGAATGCCTCTCTTCAAGCTTCTCGAACCAGGTTGAATGTTACTCAGCTTCAAAGCTTAAGGAAGGAGTCGGATCCGGCCACATACATGTGGTGATGCAATGGTGAGCTAGGAACCTCGTAGCTGCAGGGAGCTATCCACATTGACTTTAGATAACGGCATCCAATGGAGCCATGTTTACAGCCGAGACCCATTTATGGTGGTATAATGTAGCGTGCGGGCCGATTTGCTTGTCAGAGTTCTTGGTTGCATGATTTTTGTCAGGTCATGGACTTTGCGAACGCTCAAATGGGCTGCTAGTGGTCAGAGACGGAAGGCCCGGATTGGCCGTTGCGTTTTCAGCGCCCGGCTCCGATCACCTCCGACCGCGCTGCTTCATGTGCAAAATTGCTCGTATCTCGCCCTGGTAATTCTCGCCCAATGCGATGCACCTTTCTATCAGCCCTATGTACGTTCCTGAATCATCCGACAGAGACCAACTACCAAAGTGGCGAGGTCAACCATGAGACGACCCCCAAAAGATTTGCTCAGCGACCGTGGCACGCGTGGCAGCGTGGCAGCGTGGCGGCGTGGTGGCAGCGTGGCAGCGTGGCAGACATGGGTCCACTCGGGCCCTGTCTGTGCTTCAGCACCCACTCCTTCGCAGGCGCCCGAGTTTGACAGTTATACTCAAAATGTTACAGAATTTGGTTTGAATTAATGAATTAAGGACGGCATTTACTACAGCTGGCCAAATCATTTCTCGCAACCTGATATGGGTATCTTAGTCCTCCGGAAACAGCTCCCGCATGTTGCTCACAAATGCGCCTTGCTCTTTGTCATAACGCCGAAAGAACTTGCCGGCCATGGGAACGAGATCGTGGATCTCTCTTGGCAGCTTGCCACCTCCTGAGAGATCCAAAATTTCCATGTTGTCTTCGGCAATTACATGATGGTCTGACCCGTCCGTACCCACCATGCATCGGTAGAACGCTTGAGCCGCCCTCTTGGTCGTCCAGCCCAGGTTGTCGCCATCCCAACCCATGGACTCACTAACCCCATCGACTGACCACCCGAGGATGATGCCGTGATAGTCATACCGTTTGTGCTTGAACACCTGACCGATACGATATCTGACTGGCAACGCAGTCGTTAGATCGCTGCGACGACGTGGCGCGCGTTCAGACGAGTCAACCTGACGGATCTTTTTGATCTGGTCCCTAACTCGCCTGGAAGGCAACTCCCAAGCATTCTGTCGCTGGCCAGGTGCAGCAAACGTGTCATACATGGGACAGACATATTTTTCGACGAGCCAGGCGTCTTCGGGGAAATATTCATAGAAGTAATTGATGAGATCTCTGACGTCCTGTTGCCAGTCCCACCGCACATCCTCGTTCTCCGGCAGCACAGGCACCATCATTATACTTGCCCAGATCATGCTATATAGAGCGGGCTGCAGATTGCGAGCCCAATCCCCCCGGCGTAGCTCAATCAAGGGGATGAGCTCTGCCACGGGCCGCTCTATTGTTCGAAAACTAGTAAAAGACGCTCGAATGTTTTGTGCCGTGCGCATCACTATAAGCTCGGTGGCATTGGGGACCAGCATACTGTCCCTTCCGAGATGGGCGCCAAGACGGTAGAGATATGCATGTAGCTGTTCCAAGGGCACTTCACTGTCGGAGCCGTAGGTGTCAAGGAACATCTTGTGCCGCTCGGTTTCATCATCGGCCGCTGGTAGGCCGTCAAGAGTGAAGCCCTCAGGCGCCAGCACGACGGCAAGGACCCGACTTGGTAACGCGCAGCAGTAAGCCTCAACACCGATCCTTTCGGCGAGGGCAGAAAATATGGCAGCTGATATGATGGGAAGGGAAGGATGGCGGTCATCCTTGAGTGCTCGGCCGATAAGACAATTGCGCAGGTAACGAAAGGTCTCAGGCTCATTCTCCATGCCTGTAATATTATTGTTGTGAAGCCATGCAGCCAGCGCCAGGGCTTTGTCACGAGTGGTCATGTTGGCGGTACTGTGGCGGGCGCGGAACTGGTCGATCAGATTGTCAAGCATAACAGAGATCTCGTCCATATCACCTTCGTTGTCGTGAAGCACGAACATGTCAAACGCCCCCAGGGCTCGCTCGAGTTTCATGCCGCACCGCAATCGCTCAGTAGGTGTCATGCTGTCACTGTCGATGCGGGCGGCGTGTGTCGGGTATTTGGCCCATTCTTCTATGGCGACGCTCCGATGAATACTGTCGAGCACGTTGCACGAGTAGAATCGGCGGGCGAGCACATCGTCGGCGCTTTCGTGAATTTTGCACTGGCGGAGAAGAAAGTCTTTGGCATCATATCCGAACTGGCAGATTTCCTCCGTCTTCTGTAGTCTGGAGACGCGGGACGCGACGATGTCGTCCAAGAGGTGAGCGATGCGGCGATTGCGGCGATGGCGAAGTGCGAACAGGGCCCTCCAGTCGACGTCGGATACTTTATTGCGCAATTTGTGCTTGATGTTGTGGTCGGGTTGCCAGTACCTGAAGCTGTTCTCGCAGTAAAACTTCCATAGCAAGGGAGTGTCGGTGATGCGGTGGAATCGTTTCGAGAGACGAGGTATGACGGTCAGTGTTACCTCGGGCGCTAGGTAGTTGAGGATGTGAGTTACGATCTCGTCGGGAAGCTCTGCAAATGACGACATGTTTGTCGAGTGAGTGCGTTGTCAAGCTGTGCACCGGGGAATCACGAAGGGGCAGGAGTTGTCGCAAGGTGGCTGTTCGCATCAAGGGGGAATTATGATGAAACCCAAAGTTACCTGGGTTGAATAGAATGTACGTCGTCGGTGCGCAATTCCAAGGACCAAGACCAACTTAAGTTAATGCATTACTGTACAGTACTGCACCGACAGGATAGTGAGATCATAGGCGTCGCTCGTCATTGACTCGAGTCAAATTCAAAGTCCCGAACGCAAACGTAGACGAGACCGTGGTACCTTTTTAAAAGATATTCGTCTCTACTTACCATCCGCATACATGTGTGCGTGTGCGTGTGTGTGTATGTATATGCATGTGTATATCCTGGAGATTATGGACTTGAAAATTGTCATCAACTTTACTCTTTGGTCTGCTTGGTAGCCCCAACTGCACTCATCTTTTTCAGGAGCGCAAGAAGAGAAGGGAAGGCACATACTGTACTGTACATATGTATGTATGTATGTATGTAACTGCAAGGACGGGAATTGATAAGATATAGTTTGGTGGGGCACTTGTCTTAAGCCTTCAATCGACCTGATTACGGCACAGTACATGCGCACGTAGTACAAACCTATGTAGGTACATGGTATGTAAGTTAGTTGTGGTTTATTTATGTATCATCCCCACTGATCGATGCCCGAGGAATGGGAGATTAGCGTACGTCACGGCTTATTGTTCTGCCACGTCCGACCGAAGCCCAAGTGGAAAACATGAGCCCCAACCAAGTAAGTTAATCCACAACATGTATGCATGTATCCCATACACCTTGTCAAGGGACATTGAGCATGGCTCCATTCGAGTTCCACTGATTGGCTCAAGCCCCAGAAGTAAACAAAGGCCGATTTTTGTAGTGACGGAACGCGCCTTGCTCTAGTCTAGCATATGAATGCATCGCGTCTGGATACCCCCCCACTGAAGTCGACTTACACCAATTTTGGATCATTTGGACTAGCAATCGCATTTGCTTCTCCCTTGATGTTGGCGTTTACGAACGGTGTATCTATTCACATGGCCCTGCGCATTCAACTACATCGCTCAATGAAGTAGACAACAGCAACACGATTGCCTGTGCATGTGTTCCTGCTCCGGCTCCTGCTTCCTTGCTCCCTTCACAATATCATAGCATACCCGTCAGAGCTGCCCGGCATGGTGCAACACGACTTTGGCGGGCTCGACACGCCGCGCACCAATGTGGGAGATGCCACCTACCTCGATCGCCAGCCCGACTTCGATATGACACAAGAGCCCTCCTTCCAATCACCTGCCAAGGACAACAACATACTACAGCAGCTGCGCAACGGCCGATCCGGCCCCGTTAGCCTCAAGACCCCCCGCGGCGCTCGCCCTCTGAAGGATCGACGGAACCAACTCCCCCAAGGCATTGGTGGCGCCGAGTTCACACCTATGCTCAAGAGCGTCACCAGGAACAGCGCCCGCAAGTATGGCAAGGAGAATAGGCATAGTCTCACCACACCCGCCGCCTTGGGCAAGATCGTCGAAGATATGGACATGACCAACGTCGCCGTCGAATCCTCCTTGTATGGTCCTTCGCGAGGCAGCAACTCCTACTTGGATGCCACTCCTATGCCTCACGTAGCAGACGACAGCAGCATATCCACCCCCGTGGTTCTACCACCGCGACGTGGCGCCGACAAGGGCCCCCTCAACGACGGAAACCAGCTTTCGCTTCGTGAGCAGGAGAACGTCATCGATAAAATCGAAAAGGAGAATTTTGGCTTGAAGCTCAAGATCCATTTCCTCGAGGAGGCACTTAGGAAGGCCGGCCCAGGCTTCAGCGAGGCCGCCCTGAAGGAGAATACCGAGTTGAAGGTCGACAAGGTCACTCTGCAGCGCGACCTCGCCAAGTACAAGAAGCAGTTAGTCAATGCTGAGAAGGACCTCGAAACCTATTCCGAGCAGATCCTCAGCATGCAAGAGAGGGCAAAGAAGAAGTACGCCGACGAGAGCCAGAAGGTCGAAATTGAAAGGCTCAAGCAGGACCTCGAGGACAAGGAGGCCGACATCGAAGATTTGCAACAGCGGCTGGAAAAGGGCGAGATGGACACGGACAAGTTGGACAGGCTCCAAGGCGAGATTGGTGACCTCGAGGCCGAGCTACGACAGAAAGACAACGAAATCAACGACAGAGAGGAAGAAATAGAAGGTCTGAAAGACAAGCTTGATGAAACAGAAGACAAATGGAAGTCAGCCGAGGCTCGCATAGCCGAGCTGGAAGATAAAGCGCACGCCAGTGAGGAGCTGCACGAGGCCAGGGACACCATCCAAGACCTGGAGGCCAGTCTTCGTCGACTCGAAGAGCAAGTCGACAACATGAAAGACGAGTTGCAGCAGGCCAAATCTGATAAGGAACGCGCTGAGAATGACTTGGACGAGTTACAAGAAGAAATGTCCAACAAGTCCGTCGTCACCAAAGGGTCTTCTCGTCAGTTGGAAGAAAAGGTTATCCGCCTGCAGGATCAGTTGGAGAAGTCCCACGAAAAGTACAATTTTCTTGAGCAGCAAACAGCCGACAAGGAAAAGTACACGAACGAGCTGAAGACCAAGGCCAAGCAACTCCTGCAGCAGAGGGATTCATGGGATACGGAACGGCAGTCGTTAGTCAACAAGCTTGAGCAAGCTGAGAACGATCTTGGCGCACGAACCGACGAAAAGAATCTCCTACAACTACGCCATGATGCATTAGGCGCCGAGTCTGCCTCATTGCAGAAGGATGTCGCCCGACTTCAGAAGCAGATCGAGCAGCTTGAGGACAACTTGGACCAAGAGAAGGCGCATTCCCTCCAGATTGAGCAAGATGTTCGAAACCAGCTCAAGGCCGATATTGACCGCCTCAACGACGAGATATCCAATCTGCAGGCCGAAGTCCGCGAAAAGGACAACTTGTACGACAACGATAGTGAGAAATGGGAGAACGAAAAACACAACCTTCAGTCAGAGCGAGATCGTGCCGAAGAACGGGCTGCAGGCCTCCAGAAAGCCATTGACAAGTTGCGAGAAGTCGAAGGCTCGCTTTCTGGAAAGGAGGCCAAATTGCAACAGGCACTCAATAGCGAGACTGAGCGCCACAAGGGCGAGGAAGCGTCTCTGAGTCGACAGATTGATAATCTCAAGCAGGATCTGGAGGCTCGTCAGTCGATACTGACGGAACTCCGAACAGAGGTCAGCACCGTACGGGACCAGCTTCGTCAGAGCCAGCTAGACTACCAGGGCCAGCTCGAAAAGGTCGAGGCTCTTGAGGATGAGGTTGAAGTGTTGCAGTCTACCTTGGACGAAGAGTCTGAGCAAGCAAGTCATAGTCTCGCGCAAGCCCAACAAGAATGCGATGACCTAAGGCAGCGCTTGAGAGTGCTGCAAGATGATGCCGATAATGCTCGAGCTACTAGCTCAGTGTCACAGCAGAGTAACCGCCAGACCTCCGAATCACTTTCCCGCCTACAGAGCCAGCTGGCTGACGCAAACGCCCAGCTCCATCGTGCAACTAAAGAAAAAGAGTCATTACGAGACCAATTGGCCAACTTCACTTCCGAGCTTCACTCGCTACGCGCTTCGCTTGCTGAAACTAAAGCTGAGCGTGAAGAAGTGGAGGAAGAACTCCGCCGCTTCCGCCAGCAAGATGGCGACACATACCGCATTGACCAGGAGCGCCTCGATCTTCGTACGGCAAAGATCAAACTTGACAGCGAGGCACGTCGTCTGCGTGAGGAGAACCGTTCGCTGGAAACCCAGCGCGAGACTATTGAGAGGTCTCTGGAAGACGAAATCGAGAGAGCAGCTGCAGCGGAAGAGCGACTGAACCAGGAAATACTGTCATTACAGACGAAAATGCGCCAGTCGAGCGGCAACGGGAGCCAGGAGCTCAAAACCGCGCAGCGCGTTATTAGAGATCTGGAGCGCAGGGTTGACGAGTATGAAGTGCAACTCGCAGAACGATCCATGTATGCTGGTGGCGCCAATGGAGAAGGCAACTCGGAAATTTCTCTCATGCGTAAGGACCTCTCTTCAGCACGGAAGAAGGAGCTTGAGCTTTTGCAGCGCGAAACTGGACATAAGGACGTTGTGCGTGCTTTGAAACGACAGATCGCCGATCTTGAGCGCAAGCTCCACGAAGCTGAGATGACCCAACTGATCAAGTCTCCTAACGCGTCTGGCTCTAACTCGGCATCAACTCGCAAGCAGGAGATTTCTGAGCTGAGGCATCAACTGACGAGCACCAACAAGTCCTTGCGGGAGATGCGCCAGAAACTGAGAGAAGCAGAACGCCGCGCCTCCGGGACGACGTCCGACCAACAAAGTGTGGTACAGGATTTGCAGGCCCAACTCGAAGAGCTTGAAGACGAGAAGCTGGTGCTTGAATATGCCGCAGCGGAGTCACAGAATGCAATGGCCGAGCTCAAGAGCCATCACGAGAAAGCCGTTCGAAAACTCGAGCACCATATCTATAAGCTGCAGCACTCTCGTTCGCTTCGTCAGAATCTGGCAGCGGACGACCATACTTTGGAGCCTAACGAGCGCCATGAACTCCGGTCTATGCTTCGTGAGTCGCAAGCTGAGGTCGAAGCCCTCGAGCACGACATCCGACAGCAAGCCGCTACCATCAATTCTTATGAAACTGCTCAAAGTGGCCTTCGCCAGAAGCTAGACAAGGCACGTAACGAAAGAGCAACCTATAAGTCTACTGCTCTCAAACTAGAGAAAGACTGCGAGCGTCTTACGGAAAGTGCTCAAGGGGCTATTGCTTGGATCGAGTCACACAAATCATCTTCGCTTGGTGCTTCAACCTCGTCTGGGTCGACGTTGGCGGCTCCTACTTCTGCGGCCTACGCAGCCGCGAAGGAGACGGCTGCAGCTCATCGCACGTCGATTCGCTCCGCTTCTGGCAACCTAGTGTTGGACGTCGTGGATCAGGCTGACCATGAAGCCGTAATTCGTGCAGCAGATGAGGGGGCCAAACGACATGAAAAGGAGCTCAGGGGTCTGGCAATGCAGATGCAATGGATGCAAGCCCGTTGGGAGAGAGAGGCCAAGTTAAGGGGTGACGCAGCGTTTGCGAAGCGGTTCTTGGAACTGCGCTTGAGTGTCGCCGAGGCATGGTACGTTGGCCATTCCTGGTCCAATTTTCCTTTTCCTTTTCACGAAACACTGTGCTAACATAGAAACAACAGTAACCAGGCAGACCTTCGCGTCCTCTCCCAGATTCATAAGCAATTGGGCATCAAATCTCCGGAACAGCTTCTGCGATCACATAAGACGCATACTTCTACGTCATCTACCAATCAAGCACCCCAATCAAGAGCTCAGCGTAATCTACGTATATTCGCCAACGCCCTCAGAGCTGTGGCGAGAATGAGGATTAACTCAAGGGAGTGGAGCAAGCAGGAGAAGACTCGCAAAAAGCTGGCGAGCGCATGGGAAGAGACGAAGAGGCGAGAGCCGGTCAGGCGGTGGGAGACACATGATGATAATGATACCCAGGAGGACCCCCACAACGAAAGTGGTAATCAGCAAGAGCAGCCCCCTACGAAGAACAGAGCACAGCAAATTAGGGGAAGGAGGAGAAAGAGCGGAAGAACTGGTGGGGGCGAGGATGCTTGCATAACTTTGGACTTGTGAGCTGGAAAACCTGGATCAGCATCATTTCTGGATGTAAGGTACGACACTCATCAGCATAGGCGTTGAAGGGAGTTTGATAAAGGGTAAGGGTTTTGTTGGTCTATAGTACGTATTGATACCAGAATGGAGTTTTCTATGTTGTTCTGGATGAACCTTCGAGGGGATAAATGAAAAATGGTTTTGCATCGCACAGGACAGCCTTAATGTGCAAACACAAGTTTGTTGTGACAACACGACCGGCGCATAATTCCCCTGTCACTAGGCTCGTCAAGAAGCACAAAGGGTCGCCAGAATCTCCGGGCATCTCCTCTCCTCTAGCCAGTCAAGCACTTCGTCTCCCATCTACCTTAACCCAGAGAAGGACACTCTATATCAACAACGATCAACTGGTGGCGAGCCTGCGCATTCTCGGCTTGGTCTAAGCCTACTCGGCCCCCGACATGGCCCAGTCCTCTTCGAAAGCCTTCCGGATCGGCTTTTACAATAGGACACGGGATACGATACGTTGTCGGGCCCCCCTGCCTTCTGCCAGTACATGTCTGGTGGGCGACAAGCACGCCTATAGTATGATCTGAGCCGGCCAACATAGAACTATGGAGGCATGTCAGTGGTATGGATACTTTACAGCCTGGGTCGCGGCCGACTTATTGGTGTCTGGTGATTAGGTTCGGATACGTGAATTGCTGTACGAAGCCTCAAAACACGATACCAAGAAATTTTAGCCACCTTCCTGTTTGCCGGCTTAGCTCATTGACAGTTCAAATGCACGATGATGGAGTCGACAACCAGAGGCTCTGGTTTTGTGGTTTCAATAAGCCTTTACATCGACCAATGGCAGAACGAGTAGGCGGATAAGCCTACACACTGACGCCTACTCTGAAGTTGACCTCCCCCCCTTAGTCTAGAACCCAAACCACGAATGAAGTTACATTCCAAGTGACACGACTTCTCCTCCCACATCCAACACGGCACTCGTCACACTCTGCGTGCAGACCGTCCCAGATATACAGATATGTAAGACCGCAGAAGACCACCGTGGCCAAAATGCTCCCATCCACTTCGTCCATTTTGTCCCATATCTAGCCCACGTCAGAACATGGTAGACACTCCAGACATGGGACCAAACGAGAAAGACAGCAAATGGAATCCCGATGTAGTGCCTTCCCTCCAGATCAAGAAGTTGGATACGCGCATCCCTCTGTCCTGCTGCGAACCAGGGTCTTCAGTGTCCTGCTCGTGATACGCGCGTCTCCACACAGGGCTTCGGAGTGGATGGCTGTCTTACCACTGCCTGGGCCTGTCCGCTCTCTCTCTCCCCTTTTTTCTTCTTTTATTTTTATTTTCTTGCAGTCATGAATCTGACAACGGTACTCACCGTCAAGCCCGTCGTCGTAGTCCTCTTTGCTTGCCATATTTGCCGAGTCACGTACGATGCTGTCAAAATACAGCGAGCTATTGAGCCCATGAGACCACTACGTAGCCGCCGGATTTCTAGAAGATCGAGTCAAGGAGGGAGCAGTGGAGGACTGTAAGTGAATTCCAGAAACCGGGCCATGATAGCAGTGGTGCGGCAATTTGTCACCAGGGCACTGGCGATGGCAAACAGCTAGGCATTGCGTATTACTTCCCCGGCTTCATCCTGGTCTAGTCTAATTGAAATAAACTCTATCTGAGGGCACTTTTGCAATTGTATCTGGGTACAAACGACAGCTCAGCTCTTGTGCTTGTGATGTTGTTAAAAATATGCCGGGAGAACATCACAGAGCAGGCAGTCAGGTAAAATATCGTTCACAATGTCTCATCTCAGAAAGAACACAATCCACCATGTTCGAAGCATCATGACAATTGAAACATTTATTGCCCAAACCTAGAACGCCATGCTCATGCAGTACCTCCATTCCCTTCCTCATTCTTTGTATACCCCTTTTCGATCATCTTCTCATTCATCTAATATGTCAACAACTTCTGCCCGGACCCTTTGTTCTTCTGCTCTGTGTTCAACGTGCTGAAGGCACAGAATTTATCCTTGATAGCAACAACCTCATAAGTACCTTCTAGACTAGCGGTGACAGTCTTGGTGTTTACGTAAGAAATATCATGCCTTGTCTCAAGAACATGACTCTTCTGCCCCTTCCGGGCGTTGGTCGAGCGGGTGTATGTGAACTCAAATGGTGGGGTGCCCCAAAACTCGAAAAGGATCTCGACTTCTGATCCTTCGTGGATGTCGACGCGGACAATCTTACCGCGGCTGATCTTGACCGACGGCATAGGGTGGATTGTCTTGGAGAGGTTGACGGCCGCCTTACACTCGGATGCTTTGTCACTAATGGATGTGATGGTAAAGTCGCCAGGGGCTTCAGCGATGCGACGAAAGTTTGTGGTCTGCGACTTGGCCTTCATATGAGAGCCTCCGAAGGTATACTGAACCTCGAACGGAGGAGTACCGGAAAGGGTGTACGCAATACGCTCACCCACACAGTAGTCCGTGCGCGTCTCCAGAGGGTAGATGGCGGGGGCATCGTAGAGTTGAACTTGTACGGAAGGTCCTCCCACCTCGATTTTCTGCTGGCAGCCGCGTGCATCACGAACCTTGCGGATGCGAATGGTTTGGGCGCCAAGCTTGAGATAGGCCCGAGGAATTTGCACACTGTATGAGTTAGAGGGGATGTTAGGGATGCGGAATGTCTCCGGGATACTGCCAGTATGATGACGAATCTCGATCTCGACATAGAACGGTGCCACGCCCTGAAGGGTTATGGGGATCTTCTCTTCGTAATCTTGCTCGGACATGCAGAGCTTGAAAATCTGCCCTGGCTTGACGAAAGAGGCGGTCGGCTTGGCATTGACAGTCTGTTCCAAAGTAAGCGGCTGAAACTTCCTCTTGTCGTTATTGTAGAGATTATCTGCCAGTGCTGAGAATTTGTATGTGTACAAGCCTGCCTTGGCGGTGTCCAAGGGAATCGAAGCCTTGGCCATAGCAGCGTCGAACTCTTTTCGTGCGACGGAACCAGAGCCAGTCTTCGGTTTGTGCTTGACTTCGTATGCAACATGATACGGTGGAGAGCCTTGATTATTCGGTTAGTGTTTGTGAGAAGTATGTCATAGCGAGAAACTTACCCTTGAGTGCGACTTCAAAACCGTCGATGTCACCCTCGCACACGTCTTGTTTGACGAATACATCGTCATTTTGTGAAATACTATCAGCTGTAACCAAGGAGAGTTCCGGTCGAGGGAACCAGTTGACTTGGAAAGTTGACAGCTTAGGGTCAACCTGTCCGTGGCACTGCCTGTCCGAAAGGTCGATGATCTCGAAAGTGCCACGCTCTGTGGTCTCCAAGAAATCGTTGTTGGAACGTGCGATCATGGTTTGCTCGTCCTTTCCACTATCAAGGTTGCGATACGTAACTCTCCAGGGCGCCTCTCCAGACAACTTCAGTGGAATCTTGACCTTGGCATCTTCGATAACAGTAGTTGTCTTTCTGTTCTCGATGTGGCCAAACGCAGCGCGTGGTCGCTGTCGTCGAACAGTAATCTTGATTTCCTCTTTCAAGAAGATACGGCATCCAGTCGTGTCTTGAATGCTAGTTAGAGCAAGCGTGTAGTCTCCGCCATGAGACAGAGGAGCGGTCTCAATAGCATAAGATTCTGCTGTAATGTCGGTGATCTTTTGGGACTTCTTCTTACCCTCATGAACGAGTTCCCATTCCAGAGTGAATGGTCCATCGCCACGAAGTGCAACGTCGACCTTGATCGGCTCGTCCAAACAGGCGGTAATAGCGGCTGGCTGGTCATAGAAAAAGGCAGTTGCAGGAGGCTTGACATTCTGCTCGAGATGATATTCATCAGTGAGCGGCAAAGGAATATTCTTATAAATAGCGTCCTCCAGCTTCCTGAATCTATACTGGTAGTGACCAGCATTGCGAGGGAGAAGATCGATCTGTTGGCGCAGCCCCTTGACAATGACGCTCTCTCTGCGAGAACGCTCCGTGTCGCTAGTAATATCGTAGACGACTTTGAAGGGCGGAGTGCCCACAAGATCAAGGTTAACGCGCAGACCAATTGAGCTACCCGCGCACTTGTCGGGGATCCCCTCGGCCTGTAAGCTGAGCTCGGGCTCCAGAGGGTTGAGCAACAGACATGAAGAGGGCTCCTCGATTTCGCCCTCACACGAGTCACACGAGACAGACTTCAAGGTGTACAGACCGGGGGCAGAAATGGTCGGCTGGTCTTCAGCGTTCTTGGCCGTGAAAGTACCGGTTTCAACAACATCTCCGTGGTCACCGCTCTTACTGAGAGTGTCGATCGGAGAGAATTGCCAAGTAAGAGTATATGCGGCGCGACTCGATGAGTGGCCTGGCAACCTGTAGCTAGTAGGCAGCTTTGTTGATTGGCCCTTGGCCACCTTGAGTGGGTTCCTCAGGTCACAGCCACGGAGGGTTGCTTGAGGTCGCTCCCGGACCAGGAAGTTTTGGACCAGGTGCTTTGGCTTTGGCTTAGCTTCAGATTCCTCGCCAAGTAAAGTGTACTTGATCACGTTGCCGAAAACGTCATGGACTTCATCAATGGAATACTGCCAATCGCCAGATTGGCTCATGGACTCGTTGAGGGCAACAGCGACGGACTGAGCACGGGCCCACGAGACATCCTCTCCCTCTTGCAAGATCAAGCTCGAAGTCTTTGCCGCACCGAGCAGTGGCGAGGAGAACCCATCAGGCTGAAGGCTTTGGAAATGGAAGCTATGATCCTTGCCATTGATAGTACGGCTGTAGACAATCTTCAGGGGCGGTGTTCCGTAGACGTCTAGGGACAGGTCGGACAAATCGTTGATACATCGGTTGGACGATTCCGCCCGACGGACCTGGGCTTTGGGACAAGGTACGACGTATGTTGGCTCGGTGACCCTTTGAACTTCCAACTTGTACTCGTCGAGGACCTTGTGCAACCGATACGCGCCAGACTTCTTAACTGGCACATCATACTTGTAGGATGTCACGCCGCCGTCCTCGGCAATCCTCTTTGCCTGCCTATCGATCTCGCGGATTTGTGATTTGCTGAGCTTGATGACTTCCTCGTTGTTCGTGTCGAGATCGATGCGGATGAGCTCCACCTCGGCGGGAATAGTGGCATTGAAGTAGAGGGGGATGGTGACGACATTCTTGCCTCCCTGGCCGACGCAAAACGGGGTTTTCTCGGGATTCAGCAGCGCAGAGCCCTCCGGCAGGATGTTGATAATCTGCTTGCCCATAATCAGAGAGGCGTTGTGCAGGATACTCGAGACCTTGACGTTGTGTTCCGAGATAGAAAGCTCTCCCTTGTCGTAGAAGATCTTGACGATGCCCAGCAACCATGCCGTCCACGAGACCTGGATATTGAACATGAGTGTCCAGTTCAGTGCGAGCTGCAGGGCGAACAGGCCTATAACGACTGGTTGTGATAGATCGAGCCATGGTATCCTGAGAGCTGGGAGAGCGACAAATAGAAAGAGGAAGTCGATGACGATCCATTTGAGGAACAGGGCAAAAGATCCGGTGTCCTCCTCGACGACGCCTATCCAGTCCCAGAAACGGTAGGCGAAAAGCGCGACGTAGATGGCGACGGCGTAGAACCTCTGACTAGGAGCGTCGACGACTGTCAAGGGTATCAAAGGCGGTCGGTCGCCCGGTGCGGCAGCAGACTTGTTCTCGGGGGCAGGAGGCAAGGAGGCTCTCGGGCCTCTTTGTTGTCTGGGTATGGATGCCGGGGTGGGAGGGTCATCTCTCCTCGTTCTAGGAGCTACGGTTCCTGGTGTTTGTGGAAAACCACCAGACCGCACGCGCGGCGTTCCATTCATGGCATGCCGTGGTGGAGATAGACCATGGAAGTTGTGTTTTGTCTTGTGTTGATGTCTATGGCTGGCTTGGGCTGGCAGCGCGAGCAAGCAATGAGTGTGCCGCTACTTTTGTGAGGTCAAAGTATCTTGAGAAATATAGCCTGGCGACGTTCCCCCTACCCAGCAATATCAAGTTGGGATGTGGATTGTTGTGGTCGTGAATTGCAGTGTTGTCGGCACCAAGCTCTCCAGTAGGTAAACATGCAAACAGCTAACTTGGACTAACCCAACCCGAAATTTTGATGTATGGACCCGGGTCACGTCCAAGTCCAAAGGCTGGAAGCGCGTCACCGTGGAACTGAACGTTGAACCCGCAGAAAGGGAAGAAAAGAAACAAAGTGGGAAATGGCCATGCACACTGTACGGCCCAGCAGCAACCTCAGGCTCGAGTTACATGGCGCATGCAAGTCATCCTCACACTGTGTGAACCCCCCCCCCCCTCCCCGCCACAATTAGCAAACACCCCTACGGATCTGTACAGCTCCTCCCACTAATTCCAAGCTTTACCGTAACCTAGGTTAGGTAGTTACGTGGGACGTCCCCTACGGTACGCACTTTGAGCAGTTGGAAGCCAAGAATTCCCTGGACCTCATTGGATCATTACGGAAACCATTACAACCCCCGGATTGCATACCCGCTGCCCTTGCAACTCGTCCTTTGAGATAACCAGCCTCCGTCATGACATGTTACCATATTCTTTATCCAGCTCCAGCGGCTGACAGTTGTGTGAGCCCGTTGACATTCGACGGTTCTAATTTATCTTGTGTCGACATTGTTTGAAAATTACCCTCCTCGGTCAGGACTGGGCAACAGATACCTGCCGGCCAGCTTTCCTACCACTTTGATCCAATCCGCAACCACAGTATTCTCCCAGAGCCTCCCTTGGGTTCTTTTCTGGACTTATGCCACCAGTTTGCTGCACATCGCTGCACATCCGTCCTGGCTGAGAATAGCTGCATCCTTCGGGCTTGTTGCTGCTGTCTTAATTCCTTCTCTTGCACCAGCATCTATCCTCCCCCTGAACTGGGCTTACCTATTCGTGCAAATTGGCCCCTCAGCATTTGCCACACTTGATTTCATGTCATGTGGAAACTCAGGTATTCAGTCGCTGAGGACCTTGTACTTTCAGAACAGCACTCAACAGCTTAGTCTGGGGCCTCATCTGGAGTTGTTGTCTTACAAGTGTCGTCGGGTTGAATGCTTGTCGACTGGTCAGGGTCCTGGGGTTCTCACTCAGACTGGCATATTCTGCTCATCTCTTCGAGTTTCCGGCGCTGTTTCAAGCAGGTGCGGAATCTTCAGGCATCCAGGCAGGCGTCCCGGCAGGCATCCTGCTTTGTTCAGTTTCGCCTGACTTCACCCATTGTCACATTTGATATACTACACGACCGATTTCACCTAGACTCCTGGCTGTCTGTTCTCAGCTGCGTTTGACCACTGCCGAGCAGGTAAACACCAACTGCTGTCTGCCAACTAGACCACAGGCCCCAAACACTTCTACGTTACTTTTCGGTCGTCGTCGTCGCTATCAACGACATGATGAGCGATCAAGTCCGTCGACGTCCCAGCTCTGAGCCAGAAGCCCAGAGCCTCGTCAACGGAGACGGCGACATCAAGATGGCTGAAACCGCTGACGAACCCTCACGGCGACCGAGTAGAGCTCGGGGCCATGCATCCGATGATGCAGAGAATGGAATCGAAACTAATGGTGACAGCTCTAAGTTATCTGCACTGAGTACGCCATCTCTGACCGAGGATGAAGTCATGAAAGATGTAAGCGATGAGAGTAAGGGCTCTCTCGAATCGCCCAAAACCCCAGATTCACCGGCACAACCAGCACCTCGTCGCTCGGGCCGCAATAGAAAGGCGCCAACCAACTATGAGGATGAGTACGTCATCCCTGCTACCAAGGAACCGCTCAAGACGACAGCTGCATCGTCCCGGCCTAAGCGCAAGGCTGTGGCTTCTGCGCAGAAGACCTTCACCAGTCAGGAAGATCTCGACCTTGTCACAGAGACTCTATGTGCACCCATGGTGTCCGAGGAGCTACGTTCCTATAAGGGGTGGGTTGAGCTCGAGTCTGAGCCCAAATTCTTCCAAGCCATGTTGCACGAGATGGGCGCTCCGGACCTGAAAATCATAGAGTTGTTCAGCTTGGATGATAATTCCCTTGATGCCCTCTCCAAGCCAGTCTATGGTCTCATCTTCCTCTTCCCATACGACTCGTCGGCCCAGCAAAATGCGGAAGAGCGTCAGGATTGTCCCCAAGAGCTCTGGTTCGCGAACCAGACCATTTCAAACAACTGCGCTACCGTGGCGCTCATGAACATAGCCATGAACATACCGGATGCAACGTATGGCCCGGAGCTCCAACAGTTCAAAGACCAGACGGCATCTCTCTCCTACTTCGGTCGTGGCAATGCCATTGACCACAACGAATTCATTCGCTGTATACACAATTCTGTCGCCCGGCGTACTCAGCTTCTCAACGAAGACCTGGCCTGGAAGAACCAGGCCGAAGCGGCCGAGAGGGCCACGCGGAGCAAGCGAGCCATCAAGGCCCCGAAAGGCAGGGGCAAAGTCAGGATCCCGGTCACCGCTGCCAGCAATCAAGCCTCGATTACTAGGAAGAAGAACCAACTGGCCAACGCCGCGATGCACTACATCGCATTTGTCCCGCACGCCGGAAAAGTCTGGGAGTTCGACGGTCTGGAGGATAAGCCCCTCTGTCTCGGCCCACACGGAGGTGAAAGCGATGACTGGGTCAAGACAGCAGTAGAGACTATCCAGGTCCGCATGGCAGCAGGCATCTTCTCGACCAACTTCAACCTCCTCGCCGTGTGTACCACACCGCTACAGAGCCTGGAGGACAGGCTGGTCCAGAGTCTCGCCGCGGCCCAGACGCTCGAGCAAGGGTACCGGGCCGACGACCGCTCGTGGCCACACCCACCGATCTCGACGCTGTTCCCGCCCGAGAAGCTCGAGCGCCTGAACCACCTGACATGGGAAATGGCCGCTAACGTCGGCCCCACCGAAGCCTTTCTCGAGAAGATGTCCCAGCCAGGCTTCGGCAGGGAGCAGGCCGCGCTGCTGATGGCCGAGCTCATCGTCGAACAGAACGACCTCGAGGCCGCGCTCGCCGCCGAGATCGACAGCCACCAGAGCGCCCGGACCGAGTACGAGTCCCGACAGAGGGATTTCACGCCGTTCATCCACCAGTTCCTGCTCGCCCTGGCCGAGACCGGCCAGCTCGAGGAGACTCTGAACAACTTTGTCGAGACCTAGTGAAGCCGCGGCATAACACTTGTTCGGATTCGGTCTTGGCTGGTGGTGGATACGATGCGTACACGCACGAGGGTCTGGATTGAGACCTAGGTCGTCCCACAGGGAAGCCTCGGTTATCACGTTTTGATGCTTCATCTCAAGTCTGCCACCGCGCGGGGGGTCGCCCACAACGTTTCCGGGGCTTCAATCTCTACCGGTTCGGCTTCCGTATCGGCTCGGCATGGCAGGGCAGCCGTGAGGAGTGAGTGCAGGGTGCTGCATGAGAAGAGGCCAGGGGGACCCAGCCAGATGGGGATCTGAATAACCACATGTGGCTTTTCCACAAAGCACGAGCGAGGTGGCATCTGGATCAAGCAAAGGCGTTGATGGGTAGATGGTGGGTGAATTAGAAGATATCGCCGGTACACAAATCCCCTTGGGACTAGTTGGACACAGAATTCATCAACAGCGTGTGTTTACACGTCAATATAAAGGGGTATCGTGTGCATCATTGTCTCGGAATGGTGAGCTAACCTCGCATCAATACATGGCATGTCTATAAGTAATACAAGTCTCTCGACTTTCCCCCTTCTTTCATGCTCGCGTGTTAATCGTCCTGCCACTCCAGACGCTGCCGAATATGCTAGTCGGGAATAAACGCCACGGCCAAATTGTCACGTGTATTCGTTCTCCTGTCCACATACTCGTCACGACCGACTCTCCCCCGACGCCGTGAAATTCATACTTCCACCCCTGTAAATCCCAGCTCTTTGTTTTCTTTCGTTTTCTGTCTTTCTTTGTTTCTAAGGCTTAGGGACGTGCAGAGTCTTGGAGACCATCAAGCTGCCGTGGGCGACGAAGAGGAAGACGATGGGGTGGATCTCGAAGGCGGTGCCCTGGAACCAGACGCCAAAGGGAACCTGGTCCAGGATCCAGCCCTGGGACACCCAGTACGCCATCAGGGCGTCGGTGCCCAGCGACGTCGGGATCGGGGTGCCCTCGAAGTAGCTGGCCTTGCCCGAGGCGTCGTGGGGGATGTTGGCGGCGGTCACGTTGAAGCGCGCGAGGCGGGTCAGGCCGCACAAGACGAAGACGGCGAGGAAGATGTGGTCAAGGGTCGTGCGCAGGCCGATAGAGAAGGCTACGCAGGCGGGGGCGAGGCCGAAGGAGATCTACAGATGGGTCAGATGCTGTTGTTTGTTTGTTTGTTTGTTTGTTTGTTCGAACAGTGGAAAAATTCAACGAATTAACCATACAAGACGAGAGGGGAGGGTGGGCGCCACATACCAGGTCGGCGAGGGAGTCGAGCTCCTGTCCCATCATGCTGCTCTTCTTGCGCCATCTGGCGACGCGTCCATCCATGAAGTCGAAGAACAGACCGGCGGGCAGGAAAGCCAGGGCGAGGTAGAGGTTCGACTTGTCGGTCGGGTCTCCGAGGCAGTAGCGGAGGGAGGAGAAGACGGACATGATGCCGCAGAAACCGTTCATCTCCGTGATGTAGTCGGCCATGTGCATAGCCCTGACGAGCGAGAAGTGGCCGTCGGTAGAGGTGAGCAGATCCTGCTGTCTGTCCTTGGGAGGCTCTGCATGGCAATGTTAGCAGCTACACGTTTGTCGTCGCGTGTTTAGAGGCAGATACGTACCACTTGCGACCTCGGAGGCTTGCTTGGAGAGGGCGCCATTGGCGGTGCTTGTTCGTTTCGACATGTCTGAGCTGGTATTATGTGAGTGTTGCGTTCGTCCGTCCGTGATATATGTGGATATGAGAGGTTTTGGTGCTGTGGTTTGTGAACGCGTCAACAAAGAGTGCGGGTAGAGAGAGAAGGAGAGGGGGGAGGCAGAAAAGAAAAACAGGTACCTGGGCAGTAACTTACACCGTCTTTTTGTGAGTTTTCCGGCCTGTGCAAAGTCGGTTTTCGTGTAGATATGTTGCGATTGGCTTCGTTCCCAACAGCAAACATGCGGAAAATAGTGTCTAGAAGCAGTTCGACGCGGCAGCAGATAGGCACGTATGGTATATAAAGGTAGGAAAGTAAATGCAGGCAGAGCAAAAGGCAGGAGCTGGCCTTGATTCATTGCTTGGCCAGACCTTCTTCGTCCATGATCCAGGCCCCACGTCCCTGGCAGGTCACTTGATGCCGTCATTTGCATACTTGGCTAAGCTACATGGGGACTAACCTCGCCGTGATCCACTCTTTTCTTTGGCGGCAATGAATAGAGTTGACGACACACAAACTTCCAAATGATCCAGGCTTCTTATGTCATCGCCGCTGCTTTCGTCCACCCGGGGGCGACTTGAGCCTAGCATTCCTTGGCATGAGAGTGCAATACTACACGAACTAATGATGCCCGAGTACGTACAGTGGCCAATGGATTTCCGGGGGGGAGAGAAAAGGAGAAGAAGAAAAGCAGTTGATTCTACACGCATACCGCGAACGAACACTACCAGCCACCCCCTTGTTTTTGGCGACATGTTCTTCATTTGTTGTGAATGCCTGCGCAGTGTTATTTCTCGAGACCAGATCTGTACCTGCCCCATATCATATACGTTCTGTAGGACTGGTCACGAGTCCTGACAATCGGCTCATTGGGCTACTTTGGCCAGGCCATCCATTGCCGGCCACTATATTTCACTTTCCCTATGTATATCAAGAATACAAACATTATGCTCACCCGTGAGCTTTCCTATGGCTCTTGTCTATGTGATAGTGTCCACCAAAAGGACGTGTGATCCATGCATGCTTATGCATGTCAATGCCTAGAAAATTATGCCCAAACCTGTAAAAATCCTGAACGGCCATGCTGCCTCGGGGTATGCCGCAAAAGGAAAGGAATTGTAACAAAACGAAAATGCTCGATTCGTGGACCGTCGATCAAGGGGTATTATAGACAGAGCCAGGTTGGTGTTCGTTGGTTGATATGCATTCGTTGCTGCCGACTCAAACTCAAACCCCCCTCCCTGTGTTTCCAAATGTTGTGAGATGCAACGTTGTGCATTATGTGCAAGAGTGATGTTGGTGTGGACTACCACCGGGTGATGAGTACCGAGAAACCGTCAACCCAGCCAGCGCAGGAACCAGAAACACCACAGACTGTGTAGCCTCGAGGTGGTAGAAGAGTATGGCTGCGTGATGATATGTCAGTACATGTGTTGCTTGAGCATCCACCAGAGACTTACGATGATCCGCCATGTGCGTTGCCATACATGGGCGACTTTCTTCCCATGCTCGTCAAGACTTGGACTGCGTCGACCCAAAGACCGGACCGCACAATGAAACCAGTTATGTATTCGCCTCGGCGTACATCTACAATAGTCAGCAAAAGCGTGATGAGATGGACCGGGTGCACTTACTCATGTCGAATGTGTCGCCTCCTGGTTTGCCCCCGCGCTTGCCGAACAATTGGCTCGATTCATCGTCGTAGAAGAACTCCATACCATCAAAAGCAAAACCGTGGTAGAACACGATCTTGGAAAGCACTCGTTCTTGCTTCTTCACGCTAGTAAAGATGAACTCCTGCGGCTCGCTGCCCTCCATCTGGGACATTCCTAGCTTGTTGCCCCTGAAAGCAAACTTGCCGATAGGTCCGACCGCAAAGGAGAGCTTGAGCGCGGATGACTTGGAGCTCAAGCTGCCGAAGTCGCCGATATCCAGATTGCCGCCACCATGCGATTTGATGCACACCTTCAGCTTCGCCTGGCGCTTGTCCTCGGGGAGTCGTTCTTTGAGCTCCTTCTCTGTCAGAGTCAGGTGCCGCTGCACCTGTCCGTTCTCCGCTGGGTATTCAATCCATGTGTGACACAGATCATCGCCCTCTGGGTAGAGCTCGAGGTATGAGACGCCGGTCGGGGCAGTCACGAGCACCTTGCCGTCTTCTACGGGCCAGGCCTGCACACTGTTGTCGAGGTTAAGTACGGGGTCGTTCGGAGCTCTAAAGCAAGGGTGGTTCCTGAATCTCAGACAATCCAGCCTGTGCCACGTGCATTCGTCTGCCTGTGAGACCAGGCCTCCTTTTGACTTGGTCCGCGTGCAGTAGGCCTCACGTGCCACAAACGTCCGGTTGAGTCGAACATAATCTCGCAACATGACACCATTCTCCTGGTGCGGGCAGCCGAACAGGTGACCCGTCTCGTGCATGTGTGCGCCAATTCCAATGTTGGCGGCTTCCCACGAGCTTCCGCCCTCGTTACAATCGTTTGCGACGTAGTTTGTGTCGGTTGGAGTGCAGTCGGTGAAAGCGGGCACCACTTCTTCGAAAGTCGTAGGATAGCTCTGCATGCAATGCGATCCAAAGATAGCTAGCTGCAAGTCGCCAGCATTGCCACCCAGGGCGGCGTGACCAAGAACTGTTTTTGAAACAGTGTCCCAGTGAGCGTCCAGTATCAACACCGAGACGTATTGCTTCTGGCCCGGAAGTGGTTTGAAGTAGTTCTTGACGGCGTCGGCAGCAATCTCGTACAGCTCACCTTTCTTGGTTGCTTTCGAATACTGCTGAGCTCTCTCGAGATCCCGGATCTCCGCGACGGTTTTGTCCGAGCGAATGACATGAATGCGTGCCTCCGACCGCATAGTGCCCATTTCCAAGTCTCTTTGATTGCTGGTTCCCGTGGTCCACTCTTCCTCGAATCTGAAGACGCGCCGTCCAAATTTGTTTCTATACATCTGCTCTGCTGTGAAAGCTTGCCACAAATATGCGGCCATGCGGAACTTGCGAACTGCGGTTTCCAAACCGTTTCCTTCTCTTTCTATCCGCGCCGGCACAGCATCAAACGTCGCTGGGGAGTCCTTTGCGACAAGAATTGCCAGCTGCAAAGGGGGCGAGTTCATGGGGGGTACCATGTGAACGGTGAGGTAAGAAGAATGGAGTGGGTTCGAGGAACCAGAGTTAGAAAGCTTCGGGCTGTTGAAGTCAAATCGTAATCTGTTCGCGCCGGGCACGAGGTATACCAATGCTTTGAAATGGGACTCGCATACAGGCCAGAACGTGGCTGGGAAAGCATCGTCCATACGGTTCACCGTTAGAGTGCCATCCAAAGAACCTTGTGCTGGATCGCCGATAGTGCCATTGATCAAAAGCACTTTTTGGGAAACCTAAGAAGTAATCAGCATCCAACCCTCCAAGGCCAAGTAGTCTCCAGAAATAGCAACGTGCATTGCCCTCAGCGGCAACCAAGCCATGTCTGTATAGTCACTGGTATTTCAACCGGTGGAGCAACTTACCCAGGAGTTTTCTGTCACATTGGTAATGCGCGGAGCATAATGCGAGACAGCAAAAGACTTGTTCTGGCCATTGACCAGAACAGTCGGCGAACCAAGGCCCGACATGCCTCCAACGCTGTATCGCTTGTTCGGAGCACTTGGCAACGGAGGTCTATTTTGAGGGACTGGCGGCGGTGGTGTTCCATGCGAGTCCTTTACTTGCAGGTTCAGGTCCGACTGCGACCGCGCAGCCAGTGAGGCTGGCGTCACAGAACCGTTGGTTGGAACGGTGCCATGGCTGGTATCGTCGTTGTCGTTGCTCGAGTTATCAGTGTTAGATCGTTCTGTCTTGAAGCTTGCCCGCGACCGTCGACGGAGCTCCTTAAAATTCAGAAAAGACGGCGCCATACTGCTCAAACGCTTTCCAGAAGCTGACCAAGACCAAGGAGAGCCTCCCAAAAGCGAGTTGGCTATCTGGTGTGCGCTTGGCGTTTGTCGTTCACCTGCGAACGAGCGACGCGGGAGTATCGGCTTTATCGCTGACGTTATTCTGTATGGAAGCAGCAGCGCTCCACCGCTATACAATTCGTGGGCGGCCGACGCCCGTGGCGCTGGAGATCCCAAGAGAATACGATGAGCGTTAGTGCGCTGGACTCGAGACCTGGTCGATTAGGTCCACGGCACGTGTGTTATACGGAGTGTGTTCGGCGCCGTGCTCTGTGTTCAAACGAGTGTGATTTATATGGCCGACAGCAACAGGAAGATCGCAGGAAGATCACCTTCTGTCAAATTCCAGGTCGCGCAGAGATAATTTCTCCCTTTTCCCTAGCTCAACCAGTTTGTTTGGACTCTCGACTTGATTGCGGTGGACTCTTCACTGGTGGGTAGGTCATCAATGGATCGGTGATTCAGTGGAGCTTGACCTTGGTTCTAGCGGCAGGATATGCCTTGCATTTGCTGATAGTCAGACTAGCCGCTCGGCGAGCTGCTGAACCTTGCCCAGTCTAGGCGAAACGGCGTTGGGAGGATCGGCCCTCGCTGAGCAGAGAGCCACTTTGCAAGTACAGATGGGAGACTCCGAGTGGTTTGCGAGAAGCATGAGAGTTTGTTGGCCGCATGCGACACCTGACTCTTTCGGCAGCGTAGTATTGCAGCTTGCAGATTTTCCGCACACGAGCAGGAACGAGGAGGACAAGGCAGTAATCAAGTTCAAGGCCGCCTCGTGCGTTTGAGGCTTCAAGAGGTGAGCCAAGTGCACTAAAACGGGACAAGACAGGTTCTAGCGATGACGTCTACTCGACTACCTTCGTATTTTCGCACTGCGGCTACGAAGGTATGAAAGTGGGCTCGGGCTCTTTCGTTTGATATGAGAGGCCAGGGGTGAGGACCCGTACTGTGGAAACAACAGTCTGGCTGTCCTAATCAGCGTAGCAGTCGTCGGCGTGTTCCTGCAAAGCTACCGTATGTATATTGCAAGGTCAGAAGAGGGAGGACCGCTTGGACTGGAGATTTGGTCCAGGAAGAGACAGGGGACAAATCAAGTTGTCGCGAAACAATTGCTGCAACCTTGATATGCAGATTGCCCAAGAATTGCCGGGATGGGGACTGTGAAAAGAATACAGCAGCCAATGGGCCCTGTGCATGTGTCGTGAATAAGCAGGGTTAGTTGAACCTTTTGATGCTTTTCTTTTTGAGGGAGAAAGAACATGCCACTGCTAGAAACCATCCAAAACCACCCTGGTTTCTGCGGCTTGGATGATTTCTACCATGATGCGGAATTGCGGTATGCAGTCTCATATTGATGTGATCACCTCAGGAGGTAATACTGGAGCATAGGCCGTGTTAATGTAACCACTTTTGCACGCTGTCACAAGTCCCGGAATCATCAATCCCAAAACAAACCCAAAAAAAGAAAGAAAGAAAAAAAGAACAGCGGCAGCTCAAGTGTCATCGATGGCCTGAATCAGCCTGCCACTGAAGCCGAGAATGGTCAAAGGATAAAGAAGGATAACTAACCTAGCTCCTAAAGTTGCAGGCTTAGGCTTGGTCTATGTACCAATGCGGTTGTTTCAAACCAACGAGCAATCGCAATCGCCGTGATCGACGGTGGGGTGGCAGCTATGGGAAAGTGGATGGAACAATTACAATGTCGATACTGTACATAGCCGCAGACGAATCATACGATAGATACACAGGAACGGTATCTTATACGGCTCATCCCATTGCAGTGCCTACTTACCCGAACGCTGCATACACGTTTGCGCACCTTCAAACGGCAAACATGCCGACTTCGATTCGGGGCTGCAAAAGGCTGGTAAGGGATATGACTGGTAGATGCAATTCAGATCTTGTGCAATACCCCCGCACCTGTTTCAGTTCATTAAGGGAAACCTAGTTTTCGATAGCTAGCTGGGACACTATGGGTGGTGACGCAGCAAAAGTAGGTCTCACTATATTACAAGTGGTCAATCATATAAAAGTATAAATGCTATCCTTCCGGGACATCCACCTTGGGGGTTCCCAATTAGTGATTGAGGTCTTGTCTGGTCGTAAATCAAACTTTCTTCAAGTCCACGTGAGCAATTTCGTTTGCTCCTATTTTCCATTGCGTTCAACTACCTCAAAAGACGCTCTGCATTTGCATCATGCTTGCATCACGCGGTTTGATGACAGCGGGTTCTGCGGAGTATGCCACGCACGTGTAGCTAACACCGTTTTCAGGCCAGCGTCTAATGTTTGTGAGATGAATTCTCGCACGAGTAAAAGTACTGGGAAGATTGACCATGTAGTGATTCCAATTGGTAGTAACCATAAATTTGGTGTCGAAGATTTCTTTCTGGCTATGGCTTTCCAAGTGGCATGACTAGTTAATGACGAAACGAATCAAGGACAAGATGCATATTATGTGTTGACATGTCCATACTCCCTGCTGCATTTCTTGTAAGGGGGAGGGGGAGAAGCTGGAATTCTAAACAGGCGTGGTGTTGCGGAGAGTATTCGGGTCAGGAACATGGTTGGTAACTCTTAAGTGCTTGCATAATGGGTTCGACGAGCCGCGCTTCGGTGCTTCCAGGCCACGAGCAATGGGGGCTATTCGAGCAAGACCCGAAATTGGGTAGTAACACGAAAAGCACATTTGACAGGAAACCCGCCCGAAACTTTCTCAAGCCTGCGATGACCACAAACGGCTGGCTGCCCAGGTAACATGAGCTATATCCGGAAAGATGGTGTTAGTTCGCAGGGTCTCAGAACAACTCCCATATGCTGTGCAGTAGGCTTCAAGTGGGCACAACTCTATCCCTAGCCAGGTTATACAAGCGGCGGAATCAACGATGGACTGTCGAGATCCTCTGTCTTGTTATGCTGATGCGATTTATTCCATGTAACCCACACAGAAGGACTACTCTTCGGGAATAATAAACCTTGATATATTGTTCTTGATCGAGTGTGCCATCCTTGGTTGATGAACGGAAGAAGCAAGTACCCCGAAGACAGAACCCCCCCAGTCCCGTGAAATAGGCGCAAATTGCACGCGGCCACGACATGGAAACCTGGGAACAACGGTTGGTTGCGCTTAGCAGCTAAGTCAGGCAATCGGATCGGTGAGATCTGAACCACTGTCAATTGAGCACGGCATGCAGGGCAAAGTTCCCCTTGCGTCTTCGAAGGTGTTTGAAGCGACTGGAGCTGCCCAAGAAGTAAGCATCACTCAGCCACTGTAGAGTTTGATGTTTCTCATATGGAGACAGACGACACTTTCCTGCAGGTCTACGGATTCGTGACGAGTACAATAAATACCCAAGGACACTCTTGTGGAGGTCTCGGTAGATGGCCAGCTTGGAACGACGATTATCAGTCGAGATGCGCTTCAGCCGTTCAAGAAATTAGAAAGCAGTCGATAGACGGGATCCATAGAGCGATGCATGCCATTAAATCAACGAATCCCAGCAGTGAGACATGAGCCAGTTAGAGGCTGTCAGTAAATTACATGGTGGGCAGCAGAACTCCCCTGCAGTTGCTGCAACTGCATGGCACATGCCGCGGCCGCGGCGGGGTGGCTCTCGCCCTAGGAGACGCTGTAACTGGCCTGACCAAGTGGGTATATGCACGGTGAGAGGCCGGGGGGATCAGAGCCCCAGGTCGGGTCTGCTATGGGCCATGGGAGGTGCTATTGTAAGTTCGAACGGATCTGTAGGTTGCTACCGGTGATGTTCAATGCTCGTTGCGCAGTGCTCAGTGCTCAGTGGCCAGTGCCGTGCTCAGTGCCCCCAGTGCTAATTATGCGAGGTGCACGTATTTGCGCAGTTGCTTCACCCCCCCAACCGGATTACTAGCACTAACTACCTTGGATTGAATCTCCCGTTGCCGAGTAAGAAGTGCGCTAAGCACTAGCAGTACTTACTTACTTTCTTTCTTTCTTTCTTTACTGTAAGACGGGAGCCAGGGAACAAACGACGGGGTGACCTAAATTGAGCTTTCAGGTCGACTGTCTAGGCAGCCTGGCAGTTCTTCTCTCCAGTGAAGTGAGAGCAGCAAGACCACCTCAACTCCAACCCGGCCAACAACCTGGAAAGAGGTCCAGCTCCAATCCCATCCCCAATCCTTACACTCCACCCAATTCACATTCACATTCACATTGACATTGCCATTGACATTGACGTTCACAGCCTGGAAGCTCTGCACCAATTCATTCCTCACAATCCCTCATTTCCACAATCCTATTGTGCTGTATCATAGCCGCTTCCACTCACTCACTCACTTAACACACCACCCTCTTCTCAGCTGAAGCGTCACTCTGCAACGCAGCCAAACGCAGCCAGACGGACCAGGCTCAGCTCCCTTTTCCGCTTACACCAAGTCAAGTAGGCGCCGATCTGCCCACTCCACCAAACAAACCCACTCTCCCTGTACGACCGCCCTTCGTGGGACTTGAAGAAAAAAAAAATATCAAAAGAAAGAAAAATCTTCGGGGGAAAGGATCTCGCTAAAAATTACACGGCCAAGAGTCGAGCACACAATGGGAATGTCTAAACCAAAATACAGAAGCATGTCATCGCCTCTCAAGCCGCAGCCAGAGGCCGTCGCCGATAAAGTCCTCAAGAGGGTGGAAGTCAGCAAGGTATGTCATGACCTGATCCTCCTTGGATCCGAACGCCCCGCCAGAAGGAGGGAATCACTAAATGACGTCCACACCTGCAGATTGCCCGTAAACTTCAAGGTCGTCTAGCTCTAGCACATTTCAAGACGAGGCATGGCTGGGAAGACCTGACCCTCGACAACATCGAGCCCAAAATCGACGAGGTCCGGAGGAATCACCGCCTCCAAGTCCAGATACAAGATGGGGATGTCATGTCCGACTCGTCCTCCAGCACTGGGGAACTCCCATACCCTACCAGAGGGCTGATGAGCTCTCCGCTCAAGGCCCCTTTATTTTCAGATGCTATCGGTTCGAGCAATGGCAGCACTGGCCACCGCAAGCGAACATACATGGCCTCATTCGACCTCGAGATAGCCATGTCGAGTCCGGCCAAGCGCTATAGATCTTCACCTACACTCCACAAGTCCTTGGCCGGTGCCACCTCTTTAAAGGCACACCGCCAACTAATACAGTCTTCTCCCATAAAACCCCGAAGGCAACAACACTTCACAACCTCGACCGGACCCGATGTCTCCTTCTTCCAGGGGACCCGCCGGGTTTCAGTTGGCCTGGCCTCACCCAACTATGCCGCCCCACCGTCCGACGACGATGACGACCTGCTACCTACACATTCCTTTCAGGTCAACCAGAGTTTCCCAGTGAACCAAACCCGTGCTTCTCCTCCCAGCACGCCGCCCATGCGCAACCGTTCACTTCACCGCCGCAGCAAAGAAAAGCTGGACGAGACCAAGGAGGAGGGTGCTGATCTGCTCCTCTATCTGGCCGCCTCTCCCTCGCCTGCGGTCAAGAGCAGGTCAAGAATGGAACCACCCTCTACGCCAACACCACGCAAAGATATGGGTCTACCATCTTCCATGATGACTACTCCCGGAGGCGCAGGCAGCAGTAACCTACTTTTCCCCGCCACACCTGGACAGCCTTTTGACTTTTCAGATTTTGTCAATATCACCCCAAGCCCAGCACAGAAGCCGTGGAGAACACCACGTGCATTGGCCAAGACACCCATGAGTGTGGTCAGAAGAAGACTCACATTTGACGAGCCTTTACATGGCCTCTAATGAGACCAATTTTTACACGATATTACTAGGCTCTTCTACAATGCCTTGACTTGGGGCACCCCACACCCACAACACACACCCACACACCCCCTTTCCCATGTCACGATGATACCACTTTTCGACGAATACCACTCGTCGCCATTCAGCACAAGCTATTCGTTTGTTTCCCCGCCGGAGGGGTTTGATGGAGAATGGCGTTGTTGTTTGTCTAAACTACGTTACGCTCAGGAGTAATGCACGGAATGAATTGGCCACGGCGTTGGGATTTATTTGGCAGCTCTGGATGCACATTGCACACGCATGTCTCGTGTTTACTCGATGGTGCAATCATATTTACAATGTTTACAGGATACTGTGATACCGACATACGAGTGTCTCTCTATAGCATGCACAGCAAATCAATCAATTCAATTGCGGTATTTTATTACCATCCCGAGACCACATCCACGATCACGGATCACAACGCAAGCACGAACAAGAGAGACCACACAAAAAAAAAAGGTGTGGGTCACTTTACGCGGTCAGACGTGTCTTGTCGAATTCATGTCGCGAAATTTACCAAACGAGGGGTAGGCGCGTCTCCTCGCGTTTTCAATGGCCAATCAGTGGTGGTACTGGGAAGTGCAGCTAGGGTTGTAATGCAGCTAGGCACTGCGGATGATGTCACGTCAAGCCAATAGTCTGCCTTTCGCGTTCATTTCGTGAATGAAGAGGCGCCGACGAAACTCAATATGGACGGCGTAATGCGACCACTCAAAAGCGACAAATTGCACAGCTTACAATCCAGCTGAGGCTTGGGATTGCATGAAGAAAAAAGTGTCGCGTGTGGAGCAGAATGGATGGATGGTAATCAGGTTGAACCTAGGGGATTCCAAAACGTGCAACATGTGGTTTTGATGTTGGCTTTTGTTCAAGCGGGTGGCGGGTATATCCTGGCCAGGGCCGTCTCACCGGAAATGGACAGAGCTGACCTGCCAAGATACGATTCCAATAGAGGGATACAATTACTATGTAATATACATGGAGAAATGCAACAATCAACATTATACGTTCCGGCTGAGCATTTGTCGTTCCATTCTTTCCGATGGTGGAGAAACCTGCATTGTATACCGTCATGAGGGCTACGATTGCTGTACAGAACGCAGTAGCGAAGCGCTTATATGGTGCTTGCCCTTCAACACAAAGCTCACTACGTATGACTAAACGGCCATCGCTTGAGACCAACACCATGTGAGTCGAGGTCGAGGAAGACTTGAACCGACGAGGCAATGACTCCTTGTGCCGTCCGCACCTAATAATAGCCGCCTATTCTGCCGCTTCGTTGGCCTTGGGGGGTGGGGGGTTTCCGAAGCGATATCGACCGTTCGGGGGTGCGGGGGATCAAAATTGCAGTGAAGCGGCCGAAGCGGCCAAATCTTGGAACAGCATGCGGTGAGCTTGCCCTGTTTTTGCAAGAACGTCACTCTGCACAGAGGCCCATTTTTACCACGACGATGTTCCGAGGATGTGTTTTATAGTAGTACCGGCTAACTGCTGAACTGCATGCTACAACCACTTAGCCAGAAGTTGTGACAGCAGGCGAACCGTCGTACAGCCGCCCGTGATGAAGTGTACGGAGTCGTGTTCGGGGTTGGCACACATCATGAAATCGAAAAAGAAGAAGAAGAAGCAGAAGCAAATAAACCGAGAGTGTCATGAGATGAAATTTGTCAGTTATTACACAGTTGCACGTGACACGGATCGTATTGTGAGTCGATGCTGATTTATCTGGAATGTTACTCAAAAGCGAGGGTATTTCCTCGTCGTTCCCATGACTTGGGATGATGTGTCTCAAGAGGGACGTACGGAACAACTTCTCTACGTACAGCCAAAAATATGCTCTTCACCGCCGCGCCTCAGTCTACTCGTACAAATCTCCTCCTCCGATATGCCATGCAACGAATGTCCAACGTCGCGCGCTATGCAACTTGTGTACACTAAACAATATAAACTAGGCAATTCCTCCGCTTGGTATCCCTTCAAGATCGTAATAATATTGCGCCCATTTAACACCAGGACGCCGTAAGCACTTTTTTTCGGTGTATGCGCCAACGCAACATCCATGTCGTGAACCCATCTAACATCATCATCTCATCAATACGCTTTGCCCACACTTCCTTGGCTGCCCTGGCTAGCACCGCTTCGTCTGCGGCCGTCGCCCTTCCTCTCGCCCGTCGGCGTTGGGCTCTCATATCTCGAGCTTGCGGGCCCGACATCTGGTCCGGGGTCACTCCACTGATCCAGACTCACGACTCCGCTGGAATACTTGCTGCTCGACAGGCTCTCGGCGCGGGTATGCGCGGGGTTCGGAGGCAGTGGCACGCCGCTCCCTCTCAGGCTGCCAGTGCGGCTATTGCGAGTCGCGGGTAGTGGTACCTGCGCACCGACAGAGGAAGATAGCAACTCCGGCCTATCGAGGTCAAATGGATCTGATCGGAACTTGTTACGTCTCGTCGCGAAGGACGCGACTGAAGTCCCCGATTCCCGCCACATACTGGGTGCGTCTGTGCTGGGAGGTCTCGTCATGGCGCCGCCGACGGACGTACCACGCGATCGACGTATATTCTGCACATACGTTGTGGGCCCGGTCTGTTTGGCCGCCACAGGCTGCTGAACGGCATTTGCGTCAGAAAAAGGATTGTCGGGATTCGTGATAACTAGCGGTCTTGGTTTGGCTGACTCGCGGTCCATGATATTTGCATCTGAGAACGGGTTCGCCGCATCAAAATTGAGGTTCAGGCTGCCGAGGAAGTGGTCATTCGAGCCTGCGCTCTGAGATCGTCTCGGATTGCTCATGCTGGTGCGACCATTGTTGGTCTGAGCAGACAGTTGCTTATCATCCATACTGAGGAGTGTCAAAAAGTCCGGCTGTGAACCTGGACGGGCCTTGGCACCCTTCATTCCGCGTCCTGTGGAAGGGCCGTCCTTGAGCCCACCGCGGCCTGGTTTGTCGTCGGACCGACCAAAGAAACCCAGCAGTCGGTCTTTGGCTGATCCGCCCATGTCAGCGGAGTTATCACGACTATGTGTCATCCCTTCCATATACTGTGAGTTACCCCTGTTCAGATTGACGCTACCCGATGGACTATGACCGCCGAATCGTCCTCGAATCTTCCGCACATTGGACCCTACAAGGGCCTTCAACTTCTCTGACACAGTGGTAGGCCCGATAGAATTCCTGCTGTTGGAGTAGGGAATCTTTTCACGGGCACTGCCGAAACCAGACTCGGGTCCCAGAGGGGTCAACAATGTGCTTCTCCGCTTTTGACGTATCCTCTTCTGCCAGAACCAGATTAGGAATGCTATGAGCGCAATTGCAACCACTCCTCCAACGACACCGCCTACTACAGCTATGGTCGTTTTCGTGCTGATACCACTATCGTCACTCACTGCTGACGTGGCAGTCGGTTCTGATGAAGAGTCTGTGGCTTCTGCCTGTCCCGGGGTTGCCTGTGTCCCCGTTCCAATTGTTGTCAACAAGGCAGCATTCCCTGCTGTTGCTGAAGTGAGATCGGCTATGATTGACGTCCCAACTTCTGACGTAGGAGCAATTGCGGCCGAGGTCTCCACTGCTGACGCTGAAGACACTGCAATGTCATTAGTCTGTGACGCTTGACTCTGAACCTCGCTTTCAGGTGTTATTGGGGACGCAGCCACAGGTGAAGTAGACAGTAAAGGAGAGAGCGCTGGAGCAGCTGTAACAGCACTCGAAGTCTGCACAGGCGCAACCGGCGATGCTTGCGTACCAATCTCAGCTACCGAGGTAGAACCCGTTGTACTTATCAGCGTTTGCTGCTGCAGAGGTGGTGGAGGGGGAGGGGGAGCAGCTGTAGTAGTAACAGCAGCAGCCGTGGTGGTAGTATCAGTGAGCACGGGTGCTACAGCAGGGGGTATCGCGGGTGCCGCAGCTTGCGTTGTCGTTGCCTGTACTGTGGTCGATGTAGAGGGCAGAGCTATTATTGCAGTCGGTGTTGTGGAGGTCGACGTAGATGCTGTTGAAGATGTAGATGTAGACGTAGTGGATGTTGAACTAGACGAGGAGGACGAAGAGCTCGATGTTGATGTTGATGTAGATGTTGATGTCGCCGTTGACGTTGTTCCTCCCCCTCCGCCCACATTATTCGCCTTGGGTATTGCTGTACATCTCTTCCCCCCCAAAGATGTGATAAAAGCACCGGCTGGCAGATTGGCGTTCGTCGCCATGGTCACAGTTCTTCAAATGAAAGCGATTCCAGTCGCAAGGTCAAGAGAATGCTGACGCCTCAAGCATGCATAAATTGGGAAATGAACATGAAAGAAAAGAAATTGATGGCCATTAGGCCGGTCACAGCTAGACCCGGCTCATGGATCGAGCTCTGCGGTGGATAATGGCAATGATGGTGTTTTCCTCGAGAAGAGGCAGAAACAAGTAATGATGCGGCTAAATCGGGGTTGTGTGAAGCCAGAACGGAGACGCGAATCCAAATTTCCTCGTGAAAAGAGAACGGAACAGGACTATGTTCACTTTGAGATGTAAAAGCGATTTCCACTCACCAGGGACATTTACTTACCTGGTCTGCTGGAGACAGTTTCCCGAAGCATGAACCTAGCCCTTGCCCGTCTTGTTTGACAGCTTCGAGCATGCTCACAGGACTGGCCGGCCATTGGTCTGCCTCTGTCTCTGGTGTTAGAAAACTGCTGGAACCTGCGGTGGTGACTCTCAAGATGGCCGGGGTGGTGAGGGGCGGATGGTTACAATATGTTGGTTAGACCCCTGTTCTGTTACACATCTGAAGCACGAACTCCCTCAGCCTCATGTTGAGCCGCCGAGGGGCCATACTAACGGTGAGGGACCGAGCGTAACGAGGGTGCTTCTCGGGACCACGATTCTTTGTCATGAAGGCCAAACAGGCAATCGCTTAGGCTGACGTGATACCAAAGCGGATGGATTGAACCAGATGCAGGGCCGAGATACCTGAGAACTCCCAAGGGTTGTTGCTAATGATGTGCAGAGGAGTGGAGAGAGAAAGTGCTTTAGGTTCAGTGATGCAACTTTAAGTCTTAGCGGCTTCGGGAGCGTTTACCATCAGAGTTGTGGGGTGCTCAGCGCTGCAGGATTAACCTCATCAATCCGGAATCTAGACTACCATGCACATACGCGACCCGCTTCAGTATTTTGCATTGTCGACGTTGCCAATTGAGGCTGTATGGATCCGTAGAGACGAAATACACTTTGTGCTATTTAGTAGTCGGTGCTGGTGAATTGCAGGTAAGTCCCTGCACATACTCAATTGACAGCTTATTTGTGCTCGCAGTGTCATGGGAGATGACACGAATAATGTCTTGGAACGGGGGCTGTTTTCCGAACGTCAGTCCACGTCGAACACAAGTGTCTAGTCCCCTTGATTTGAATATGGTTTCTATCAAATGTGAAAACAACTAGCTCCTCATGTTAACAACATCATCTGTCTTGATCACATAGGCCCAAGGTGGATAGGTATTCAGGGTCACCCTAGCAGTGAGGCCCTAAGAACAAAACCAATGGTCGGTAAGTCCGCTAGAAACAAAAAGTTGGGCACACGCGTCGATCCCGGAATCAAGCTTAAATGGTGTAATGGGCCGGTCAAGGGGCTTCCGATCACACGGAGCCTCCAAATGTTTGTTTCTTGCTTGCGAGATCTGCTGAGCATCAAACAGCTCTAAGCAAGCAAGCTTGTTCCTTCGCCGCTGGGCATTCATTGGCCGTAGACGAAGAGTGGGCACGTTGGAAAGTGGCATACGCTAAGGCAACGGATATATTATTATTACTATACCGACCTTGGAGATATTCAGCAGTGCACGGTATGTTGGACACATCGAACACCTGGAATATGTCCGGGGACTCAGTTGGCAGGTAGATTGATAACTAATTGAAATACGATGTTATCGAGAGAGATCCTACATCCCATGCACAGTATGCCGGCCTACTTAAGGCAAGTTTCCGGCCGTAACCAATGTAGTTAATAATCCAAGTGTTAATAGTGCTTTGAAATATACAATTGTAGCCAATGGTTCGAGACATCGTATTCGCATGGAAAACGCGTGTACTGATACACAGTATTTCAATGTCATGTTCTGCGCGGACTCGGCACACGCACATGGAGTTCTCACGCCCAGTCACCGCTCGTCCACTTTCCCCGGGCGTCCCAAAGAAGACAAACGCACGGACCTAGAACCCGATGCTCTAGTTTTGAACGGCCCCTAATAAGTGACGGGTCATCAAGTATTCACTGACATCTGGAGTAACACAACTAATCAGTGCCGGTTGAGATTCCTACTCGTTGCCAATCTTTGTTCCTCCTCATCTTGTTGTTTGCTACAACAAATTTCCCCCATGGTCTTGCGTCATTAGCTCTCCTTTCGAATAATGCGCCGTCCGTTTACCCAGTAACTTGGACCTCACCACGTCATTTGTGGCACGTGAGTAATCGACCCCCCGGTGCAAGGGCGTACAACATCTGTTCCCACGATGAGGTTGGGACTGGCGATTTTATAATCTATATTTCCGTTGTCGTACAGCGTACCATTACGCCGTGAAACACAGTCCGTTCGCTATGTTCGGTGGACTCGCCAATTTGCGTAAGTTCATCGTTGCTTCTTTTACAACACCACCCAATAATTCCACCGGCCGCTACTTGTACGAAAGGGGTAAAATTGCCCGTTCTGAAGCTTCTCTACACCCAAAAACTTTCCATCGAGCCACAAAATCAAGTGGTATGAGCCAGAGTTGTAGAGTTTGCCTTGTTCTCTGTATTCGTGTCATCACGCATGAATCGCGAGTGGGCAGTTTTCTCCATGATTTTCAGGGACGTTGATGCTACATTATGCGGGTGATGATCCCGAAGTATGATTTTCGGGATAGTACTCTTATGTAACCCGTGCCGGTCGATCATCTTGGCATCAGAAACCCACCGCACAATCGTGTTCGTCTGGGTGCATGAGCATGGATTGCTCCTTTGGCAAGCAACGCCATGGTCTTTGCCTGTCTCATACCCACCTCCTCGGCTTCAACCGTTTTTTAGCTTAACATTATCTCATGTGCATAATAGTTCAGCCGTCTGTCATTGGCCCGCCGCCAAATGATGTTCCGCCGGCAACGCCAGTAGAATTTCCAGAGTATACTCCACAGTCGCAAGGGGGTGATTCGCGGCAGCGGCCTCTGATACACTTCCTGCAATCATTACACCGCCCGGCGGACCTAAGCGAGGCCCATTTTGCGGCCCTTGGTGTTGAGGTCTACAGCGATGTGCCGCCTGAAGATATTGTACCTGATTCGTCTTTCCTCCCTTCGTCGTCATCAAAATGGGACAGTATCACCCTAGACCAAGTTGGGGCGAAGGATGCGACATTCCGGATACCACTATCCAATGGAAATATGTCGCCGGAAGCGAGAGTGTACCTTGAGAGGCGTAATGAGCTGTCTATAGACAATCAGACTGCGTTCCGGACTGTACGCCGCCTGCGGCCTGAGCCCGGTATGAAGACAGCAAGGCTAGGTAACTCATATGAGTTCTACAGGCATCTAGAGCAAATGGCCGGTTATTGGGACGACACTTCACTCCCACCAGTTGAGAGCGCTGAATCTGACGTGAAGAAAAGAGACCACCAAAAAGACCCATTGCCCAACCCTCTCGATGGAAGTCTGAAACAGGTGCGGCTCGCCGTCACGGAAACAGCAACAAGCGCAAAGCCCGAATCGCAGCCAGACATGAAAGAGACGCAAGATAAATCAACATGGCGTGTTACATACCGGACTGCTAGTGGAAGTACCATGCCAGCTGAGATTAGGCACAACATGGTCAGCTTCTTTGTTAAGCTCGTATCCTACGACTTCGGTTGTAATATCTCGGGACCCCGCGTCGAGCCACGCGTGCAGCTTATCGAACCTTCAGACAGTTGCTCTACTCGAGATCCGGTCACCTCCTATTTCCCGTCAGGTTGCGTCTTTGTGGTTCGGATACCCACCACCCGTGAGGCGGCACGGTCTGGCATCACCGAAGGACCTTTGGGCGCCGTTTCGGCGCGCAACGTCACGACCTTTGCTACGCTCGCCGAGAAGAGAATCGACTTCGGACGCGAGCTGGTCGCCGCACTCGTCACGGCACAGCATCGCGCCCGCGAAGGCAAAGAGGAGCAGCGCTTCGGCGAAGGCAAGTGGTGGGCCACAGCCAAGCGCTGGGGCGGGGGGGAAGGCGGGCCCATCGGCCGAGAGATCGAGAGCAGCTCGGGCGGTGGCGTGGTGGGCGATAAGGACAGGAAACCAAGCGAATCGTCTACCAGTACCGAGAAGCCCTCGCTGCACGGAAGCCCCACTTCCAGCTCATCACCCGCGACGCAGCGTCCGCAGTCACCACCAAAACCTATCTCTCCCTCGTCCGGCTTGCCAATGCACAGAGCAGCCGCGCCCGCCTCCAGTAAGAGGCGCAAGGGTGGCTCGCACCAGAGCATGTATGACAAGTACCGCCAGGTCAGCCTGCCTTCTTCGAACTGGGACAAGAAGGCGCGGTATCTCGCCATCGGCAAGGTCCCAGGTGCCAGCCATGATGACGTGTTTGTCATTAGCAGCATGTTCCATCACGTCTCCGTTTTGAGAGTTCGCGTGCCGCAACGGCTGTTGGACGTGCTGGCAGGGGCTGCTGACGATGAGAACAAGAGCGGTGAGCGGAGCTGGGGGAAACTCGAGGTCTGGCGGAGCAAATGGTTTGATTTGTTCCTGGTTGAGGACAGGCTGGAGGCGTTGAGAGTTCTCTGGGGTGTCAATGCGTGGTCTATGCGAAAGGTTGAGGGCTGAGGAGATGGCATAATAGGCGATAGTATAAACGAGCTGTCCACTATACAAGGCTTAGGGTGCAAGGGAAACCGGCGCTGAATACAAAGAGAATAAGCCAGATTCGTGGAAAGTTTAGATGCTGTTTGAGTAGCAAGCATCATCTGTATATGTTGAACTGGAATCCACTCTGCAAGCATTTCGGCAGATGCCATATCATGCTCATGAAGATACCAGGACATACAGCATCCTGCCTTGTTACAATATTCCAACACATGTATTCGCAACGCCAGGCTAAGCTAAGGTCCCAAACAACGCCTTTTTGTGGCCTACCAAGCAATCTCAAAATTACTTCCTAACTCCATGATGCCAAACATGATTGTACCACAGTAGTGCGCCCCAAATTCCGAGCTTGGCGGCCTCCTTCCATGAGTTTCAATTTGTCCATGTGTACAAGTTTACGCTTGGCTATTTCCGGGCGCTCAGCAACGGCGATGCGCTTCGGCTCTATTGCCTTTTGTATCATGATCACATTACAAAAAGGAGATCCGTGTCTGTCGTTAGTTAGTGTACAAAGCCCTTCAAGATATACGCTCTACCCTTATGACGGGTAGATTCCCGGGTGTCATACTAAGAGGATGGCTACAGGACAGTTGTGGCTTTTGAGTATAGCGTGTAGCTAACTCGTCTCTGATACTGTTCAGTAGCTGAACGTAGCTTTGCTGAGGTCTCTTCTTGAGTGATGTGATAAATGCCCAGGACATGGCTCCGGTTGCTTGGGATGCGATGGTGGCGTCGGCCCTAAAATTAAAGTCAGTAAAATCGTACGATCTTCCGTCTGTATGACTCAACTAGCGATGCAAGGCTTCTTCACGATCATATCCACCCAACGTGACCCGTCGCCCTAGACGCAAGGTCACAGCCGACGACGGCTGTACCTTGGCCTAAGGCGCAGAAAAGAGAACTAATTCCATCTAAATACACTAATTTTGCCATTCGCGACGCCATGCTCTTGACCAGAACGCTAACCGTTGCGTGTGGCGCCAGGGCACCAATAATAACGCCGCAATAGACCCAAGAGTGGTATGCCATAAAGAAGCGTCGCCGCATTGTCTCCCTCGTAACGCAAATGTAAAAAAAAAAAATATTAGAAAAAATAAAGAAAAAAGGGGTATCAATAGGAAACCATTATGAAAGGGTATACGAACGAGGTCTGGTCGTCCCTGCTTCCAGAAAGCATGATGACGTCTGCCGCAGATGTTTTTGTTGCCATTGTTCGATTGTGAGCACTCTCGCCATTAGTGGCCTTCTTGAAGAAGCCCATAACGTTCTTTGCGACGCCAGCGATATCGCCTTGACTGTAGGACGAAATAACGCCAAGCAGACCTTGACCTGCCTCCTTGGCCAAATTGGGCTCTTTGAGCATACCCTGAGTAGAGTAGATGTATGGTAAATCAAGAGCAGTGCCAGAGTGACAGGAATCGAAGATGGCCGTTAGTCGGACACCACCTGGCAATGGTTTGACCATAATCCTGTGCATTTCATCGTCGGTAATGTGACCAACGGCACGAAAGTCCACAGGATAGATGACTTCATCATAACCATCAGCCTCGTCTCCATCCAGGTCTTTCGTTTGTCCACCATGACCTTTAGAAGTTAGTCAAATCCATGCAACTAAGATAAGTGCATATAAATACCAGAATAGTGGAAGAAGAGCGAGTCGTTGGGCCTCGCATCTTTGACCAACCAGTGCATTGCCCGTAGGATGTTCTGCTTTGTCGGTTGGCTCATCGGGTTATGCTGGTCGTCGGTAAGGATCACCATATCCTCGCGCGTGTATCCGAAATGTTGCACAAGATATGATGACATGTTTCTGACGTCGTTGATGCACCCTCTTAACTGGCCCCGCTGGCCAAAATAGTTGATTCCTATCAGCAAAGCTTTCCTCCGACCTGTACAATTACTATACTGAAAGGCGTAATTTGAAGGCGCACCGTGGCCGAAAGACTGAGGACCCGTAGGCGGCGGGGGCGGGGCGTGCTGGTTTCCATGATTGTAGGAATTCGAGTTTACCGTTGGCATGGCTATACTTTCATGTTAGATGACGTTGTTATCCCAGCATACCGATATGAACATACGTGGCCTTCCGTAAGGATCATGATAGCCGCCGTGGTGTTGCTGTGGTTGTTGGGGAGCTGCCTATGACTCTCGTGTCAGGGCAACCTGTGTTCCATGTCCACCGAGGTCAATATCGGGCTTACCTGGCTGTAGCCATACTGAGGTTGCTGTGCAGGTGGCCCTTGATTGTAGTAAGGCTGACCTTGGGGAGGATAATTGGTGTAGCTCTGTGGAGGACTGGCAGCTCAAGTTAGGTATTCCGTTATCTAAACCAGACGGGCCCCTGCGGCCGAGCGCGTAAAGCCAAGCCGTGGAGTTGGAATAAGCATACCCATTGTAGTAGTTATTGGCTTGATATTGAGGTTGTCCGTATCCTCCACTCGCATAACCATAACCCGACATGTTTCGTGCGATGAGGTATGGGCCCGGCTATTTCGGGGATGTTCAAAGTGCCCCGGCAAGGCGCCGAGCAAGAGACTTGATAGCAGTGGTTGGTCTTTCGTGTAGCAGTGCACGCACAGCACAAGGCAAAGTACTGAGCGTCGAGGTATACGCAAGGCTTGGGTGAGGGTCTTTATAGGCGATCGATACGGATGAGAGGGACGGAGTTAGAATCTATAGGTTAGTATGTAGATGGTATATTCACACGTGGAAACGCCGAAGATGGGAGCCGATGGGTCCTAATGCCTGGTGTTCGACACTCAGATCCGCGGCAGTTGTGAGGCGGAGTATGCTGTGTTGTCGAGCTGGTGTTGACCTGACTAAGGAACGAAAAAAGGTAAGCTTCCCTTCAGGCATCTGATACCCTGACCTTGCCAAGCGATATTCAAGGGAAACGTAAGTCGTACTAGCGGCCCAGCAGAGCGGTCAAACGCACAAGGGAGCGCAAGGGTCCTGGGGGTGGTGACCGGAACGGTACCGGATTGAGATGGGACGCGGAGCAAAAGTCATGACAGAGACGGAGACACTCACCTAGTAAGGTACAGGGTACTAGGGACTCAGATATCACAATAGAATAACCTTAGCTATGTTTGGGTGTAGCTAGGCGAGCTGAAGCACGTGGGGAATAAGATGTACTGTAGTTTCTGATTCATTAGGTAGCTTCAGCAATGCATGAGGCGGAGGCTCAGAATTTGTTGCTTTGGTAGATTACGAGTCTATGATGAGAGAAAGCACTTGGGCGCCAAAGCAATCTCCTGTGTTGCTCAGTCCTCAAGAAACATTGGCTGCTGCTGTTGCATATGCGAAGCGAGAGAGGGATATTCAATGAATGTGAATGCGAATGTGACAGCCGAGCTGATAGCTCGGCTGTCACGGCTTCAGGCTGGAGGATGAGCGAGTTGACTGCCAATTGTGATCCAGGCACGGGCACGGGCACTGGCACGGGCATGAGGATGATCCGTGTTTTCTGTGTTTCTATGTGCTGTATGTTTCTTTGGCGGGGTTGAAATGTTTTCCCTCAGCTCACTCGCTCAAGCGCGCAAATGCGTATGCTTCTGCTTGTGCTTGAGTCTTGAGTCTTGAGCCTTGAGCTTGACTCTTCATGTCAACGGAGCTAAACCTAAACAAGACTACACTTCACGCTGCATCCCCTGCTTGTTTCTTATCTACAAACAATTTCTCTGGAGCTGAACAGGCGCTTAAGTGGCATATGCAATCATCTCTCTGCTTCTTCTAAGAGCTAATGTACTGCTTCATAAACGTTGTTAGCGTGAATGTATTGCACAAATCTGGCCTACCTATTTATGGACTGGCCACTTCGGTCGATGCCGCCCGCTTTCCCTCTTGGCTGGCCACGACATATCGGATCTATCTCCATCCGCATTGGCCATCAAGTTCGAGATTCTTTCTTACCCTGGCAGATGGCCATAACCGAAGCTTGTGCTTCATTCATGCCGAAGTTTCCCTTCGCTTCGGGTCGCATTCATTAGAAGCTCAAGTAACCCCACTGGCGGATCTCCCTCTGAGCAACTCCGGAATATCCATGCCTGCACAGGCATTGGCGAAACACTGCTTTTTTTCTTCTCCCCTACAAGGAAGACCCCTAATTTATCGTAGTTTACGGAGTACAGCTACGATCACTAGTGTCCAAGGCAAAGATTTGCTGCGCATGGGGGGTCCGAGGGTCCTGACTCCTAACATTTTCCCCTGACCTCGTCAACCGACCAGTCATGTGTTTTGAAGCGCTTGCCTCTACCTCTTCAGCTGCATGTATTGTCTCAAGCAAAGATTACTTACAGCTTCCAATATTGTCCTTCCCTTTGCGTTAAGTCCGCGCTTGCAATCTTCAACAAGTATAGCAATCAATAAAAACCAAACCCTGTCGAAACCTACGATATGGCGAATAATTGCATCCACTCACAATCCACGATTGCTTGTTGGGCCCCGGCTCATAGCACGAACACCACCACCTCTTAGACGCCGACATGGTGAATCTGGACCGTAGGAAGCACTAACGTTCTCATCGTCTGGCAGTGGAGGCCGTGTCACTTTTCTACAACGCAAACTCAAAAGCCTCTCCGGAAAGGTAGGCCTCCCTGGTCGAATCGTTCACCTGTTCGCTTCGCTACAAGAGCCCGTTGTTCGCGAAGCTGCCATATTCCGCTTGCGAAGCGTCTCATGGATCCCCACCGACGGTCTAGGCCGGCTCTCATGGGTGGAACGACCTAAAGAGGCGGCTGTTCAAATGCAAGTGCGTGAATATGGCAAGGAGGCGGCGATCCCGGACAAAGTGGCTGGCCTGAACTACCCATAAGCCAATCAAAGACCTTGATGATATAGATACTAACCCATACCGTCATAAGACAAGCAGTTGGGGTTTGGCGCTTTTCGAAAACGGGCACAAGGCCAACATGCCACCCAGAGCTTTGGAACCTCTACACTTCTCCATGCATATGCACCACTTGGCTGCCGACCAATTTGGTCTTCACGATGCCACTACTCGATCTATTGAATTCCATTTACGCAGTGAGTCGGCGTTACCATTCCTTATTGTATATTCCCGATGGCTGCGCGAATTGCTTTCCCTGATGAAAGCTCTTCTAGGAGCAAAACTTCCGTTGGCTGGACAGAAAAGATCTCTTGCTTACAAACTACACGATCTCTAACCTTAACCTAGTGTTGAAAGCTATTGTGTAAGCCAATCTCAGTTTAGAGCCGCGACGTTGAATGATCTTTAGGCCATACCAAGATCATGGATCGCCAGGTGATCATAGATCGTCAAGTAAAAGTACGTATGTATGGCGACAAGTACATCCGACGTTCATACCATCGGCCTTCCTTTTCATACGCCTTGCTGGCATAAAGGAACCTCAAGCTACGGAGTCAAAACTGCAGCGCAACCAATAGAGGGCACGCCGCTTAATACAGCCGCGACTCTATCGGAATGACTCCGGATGCACGCAGCCTCCAGCACTAAACAAAACCATGGGTATCAGGATTGGCACTCCCATCTGTTACGTTACCATAGATATGATGGCCGTTGATCTGGGTGCTCAAGCCAACAAATCGTTCCTAGTCGGTATACATCTGTAGCCTATGATGGCATTACCCAATACGTGCTTACTGCATCCCGACGCGCCTTAGTAACTCTCTTGGGCATACCAACCTTCGCCTAAAAGCGAAACGTTTCCGCTCCGCTACATACACGTATTCTAAGCCTTGCCGTGAGGCTCACCTCAGCTTGCAATGCCATACAACATGATATCACTTGGGCACAATCATTTACAGGTATCCCCATTCAGATATCCCTCAGCTCCAGTGTCTGTAAGCTGAATATCCCGCCTCAGACTTGAGGCTGCTGACATCTGAGAAGCCTGACCACCCCCCTGCGATCATGCAGGTGCTAGGGTGGGACGTCAAACCCCAGGATTAGGATGCGCTCGCTACCCAAATAAGCTTCCGCAGACTATGGCAGTCTCGTGGCATCTGCGGACAAGCACGCTATGAGGCTGAGGCGCAGCCACTGCAGATAGTAAAAATCATCATGAAGGATATTAGTCGACCTAAGGCTGTCACAGTCGTGCTCTAACTTTTAAAGGATGGGTAATTAAATACCACAGACCACAAGGACTCCTTTTGTGCGATTGGTTGAGTAGCCTCACCTGCCATAAAGTCATGTCAGCATGAGTATAACGTGCATTGAGCTAGCAAGCTGACTTTTGCTGAACAATTGACAACAAATCTGCTATGTTTTTTCTACCTGTCGTTCGTCTCGTCCTGCGTCTCTCATGCAGCTTTCAATATCGTTCCGCTTTGCACGCTGTAACTTTCAAACCAGTGAAGAGTCATGAATAAGACATATTGCGGCGTTCGAGAAACAGCCTTTCTTAGACTTTGACTGTCTGCGCTCCCTCAGGTTGCCCATGGTATTTTGATTTCTTATTTTCTTCTGTAAACTACGCCAATGAAGCGAAGCGTTAACACCGAACCCAAAGAGTATTTCCCTGATGGTGCTGTGATCTTCAAGCACCACAATCGTCATCCATTATATTTATACAAAACTCGTCTAGAAGTGTTCGTCTTGTGGTTTCGTGCAGCTGTAATGATCGTAAGGCAAGTGTGTAGCCTGTGCAGCCTACGGATACGATATCTATCACCGTTCAAGTCACAGATAGAGGCCAAGTCATGTAGATTACCATTTCCGGCCTCAACTTCCACACGCGATACACTAGGAAGTCAAATGAACCAATGGTGCAAATTCCTCAAACACGGTCTAGATTCGTCCTTCGAGGCAATAGGGAAAGACTTCGTTCCGGGGAAAGCGTCTAGAAGATTATGAATAACTCAGTCTCTCTACAACCGGACAGAGACCTCTGATCTAATGATTTTCAGAGCATTATTGTGTCCCAATAAATCTTTTTCGCCAGTGATGGCATCTTAGAAAATAACGGTTGCTTGTCATAATACCCATCTAACTGCCCATGTTCTGGCCGAAATGGTGTTGCTTGGAGACAAGAATCCTCGTGGCACACATGACCAGTTGCCTGATTGTGGAGTATTGTTATAAGAAACTCCAGATCGTTTTTGCATTAGACCTGATGTGGACCTGGAAGAATACTAAGTGTAGACCCTCCATCCATGATGCCATTTACCACATAATACTACAGCTGATACTTCGTGGTGTATGTGTCACCGGCTGGCCTCAAAAGGACTGGAACGTCAAAATCAAGGAGAATATATAACAGTATTTGGCTCCTACAGGAAGCCATACCGTGCTCGAACCGTTTTTGCCGGAGTAGATATATTGGATACCAATGGCAAAATAGCCGCAGTCCGTCGCAAAGAAAGTTTTGCCATCGAACGCGTTACATATCTAAGCCTTGAAGACTGACGTGTGGTCTGAGAACTCTCTGTTTTGACCGTAGACGATAGCAAGGGTCTATTATTTCTATGCCCTAAGTTTTGATACATATGGGGAGAGTACTCACGTTGGAAAGGACAGCACCCTAATGCTCCGAGATGCGCGTCAATCCCTTCGGGTGAATACGTTTTCAATCGCAGCGGTCTTGGTTTCTCAGCCGCAAGAAGACCGCTATATCCTTGATAAACATCTGTCAATGAACATCCGCAATGTCAAGGATCCAGACACGGATTCCTGCGAGATCGACTTCAATGACACTCATGTGCAATGTATTGGCATCATGGTATGCATTCGGGTGTAAAAGCAGCGTTGTATCTCGGAACAAAATTAAATATCAGTAGAGGATGTAAGTGCGGCATTGAAGGGATTAATCAATTGGCGGGAAAACAGAACCAGACCCGAATTCATGGTTTGTGGCCGTAACGGCCAATATTTGTCGCCGGAATTAAGAATCTAACAATGAAAAATAAAAACAAACAAGAGAAGCTCAAGCCGCGCTGCCACCTTTACATACATTCATAAGACAGTGCGGATACGCTGCTGGCAGTTAAAGAGTAATTTAGTTTGATCTATGAAGCAAGTTTGACTAGCGTTAGATCCACAAGCTTATAAACATGATTATTCGGCTCTGTGAACTCGCTCGTACCGCTCATCGCCAGCAATGCATCCAATGGCCTATTGTGCGCTTTGAACCCGGCGTTTGACTGAGCTTTCCGTCCACAACGATACTTGCTATCGAGGTGGATAGTAACTCTACGAAGTAAGGTCTACAGAATTGTGTCACAGCTACATCAGAAAATAGACGGCCAGCGTACCAATTGATATTCGTCGTCTGAACCAGTCCTAAAACGCCACCAGCACGGCTGGTATGACGTCCTCACTCATCGAATTCTTACGGAACATCAGGTCCTCCTAATATGTTTCGAATTTTGGCAAGTAGTTCGCCTCTCCTCGACAATGGGTCAATTATCTCCAATGCCAGGCACCAAGCCGAAATTGAGATCCTGGATGAACTTGAATAGCCCCGATAACTGCCAAATATAGTTGAAAGCCGCATGACCATTCTGAGATCCAGGACCTCACGAAGTAGCAATTTTATGCGACAATTTTCACACGTAATACCTGATTGATGCGTTCGTTTAAAATTATCTGGTTGATACAAAGAGCGTTGGACAAACCGGCTAATATTTTGCACTCCACAATGGTTATCCTATATGTGTCTTTATTTCCCGTGCATACGACAAGGCCTCATACATGACAGAAACGTCAAGATCTCTATGTTCGACATCAACGTGTACATGCCAAGGACCTTTTGAATCTAGAGGATTTCGCGTAGTCTAAGCTTGGCCGTCAGCCACCAGCGTAAAATATGATACGGCGCTCAAGAGTTTCTTCCGCACGCTATCCTTCGGAGACAGTATCCAGAATGAACGTGAGATCCTACTTCCTGGTTGGAATCCTTACGCTTCTGCCAGTCGTGATCAATTGTTCATGGACGATATTCAGACGGATATCATCATCAAAGGCTCCAGGTAAGATTCAGACCGACCGGGGTTTGTATATAGAGCAGTTCAGATCGGTGCACTTATACCGTGATAAGTGATATGCGCTTGCGAGATTCGAGGAGAGAATCAGCATGGCGGAGGCGAAGTGGAAGGCGAAGTGATTGCAGACCAAGCTAGCAGTCAACTTGCGTCATAGGAAAGACGATGCAGAGCTCTGCGAATATGGGATTATGGCAAGTCTTCCAACGGTGTGACGAACGGGGAAACTCTAGAGAGAAGAAAGATACCGGAACAAAGGGATATAGCCTAGATTAACGCATCCAGCGGAAGGCCATGAACATAGGTAGTGCTCTGATGGTCAAAACGAGACAGGACGCCATCCGTCGCGTCTTCAACCATCACTTAACATTATCTGAATGTTGTATAGTTTTATGTAAGCGCCACGAATGGTAGCACATGAAGTCAGGAATTTGTTACCATTGCCCGATAGCTCGATAAGGAACAAAAAAAATTGTTGAGTAAGTGCCGAAAATAATTTATCTTTCAGCCTACAACAATGGTTCTTGAGAGGATATGGTTGAAGGCGAGGACGTAAATCCTGTAGGGTACGAATTTCGCTCTCGCGGCCGAGAGGCACAAATAACAGGACCCCCATGATAATAACACACCAGAAGGATTTGTTACAGCGAAATTCGCAAGCAAAGCCCCAAGTTCGAGACCTTTCTTTTTCTTCTTCCTGGGGTTTCCTGGTTTCCTAAATGATGCGTCCTGACCCCCGAAATGTCTTTGGCCCGGTGGATATTCCCCAGACTCGGATCGCGTTGGATTCCCATAGTGACGCTAATTAGTACTCAAGAGTATACTAACCATAAAACAGTGGCGGGTTACGGTCATGCCCCGCAAACTTTAGTCAGAATATGAATAACGCATTCGACTTATCATGTCTCCATACGGTGTTGCGCCTCCGTCCAGGAGATGCCCCTCATAGGTCGGAAGCCCATCGGAGGCAAGCGAGCTTCGTGCATGCCGCCAAGAACCGTATACATTACCTCATAAAACCGCCGCAAATCGTGGCCCGATAGGAAACACAATTTCCTTAGACTCAAGGATTTGAATAGAAGAACTATACGAAAGAGGAGATCCAACTCGCCGACAATGTCTTCCAGCACAACAGACGCACGGCGTCTGCAGGCGCGGAAACCCGTGCCCAAGATGCCGCCGGCCTATCTACCCAAAGCCGGATCGCCACTGAAGGTGGACGAATCCCTATACGAAGCCGCGCAGAAGGCCCCTCGGGTGCTGACCGAAGAGTTTACACTGCCTATTCGATCCGGGAAAGCATGGAAAGCACCCGCCGGCTCCATCATCAGGATCAGCACCCCCGAGGGGGGACAAGTCGGTACGTGATCACTCTCGCCTCTCTATTTAACATGTACGAACCTACGTCTTACGAGAGCAAAAGGCGACCTCAACATATGGAACGCGCACAACCCGCGCGAGCGCTTCTGGGCCTCGCGCACCAAGCAGCTCTACGCCTCGCACGTGAGCACGCACGACCGGCTGTGGTCGACGCTGCCGTACCTGCGGCCGCTGGTGACCATCATCCACGACACGCTGTCGTGGTACGGGCAGGACGAGCACGGCGGGCGCGTGCACGACCTCCTGGGCACGCGGTGCGACCCTTACATCAACGCCGTGCTGTCCGGGGAGGCCGGGGGCTACGATTTCCACTGCCACTCGAACCTCACGCGGGCGGTCCTGCCGTTTGGGCTCACCGAGTTCGACGTGCATGATGTGATCAACCTGTTCCAGGTTACGGGCTTGAATGAAGAGGGTCGGTATTTCATGAACCCGTGCCCGGCGGAGAAGGGCGATGCGATTGAATTTTTGGCCGAGCAGGATGTGCTGATGGCTTTAAGTAAGTACCTTCCCGTGAACGCCACAGACGGGGTGGCAGAGATTTGAAAACTTGCGATGTGTCGTGTGCTACAGAGGCTGATGTTACGTTTGACAGGCACATGCCCTGGCGGTGATTTGTCCCTTTGGGGCTTTGGGGAAGATAGCGAGAAAGAAATGATCAAGTGCTGCAGACCGCTAAAGGTTGAAGTCTTTCGCCTTGAGGATCCGACCTTGCTGGGGCGAGGTGGCTGGAAGCCAGCGGAGGTTGCGCCGTATAAAGGTAACCATGGGATGAATGTTCCGGAAGGCGAACATGAGCGAAGTTAATGAACGAGAAATTGAAGTAGGAAAGCCGCAGTGCTTTTGCGAACAGTCACCCTGTCGAGAAGATCTGTCAAAGAGTTACGTGGACAAAAAGTCATAGTTGTGTGGTATCATGAAAATCGATTTCGCAACTTAGAAAGCATCCCAACGCGGTGCACCGTACCTAGCCCAATATATACACCACATTTTTAAACCATTATTGGAAGAATTGTTCTTCGCAGATATATATCATTACAGCATTGGCTTGAGGTCCTCGGCGACAGTGAATGGCGCCTCAGTCTTGCTCTTGATCTCCTCGACGGTAACACCATCAGCAATCTCGACCAGCTTCAGCCCTTTGGCGAAGTCAACCTCAAAGACACCCTGAGAGATTGTTAGCAAGACGTTCACGTTTGACAATCATAAGAGGAAAACCTACCAGCTCGGTGATGATCATCGAGACACATGCGCGACCGGTCAGGGGGAAGGCGCACTGCTTCATGATCTTTGGGTTGCCCTTCTTATCCGTGTGCTCCATAGTAACCACAACCTTGGTTTTGCTAGGGTTGCTGACCAAGTCCATGGCACCACCGAAGCCCTTGACCTTTCCAGGCAACATCCAGTTGGCCAAGTCACCAGTAGCGCTGACCTGCATGGCACCCAGGATCGTCAAGTCGATGCGTCCGCTACGGATCATACCGAAACTCTCCTCGCTGCCAAACACCGCAGCACCGGGTTTCAGGGTGACGGTCTCCTTTCCAGCGTTGATCAGGTCAGCGTCTTCGCTGCCCTTTTGCGGGTAGGGTCCCAGACCCAAAATGCCATTCTCAGACTGGAGCTGGACTTCGACCTCGGGGCCGACGAAGCTAGGAGCAAGCATGGGCATACCAATACCGAGGTTCGCGTACATGCCGTTCTTGAACTCCTTGGCTGCTCGGCGGACGATTCTCTCCCTCTTGGCAGCTGTCTCGCCAGTTCCGAGGGCCTTCTTGGCGTCAGGATCGTTCTCATCCTTGGCAAAGGTAAACTTCTCGATGTTCTTCTCCGTTGTGCTCTGAATCACTCGCTTCACGTAGATACCGGGGAGATGCACAGCTTCCGGAGCGATCTCGCCAGGCTCCACGATGTGCTCAGCCTCGACAATGGTCATCTTGGCGTTTCGGCCCATGGCACCGTTGAAGTTGTTGGCTGCAAGGCGGAATTGGCAGTTACCAAGCTTGTCAGCTTTCCATGCCTTCACGAAAGCGTAGTCTCCGGGGATACTGTGCTCCAGGAGATAGGGCTTGCCATTGAACACCTTGACGTCCTTGGGGTACGAGAATTGCTCTGGTGTTCCGTCGGGCTTGTTCTTCAGGGGCAGGTCACCAGTTTGTACCACTGTTCCAAAGGCTGCAGGAGTGTAGAAGGCCGGCACGCCCTTTCCACCAGCGGCACAACGCTCAGCCAGCGTGCCTTGGGGAGTAAGCTCGAGCTCGATCTCGCCTGTGAGGTACATCTTCTCGAATGTCTTGTTCTCGCCAATGTAGCTGGCAATCATCTTCTTGATCTGTTTGGTCTTGAGCAGCTGGCCCAGCCCGGAGTTGTCTGTTCCGGCATTGTTCGATACGGCGGTGAGGCCCGTAAGCTCTGGCTTCTTGACGACCTCGTTGATGAGTGTGTCTGGCACACCGCAAAGACCGAAACCACCACATAATACTGTCGAGTCGGACTTCATATCTTTGAGGGCTTCGGCCGCTGAAGGGTAGACCTTGTTGATCTCGGCGCGGCGGGAGGTGGCGGAAAACGCTCTCGCGAGAACCAAGTGGTGCTGTCGAACTCGTTGTCAGTAAGTTGGGCTGACTGCAAGACGACAGAAAACCTACGTTTGAGCCATACTTGGAGTACGCTCTCAGTGTTCGCATGCACATGGCTGTGGAAGGCATCTTGGCTACTGTGTCGGCACAAGGGTACAGGCAAGACGGGAACAGGTGTGTTATGGGTTATCAATTGGCAAGGCTGCTGTGCGCGTATGGTACAATACTGGTCAGTAGCGAAATGAAAGTATCCAGATCTCCAGAACGTCAATAAAATTATCAGAGTCAGGAAGAGACCCGGAGAGAGGCATCGTGTAAATATTTACCCCATATAAGCTCTAGCCGGCTCCATCCGCGAAGCAGACTACTCCGCGCTCGGAAGACGACCATAGGAATTTCGGGTTGACATGTCGGCAATCTTTCAGTTGGAGGTTTCCACGGCACGTCCCCATTAGGCTTAGAGATGATGTTAATTCCGCCCATCTAATCAATTGACTCGGAAAGTGGCGGGACAAGTAATGCCTGTCACTTGGGACATAGCCGGTGCAGCTGCCGTTTGGAGTCTGTCGGGCATGGATACTTAGTGCTCTGTACTCCGTACCTGCTGTTCAAGCTTCACATTCCGAGTCTGAAGGGACATGCAATTAGACACCGATCACGCATTTGCAAGAGCCACATGGACGGAACTCATATTTGTGCCACAGGATATAACCGACATTATATTTTCGTCGATGTTTGAGTTGCTTTCAAAAGAGAGTTCCGATTCCGAAATTCTCCAGAACGAGTTTCCCGGGAGTGCAAATGCCAAATGCCAATGCCACTGCCAATGTTGGATGCAGAGCTCTCCCCACAAAGCTTGGGGGGGGCATGCAGTCGGTAAGATCGGCTAGGCAAGTTGAGGACTAGACAACCTGCATTACGCTTTGCTTGTCGAGGTTAGTATGGTGTCAACCGGTAGATTAATCTGCCGCAAAGAAAGAATCAAGACCACTTGCAATCTGCATCCTGATCGTGGCACTGTGAAAGTCCTGTGCCACACTTGAGATCCTCGGACTTCCACCTTGTGGCGCACGAGACCCCCGCTACTATCGATAAGCGATAACCCGTGCAGTATCTCCAAAAATTTCTGGGATGGTACTGAGTTGAGGTTTGACGCAAAAGCATATATCCAAGTTGCAACAGCAGTTTCTTACCGTGCATCATGGAGTCAAGTACGGCCAAAAGGCGGAAGTTAGGCCATGGAGGCACTGGGCCGTCGCTGCATGTTGGCATCGCTCCCACTTCAGCATCAAGTGCTTTTGTCGAAGCTACACAAGAGCTTGTTGATCAAGTCCGAATTAACAATAACGCTGAAGCCTTCGATGGCGCCAATACCACACTAAAGAAGTTCAAAGATGTTATCGACGCCCTTGAGCCCCATGACCCTGAACTGGTAAGTTCGTTCCCAATCCGCGCCGGGGATTTTACTGATGCTGTTAGATTGGCACTCTTTCTTCACAGTTTGAGAAGGATGATGGCAATGGCAAAATCAAGATACCATACCCCAGTCCCAAGCCGGGTAAGGACTCACAGTATAAGCTCGCATTTGCAAAGCCAGTGGCAGTCAATGTGGTAGGCTCTTACCGTCTCGAGACAATGGTCAAGTCTCAGTCCGAGTACAACATCGACATGATTGTGGTTATGCCGAATTCCTTATTTCAGGAGAAGGACTTCCGTGATAGGCGCTATTTCCTTAAGAGGGCATACTTCCTTGCCAAGGTTACTGCTGGATTGCGGAAAGCATTCGATTCAACATTCAATTTCGTGTTCGACCACTTGCACGGCAACAACTTGCTTCCAGTCCTCCTGGCACGGCCTAGGGGTAGCAAGGGCGACACGAAAAAGAAGTACGCAATTCGTATCATACCGTGTGCCCAGCAAGATCCAGAAACTCCATTTCCCGCCTCCAAAACATTACCGACAAGTAGCACAATCAAGGACTCAACGACGCCTACGCCCTACTATAATTCAACCCTCAGAGCCGAGAGTCTTTTCGTTCCGTATTTTGACTTGCTCAACAAAACGGTCAAGGCATGTGCTGCCTACAAGGATGCCTGTGTTCTGGGGAGAACATGGCTGCAACAGCGTGGGTTGAATTCGACTGTCTCCGGGGGTGGTTTTGGCCATTTTGAGTGGGCAGTTCTTATTGCACTTTTGTTGAAGTCCGGGGGTAGGAAGGGTGAGCCGGTTCTGTCCAGCTCCCTCAACGCCAGTCAGATCTTCAAGGCAACAATTCAATACCTGGCTGCGGCAAGTTTCCCAAAGAAACCTGTCATTGTAGGTCCTCAGTCGAACCCCGGTGACGTCCGTCAAACCGGTCCAGTTTTGTTCGACGCGGAAAGAATGCACAATCTTCTCTTCAAGGCGACAAGCTGGTCTGCGAACTTCCTTCAGCAGCAAGCAAAGTGGTCCCTGGCTAGCTTAAAGAACGATTCGTTGGATCAGTTTGACTCTTTGTTCATTGTTAAAGTCGATCAATTGCTGCAGATGTTTGATCTGGTAGTCAAGGTCAACTTGCCGGCAGAGAAGAATATCCAAACGAGCGCGGACGCTCGTGGAGCCGCATTTTATTTTGGGGACAAACTCCACAAGGTTGTCAAGAGGGCGCTTGGCGACAGATCCCAATTGGTTCACCTCTTCATGCCAGTGCATTTTACATGGGCAACGTCAACTAATCCCTCTGGTGTGTCTGGTCATGTGCTACTGGGAGCTGTGCTAGACCCGTCATATGCGACGCGAAAGATGGATCTAGGTCCGTCAGTCGAACAGAAGGCGGAAGCAGCCAAGTATCGTGAGTTCTGGGGCGATGTAGCTGAACTTCGCCGCTTCCAAGATGGCAGCATCGTAGAGTCGATCGAGTGGGACCTAGATTCAACGACAAGCATTCCAGAGCAGATCATTCGACACATTGCAAAGAAACATTTGGCACTGAAGGACGATGATTTCAAGTTTGATGGCGGCAATACCTTTTCGACTTTGGCGCGCATCTCCCACACCGATGCTCCGTACTTTACAGCGGCAAGACAGGCCTTTGAGGCGCTAGAGAAGGAAATACGCGACATTGAGGGTTTACCGCTCCACGTCAGGCAGGTTGCTCCCGTTTCCGCCGGACTTCGATATGCATCAGTTCATCCGCCGACTCCCACAAACCGCCTGCCTATGGACTTGATCATCTCCTTCGAGGCCTCGAGTAAATGGACCGACAATATTGCTGCAAACCAGCGACTCAAGATGGCTTTCTTGCTCAAGCTGGGAGAAGCTCTTACAGAATCCAACTCCGAGATTAAAGCACACTTGGGACTCGAACAGGTTGAGCATGACTCTCAGAACCTTGCATTTTTGGATGTTTTGTATGAGGGAGGGTTCTCATTCCGTCTCCGTCTGCAGAGTGATGTCGAGGAGAACATTTTGGCAGCCCGTTTGAGAAACAAGCAGCTAGAACGACACATTCACGTGGAGGCCGAGCGAAGCCTCGCTGTCTACCAGCGCAACTATGTGAACCTGCCTCGACACAATCAAACGTTGTCAACATGGTGCACCAGATATCCGCCGCTATCTGACACAATCAGGATACTCAAACATTGGTTCAGTTGTCACAAGTTGGCTTCCCATTTCAACGAAGACTTGCTGGAGCTTTTCGCTCTGAAGGCATTCCTTACTCCTTACCCCTGGCAGTTACCCACAAGTGCAACAACTGGTTTCCTACGAGCGCTACAACTGCTGGCACGTTGGGACTGGACCGATGAGCCCTTGATTATCGAACACTCTGATACACTCTTGGATCGCTCCTCCGTGGTAGCCCAATTTCATGAGCTGCGGCGCCAGGACCCTCGGATGAATCGGATCGTGCTGTTTGTTGCTACCTCGCACGATGCATCCGGCACTGCATACACCCAGAACGGTCCTTCCCGGGTAGTGGCAAATCAAATGACCAAGCTTGCCCGATCAGCATGCGAATTTGTTAAGACCAAGGGGGTCGAACTCGATGCACGAGCTCTTTTCCAGTCCTCGATAAAACATTACGACTTTGCTATCAGACTGAGCTCAAAGGTCATCAAAAGCATATTGAAAGATGATGGCACCAGGCACTCTCACTTCAAGAACCTCCATGGCGGCCATGGCGATTCAGCACTACCATTGATAGAACATCCCGCCAAGATTTTGGTTGATCAGCTGAAAACCGCGTACGCCAATGCGTTAGTATTCTTCCATGGTGGCGAAGATGACAACACGATTGGCGTCTTGTTCAACCCCGAGTTGAGCAAGAGAACGCGCAAGGTTGACTTACCTTGTGCATATAGGCCAGGATCTGAAGAAGGATCGCTTGAAGTTGATCGCGAAGCTATCATTGCCGAGATTGCGAGAATTGGCACTGACTTGGTCGAGAAGATCGAGGTCAAGGAGAGTAACTAGTTAAGCACCATTTAGAGTAGAGTGCAACCATATGATGCATTGATGTAGCAAATTCGGAAATGATACCCTGGAAGAGTACTCTCAAGTGTCCAAGCGGATTGGTGATTTGATCTTATGCACCCTGCGATGATTAACACCTTAAATCAAAACCGGCACACGATGGATAATCCAACAGTGCCTCCAAACAGCTATGCCAAAATATATCATCTGGATCCGAAACAAGATCTTTGCTGTTGTACTGTGGTATACAAATCTCTCCAAAAAATCTATGAGTGGTGATACACTATTAAGTCTCCCTGAACGCCATTGGATGCAATGTTGCCTGTCTGTCTGAGCCACCATGCACCGTGTCATTATACGCATAGTCATGCCATCCGCTTTACCTCATCTCTGTCTTGACAGGCATGCGTTGGCGATGACGCTCTTGTTCTTTCTTCTCTCCCAAGTGCTTCAGTCACATCTCCCATCCTTCCACCCCGTTCTCCACCTCTCTTCCCACTTGCTGCAGTCGAACTTCTCCTTGCCCAGCTTGACATTTACCGCATTGTGCGCCTCGCACAGCCACGTCCCGAACTCGTTCCGACTATCGACCCGTATCTGTTCCTTGGCTATATAACTCTGGAAGTCCTCCGCACAGACCCAGCAGGGGTAAAGACGCGAGAATATGGACATGAACGACTTCAGGTCCGACTGTTCCCGCACCGACGGCTGTGTGGGATAAGTCGCGGCGATCGAGTGGAGGAGTGTCCAGGTCGAGCGGCCGAGGGCCTCGACATCGGGCGGGCAGTCGCGCGGGATGGAGAAGGTGGCGGCGGCTCCGGTTGTGACGGCTGCTGCGCCGGCGGCGGCTGCTGTTGTGGTGTTGCTGGAGGAGGATTTACTCCCTATGGAGGACTTGGCGAAGGCCTTGAAGGCGGAGCCGGAGGAGCAGGTGCGGCAACTTGTTAGACCAGTATGTCAGTCCAGCTGTCATGTAGCGTGCGGCGCGGGGCCATTCGGAGATTGGGGAATGACTTACGGCTTGCCATCTTTCCCCATGACCATTCCCGGGGGAAGCCCGGCGCTGGAGCCAGGAGTCGCTGGCATTGCGCCGGAGGGCCCGTTGAAGTCGGCGGTCATGGTGAGAGACGAAGCAGGGGATGTCGACTTCCGAGACAGTCAACCGACGAGAACAAGCACAATAAAACACTTGAAGGGGAACGCGACAGGACACGCAATCCGAGACTTGAATCAACAGTTGTACGATTTGTCATCGAGGCATCTGCGCCGGATCGTCCCGCGGGCGACTTCTGACTTCTTTTTAGTGGATCGACGTCAAAACTCGCTGCGCTGCGTCACTAACCTGCTAACTAACGTAGAGGCGGCTCTTATCGATAAAGCTCAGCGCAGACGGCAAGCTTGGCGCTGCAGGTACCGAGGAGCCTGTTTGGAGGGCCTCCGAGCTCAGAATAGAGTACAGGCTTCAGCAGTTGATTTGTGTGATCACCAATTGCATTATATATGTATATAAATATACATACACACACACATATATACATGTACATCCATATCTACGTCTGCATACATATTATTGGATTCCTTCAAGGCTTAGCGGCATGGCGACTGACAAGGAAAGGCAGCCGGTTCTGCTGCTCAAAACCAAGTCTATACCCAACGACACATACGAGGAATTGTTCTCTACCCCGCGGGATGGCTTCCATTTCGAGCCAGTCTTCGTGCCCGTATTACAACACCAATTCATAGAAGATGGCATGAACAGTTTCAAGCGTCTCTTGCACGATAGGCAAATAAGTAAAGAGAAAGATGCTGCCTATGGCGGCCTCATTTTCACATCGCAAAGGGCAGTCGAGGGCTTTGCCAAGTTAGTTGAAGAGGGACAGGGTATGCAGCTTCACTTCTTTCTAGGACACACCTACACCTACCTGTTGGAATCTTTTTAAAACATACCCTGTGTGGGACTGACAAGACAAAAAAACCCCCAGGCGACGAGCATTGGCCTCACCTGCAAGATATCCCCATATACACGGTTGGTCCGGCCACGACGCGCGCCCTGCGCTCCGTGCCGCAGACTCCTCCCTTGCAGATCTTCGGCGAGCAAACGGGGAGCGGGGATGTCCTCGCGCCATTCATACAACAACACTACGGAGAGTGGTACGCGGATCGGCCCGTGAAGCCTCCGATACTGTTCCTCGTGGGCGAGAAGCGCCGCGACATCATACCCAACTTCCTGATGGACCCCTCCCTGCCGCCCGAGAAGAGGATACAGGTCGACGAGACGGTGGTCTATGGGACCGGCGTTATGGAATCCTTTCCCTCAGACTTCGAGCGAGTCTTGAAGAGGACAGAGAACTCCAAAGGGAGGTGGGTGGTCGTGTTCAGCCCGACGGGCTGCGATGGCATGTTGCAGGGACTCGGCATGCTGGACCCGGTGACTGGCAAGGTGGGCAAAGCGCCGGACGACAGAAACACGTTTGTTCTCACGATAGGACCTACTACGAGAACGTTCCTGAAGAAGACGTTCGATTTTGAGCCCGACGCTTGTGCGGGAACGCCGAGTCCGGAAGGCGTGTGGGAGGGTATTAGGGGGTTCCCGACGACAAGGAATCAAGAAATTCAAAAACAAACTGAGAATGCTTGTCATACATAGCTGAGGATTGCCCGAAATGGATTAAACTCGGTGAGAAGGGAAAGTGTAAAGACATCATCAAGGTGCGTGTGAGACCGCTCGGTTATTTCTCCAAGGCACTTCCATACCGCCCTGGAGGCGAGCGGGAAATGGAGAGTGTGTAGGACAGCACCAGCCAGCAGTCAATATCGCCACTTCTGAAAAGAAAGACTATCAGCGCTCTTGGAGGCGATCCTTCACATGGAATTATTTAGTATCAACGACAACTCACCGGTTTCCTTTCCCATGGCGCACGGTGGCTAGCTTGCCACTGTTGATACCATTATCAAGTGTCAAGAGCGAACCCTGGGATGAACATTGGATAAAAAAAGCGCAACATGTCTGGAAATTTCTCTGCATGGAAATACTGTTACTTTGAGTCCCCCTTTTAATATTTCCAAAGGCATTGAGTCGGCGTCGACTGTTTTCATCCCGAGTTTGCACCAAGCGCCGTAAGTGATAACAAAGCATCAACATCACAGGATGGTATGAGGCAACATTCTACTTGGCTCGCTCCATTTTACTGCAGCGAAGCATACACGCTGTTGTTACCATGGTCCGCCTGGGTTTTGCCACTCCAACCGTGCTCAACTTGGCACCCAGCCAACAGCAGTGATACTTAATCTCGTACGGATGAAAGGACTTCCAAAAAGCGGACCAGAGCCGCGCTGACCTAGTGGTAATGGTCTCGTCCCTGTTTTGTAAACATCTCCCACCGGCCGGGGGAGGTTTTACATAGGGCGATCTCGTCTAAAGTGGCCCCATGGACGTTCATAACCAACCCATGGGACTGGCCACCCATCTATCGCACATGGAGCCTGCGGGATTATCTGGATAATTTGGTAGTTATTCAAACTAAAAATTCGGGTTCTTTGTGCCTGTAATCTTTTTTTCTTCTAGTAGTCGAAACATCCACAAATTCATCACGAGCTTGGAGAAGCAAGGATTTCCTTTTGGCTAGATTTAGCTTGGGCTAACGAACGTCACTAATTATATTAACTATTGCCATGCCCATTTTAACTGTTTTGGTGTCTTTGCTAAAATTTCATGACTGATATGGCAGCCATGAGCGGTGGCTTCTTTGTACGCGAAAAGGAGAGAAAGTCAAGCACGGGGATTCGTACGTGTAAGAAGAATTGTTGGACTGCTACAAGACTATCTGCTTATACCATCACTACAATCAAGTGGATGTATGTTATTTTGCTTGATCCGTCGCAATGAGTGCGTCATACGATAGAGCATCGTGCGCCGAGAGCAGAATATTTTGGGCAGAGCTGAGCCGTCTCTCACCGGCGGCTATCAATCCGTATAGATGTAAGTCACCCACACGTGCTCACATTAGAAATATTGAGAAGCAGTCTCACTTTAGGCTAATAAAAAATGCAATCCGTCTTATTCACACTCTGAACGCTTGAGTGCAATTCCATGCGATAAAAGCAATCAGCGGCTCGGTGTCTTTGCGCATGATGACTTTTGGTTTCAACCCCATACATAAGCGACTATAATCTGATGCAATGGTGCCCAGCGAAAAGCAATTGCAGCTTAACCCTAACAGAACGCGAGCGATGATCCTCAGGTGTTCGAATGCGATGACCTGCGTAGCTTGCTGATCAGCCCATATGCACAAAAGTCGCAGAGAACCACGCTCTCCAACAGAAACTGAGCAAATGCGTGTCGGGGACCATGCGGCATACTTGTTAGGGGTGTGATATGCTGTGACACCTTCATGCAGGGAAGCGATACGCTGCTGCATATTCTAATCCTTTGATATACACGATTCCGCAAAAAGAAAAAAAAAAAAAGGAAGAAAAAAGCAAACGTGACGGTTCAACCCGAACAGTGAGCGGTTTGCGACCGACTTGTACCTGAACGTCTCGCGTTCATCATCGTAACTTACCCGAGCCCATGTTCAGATTGACACGTTCATGATGATTTCATGGCGCCAATCTTCCGGGAGACATATCTCCTCCCCTCCAAGAGTCACGCTTCTGAATATTTTGCAGGAGTCATATGTGGTGCACGCCATACGCTAACAGAGGACTCTGCCCGTATCGGCGAACGCGGTGCAGAACCCAGCATGTCCACTCACCCGTGTCAATGTGTGAATCAAGCAAGTATATGCCCAAGGGGGTGGTGGGTGGTGGACCTTCGCAACATTAGTATGCAGCATTTCCTCCAGAACTGCTCTCCACGGGCATGCATGCCCGTTGAGACCAAATAAGGGCCGTGAGATGCGCGCTCAGTCGCAATATCAATGACGACCCTGGGAACCAATGATCTCTTAAGCCTTGCCGGATCTGGTTCCAATCGGCCGGGACCTTTCATCTAAATCTGGTTTGCTCGCCCACCTGTGGCCCATGTTCTTAACATAAAAGCAATATACATCATGTGGTTTATTGACCGGAAATATTTGTCTGAACGCGCAGACGCCTGATCTCAGTGTGAGCATGCCACCATACTAATTGAGGTATTCGCTAATGCGATCAAGTAAGGCTGATGGCTGTCACCCCAAGGACAACATAGGTATGGTTAGAGGCTGGGAAGTGGGACACTAGACGCAGAATATACGGGGATGGATAGTCCGATGATGCATGTGACTGCTTTAGTTATCTCAGCATTAGCTTGTGCCCCAGTTACATGCAGAGCAAGAAAGACGTCCGACAAACCAGGGCAACTTGCTGCCTTTGTGCGTCAACTAAAATTGCACGCGCAAGTTAAGACATTACTCGGGATCTAAACTCAAACGGCCCTAACCGTTCCGCTCGTAATGCAACGACCGCTTACACACCAGAGAGAGCTTGCGCAAGATGATATTCTAGAACAACACTAGCAACACTAAATATTCGATGGCGTACTTTCTATTAGCATCTGGTTAAGATGCACCTCAAAAAGAAGACCGGCATGCCACCATAACAGAATCGACCTTGACCCTCCAAAAAACGGATAGGGCTTAAGTTGCCTGGCTGTGGCAGATCGTCACAACCTGGGGGAACTGCTACATACCGGTATCGTGCGGCCATACGGATCCGTAGATTTTCCCTGGCGATACCCAAAAGTGATCGCCGACCTGTCGAGCCGTCAATCCCCCAGTCGCTGGGGCTAGCAGACCAAGTGAACCAATTGGAAAACGTGCCTTGGAAGAAGAAAGGTTCTCCTCCGCAGTGATCTGAAGGACCCCGGGACCTTCGTCTTCCTTGTATGCTCAGAGTCCAGACCCGCCAGGTCTCCCGGTCTGATACCGTTACATGGTGGTGGTGGTGAGGCCCTGGTCTCTTGGTGTGATGACCTATCGATCCGTTTGTCCAATGTCGACCGATGTCTGCGATTGCGAGGGAGGAAACTCAGGGATGGAGATCTTGGATCCGAATTCGAGCAGACAGCGAGGCAATTCGATATCTTGCAGATCATCCTAGCAATGTCAGCCCATTCCCCGGTGCGATACCCTGGCTCGCCTGGCGAAGGAGGGGGGTTCTGGTGATCAGCCCTTGTGACACTAGCAAGACACCCTGCAGGCCATAGTCATAGCGCTGTGGGTTATTCTCCACCATGCCTCCTGAAGTCAAAGGCACGACAAACGATGTGGAGATTCAACGGAGCTTGCCATTAGGTTCTTTTGACGACCGACTCCTGCACCAACGATCAAGGACCCAATGCAGGTAGCATCATCTATCAACACTGTCAGGAGAGTTCCCACATTGATTAAGTACGTGTCAGTCCATCAGATCACATACATAGGCGTAGAGTGTCACAACTTCATGCCGTGTAAACGTCATGTATGTCTAGTTCCTCGGCTCAAAACAAGTCGTCTGTTCTCCCCTCCTCCTGCCTCAGCTTCCGAAGATTGACTAGGTCCATCCTAGATTGAGAGATCCCTGACAGTCCTCTGAAATCGCAGATTTGCCGTTTCCCAGCCAGAGAAAACACATCTAAAACACGGTTTCTGTCGGCAGTCATCCATTCTCTCTATGCACCTGCCCATACGTTCCACGACCAATTGGATCTCTTGCCACGTCTAGGCCTCCACGATCACCAAGCCTCGGACTACAGTACCTCGCCGCATTTGTCAAGGCACCACCCTGCTCTTGAGGCGGTAACTCGGCAGATGCTCAGTGGTTGGGTAGTATTGTAGGTACTGCTGTCTCGAACAGGCCTGTCACAAATTAAAACCACGAAACCTTCGGGTCGTCTGGAGTTGCCGGTAGTAGGACTATGTTATGCTAGAGTTCTTGGCAAAACAAAGTACCTCGGAAGCCGTGTAACATCAATCGAATAGCATTGCTTGTCTTCTCGAAGTCCAATTCGAGATCTACTTCTACTCTATCAACTGTCATTGTTTCATATAATCAGTTGGAACGTGTATTTGTACTAAGCTTGAACGTTTTCTGGATCTACGCTGGATTGAAACTTTTCTGGAGAATTTCCACCACAACGGCAGTTTATCGTTTTGATAGGAGTTATTGTCAGTGTGCCGCTGAGAGGGCACTCAGACTTGACCAACAGTCTTGACTTGCAGGCGAGACATTGCGTATACAATACCAATCTTCGGCAATATGGTGTACTGTGGAAAGCCCTCGAGGGGCTGCCAGATGTGCCGCACCAGGCGGATCAAGGTAGGGATCGCTTGTATGAGGCCTGTTGACGTCGTAACTGACTGTTGTCTTGCAGTGTGACGAAACCAAGCCTACTTGTAACCAATGTGCGAAATCACGGAGACAATGTCCTGGGTATAAGGACGAGTTTGACCTGGTATTCCGGAATGAAACTCAAGCTACCGAAAGAAGAGCACGAAAGGCGAACAAGAAAGCCCTGCAGAAGATGGGCAAGGACAGCGGAGAAGAATCCAATGGCCCAATCTCGCCCACAGATGCCTTTAGCGATGCGATCAAGTCCCCTTTAGAGCAGGCAATGATCCCGGCGATAGCGATACCAGCCGAGACTCGTGCTGACTGCCATTTTGTCGCGAATTTCATTTTGATGCCGCAAACAGGAAGTACCCGCGGATTCCTAGACTTCCTTCTGCCAATGCTCAAGGCGGAAGGTCCGCAAAGTCACCTACAGCGTGCCTTCAACGCATGCTCGATGGCATTGCTTAACAACTGCGCAGGGGCTAGAAACAAGTATGCAGACAAGGCCCTCAACGAGTACACTCACGCTCTTAACGGCACAAACATGGCACTGAGGGATCCCGAGGCCCAGAAAACGGACTCAACGCTGGCGGCGGTTCTCTTGCTGGGACTTTTTGAGAACTTGACGGCGAAGCAGTTGGGCATGTCAGCATGGGGCTCTCACATCGAGGGTGCAATACAACTTGTGAAGCAGAGAGGCAGAAAACAGCTCAGAACGCGGACCGGACTCCTGCTGTTCATCGCTGTCCGGACACAAATGGTAGGCTAAATCAATCTGAAAGACTGGGCGACGACTAATTCCTTCAGATTATCCACACTCTGACTTCAGGCAAAGCTCCAATCATGGGTGTTGAGTGGTGGATGAACGATGCCGTAAAGGACGAAACGGCGGGCAAGTGTCAGAAGATTATGATCAAGACAGGAGAGCTCCGTGCAGAAGTAACTCGCCTGATGAATTGCATGGCACGCACACCGGAGAACATTGAGATTATGTTGAACATGATCAGAAGGGCACAGATGATGGACCAAGAGGCCGTTCAATGGATGAACAACGTGCCAGACTTTTGGCAGTTCAAAACCGTACACTGGGAAACAAGCGTGCCGAATGGAGACTATGCAAACGCAGAGGTGTACCCTGGCCGGGTTGATCTGTATACCGATTTTTGGATCGCCAGTGTCTGGAATTTGTGCAGAACATCACGTCTGATCAACGCCTCACTCATTGTTCGATGCACTGCATGGGTGTGCTCGCCAGTCGATTATCGTACAACACCAGAATACGCCACCGCGGCCAGGACCTGCGTTGAGACGATCAACGACATCATTGCCTCGGTTCCCTACCACCTTGGATGGCACCTGAAGAGGAAGGAATCCCTGGAGAGAAAGAACCTGGGACAATTTGCTTGCGGAGAGGAAGATGTGCTGAAGGGATTAGCTGGCTACTTCTTGACCTGGCCTTTGGCATGCGTGCATGGCCAAGACTATACGACTGATACTCAACGGACGTGGGTACATGGGCGACTGAGATATATTGGCGACGAACTGGGCGTCAAATATGCTCATATCCTCAGCAAGGTAATAACAGCTGTCTGTACACCGTCTCTCTTCATACTAATGAGCCTTAGATGCAAATTCGCATTCCATCCATGATGATCCACCGAGACGGTCTAATGGCATCTCCTTACGGCTCAGCACAGAACTTTGAGAAGATCCTCAATGCTAGAAACGCTCCTCCCTCAGCTGGCTACTCTATGAACCCTCTCCAACAGCGAGAGGCCATGCAGAAAATGGCCTTCGAACAGCGGCGCTCAGAGCTTTTGTCTAAAGCATCTGGAAATTCTGGCCCATCAACACAATGGGTCGCCAAGAACTGGTTGACAGTACGTAAATTCATTGAGTGGTGTGTGAACCCCACAGGCTAACATCGTCTCCAGCTGCCCGAACAGAACCAGTATCCCAGCATGCAACAATACAAACCAACACAAAGCCAATTACTGGCTAGGCCGGCTGAAAAATGCTAGGTACTCGTTGATTTTGTTGACCATTTTCATGATTTACTTCCAGCAAATGACGTTCGCGTTGATACCACCACCAACATATATAAACGTTCTAGCTCGTTTCGAAGACGATTTGGGGCATGAGTTATGCTTTACACAATGGCGTGTTTGTTCCGATTTTCGAAGACAAAAGGCTCTACATGGGACGGGGGAGGCGTACAGACCATGGTAGTACTTCTATGTGCATGCGTGAAGCCGGTGTGGGGGGCGTATTATGGTGTTTGAGATACCGATATATATACGGAAGGGACGTTTTCAAATCTTTGGGTGGATAGTCAGTTTGGTGTATATTTTTGATTTCTTGTCAGTAGATGGGCGCCGGAGTGCACCGTTCGACTTTCTGGTTGGGTTCTTTTTGTCGGTTCTCGAGGGTATCCCGGCTGGGGATATCCTGAATGTTATCTATATCTCAGTCGAGAGCCACGACAAACGATTATGCACCAAACCGTGTTCTTTCGAGAGACGTCCACGTGCCAATGGTACTTCACTAGATACTCATGACGTTGAGCTCCTCTCCCAACAACCAAGGCTGTAGATTCATTATCTGAGTTGTGCCTCCATGCAGTGCATCTTATCCGAGGTAACGCAAGCATAACAACATTACCAGTCCTCGTACCTATCCTGTTCGTCGCAATGATGTAGACCCCTGTGGGCTGCAACCTGTGCATTTATGCCTTCAAAGGCATCGCAATCTCCAAGAGTTATTGTTCCGTTTGCTCATCCATCCATCCAGCCCTTTCTCACCCCCCCTCGGTTATGCGCCCCTATTTCCTCTTCGTTATGGCGGCGGGTATGTCCTTCCTTAGATTCCACGCCTTGACGACCCAGCTCTGTGTAGCGTCCACGTAGCGCTCCTGCTCGACGTGCTTAACGCCGACGCGCATGCCGTCCTTGGTGAAAACTACGTTCTTCTTGGCCATCTTGTCGCTGTAGGTTTTTTCGACTTTGTTCACGGCGACCCAGATGTGGTATCCGACGAAGGCGGCACCGCCGAGGAAGAGGAGAAGAACCACGAGCGGGATGACCTGGCTGTATACGTGGGGTTCGGGTCAGCGACATATGGAGCTTGGGAAGCACGAGAGCGTCTGGTGGTGGCTCATGGTGGCGATCGGCGCTTACAAGCCTCTGGAGCAAAAAGAGACATGGCAAAAAGACGAGCAACTTGGGGATCACGACGATCGCTTACCTCAAGGTCGAAGGCTTCGGCGCCTCTTTTCTTCCCCAAGCCATGGTTGCGACAAGTGAAAAGCTTTGGCGGGCGGCTATGAATGGTGGTGTTGAGGACTATACAAAGCCTTGGGGATACAAGATCTTGGGATGCGAAGACCTTATGATACGAGCCCTCAAAAGTTGGAAACAGAAGCCCGAGAATACGAGAAGAGGTAGCACTTGCGGTTGGGTCAGGATTGAGACAAACCCAAACACCTCGTGAGACAATGCGATTCTTAACACAAGTCGTACTCGGTACAGCACCACAAACTGCGACAAATGACTTTCACTTGTTCAGGGGTACGGATTACATGACTGCAAGTTTTAGGGGGACTGAGGCGGACCGTCCCAGCGCTAGATGGCCACTATTAGCGCTGTTCTTATGGAGATGGCTCACGTTAGCATGTGCTGAGGGCTTGGAGTGCAGCACCAAAGATTGCGAGACGGGCTGCCTCTGTATGTGCCGTGTTGCCGCTTCATTACTACATGTAGATACTGCACTGTACTGTGGAATACTTGACCAGGTGAGCTTGGCTCGAGCTTGGCTTGAGCTTGTACAACGTCCTAGGATAACTAGCAACATTGCAGGAAGAGAGGAGGGGCGGGGTCGGGACTGGTCACCGGTCGCTGGTCGCTGATCGCGCTGCCGAGGAAGTAGTCTGATAAGATAAGAAAACAGCTTCAGCCTCTCGCGCACCTGGAGCAGATGGCACCAGCTGCCATCTGACAAGTGTCGATTTTTTTGACGTAAGACTCGCCTGGTAGCACTGAGTGCCAAGCTGAAAGCCAGAACAGCCACACTATTCGTTGAATTGTGGACAACTCGCCTTGACGATAAACCCCATACAGTAGTTATTAAGGCTCAAGGAGTACCTAGGGAAGACACGTTCAATTTAAAGGTTGGGCGTATTCCTTTCCCGTTTCGTAGACGTACCTCGCCATAAGATAAAAATAAAACCGACTGACTGCGACTGCCTCCTCCAAACGAGACAGGCAGCAAATTAAGTTTGTCCAGTGTCTGGAATTCAATTCTGGCCTCGACTTTGAGCAGCACACCAGCTACAGATACACATACAGATACAGTAGAGGCCACACTTCCAACTCCCAATAGAGCTAGCATCCCACTTCCACCTTCTAACGTTAGCTCCTCACCGACGACATCCAGGACGCCGCATCTCCCACATAAACCTCTCCTTTCCCGTGCTCTTGCAGCTTCCTCGGAACCACAACCTACTTCCTGACCATACGACATCTCCCTTGATTGCATCGGGCGACGCTGGTCACAGTTTAATTGCGCCAAAATGGCTGACCAAGGCTACGGCCAATTCCCCCAGCAGCAGTACGGCCAACAACCCCCGTATCCTGATCCTGATGCCGCCTCTGCTGGCACTCCTCCCCCACAGGCCGCACAACAACCCCTCGAGGGAGCAGCAGGAAAGAAGAAGAAGCGAGGCTATGCGACACAGGCCTTCGAATTCGGCGCCGGTGGTAACGCCGCCGCAGGAGGTCAGGCTCCCGGCGGCATCCCTCCCCCGCCAGGTGCAGGTGTGCCCGCAGCTGCGGGTTACCCAGGCCAACAAGACTTTCAAGCAGGATACCCAGCATCTACGGCTCCAGCATATGGCGGCGCCCCCGCCCCCGCAGCCTATGGCGCTCCAGGAGCCAGTCCTGCCGCACCCGGAATAGGAGGCTACCAGGCCCCCGATGCTTATTATCAAGGCGCCGGAGCCCCTGGAGCTCCTCAGGGCGTGTCTGGAATCACTGCAGGTATGGCAGGCATGAATATGGGAGCTCAGCCGGGACAGCAGCAGCAGCAGCAGCAGCAGTCCGGCCAGCAAGCCCGTGTTGCGCTGAACCAGCTATACCCTACCGACCTACTCAACCAGCCTTTCAACGTATCCGAGTTGGACCTGCCACCACCTCCCTGCATTCTCCCACCCAACGTAAGTTCTTCGACCTCGGAACAGGTCTCAGAGTGTCCAACTGACCTGTTTTCCAATATAGTCTAGCGTTACTCAGTCGCCGGATGCCAACTGCCCGCCGAGATACATGCGGTCCACACTCAACGCAATTCCCACCCAGAACTCCCTTCTGAAGAAGTCGAAGCTTCCCTTCGCTCTCGTCATCCAACCCTACGCTGCCCTCCACGATATCGACGATGCCGTCCCCGTTGTTCAGGACCAGGTCATTGCCCGTTGCCGGAGATGCAGGACGTACATCAACCCCTATGTTATCTTCTTAGACCAGGGCCACAGATGGCGCTGCAACATGTGTAATCTCACGAACGATGTACCGCAAGCCTTCGACTGGGATGCCGCCGCGCAGAAGAGTGTCAACCGCTGGGATCGCCCCGAGCTGAACCATGCTGTTGTTGAGTTTGTCGCACCCCAGGAGTACATGGTCCGCCCACCTCAGCCTTTGGTCTACCTATTCCTCTTCGACGTCAGCTATGCTGCTGTTTCGACCGGTCTGCTTGCTACTAGCGCACGTACCATCCTTGACAGCCTAAACAGAATACCCAATGCCGACCGCCGAACTCGCCTGGGATTTATTGCAGTCGACTCCAGTCTGCATTACTTCTCCGTTCCCAAGGATAGCGATGAGAATATCGAAACTAGCATGTTAGTCGTCAGCGACTTGGAGGAGCCATTCTTGCCGGTTCCTCAGGATCTTCTGGTCCCTCTCACTGAGAGCAGGGTCAGCATCGAGAACTTCCTTAACAAGCTCCCCGAAATGTTCCAGAACAACCAGAACAACGGATCGTGCATGGGGTCCGCGTTGAGGGCTGGACATAAACTCATCTCCCCCCTGGGTGGTAAGATTGTGGTTCTCAGCGCCTCCTTGCCGAATATGGGCGATGGCAAGTTGGAAATGAGAGAAGACAAGAAGCTGCTCGGCACCTCGAAGGAGAACGCCCTGCTCCAAACCGGCAATAGTTTTTACAAGTCATTCGCTGTCGAATGTTCCAAGAACCAAGTTTCTATCGATATGTTCCTCTTCTCTAGCCAATACCAAGACGTGGCGTCACTCAGCAACCTGCCCCGTTACACTGGTGGTCAGACATGGTTCTACCCGGGCTGGAATGCAGGGCGCCCAGAGGACGCGATAAAGTTTGCTCGTGAGTTCAGCGACTTCCTATCGTCTGAGATCGGTCTGGAGGCCGTTCTCAGGGTGCGCGCAACCACTGGTCTGCGCATGAGCACGTTCTACGGCAATTTCTTCAACCGAAGCTCAGATCTCTGTGCTTTCCCGGCTTTCCCTCGTGACCAGTGCTACGTTGTGGAGGTGGCCATCGATGAGACCCTTCAAAAGAACTACGTGTGTCTGCAAGCTGGTGTGTTGTACACTACTTGCAACGGCGAGAGGCGCATTCGTGTCATGACACTGGCCATCCCAACAACTACCAACCTCGCGGACATCTACGCCTCCGCCGACCAATGCGCCATAACGACTTATTTCAGTCACAAGGCGGTCGAACGCGCGCTTAGCTCTGGACTGGATGCTGCTCGGGATGCCTTGCAAAGCAAACTCATTGAGCTCCTGCAAACCTTCAAGAAGGAGCTCGGCGGTGGAAGCATGGGTGGCGGTTTACAATTCCCTGCCAACCTACGTGGTCTTCCTGTACTCTTCCTCGGCCTGATCAAGAACGTCGGTCTGAGGAAGTCAGCACAGATCCCGTCGGATCTCCGTTCCGCTGCCCTCGCCCAGCTATCTACGCTTCCCCTCCCGCTCCTCATGCGGTACATCTACCCTAGGCTCTATTCTTTACACGATATGCCGGACAACGCAGGGGTGCCGGATCCCGAGACTAGTCAGATCGTGCTCCCACCCCCGTTGAACCTCTCGTCAGAACGATTTGTCAGTTATGGTTTGTACCTGATCGACGACGGACAGACACAGTTCATTTGGATCGGAAGAGACGCTGTTCCTCAACTACTTCAAGATGTCTTTGGTATTGCAGACAGGACACAGCTGAGAGTAGGCAAGGGATCCATCGCCGAGCTGGACAACGATTTCAACGAACGGGTTCGGGCTGTCATTCAGAAGAGTAGAGATCATCTGTCTCTTGGCGTGGGTAGTATCATCGTGCCGCATCTATATATCGTACGGGAAGATGGAGAGCCAAGCCTGAAGCTCTGGGCTCAGACACTGCTGGTAGAGGATCGGGCGGATCAAGGCATGAGCTTCGGCCAATGGATGGGCAGCTTGAGAGAAAAGGTGAGCAGTTGATGAGGTCCCAGAGGAGACATGTTATGACAAGATGATTCTGATAGTTGTGAAAACAGGTGGTGCAGTAATGATATCTACAGGACCTGGCTATGAGGGGCTCTGGGGGTGTAGACGGTGGCGTAGTTCTAAGCCGGACTAACAAATGTGAAACGAAATGAAATCAAACAGCATTACCCTAGACAAGAGCTACAATCGGCCACATGTGAACAAAAAGCTATGAGCTTGACTGGAGAACATCCATATCAGTGTGTTGAAGTCTTAGAACATGGTCGGGGGATCAAGAAGCATGGATTGACTACAGGTCCGAACGGGGATTATATCATGCTGGACTAAGTTACATATTGGATCGTAGGCATACTGTGTATGCAGAGCGATAAACGCCGGGGTTTTACGAATTCTCACATCAAGGATGAGAGAAACATATATATTACGACATGCAGCTGGCAGAACGTCTCGACGAGCCGGATACAATGAAGACATCGGTCACAAACTCATACATACAGTAGCGCAAGTTGGTTGTTGCAAAGGCTCCATATTAGCGCATTTCACCATGGCCAGGATGCTGACCAGTAATGAAACAAGAAGTGTGAAACACACGCGCCCACTTGGAGCATTGAGCATTGGGCGCCTACGGGCGGCGCTAATTGGAGATTGGAAGCGTTGCTCGGATCTTTGTGGCCCCTAGAGGTGGTGTGAAGGCGGTTGATGAAGCAGAAGCCTCGGGGGCACGACTCTTTTGCATATCATGCCTGTCAATGCAGATGACGAAGAACCATGAACTTCCACATTTAGAACGGACGAAGCTGTCCTCAACCCAGGTCCTCTCACGTAGTCGTCGTGATTTTGGGGATTCTTTTCCACATACTTACAGTAACCCAGTTGATTAGTAGCCTTGGAGGCCTTGAATAGACACTGGGAGCAAATCCCTGCTAGCGGCTAGCACAAGCGTTAATCGAATGGTGGCGTCGTCGATAGGTGACCCTTACCACATGCATGTACCCCGCCAAAGGTCGACTTCACATGAATCGGTTACCTATCATGTCGCCATCGCGAGTCGGAATACAGTTGGCGCTTCACTTGGGCCTTGTTGGTAAAAATACGTTTCCAAGATTAAACATACCACGTGGGACAGAGACAGCATAATTCCAAATGACGGCTGGCGACCTGGACGGGACTGCTGGCTGGAAGAGGGGAGGCTCTCCCAGGTCCACTCGAATAGCCTTAATCTTGAGACTCGAACAAACCCTTGTCTCATCTTTATCCTCAGCTTCGAGCTTCTCAGGTTCAGGTTCAGGTTCAGGTTCAGGTTTAGGGTCACACGCTGGGATTTTAGACTTCCGTCCGCTCGCGGGTGTCTCCGCTGCCGCTGCTACCGTCTTGACCCCATGAATTGAGGCCAGGTCTGAAGCGAACTCCAGCATCTAGTGCCTGTCTCAAGTCGTGATGGTTGCCATCGTCCTGGCCGTGTTTCTTGTGACTGGGAAGCGCGGGCGTGTCTATCTGCGGTCCAATGATATATTTGTATACTAGTACTTGCATACGGCAGGTCGAGGTGGACTTGTTGACGGGGAACATAATCGATAGGGACAGTTGTAATATATTCGTCAGAGGGGGGGGGAAGACTGCGCATACCTTTGGTGATTATATGTATTCCAACCTAGACGTCGGGACGGCCATGTATATATTTAAGAACGAGATGCATTATTACTTATCCAGTGGCACAGATCGTTTTGGTGATAGCTCGTCAGACTGGTCGACTGGGCACTGGAGTATCCAATTTATTTGTTCGCTTGAGGGAAGCCGACTGCATCTGCGATTGGCCTACCCTTTGGAACTGTTGCTCGGTTCTCGACCTAGCATTTTTCTACTGCGACACTCCTGAGAGCTGGTGCCCCTCAATATCCACAATCGCACCCTGTCGCTGTCGCCGTCCACGTTCTCGTCCAGGTTGACCTGCGCAAGCTTGTGTTGCTTGTGTGCTGTGTGTGCTTGCTTGTAATCCGGACATGTTGGAGCTGCACACACTGCAACTGCGCGTTGCTCTGCTCACGCACACACCACGCACACACACACCCCCCCTTCAGCCCAAGTCCGTTCCCCGTCCCGCATTTCCCATTTGAACCCCATTTACACGACAATTGAACCAGAACTGCACACTTACCATTCTTCATTGTTGTCTTGCGGTACCATTGTCTGATCCGATTTGTCCTGATTGTTCTGGTTTACGCGACTGCAATACTAGATCTTCGCATCCGGACGAACATCCCATCTCGTCCCATACCCATCTCATCTCTTCCCTCCTGCAACGCTGCTACCTTCTGCGGGGCAATCACTCATCGAGCCGGTCACAAATCAAGGTGAGCACCTAGTATTTCCCATTACCCCTCACGAAGATCATACAGAAACCCAGCACAAGCACAAGCACAAGCACATGGCCTTGACAATTCAGACGAGATGTCCCTCCTCATCCAAGTATCCGTGTCGTAACAGATACTCGGCGCCTCTCCCTACGCTCGGAGCCAGGGACCAAGACCGGACGAGGACGTCTGCGAGTCCCGTCCACAGCTCAACCCCGGATGCAGCTTGGTCGAGCTCTGGGACGAGCAGCGCGACCAATGGCCCTCTGACGGCCGACGGAGCAGCCAGCTTGGATCTTCTATAGAGATTCTGGAAGTTGCCACTGTCATTTCCTGTGGAGAATCCTGGCACGCTCTCAGACAAGGAAGCCTCAGGTCTTACACGGCTCTGCCCCATCAAAGCGGGCTCGGGTCTGCAACGCTCGCCCGTATAGCCAGTTGCACAGACGCGCCTCGGGTATCTAGAGTTCGCAGAAGCCGCCTAGTTGGCTGTTAGACATCTGACGCAAGCGCCGGCTGCCAACTGATCGCCTGTCCGGTTTTGCAGCACCCCGCCTATCCATCTGTCACGTTCACTGCTCTCGTCCTGCCTCGGGTTTCTTTGTTCCTCCCTATTTTCTTTTTGTCGACACATCCCGACTAATCATTGCCCTTTCTCAAGTCCAGACTACCCATAATAACTGAGTACCTAGCTCAGCTGGACGATTCTCTCAAACAAAGGACGACGCATCGCTTGATTATTGTCAGCAGCTTTGTCGATATCGTGCTCTTGGACGCCGACCGACCGACAACAAAACCACAGCGCTGATACTGCAAAACCTCTGGCATTTTTGGGCAGGCCCGAGCGGAGTGTTTAGAGTATCTCTATTGTCCGAGTTTCACCGTTCGTCCACGACAATACAGACCTGAGCAGGAGCTGTTGTGGGACTTGGCAACTAAGCTTCGGCACCAAGACGACATTCGTATAGGCACCAGGTGAACCCTCATATACTCGGCCACAGTCTCGACCTTGGACATTCAGTTCCTGACAAATCCGGAAAGATTTGTCTCCATCTTCATCCGGACTCACCTATTGCGTCCGGTTACAGAGCTCTGTTTTACGGACCGTTTCCCACTTTATTACGCATAGGTCATCATGTCGCGAGCCCAGGCCCCTAACCCTGCGGGGTCTCGTAAGATCTCCTTTAACGTCAGTGAGCAGTACGACATTCAAGATGTCGTTGGTGAGGGTGCCTACGGTGTTGTCTGGTAAGCAAAATAACCCGCCTCAAAAACCTGTATACTGACCTGCGTCAAGTTCGGCAATCCACAAGCCCTCTGGCCAAAAGGTGGCCATCAAGAAGATCACGCCCTTCGACCACTCCATGTTCTGTCTGAGAACACTGCGCGAGATGAAGCTTCTCCGATACTTCAACCACGAGAACATCATCTCCATTCTCGACATCCAAAAGCCCCGCAACTACGAGACCTTCCAGGAGGTCTACCTGATTCAAGAACTCATGGAGACGGATATGCACAGAGTCATTCGCACGCAAGATCTCTCGGATGATCACTGCCAATACTTCATCTACCAGACACTGCGCGCCCTCAAGGCTATGCACTCGGCAAACGTGCTGCACAGAGACTTGAAGCCCAGCAATCTCCTCTTGAACGCTAACTGTGACCTCAAGGTTTGTGATTTCGGCTTGGCACGATCTGCTGCTTCTCAGGAGGACAACTCGGGCTTCATGACCGAATATGTTGCCACCCGTTGGTACCGTGCCCCCGAGATCATGTTGACCTTCAAGGAGTATACAAAGGCTATCGATGTCTGGAGTGTTGGATGCATTCTGGCCGAGATGCTTAGTGGGAAGCCTTTGTTCCCCGGAAAGGACTGTACGTAATTTGCTTTTGTTTCTGCCTGTGGGAATACCTGCTGACACACTACATAGACCACCACCAGCTTACGCTCATCCTGGACGTTCTTGGTACGCCGACTATGGAGGACTACTACGGCATCAAGTCGCGCCGTGCTCGCGAGTATATCCGCTCTCTGCCCTTCAAGAAGAAGGTGCCTCTTCGAACCTTGTTCCCTAAGACCTCTGATCTGGCCTTGGATCTGCTGGAGAAGCTGTTGGCATTCAACCCTGTCAAGCGAATCACTGTGGAGGAGGCGCTGAAGCACCCTTACCTCGAGCCCTACCATGACCCTGAGGACGAGCCCACCGCTCCCCCGATCCCTGAAGAATTCTTCGACTTTGACAAGCACAAGGACAACCTGAGCAAGGAGCAACTGAAGCAGCTCATCTACCAGGAGATCATGCGATAAAATGCCGACGGCCTCTGAGAGGTTCACATTGGCAACGGTATCAATAGAGCCGCTCGCAATTGGGCCATGATATGGATCATGGCTCGGAGAGTGGTACAACTAGGAGTCGCAAGCCACATTGATGATTTTGGGTTTGGCATAGCGAAGACAGACATGCGAGCATGCAAAAATCCTGTTGCAAAGCATTGTAACAAGATGAATAACTAATCAAGGTCAAGGTCAAGGTTAAGTTACTAGCACCTGGCCTAGAAGAATAACGGACAAAAAAATGAAGTAGGCTTGGGGCATGCCTATTGCCGAGGGGCATAAAGGAAGAGTGAAGTCGAGGAATCTTTGGACAACAATACCCATGGCTCTTTGGAGAGGGTTGGATGGACAGATGAAGGATGGATATCTTCTTGTCTCCTTTTTTCCTCGCAAATGTCTAGGTGTTTTTTTACACGAATATCCACGAGGAAATGGATGGGATGTCTCTTCTCTAGAGTAAGCTTACATGAATGACGATGTGATTTGCATCTTAACGAAAATAAGAAAAAAAGTGAAGGCCTCATAGTGAAATGATTGTGGCTTTCGGCACCAAGCATCCTTGGTGACGTTCCTAGCTACTGCGCATGACTCCAGGCGGCATTATGAATGTCATGATACGTCACCCAGCTTTCATGACTACCTAGGTATGGGCTGCCATTGCAATGAAAGGGACTTACTACTATACATGGTTCGCCCGGTTTATATGACCACAGTCCCGCGCGAATCATACAAACTTCCGGGGGCTTGAAAGCTTGCAAACCAAGGCAGACTGCAAACGATAGCCTAGAGTGCGACAACACAGTTGAGAGTCACGAGGCTGATGTGATTGTAGCGAGAGCCCACGGGCCAGTTACAGCATGTAATGTAGCAGTGTTCACGAGTTAAAGTATAGAGCAAAAGTTTTCTATAACATTTGTTACCAATCATTCCAACCTAGATCGTGGCCGCCCGCGGCAGCGTTGGTTGCCTTACTACTCATCTTTCAGACAAGTTCTCGCCTTTCTCTCCTTCTGTACTTCCTCGTAGCTTTCGTGGAGACTCATAAACATGACTTTATCCTGCAGATGGAGGCTGTCGAGATTATTCTGTTGGATGTCGAAAAGGCCGCTCGTGCGATCAACTCCTGGCCGGAAGACGATTGCGTCTTCCTTGTCTGTTTTCTTCCACACACGTTTCACCTCAGACGCACGCTGTGACCACCAGTCCTTCTCGGCGACGACCTCCAAGGTGCCTCTGAACGTAGGTGGTGGTCCAGGCTTCGGGGTCATCCCGGGAAGCACAGTCCGTTTCAGCAGCAGGCCAACTTGGAGCATGCGGGCGATACCGGTGCTTTGGGCCGGATTCTCTTCGAGATCCCACCGCGCCGTGTCGTGGCCACCTGTTTCACGTTCGTTCACCCGCTTAGCTCCTGTGACCTCGGTATGGAAGTCGCGGTCCTGCGTCTGCTTCATCGAATACTCGCCGCCGCCGCCCGCCGTGGCAGGGCCGGCCGAGGCACCCACTTCGCCCTTCCCCGTCACGCTCCTCTCGTCTGTTCGCTTGGTTGGGGTGAGCGACCAGGTCCCCATGGGTGCGATCTTCGTCACTTCCACGTCCACCGCCGGATCGTCGCTCGTAAAAGTCCAGGTAATCTGGGCGCGCTTGAAGCGCCGCTCGTGCGAGGGAAGAAAGTAGAAGCTGGCGACGACGAGAGTCGCGCTTTCGCCTCCTTCGCTCGCAGTCCCATGCGCCACGTCGAGAAGGTCGGCCAGGACTTGGAACTTGTCCCCGCGGTTGATCATCACCGGCCGGTTGATCTCCCCCGGCTTGTTGGCCATGCGCACGCGGTAGAAGCCGCCCTGGCCGTCACCGTCGAGGTCGAACACGAAGCTGTCGGGAGCCGCCTTGGAAGACATGATTGATGTCGCCCGCAATGCGTGTGTTCGGCGTGATCAGCTCCTAAGGCCCCGATGAGAAGCAGCCTCGCGAGGATACAGTAGCAATGTGACGAGAGCGGATTTGGCAGATAGGAAACATGCCTGTCGGCTGAAATGCAGGACGATACCAAGCATGGCGCCACACATAATGCTGGGTGTGGTACACCATCTTCTGCAGAAATCCATGCATGTTAATGCACACTGTCTTGTCGACTCGATGGGGAAGGCTGCGTGTGGGAGGTAAGACTGACCGAGGCTTGCAAGCCTTCTGGCTGGGTCACCGACACCCAACCCCTGTCAATTCGGGGGCCACGAGAGAGATGATCGGGAGCTGGAGGATGAAGAGGCTGTATTGGCCCCCATTGCAACCGCCTCCTTGATGCGCTCCTCTTTGTCGCAGATTTACCAGCATCATCTCGTTTCTTTAACCTCCGCTTGTCTTTTTTTGTCACCGTTCATTCAGATAACCTCAAAGCGCCATTCGTTGTACCATTCGCTGCACCATTCGCTGCACCATTCGCTCTGCCTCATAATACGACCTTGAGCATTTTGGAAATGGCGAGCTCAATGGATGCTCAGATAGACCAACTTTCAAAAGGAAAAGATACACACGGCGGAAACGGCAACGAAATCCATGACGATGATGACGATGATGATGCTGATGACTACCCACCTGATAGCAAGATCCAGGATTTGTTCGAGTGTGTCCTAAATGACTTGGTCAACGACGAGAGATTCATTCTGTCGTTCTTTTCTGACCTGACTAACAACGAAAAATCATATACTTTCTCCAATGACCGCAGTTTTGACCCCAAGCTCGCATTTTACGCTACATCTAAATCTCATAATATTCTCCATCATTTCATCCAAAATTTTATACGATTAAAACCCGAGAAGGCTATAGTGAGCAGATTCGTCAATTTCATCGGGCTTCTCCTGAAGCGCTTCCCTGACCTGCTGCTCGATGGGTTGAAAGATGATAACAGCCCGCTCGATGAGGCAGTTTCAGGAGATGATTGTCTTGAGATTATTCAAGCGATGTGTGAGCATGGAATGGAGAGAGCAGAAAATAGATATCCGAATGGGGACCAGAACGGAACTACGATTACACATGATGTAGCTGCAGCTGATTCCGGCAAAGTGGGAATAAATGAGGGCGAGCATGAAATATCTCCCAGGGTTGCTTGGTCCAAACTCGTCAAGATAAACCGGGACACATGTCTGCATAAGGCGATCAAAAAGAAGAAGAACGATTATGCGCATTATCTTCTTGCCAAGATCGAACACGGCGGCGCTGTGGACAAGATTCTGAGCCATTTCGGTCAAGACGGCCTCACACCCCTTCATCTGGCAGTGGACTTTTCAAGATGCTATCAAGATCAGGTGGAACTTGTCGAGAAGCTCATTGATCTATACCCCAAAGCGCTTACGCTAAAGTCCGGCCCCTATTTCCAGAACCAACAAGTAAGCATTGCAGGCACAAACAAAAAATATGCACAAAGCAACAACGGCCGTGGGGATCGGGATTCTGTAGCAGAGTTGAAGGAGAATCTGTCCCCATACCGGTACTTTATGGACACAAGGGAACGGGAAGAGAACTGTGCCCTTGAACCGCCAGGAAGACTAAGAAAAGAACAACTCAGATCACGCACCAAGATAAGAGGCAATGCAGAGGACGGAAGAAGGATAGAGGAGCTTTTGAGACTCAGCTGTATGCGCCACTATGGTCGTGATCGCACAACAATTACAGATCTCTTACCTCTATCGCTTGTACGTTGTCTTGAGGAGCAAGAGGACTCGCTCCGGAACGCTCCATATTCTTTTTGCTAACTTCGTACCAGGGCCAGATTCATTTCGACCTTAACCCGCGGACAGAAGTGTCGCAAGAACTTCTGAACTATATAGCCAAGTCAGCAGTCATGAGATTTGAACCATACCTGCAGTACGTGGGCGTACCAAATGTGCGGGTAGTGAACGTGAGGATGGAGAGGCTAGAGGCGGAGTCCTGGTGGGAATCGCACAGTCGCAAAGATTACGTCTACATCTTCGAATGGTTAAGGACGACGATGAAGGTCAAGAGGATTCTCAAGATCGTTGTCGAAGACGACCCCAACAATGTCCACAGCGACGAGGCAATCGAACGAGCCGTTGCAAGCTTTGATATCGAGGAGTGGGATTGGATGAAATTGGATATGTGTAGCGACACTATTCTGGCAGCGGCCCGAAATGTTCGTGACTTGTCCCTATACTGGAGTGGTAACAGGGCTATCCTTAAGAGCTGGGCCGCGTCAGATGGGCTTGTTCTACTCAAAGAGGTATGCCGGGGAGACTCTATGATCTTGGCAATAGAACTGAAGGCTTGCTGACCGTCTTTAGTTACGAAAAATACGGATCATGATGCCAGAGGTGCGACAGTGCCGACAATACTAACGTTAACGAGAATTTGTTGTTGACGATCTGCAGTCTATTGAGTCCCACGACAGAACGGACAACACTATATCAAAATTCAAGAGCAACTTGGAAATGTCCTGGGTCAAATGCTGGGCTGATGAAATACCTTATCGAAAGCCACCACATATTGACATTCAGCCTGTTTTCACGCAAACATATATGGCCAAGAAACTCTCGGAAACGGAGAGAGAAGAAAAAGGGCGCAAGCAAGTCAACCCCCATCCCAAAACCTTCAGCACAACTCATACACTCTCTCACCACTAACACCATTTGTCCCACAGAGAGAAATGGCTCAAATGCATGGAAAACTTCTCTCAAATTCTGAAGAAGTGGACCAACAATTGGCTAGGTATTAAAGGGAACGTGTGGACGGATGAATATGCGATCAAGGTTGCCATCATTGACGACGGCCTAGACATCGACAGAGACGACATAGGTAGAAATGTTGCTCTTGGCGAGACCTTTTATGATAACAAGGGCCATTGGCCGGGTTTCTACCAGAGCGCGTACGGGCACGGCACCCTCATGGCCAACCAGATACGCCAGATATGCCCCAAGGTTCAACTGTACGTCGCGAAGTTAAACGAGGTCTGGAGCGACGGGAAACCACAGATAACGGCAAAATCTGCAGCTCAGGTACGATTCTTCCTCTGTCACACATGAATCACCTCCAAATACTGAAATCTGAACTGGGCCCGCAGGCAATAGACTGGGCTCGCAATAATGAAGTGGACATAATTTCCATGAGTTGGTCAATTCAAACTCCCGAGGAGGTAGACCTATTGGAGACGGCCGTGAAAAAGGCTCTTGATGATGAAATCCTTCTCTTTTGCGCATCGAACGACCAGGGCAACACAGGAGAGATTCCGTATCCTGCGCGGATCAAACCGGAAAAGATATTCAAAATCGGATCGGCCACGGCGCTTGGTTTTCCAGAGGCCAAGGTACAGAAGTGCGTCGACTTTATAGCACCGGGTTCCGAATTCGTGAAGCGGGCAGCGCATGAGGATGATCAAGGCTTCGCAGAGCCGCGGGCCGGTTCATCGATAGCAACAGCTCGGTGCGCAGGCTTGGCCGCAGTTATCCTCCAGTGCATCGTACTGTACCAGAAATCCTATGACAAAAAGCGTGTGCGCAGCCACAAATACATGAAGGCCATGTTGGAGGAGCTGGTCGACAAGACGGATAGCCACCACTACCTCAAGGTATGGAAGGTCTTCGAGACGGCCCTAGATAATGCAAAGCTCGACAAGGATTTCGAATGGAATGTCATATGCAAAGTTGCGGGCGTCTTCTTGGGGAAGATTCCCTGGTTACCACAATCGACCGCTCAGCCAGGCAACGCAGGTGGTACATAATGTCGAATGGAATAGAGGCTCATATTCATGACTATGCTGCGAGTAATTCACCACGAGTAATCTCCTCATAGCTGAAATATCTGATTGTTCTCAACTTAAGTCAGACTGTATAGCCACATATTCACAAAATACACCATGAAACCTAGGAAGGCAAATTTCAGAACATCTAAGAAACGATTCAGGTTTCATCTTCTTGCCATTCAACACTCTCTATGACAGATAAAGAGTGCAGAGTGTCTTCTTTTGTCCTTGTAGATGTAATAGAACCGCGCAAGTACTTCTGACTCTAATGATGCCAAAGGAATTCACCTGAGGGCCCACCTAGGATATCTATTTAGGTAGTCTTCACCAGGAATAGAGCATGGCTTTATTCCTTGTCCATTTCGCAAATACCATCAGATAGACCTATTGTTGATATTATTCGTGTTACGTGTCCATCAGGCTTATCAACCCCAAAAGCCGAGGCTGCTACACACCACAACATAACAGGCTGTCAGACGCATCCTTGCGTCCTGTCCTGATTTGTGGCAGGAATCTGCAGGTCAGCCTATGGTGGCCTCGCCTATTATTGCGCCCCCCAGCACACGGAACCCGGCCGTCTGCAGGACCGATCATTTCTGTAACAGGTCAGTTTGCTAGCTGAGCCTTGCACTCCAGCCGGCGCCATTACTGAGTCTTGCGCTGGCATCGCGGATATTGAGACAAAGACGAAAACATCACGCCAGGTATAGTCGCTGCCACGGATGAGTTTGCTGAGCCCTAAATTGACTTCTTCTGATGTCTCATCAACTATCGAGGGCATGGCGTCAAACATGGACAACGCTACGTAAGCAATCAGAGTCGAATTTTTCTTAGGATGCTCGGAGAGCCTTCGCTGACGTGACTCCTACTTAGATTCGTCATTGTAACTGGCTTGCGCGGAACAGATGATCCCGGGAAGGCCTCAACGGCCGTCCCTGAGCCGTTGTTCTGGGTTTCAGGTGGTTTGCTCATGACACAAAGTCCGAAGTGTCATTGCATCGAGTTCAGGCCAGACTTTAGCACGAAATCCATTGAGAACTTATCACCAGAGCTTTTAGATTCCATGGCCAGAAATTTGCTTGACTTCGTTTCAAGAACAGAGAGAGCTGTAGATGTAAGAAATGACCATAGGACACGCTCTGGTATGAGTGGAATGCTAAGATGGCTGGCTAGGGGACCAATCGACTCGTCTTCGTGTGCGAAGACTTGGGTGGAATTATAGTCAAAAAGGCTCGTATCGATCAATCTATTGCTTGCCGCGACTCAGCTAATTGTACCAGCAGGCGCTTACCCTTGCGGAGACTACAAGTCGTTACGCTGGCTTAGTGAGGGATACGTGCGCTTGTGTCAGTGTCCCAGGCCCGCCCAACCTTGTGATGGCAATGTTTCTATGAAACTGACTGGCCTAAAGGTCTTTTACGGCGTTCCTCACCAAGCTTCTCCGCTCCAATCATGGACTGAGGCAGTAGCGGAGATTATATCATTCTGGAAACCCTTACCACAAGGAAGATGGAAGCCCACGGCCTCTTTGTCGAAATTTCTGAGAAGAACATCTTTTGAATTTATTCCAGCTGCCTTTCGGTTGACTGTCGTCAGCATCTTTGAGCGGGATATAGAACGCGAGAACATGACAGTAGTAGGTGATCGACCAGTCAAAGAGTATAAGCTAAATTGACTCGCCAGTATTAGTCCATCGACCCTGATTGTGCCACTCTCGACCTATCTCATGAATTACAGATTAGTCGCCCGGTTAGTGTGGCAGATCTGGCGCGGTTTCACCCCGACGATGGGGAAGGCCAGAACATTGTGGACGCCTTGAGGAGAGCAGTCGAAGGTAAATGCAACGAAAAAAAAAGATACGGCGAAATGAACTAACATCTTGTATCATGCTTCAGCTTCATCATCTTACCGTGAGTACATGGAACAGTTGTCTCGTCTAGGCCTCTTTACCCGGTTTCCCCAGTATTATGGCTTGGACTGGATCATGGATGTGCTTCGCCCACATCTAGAATGCCAGAAATCTTCGGCTATGATTCTATGTGGAAAGCATGGAATCGGGAAAAGTGCCCTCTCATACTATGTCTATAAGTCCCTGCTACGGAAGCACAGGTCGTCCGATATGATCATCACGTATTTCTCTTTCGATGCCCGGGACCATCGCCGAAGGTCAGTCACCTCAATGCTAAGTAATATCATATGCCAAATACTTGCGAACGAGCCAGATCTGTTCTTCCAAACTACTGAGCCACCTCAAAAAGACGATTTGCGTTGGACAGAGGGAAACATGTGGATACAACTGCGGTCGATTGTGCGCAGGGTGAAAGGCAAGTCTCTCGTGCTTGTCGTTGACTCTGTACATGACTGCGACACATATGATCCAGAAGAGCTTTTGAGAAACCTCGTTAATCTGGAATTCGCCCGTCCAGAGGGATTCAAATTACTTTGCACGACAGGTATCGGACTGATAACCCCTGGGATCGATCCCGTAACCACGTTTACCATAGACACTCTGAGCCAATTCAAGCAAAGCTGGAACGTCTACATTGGAAGTCTAGCCAAGGATGTTATATCGGAGAGTCCTAGGTTTACGGCTGTCCATGATAGTGTCACCGAATGCCTCACAAGATCAGAGGGGTTCTTGCATTCAACCCTTGTCGCCCACCGAATACGTACCATCACGTCTCTTTCGCGGCCGAGCAACATCAAGGCGGACTTATCCCAGTTGAAACTCAATTTGAAAGACACGGTATTGGGGATGGTGAAAGAATCCCCGCCTTGGGTTGCATCCGCAGTTTCTTGGATAATGTTTGCCAACCGACCACTCAAACCCTTGGAATTAGCTGTGGCCGTTGCTTTAGAGGAGTCAACCCCTTCACCGTCACCGATCCAAACGATTGATGAGCTTTGGATCCCGCGGGACATGGCGGGAGACCTTAAGCGACAGCTTGGGCCACTTGTCAACGTTGAGGACGAGGAAATCCGTATTTCTCATCCTTACGCCGGCAGGGTTCTTCAGGAATGGGTCAATTCAACACCAGAGGCTACACGCTTGAGCTACAAAACCTTGACAAGACTCTGCTTGGAGTATATCCATTTGTGTCTAAAGCAGAAAAGTGGAAAGGAGACAACAATTCCGAATGAAATTAGCTTTCAGTTTCTCGAATATATACTCGAGCACTGGCACATGCACTATAGGGAGGCGAAGGCCGATTCAGCGAATGCAGCAGTTGACGACGAAATCGATGATCTTGTCTATTCACTCTTCACAACACCAAGTTACTTCTCATGGCTCCGCCCGCTCGGCTCACTCAGCTCTAGCATTTCTTCGGTAGACGACGATATTCTATGTCCCCTACATCTTGCTGCCCAGCTTGGTGTTCTCGATGTTGTTAAAAGAATGATCCCAGAGCCTGACAATGATTCAATAACCACACTTCAGATTGCATGTCGTTACTGCCACTTGGACATTGTGGTTCACCTCGTCCAAGGGATTGACGAAGCATCAAAGGTTGAAATGGAGCTGGATCTAGCTTGCCTTAGAGGTGATGCGGCCATTCTCAACGCCCTTCTCAAAAGATTGAAGCAACTGTCGCCTGAGACCAAAGCACCCGCATATATTTTGATCAATGCTTGCAAAATAGGACACCGCGCTATTGCCAAAAGTCTCGTGGAGGCTGGAGCAAATGTCAAAGGAGCCGAAGGGCCTTTGGCACTTGAACAGGCAGTCGACCAAGGTCATCTAGATGTAGTCGATTTTCTTCTCAAACAGGAAGTGGACGTAAATGTCGTCTCAAGCGACAAATCAAGCCCGCTACACCGAAGCATCCGCCGAGGATATAGCCACATCTCTGACCGACTGCTCGAAGTGGGCGGCATCCGAGATCTTGCAGATGCCGACGGCATCACGGCACTACATCTGGCCGCTAGATCTGGAGATGTCACTCTAGTCAAAAAGATCATTAATTTGCCGAGACAAATACCCGAGTACAGCAAAACTGTCTCTTCGCCTCTCCACGAAGCAGCAACCGGTGGCCACCTGGAGGTCATCAGAATACTGCTAGACAAAGGCATGCCTATTGACTCTCCGGATTCGAACGGGAGAACTGCCCTATTTCTGGCATTGAGCAAGAACCATGTAGAGGTAATATCGGAGCTGTTCAGCAGGGGTGCCGTCATCACTTTCGGCAATGACTACTCGGCCAGTGCCTTGAAACAAGCTGTAGTCCACGGAAATCTGGACGCTACCAAAAAGCTCATCGCAAGGGGTGCAGATGTTGGAGGAGGCGAGGGTCGCACTGGAACCCCACTGACCGATGCAGCGATAAGGAATTTCGCGGACATCACTAGGCAGCTCATAGCAGCTGGAGTAGACCTCGATAAGAAAGTTGATTACGAATTTGATCTCGATATAATGGACGAGCCTGCACACCTGGGGTGGACTGCAGTACACTTTGCTGCATACCATGGCAGCGCTGCCACTATGGAGCTATTCGGCGAGCTATACCATGACAACATCAACATGGTATCCGTGTCAGGACATACTCCGCTGCATCTCGCAGCTTTCGCCAACAAACAGGGTATTGTGGAGTTAATACTTGGCAATAAACCATCAATCGAGTCCCAAACCCCTGTTCTAGGCGGGAATGAGCGCAGCATCACTGCTACGACGATACCGCGGCGGGAAATGAAGACTATTCTTGATGTTGACCCCCGAAGTCCCAAAGGCCGAACCCCACTACATATAGCAGCCATGAACGGAAAACTTGATATCGTACAAGCACTCCTTGAGAGTGGCGCTGATATCAATGCTTGTGATGATGCCGGCATGGCCCCAATACATTATGGTGTTGCTTCTGCGCAAGACTCTAAAGAAGTGGTAGAGTGCTTAATATCCAATGGAGCCGTGTTAGACTGGGCCGATAAGGATGGATGGACAGCTCTTTCGCACGCTGCGCAGGCTGGGAACGTGAATGTTGCATTTCTCTTGCTGCAAAACGGCTGTAACGCAAACGCAGCCACAATGGCTGCCCGGACACCGCTTCACATAGCTGCATTGAACGGATCAAGCAAAATAATCCGTTATCTCCTCGACTATGGTGCAGATCCTAACACGACTGATCAAGGAGGCTACTCTGCTCTGCATAGCGCCTGCTACAACGGTTCCAAGGATGTGGTCCGTTTGCTTCTTAAGAGAAAGGCAGAGGTCAACGCAGCGGACTCCCAAGGCAATAGACCACTGCATGAGGCAGCAAGGCGAGGGCACACGGCAGTAGTCGAGCGGCTCCTCGTTGCCGGTGCAGATGTCAACGTGACCAACGGTAGGAAGATGACGCCTCTGCAGCGCTCCATTTTGAACAGATGGTTTTTGACAGCGACATCCCTGTTGAGCTGGGGCGCGAACCCAAATATCAGAGATGAAGACGGCGACACGGCACTTACGGTGGCCATGATGTCTTCTGCCAGCGACAAATTTGTCGAAACTCTTCTTAATCACACTGCTAACCCGGACACCATGAATAATCGTCATCAGACAGCCCTTATGGCCGCAGCGACTCGTGCGCCAAGGCATATACCTATCCTGCTCCAGTCAGGAGCGAACATGTTCGAGAGCGGCCCAGGCAAGATCACCGTCTTGCACATTGTGGCAAGCATTACGTCTGCGACAAAGATTGACAGCATCATACCTTTGCTCAAGGACAATAATCAGCTTGACATAAAAGACGCCGAAGGCCTTGCACCTATCCACCATGCCGCGAAAGCACCAAGCGCCGGAATGATCAAGGCATTTCGCAAATACGGCGCCAACATCGGCGAGCGCGACAGTCAAGGACGTACAGCCATGCACCACGCGGTGCGGTCCATGCCTTTTAATGATTTTAAGGAGGTATTTGCAGACTTTCTCAGACCGGGATCTGAGAACAGTGTGAACGTGAGCGATGGTGACGGCTGGACACCGCTTCATTGGGCCTGTAAAGGAGCAGGGAGGGAGGTCGTGCAACTGCTGCTGCTCTCGCGAAACAACCGAGATCAAATTTATGCCAAATGCAACCGTGGATGGACGCCGTACGATATTGCCGTATTTCACGACCAAGAAGACCTGAAAAAGATCATGGAGACAGCCTTGGATACTCAGCTTGACGCATCACCTGGGCAGACTGTCGCAACTCCCGCATCAGAGTCACGGCGCACCGGACTTATCGCCCATGGTGAAGTCCATGAAGGTGTCGTATGCGATGACTGTCTCTACAGGGTAAGTCTCTACAACTCCTACGTTGCCAGTTTCTCTCGTCCTCGGACTCCAAGAGAAAGTCTCCCAGCAATGTCCCCGCAACCCCCCACCCCCCCTTTTCGTTGTATCACTTTCAACACGAAAAGCCAGATGTGCACTATTTTGATTCCCAATAATAATGAAACTAACACTACGTACTAGCCTCTCTACGGCATCCGCTTCAAGTGCAACACGCATCCTGACTTCGATCTCTGTTTCAAGTGCCGCTGGAGCTCGGACAAGACGCACCAGCCTAGCCACGGGTTCCGGCCCATGGGATCGGGGCCAACTGAAGGTCCTGATTTTCAGAACCATGCACCAGTGTGGAGTCATGACGAGAAACGCAGATCGACTGATCAGACCGTTACCAGACACCGTGCGAGCCCGCTGTTAATAGAAAGAGATAGACATGCACATAGAGCAAACACATCACGATCACGGCGAGAGAGAGTCCGTCTGCTTAGCGCAAGTCCCGGAGTCACAGATCGTGAGGGCTCTATCAGGAGAGAGATTGAGATGCTGGAGAGAGAAAGGGAAATGATGAACTTGAGGTCAATAACGAGACCGGAGAACGAGGCGAGAGAAGCAATACGCAGGGTGGAGATGGATAGGGCAACGGAAGCCCGAGTTTTAGAGCACATGACGTCGAGAGAGATGGACATACTAAGGGAAGTGGCGATTCAGAGGCGACGGGACTCGGACAATGATCGAGACGGAGTTAGGGCGAGGCTAGAACGAGATGCGTCAATGGCTGGGGGGACGATAAGGATACAACGACTAGACGAACGATACAGCCAAGAAGAATCCAGTAGGAGTTTACTGCTCCCTAGGAGGGAATACGACCGCAGTAGGACGGAGCGAAGGCTTTACAGAGGAGATGGATATTTGATACCGAACCGAGAGTTAGGCAGCGACGATGACTGAAATGGGGTTCAGGGTTTCCTAAATCAAATAATGTGAAAATATTTATGTGTTCAGGGGTCATGGAATCAGGGAGTAAGTGGGAAAATGCGGATATTCCTGCGTGATGACTAGGGTGACATAATATAATGGCCTTCATGAGGTAGCAGAAGATTTTCAACTCACACTCGGGGACCGTTTATGCAGAGTGCTGACTACTCTCACCATCTTCGCAGACCAGTTTCAGGACGACCTACATGACAGGACATCTTCCCACCTCCACGATTTTGTAATGGCATCACACCTTCGTCTTCTGCATTTGGTCCCTTAGAGATGCAAATCGAGTAAACAATGCGGTCATTTCCCATCGTTTTGGCCACGATAAAAATGGATAGGCTTTGTAAATAACTATCATGCGGCTACAGCTACCTCAAAAGTATTATTTTTGATGTCCACAACTGCAACGTCCAAGCCATTGAAGATGTGGACGCGTCGATAGTGGCCACCATTTAGTATATGTATGGAGCTGTGTGTCTTCTATGGACTTTTCGAGAAAAACCGACGGACCTCGTTCTCGTAAACGACTTGGAGTGAACGCACCCTTGTAGAAAGTATATGATTATACTGCAATAACAACTAACCAAAGCTATCACATAACCCCACGACGCCATAGGTATACTTCAGTATCCCGTGCGGTTGTCGATCTTGTCTTGACTTTAGATTGACCCTTGAAATCCTCGCGGGACTTCTGCCCGACACGCTCGGAATTTTGGTGATGAGGTAGCACTACTAGTTTGTACACATGTAGCCTTCGTGAAGGTTAAAATTGCAGTGAAATCACGAAGGCAAACTACGCACAGACATGCCGCCCCTACATGAATCGATCATACGCTTCGCCCATATGCACCTACATGCAGCCAAGTCCCAGAAGGGAAAGTGCAGAAAGAAACCTTTTGGCAGATCGGTCTGCCCTGAGAAAGTCCAGAAGCCCAGGATCGAGGCACCATTTCCCCCGCCGAGGCGGTCGTTGCCCGCCTTTGTCGAGGGCCGACAATGAGCAGTAAGTTTGCCTTGAAGGAAGTACCTCAGAGCGTGGGTTGGCCTGAGCATTGCAACTTGGTGTCGACTTGCAAAGTCAAGGCTGGAGTATGTGACTGTGGTGGTGCCCAACAGGAATCTTGTGCAATATGGAGTGGTGTTAGGTTGTGGGGAATGAATACTACGGATGATGGAATCTGCCTGGAGGTGACAGAGGCTGCACAATTCATGGGCTTTGTGGAGGTTAAATTGCAGTGTAAAAAAAGTGCAAATTGCCCGTGCATGTTGATGTAACATGGGTCAGCACTCTGATAGGCCCGGATTACATAGGAAGACGCAGGAGAACATTGTACTACCTGAAGGGGCTGCACCTCAAAGCCCGTCGACCACCACACCGCGGACCAAGACACGCAGGTGCTGGCCAAGAAAAACGCTGGCGTGGTGAACCGGGCTTGGTTCCCTTTATTTTCAGGCCTGTTAACGGGTTAGAATGCTTGGTTTGCAGACTGAGCGCAACAACTGAAAAGTATAACACGAATATAAAGGTATAGAATTTGGATTCGAAACACGTGCATGTCCTTATGTGGCTGTCGAGCAGCTTTAACAGGTACTTCGAGTAAACCATGACTAGACAGACAGCCTTGTGAGACGCTTCTGGTCGGACTCTTTGTGACGTGCAACTTCAGCTTGCTCTCTTACGGCTCCAACCAAAAGTGTTTAACCTGCCTGTATGCTCTAAGCCCACTAAACTAATATCGAGAGGCTCCAGATCTTCAGTGTTGCTGTGAAATGTGCTGTTGCAAACTTCCGATCTTCAGGAGGTATAAGAAAGAAATCTGTGGATTCCCGGATACTTCTGAATCACCACTTCTCCTGCGCCGGCCTCAAGTCCAGCTCATCCACCCAGAGGTCGGGCGGCATCTGGCTCAGCCACAGGTACGTCTTGCCCACGCTCTCAGCACTCATGGTCTTGCCCTCGCGGATGCTCTCGTTCTGCTCCGGCGTGTCGTCCTTGATCCCGCCATTGGCAATGGTGTGCACGACGTGCACGCCGTTCCCGGAGTGCTCCTTGCCCAGGCCCTGGGCGATCATGCGTACGGCGCTGCGGCCCGCGCCGTAGGCGTTGAACCCGGCGTTGGTCCGCATGGCGCCCAGGGTGCCGGTGAAGATGATGGTGCCCTTCTTCTCGGGGGCCGAGGGGGAGAGGGGCGTCTCGCCGCCGTTCTGCGCGTAGAAGAGCTTCAGCGCCTCCTGGCCAAATGCGAAGGCGCCCGTGGTGTACTCGGCCACGTTGCGCTCGAACTCCTCGGGCGAGGTCTCCAGGTACGGCTTCTTGAGCGAGTGCTTGACGTGGAAGATGGCCAGCTTGAGCTTCAGGTCCTTGAAGTCCGGGTGCTTGCTGATCTCGGCGAAGACCCGCTGCAGGTTGGACGGCTTGGTGTCGCAGGGAAACGGATGCAAGACGCCGCCGTTGGAGGTCTGGCGGAGGGATGTTGTCAGGGTTTCCAGGTTGTCCTTGTTACGGGCCAGCAGGGCGACGGCGAGGTTGCCATGTGCTGGACTGGCGAGGATGCGGGCTATGCCGGCGCCTGATGTAGGGCCTCGATGGGTGTTAGTGATGGTTACGAGTTGATCGGGTTTGATATGAGAGTTGTATACCAGCACCGATGAGAATAGCAAACCCAGCAGGTGACATGACGAATGATTTCGAGTTTTCCAAAATATTGACGGTTACCTTCGTCGCAGTTCTCCAGTAGTCAGTTTCTTTAAGTATGTTCTATATTGTCGTTACCGATTCGGATATTGCGGGGATACGAACATAATATGACTGACTATATGACGTCTTGCAGGTACTAGCGCGTAGTCCAGCAGAGCTATAACTCCCATCCACCAATGAGGAAGCAGATAGTGTACTAAGCTTCAGCAAGGTGTAAGCAGGCTGCAGCAAAGTCAACGATCAAGGGCGGGAGATCTGCCAAATCCCAGGTCCGCACCTTGTTAATTTCTTCTTTTATATCCACTTGTGCGAAAAGATTCGTCTAGACTAGATTTAGATAGCAACACACCACTTGACATAGTTATCGTGGTCTAATGCGTGGAATCACCTTCGTCGCGCAGTGCAGCCTGCTCGAGGAGAATGGTTGACCTTGACTGATTTGTGATTTTTGACCATTTTCTTTCTGATCGGGTATCATACATCGTCCATTCGTATCATCATCATAACCACCTTCGGAAACTACTTTTCAGGTCGCGCCAACAACCCACATCTCAACACCCACGATGTCAAACCTTTCTCCCTCATCGCTGAGTGGGTCGTTTTCAAATGTTCCGCACTTTGCACTGTGACCACGGTTGAAGCCATCATCAAGCCAGAGCCCATAGCGAGCATTATGGCCTTCTCCACCGCCGAGAGCCAAGAACGATCGCTCGGAACTTATAAAGTAGAACTGGTCACGATCCCTGGACACCTCCCAAGGGTCCACGGGAGCCTCCTCTTTTCTGCCACCCCGCGCATCAGGAGGCACATATGGGAAGTACTGAAACCTTATGGAGTGATCGTCGACCTGAGCAGCCTCCAACTTATTGGTTGCCGGGTTGACCGGCAGGGGAGCCAAGTGGCTGGAAGGGAACGTGCTTGTAATGGGCGAATTTATCGTGGTGGATGCTCCGGTGAGCAAGTCGGCAGTGGGATCTGATGGGGGTGGGGGTAGGCTGGCATGTATCGAGGCTTTCCAGAGGAAGCACTCTCCGGAGCCATAGTAGCCAGCTGCAATGTGTGGTGCTTCTGTGAGATAGGCACCGAAGGTCTATATCGTGGTAGCCATTAGCAGTGTCCTACGTGGGATGTGTCAAACGTGGCTTACCCCTCCAGCCCCGTCCCTGACTACCAGCACGAAGCCCACCCTTCTCCCTCTGTAATCATCGCATAGCTTGTATAGTGTGGATAGCGAACTGCCGTTCTGGTATAGACTGTAGACGAGTCTCCACTCCTCGCATATCCTCAGCCTCTCGGGGAAGTTGACGCGTATTGCCTCGCCGATGCTTGTGCTGAGTAACTGTGCGCCTCGGTCCGTGTCCTGTTGGTAGCCCGTGAGGACGAGTGGCTCGTAGTCTGGCATGACAAACGGGCTGGCGGATCGCGAGGGCCTGGCGGGGGTAAACGGCTGGCTGATGCCATCTCCAGAGGAGGAGGGATGCTCGGCGGGAAAGGTCCGACTGGTGTGTATGCTGGCCGCGTCCAGATTCGAGTTGGAGCGTGTTGGACCGAATGTCCTCCCGAACCAGCCGGAGATCATGGAGCTGATGCCGAACTCCTCGTTATCGCTGTGCTGGTGCCCATGTGCATCTCCAGCTCTCGGCGGCGTCGCGGCGCGGTTGGAGTTGGGGGGCGAGTCTGAGTCCAGCCCTGGGATGAGGACGCCAGAGTCGTACAATGAATGTCCTTGGGTGCTTGCGCGGCTCATGGTGGGCAGGTGGCCGTGTCTTTCTGTGGTTCCAGCTTATGTGACATCCGAATGGGTCAGGTTCGTGGAATGGCATGCACGAGCTCGTGTGCTTCAGAGAGACAGCTGACAACTAGTCTAGTCTGAGGTGAGGTGGAAGCTGGAAACTTGGCCGGAGACCACTTGAGAGAGGATACAGTGTAAGTTCAGTGGTGGGGTTTGTTTATGACGAAGCGGACAGGGGGGGACAATAAGCGCAGTATCAGGCAAAGGAGCCTCTGGAAATTGTGCAACTTTACTGCAGGCACCTCTAAACTTAGTTAAGAAGGAGAGCTTACTACCCGGTCTGTAAATCTGGTGAATCAATGTGCAGCTATGGACAGAGCATCAACATTTGTTGAATGCGATGCGATTGCAATGCTGTGAAGCCCTATCCAAGCTTGCTGGCACCAAGGTTAATGTATCTGTGCTAGACTAGACCAACCTAACCTAGCTTACAGTAGCCGTCGTAGCCGTCGAAGCCCGCTGGAGCCCGCCTGGGCATTCTCGTCCGGAACGCCCAGCCCTATCGGGATTCGCAACAATGCCTGCCACGCATTTTCGACCGCTTCCATTTCTTTGATTATCACCTTCACTATCTTGAGCATCTCAAGATGACCCCACGGCGGGTGTAGTTAATACCAAGTCGGACATCAGAGTAGTAGCCATTCTGTTAGCTGTGCGTTGGATCTCACGGGTTGTACCGGTGCGAGAGCAGTCAAATCTCTTTTCAATCGCACCTCGAGCAAGTCATAGCAATGACAACCACTTGGAGGGCTTCTCACATCGTCCCTGCACCGCTCCTATTTGTTAGTATGAAATATGGGAGTCGAGGTTGCCCAATTTCCCAATTGCGTCTTTGCTCTAAGCCCTCTGCCGTCCCTTCAGCAGCCCATTCCATCAGTCAACAAGATGAATAGACGAGCGCGCCAATTTGATCCTGACACCGGACAAGTCTTCCATGAGCAGCAGCTATCAGCCACCTTACTTGGTCGACATGTCAGCCGTGACGCCTGCAATTGGCATCGTGTCACCCCACAGACGTCTCATGTTAGTGGCCTCCGGATCAATCCTCTAAAAACCATGTGCTTGAATGTCTTGCGGAATAATGTCGGTCTCCTTGAGGAGGATACCCTACAAAACGTGCCCGACCAACTGCTCTGCGAACTATGGGCATACCTCAAAGACACCCAAGAACCTCAAGGAATCATGTCCTTTCAGGCCTGGAAGGTATTCGTCAGGTCCTTATCCGGGAGACGAGAGATCGATATCCATGGCCAGCCAAGTACACAGCGGCATGCTTTCAGAGAAAATGAATGCTTTACATTGCGCAACTATTTTCGTCAAATCTCAGACCTGGCAGGACCCCTAGAACAGTATGTTGGTCCTCTAATTTCGCCAGCCCCTTTTGGATTCATTACGCATTTGACCATCGCCCCCGGTGCCTCGTTTGCAACCAGTGAGTTCTTTGTCCTGACCAAGATGAAGAACCTCGGCGTGCTCGAATTCGTCCAACCGCAGAACGAGAACCTGGCTGCAATCTTTCCTCGGATTACCGACAGCGTAGTGAGGGAATGGTCCCAGGCAGTCGACCCATTTCCATGCTTACGAATCCTGAGAATCTGGGGAGAAGATTTCACGACTTACAGGTCGATAGACTACGTTACTCGGCTCCCAGCACTTGGCATCTATGACGTTGCGGGCCGCCGCGAGGACTGGAAGTCCGACGTCGCGCACCATTCAGCTTGGCAGCGCATATACAGCAGGTCACACAGTATTCAGGAGAACGCTCCCCGCTTTGATGAACATGGAAAGCTTGTGAACTCGGGCCACAGGTCTGAATGGGTACCGAGCCTTCAGGGGAATTGGGCTGAGGAGAGCTACGCTTACTTAGGCTTGTTGTGGAAGGACCGGGACTTGGAAGATCAAAACCGGGAGATCCATGTTAGAGGGACGCTCTTGCGCGAGAAGACATCTCGCCCGTCGCTGCCGTACGCCTCGATTGGCTTAGGGAATACCCATAGTTGCTATGACCTCGGCGAGAACCGTCGCATGACATTCTTGAGATCTAATCCGTGGCTCTCGGATCCTGCTCCCACACCACGGAAGCGAGCAGGCGATGAGGATAAACGAAGCCGTCGAACCAAAGCTACCAAGCTGCGAGGGGTGAACGATCTACTCTCACAGTTTGCCACAGGATGATCACATAAGTCCACGCAGTTACTTCATGTAGTAACTGCTGTCACTACAGCCGGAGTAACAAACTTTTCTCCATTTCATGTCGTTGGGGGGTGGGGGGCTCCAGTTCTTTTCTTCTTATCTTCTTTTACTTCTCTGTATGTGTACTGCCTATCGAACACGCGAAACATTGTTTCACTTGAATGTTATGGAAAAGGTACAAGTTCTTAAAAGGTACGCATACTTTTGCATCTACTTTCAATCAACACATCCAGTAACTGCCACCATACGCTTACTTGAAGTACTGCCCAGTGAATCCAGGCAATATTTGCTGCCCCTCGCTTGACTCGTAGCTCGTTCCTTTCCTCTGTTGCCATTGCTGCTTCAGCGTGGTGAACTCTGCGTCGGGCGACATGTCAGTTGCGGATCAACAATTCGTTTCGGGCTCACTTACCGCCCATGGTCGGAACCGGATGCCCGCCTTTCTCGAACTCATTCTGCGTGAACCCGGCGCGCTTCAGCACCGGCGAATCGATGGTCTTCAGCGAAAGATCGTTCTGCGGCCGCGCGAAGTAAAGCAGGCCTAACCGGTCCACGTGTCTTTGGTCCTTCGGTGGCACGGATACCTATCACAACGCATCAGCACATCGTTTACATCACTCTGAGTGTTCTTCACACAAGGTCGCTCGGCAGCCTCGCTTACCCGGTGTATGGTAGACTTGATGTACCCCCCCGTCAAGAAGTTGAGCGCATCACACGTGTTGACGGTCAGGCTGCCATCGAGCGGCTTGGCCCACTTCCAGTCCCCCGTGTCGTGGTCCCGGATCTGGAGCGCCGCGACGGGCTGCCGGAACAGCAGCGTGATGGTGCCCAGGTCCGTGTGGCCGCGCGACCAGAGCCCGTCCGACAGCTGCTCGATCTCCCGCGCCGAGAACTTGGAGTACTTCATGTACCGCAGGTGCGACTCGTCGTGCGTCTCCCACCTGTGCACCTTGGTGAAGAAGTCCGGCGGCAGCTCCAGCGCCAGGGCGATGAGGTGGTTCAGCGGGTCGAGCACCTTGTCGTGGAGATCCTAGGTTTTTGTTGTCAGTTGTGAGTTGTGTATTGGGGGAATAGCTATGAAGGGGGCGGTGGCGGTTCGTTTCTTTTTGCATACCTTGGCGAAGCTCTCGATCTCTTCCAGATTCTCCTTCAGGAGTTGTGGGACGGGCTGGGTGATGTGTCCGTCCTTGGCTGTGCTGCGGTATCAGCATCGCTCGCTACTGGTCCGAACTTCTTCTATCTCGTGGCAGTAGGGTTGTGAGACTCACTTGCCATGTTCCAGACTTCGGTCTTATCTACAACACCCCCACTAAGGACACGTCGTCCGGCCGGTCTGTAGCCATTGTAGTCTCCCGAGTCTAGGTCGGGGACATACTTGAGCTTCTCCTCGAGCGGTAGCTCGTAGAATGCCTGCCCCAGGGCGAACTGCTTGTCCACCGCTTCTTGGGAAATGCCGTAGTTTGTCACGTAAAAGAACCCCTTGGTACGGATGGCTTCGATTAGCGTCTCCGCCAGCTCGGCATTGCCTTGCTCAGTTCCGTACTTGGAGAGATCAATATTAGGAACTGTTTTTCCGTTAGCAATTTGGGCACAGGAGTTTTTTTTATAAATTGAAAAAAATCCTTTGTAGTAATCTCAACTTACGGTCTGCCCATTCTAAGTTCTCTTTTGTCTCCTGGACATGAGAATATTGGTATAGTTGAGCCTCGGCGTGCGGCATCTTGAATGACTCTGGTAGGGGTTGAAATATCTATTGTACAGAATGAGTGAGCAGGAAATGCAAGTTCGTACATAAAGTTCAAATTACGTGTACAAAGAACAATTCTTGGCTCGTCATATATGCTTTATACAGGTCTTATAGTCGCGATATTCCCGGCGGCTTCGACACGCCCCCCCTCAGCGGGCCTCTGCCGACGCTCCGGGCCCCCACACCGAGCCCCCGTCGTCCAACCCGAGTGCGTGTAAGGGCTATTTCGTCATTCCAGAGCTTATGGCGCAACGTCTCCTATCGTGCCGCATAGTCGTCATTTGCCGGGGCGGCGAGCTTATAGCCAATGAAGTCGTCATAATTGTCTCCGTTGATTGTTTTACTTTTAATCTCGCGCTGGCAAAATGTGCTGTCGCTCTCGACAAGCATTTCTGTGTGCAACTGTCATTTTTGTTCTCGGGTATGCCATAAGCTTACACGTTTGAGATATGCGGAAATAACTCAGTCGATTCTTCTCTCAAGTACACTCCAAAGTAGAAGAGACATGTGCTTAATTTACGTCGTCGAAATGAAGCCAGGGAACGCTGCTGAGAAGGAACAGGGTTTATCGCACCATCTTTTGGCTTCCTTCTCTAAGGATCAGTCTCGAGTATAGCTCGTCGTAAGTATACTTCGGTAAGTATATCGGCTCCGTTGGTGGAAGTCTTAGATGACATCACAGAAATGTACGACAAATGCAGCAAGCGCAATTAATCCTTCGCAATGTCTGCAAAGAACGGGAATGACGATACGAATCGATATGGATATTTAGTATACAGCCCAACTATCAACTGTAGAGCTTTGGAAGATGGGAGAGATTCACCATCGCGTCGAACTTGCGGCCATTTGCCATTCAACATGGGCGAATTGGCAAGCACTGAGAGCGCAACCAACTTCGAACCAAGAACAACAGCTCACTACGACTAGATCTAGACAGCCTCGGAGGTCAAGCTGCTCACATCTTCATCCGCCATCCACTCTTCGTCTTCCTCTGCCTTGTATAGCGAGCCGCGAAGATGAGGCACATGCCCACCAGAATACTTACGCTGGTGAATATCTGTGCACCCATGTAACCGCCGCCCTCGGCAGAGATTATCGCGCCTGCAATCGGATTGCCCGTCAAGGTTGCGAAGCTCACAATCGTGAACGTCATTCCCATGCGCGTGCCTCTCTTTCTTAGATCTGTAGTCAGACTCGACAGACCAGCCGGGAACAGTGACTGGATGCCACCCGCGGCTATACCGTAGAATATCGTCCATGCGTACAGCTGCCCAGGGGTATCGACGGCAATCCAAGAGAGCAACGCTATGCCTGTGATGAGGCAGGTCGGTATCATGAGATTCAGCGGTCCAACTTGATCCGCCCAGAAGTTTGGCAGAATGCGGCCGAAGACACCAATGCCGTTTACGAGCAGGAGGAGGTTCAGCGAGTCTGTATAAGAAAGGCTCGGTGTAATGGCGCTGCGACTGAATGCGGCGAGGTAATAGAAGCCGAAATAGACTGCCCAGAAATTCTGCATAATTCAGTATGAGATTCAATGGCCAGACAGAACATGTCAGGTTGATGACTTACGAAGAACATGCCTACAGCGTAGAACACATATTCGGGCTCCTTGAAAGCGCCCCACTCGACCAGACTGCCAGTCCTTCTAGGCGGCAATCGAGACTTCATGAGGAAGTTGGAAAATAGGAGTGTACCGACCTGCACAAAGCCAATGGCGCGGACCGCCCAGCCAAAACCGACTGACGGAAGCAGCTGCCTTGCCATTGCTGGGAATATCAGACCACCAGTTACTGAGCCAGCTGCAGTGATGCCGATCGCGAAAGAGCGTTTCTTGTCGAAGTAGGTCGAAACAGTCGATATAGTCGGGCAAAAAAGACACCCGTTTCCAAGACCCATGCATATGCCTTGACTCAAGACAAATTGCCAGTCTGGTCAAAATAGATATTAGCTTCTAGCACTTTCTCATACTAGGATGGAAAACTTCCGTTGGCAGCTCTGTAACTTCATAAGTGCAGTAAGAAATCGACATGAAAATGCTGCGCAAATCATCGCCTTCGTGGATGAGGATCAAAGCTTGTCCATAGTACCCGAAACTGATACAGCATAAAACTCATTTTGAAAACAAAAGGAGAGCAAAGAAGCTCCTTATCTTGGCCACTTACACTGTGTTGCAATGGATGTTGTCATAATCCCGAGTGCTACAAAGAAGGTTCCAAGCAACATGACTGGTCGGAAGAAACCTGCATCTGTTACACGTCCCGTGAAGGTACCAATGAAGAATGTCAGGAAGATTTGTAAAGATCCAATCCAGGATACATCCGAAGGCGGCCTTCCTAGAAGTGTGACATAGTATGCTTGGAACACACCGAAACTGTTGATAAAGCCCCATGTGTTTGCGATGACTAGGTGACCGGCGATTGCTAAGACGATTTTCAGCTTTACGATACTCATTAGGATGTAAAACTAGCGAATACGTACCGCATATCCAAGCTGCTCGCCCACCGTCTGGCGGAGGACCTGGGTTCCAATTTGTATTTGCCGATATCCGGCTCAATACCTTGGCGATTGAGCCAGAAGGACCTCCAGCATTTGTGTTCAGAATGTCGGGTTCCGGCTCTATCGCCCACGCATCTTGACCCTCGATTGCCGTCCCTTCGAAATCGCCCTCTTCCTTATCGGTCCCTGAGTGATGTTCATTTGCCGCCTCTACACGGTCGCTTCGCTTCTCCACATCTGGCGGCAGTTCCTCTTCTATGGAAAGTGATGATGAAGAGGGCGACATGGTCGTGGAAAATGCAGTCGCTGCCGAGAATTTGAGTTTGGAGTAACGGGTTGTGATGAGCAGACAAGCTCGTCAATCTACATGGAATCGCCAATCTATAGTGGTTTTGTCTGGTAGGTCAGCAGCAGGCCTTGGTCGAATATAGCACAACAGCGTCTACGACCAAATACAACCCATGAAAAGATATTGCAATGAGAACATCGAATCCAATGACGCTTAGAAATATCCTTCCTACGATTAACCACCCTTACCCCGGACATTTCCTCCGCACCGGAGAGCGCTTGACACATGCTGCATTTTGGGTACTTGGGGTGGGTACTAATTAGCGGGGTTGCAATCCCGATAGTATGGGCAACGGTGAATGAAGTCCGCCGAAAAGTTCGTAGAAAAGAGTCATCGTTATTTTCATTACTCAGCAGCTTTAGTCTCGTAAAAACTTTCGTCCCTGGAGTCGCTAATACGTTGACGCTCGTATATTTGTGAAGATCTGGGCTAAAATTGGAGGGCGCGGATGACCATTTGAAGCTTGATTATGTTTCTTGATAGCGGCGGAACTCGGGCCGTAGAGTGCTTTGCCGGGGAAAAGGCAACCCCAAATGTTATTCCCGAGATGGCTGGGCCTCATGATTTCAAACCAACCAGGAACGGTAAGCCGGCCATGATCGACGCGGGACAAGTTTCTGACAAGCCTCGTCAAATCTTGGTTGTTGAGCGAGATTGCTTGCGTTGTTGCATTCTAGCCATGGGTGCTGAGAATAGAAGTTTTTCATCACTGGCGTGCGTGACAAGCCGGCACTTCTTGAAATGTTGCGAATATATCATGCAAGACCTTGGTATAATTGAAACACTGAGGGCTTTCATTTGGCATGCGCCTGCTCGAGGCAGACCCTGAGATTTACTATTACGAGCCGGTAGTTGATCAACGTGTCAGAGGTAGAGCAAGGCAGACAAGCAAAATTGAACAGAAAGTAGTTAGAGATAGTAAGTGCATTGATTATACGCCGACATACTTAAGTATCTACGTGGATGTGAAGTTTGCTCAAATGCCAAGATGTACAGCGTTATTTCCTCCAGTTTTCTCCTCCATTACACTCCCAAAACAAGCATCATGCGTATTAGAACCATCAGTACATGGTGAGCAAAATCGCAGTGTCAGCAAATCAAATGAACCCTTCCCCATGGTAACTTTTTGAACGTGTAGCGAGAAGTTAAGCAATCCATCGTCTGCCAGGAGACTTCTTGAGAATTGTGTCGCGGATCTGAGATCGGCATTTGGCCTTGTCGCAAGCGTTGTTGGACCAACCGAGCTCAAAATCATCAGCCCACCAGCTTCGGTTCTCATTGTCGACTTTCAAATCAACAAGAACCGAAGAAAGACCTATGAAACCATCAAGAGTGACGTGCTGCAAGGTGCAACCCGCAGCCTGACGGCAGGCGGGAACGCGAATGGTCTGGGAGACGAGCTTCTCTTCTTTGTTGGATTTGCTGTCAAGAGCCATGCCAGTAAAGGTGAACACACATTCAGCCTCCTTGGAATCGCAGCCAAGGTTGGTGCTGAAGAAGTCAAACGAGAAACAATCAGTGGTATCTTGAGGACCTTTGCCGAATCGTGCCTGCTGTGTGACTCTGGTAGGGGTGAACTGAAGCATTGACTCTCCAGATGATGGCTGGAAACGGCCTTCAGAAGAAGCAACCTTGAAAGTAGAAGTGAACCAGAATCGGTGATATGGGCTCAACATTGCGACGGGTTCAGCCTCGCTGGATCTGACGGAAACAATAGGGAGATCATCCATCTGCAAAAGTTAGTATGTGTCGACCGAGAGGCAGATGAGAGACAAACCTCGAAGGTGAAGTTGCCGTTGTCAGCAGGGTTGCCACATGCCTCGGCCTTTTGACCGCCCCATTGATAGCCACCGGAAGGAGATGTAGGTACAGCTGGAAGATCCACGTTAGCTTGACGACGAACAAGGGGAGTTGCCGTCGAGCCGAGATTGATGGTTGATGTTGCACCCAAGGTAGCGCACCACGTAATCATGGAACTCGATATCAATGTAGAGGTCAATGAAGGACAGTCAGTGGGGATTGTGGTTGCCAATGGTGTCACTATTGGTGATGGCACACTAGTTGCAGGTATCGCAGCAGTAGCGGTAACAAACGTCGTCATCGACATAGTGGCATTCCAGCCACTTGACGGAATGGTCAATTGCGGAACGCGAGTCGACGAGGTATCAAAGGGTGCAGCACCAGATGTTTGAATGGCAGAGAAAGAAGTAGTGCAAGGTGTTGACTCACCAGATGGATTTGAACCCCCAGTAATAGGAATCGGAAGTCCGGATGGACCAGCGTCTGATGGGTTGGATCCCGCAGGGACGGTGATGACTGGTGAAGAACCTCCGGATGGGTTTGAACCTCCACTGGGACCAGTACCAGATCCTCCATTGGGGCCAATACCGGATCCTCCGTTGGGACCACTGCCAAAGCTGTCGGGGCTGCCTGTGATTGTGACAATTGGCTGAACACTAGTGGGTTGCTGTGCGTTAGTCTGGGAAGGGAATATGGTGATCACAGAGCCTTCCTCGGGGCAGGGGGTTGATTGGCCGCTGTTTGGACCTCCCGAGCCGTTACCAGGATTGCCGGAACCATTACCTGGGTTGCCAGAGCCGTTGCCGGGAGTGCCCGACCCATTACCGGGTTGGCTGCCTGACCCAGCACCTGGGCCATTGGTAGGAGCAAGGCTCACGATGGGAGTGTAAGGTGGAGAGACGAGCACGGTGGAAGTGTAAGGGAGAGTCGACGCCTGGGTGATGGTGATGAGTAGAGAAGAGATGCCTTGACCGCCAGGACCACTTCCAGGACCACCAGGACCACTTCCAGAACCATTCGGACCACTTCCAGGACCATTCGGACCGCTGCCGTTTGGCCCATTGCCACCAGCAGGAGAGCTTCCGCCGTAGCCACCGGGAATGCCAGCACTGGGAGAGGCAGGAACAGTGACAGTGATAGGGCCGGGAGCACCGCCTTGGCCTCCCGGGCCGTTGGGAAGGCCAGGGCTAGGAACTGTGACGGGTATGGGAGCTGCTGAAGCAAAAGGACTGCCCGCAGCTGGGATTGTGATGGTGATGGGACCTGAGCCGTTTGGACCATTGGGGCCATTAGGATCGCCACCGCTGCCGTTAGAGCCACTACCACTGGGATTGCTGCCGTTGGGACCGCTGCCGGAGCCAGCACCATACCCGCCAGAAGGAGTAGGCTCTGAGACTGGAACGGTGGCACCTGTGCCTTGGTCGTTTGGCCCGCCTGAAATGCCGCCAGCAGGGTTGCTGGGAGTGACAGTGACAGTGACAGGAGATGGTGAGCCATTGCCACCCGAACCGTTGGGGCCGTTAGGACTGCCGGATCCTCCAGCACCGTTTGGATCAGTAGGACTGCCGGAGCTGCCAGGACCGTTTGGACCACTGCCTGGTGCACCTCCTCCATAGCTGCCGGAAGGGTGAGGGACTTGAACACCTGCTGTCGAGCTTTGGCCTCCAGAATCAGGGTTGCCAAGAATACCGGACGGAAGCTGACTACCTTGGCCAGCAGGGCTACCATTGCTACCAGGATTGACGGTACCTGCAGGAGAGTTGGGAATGGTGACAGTGAGTGGGACAGAGACAATCAAAGTGGACGTGCTGTGTCCTGGATCACTTGGACCATTGCTGGAGCCTCCTGAACCGCCAGGGCTCCCGTTACTGCCAGGGCTGCTTGTGCCGGATGGGACAGTAGGAGCAGTGACAGTAACAGTGAAAGGGGAAGTGGGCAGACCTTGGCCTCCGGGGCCATCAGAAGGTAGATTGGGATTGCCGGGAACAAAGGTAGGACCTTGGCCACCTGCGCCAGGGTTTTTGCCGCCAGGATTACCGCCAGGAATGGTGGCAGTTGCTCTCTCGGTTGAGCAAGGGGTGCTGGGACCTTGACCGCCAGGACTGCCAGGACTGCCGCTGGAGCCATTGCTGCCAGAACCGTTGCTGCCGGGGTTGCTTCCAGATCCAGAGCCGGAAGGATTAGTGCCCGAGCCACTGCCGTTGGGATTGGTGCCAGATCCTGAGCCGTTGGGATTGCTACCAGAGCCGTAGCCACCTGGAGCACTGCTGCCGGGATCATTACTGCCAGGATTGCCTCCAGATCCAGAACCAGCAGGATTGTTGCCCGAGCCAGAGGCGGAAGGATTGCTTTGAGGCGATGTGACAGTAATCGTGACGGTTGGGAAGGCTTGTCCATCTGGATTGCTACCTCCAGCTGATGGATTGCCTTGAGGTGAAGTGACAGTGACAGTGACAGTTGGGAAGGCTTGTCCTTCTGGGTTGCTAGCTCCAGATGATGGATTACCGGTTCGAGTGGGAGCAGGAGAAGGTTGACCTGCACCGAAACCGCCTGTGGGGGTAGGAGAAACACCGAACGGACCTGGAACACCGCTGCTTTCATGACCACCACTAGAGATAAGAGGAGTGATGATGGTGAAAGTGATCATAGAACCGGGGGCACCACCAATTGGAGGCATAGACATGGTGACAAAGTCGGTAGTGAGTTGAGCAGCAGTAGCAGATTGACCAGAACCAGGATTGCCAGCGCCACCAGGGCTAGAGCCAGAGCCTGAACCAGAGCCAGTCGAACATGGGATCGTCACAGTCTTGGAGGGAGCCCGGCCAGGTGACGCTGTGGACGGGTCGAAGCCGCCATTGGGTCCAGTTGCACCAATGGGACCATTGGAAGGATTGGAACCAGAAGGGGCCGTAACAGTGACGGTTGACAGAGCAGCAGGTGTGACAGTGATGAAGACAGTGGCAGGTGAAACAATGGGACAAGTGAGAACGACAGGAGAAATCGTCAGAGACGAACCGGGACCAGCACCACTCCCAGGGCCACCAGCGCCTGCAGGACTACTACCAGGAGAGGAGGAACCACCGCCGTTGGGTTGACCATGGCCTGAGCCATTGCCATCGCCAGGATTGCCGTAAGACTGTGCTGCTGCTGATTGTAGCAGGACAGCTGAGAACAAGCCCGATAGGGCGTGTCGCCGCATGGTTGCGGTTTGTACGATGGTGGTGGTGGTTGAAAGATTGACGACTCCGAAGTGTAGTATATAATTAAGTGACAACGCCCGATTATGGCAGAGAGACTGGACGGCTGGCGGTGAGGTGGTAAGGGGGAGATGAAATGGGAAGAAAAAGAAGGTGGTGAAGAAGGAGAAGAGTTTGGGAAGATGAGATGGAAGAGAGGGAGAGAAAAGAGAAGAGACAAAAGCATGAGCTGCAGAATATCTCGATCACACCACCGGCTGTTTCGAAAATTTTGGCGTGCCTACCATCTTTCGCGGATTTCGTTCAATTTTGCTTGTCCTTGGAGGAGACATCCTCATTTTGGCCCTGACGCGCCTTCCTCCTCGGTATTTAGGTACGTCATTGGGCTCGAACTTTTGATTTTTCCGAGGCAAAAGCTTCGTAGCTGCTTACTCGAGACTTTCTGGACCCGATGAATGGACAGAAGGGTGCTTTCTGGCCCCCACAATGCCGTGAAGGTGTTGTAATTGAAGGCATCGTGATTACCCTGGTGGTTGGAGGTGTCGGCGGAGTTGATGCTTCATCATAGAAACGAAAATTCTGCTGACCTCTCTACATATCAAAGATATGACGTTCATGAAAGCCAAATCCCAACACTTCAATTGTTCCAGTCGTACTACTACATCTGCCCTATGTGCTTGACTTTTGCATTGAGGATGACTTCAGTACGCGCCCGAGAATCTGTCCGTGGGGTTCAAATTTTGCAGTAGCAGCACCATGGGTCCGAGCCTCGCCAAGAAATATTGTAATTTGTGACAAATATCCGGGTCGGTATACAGTAATCTCATCATTAGAAGAAGAAATTATATTTAAGATAGTTGATTTTATCTCCGACAATTCCCGGAACCAGCTCGCTGTAGCCTGCGTCAGGAGAAACCTTCCATCTGGCGGTTTGGATGTAGGGCATGGTGACGTACTTGTCTGCAGCAAACGTGACTGCCCAATGGAGAGAAATACTTGGTGACCTGGAATTTGAGGGCTCGCAAGAAACCGAAAAGCGGGCAGTAGCTGAAGAGGAGGCTGATCCATTCCCTCAATTTTGTCCCTGCCTTGACACTTCCGGGCCCCCAGCTTTGAAGATGCTGTCCAGTACTGACATGGAAGAGACAACTCCAGTATAGACTTGCCACCTTTCTCCAGCCTCCACAAAACCTATGGATATGCTCAAGGCCTGATGATTATTGTTTGTCGCACAGAGGTCAATTTTCCTAACCATGTACACAGTATTGTGAAACCTTGGTCGGCTTGCCACACGCAATTTGATGCTCTATTACGATCTCTTTTGATGTTGGATATTGTTCCATGCCAACGAACAGGGTTTAGTACATATTTTCCAGTTGCGGACCGGAAGTCATACGGGACAAACATTTCGAGCTCCAGTCAGACAATGTTTTAATCCCATTGCCGCGATCAACTGCTCGGAGTTTGTGGTCGGGCAATCGTATATCCAATAGATGGGAAGCAGCATTCGAAGGTCTGATATTGTCTTTACGCCTGTTCCCATGGCTACGTCTTGTCTATTGTCATTTCTGAACCACGGCTCAGTAATGCAATAATCTTCTAGTGAAAACACCCATTGAAAGCATATCAGGTAATCGATGGGTGCTGAAACTGAAACATTGTTGAGACCCAGCAGGTTGTATTCGATGGAACTGACTGGGCGTGGCCAACGCAATGATACCCGTATTGTCTAAGCCGGCTAGCCAAAATCCAAGTCAAGCTACCAAACCTTAGTATTGGCAATCGACGAGAAAAGTTGCCCGATCAGCTACAAGCAATGGCATCTGTAGATCAAGCCTGTGATTGTCATGGTATTAAACGATAGAGCATTTTCGGGGAAGTACAACTGCGCTGAGGTTTCCTATGAACAGAATATCAATCTCTCCAAGACATCAAGCTTGCCTAAACAGGATTGTCACTATATGGCGGGGGCGGAGAGTCAGGATGATCCTCGTCCACACGATCACCGGCGTTAGCACCTATGGGCTCAGTTGCTGGGGGTTGACGTGCTTCATGCTCAATCTTGGCTGCCCAAAGAGCAGAACCAGTTGTCGAAGTCAGGAGAAAGAAGAAGGACAGAATGGGCACTAGCTCCATCAACATTGCCACTGTCCCAAACCATGTGTACTCCCACATTCTCTTCCTGATCTCTTGCTTCCGCTCCTTCTTCGTCAACCCGTGTAGCTCGAACCATCGGTAATGAGCAAAAGTTCCTAGCCTGGCGCCCGTGATGATGATGAAAGCCGGAACTCCAACATACGGAATGAGATTCAGAGGTAAGAAGACAATAAGTTCGATGATTTGAACCAAACTCCATGGCTGGTAGGCGGCTGGTGTCGACGGTTTTCCCAGCATTTTGACGGAATTGGGAGCATCTGGAAAGATGATTCGATGCGGGCGAATTAGATCGACTAGACCTTTGTCTATGAGTGTTGCCTGTTCTTCAGTCAGAAATATTCCAGGAGCAGTTGCAATTATACGACCGACAGAATCGCGTGATGCAGTCTATAGGATAGTGGTCAGTCAGTAGTGACGACTTACGTCAAAGATATCTACGCGACATTCATCCACGAAGAAACCCTCAAAGAGTCCTTGAATTATCACTAGTCCTTCACCTAATACCAGGAATACCGCATTGACCCAAGCACCCCAGCCATGAAAGATCGCCAGGAATGCATATTGCGGAATGAAAGTGAAGGTGAATAGGATCGTATAGACGAGGATCGATATCAAAGAGAGCGGTAGGAGTCGGCTGAAGAAGATTGGATAGTAGGCTGGGTGTCGCAGGAAATAGTAAATTCCCCGTAGAGGATATGCTGCCGCAGTCAGAGCCCGAGAGACATAGCTGGCAGGTCGCTCGAAAGGCTTTACGACTCGATGAAGATGCTCGCGAGACACTGATGGCGACATGGCGAGGGCTCTGGGAAGTGGACAGAAGCAATGCTCAAACCCCCAACATGTGAAGCTGGAAATTGTGGATGGGATTTGGTTAGCGACAGCATGACGCCAACAATCCGAAAATGGGAGACTTTGCCCCGCATTAGCTGGCCGAGCAATTGTTGCGACGCACCGCACCACTAAAGCGTTGCCTAAAGTTGACCGTCAGCGCGTCGCGCAACATTTGCAGACCCTCTGAAGTTAGTAGTTAAGCCCCAAGTTTATATAATATGAGACGACTACGGATCCGTATGTACACTAAAGTAACCTTACAGTGGAGTGGTCTCTCTTACTTCCCAGGTACTTAACATATTGCCCTTCACTCTCAGTCACCGGGGGTCACACTCGTTCTGGTGCTTATGAATATCTCTACTCTTCTGAACTGCTATCACAATTCCCTTCCCCAGATTTTGATGGTGGTAGAGCTGGCTTGTGGTCCCATTAGCTGTGGTGACGACATCATTATTAATGTGACGTACAACGTTTCTCTCCTCCATTGATCAGGCTATGATGTCTGGAATTTTAATTGAGGCGTGATTGCTTAAAGACTATAAGGTATCTATACCCGAACGCAGATTGAAGACGCGCCTCAGTGCTTACGAAGATGCACGAGAGGTGGATTATTAGGGACGATGATACCAGCTTGGAACTCCGTGGAGCCCATGCAGAATTGCTGATGCCCGTCAACTGTGAAAACCAATTTCAGTCAGTGCGGTCGATATGGCGTAGAATGGATAAGGTTGCACCTACAACTTATATCTGTGAAAGTGGCAAATTTAGGCGATTTCGAACATTTGGCTGCAGCGCGGACTATTTGTAGATAGTCTGACTATGAAAACACCACAAATAACATGTTTCTCGCAGACAGATATCTTCACTTTTGACAGAATAAAATAAAATAATGGACGTAGTGAAAATGCAAGGTCAGTCACAATGTTGCCCGCTAGCAATACATCAGTAAACACCACAAATGAGAGCCTTGGGGCTGCATTCCGCAGCACTAGTCTAGTCTGTGTATACGAATCGATCAGCGACACTATTTGTGGTAAACATTCAGCATCGATGGTTTTATCCTAGATGCCTTGTATAGTCCTGCATTTGGATAAACTCCCTACAAGCGTCATAGAACTGCATGGGACAGATACAGTTACACAAATCCAGATCGTAAATGCATGCCTTTCCCAAAACGAAGTCGCATGAGGGATGCACCAATACTTTCGTTCAAAAACACCATTGAGAATCTGTTCATGAGTACAACAAAACCATTATGCTTGACGCAGTCGAGTTGTTACCAAGTTTCAAGTGCATTGTACAACAATAAGATCCAGAGCTAGTAAATATGGTATTCTCATGAGGTAGGATATGTCAGACCAGATTGACCACCATGAGGAAGTCATCCCATCCATGGGTATGGGGTTTTAGAAAACGAACACATAGCCGAGGGACGACAAAAGAAAGACCTAGAATAGATAAGAGAAGTTGCACAGCCAGATGCTCGGTACGCCTTGACCAATAATCATTGCTAGATACGGTCATATTGGCCCGCTTTTGAAAGTCGGTTACAATGCTTGAGAGAATCTCGACAAAAGAGAATATGAATCAGTGTAATTAAAAGAACAAATTAATATCAGATTCCAGAGTTAATAAATGTTTAGTCATCACTCCAAGATCTGTGTGGCATTTCAACTCAACACAATCTCTACAAGGGTACTTTCTGTGGGATATCTTGATCATGATCCTCGCGACTCAGGCTTGTTAGTCCTACCCACATATTCGCAGGACGCCGCTTGTTATAAAATTGGGGAATTAAGAAAATGTAATAAATGCGTAATCTTGGGTGCACACGCAAATACAGGCCCGGATGTCCCTTTGCCTGTGGCAACATGTAGCAAGGTCGTATTTGGACAATTTGTCCTCAGCACATATCTTTAGTGCGACTGGGTAGTGTCCGTTATGGGCATTCCCTAGATAATTCATTTATGCCTTTTAAATCCCGTAGATACCATTTGAGAAGTTTTACTTACATTTTAAACATTTGATAGAAACGTCTCAATATCATGTCTGATTTTGGAAGAAGCTAGGATGTTACGTGTAGGCCCCGAACAAGTTCGAGACAGAGAGCTAGAACATGTGGACTGTCCAGTTATCAATTACCCAATGATCGGAGTACTCACAAGCTTACAGGAGTATCTATAATAATTCTCAAATGAATAGAAGTGAGTAAATCAAGATTCACAGCGTCTAACACAAAATCTGAGCGTACGACCCTTAGCGTATTTGCCGGGGCCGTTCTAGGTGGTAGACGTGGTGGCTCCACACTCGATGGCATGCAATGGGAGTATCCTTCGAAGGGAAATATCGATTCTTAGGAAGCTCTGGGAAATACAGGATGGAGTTGGAATGGTATAATACCATACATGACGAACGTCAGTTATTGTTCTTCTGCCCTTCCTGCCGGCACTTTAATCCCGTGACTGTATATAGTCTGACACTGGGTTTTCCAGTCCAACACCTTCACTTCTCCTGGTGCTGAGATTCAGGCTATCCACAAGCGATCATACGAGCCTTCAGAATCAGCATTATCATATGACGCAGACAGCTTGGTCCAGGCCTCTTCACTAGAATATTATTGTCCTTATACGTAAGTAGGTTCGACTGACTGAAATGTTCTTTTGACGGATCTTGTGCATATGTATACACGATTCAGGCCAGGTTGGATTGGCTAGACGTCCCTTTCAAGCATAAATACTTATTGAATAATTCTGTGAGCTAGTACTGAACCTGCACTCATGTCCATTTGGATAACGAAACACGTTCTTCATTTGTGTACGCATGTTATGATAGTGGCTCCAGGTATGCCATATCATTCCAGTATGTTCTAGCGAGGCGCGGAGGCCATTGACACTACATGCAGCCGCTTCAACCTCAAACTCTTGGCTATTAATCAAGGTGTTTAAATACTGTTCGCCACCAACAGCACTGCGTTGATCGTGACAGGTCTCAAAGCTTGGACCGCAAAACCAATGTGACGGGTGAGTCCGAGGCTAGCATGGACGGAAGTGGTGCTTGCGGCCGGTGCTCTTTGTGCGCCTGAGCTTTTCCAGTGAAGCGGTATTGGGCGGTAGTCAATACTGGATGCCGCAAGTATTGAAACAAAGATCGATTTTCCAGCTGTTGGCAGTAGTTTTAGGATCACGCTGTCGTGTATCTGCAATGGAACAGTGCGTATTTTGAACCAGAGCTTTCCCGAGGAGCAAAATCTAACCCCCCCCCCCCCCCCCCCCCCCCCCGAACGCTCTGGAGAAAAGGTTCTCCGTAGGAACTGTACACTTGAATGTCAGCGACCCACACAGCGATCTAGTGCTTCAGTACAACGCACTCCAGGCTCCATTTGACAAGTCCATCATGTCCTACTTCGTTACGTAGCCACGAAAGTCGTAGATAATAGATGCAATTATTCTCTTGAGTCCTGTTGAGACTGTCAGGACCTGCTGCACTACATAAGAGAAAATACTTGCAACCGTGATTACTTCTCCTGGTGTCACGTTTTAATCTCTCCTTTGCCCACAACGATGCCGCGGGATTTCGGCCGTATTATGAGCTTGGATTATTTGTCTATGGAACAAAGAAGCTGAGTACCATTTATTCTATCAGTTTTCCTATTGTACCAGCTTGCCGTCTGTAATTTGTCATGTATGCGGTGGCAGAGAAAGCCAGTGAAATCATCAAAAGTCGTGCATCGGCTTGGGTGGGGGAGCATGTGATGATCGGGCAGGTCACGATTGACTGGCACAAAGCAATACATATAACAGTATATTGACTGTGCTAACATTTATAAATATATTAATAAGAGTGATACTCAGTAGTGTTATGCGTGTTTGCCGCTATCACAATCTTGTCCCTTCTGGTTTTCGAGTTGTATCTCCCAGGTGGGATTTTCTCAAGGTTATTCTTCGCAAGTTATTCAAATCTTATCGAAAAGTTTTAAGGAAATGGAAACATGATTCTAGCGTATGAATATTAGCCACATGTGACAACAGGCTCGATAACCCCAAATGACCATGTGAGATACTTGAGAACTAGATTATTGGAATATGCGCAATAGCATTAATTATTAAGCTAACAGAGGCTAACCCCTTGGATCGAACTTATCCTTCAATCCGTGTACTATTATAGACGGTATCGGAAACCAAAAGTCTTCCAATCCGTAACGTCATCATAGTCTTCTGGCCGAAGTTGAACCTCATTTACAGCTTCCGTCACATTCCGTCCATCCGTCGCATCGTCAACCTTACCACCAACTGCACCAGAGGTGCCGGAGCTGCCCTCAATGCCCTCGGTCTGACGCCTCTTGTTGTTCATATACGCCAGATAAAATCTGAGAATGACACAGAGACAAACCACTAGCGCATAACAGATCATGATAGCACGGAAAGCTGTTGGATAATTCGGGGCCTCGGAGGACTTGAAAAGTTGAGGCCCAGCAATGTTGCCGGCGCAATAGGCGATGAAGATCATAGCTGTCATGGTCATCTTCTTGGTGACACCTTTGAAATTAACTTGGATGAGTGAGAGGATCAATGGCAGCGCTGATGGTCCAGTTGACAGCAGAAAGTAGCCAAAAAGAGAGACGCCATGTGGGAGATCAGCCCGCTTGCCAATCAAGGCGCTACCAACAACTGGAGGCAGAACAATGAGAGCAGCAAGAATGCAATTCAGTGATCGAAAGCGGCCAGCTAGCCAGCCTGTTCCCGTGATAGCAATGACAGTAATGACAGAGTAAGGGATATTGATGAGAGTTGATTGAAGAGAGGTAAATCCAAAGGACGTGATGACCAAGTTGGCAAAATTCTGAGTGCCACCGTTGGGAATCTGGCAAAGCAGGGCAATAATCCAGATGAGCCAGGTCTTCGGGTCTTGAAGGCACTCGAGCATTTGGTCCCACTTCCATACCGTCTTTTCTGTTTGACCGGTACCTGCAATGACGACCCGATCAATGGCCCACTGTCGCTCTTCTGGGGTGAGAAATTTGGCTTTAGATATGCCGTCAGGTAGGAAGAAAAAGACGACGAATGCCCAGAGGAACGTTGCAACACCAAGGATGATAAACATCCAGCGCCATGGCCCGACACTATCGTCAATATGGCCAATACCATAAGCCAGTAGAGACGATATGATCCCTCCCACAGAGTTTCCAGCGAACCAAATACCAGTCCTCTTAGGGATCTCATCACGAGTATACCAAGTGGTCGTAATGAACATCAATGCAGGTGTGACGGTGGCCTCAGCCACTCCCAGGAAGAATCGCACAGTGATGAGACCACCGTAACTTGAGCAAGCTGCTGTCAGCGCAACGACTGCACCCCAGAAAATGATAGTCGCGGACAGATATTTGCCAATTGGGAGGCGAGCGATTAAGATGGTCGTAGGATAGGTCCACATAAAATAGCCAAAGTAGAAGACGCTGGATACCCAAGAGTATTCTATGTGTTTAGTTAGCATCTCGAGGACAAATTCCAGCGTTGAGCTTAGGACTTGCGTTGGCCAATAAGATGGTTGTCATCCTTCAAGCCGAACACTGCGGCACTTGACAAAATCGTCTTGTCCATGAAGTTGAAGACGTATGTGGTGAAGAGCAGCGGAATGATATGCCAGTCGATCTTGCGCATGATGCGACGAGCTGCTGCGTCGTCAATGACATGATGTCCAGCAAGCGAGCCGTCGTGCGCTGGGCTCTGGGCTCTTTCCTCGGAGGATGCCATCGTGGAATACAAAGAACGCGGTTGATGCAGGAGTCGTTCATGGGAGGAACGTCCTGCATGCGCGGCATTATTCATCATTTGTATCTCGAGTGTTACATCGAAATCATTTCCTTATCGGTACTGCACTTCCGAACATCACCGTTGTGGATTGATATGCTCCGACCGACATCCGGGATTGTAAGGGTTGGATCGATAAGAGAGCATGAGCGATGACTGATCGCAGTTGATCATATCTTCAGCAAATCAAAGGTCGGCATTTGGGATTCTTCAAAAAAATCTCAGGTGGTCGGTCGCCTCCGAGGACTGCTATCCGAGAACTAAATGGGGCATGTTGCCGGGTCTAAAAGCGCCAAGATAGGCCTAGAATTGCCTGCCGGATCCAACACATCAGTTCTTCAATGAATATGCTTTTGAAGCGAGTACGATCATGAGTTTGCGCATTTTTTTTTTGGCTCAAATAGACGAGATACCGGCGACAGCCTATTAAGTGGATTTGTACGGTGCTGGTAACTGCTCCATTCATTGTGTCTGATCGAAGTCCGAATGCGGAATACGTGGCATCCTGGGACGATATGTTCATTTCTCGATTTGGGACTCGATACTGTCCTATGATTCAAACCCAGCTCCGTCCAAAGGCAGACTAAAGCGAGAAAGATACATTTCTAACCCCGAGACAAAAAATTGTTGTTGTTTTTGGCTTGACTGACGATGAACTGCCTGGAAATTTCACCATTTATCGCATCACTTCCAAAAGTAGAGCTTCACATACACATCGAAGGAACTCTGACGCCTTCGCTACGATGGAAGCTCGCGCATCGAAACAACGTGCCTTTAGCTTATTCTACCTACGAAGCTCTCCTGGAATCCTACAACGTTCTGTACAACCACAGGAAGGAAGTTGATGGAGATAATGGCGCGCCTACATTCCTGGAAACATATTTCGCTGGCACCCAAGTATTGTGTAAGGAGGAAGACTTCTACGAGCTCGGTATGGAGTACTTGAAGAAAGCTAAGGATATGAACGTCCGCTACGTCGAGCCTTTCTTCGACTTGCAGGCTTATCTGCCTCGTGGCATCTCTGCCGCGACGGTGTGCAGTGGCTATATGAGAGCACAGAGAGAAGGAGCCGAGAAGTACGGGGTGCATAGCAACTGGGTCCTGTGCTTCATTCGAGATCAGCCTCTAGAGGAAGGAATTGCCGCATATGAAGCAGCACGGCCCTGGGCAAAAACTCCAGGCGGGAAAGGGTTGTTCCATGCAGTGGGACTTGCTGCGAACGAATACAATCGGCCACCTTTATTGTTTGAGAAAGCATTCAACATGGCGAAGTCTGATGGTCTCCATGTCACCATGCATTGTGATGTCGATCAGAAGGACGCTGCTGATCACGTTTATGAGGCTATTTTCTCTGTATGCGGTGGTGCTGGAGCGGAACGTATTGACCATGGTCTCAATGCTGTCGATAAGCCGGAGCTGGTCGAAGGACTAAAGATGCGGAACATTCCTCTTACGCTTTGCCCACATGCATACCATCGTCGGCAAGCGACTGAAATACTGTTTCCTAAAATTCGAAAGCTCTATGATGCGGGTGTCAAGTTTTGCATCAACAGCGACGATCCAACTTACATGCACAATGTATGGATAGATGGAGCGATGGAGAAGGTATATCGTTATTGTAATATGACGGAGCTCGACATGACCAATCTTGCGCGCAACGGGGTCGAGATGTGCTGGGCTGACACCGACCTTAAAGCTAAGCTATTTAAAGAACTCGAGAAATTTCAGCTTTCTAGTGCTACTACAAACGTTCTATAGCGAATTGAATGGAAAATATTTGAGAAATCGATAGCATGTTTTGTTACCAACGTAGAGCAGGGTATTGACCCCAAGTTGAAAGTACATAGCCTAAGACTTTAGCTGGTCGCAACGACGGTGTTTCCTCAGTGCACAGTACTTGTTTGAGTATCTCTGGTTTCATGAGTTGCCATAGACAAAGTAGAAAGTTTGTCGATATGGCTCCGGCTTTATTTGTATATCTATTGCTGCTGCGAGAAAGTCATCACCAGCTGCATCAAGGCTGACAAGATAAGTTGATGCTCTGGGCTTTCGTTGCTGTTATTAAGGTGTCTGCCACTTTAGAGGAAGTGGGGGCGGCGTTGGAGGGCTGGTTGATGATTCCATGTCGGTCTGGCGTACAGAAGAAGAGTACACTGTTGTACAGTTTTTCGCTGTCCAGATATGTTATGTATCTAAAATATATCCTCAGGCGCTGGGCCAAATGTGTTCTCCTTGACCGGAGCTGAAATGCCTGGGCAAGTTCAGTCAAATTCGAAGTAGTTGAGCTTGGAGTATGTGTGGACTCCGTCTAACCAGCTAACCATATGCGAGCAAAGCTGGAAGTGACAACAACTTGAGTTTCTGCTAGAACAATCGTTGTAAGGATCCATACTGTATCGAATGAGTTCACTGTGGCCATAATTTGACCCGGTGCGCTGCAGTTTCAATGTTAGAACCAACAATGCATCTCGGTGGCGGAGCAGAACCAAGTTCGTACCAATATCCAATCATCTCGAAGAAGCTATGGAGCTGGAATTCCCACGCATCAAAACGTATAAGACGGGCCAGTTACGCCGCGGCGCAGAAAGCACTTCAGTTGAGAATATATTTGATTGGATTGTGTTGGCAACGGCATTTATTCAAGCCTCACTTACATATACTTCACTCATATCTCAGCCTCAAACTCTTGGTGGGTTGAAGTCGTTTTTTAGTGTGTGGTATTAATGACACTATTGGAATGGGGGATTCACATGACCTGCGGCGCTTGTTTCCTGGTAGAGGGGCCAATAAGAGGCTAGACTAGGGTTAGATCCCAAGCAAGTCTGAAATTCAACAACAGAAAAGCGTAAAAAGCTAGAAAAGAAAATGTACATTGATAATGTAAGCAATGCCATGTTGGAAAATGTTGCGATTGCTCAAGCAACTGGATTGATTTCGGGTTTCAGTCCAGAGAAAATTATTATAAATAAAGACTACTTAATCTACTTCCTCATTATCGCATGCTGCAAATTAGCTTTCCAAATGCTACTTTTATGCTGATAAGCCATACTCTTTCTATGTTAGAGAGTACTTACATTGATTCCGTACATCGGAAGCAATTTTCGCGTTTTCGATTTGTGAGAGATATAAATGGAAGGATGCTCAGTAATTGACGGGCCTCTCGGAGACTAAGCTTCAAGAAAATACTTGCTATTGCTTGCGATTTACGTGAGGATTTTATGCTACCTTGGTGATAAGCAGGAAGGTTGATATTCGTTTCTTACACACGCTTCTGCCGCTGAGAAGCACAGCTCAACGCTGTGTAATTGTCACATATGGGTAAGAGGCGACTATTCACCCGTGATAGGTCGCCTTACGGGTGGAGGCATCCTGTTTAGTGAACGGTAATGCCCGTGAACCGCTAATTGAGGATTGTTTAAATTGAGGCTGTAATTTTTTGAATTTTCGGAGAACAAAAACTTCCGTCGTTCTTTCGGGAAACTTGCCGAAGACTTGCCTCTCTGCGATGTTTGATTTGCTCAGCGTTGATCCTCCATCTGCTGGAGTCGAACTCCATTACATACTGTAACGTGAATTGCATCCACTAAAGGGTTTGTGTCGTCACCGCCAACATTGAATCCACACATGATGTCTTTGCCGAGTCCCGTGCACCAAGCGCAGATCACTGTCAATTGGTTGGCGAAGCCACCCCAAGTCTTGGGCAGTGCCAGCGGCTGAACGCTGACCAGCTGCTGTGACGCAGGTCTCAAATATCGATCGTTGGGTGTGCACTCCTAACTGTTAGCTTAACCTGTTACACCATGAATTTCCGACCCTGCGGACATGTGAGCTTATAAGTCATTCTTGAAGGCTTACAACAGAACAAATTTTGCTTTATCTTAAATCGGGTGTCAAGCCCATGTTTTTGGCAATTCTCCATGTTCACATTCAGCCTTTTCATTCTAATCACCGTTGCAGCAATGTTTGGGGGCGTGTTCACGTTGTCGCGTGCGCAGAAGCCCAACACGGGTCGCAGCCGTACACGAAACCCAATTACCGGCGATCACACTGAGTTCTACGGATCGCAGGTTGGAGGCAAGTCAGTCATTAACTATGGCTATACTGATATGCCTCTAAAGTTGTTAATGTGGGATATGCGAACATTTTTTACGTTTGCGTACGCCTTACCGTGGGTCGTGTGGCCGCTTAAGCCAAGCGAGGACTCTGGCGAATTTGCCGAATTGTCGCTCACGCGCGGGAATGTATTCTGCCTTTTGATGCATGGTATTTTGATCGCGCTTCAGCTCACTTTTATACTGGTGATTATACCAGTCTGTGTATTGCTCCCAGTCTGGATCGCGGCTTTAGGCATAGCAGGTTTCTTCGGTGTCAACTGGCTCGTCGTTCTCACACTGAACGGGAGCTCACCAACTTATACATCTGATCCTAAATACGCGCCGGCGTTACCCGAGCATGCGCATGAAAAATGGATTTTCATTAACGGTGTTGCCGCTGGGTAAGTGCAACTTGATTTTGGATCGATACCTTTATTGACCTGATAATACAGTGAGACCTGGATGTTGAGCAACCTTAACCGTCTAGCGTTGACATTCAAGAGGCCAATCCTGGGTATACACAACAAGACTACTGGAATTATATTCGATGTCGTTGAGTGTTTGATACAGCGCAACTTTGGCTATGCAACAGTTGACGTACGTGACGCGTACAAAGAAGTAAAGGAGCATTTGTACAATCCGGGCCTCTCCAAGGTCGTTTTCATTCTGCATTCGCAGGGAGGAATTGAGGGTAGCATGGTCCTCGATTGGCTTTTGCAAGAGTTACCTCAAAATCTCCTTGCAAAGCTGGAGGTATATACCTTTGGCAACGCTGCGTGAGTATCCGAGTACAGCGTATGACGAATCGAAAAATTAACTAGAGACAGGAACCACTTTAACAATCCTCACCGCCATGTGGAATCTCAAAAAGCAGAGCAAAATGACCCTAGCTCTATGAATATAGTTAAAACACCTGTTACGGAGGCCGCCCTTACCGACTCACCAATAGAGCTCAAAGCGCCCGCTTTAAGTAAGCAATCGTCAGCTGGTACCAGAGCTGCTTCGAATACTAAACATGCCCCTCCAACTCCACCAAACCTTGAGACAGAGGAACACCGCGCCCGTGTATCTGTTGTACCAGCAGCAGATCGGGCGATCGGGCACATTGAGCATTATGCGCACACGACCGACTTCGTTGCATTATGGGGCGTGCTTCACTTTGTGACGAACGAAATGGCTAATCCTCTTCTTCCACGTTTTATTGGCCGTGTCTTCTCTCGAACCTCGTCGAGAGGTGGCCACCAATTGGTCCAGCATTATCTAGATGGCATGTTTCCTCTCGAGAAAAATGCGAAAGGTGAATTTATTGGCTGTAAGGATAGCAATGAATTCATGGATAGTATAGTAGAGCATGCACAAGGTGGTACTGAACGGGATGACGTGCGGGAGGGCATTGAAAACAGCTGGGCCCTTATTGGAGGCGACCACGACTCAGGAGCCACACCCGAGGTTGAGGTCCGTGGCAGTTTCCGTGAAGGCAAGCATCACAAAGGCGAGATGAGGGTCAAGGACTTGAGTCGGCTCTGGCTGTACAGAAATGGTCGAAGTCCACCCGAAATGCCCAAGAGCTTGCCACCAGATTCAGATGGCGTTGTCAGAGCCGGAACCTTGTGATCATTCAGCACCAGCAACAGCATCAGCATCAGCATCAGCATCAACATATGGCGTTCATTTGGCCTTTCAGGTTGTGGTTTATGCACGTATACCCACTGGTATACACACGTAAGGAGGGGCAAAAATTCACACCCTATGTCTAATATAAATCATTATACACTTGCTCTTAAGCTATCTGGTGGCTATCGGCAGCCCAAGTCAGGATGCCCTTGACAGCATCGTCAACGCCGCTTGCTATGATTGTGGGAACATGTATGTCATCCAGGCGATCCACCCAACCTGTTCCAGCCCTGTCAATCCAGGCGGCCTTGAGTCCAGCAATCTTTGCACCAACAACATCGAACGGGTTTCCGCTCACAAGCCATACATCACCAGCATGATCCTTTTTGCCGACTTCACTTAGAAGATGCTTGTAAACTTTCATCGCTGGCTTGTACACCTTCAACGAGTCTACTGTGACGAGAGACTTGAATAGACTTGCGTGGGGTCCCAAATCCGGCGACCTCTTGACGGAATTGCCGAGCATTTCCAAAGTACCGTTCGAGAAAATGTAGGGGTCAATCAGCTCATTCTTTTCGGATACCAATTTCAACGCTGCTGGGACCTCTGGAAAAACGTGCAAAGCGTCATAAGCTTGCATCAGACTGTCTTCCTGACTGTCCGAAATGTCAAGCCCGTATTCCAGAATTGCGTTCTTCAGAGAGTTGCGTGTGACCTGGCTGAAGTTCTGATAGTGTTCTGTTCTGGTGAGCAAGAGTCTTAAAATTCCCAAGTGCGTCCAACTGGAAACACTAACCAGGACCCACGGAGTTGAGGCGCCATGTATATTCCAATTGGTATTTACGCCATGCCGCAGCAAGAGAATGGGCTTTATCCTCTCCGAAGAGCTTAGCGAGCTCCTCGGCAACTGATTCAGTAGAGAGCAGCGTCCCATACAAGTCAAATGCAACTACTGTCTTGACGGACGACATTTCCAATGTAGTTCCTGGTCGTAATATATTTTGAATTGAGTTGCCTGGAATGAAAATATAATGGTGTTCTTACACTGTCAGCTATTATCAATGCGCTCGCGACGGCGCGGGGGATGGCGCAAGTACTATGGTAGCAGGCCCAAAAAAGGGCATGTGGGGCAAGTACCACAGCTTCGTTACTACGTAAACGAAGCCTGGGCTGCTGTACCCGATGAATTTCCACGTGAATTGTTGATATCATGCCAGCTCGTTGTCAAGCTGTCATTGATGCCAAAGGAGGGCATACTAAGTACTGAGAATCATTAATTAGAAGTCAAATGAAAGCCGCGATCAGTTGTCTCTCAATCCCGTGCAATTTTGGTGGTGGTATGGAGACTCTGAGTGGCGTGGTACATGCTGCACGGTACCATTTTTACCCTTATATACCAAGTAATGGATTAGCCAGCCCACTAAATCAGAGGATAGTACTACTAACACTTCCTTTACGTCACTTTGACGGTCCTTTTGGGAATCGAAACTGCAATGCGACATAACGTGACTGTTAGCTATCGTCTGCTAGTTGAGCAAGCATGATAGCAAATAACCAACATAAGACTTACGACCTGTTTCGCGACTGCCTATCAACTGTGTTGATTGAGAAGGTCACCAAATCTGAACCAAGATCCAGGCGGAGAGCCAAGTCTAAGAATGCTCCGGACAATACCAGGCCTGCCGAGGACCAAGATAATGGTCTTAAAGATGCAGAAGAACTCGCCGAATTCATCGAATACATCGCATCAGAAACTTTTGAGTGTCTACCAGACGAACTAAAGACGCTTGACTATTACATTTACGCGAAGGATGAAGACCTACAGACGCGTTACGCTCTGCCGATAACGGGCGATGATGTGGCGTCTATCGTGCCATCTCTGGATCCGTCCATTTCCGAGTCTCTAATCACGTACGGCATCACCGACGAGAGAAGACAAGGTTCAAACGAATTTCTAGCGCCCGTCCTGACATCGTTTATGGCCTCGATATCAACAGCACCTCCACCGCCCAGCAGTACACGCAGCAAGGTGGCTGCGTGCGAGCTGTGCGACCGCGACTGGATTCCGTTGACATACCACCATCTGATCCCACGTTTCGTGCACGCCAAAGCGATCAAGCGAGGTTGGCACCGCGAAGAAAACTTGCAGCGTGTTGCATGGCTATGCCGTGCATGTCATAGCTTTGTGCACCAATTCGCAAGTCATGAGGACCTCGCGAGATACTACTACACGGTCGATTTACTACTTGATCAGAACGAGATTGTGCAGTTCGCCAAGTGGATTTCGAGATTGAGGTGGAAGGGACGGTAGCCCTTTGATTGAAGGTCTCAGTTCGGCTTCAGTTGTTGTGCCGCAAATTTTGGAACAGTAGCAGTATTATTTTTGTACGAATTACAAACTATAGAACGATTTCAGTGGAGTCGGGTAATTAAACATGGCTGATTAAAGCTTCCGTCGAGACCAGCTGAATGCCGAATGTCAATTTCGTTGCAAAAGTTAAATCGTCGTTCTAGTTACCACCGACAGCATACTCATCGCTCGAGTGGTGGACTACATTGCATGACATCCGTACCGAACCGCTACTTTCCTATAGGTATTGGGAACCTTGAAGAAGCCGCAGAAAGTTGGTGTGTCAAGTTAGAACAGTCAAGTTGCTCGCTTTCGTTTCCAAAAGGCGGCAACATTAAGGTGAGCTATATCGGTACTGGCTTGGTAATATTCACTCCATATCCTCTTCGTCAAGTCACTGAAGGAACTTTGTGCTCTATCAAGGGGCGTCAGAATCCCGCTATATTGACTAATGTTTCGAAGGTAGTTGAACCTTCTTCGGTATAAAGGCCGAACATTCCATACCGAAGGTGTCAACGTCTAAAAGTTCTTATAAATGAAGCTTTTTGGCCGAACGGAGTGTGGTTTATCAGTCCATTGCATTTCCATGATTAGTTCCATCCAACAGCCTGTATCCTTAACACAATGATCAAATCCGCTTTATTGTCTCTCCTGTTTGGTATTTCTTCTGTTGCTGGTGATGTCATTGCGAGATCCGGAAAGAATACGACATATATATCGAAATTCGACGACCTCGCGGGGCTCGATGACTGGGATGCAGCATTCAGGACTATCGAGCAATACGATGGACTAGCTTTCTATCTCTTCGGTAAATTCATAGGCACCCTTATGTTCCCAGTCATGAGTTGACGCTCTTAAGATCTCGTTAATGTTCCCCAAATTGGAACGGGAGTCGTTCCACGGTCGGGCCCAAATACGGCCGTCTATTTCCAGGATCGGCCATATGTTCCCGTCATCTCCACCTCCGATTCGTTTCCGCCTGCCAATTCATTCGATTTGGAGTCTTTCTATTTCGGATGCACTTTTGGGCCATCCAGGTTAATCAGAATCGGCGTGTCGCGTTGCATTGTGACAGTCACAGGGTCGAGGAATGGCCAGACTGTCGCTGTTCAATCATTCGCGTTCACGCCGAAATTAACACTTCAGGCAAATATGGTACAGGTCAGTATTCAGGGGCGGCTATTTCCCGTTTCGAGCAATCTCAGGAACTGAAGTTTCCTTGATTGGCCATTCATGCTCTTCAGGCACCAAAAATACTTCAACATTACTTCTGAAACACGTTGATTAAAGAAACCACTAACCTATGTACGATGAATAGGCAAAGCTCAGTGTAGGGTTCAAGAACATTGACCGAGCGACTTTCAGGACTGATTATAATGCTGCGGTTACGAGATCCGGGCGAACATTGGTCGACAATGTCAGGTATACAGCACATGAGATCTAGTTTAGCGGTTGGGGACTTTCTCTGAACTGCCGTAGAAAACGAAAGTTTGATGGTCTTTTGTTCGCAACGAATATTATAAGCTCAGTCACAAGGTGCTGTCATCATTCCTCCTATCTACCTCGGATTAGTGCTTGCTCTATTATAGCATAAGTATCCGTTAATGTTAGAACCCAGTGACTTAAAGTAACTCTTCCTAAAGTTATCTTGTAACATAAAGAGCCATCCTCGTCGGTATAAACCCGTGACGTGCGTAATTAAGATTCTGGAAAATATAATAGCAACGAAGTGGGTAAAAAGGCTAGCTGTTCACCCGAGCTGACTGTACGAAAGTGAGGCGAATATTGAAGGATGAACTCGGACTTAAGCACGATTTGAGAAAGATTCTAGTGTTGGCCACGCTTAGCGCCTGTGAATGAAATGCCGCCAGTATATATTGACGATTCCCGCAAAGAAGTAAGCACAAGTCCAGCAGAAGGAAAAGTTCCGTGTAGATGCTATTTTCAAGCAGTAGAAGCCCCCACGTTCAAGCAAAGTAATCCCAAAGAGCTATAAACTCAAGGATCGAGGAGGCCATGGCTCATCTCATTCGAATTGTGCTGACTTCTTGTAAACATTCCCTTCCGTCAACGAGCTGTGCGCGCTCAATAAGTGGCTTGAACAGAAAAACTTTGAAACGTCCGCGATGCCGCCTATAGAAGCCAATGTACAGATTTACAATACTTTGTCGCTCATATTGAGATACAAAATAAACGATGAAACCGCAATTAGCAACCGATGTGACCTGTATAATTAACATTGGCATGAAGACATTGATAATAAGTATTAAAGAAACTGAGGTGATATTATAAGTTATTCATGGAGAATATAACATCTTCTAATCTAGGTGCTTGTCTAGATGGCAGGTCGGAATGGAATGTCACACGTAGATCAGTCAGTATCGAGCCCAGTGCTGATCTGCTGGAATATTGAGCGTCTCACTGCCTTCATACCGTTCCAGGCTGTGACTGATTTGAGGTGATTTGGTGATTTGGTTGACGGCGGCACATGACGACGAACGAGCAGTGCGAAGCTAGACGTGATGCATTGCAATTCCGGCGGCATGAAGACTACAAAGTGCAGCTGAACAACCACTTTATTCACCCCGCATTATCCTTGTAAGCGGCACTCATTTCGGTGGACGCTGTTAGGCAGGCGCCCGAGACCGTGTACGCTACCTTCCATCGTTCAACTTTTGAACCACGATCAAGTTGCTATATTTTGCCATCAAGCCGAATTGCATTGCATTACAACTTGCTATTTCAAGAAATATTTCAAGAACTATTTCAATGAGTTTCGATGATTGCTTTCTTCTTGGTTTGCCCGCAGAGCTTCTGCTTCTAATAATAGATGGTCTGTCCCGTCAGCGTGACCTAGCGGCTTGGTGTCAAACAAACCACTATTTTCACTCCAAGATCGGCCCTATCCTTTATGAGAATGAGATCGCAAGGAATGACTGGTATGCCGTCTTTTGGGCCGCTGAGCATGGCCGCGTGGGAACCCTCAAGCAATGGATTGCCGTTCGCAATCGGGATGACAGTTTCCGCGCACCGATCGATGTTTACAGAACAAAGTACAGAAGCATGCTTATCCGTGAGAATGAGGTTCATGACCCAAATCTTCGTCTCGACGATGAATATATCTTAGGTCCACTAGACCAAAGGACGCGACAGCGCCATCATTTTATTCACGCACCTTTACATATCGCAGCCAAGAACGGGCACGCGAACGCGGTTGAGTTCTTAATTGAACACGGAGCGGATATTAACGCGCAGTCACTCGGCTTTATGTATCGTGGACTCGGCATCTTCAATGATGCACGGGATAGACACAGTAGCTTCGATGAAAATTGTATCACATTGAACGCTCTCCACATTGCTATCATCATGGGTCAAGCGGAGGTCGCGAAAGTCCTCCTTCAGCGAAGTATCGACCTCAAAGTTGCACCATTACGGGCTGAACACGAAAGCAATATCACAGCCTTCCACCTAGCAGCTGCTCATGCTACGGAGGACCTGGACGTATTGCGGATCATTGGCAAACGCCCAGATGTTGATGTCAATGCTCCAGATATTGATGGCCAAACACCGATCATGTATGCGGCAGAAGACCCGTTGAGGGAATTTCCAGCATTCCCGGTACTGAAGGAGTTGGGGGCTGATATTGACTGTATTGTTCGCACTCGGGACGGTATTGAAGCTCCTCTGCTGGTGGCTTTGATTCGTAGGATACGCTGGAAAGCCGCTGTGAAGCTAATCGATGCTGGTGCCAATTTGGAAGTCGAAGGAGGCCGACGGCCGTTACTGGAAGAGTGCCAACGAGCCAAGATGTCAGTCATTCATCCGGAAGTGCTAGATCTCCCCGCATATCGTGATTTGATCACCCGGGTGGAGCGGCGAGTCAACACACCATCGAAGAATAACCTCGCTGGGAATGAAAAGCCGCATAATCTTCTGAGGAGGGTAGTGAACCTAGTGCGGAGGTGATGGTTCTGTTTGATAGAATGTTAACAATAATATCTCAGGGCTTGGTCGTGTGGCTTGGCATATTTATGGTGCTCTATCAATTATCTACCACACCGTCTAACATTACCGAATGCTACTTACTGACTACTAAAACGTTGCGCATGCTGTGATATTCAGCAGTGCTTGCCTGGGATCAACTGCCACTTTCGGTACAAGCCTTGGTCTCACACCGGAAAATCGAGGTTCCCCAATCCCAGCCAATTACGCAGGACTTGCAATCGCAAGTGTGGTTATTCTCCAAGTAGCAATGCACCTGCTTGTTGTCGGCCAAATCCACCATTGTTAGGCTACGGTTCTTGTAGATGGCTTATGGAGATATCAGCTCTGTCACAGAAACAGAAAGTAGCTGTGTCATCCACTTACTGTAGTGTCCAAAATCCACGTTGAGCCCAAAGATATCCGGATTAATTTCGCTGCTACCCTCGCTCCGGACGCCAGTTTGATCGCCACTCATATCTTCGTGCTTAGCATAGACATTACCTCGACAGACCGAGTCGCAGTCCGTCTCGTCTTGGCCCAAAAGTCTGTACCATATGTCACCAGTTATTCGGCTATCCCCGTTAACCACAAAGTCGGCGCGGCAAAAGGAAGCTAGGATGGTGAAGAACAAGGGTAGCATCACAAGGAGCTTCATGGTTTGCGAGGCTCTTGATGGATAGTTGAAGGCAGTACCTAATACTCTTTTCTGGGTGGCAAAACTTAAGCACAAGCAGATTTGTCGAGTATGGTTGAGAAATATTGTGATAGGTGTTAGGGTGTATTCGTTTGTGGGAATGGAGATTGTTCTGGGGTATCAAATCAACGAAAGTGACAAAGCCTATAGTAAACGGAAAAAGAAGGAGTGTGATCCTCGACTGGTGTTCATGGCAGGTACAGTCCAGATCAAATCTTGGCCTTTGACTGTGAGCGGTAAACTCAGTAACTGAAAGGGTCTCGTGCTTTCCCCAAACGTCTAATAGTCTGATGTCACAGGAAGCATCCGAATATTTTCTCAAATGATCATGACTTGCGGAAGTTAGCTGATGCTAGAATCTTAGGAGTCATTGATTAGATCTATCAAATACAACGGAGAAAGTCGAATAATTCACACCAATTCACCATTGATCTATCTATAATCCTAATGACCTTGAGCTTAATAACACGTTGATCGTTGCGAACTTTTCCACATGTAGCTATGCGAAACCCATACGCTATTAAGCCAAATCCACGCAAATTAAATGATTTTTATTTGCTTCCTTTCGCACCCACACTATTTTTGCAGAAAAAGATAGAAATGACCTGCTCATAGTGATACCAGATTTGGGTGCAGTGATAGCTTTTGGGGTTCATGTGCTGGCAGTGGCCCACGACCTTGTCCTCCAGATCAACCATGCTATAATCGCGGTCTCTATGGAAAGCTATGGTGTTCTTAAGCGAATGATCAATCCGGGAGGATTCCGTTGTTGCTATACTAACTGTAGTGACCAATTTCTACGTTAAACTCCAGTTGATCGGGATCCAGCGGGTGGTCGCCACCGATTCTTGCCCCTTGCTTGCTGCCGCTCACGTCATCCTTGACAGACCCGGCCTCAGTCGAAAGAATCCTCTCGCAAATTTCACGGCTAGTTTGAAGAAACTTGATGTATCTGAAGATGCTGGAGTTGGTGTAATAGATTCAGAAGCTTGCTTTAACCATTGAAGTCAGCGATGCGGCGGAGAGAAGGACGACATTGACTGACTTCATCGTTGCTGAATTGGCGCTCGAATGAGTTGAGTGAGTCTTAGTAATGCGGAGGAGTTATTTGCTACGTTATTTACTGTAGTAAGTATAAGTAGGAGTTTGCTGTTATGTACAAAGCTGCATGTTAGGGATTCTATAAGCGCAAGGGCACTGAGCCATCCCTTTTCCCCACCGCGAGTCAACTTACATGTAATCTCAACCTGACTATGCACTTGAGAAGACTCTTTAGCATGAGATGCCTTTTTCTTTTCTTTTCTCTTTTTGAAATTAATGTATCGTAAATCCCCTTTTCAGCCTGAATTCTCGTTTATTTAACTATGAGGTATGATATTACGAACCACAATATTATTGACGCATCAAACAATGCAAGTCCTAAACCCCGGCGATGTAGATAAATGTCAGTCTTGACCTGTGTTATGGAAACAGGGCCAGGGAAGATGTTGAATCTAAGGTTAGTGAAGTGACAATGAGGCATTGATTTAAACCTGTCATCTTCAGAAGATATACCGTGTTTGTCTGCTAGGGTTGTACGCGTGCTTTAAATTGAGTCTATCAAGGGTGTTGCTAAGAGTTATTTGTTGTTTGCTCATGTGTAGTTTGCCAATTCTTAACTCGTGTTTTGTTCACAGGTTGGTTCTGACAATCTAGGAGCCAAATTCCAGAATAGTAGACATTACCTGAGTTGGACAGCTCTCAAGGCATGGCCCGAAATGAACTCGCCAGACTTAGGGATTGTTCTTCTAAAGCACACGATCTAGGCGGATTTGATCGAATGAACTTTGCTGCCGCAGCCAGGGGAGTTGCATCTGCATCAAACGTTTGGTGATCAAGGCTATACGCAAATTTCAATTGGTGTAATGAGCTTTAGTTTTTTTCCGCAAGCATCTGTTGTGTTCCAATAATTAAAAGCCTATGCATGGGGATGATAGACATATGATGATCAACTTTTTGGTCATCACAGATTTATATCACTATCTAGACTTAGTCGACGCACCAAAAAAAGGAAAATTCATGGGACAGTGATCCGGAAAGTAGCCCCGAAGTTGAATCGGCAGGTTATTCGATATCTGCTTTAATGCTATCGAATAATCAATTGCTGCCTGAAACATTATGTTTTGCTTATTTCAGGTTGCAACGGAAGAAGCTCCCCACAGCTTTACTTAACACCTTCTTCAAGGAACTTGTGTCAACGCGGCTTTGCCAATCTTCATGATCAGAACGGCCATAACAAAAACAGTCTGCCAGATTGTGTCTCGCCATCTGAATTGAAGCCTTGTTTGAAGTCGACCTGCTTGTTCTGAACTGCGACCTTCACTTATTTTCTTTTTAGGTCAAAGCACTGGTCTCGAAACTTGTCTCTCGTGACAGTCACCTAAAGCTCAAGCAATCGCCGCACAGCTACTGTTAAGCTTTCGCAATCTTTCGACACGACGGACATCATTGCTTTATGGAGTGATAACATTCCCCTCTCACAGTTTCTGGAAATCTGGTTCTGGGACACCAGCTTCTCATCCTAGCCAAATGTCTATTCCACACCATCCATTTGGATTTCCATCCAGTCAAACTGGCCCGCCATGGACTGCTATGGCTGTCTCCCAATCGGCTTTTCGAGCTCAGACTCCAACATCTAATTCTGCGCACGCCATTGCCCCAGTCGTCGCACAGCTTGACGCTAGGAACGGCACGATTTACGGAACACAAGGACAAGCTACATTTATGCCACAAAACCAAGCACTGTCTGTTATTGATCAGAGCAGCCACCATGGTACTGTCATAAAAGCTGGTGACTTCTTCCCAGGTACCAGACTTGTGTCTCACCTTCCACTTGGTCCTGAGGATGCACCTAGTGCGGCTGATAGAGACATCAGACAGCGCTTCCGAAATCTGGTCAACGAAGTAAACGATCTCGACCGATTGTATCCGGATCGTGATAGTGCAGAGCAGCATCGATGGCGAGATAAGGTCAACAAGCTGAATCGGCAAATCGGACACTTGGAACGAACGATCCCGCAACGCCTTGCCAGAGATGGCAATTCCCCGGTCTTCAGGGAACTGATGCCAGGTTTCCCAAGACTTTGGAAGTACTTGGACCCATCGCTTCGCCGCAATCTTGAGCAGCAGGCGCGCCAACCGTTGCCGTGCACCCGCAGAATTGAAGGTCCAGCAACTGTTAAAGAAGAGGAGGACAACAAAGCGTCGGTCATGGCATCGGTGGCTCGAGATCGTCCTTTGGGAAGATCAGCTCCGCGACCTGGGGTGCGCAGCTCTGCATTTGTCAAACAAGAAGCTGATCAACCCCGGGCTAGCCAATTCGGCAACCATCGGGCCGCCCCAAGCTTTTCGGGTGTTCCTATGGCCTATGAAGAGTTAGAAATCAAGGCCGAGGCTGAGTTGTCTGATTCGGATGATTGCGTCATCGTCGGTGAACGTCAGGTGCGAGGTCGTGTCCACAATCGCCCTCCTCGATCGCAACGACCGCCCACTCGTGGGGCTCGCCAGCAAATGCCTGCTGTTGTGAAGCCTAAGCCTACGATACCGACACGATCGTTACGTAACAGAGAGGTTCCGCTAACTGTAAGATGTTCGCGATCTCCGCGTTTCCGTTCGCAGGCCTATAGAGAACGTTCGCCGCGACGCGATGCCATTATCGAGGAGCTGTCCGACTCTGAGTAGGGCTGGACCAAGATATGATGGCATCTCTGGGTAGTGGGAAAGATGGAATATCCATTGGCATATGTCTGATACCACCTGTATGGGCGCCATAACATTTGAGAACACATCTCCGAACATTGTTAGAAACACGTGTATACTGGCAGGCAAGTATAGTTCAGCGAGTGGATGAATTCCGTTATCGAGGGTTCTGAGGTCTTCAAAGGAAAGACAAGCACCAGTCCATGTCGGAAGTTTGCGCGTTGATTTGCTCATGATACTGCTTCGTTGGTGGTACTTACACTAAGACAAGAAGGACGCAATATGCGGAAATTATGCGTGGCGGGTTGTATAAGCCTCCCCCGCAGTCAAGCGAGATGGCCTCGGCATGTAACCTTATTTCACGCAAGCACTCAATTCAGCCTTAACAACATTTGGATCGTCTCTTGATGCAAGTTGTGCCTAACGTGCTTTGTATCCTGTACATTCAATGTCTGATACTCTCGGCAAACTTCGATATCGGACCATTTGTGGCATTTCTGCACTATTAAAGCATATCTGAGGGCGTTAAGTAAATGGGCAACGCGCCTAAGCACTAAATAACCATGACTGATAAGGCGACCGTGGAATTTGCTATCGACGTTGTCGCAATCGTTTCATGTCAAGATATCTTTAGAAATGGAAAGTCTGTATATTTTCTTGAGGCAAACAACTACTTAGGACTAATTAAGTCATAGGCCATTCGAGGATCGTAGCCAAGGCCAAGCGCGCTCGATATTCGGCGGCCATCTGCTCGGTCAATCGGTCTCAGCCGCTCAGCAGACTCTGCCCAGCACATTTGATGTGCATTCCGTGCAGTCCACGTTCCTAAGGCCTGGACATAGCAGCATTGATGTCGAATACCATGTAGAGCGCATCATGGACGGCCGCACATTGGCGTCGCGCTTGGTACGAGCAAAGCAAGGCGGCGCGGTCATTTACGTGGCTACTATAGGGTTCCAAAGGCATGCTGATCAGCTAGACCAAGTTGCAACTGTGCTCAGATATGAGGCGCCAATGCCCGACTGGGCCAAGATGACCGAGCCAGACGACAAGAGTTTGACGAGTACGCATGATCTGCTGGTGATTGATACGGGATTTCCGAAGGACCTCGTCGGCGCCTTCGTCAACCCCTTCGATTGGTTTCACCTCCCAATCGAGAGGAGGCAAGATCCGACTGAAGTTTGTGCACGCAGCTTCCTCCGTTCTACGCCGCTATCGACGGATAATAGCGCGGTTCACTTGGCGTCTTTCGCCTGGCTGTCAGATGTGTTTCTGATATATACTGCAAATTGGGCTAATCCCAACAAATTCCCTCTGGGTATGGCAGGAGTGTCAATTGAGACTACGGTCAATCACTCGGTCTGGTTCCATTTGCCTTCGGCTAGAATCGATAATTGGCTGGCCTGCGAAAGAAAGACGTCTTGGGGAGCTGATGGTAGAGTCTTGATACAGCAGTCTTTGTGGAACAAGGCGGACGGCCAACTGGTGATGACATGTGTTCAGGAGGCTCTTCTCCGCTTGAAAAGGGCAAATCTGTAAACGGAGGGACAGCATATTATGGTACCCTCCGAAAACCCTTTGCCGGATTTATTTAATAGGCTCACTACAGACATTGACAGGGATCCATAAACATATAGATATCTAATTTTTTCAGAAGGATTGCAAGGATGGCCGGTTTGGTGTCAATACGAGTGTCAAGAGGCTCCAATGACTTTAATCCCAGTTCTCCATCTTCTCAGTACCAAACGTGATCTCCAGCATGACCTTGCCAAACTCATCAATGTCCGCGGACTTAGCCTCAGTGAACAGTCTCTCAGCATCGAATCTTTGTAAAAACCGAGCGTCCCCTAGGGAGTATAGCCTATGCCACTCGTCCGCAGACCCGGCATTCCAGAGCCCCTTTCCGTTCGTGAACATCATGCCGCCAGGACATAGTGCCCAGCCTTGTTGCATCATGAAGTAGCCTGCGTATACGACCATAGAGACCATCCACGTTCGCCGTACGCTTTCAGCTAATGCCCAACAGTACCACTGCTTATCTATAATGGAATTAGGCAGACATGTGATCCCCTCTGTGTCGGATATACCGCTCAAGGAGAGCTGTGAGAAAACCTGACCGGCTGATTCGATCAACTGTGTAGCCCACGAACTCAGGACGAACAAGCGGCTTTCGGCTACATGGCGTAATCTTGCATCACCATCAAAGAGGCATATAATCTGATATACTAACAAGGAATGGAGATAAGAGAGTTGATCTAGTATATCTGTCAATTTAGCGGCCGGTGTAGCATCCGGCCCAAGTTGATCCAGAATTGCTCCCTTGTCACGGAGCAGCTCATCTGCGCGATCTTGTACAATACGAAGCACAATCTCCTTGTTTCCATTCGTCCTGCTCAAATAGCTTGACAGAGTCACGTATGCCATCTGTATGCTGCTTGGGAACCTCGAACTGTAGAGGTGAGAATGTATGAATGGGTTGCTGCCTGTATCAACCCATCGATTGAGCCACTGCTGTAATACCAAGACATGGCGCTCCATTGCCGTAAAACCAACCGGAGGCAACTCGTTCATTGGGCGGTGGTCAACAACCCATGTCTCTGACGAAAGGAATCGGTCCTCAAGACTGTCGAAGTGATGGGAAATGCCAGAAGGTATAGACAACCCATATAGCAAGGGCGGGTCAAGATGGGCCTGCAATGGTGGAGTTCTAAGGATCAAGCCAGGAGACCTGAGCTGACTGACTACCACTTCTGTGGAGGTAGGAGTCTCAGTCAATATTGGCTCTACCAATAGGACAAATCGATTTGTCTTCGACGTCGAATAGGTGCACCTGATGCTTCGGCTCGCACATCTCTCGCAAGACGGTCGTTGCTTCCCACACTTCCGCTTCGTCCGTGAACAAGTGACGCAAGCTTTTTGTACTACGCACGCATTCATATTGAGGATTCATCTAATAATCAATTGAAATCTTCTCGTGCCACCGGGCCTCAAAATATGTTTTGCGCGGAATTGGCCTCAATTTGTCAGACGGAGAGGTAGTCCTATGCAGCGGCGGCGGGCTCTAACTCCTTTTGGCTAGATCCCGCAGCCTGAACAGTTGTACTATCAGTTTGTTGCTGGCATAGCGGAGTGAAGTTTGCGCCTTTCTCCGTCTAATACTGATATAACATGACAGCACGCATACTTATCGTGACCCAGTTTCCGCATGCTGCGGACAGAAAGTACCCGAGTGTGTGTTCGACGTAGAGTAGCTGCGAATTTATTTCGTCATGCTTGACGGTAGTTGTAACTAATTATAAAGGCGGCAGTCGCTGCAGCAGAACTTGGTGAAACTGATATGTAAAAGATATGCAAAGCTGTCTTACCAACTTAGAAATCCTAATCTCATACCAGAGAAACTCGTTTGCAACAGTATTGTACATAATAAGACCGAGGATCGCCGCCTCAAAAACATGGATCCAGGAAATACCACCAATTTTACTTCAACGGTCCATAGGACATCCTACGATGCCATCTCCTCGTCACGCAAAGAGCTTGATAAGACTCACAAGACCGTACTGATTACCGGCGGTGCGACAGGCATTGGCAAGGCCATAGCCCACAGCTTCATTGCAGCCTCGGCGACGGCCGTCATTATTGTTGGTCGCCGGGTCGACGTTTTACGTGAGGCTGCAGCAGAGCTTGAGAAATACGCCAGAGAAGCTGAGAAATCGACCAAGATCATCACTCGTTCCTGCAACGTAGCCAGTACGAGCGAAACATCAACCCTCTGGGATGAGTTCGCATCTGCTGGCATCACTGTCGACGTGTTGGTTTCTAATGCAGCCAAATTTACCGAGCCCAATACCATGTTTGAGCTTGGCATTGACGAGATCTGGACACAGTTCGAGACCAATGTAAAAGGCCCCATGTTCTTTGCGGAACGTTTCTACAAGCAGCCCGGCGATGACCAAAGGGTGAGTGCAAATTCATTCTTGTACTGATGACGCATTCCATGAAGACTGACGATCAATGTTCCCCAGTTTTTGGTCAACGTGACCTCTCAAGTCATCCACCAGTTCTATCACCCAATCATTCACGCTCGCCCGGCGTATAGTCTGACCAAAGCAAGCGGGACCCTAGCATACCAACTTCTCGCAAACAGCGTAGCCCCGGATAGGCTGCAGATAGTCAGCTTCCATCCGGGCCTGATCTTCGGGGCGGGACTAGAAGCTGTAGGGTTGACCAAAGACATGCTTCCGTTTGACGAAGGTGAGTGCCCATCGTAGCATGTTCATCCCGCAGCATTTGCAAATTGCTTACGCGTCGTATAGTGGAGCTACCCGGCGACTTTGCAGTGTGGGCTGCATCTAAAGAAGCCGAGTTTCTCCACGGCCGCTTTGTGTGGGCTTCTTGGGATGTGGTTGAGTTATCCGGAGGAGCGATCCGAGAACGAATTGATCGGGATCCATACTTTCTTAGAGTTGGAGTTGTCGGTCTAGAAGGATCGAACCGGGCCTAGATCCGCTGGAAAGTTGCTTTTTGTGGTGGTAAATTCATGATTAGCTTTCGCATAGGGAATTCTTTTTGGGTAAAGAGTCCGTTTATATATAGGGAATTAAGATCTGCACGGAGAAGAAGTTTCCCAGAAATTCATTGTTATAATTGTGCAGAGAGTTTACGACTATCACATCCGGGAATGAAATACTCGCATTTCTCGATGCAGACATTGAGGGGCCGGGTGTGTTGTCCACGGTTCGAATATTTATCCAGCCACAGAAAATAGCGGTGTTGAGCATATTCGAGATTTTGAGAGCGCAATTAGTAATCACCAGCTATGAATCTCCTGCTGATAGAGCTGCTTCGCGATTTTGACGTGTCTAGAGTAACGCGAAATCTGCACGTGCGGATTGGCCCGTTGAAATTCGTGCGACGCGATGATGGACGAATTAGTGAGACGCCTCATTATCTCACATTTGTGCAAAACTGGCAATCCAACGAAACTGCATCATTAGATCCCAGGAGACGTGCTCCGTATGTTCGCCTTTTATTATGGCTGCTAGACAAAGGATGCTGGAAAGAGAAGAGCAAAATCAGGAATCGGAATTGCTCACAGTTAGCACATGTTGTCCCAAAGCGTTAGCTCTCTGCAGGCCACAAACTTGATTCCTGGGCGTGAGGTTCACCAAGAAGCGCAAAGCCATCGCTCACAACACGCCTCAAAACTGCAAAGTCAGGCGATTCGTCCCGCAGGATTTCAATCTTACAGTGGTGGCCGTAGTGGAGATCGTTGTTAACTTAAGAATACCGGACAAGCACATGATTGCTGCGCTCGCAGTCAGTGGAGCAGGTTTAAGCACTACATAGGTTAGTCTATAGTCAAACTAGTTCTAGTCTAGTCTCATCTAGCATGAGGAGCTTTGCTGGTAGCATGAATGACCCCTGATCCGGGGATTCGGAACCATGCGCTGAAATAACATTCATCATCATCTTCAATTCCTGCCGCTTCTCTTCTTCATTCGCGACAAGCCCATCGAGCTCAAACACACGTTCTCCACGCATTTGACCTCGAACGTAGGTCCCTGTTACATGCACTGTCGCTCTGTGTCGCGTTGCCGCAAGTCATGAACACGGCAAAGCACAGCGTGGTGGACCGGTTGGCAGGGAGCCTGTCGGATCCCGCAGTGGCTTACAAGGCGGCTGTTGCTATTATAGCAGGCGTGGTGTTCTTCAAGCTCTTTCTCAATTCAAAGCCCCCGTACAAGCTGCCCGTTCGTGTTCCACTTGAAATTGCCATCACGGCACACCTTGTTTCGGCTGGTGGGTTAGGGCGCCGCATATAGTGAGTCGAGAGCTTATCACTATGTGTTCTGACCTTGAATCCTGACACATTGACCACAAAGCTCTATGATCCGTCGGTATAATGGCTCGTTGTTTGGTCTTTTCAAGAGTCACCAGATTCTTGTCGATCTACCAAATATTGACAAGTTCATGTCTCAAGGTCATGCCTACCTAGAACACATGCCAACACAGATAACACTTATGATACGAGTGTTTGGTGCTGAAGACTCCCAGAGGCTTGTTGATGTATGCGACTCGACTGTCAAAAGTTTACTCAACGTCATCGAGAAAGAATTTACAGGCGAAGCCCCCTCGACCGCTGCATTAGAGCGAGGCAATGTCGCTCATAAGATGTCGTCCTTGATTTCTTACAACGACAAGAAAGATGATATGCACCCATGGGAACGGTCTGCGAATATCAAGGTCCTTGAGAAGGGTCAATCGGGTGCCGTGGAGGCCGATCTAATGAGCTTGATGCGTGATTTCGGGGGTCATGTTGCCATCCCTGTGCTTTACGGGAAGGACCTCCTGCAGCGATACCCTACTCTTCTGGACGATCTGTGGAAGTTCGACAACGACCTCTTCCCCTTGCTTATAATAGGCATACCGACATGGGCTCCTTTTAAAATGGTTAGAGAAGGCGTCGCAGCACGTACTAGACTGATCAAAGCAATGGAAGGCTTGTATCGTCGTATCGACCAATATCAGAAGGGCGAGCCCGTCGACTTTGGCGCCGACATGTCAGATGTTGGTGTTGCCACGGAACGCAACAAAATCTATGCCAAGCACGATGTGCCCTTTGGGATCCGCGCAGACATGGATTTTCCGTTTCTATGGGGACAAAATGGAAATACTCAGCCGCTGTTGTTTTGGTACATCATATACACGTACTCTACTCCAGGACTCGTGGAGAGATTTAGGGAGGAAATGGCACCACATGTCAAGCTATCTCCCGGGAAAGGCCCCATTGAAGTTGAGTCGATTGACATATCGGCCTTGAACCGGGACTGCCCGCTTATGAAGTCGGCGCTTTTCGAGACCTTTCGCTTCGGAAACGAAGCAACATCAATTCGTCGAGTTGCGAAACCGTTGTCCGTAGCAGATGGAAAGTATCAGCACCAGTTACAACCCGGCAGTTACATATCCGCACCCTGGGCTCTCCACCAGAATGACCCTTCGGTCTACCCAGAACCGGAGAAGTTTCTGCCGGAGCGGTTCCGAGATGTGGACGCAGCAACGGGAAGAAAGGTTGCTCGCTATGGACCGTTGCGGCCCTGGTCTGTAGGACCAGGGTCATGTAAAGGCCGTACATTCGCTGAAAAGGAGATCTTGACCATTGCAGCATGTCTATTGAGTGTGTGGGACCTCGAGCCAGCCGCTGGGGAATGGAAAGTCCCAAAAGCTTTTCCAGGTACTGGCGCAAAGAGACCGGTGAACGATGTTCGTGTCATCTTCAGACGAAGGTTTAACAAGTAAGCACTGAAGGTCGCTGATAAATCTAATTTGCTTATAAAGCTTGGTTTTGAAGAAACTATGAACATTCGAACTCCCCATATCTCAATTCTTCCTCCATTTATGCGTACTTGTAGCAGAAGGCTGTGCCGCCAATGTTAACACCCCCCATTGGATCAAGAATATCCCGAATCTTGACATCAGGCCGAATACCACCCATTGAGATAACATAATCAAGAGTAAGCGCCCTGCCAGTAGAGTCGACTCCGCTGATGGTTGTGGTACGGCTAGGGTCAAGAGCTTGCCAAGCCGCAAAAGCATGGTCGATGAACGCATGGTGCACCCAGAAAATCGGGTCACTGGGGCTGGACCAGACGTCTTGCATTACACCACCAATGCCGTTATGACCATAGCCGTGCGGGCTGGACTGTGTGTTAGCACCCTAGACGACTGCAAGCTAAGGCGATTTCTTACCCATATTCAAGACAGGTTTCGAAGTCGGGATAGGCGGTACGCGCTTGGCAGTAGTTGATGAAAGCCGCGTTACATTGAGCTGTGTTGGTTTCCGTCACTCCTCGGGATAAACAGTGATTTGTCTGCGTAGTGCCCGGTCCAATGTGAGCCGTGACACCTCTGAAAGCACCGGTCGAGATGCATTGTGGGTTGCCGTTGAGGAGGCCAGGCAAATTGCCAAAAAGATTGGGGTTTGTGAAGATGTCCGAATTGGCGAAATTACCGGCGTCCAAGGTCTCATCCCACCACATCATGGCGCGGCCTGCTCAAGGACAAGTTAGCGACATATTTGGCCGACACCAGATTTTTCTCGTTGCATACTATAACCGCACTCGGTTCGAAGGACCTGCTCAAATGTCCACAGGAAGTAGCGGTGCCAGATGAGGAACAAGGCATTGTTGTGCACCTGTGTCATGACATTCTGGTGCAAGGCTACAAAGTCCTCATACCGGTTTCTGGACTGCGAAAATCTGCCGGACGGCGCCCTGTTCAACAAGCATTGGCAAGCGGTAACAAAAGAAAGACGGCGGCCGGCAGAGAAGTTCCTCCATTCAAATCGGTAGTTTGGACTCGCCGCACAAGCTCGAGATGCCGCGGTGGTGGCCTTGACTGAAACGGCTGCCGAGATTTTCAGTGACGACTTGACCGATGTGTCCACAGATGCCGTCAAGTTCGAAACCGGTTTTGGGGGCAGGTTCTGGATATCACGATCCAACCCCTGTTTAGCTTGGTCGAGAGTGATGACTTCGAACTTCGGAAATGCTGAGGCGGGCATATTGGGGGCATCTCGAGGCACAACCATGTGCGCGGAGACCGCCGAAGCGGTAAGCACGATTGAAATCTTCATGATTATAACTTTGAAGCTATATCATTAAAAACTAGTATTAGAAGGAGTATAAAAAGCGAGTGACAATGGGAAGCGAGATGGCCTCTGCCCCCCAAAAAATTCAAACTCTTCGTGGCGGGCAGTCATGCCTATTTCTATTCCATCGAAACTCATGTTAGATTCAAGCCATCCTCCGTTTACCGAGATGTAAGAACGCCTTATCGAGTTTGTCCATCCACAAGATGCCATTAGTCTCGTGGCCGTGGCGTTTGCATCCAGACATTTAACCTTCACCAACGCCTGCATACCAAGTGGGGCAGCAAACCTATTTTCAACCGTCATGGCGCGCATAATCGGCGACTATTGGATGTTTGGAACGGCAAAAAGATAGCTGGGCAGCTGGGAAAGAAAGGCTCCAGTGCAACTCATCTGCATGCTTGATAATAAGCTTCTTCCCCCAAGGAGCGTTGAAAGGCTAAATTGTCATTCACCCAATGAAGTGTGGCGCCGTCGTACCGTCTACTTGGGCCGCCAGCCCCTTTCCGGATCTGGGGCCTGGGGGCTGACATGACAGCGCATCTACCTTTTAGTCTTGACGCCAGTCCAATAAATGCACGTAATCACTCATGCGATCGACTTCGTATTGACGATGCATGAGACGGCGCGCTCCATTGCGGTCAGCCGCATCGTACCGAGTGGCTGCAAGAGCTTTCAAAGACGAGACGTAAATAGGAATCCGGCGACAGTCCTTTCGAGATTCAATTTAGAGTTCCACGAAATCGCCAAGCTTGTCTTCCAAATTTCCCGGCTAGGATGTCAGTCGATTTCGTTGCGTCTGAAATGTGGAAATGGGCAGTGGCGCACGGGTCGTTTCCCTCGATATTCGTTTTGGCCAGCCAAGTTGTGGTTGCCCAGCCCAGACCGCCGTCTTGTCATCAATACATCTCTTTCAGCTGGTAGAACAAGACTTCAATCCTGCTTCTTATCATTCCTCGGCAGAACGTTACATCGCGCTTCGGCGGTCATCGTATCACCACATTTTCTTACATGCATCGGCGACGGGAAACATGCCAGTATCCAACAACAAAAAACCCAATATTAATACTAAAATCCCCAGCCGCTGGTTGTCTCTGTTGATGTGGGGCTTGGCATGGATCTCAACCAAACGGCCCATAGAAGGAAGCAGCAGAGTACGCGTTCGCAAACCAGCAAACGTCAGAATAGTGGGTGTGAAGGAGCCGATGATCCGATCGCGTTTACTAGTGGTGCGTGCAGACCATTCGGATGATCAGTTCACTCGTAATGCTTCGAGTCATCCCAATCACGGGCCGTAGGTCCTAGTGAAGAATGTGTGTAAACTCAATCTGGACGAAAGTTTGTCCTATCCACCACTTTGCAATATGCAGCCAGCATTGATCTATTTACGGATGTACACTGATAATATTGCCAGCCAACTTGATCAAAGTCGCATGGCAAATGATGATGTCTCATCCTTCGATCTCGGTCATCGGCATCGGCAACAGATTTCGCATCCTACCCTTTGGATTTGTCTTCACATGATTCATTAAACAGAGAACGTAAGAGATTCCTCCACGACCGAGGTCTCAACCCGGAAATTTGATTCGCGTCAACGTGGACCTTACAGCAAAGCCTCACGGATACGATTCGCAATATGTCTTAATGTTACACGGCTAACAATCTACTGGTCCCTTCCCTCAACAGACTCTTCCATTGCCGCTTTTTGTTGCTCCATTTGTTGCCGTCACAATAACACTAAAAATCGCATCCGATACTCCGAATTTGACATGTGCAGATTACTAGAAACTCACACGTCGTCCATATGCTATATCAGGTCTATTCGACGAGGGATGAGTATGAGAGCCAGGTCCGGTGATTGCTCGATTTCTACTACACTGAAGATGCTCCTCCGCATCTGAGCACGAATGATCAAGCAGCTTAATCATGATATTTCCTGCTTGAGATCGACCAAGGATGCAGTACACTTAGCAATATTTCATGATCACTGTTGCTTGTCCTCGATCAAGTCCATTATACATTACTATTTCTCAGCCAATATAACACCAACGTAATCACGAATTCTGATACAACGGCACCACAACATCGTTGCGTTGCGATCTTGCATTGCTCGAAAGGTAGTATACAATATGCAAAATAATAATCTAGATACTGTGTAAAGACTACACTAATTCTAGACTGAAATTGAAGGATAATGAAGAGGCCCATTACATAATTATAGACTGTCTGATAATTGTATGCTCACGTGGCGTCTGCTTGTATATAGTGCAGTCATGCAATAAATCAGCGCAACGCACAACATATAAGCGTACACACGGCTTCAAATTCAATACTTGTTATATCACTTGGACCACTCTGCAGAACATTTAGAACTTGGGCATCAATGGCGACACAGAGGCTGCGGCTTCCGGAGATACGATCTACCTGTCGCGTTTATTTGTAACACACGAGCCTGAGTTCGCCCTAAAGCTGTGTTGCCATGTGACGTTCGGTGTCTAAGAATCAGTCCGCGCGAACAATATTGGTAAGAAGAATCATGATCGGCCAATCAATTGGTTACGCCTGTATCTATCTCGATGCCGAAGTATGTAAATGCTTCGAGTAGAATAAGTAGCACGGACTAATTGACCGCTAACGATATTCCATGCCCGATGTCGTTAGTTGCTAGTATACGTGTCATCATGCCGTTTTCGCGTCTTAACGAGAGCCGGCGTCATTCCCTACAATGTTCCGAATTTGGTTTTCCTTCTCTGAGAGAACCAATTCGCCATCGCTTCAGGGCCATTACGCAAGGAGGGTTGAGACGTCTACCACAGCTCCGTCGTGGCGCTAGTGATATCGGGTCGTGCTCCATACAAATCCCATTTCCTTGCAGGAAGACAGTTAATCATTGTGTCCGAGTTATGCTTAGTTGTGACATTCAAAAACAGTGTGCCCAACGTCCATAGAACGATGGTAATCTCAGGGTACATATTCGTTACCACATTAGTTCTACCCGCCACACTCCCTTTTGCCGTGTTGGCAATGTCATCGATGCAAATCTTCAGATCACTGCCAATGTTGACAGGCCCTCAAAGTGCCTGATCTTTGTCGAAGTAATTGACCCTCTTACAAAGCCATGCTTTAATTAAAATATATCTAAGCGCTAGAATCCCCATAATGAACAGTTGATAAACCCCTCCATGGGTGCTGCCTCGAAGCTTGGCACAACGCGCCAATTATTGATCTGCATCTGCGGACTAAAGGCGTCGAAACCACATTCAATTCAACCGGCAAGCCATGAACTCGCTAATGTGTATATTCTGGGACTTTTGTGACTCTCATGACTCTGATAATACCAAAAATATAGACCGAAGCAATCCTTGTTCTCCAGTATTCTTCTGCCCGAAATTTGACCTTGGGGGCGCCATACATGGCTGTGATTCTTGTTTGTCTTGGGAATATCAGCCCCGTTTCTCTGTCATACGATGTACTAGCCATTCGTATTTTTGTCTTGTGTGTGACCGCAAGGTCAGTTACACTCTTCGTATCCATGAAAGAAAGTCTTGAGGACCTCGGAGATCACTTCAAGAACGTGGCCAGTTCCATCCTTCTTCAAAAATAGTACCTTCCTTGCTCTTACGTAGGGACTTAACAAAAAGAGAGGTTGTTATAGCCTTGTTAACATTGCTTATGTATATATCGCCAACCATTTCCCCTTTGATGCAGCTTCCAACAATGTCTCGCGCCAGCGGGTATCCAGATACCGCAATTTGTGCAATTAAGCAAAGATCGATACTGATATTTCATGGTATTCAAGGGCAGAAAAATTCTACCCCTGTTCTCATGACCTACACTGGATGAACTATTCCCAGGTGTCACCGCCTTAGCCAATCTTATTATGTATCATATTCCTGCATTTTCATCCGGAGAACCTACAGAGTGGAATAAACTTCGAGGTTATTCTATATTAGATCCATGGAAATCCACACCGAACTGATTGTAATCTTCACGATCTTTGGTGCGCCCTATCCACCAGGTCAAGCACGATCTCGTCGTTTGGAGCCATTCCACGAGGCAAAGGATTCAAGAAGGATTGCTGTGTTAAAGGAACTCTTAGCAACCCCCCTCCTCCAAAAAAGAAAACAAGAAGGGGGGGACGAGATAAAGGAATTAGATCACTGGTTAGTACGGTTGTCACCACGCCATTGAAATCGGCCCCGCGGTTGAGGCTAAGAAGCCGGAGTCGGTTGAACGAGCCTCGGCAACAAATGATTTCGTACAGGCAAATAAGGGCCAATCAATGTGAGCTGCGTTTCCTCGCTTGTCAGCAATATATCTGGCTTTCCGCTACATTTTTACAGCTTCATAATGAAGTCAAGTGTGCAATTTGCAGTGTGTCATTATGAAGAGCGGCACTGGGCGATGAAATGATTCAACAGTGACTTAGGGCACTGAAGATGCACTGTGTAGTTTGGGAAGTTTGGGCGTTGCTGCAAGCTGGCAAAATGATGGGTCGACGTACTCCGTGCGACTGCTGCGCAACTGTAACCGGATACTCGAATGGTCCTATTACACCTCTCCAAGGAAACGGAGTCTGCAATTCCCCGTGATTTGGCTAGATTAAAGCGATCGTCTGCTATCCATCTGCGACATTCTTGCCATATTTACATATTTGACTTCAAGACTTTAAACGCATCCTCCCGGGCACCACCATAGCGCGTCTCGGCCGTCTTCCAGTTGATGATCTTCCAAACGTTCTCCAAATAAGCCGCCTTGCCGTTTAGGTACTGCAAATAATACGCATGTTCCCACATATCGACACCAAAGAGGGGTGTGTCACCCACGACGACGGCCTCCTGGTTGCTGAGCGTCACAATTCGCAGCTGGCCCGTGACAGCCTCCTTGACGAGCCAGCCCCAGCCGCTTCCTTGAATGCCGAGAAGCGCGGCACCGAACGTCTCCTTGAACTTGTCGAAGCTCCCCCAGGTTGAATTGATGGCTGCGATGAGCTTGGGCGCCGCGTCATGTTGGGAATCTTGTGAGGAAGCTGGGGCCAGGTTCTCCCAGAAGAGCGAGTGGTTGATGTGACCGCCGCCGTTGAAGCGAATGGCACTCAGCTGAGCAGCAGAGTCTTGTAAGTGACCTTGTGATAAAGCAGTTGCCGAAGTTTCAAGTGCCTTGTTCAGATTTGTGATGTAGGTCTGGTGGTGCTTAGAATGGTGCAGCTCCATTATCTGCTTCGAAATGCTTGGCTCCAATGCCTGTCAAAGTGTCAATTTTAACAGTCGCGTTTGTATCTACCTTATCGATAAACTCACATCGTAAGCGTACGGCAGCGGAGGAAGTTTGTAGATCGAGCCGGCCATATTATCTGAGTTGTGTTTGTGAATTGGACTTTCTTTACTAGAACGGTTGCTGAGAGTTCAGAGCATCACAACCCATCTAGATAACCGACCAAAAGATGGAGGGGCATAAGAGGGGCAAACCATCAAGGTTCTCTCGATATTTCAAAAGGATACGTGCCGAGTTGGGTATTTGTCAGACGAGGCCATGACACGTCACGGTTGGTACTGGCGGGTGATGTACCTTGATGGCCGCTTTAGCCTCCTGGCCCTCAAGGTCAATGCCCTTAACGTAAATCCATCATCTTGTTGCAGAACATTTCTGATGATAAAAGCAGCATTAAGCCTAGTTCTGAGTGTCGGACCAACTGCGTCAGTTTGGAATGAGACACTGGTGGGCAAGAGCGCAAAAGGGCTCAAACTTGCTCATATTACGTTGACGCTATACGGTGCTGGTAACAATTTGTTACTAACAACTCAATCTTGTGGAACCTAGCAGAACCTTTCAATTCACTTTGTTGCTGCCGGGGTATTCAAATACTCTTTACTGTACTGCAAATTTAGTCACTCAGCAGTGTCGCAGATTGGGATTACCGCAAGTCTCCGGATTGGCTATACTATTACACGGATTTCCAAACATATACAAAAGTCGACATAGGTTGGCGGTGCTTTGCTCACAAACAGGATACTTGCATTAAGATGTGTGGTAATAGTTCCCAGCGATCGCAAGGTGGCGCACTGGCCGTGCTCAGTCTTTCACATGATATTTCTGGTTCCCCTATCAGATCTAGGGTGCCAGTGATGGCGGGCTGCTTGACGTTCCGAGATCAGGATGAGGGAAACAGCATATCAGCAAGTTATGTGACTTTCACAGTAGACCTCACTACGTGTATGCCACCGCCAGAGGAAACATGTATGATTGGCATCCAGTGAGTTCCCGATCAGTTATGGGTTAAAAGCTGCGCACTAAATAGCTAACTGACCATGTCATAGCGAGACTGGTGATTTGAGAACATCAGCAATAATGAGCCCCTTCAAGTTCAAACTAAACTTGACGAAGTTATCTGCTGTAGATGAGGACAGTGGCACTTTTAAGATGTCTGCAAAACTTGATCACCTATTAATGGCCAGTGTTGGCGGAGACGGAATAATAGGTCGCAGGGTCAGCCTTTGGACGCCGCAATCAATTGCCCCTTTTGCCGAGGGTATCATAGGGTTCAACTAAGTCCCAACTTCCACCATACTTTGTGCTGGACTATTCTGTTTTCGATGCCCATTACGATGCATGGTGTCTTTGTGTTTTGATGCGACCAATGATTGGAACGATACCTTTTGCAGCATACTAGTTGACAAGGAACCATCACCCAAAGCGGACAAGATCTTTCAACTCCATCTTCGCGGTTTGAACACAAAGCCAACGTAGCACAATGCCTGGTATCGTCAAAACCACTTGGCATGCACGTTAGCCGGTATCTACACCCCTGTGTCAATTCTGCAACAACCAAGGGCACGTAGTATCGCGTGAACCACATACACACAACAAAGAATTCTTGAAACCGACAGGTATTTCAGAGACTTCTAAGCCTCTAGTAATCGTTATAATGGCGAATTTTTTCTCGTCTAAAAACGGAGCCTACCAACAGGTCCCGGCCCCAGTGCCTATGAGCCTCGAGATGTACGTTGTCGAAGGTGATACCCTCGCAAAAACATTTCACGCTCTTGGGGACAGCCTTGAACAGCAGCAACATCACGAGTATGATGCCTACTATAAGGCCCTCTACTCCCATCTGCCTAAGCGGAAGACTGTACCTGGAGTTGTGCCCGACCTCACAAGCAATCAGACGACATGCAACAGGCCTACTCCAAACGAGTCGGGAGTCAGCTCAGCCACGAAGAAGACCTCCGAATCAGGATCAAGCCAGGGAGTTGGGACGTCTAGGAGGACTCGACCTGCGCGACGTGTGCTGCGTCGGCTACAGCGTGTGTCGTTCCTATAAAGCAATCAAGCTTGGCAGAGGATATTTGGTGATTAAGCGACCAGGATAGCGTCATCAGAGCAAGCTGTACGTTCCGGAAAGACAAGCTTACTATTGAGTGGGATATAGAATGCACACATGTGCTATCATGATCAATCAAACTCGTCTTTTGAATGTTAAGTCGGGAAGTGAGAGCCCTTGAGCCTCATCCCATTTCATGAATCAAGTTTGATCTATGACCTCTGTTATGTTCATATTAAGTCAGGCGTCAAGTCCCAGGTTTTATGCTCGCTGTTTGTCCGCGCCTCGCTTGAGTTATGCTTGTTTGAATAATGCTTGTTTGAGCACCCGGTGTTGATGATTTTTGAACTACGCGGTTGTGACGGGATAAAAACGCGTGGTTTAAGGTTTAAATTTAAATTTTTTTTTAAAAAAATTCAATTGAGACCAGATTCTTGAAAGCAGCAATGGGGGGGGGCAGGAAAGTCATCTCGGCGGCGCATGCTTGAGACACCATGGAGGGAACATCACGCAGCTTTCATGATATGCAGCAAAGACAAGGTTAGTGGATCACTGATGTCAAATAAGACTACCTATGTGCGGCTGTGGTTGAAATATATACAAGAAAAACATTTAATCGCTGGTGTCAGATGGCTTAGGCCTTGAGTTGGGCAGCAGCACGTCGCTTCTGGCAGCTGGCGCGAGCGGAGACGGTTGACGTAGAAGCCGCGGCCGCAACATTCTGAGCACCACGTCCCTTCTGGGTCGTGGAAGCCTTAGCGGTAGTCTTTGCAGATGTCTTGGCCGTGGTCTTTGCAACCGAAGTGAGGACGCTTGTCTTAGCAGTTGTCTTGGTAGAAGACTTGGCGGCGCTGGTTGTGGTGCTCGAGGAAGTTGCGGCTGTTGTGGTCTTGACGGCGGCAACGGCCGAGGTCGAAACAACCTTGGCAGCAGAACCACCGGATCCGCCCAGGATGGCGCTGATCGGTTGTATTCCAGGGAAGAAAGATGCGGGCATGGTAGGAATCGCAATCGAGGCAGTCAGGCCAAGGCCAGAACTGAGCTCGCCGGCCATGGTGGAAATGGCATATCCAGACACGGTGGTAGCGGTCTGGGTGGTAGTGTATGCAGTGTGGGAGCTGCCTTCGTTTAAGCAGAAACCGGACCCGTAAGCATTCTGGCAACCATAGAGAACAGAGCTACCGGATTCAGTCCAAACGGCGAAGTCCTCAACGGTGATGTCCGTGCAAGGAACCTTGGCTGGGCAGTTCATCTTGATAGGGCCACGGTTCACACCGTTAGACGCAGTGCCCTTCCAGCCGCTGAAGCTAATGTTGTTGTAGTTGATACCGTTACCGCTGACAGCAGACATACTGCTCCAGGCGGTATCAAAATCGAGGGTGTAGGCATTGCTATGGCCTTGGAAGTTCTTAAAGGCGACGTTGTAGACATCACCGTCACCACCGTTGGACTTGATCATGTACATCTGGTTGGCGTGGTGCGTGTATATGTTGCGGTACTCAATATCGTGAACAGCGACGCCTGAACCAAGGGACCCCATAGCGCAACCGCCAGACCAGTTGCAATGCACTTGCTCGACCAGGATGTGGTCGGCAGGGCTCTTCACGGTTACGCACTCATCCTTGTTGGTGACCTCGATGTCGTGGACCCAGATGTTGGTGCTCCAGATATCGATTCCGTCCAGACCACCTTGGTTGGCACCGCGGATGATCATGTTGTACAGCTCACCGTTCGTGCATGTGTCGAGGGACAGGTGGAAAAGAGGGGCTTGTTCAACGTCAGAAATGGACATTCACTCGGACTGGCTTCAACTTACAGTCAACAAGAACAATATCGTGCACCGAGAAGTCGGTACACTTGTAGAAACGCAGGAGACGAGGGCCGGAGGTGGAGCCACTCTTGTGGAACTCATAACCGTATCCCTGCATGGCGCCCTTCGAAGTGGCAGAGTAAACCTCGAGATCGCTGCTGTCCCTAATCATGATCATGTTGCCTCCAGCGGTTCCGGTACGGTAAATAGTTCCCTCAATGTTGATCGAAACACCCTTTCCGTTCTTCAAGGTGACCCATGTAGCCATACCGTAGTCACCTGCGGGGATGTAAACCTGACCGCCGGTCTTACATGCGTCCCAGGCAGCCTGGATGGCAGCACCATTGTCAGAGGTTGCGCTTGCTTTACCACCATAGTCCAAGATATTACAGATCTTCGTGGCTGCCTTTGCAGATGTAGATGTTGTGGGACCAACTGAGCCGGACAATTGAGCAGTTGCAGGAAGAATGAAAGAGGCCGCTGCCAAGAGACCAGCTAGGAAGGCAACCATTGTGAAGAAGATTTATAAGCTTTTGTGTCGAAAGTAACGAAAGAGAATGACTGTAGTGGTGCCAACAAGTGGCTTGCAAAAGAACGACTGAGAGATTGGACTGACAAGAAAGACAAGAAATGTCAAAAGAGGAAGACTTACCGAACATCTAATATGTTAAATCGCTGAAGGTCTAGCCAACGAGCTCGCGGCATTCCTTGTCATGAACGTTGCGGCTCCTTGCTGGGTGCCCCTGTACAGATCATGATGGACTCCTTTCTTCTATGGTGGATCAACACTGGGGTTACCCCTGGCTGACGGGCGTTGCGAAGAACAATTTTCCCACTGTTTCAATGTTTCAACCTGCAGCAAGCCGCATCATTACCAAGGATCGGCAAAGCATTATCGCTTTTTCAATCGCTGAACAACATGTCTTCAATTTTTCAAGTTTTAACAGCATTTCAGCAAAGTGCGGTCATATATTGATGGGTGCATGTTGAGAATGCAGGCGATGTTGGGCCCGAACCGAAAAGCCAGAACGAAGAAAACCTGGGCGATGGACATACAACAACGGTTTTGTGTGGTTTTGCCTTCGCTTAGGTCGTCTATTTGAGCCGCTCACTGTTCATGATTAAGACCATGTCCAAAATTGATTGAAATCCCGATCTCATGAACTCATTTCAATGGGCCTGCCACCTCATTAACTTGAGATCGCATTTGTTGGTGGCGCTTTCAGTGCTTCCACCTCGACGCGAGTAAAATTGGAGGAGTGGCCATCCCTGCCTCCCCGGATTCCGCCCGAGCATGGCTGATCTGGGTTAATTTTGAAAGCGTAGGACTCGGCATACCATGTATGCAATAACTTTGTCTACTGCATCACTTCATCGTCGCCGATGTTCGCTTAATGTATGTTGTGAACCAGAAGTGCATGTTTATACCAGAGTCTGTGATTATCGTGGCGAAAGGCATAAATGCATTTCGCTGACTGGTGCATGATTTGCTTATCTCCGTGCAGGGTCGCAAATGTCCACACTATGTAAAATACGGCGCAGGCCGCCTCCCGTCAGCTGTATGGATTACACGCGCATCGAACTGTCTTGGTCTGTGCCATCCTAACAAGACAGGCTTGAGTGGGGAATCTCCCTCTAGATGAATGAGTGTTTCAGTCAAACGACGACGTGCAAGGGACCAGCAACCACCAAACCGCCAAATTGATTAGGCTTTCGACGCGGGCGTCTCGACGTGATAGATAGATCGCGCATAGGTACCGGTGTTCACATCAACAACAGCCGGCCCACCGACCTCTACCGGTTGTCTCGGCACTCTAGACCGATTGCTGTAACATCCGATTAATCCGTCGAGGCCACATTTAGCCGGGAATGATGGATTGGCCATGGGACTTCTTGACCCTCTCAGATGCCGAGAAGCAGGCCCGTCGCGTTTCGTTAGACAGGCATGCTGGATACTCTCAACTATCCGCACTTGTGCCAATTGTGCTCTTCTTCCTCGTGCGATTTGTTTCATGGCTCACCGCCAAGTACGCAGCCCGGAAACCAACTTATGATGCCGTGCCTGGCTCTCCTGTCGCCAAGTATAAGAGAGAACATACCTCAAACTTCTGGTCTGCAACAGCACGAAGAATCTCCTGGTGGCTAAAAGATGATGTCGTGTTTGCGGGTCAAAGTTTGGGTCGAAGGGATACATTGCTCTATGGAACAGCGTACACATTCTGGTTGCTATTTCTATGCTGTCAAGGCACGGGTCGAGGTAGAGCAACCCTCATAAAGCCGGGGGGGAAAAATACTAATACTTCCTAGACTACTTCCACCTGACTAAACGTTTTGGTGCTGTCGCTACTGCACAGTTCCCAATCCAATATCTTCTGTCGCTGAAGTATATAAACCCCGTAGCATTTGCCCTCAAGTCGTCGCATGAAGAGGTGAACCGCTGGCATAGAGTTCTAGGACGCATCGTTTATTTTCTGCTTTGTCTGCATGGCGCCCTCTATACCAATTATTATATCCAAACGGGCGTGCTAACACAGAAACTCACATCTTCTCGAGTTGCTATTCTCGGACTTTCAGCTCTGCTGGGAATGACGATCCTAATGACGACATCACTCTCATTTATCCGAAACTATTCCTACCGGGTATTCTTTATCGTTCATCTGGCAGTGGCTCTTGCGCTCCCACCATTCATATGGTTCCATGTCCACCATGCTCGAGTTTATATGGCTGAATCGTTGGTGGTATTCATAATCGACTTGGCAGCGCGCAAGTTGACAACGACCACAGCTCCGGCGACTCTCGAGCTTATTCATGGGACCGACCTCATCAAGATCAATATCAAGACTACGCAGAAGTTTGTGTCTAGATTCGCGGACTTTCCCGGATCGCATGTCTATGTGAACATACCAGTCGCCTCCCGCTCAGGCTCTTTCAAGATGCTTTACGAGTTTATGTTCAATCCTTTTACTGTGGCAGCGGTCAGTGAAGAATCACAAGAGTTGACCCTAGTAGCGCGGAAGTTGAAGGGCCCAATTAGCCACGCTTTTGATAATCTGGCACGTATCAGTGCTTCGGGTAGCAACGCGCCCCTTAGCATCGAAGGTCCTTATGGCAGCAGCAAGTACTTCGCGGACCTCGTAGGAGTCAAGGCCGATCGGATTCTCTTCGTTGCCGGTGGCGTAGGTGCAACCTTTATCATGCCGATCTATCAGTATATCGCTACCGAGAATCCAGCTGCCCGTATCGATCTCGTCTGGGCCGTGCGTGAGGCAGGCGAGGCGACCTGGGCAACTACGGGCAATGAGAAGAGTATCCTCGATGATGATCGGGTACAGCTTTATTTGACGGGCAATGTGTTTAACTCGGCCTCACGTATCGCAGATGACGAAGTCGAAATGGACAACCTGCATAGAGATACGATGCGCAACAAACACATGCCTAATCAAAGTACCAAGCGTCCCGACCTGAAGAAGATTGTTGACGACGTATTTCGCCAGGGCCAGGAAGATCGTGTGGCTGTTCTTGTCTGCGGCTCAGAAGCTATGGCGAGAGAGCTTCGAGGCTATGTAGGAGCATGGGTAAGGAAGGGACGCGAAGTCTGGTGGCATAACGAGAACTTCAGTTGGTGATGGTCATCATGCAGGGCTTAATGTGAGGACGAGTGCCTGTTTCCAAAATCGCACGGGCATTTGACCTATAGAGTTAGACAAATTTAGAAAATGTAGTGGCTTAGTCGATGGACAAAAGCATAGATACGGCACTAACCGTTGTGTCCTGAGTGATGTCTTGCACACTTTCGTAAGTCCATCTTGCCAGTATCTGTAAAAGAGAGGGTGATTCAGAGCGGTAATTGGCAGTGCGGAAGTGGTTACTAGATTCACCCGAGCTTAAGGACCTTAATTCTCAGACCCTCAGCACCTAACCTAGTATACTACGAAACTGGCTGTAAACGGCCTCTGCTAGTAACTCTGAGCGCATGCCAACTTTGTGTATCTATGTCTTGTTTTCCATTCGCTGCAACAGCCAGCCATTTGCCGTCATTTTCATCATACCAACCAACGGCAGAAACCTGAACTATCAGATACTAAAGCAAAACAGCTTCAATGGCAGTGTCGAAACTCAACAACAACAACAACAACATACACACCTATCATGCTGATCAAAGCTCTCAATGGAGAACCTCTGCCAATGCCTCGTCGAATCTTACATTGATGTCCATCCCTGTTCAACCTGCTGCTCACGCACTCTCTCCATGCGCGCTTCATGGTACGCCTGTTGATACTCCGCCATGACCTTCCGCAGGACCCTGTTCGACGCCCTGCGCTTGAGCGTTCCAACAACGGCTTTCTGTGCCGCATCACGGGCTACAGTGCTATTAGTAGGGCTCGGGTCGTATTGTGCGTACGCCACTTTTGGGTCAAATTCGTCGTTGCCTGGGGTCTCTTCTTCTTCTTCCGGTACTGGAGAATGTGGCTTCTTTTTGCCCTCGGGTGCTAATACTTTGGTGGGCTTCTTCTTTTGCGCTGATGATCGTTTGTAGCTTTTCGACGAAAACTTTGCCTTCTTCACTGCTGCACCTCTGGCGCTGGCGCTGAAAGTAGAGCGCTTGGAGACGCGTCTGATGCCTTCAACAGAGGCCATTCTTGGTTGTGAAAATGTGTGGGATAACGAAAAATGGCAACAGTTTCTGGGATATTGTAACGTTGGTAACACATTGTAGCTTTGCACAAGGTTTTGATGGCCTTATTCTTTGTCTGGCCAACGATCCGAACGTTTGCACCTTGATAGCGAAAGACAAAGCACCAACGACAAAGGGCATCCACGAATGCATCTTTAAGGAGCTTCAATCGAGAGGGATCCTTCTAACATAGATTGACAATACGACATTATTACCCCTTAGCTGACCGTTCCCCTGCTGCCCGGTTAAGAATTTCCACCAGGTCCGCTGAATGCGTACTACATTCCGTCTCAATCAATTTCCTCACTTTTCTCGACCTGGGACGAAATATAGCTATGGTCTTTTGTGGTCGAATTGCAAATCCAGTACTGACTGCCATGGGATCGATGGTTATTTTCTTGCCATTCTCGTCCATGGCTGGCTCAACATTGAACGCCCATAGAAGCCGTGATATCACGATGAACAGCATTTTTCTTGCGATATGCTGACCCGTACATACTCTCCTGCCAAAGCCGAAGCCCGAGAGATGCATATCTTTGAGGCCATCCTTGACTTGAGTGGTTGTGTCGTCCTTTTCGGGAATCCATCGCTCGGGAAGAAATGCATCGGGATCTTTTCCGAAAACCGATTCCTCCCGACAGATAGCCCAGTGATTCGCAACCACTATGGATCCAGCGGGGATTCGGTAGTTGTGGTACTCATCATCTTTCTCGCCACCGAACTTGTGCGGCACGCCTCCGGGGACAACCGGACGCCAGCGCAACACTTCGTGTATAATGGCCGTGACGTAAGTCAGCCGAGGCTGGTCCTCAAATTGCGGGAGCCTGTCTTGTCCAACTACTTCGTCTATGAGCTGTTGAGCTTTGGCTACAAATCCCTCGTTCTGAGTAAGCCAGGCGACGACGAACCAGCCTATAGACATTGTCGTCGTGTCCAGAGCCGCATCTGCCAAAATTCCCAAATCGAAGGCGAACTCCACAGGTGACATATTTTTCGCCTCGCTGCTGCCCTTCATGTGCTTCGTAAAGTTCCAACCCGGGTTTTCGAAGCCCCGCTCCATATTGCCCATGTGTAGATTGCGCTCCAGGTCCCATAGTGCCTCAGCTTCTCTCTTCCATGGTGCCAGCGGTACCGGAAGGTAGTTCAGGAACGGGAGAACCTCCACAACATGTGCGCCTGGCTGGAATCTTTTGATGAACTCGACCTGCACGATCTTGGCGTGCACCAGCGCTTGTTCAAACCCTGTCTTCAAGCGGTATCCATAGATTAGTGCATAGATAGTGCTTGCGTTGGCCCTCTCAAACCAACGATTAAAGTCGGTCCCTCTATCTGCTGCACAATCACTCGAAGTCAGCAGGTCCAGAAGCAGCTGCCTCGACTCGAGCTCTTGGAGAGGGCGGTATGCGTTAGCTGCACGTGGGTTGAGCACCGGGGACTGCATCCTTTGATGCAGTTTGTACGCCGCATCATAACGACGCAGTAAAAGGTGCAATCCCTTGGTGGCAAGTTCGCCAACGACAATGGCGCGGGGGCGCTCAGAATAATCCGCACCACGTTTACTAAGCAGAGCTTGGGCAGATTCGAGAGTGTTGAGGACAACTACTGGCTGACCAGCCATGCTGAGGTGAACTACAGAACTGCTGTCAATGATCATATATTCTTAATTCTCGACACATCCAATGGAGTTGAGGCCCAAGGCCTGCTTAGGCCCTACGCACTAAGATACATGGCAGCCGAGTTAGAAATAGCTTGGGAAAGATCTACTTACATATCGGTCCGTATAATTTGCTCCATGCAGAGTATTGAAGCCATGGTGTTTCCTTTGGAGCTTGGTGAGCATTGCCGATTAACGGGAGAGGAGTGGGACCTGGTGGAAGTGGCAACCTGGTTCTGCCAACAAGAAGCGTCACGAAATGTCTCAGAAGTAGCAATACGACAACCCCAGCTGTGACACATAGAAGTTGAACAGCCATGTTTCGAATCATTACGCCTCTGTAGACTATAAAACTGAGTTGGAAGAACCTGGAATAGATGTTGGCACATGTGTGAACGACCAAGAAACTCATAACTACCTTGATTTCAATTAATATAATGCCATTGCAAAATGCTGAATGTTGCGTACCTAAGGTGACAGGATTACAGTCATGGCTCGTTCATTGCATATGCATGTGCTACCAGGGTCATTCATTGGCCTATGGCATCATCAGTCAATATTTTACAAAATTTGATTGGGTGAACGTTTGTGGATAATGCGCAGTCATGAGACAGGGGTATTCATCCTTCCATGCAAAATTGCACAGGCCCGGTTGGGATACTCCAATGGAGAGTCGCACGATAACGGGAAAGATACCAACAACGGTAATAGCCTGAGGCAAGAGTGTGCGAGTTGTTGCCATGCGCACACCAGATGCATTGAGCTAGCTAATAGGTGTATCTAAAGCCCTCAACTTCTTCTAGGATCTTCTTGCCTGACTTTTCTGCTTTATTGGCATAGTAGAAGTATGCAGAGAACGCGGCCACAAGCGCAATAATAAGGATATGCGACCCGATAGATACCCATACAGCTGTCAAGTACCGAGGCGCTTCCTGATTTCGTACGATAAAACTTCCAGCGATACCACCAGCACCGTTCATAGCGGTTACAGTAGCAGCCGTGAAGACTCGTTTCCATTGACCTGTAATGTTGTTGGCCTGGTACGTGGATAGAGCGGCCCCTGCAACAATTGGAGTCAGTATGCGTATTGCATGTAAATTGGTGAGACTTCGAAAGCACTATGAGGTATGACAAGAGCACAAAAGACAAACTCAGCTAATATGCGCTCCGCATACATGCTTGAAAAGAAAAAGGGACAAATCCGGAAGTTGCTTACAATTTGAGACATATGCCCCGGTGGCCAAAAACGTGCCAATGTAGCGTACCGTGACTTGTTCTGTAAACCCAAGCATGCAGAAGCCGACAATTAGACATGCACAATTGAAGACAATGACCGGTCCACGAAGACGTAGTTTATCCCCCACAATGGAAGAGATGATCTAATTGTAAGAAACGTTAGCTCTGTTTTCGTAAAAGGAAAAAGGAAAAGAAAAGAAAAAATGAAGAAAAAGAAGTGTAGGGAGTTTAATGAGGCTGCCGGAGTACGGCGCTACACCCGGCACGCTCACAACTTTCAACAAGGAAAAGGAGCCCCATATGTTTGGAGCACTTACGACTGGTACTACCGCGTAGTAGTATGGTGGTGCTGAGAGCAAGATCGCTTTGTTCTCATCGAAACCCATGCCACTCTGCAGAATAATAGGTAGAAAGTACGATAGTGAAGTAGAGACCAAGTTCAGCCTGATCGCAGAAACTCATTAGCTTTATCTTCCTTTCAATCACTACAACCTATCCGATAGCACGAAGATGTGATAGGAAGTTGTCAATCTCTCCAACACTTAGATAGACATAATGACCAATGTAATTGTTCACTTACAAAAAGAACATGCAGGCAAATCCATAGACTTTCGGATCTTTTGCATGCACAAGCACCTTGCCCCAGCTGAAAGGGTCGATATCAACGTCCTTGCGATCTTTGTGAATACGCGACACGGCGAGTCGCTGCTCCTCTTCGGTCAGGAACCAAATGCTCTTGTGAGCCTGCTCGGGAAAATCGACAATCCAGAAGTAGGTGACGACTCCTATCACCATCGAGATAATGCCCTGTACCAAGAACATGTATCTCCAGCCAGCTATCCCACCTCTACCATCCAACTGGTTGAGACCAAAGTTGACAATGCTGCCTGTTGCCAGTATAATCACTTCCCCCGATTGTAAGAAAGCGAACCTGGTTTGCTGTTCACGCCTTGGATACCAAGTTGATATCAAATATGTCAAGCCTGGGTAAATACCCTAGAGGCGAGAATGTTAGTTCATTTATTTATCTTTTTCTGGTCTTTTTGTCCACGCTGGAGGTGATTTGGAAGCCGGCATCGATCGAGACATGAACGCTCATTGTCACTTGCACGAGAGGAACGAGAGCATCACATTTGCGTTTTACTTACACTCATTGTCATACCGAGAAGCACCCTCAGTGCGATCATCTGCTTCCATGTTTGTACAAATGCAGTACACATGGTGATAAGCCCGAACTTATGCGGAATGAATTAGCCTTTTCTTCCGAAGAGTGGAAAAACTCGTCTCAAAAGTACTGTGAGATCTAGTATAGACCCGTGGACCCTCCTCAAGGGCCGGGGAATGCGCAACCTAAACAATATGGATGCACTTACGGCAAATGTTATCGAGGCAAACCATATTCGAGGACCGAATGTTCTCACTGCTATCGTGGAGGGTAATTGGAACGCGATGCTGGCAATCGTGAAAATGAAGATAGCCTATGCGGCGTCGCAGTCAGTATTACTGCGCTTGAACGAACATGACGACTAGTTTGAGCTTCTAAGCAACAGCAGAGAAACAAGCCGGAGTCGGTTGTTCTGAAAATTGTCATGGCAGTTTAGGGACTTGCATACCACACTGTAGCGATTGCCTGACAAGTCGAGATCTGAGATCATGGACGTCACGCTAGCGCTAGAGATGACGCCAGAGTCCAGGAGGTTCAGAGAGCCTAATAATTTGAGTTAAACCATTATCGAGGCATTTTCACGAAAATGGACTTACACAAGATACCAGCAATTGTACACAATCGCAAGTCAACTTTCAGGCGCAACCGCCGCTCAAGGGCTCGTGTGTGAACATCGTCGCTGAGGCTGTTGTCATCCTGCTCGCTATTGATGATCGGGGCAGCGTCCCCAGCCGGCTTGAAGTTTCCTGTCATCTTAGCGGCATCAGTAGATGCTGAGGTCATCTTGACTCAAACTAGGGATGGGCAGCAGTCTTTAAAAGACTAGCGATAGTATAGTCAGTCACCCCGATCTCAAGAACGGGTCCTTGGCGGCGGCTGTCTTACAGATCAATTAATAATGGCTCGCAATCTTGTGGAAACGATTCGAAGCAGCGGTTAGATGAGGCGGGTCCCGCACCCGTTGCGATCTCGGCTAAGTCATCAATCATCGTCGTCGCTTACCACCGTGCAAAGCCTGCAAAGCTAACCTGGACATGATAAATTACGGCAAGCCGCGGCGCGATAAGGTCCTCGGAGCCAAATAGACGGTCTCCGTCAGGATGCGCCAAATCTTTATCCAAGCTTCGACCTTCTTGAAAAAGATGCGGGGCACAACCCAATTCACCTCCCGTTGTTTCTTCATCATGAGACTACAGAAAATCAATTGCATGCTATTATGCGGCTATATTATGACAGAGGCTGTTATAGTGTACTAATAATTGTACATCCATAATACCCCGCAACCAAAGTTTTCCTTTCCTGCTTTAGTTGATCTTCCTCTCCCTTTAAGCTAACAACGCCTGTTCAAAGCACGCAACATGAAGGATGCCATGCAGGCGAGAACTAACTTAGAACCATTGCGCGATACCAAGCGCTAGACCACTGCTGAACCCATGAAATTGAAACGATAACTGATAGATGGAATAGAACAAATAAAAACGAAAGAGAGCCGGTTTGATCCAGGAGATTGTTGATGATGACCCATTTAAACAGATGACCGTCGTAACACAAGAAGTACGTGTAAGGTGTCTGTTACTCTTCTTCATCGCCGTTTTCGTTTATTAAGTCGGGAATAATGGCAGGCGCCCCCAGGGGCGAATGACCGTTATTGGGGGATCTATGGGCATAAACACTGCCGTAGTATGATCAGAACTAGAAGGAGTTAAACCTGATACACGCTTTGGAGTAGCAGGTTGAGTCGGTTTGTCTCTATATGTATAGCTTTTGATTGTTTTTCTCGCGGTGGCCAAGTTCGGTGATGCCAATGCGGTCCTACCGCTCGTCAATCCTGGACGACTTGGAGTTATGAGCTGCGAAGGGTATGACTTAGGGATAGGCGGCGGGGGCGATGTTTCGAAAATATCAACGCTATTGACTGTGTCCGATTCGAGGTGTCCGCCATTGAGCTCACATCGAGATAAAATCTCACTTCCGGTGCTCGCATTTGCAGCAACTATGCTGCTCTGTAGTCTGGCTGAGGACTTTTCTGCCTGCGACCCCGGTATTACTAGTCGTTTTGCGACTCGAGTTCTGGAGGGTGACTCGGTCTCATCTTCCGACACATGCTCTTGCTTGATCTTGTTATCTCGTGTCATTAAAGATCTCTTGATCCCGAGGCTAATTTTTTTGCGATAGTAAGGCGATCCTGTCCAGCTTGGCCTAGGTGCAGACCATCGCTCTCGTAACGGAGACTGTGGAATCCGTACTGGGTCTTCTACAGTTCCACATGATTTATTTGGTACGATATCGACTACAGGCGTAGCTGGAATTCCGGGCTTCAATTGGATCTGCGTTCGTGAGATAACTGTAGGAGTCATTGGCACGTTTGAGACCACAAGGTCAATATCTTGGTCCATGAAAGGATCATCAAGATCAGCGTGCTTTTTGTTGATACGGGATCCATCGTGAGAGAGATACGCCAAGCGGCCATGAAAGTTTTTATCTGCCGCCTCATCTCGATAATCTTCCGATAGAGTAGACAGACTCTCATTATCACTGTCGTCATCGGCTCCAGCAGCAAGCTCTTTTCCTTTTCTTGAATCAGCACCCCACATGGTAGATTCGCGTACTAGTCCCCGGCTCACTTGAACATCGAATCCCTCCATGCCTCCAAGAATATTTTCCTCTCCCTCACCGTTGGTAAAGATTTCTGGTTCGATCCTCTCATGATCGTCACCTTGGCCCCAACGCCAGTCTGCATCAAGAGCCAGGTCTGGTTCTGTGTGTTTCGCCATGTCGACCTCATGAGCAAGCTTAAAACTCCTTTGGACGTCTCTCTCGGGTATCATCACTAGGCTTCGACGATATTTTGTGTTGAAGTGTATCCTGGTAACCCTGGACAAGGCCTGAAGGAAGCGAACGCACGACTCGCAAGGCGGCAGATTTATCTCGATTACTGCTTGTCTCTTGGTGCCAATATCAGCATCTGCAAGAAGATCCAGTTTTTGGGCGAGAAAGGGAAAGGACGGGTTTGGTATAGACCCCATCGCTGCCAACAACGCGAAACAGAACCAAACGGCAAGCTTGCATTCTACATGCGAAGCAAAGAATTGACCAGACATCTCAGGCGGCAGTATCCCTCTCACAAAGCATCGATCCATCACGTGACTCTTGAAGGTGTAACAGATGGCAGGAGCGACGTGGTTCAGCACAGCGTCTTTCCACTTTTTACCTTGCAATAGCTTTGAGGTTTCTGCCGCATCTAGATCGCCAAATCCCGATATTGTCCAAGCAAGGGGTCTCAGATCCCTAGCCGTTCGAATATAGCCCACGGTCTTCTTGCAGGGGTTGAACGAGCGTGTTGTTATGCGACCAAGACTCTGAAAAACCTCTGCACCCTTCGAGGTAATATGAAAATATAGCGGCCCAGACGCGTCTCCTGTGCTGTGAGGGTATGATGGCGTTGTATTAGCGTGGAGAGTTGCAATTACGTTGTAACTGAGATTGATATGCCGACTCTCGGGGAAGCCGTGCTTTGCATATATCTGTCGTCGGGCGTCATTGAAAACGCTTCGGTGGGAATATGCCGGTGGGGTCTTGCGGAAGCTGTCAAGGACCACTGTGTCCGCACCTTTTTCCAAAAGCAGTTGAACAGCCTCGATATGCCCCATCAACGTTGATAGATGTAGGGGCGTTTCGCCTTGAGCTGTCTTTGCCTCGATCGTCTTATGCTCAAGCAAGATTTGGCCAAGTGCTTCAATGTCATTTTGAAGACAGGCAACGTGGACCACCTGAAGTTTTAGCTCGACCAGCGAGCCTAGTTCTGTTAGGGTCATTGTGTGAGGAATGGTATATGTGTGGACTGAGTAGAGGACGATGTGTATGCTTTATAATCCGCGGTAACGTGAACGAGAAGTGTGATTAGTTAGCATAATTAGTGAATGTGGTACAATAGGTGATAATGTAATCGTCCGTTATGAATTGAAACAAGAAGATAGTAGCATTTTACGACATGATATTGATGTTATGGTGGATAGAATGCGTGATTGATGCGTGTTCTATCTAATTTCAAATCGTGAGTGAAGTAATGAGGGGTATTACCACAACTGCTGCACATAAAACTCATGGTTTGGATATTGCTTAGATGAGAATTTACCTCCTCGATTGTCTCTGGGGCAACAAATAGTCGATCGTAATGTGTTGTGATTATTCCATTAGCTAAGAGTGTAGTGGTGAGGAAAGAACTGTGTCAACTTCATGGTCGTAGTGTAGTGGTGGGTATTATGCAAAGGCTACAAGGCACCTAGCATGAGAATCTATGTTGATCTAAACATTCGAATACTTACAATGGACGACAAGTGATCGAGAGACAGAATAGTACAAACGACAGCTAGAACAAGTGCTATGTAATTGTATTAGTATTAGAATCGTCTATAAGGGAGCTGCTAAGTGAATTAGCAGTAATTAGAAGGAGCCATATTGCAAATTTGCCATTGCATCAGGAGCTACCCCTCTACACGTGTTCTTCCATCTCAACCTTGCCGGCCTTCAATATTTCCACCCGGCTCATATCCGGGACTTCCGCAGCGTCACCATCGAATATCACGGCAATCTGTTCAAGCGAACGTCCGCGGGTCTCGGGGTAGTAAAAGAACACAGTGACGGCCATGACCAGAAGTACGACGACAAACACGATGTAGTACTTCCAGCCGATACTATCAAGCGCGATCGGGTTGACGAATGTGTTGAAGAAGATGGCTGTGATTGCAGCAACCCAAGTAACCGTCAAGCCACGGCTGCGAAGCCTGAACGGCCAGATTTCGCAAGGGTAGGCAGTCAAGAAGGGAGTAAGGGCAATGTCATATCCAGCAAAGAAGATGAAGAGGAAAGGAATAACTGCTACACCTGTAGCAGGATTTCCCTGCTCAGCAAATGAACCCGACAAGGCAGTGACGAGGATAAACGACACCAGCATGATAATCGCCGATGCCATGAACAGGGGCTTTCGACCCGCCTTATCGACGCACAGAGCAGCTGCTACTGAGAAGATGAGGTTCCATACTTGGAGGCAGGCGGAAATCAGAGTCTGGTCTGTGACGCTAATGACGCCCACAGTGTTCAGCACTAATGAGAGGTAGTAGCTGACCACGCCATTGCCAGCCCACTGCGCGAAGATACCTAAGCTAATGGAGATGAATAGACGATATCTGTTGCCGGGGGTTTTGACCATCTCCATGTACGAGGCGTTTCCGTGAGCTTCTTGTTCGGCCTTAATGGCAGTTTGAATCTCAACAAACTCGTAGTTGACGAGTGGGGAGTCTTGAACACCACCAGCGTGCGCCTTGACAAGAATCTCACGTGCCTCGTCAGATCTATCCTGAGATATGAGCCACCTTGGGCTTTCCGGTGCCATGAGTAGGCCAGGCAGAGCGACGAGTGGCAACAGGATCTGCAAAAGGGATGGCAGTCTCCAGGCCCAGTGGCTTGGATAGTTACGGGTGGCGAAAGTCTCCCATGCTGCGACAGAACCACCGACATACCATCCACACATGAAGAGAGCATTCAATATACCGCGATGTGTTGGGTAGGCGACTTCGTTGATTAAAACAGGGGCACCATTGCCAAACAATGCCGACGCACAACCGACAAAGAAACGGGCGAGGATGAATCCAGTAACGTTGGGGGTAAGTGCCTGTAGCAAGGAGCCGAGGACGAGGAAGATATAGCCAACGTAGATACCCGGCTTGCGCCCATACTTGTTGGAAATCCAAGCAGCAATAGGGAAAAAGATGCCTGCCCCGAGCCAGTAGATTGCGTTGATCCAACCGAGCCAGGCGCCGCTGGGGTTTCCCATGAAATCCTGCCATTGAGATAATGCTTGCAGGGAGTTCATAAGAGATCCATCATATCCGTTGGCAGAAGCTACATCCAGTACCATCAATAATGTGCATTATGGATGAAAACCCAGATCAAACTTACAAAAGAGGACCAGAGAGATCAGACTGAAGTTAAGCTTGATCAGCCCTGGTCGCTTGTACCAAGGATCTTTTGGCAGAACAGCAGCAAGGTCTTTGCCAACGGCCTTCGAGCCAGAGGCACCACCCATACCCATGATTCGAGAAGATCTGATGAAGAATGATATAAGGAATAGAAATGAGGTACAAGGCTTTATTCAGACTCGCCTAAAAAGAGATTTGCGATGTGTTAAGAAGCTGGTGACTTGCAGATATCATGATAGCCCCGGCAATATAAAGGAGATCGTCGAAGCCTTATATAGACCGTACGGTTATTAAGACGTCGTTGCTGGATTGTGAAGTCTTTCGATTTTGATGCCCCATGATTTCGACGATTTTTAGTCTGGAATCTCCACTACCGCCCCAGACTCCAGATTTTGTTTTGATGGGGAAGAGACTTGGACTGATCTGGTTTAACTCTAGTCTCATAGTCGGATGATAGAGACGGAGAAATAACAATATGCGGAGAAATAGGTACATAGTGGATTCAGCTACTAACATCATGACCAATAGCATTCTCTGCGACAGGGTTCACGGAGAATCGGAGAATCGGCTCTACAAGCAGTCGTCAGGGAAAGCACGGCATGTGTGAGGAATCTAGAGGTGCCGAAACCGATGGCCAATGAGAACTATAGTTATTATCAGATGGAGCAAATTTTTGGCCGTATTATCGTCATGTGTATAATAGTCCAAATACTATCGCCCGGCCGTGCGGAGAATTGCTGGTAAGTGAAAAAGGGACAATTGTATTCCTCATTCGTGGTCTGAGTCTGATTTCATCACAGCATCACCATCACATTTCCCATAGTGTTGTTATATCGAAAATGCCGTTTCTTAAGGGCACTGAAGGGCTGCTAGATTCGAATTTTGACGTAGAGTCGATTCTCAAGCAGCTCACGTTAGATGAAAAGGTCTCGTTACTTGCTGGTCGGGACTTCTGGCACACGGTAGCTGTCCCTCGATTGGGCGTTCCATCCATCCGCCTATCTGATGGACCAAATGGCATACGGGGCACTCGTTTCTTTGGTAGCGTGCCATCAGCATGCTTGCCCTGCGGCACGGCTATTGGAGCGACGTTTGATCAAGAGCTGGCTCGAGAAATCGGCCATCTTCTGGCAGATGAAGCTAGAGCCAAGGGTGCTCATGTCGTCCTGGGACCCACCATCAACATCCCTCGCGCACCGCTAGGTGGCCGCGGTTTTGAGTCATATTCTGAGGATCCTGTCCTATCTGGTCTGATGGCTGCTGGTTATGTTCAAGGGCTACAAGAACGAGGCATAACTGCCACGTTGAAGCATTATGTTTGCAACGATATGGAGCACGAACGGTATGGAACGTTGTTGCTTTCAAATTTCGGTACTGACAAAGCAAAACTAACTACGAATTATCACATAGGATGGCGGTCAACTCCGTCGTAACCGACCGCGCATTGCGTGAGATTTATCTTCTTCCATTCATGTTGGCTATCCGAGAGAGTCGACCAGGTGCAATCATGACTTCGTACAACAAGGTCAATGGCCTACATGCTTCGGAGCATCATGAGTTACTGGAAGACATCCTGCGGAGAGACTGGGGATGGGAAGGATTGGTTATGAGCGACTGGTAAGCAAGTCTGCATTAATGTGATATTTCACTAGACTGACAATACAAAGGTTCGGAACCTATTCCACATCTGAAGCTGTCAATGCAGGTCTGGGTAGGTTCATGCTTTCGGCTGGTTCGAACAAGCTCTAACTTGATTACAGATCTTGAGATGCCCGGCCCATCAAGATGGCGTGCGTCAGCATTGACACATGCGATAACCGCAAACAAAGTGTCTGTGAAGAAACTTGATGAGCGTGTCAAAGCTGTGTTGAGACTGGTTAAGACCGGCATTGAGTCAGGGATTCCCGAGAACGCTCCAGAATTGGAGCTTAACAGGGAGCAGGACAAGGTTTTGCTTCGCAGAGCAGCTGCCGAATCAATAGTGCTCTTGAAGAATGAGCAGAGCATCTTGCCATTACGAAAAGAAAGGAAGATCGGTGTTATCGGACCAAACTCAAAGATCGCGACTTATTGCGGTGGTGGCTCCGCATCGCTGAACCCATATGAGGCCGTTACACCATTCGAAGGCATTTCCCGAAAGACCTCAGATATCGAATTTGCGCAAGGTATTTATGGGCATCAGAAGTTGCCGCTACTGGGCAAGTCGCTCCGGACTGAGAACGGAGAGGTTGGTTTCAGCCTTAACATTTTCAATGACCCGCCAACAGCCACATCTAGGCGCCTTATTGAAACACGGCATGAGACAGACTCTATGATATTCTTTCTAGACTACAATCATCCAAAGCTCAAGAACATCTGGTATGCAGACGCGGAAGGAAATTTCACACCTGAAGAGTCTGGCATTCATGACTTTGGACTTTGCCTGCAGGGCACAGGGAAATTATACGTCGACGGCAGGCTTCTAGTGAGCAACTTTGAGAATCAGCGGCCTGGTCCAAGTTTCCTGGGTAGTGGCACGATGGAAGAGTCTGCTTCTCTAGAGCTTGTTAAAGGGCGGACGTATAAGATCCTGGTGCAATGGGGCTGCGCCAAGACAAGTAAGCTCAAGGCACCAGGGACGGTTGACTTTGGGCATGGCGGGTTCAGAATCAGCGGCTGCAAGCGCCTTGATCCGACCCAAGGCATTACAGACGCTGTCCAGATTGCAAGGAATTGCGACCAAGTTGTCTTATTTGCCGGCCTGAGTGGCGAATGGGAGTCGGAAGGCGAAGACAGAGAAACTATGGACTTGCCCCCACGCACAGACGAACTAATTGAGAAAGTTCTCGAGGCGAACCCAAATACAGTGATAGTTATCCAGAGTGGAACACCGGTACTTATGCCTTGGATCAACAAGGCCAAAGCTGTGCTACATGCGTGGTATGGCGGCAACGAGACAGGTAACGGCATCGCTGATATTGTCTTTGGAGATGTCAATCCATCAGGAAAGCTTCCAATGACATTTCCTCGACGTCTGGAGGATAATCCTGCCAGCTTGAACTATCGATCTGAAGGCGGAAGGTGTTTGTATGGTGAAGATGTGTATGTCGGGTATCGGTACTTCGACCAAGCCAAGGTTGAACCCATCTTCCCTTTTGGTCACGGTCTTTCGTACACTTCATTCACCATATCCGCTCTTCGGCTGCAGCAAGATGGAGAAAACTGCCTTGTGAGCGCTACAATAACCAACAGTGGCTCACTCAAGGGATCAGCAACTGTACAACTATATATCGCACCAATGACCAAGCCCGGACCGACTGTCCCAAGGCGCCCTCCTCAGGAGCTGAAAGCTTTCAGCAAGATCCATAATCTTGAACCAGGCCAAGGAAAGACCGTCGAGTTCGTGGTCGATTCGACAAGAGAGACAAGCTATTGGGATGAAAAGGTCGGAATGTGGTGCAGTTACGCCGGTGACTACCACGTGATTCTATCGCAATCTAGTCGGGATGATGGAGAACAAAGAGCAATACTTAAGATAGACGAAACCAAGTGGTGGAGCGGTGTGACACCATGATTGGAATGATATCATAATGTTAAATACCCGTCGCCTTTAGGCTGTGTTTTCCTTAAATATTGAATGATTAGTAACTAGCGTTTCACCAATCACCGAACTGTGTCATATCGCCGACCTGAATGTCTTTGATCCTGTCGGTATCCACCCAGCTTTGCGAATTGGCCGTGTTGATCCTTTCACTGCGGTCGAGACGGGATAGTATGGCCGTCAGCTCCCGGACATACTCGGCAGCTCGCCGAGATGGCATTTCTTCTTCGCCATATGGACATGCCAGCATCCCAACTGCGACATCACGGACTTTGAACGTTAGGTGCAATCCGTTGGGTTCTAGAGCACTCTCTGGAATGGTGTGTAGCACGTGTAGCAACTGCCGACAGACCTCTTCTCGCTGGGCCCAGAGTGCTTTCCTGCTAAGACTATCAGGGTCGTTCGTTCCTTCCGCAGCATCAAGTTGATCTATGACAATGCTCTGTAGCCATAAATGCGTCACATGAAGGTTTGCGCGCATTGTCGCAAACTGAAGCTGCACAACATCTTCATGAAGATCGGTAGCCGATGGTGAACCCTCATCAAAGCTTGGTGTGATAGCTGGTGCCTGTGCCCATTGTCTTAGAGGGCCTGGTATAACGTCTAGTATATACTTGAGCTCGTGCAAACGCTCATTTAAGTACGTCACACTTTCGGCTTTGTTCGAAGCACGTTGGCATTGACACGTCCTTGGCGTATGGAGATTACCTATGGACGTCCAGGGTCCCAAAGCTGCCCCAAATACTTTCGAATGGACTATGAATCCAGCTGTCAAGGCTAGAAAAGCAGTCAGCTGAAGATACGAAAGTTCCTCGTAACGGTTGGCGAAGGAGAATTTGTTCGGGGATACATAAGTGAGCAGCCGTAATACGGCCTGATGGACCACTTACAAGTTTCTGGCGCTGAAGCTGGCAAAATGATGTCGTCCAATATCAACTCATCGTCCACTTCCTTGGGAAGAAGCCCTTGTAGGTCGATTGTTTGCATGAGCACAGGGTCAAGGAACGTCTCCACAAGCACATAATGAGTCAGCCTTTTCTCCACAAGCAAATGTGAGAAGCCCTTATTTTGCTAGGGACGTGATGGGAGAGCTCAGTCTCACCAAACCCAGTAAGTACTAAAGAAAAGACGGACGCTCACAAGTTTCTCTTTACGCAGATTTTGAAGCTGAGAGTGTCTAGAGCCTTGTTAGATGTTCCATTTGGACATGCTGATGGTCGCTCACGAACACATAACCATAGAACAGAAGCCAAAAACCCTTTCTTCGTAGTTGAACTTCGATACAATTCAACCCATCTTCCTCTGATGATTTGTGTAGGTTCAGCAGGCGCCCTAGTTGCATACCCTCGCATTCCGCCATTCTCGAACGATTCTGTTCACCGAGTTGGAAAAAGGTGATATTCAATAAATACGCAATTGCGAACTTGTGGAAATTAATTTCGTCGAAATATGTCGGGCCGCGCAAAGCCATTATCACTAAAGTATTATGCATCAGTGGATGGTTTTCCAAGCAAGTCCTGGGGTTCTAGGTAGTATCGTGAAACAACTGCGAAAAGCACAATCGCTTTTGATGACAATTTTCGCCTCACAATTATACTACAGAGAGAATCAGTAACACGAGATGTGCTTACTATCATAGCAACGGTTGATCATCTCAGCACGCGATGTGTAAGGTATCGGCGGATCTAGCTTGATATATTCATCAAATCTCGATGGCATGAGACCTACGACAATAGCACAGAGAGCCAACACAAAGCCTAGGAACACCTCGTCTCGAATATCTCTGTTCTGAAGGAGGTCTCGACGGAAACTAGGCCGATGTACCTTTGATCGAATTAGTGTGCGGTATTCTTATTCGATACGAAATGTCATGTTTACCACTGGGATTAGTGGATAAACATATGTGAGATAGTCTTGCAGAATCCTTTCAATCAAAATTCGCGGACAAAGCCCATCTGTAGGAAATACCAGCGGAGCTGATGCTGGAGAGACTTGTGCAGGCGATACTGTTAAATTCCTAGCCTTATTAGCGTCTCTTTGACCTGTTGACACGGGTTGTCCGGAATCCGCTGAGGTTGCCAAACCCCCTTGAGCGCGTCTGGTATCACATCAGTCACAATGTGCAATAAAGCACAACTCAGGGCTCGCATTACCTTTTCGGACCTCTTGGCGCTCTTGGTGACATGAAAGTGCACGTTAATTCCAGCCTTGTGCACCTGCGGCATGATGCACTATCCTTTTCAAGGTCGCAGCGAACTTTTCTTAGGCGGCAAGCATCACAAGAGCGGCTGGCAATCACTGTCCGGCTGCGTTGACTTCCCTGGTCGTCCATGATGCAGCAGGCGCAGCATGGCTAAAAGACATAAGTTCCATGAGCACCATTAAGCAGGGTCCATCTTCAAGTATATATAGCTTAACAAATTACGGCATCGAAATGAGTAGAAACCTAAATATGCAGGTCATGAATTCTGATTTAAGCTACTGCCATGCGCTAACGGACACCCTGGAAAAGGACGTCCTAGCCAAGCGGCGGACATTAGAGTTGGCGCGCTCATAGTTGTTTGTCCATACTCCGTAGATGTTCCCTTGTAAGAGCATCAAGAATAAATTCGCCAGGCTCCTGGTCAGTCTAGAAATCACTATGAACGTTACCGGCATAATCTAGGATGACATAGTCGAATCAGATGTGCTAACATAGTGATGTGTAAGACGTGTAAGTAGTTGCACAAATTCTTGTGTCCACTGCTTGCCAATGAGCACTGGAGTCCCGGCTAACCAACCCGATCTAACGTACAATCAAGGCATTAATGAGTTGGGCATTAACCGCATACGTTCGTTGCCACAATTTCTATTTGGAGATACAGCATCATCATCCCATGGTAAATCTTTCAATGATGACATTTCTACAAAATACATGATGCTGCTATTGACCTGCCACCAATGCAATTACGAGGTACCTCCTTCCAGAATTCTGTTAAATAGCCAAGTCCAGCATAATGTGTGCACTCAGCTTTAGTTAGGGCCATCTCAACACTTACAGTTAGGTTAGTCTAGCACCAAATGGTGAGCGGTCTGTGCTTGTAGAGTACCTCAGAGGTGCTGAACCCCCCAAAACCGTCGCGGCGTGAAATGTACTACACGGTATAACTGTCGAGTCTTTACAGTCAGGAGGCTCATCATCGTCATCGACCATTGTTACTTCTCAAAAAGTTCGCCAGAAGCTTGTAATCACATAATATCTTGCTCTATAGGCAACAAAGGCCGGAAAACAGCTAGCCCCATGCGCCTTGGCTCACAGCCCGAGAATCGCTGTTTTCCCAATTGTAGCCCGATCACATCGGAATACAAAAAGCGCGGAGTGTGGTAGCTACAATCGTGAGAATGTCAGAATTAGGGTCAGAAACGCAGCTTGACCACGGCGCCGCCATTATATATGAGTACCACCGGATGCACATGGCAATCCATGGCCCGGTTGATGCTGTATTTTGCCTCTGCAGCCTTGACGTTAGAGTTGCTGAGCGCGCGGCAGAACTCTTTCTCAGTGGCTTTGGCAAATTCCTCATCTTCTCTGGAGGATCTGGCAAGTTGACACAAGGCCGCTTCGATAAACCAGAAGCCGTGATGTTCGCGGAACGAGCTCGCGCAATGGGGGTTAATCCCGAGCAGATCATCGTTGAGCCGTTGTCCACGAACACAGGCGAGAATGTTCGGTTTACATGGAAGCTTTTAGAAGAGATGTCATTGCGTCTTAATTCCTTTGTTCTCGTTCAGAAGCCGTACATGGAAAGGCGGACTTATGCCACATTCAAGAAGCAGTGGCCAGACGAGTCAACTATGATTATTGTCACATCACCTCAGCTTGCATGGGATGACTATCCTGACAACGACAACCCGCGAGATCTGGTTACAAATATTATGGTTGGAGATTTGATTCGTATCCGAGATTACCCCAAAATGGGCTTTCAGATATATCAAGAGATACCTGCTGAGGTCATGGAAGTGGCTGAGCGTCTTATAGCTAGAGGATACAGTCATCACCTGCCATGACTGTCGAACCAATGACACCCACGTCTACAGTCCACCGAGAAACCTTGGGTAAGAGTTTAAGACTGAATAGATATGCCGACTATTTACGCCGCGGTAGTACTGACGCAAGCCATTGGTCATCCCCTAATTGACCAATTGTTGTTCTTGAGAACATTTCCTACTTAATTAATCGACCATGTAGGGCTCACAAAGCCCTAAATTGGTACCGTTTGTCAAGCATGTTGCTAAAAATTTCGTGGTGTTTGCCATTTTGCTCAAACTTGTGTGTTGGATATAAAGCGCATTTCGGCCATTACTTCGACATGGGACTGAAATAGATGTTGTGGGCATTATTATGCTGACCAAATTGCCAGGGCCTTGCGCCACTATAATCGGGTTCACCTACGTCTGCCTAGAGTTGAGAAGTCGTTACAAGAGTCTCAGATACCCCGTTGACGTTGACGTTGTCGAACCAGTTGCATAGTTTCAAACTCCTCTCATAGAAAGCAATCGTCCCGATAAAAGCTGCCATATCTCTATCAAAACGATCGTCTAGTACTAATTAACCGCGAAGAGAATTGCTTTCAATGGTCAAAGCGACTTGCATTAAAAGACGACGCCGGCCATATCTCTCGACGACTGTATCCATGACCACCACTACTTGATAGCTTAAGCCTTGGTTAATGCTTACCTCGGGTCATCAGAGAGTTTTCAAGACAAGAAAGCGACTCACACGTGTTGCGGCTACTACAGGAGGCACTTTGAAAATTGTGGAACACACGGTCAATTAAATGTGCGTCAGACGATACGGAGACTAATATTAAATGTATTTTTTTTTTGCTTTAAACAAAAGATCGAAGGGCTACCTAAAATCAGCGACCATTACTTTTGGTAATAGGATTCCATAAGCTATACTTCCATATCAGATGCGCTAGTTCATGTTGACTAACATAGTAAAAACGTGCCTGAGCAAGAAGACTTGCTTCGTCGAATGCTATGATAGATAACCGCTTTGCAAGGGCGGAAGAGGATCATTGTACTAATAAACAATGTTCAACTAGGCCAGGCTTCTACTCAAGCTCACCCATCTTGGTAGAGCGCCATTACCAAACAATTGGTGGAGCGGGACTCAGGTTTGGTTTCCTGAACTTTTGTCTTCAGCATGCCCATAGTGGTCTATGGGTTTCACTCTCTACCTACGATGGCCAATGCTGTGTGGCGCCTGTACAAGGCGCACCGATATCAAGGATGTCGCTGGGGTCGCCCATCTGCAAATAGAGGTTGCGTGACAACTTTGATAAACGCTGTCAGCGCAGGACCTATTAGCACTCGCTTCAACATTCTTCGTGACGGCAATCAACTGCCTCGACCAAAGTCGCTTTTCTATCTCAGACGCGTCGCGAGCCTGGAACGAAAAATCTTGATCAAGCATGCTAGTGCCCTACAAAATTGATCGATTGAGCGCGACACTGGTCCTATGATTTCTATTTTGTGATTTTGTTTTTCTTCCCTGCTACGCAAGTTCAATTGACGGTCTGACGGTAAGTCTTGGATACCGACGGCCGGTTTATGGACCCGAAACACATCTGGTAATTAGACTAAGGTTACTCCGAACATCAGTGTTAGTTCCCTTGCCAAAGAGCACGCCGCCTAGCTTGATTCGTATCGCCGAACTAGTCTCGGAATGTGGTGGTTGAACCGAAGCTCGGCGATGCCGGACGAGCCGGATTTACGGGAGATAATTTCCCCAGTTCAGGGTCAAAAGCCGATCCGGCCCCTTGGTTATGCAGTGTGTTATCAGATTGATCAGATTAATTTGCTGTGGTTCTTGCATGTATTTCTTGCACCTGATCTGCTATCTTTTCATCACAAAAGTCGGACTGCATTCTGAAGCAATCATGGCTGCAACACTGAGGAACGTGATCGTAGTAGGCGGGTCGTATGTGGGCATGGCCACGACCAAGGAATTGGCCTCTATATTGCCTGCAACCCATCGTGTAAGCACTTGATTGTATTGCACTGACTTTCAAATGAAGCTGACGTTTTTGTTAGATTCTCCTGGTTGAGCCTCATAGCCACTTTCATCACTTGTTCGCATTCGTAAGTACACAGCAACTTGTAATTTCCATGCCGCAGGCGATCTTGGTCTACTAGTTGAAGCACCATAAATCCCACGGTCTCGAATGTCTCCTTCAGCGACTAATCTTGTCTTAGCCCCGCTTCGCAGTGTTGCCATCGCACGAACACAAAGCGTTCATCCCGTACTCTGCCGCTTTTACCTCCGCACCAGCTGCGTCGCAGGCCCAACACGCAGTTGTACAAGCTAGAGTAGAATCGCTACGCTCTGATAGGGTAGTACTCGACCGCGAATGGCAAGGCTCAAAAGAGATTCCATTTGACTTTTTGGTGGTTGCATCTGGCACAAAACTCCAAGCACCCGGTTCCATGCAAGATGACGAGAAGTCGTTATCGGTCAAGTACTTCCAGGAGTACCAGAAGCGCATCTTGAAGGCGAAGTCGGTTGTCATCGTGGGAGGTGGCGCGGTTGGCGTGCAAATGGCAACAGATCTCAAGGAATTATATCCAGCAAGTGTTCCCTTGCACCTTGAACCTCCCAACCAGTCTTGGAGGAACATTTGCTAACGTGGAACATGCAGGAGAAAGAGGTTACTCTCGTGCATTCTCGGAGTCAGCTTATGCCTTTATACCACGAGAAGCTCGATCTGATCATCAAGGAGAGATGCGAAGAGCTCGGTGTCAAGTAAGTGCACCCGATCGTGCCTTGAACTAGGGCTAACGTGACCAGGCTCGTGCTTGGATCCCGAGTTGTTATGCCCGCAAGCGGACTGGAGCCAGATGCAACCTCGATTCAATTGCAGAATGGCACCACGGTGTCGGCAGACGTGATTGTTCCGGCAGTGGGCCAGACACCAAATACGCAGTTCCTTTCTGGTCTCACACCTTCGTCCAAAGACTCTTTAATCAATCCCGCGAACCGCTTTATTCGCGTAAGGCCAACGCTACAGTTCCAAGACCCGAAGTATCCCAACATCTTCGCTGTTGGTGATATTGCAGACAGCGGTGCTCACAAGGCAGCGCGTCCCGGGGCTGCTCAGGCAGCTGTTGTCGCCAAAAACGTTGTTGCAATGGTCGAGGGCAAGGAGCCCACCGAGAAGATCATGGTCAGCCCGCCAGCAATACATCTCAGTCTTGGTTTGGTAAGTTGGTTCAGACGTGTATAACTGGTCCACAGCACTTGACTAATATGTGGCAGACCAAGAATTTGGTATTTAGGAATCCTAACACCGCAGAAGGAGATACCGAGCCAACCATTATACCCAGAGAAGAGTACGTACTAACGGACGCCCCGATTTCATAGAAGTAGGCTAACAATATTTGTTACAGTGGCAAGAAAGATATGGGCATCGATGGCGTCTGGGCGAGACGAGGCGTTGAGGTTACAGACCCTGCGCAATACCATTTGTGATTGTAAACATTCAAGGACGTGGTAATACAACAACTAGACCTTAGAGACAAGAAGTTGCTAGACTAGATGTACTCATATACCCACTGTATACCCATTCCATACCCCAACCGAGAGCATTAAACTCTGAATCGTGGAAGATATGGTGCATTGATGAGCTATCTAGCGACTAGACTAGCCGGAATCAACTTACTTGACGGAGGCCCAAGATAGCTTGGTTTCAATCCGCCAAGATCGAGTATCACGTTTTCAAGGATCATGTTCGAATGCTTGAAGTGCAAACGTATCTCGTGTAATCCTCGATTCATTGGCTTCAGTGCATGTCGGCGTTTCCAAACACAGTCTTGAACGGCGTGATACCAGCCTGGAGGCAACTCGCCCTTCCTCTCAGCCGAAGTCACAAGTCGATGCTTCTCTGCTGCACCATCAACCTCAAACTCGTACGTCATTGGATTTGAGGGGTCAAGGTCCAGTGTCATGTTGAAATGAAGCTCCAGGACAGGCTCCACGACATTCCCGAAAACATAAGCGTCGTAAGTCAAGAACAGCATATCTTCTGTTTTTGAATCGGCTGTAACAGCTCCAGCATCAGTCCTACCAAGATGCGGGAGTATTTGATAACCGTCCAAGGTGCGTGAATTCGTTGCAGGTATGCTTATGTATCCATCAGCCTCGACATACCCTTGAGTGCAATCATTTGAATGATTCGCGATCGAAATATGAACTTGTTCGAAGTCGTCACCATACGGTCCGTAATTACCACCCGTCGACCGGATGTCAATTAAAATTTCCTCGTCGAAGCCGGCGGGAATTTTGTCCCATTCGATCGTGATGTAAATGCGTTGATCATCTTGACCCGGAACCAGGCGACCACTCGTCTGTGAGGGCCTTACCCATTCATATGGCGCTTGACATTTCCAATTCAATGACTTGGAGCCGCGCGTATAGATCTCAAACCACCGCCGATCCGGTCCATGCGGTGTCAATCTTCCGAGAGTAACGCCAGGAACCAGATCGCGGCGGCTAGGATGCGTCCTGTCACTCTCTTCATTGCAGCGGCCAGGCCTGACACCAGCATGCCCTTCAACCGCGACGCCTAACTGGCCAACTAATGGGTTACTGTCTTGGCGACCTTGTACAAAACACAACCCGCTGATCATATCGCGACTCGGTGCATGCCAAGTCTCTTTATAGCCATAATGAGTCTGACGCATGATGTGGGTCCACTTCCCATCCAGCAGAGAATGGTATTCCTCGCTCAGCCGAAAGTCTGCATCAAAGAGGTCAAGCACTTTGCGGGCAGCTTTGTTAGCGGAGTTGCGTCGCTGTTCAGCCCACAGCTGATTCCGTGCCAAGTTTACACGCAAAGATGTGTATATAGCGCTTGCTTTGATGGGATGCAACACAAGCTCGAAGAAAGCAGGTTTGTAGTCCTCAGGTACACTCATATCGAACACACTTTGCACCACGCCTAGCAGCTTGTCCCATCTCGCAACTATAGTGTCTGCTTCCTCGTAGTGTAACAGCGAGAAATTGTCGGCCTCGATGTGCTCATGCCGTCTGATGGCCATCAGACGATCGTATCCATACCATGCAGACGCAACATCCCCGGCTAGAGTATCGCCAAAACTGCGCTGAGCAAGATCGTCTAAGTAAGTGGGGATTGAATTTGCCGAGATGGAGTCGATATCCCAGGCAAGCTGCATCGCGAAGGACAATGGAACCTCCATCGGTTCTATTAACAGAGAAGACATCAGCTCCCTCTTCACTGTTCGCTAAGGGGCAATCTTAACAGAAGAGCTTGGGGACTCAAAGAATCGCGCCGTGCCGACTACCATCAATAATATTTGACGATATATATGTTTGGTTTACTTACTTATGTCGCCGACGTTGAAAACCCATATTTGCCTAGCGTTGCGCCGATGTGCCTCTTGCAACTGATGCCACACCTTACCAAGAGAGTTCGCATTGATCCATTTGTAGCTTCGTGGTGTTCCTGATTTGATTAGCAACCTTCCTCCAATTTGACTGATTCACCTTCCTAGTGATGTCGAAATTGAGAGCCAGAGTCGCGACTTTCTAGGCATCAGTGGTAATGGGAATTTGGCATCTTTCAAATACTTACCAACATATTCGAAGTGATAATATATCTTATCCACCATTAGTACCTAACTCGGTCACTTAGTAGTGCACATTTGCACTTACGCCCGCGCCGCCTTTCCGGCTAGCCTCATCAACTGTTGGTAGCCGACGAATCGATGAGAAATTGTCATCGGCGAAAAGCAAGGTAACATCATCTGGGACCTCGAGACGTTCTGCATCCCAATACTCTTGCACCTCTTTGTATAGTGCCAAGAGTTCTATAGAAAATGAGCTTAGTACATTTCATGAAGACCTCTTGACAGAAGAGCTTACGTGGGACAGCATCTTCGTGACCGTGGATATCTTTGATAAGCCGCCGCTGTGTGTTAAGCACATCTTGTACGACGCTCGCAGGGTCATCGGTTTTCATAGCTTTGTCGTACTCTCCTCTCATACCCATGGTGAAGTAAGACTCGCATCCCTGTGCTCGTTTGATACCTTCTTGGAAAAACTCAGTCATCTTGTCCTTATTGTCAAGCCATGACCAACTTCCTTCAGGATTGTCCTCGAACCACTCGTTTGTAGCTCGCTGCATAGGCTCGTGGTGCGATGTTGATATTACGATACCATATTCGTCTGCTAGTCGCTGGTTATCTGCATCGTCGACGAAGAAAGAGCTGCCCGGGTTGGGGTATCCAGGCCACATCGCTGGCCACATAAAGTTCGCCTAGATTTTATTAGCTGTCAAGCCAATGTATGTCATTTCTCGGACAAACCTTCAACCTCAGTAGCAGCTCAAAAACTTTTTCATGGAAACCCTTTCCGTATTTACCGAATTTCTCCAACACCCATCCAGTGAGCGCAGGTGCTTCATCATTGATGAAGATGCCGCGGAATTTGACGCTGGGCTCTCGGCTGGAGTATTCAATAGGTAACGCATAGATCTCCTCGTGGCGTTTGGGAGGTATATCTGCAAACCAATGCCATCTATGAAAGGCCAGTCAACGATGCATACTAGCAATGATATTGGGACGCTCACGGTGAGACCCCAATTTGTTCTGAAAGCGTGTAAATGCCATATACCGCACCTCGCTTGTCACTACCTGCAATCACCAGTGCTCTGTCGCACCCGTCAACGCAGACCGGGTTATCGACGAGACACGTGCTCCAGGATTCCCATTTCCCTCGAATTTTGTCGACGTTGATCTGCTCTGCACTAATGAGTGCTTTGATGGCATCGGAACCAGTGATTGTTCCCACAATAATTGCGGTCTTGAACTTGGAGGTGGTAATGCTGCTGTTGCATTCAATCATTGGAGAACGGTCCTTGCTACTCACTCGGCCGAGGTCCTCTGCTAGGTTAGTTGCGGCTATGCTTACCCCAGCAAAATCGTTCTTGTCGGTGAATACAGCAGCGCCTTTCAGATCCAAACCCCGGGGTTGATCCCGACCGGAAAAACTAACAAGCTGTGGTTGGAACATGACTAAGATGTATTGAAACGTACTCGTAGCTAAGATAAAAATAGAAATAAAAGTGGTTGTCAATGTGTTGCACGAAATCAACAGCGCTGCTCAACATGAGGAGACTTGGTTACGCTAATACTCTCGGCTGAGGAACACTTCCAGAATTCATCAGTACCGCAAAATTTCCCCTCACACGGCCCACTGTGGTGAGGAAATTCCGATGAAGCCATGGCTTACGGCAAAAGCAGTGTTCTTGGCTTGTAGCAAAGTACTGTGTGATCGTATGAATAGCCGAAAAAAATACCACAAAACTGGTCTACTAACATTCTCATTGGCTTAGTCTATCCTTCACTAGAGCCGCTCTCGGTGTCCATCAGTCCGACCAGCTACGACATTACACCATCCGGCTAGTCTGCCGGCTTTCTTGAGAAGATGGAATTCATTTCAACAAGGATAGATATCAACACTCAGAAGGAGTTCATCGCGCCAATTTTGAGCCTTTCAATGGTCGAATCAGTGGTCATGGTTTTGTCAGCGAAAAAGGAGTCATAGCCAATAAGTGTGTCCAGTATTCATAACCCACCACAATTATACATCTTGCCATTTTGACAGTAGAATATCCGGTATATTTACCTCGTCCTCGAGGTGAATGTTTCAGATGCTGACGTGTGCGGCACCCAGGAGAATCATATCATACAAAAAGCACTAATTGCCAAATGGCTCGGAATCAACTTGTTGCTTTGGGGCGCCACTGTTGCTTTGACGGCGGCATGCCATAGTTTCGCGGGCTTCTTCGCCGTGAGAGCCTTCTTGTTAGATCTCAAGGCTGCATGTCAGCCGAAGTCACTCTGTCGTCGGGTATATGGTATCGTCGAGAAGAGCAGCTGCATACAGTCGCAATGCAGTACATGATGAATGGTCTTCAGCAGATCGTTGGTCGTCTACTTGCTTTCATCTTCACCCATGTACCCACATAGTCGTCCGTCAGCGACTGGCAAGCCCATTTCATGACACACTGCTTAATCGCTGTTGTTTAAGGGCTCTTCATCATCTAGTAGGTGCCCGATAATCCCATGAAAACGAACTGCTTTTCCGGAGAAGAGAAGAAGCTCATGGCTGAACGTGTTTAAGTCAACCAAACCGGTATTCTAGAGCGTAAATTTCGATCGGACCAAGAAGGAAATCTTCACAGACCCTTAGGTCTATGCATTCATCCTTATTAATCCTCATTCGTCTTCTCACCGCTCTGCCGCCTGGAGGAAGGGGCGCATATACTGCTATCGTAATCTAATCATTTGTTTATTCGACACGGATTGTGCTGCTATCACATACGATCGCCAGGGGTGTCCAGGTGATTTCCACCCCTTCGGATTTCCCTTCGGATGTCTGTATCAAGCGAAAATTCCATTCAATAATATAGCCGCCTGTAGCGTTTGTCTTACCGACAATTGCTAGAGTCGCGGCCCTTATGGGCAGGATCATCTACTGCCGACAAGAAAATGGTCCCGCTCTTTGCACCGTACATCATTAATTCTTTCTGGTATGCTGTCGGACCGTCTGTATCCTTGGCCAAGAGAAATGTCGCCGGTCAGCTAAGAATCAATAACCGTTACCCTCAGTCTCATGGCATGGGCTGCAGCAAATTTTCTCGATAGCGGACGCACATTCCATGCTGTTTGTTAGCATCCATCGCAGGAGATGATATCAAACCTCAAGGCTTTTAGCCTGTATATTCCAACCCAGTACAAAAGACACATGTTTTCTACGTCATTAAATACACGTACAGTTGTATCTGTGCCAGGGAGATCCCACCAAGAACGAGAAGGAGTGGAATCTAATATCTCTGTGCGACTAACAAGATGCACCGTGCTGGCTTCCCTGCATTTACTCTAATTATATATGCTTCGTGGCTCGGATGGTCGTGCTTATCGCCTTGCGCTTTTATTATCTCTACCAAAATAGGGCTTAAGAAGCAAAATTACGCGTACGTGGTAAGACATTGGCTGACAAGCAGGGCGTGCATGGGTTCGAAGACATCACGGATAAGGTGAGCCAATCCTCATATTTCTGGGCCTCCAATCATGATACTTGTGGATATTAATGAGCAACACATGTGTAGGGAAATGGCAATTTCAGGTACGCGTATTAGACAGCTGTTAGGCTGTCGTTGTTAGAGCACGCAGATATTAGATACGTGAGTGGGTATAACATATAATTATTATTGAGCATTGTGCTGTCGCACGTAGAACAAAGCGGTAGAGCCGCGATGATAAGTGAACGATCGATCTTGGCTTTCGGCTACTTGTTGTGAAAGGTGGGCAGGCCCCTTAGTCGGCCTTTATGAACTGTGTCGTCCTGAACAGCACGCAGAAGAGCAGTGCTCAAAATTTTGCTGTAGTCATTACAAAGTGTCACAATCTCGAAAGATTTCGCTAACATTTTGAGTGGGCACCCGACAGCTGTGACCACGCGACAAATGACGTACACAGATATGCAAACTTTCTGATAAGCTAAAGTAGCCCCTACCTCAGAGTGTGTTGAGAGTGTGGGAGAGAAAAAAAACTCATAGCGACTGATAAGAAGGTTCAGGTGACGACAGCTTTCAGGGGGGAGTCGTTGGATCCACTGGCTGCCAGGGACGGCAGTCATATCTTAGTTTTGTTTTTTTTGTTTTGTTCGCTTTCTTAGGGGGAAGTTGCAGGCTGGCAGGGACGGTTCGGCACTCACTCGCTAAGCACCCCGCAATCACTACTTGGCACGCAGCACCGTCGTTGTTCGTCTCACCTAATTTCAGGTGTCGGCTCGAAGCAAACGTTGAAGTGTCTAACCTTAGGTTCACTGTCATTTGTATCTCGGACTTACTGTCAAATTATGCTGTGCAACCAGTCAAATGTACCTTATTTCCCTCGTAGCTTGGACCGATGCCGATCGCTTCCATAACCAACTAAAGCCGTAGCCGTGGTTTCCGGGCCTTTCGCGAGGATCCGCTTGTGCAAACCCTTGCTGATCATTGGTGATCTGTAACTGTCATTTCACATATCTTTTATCTTGGTGCTTCCTGCCATTATTGCTAATCTAGTGCACTACAAGGGCTATCATGGGACTTATCTCGACTTCAACGGTGGTCGCCGCCTGCCAGCAGGTTCTTGACAAAGGCATCCCCGGGCAATGCCTGAATAGTGATATTGTCTCAAACATGGAAGCCGTTATCATCCCATGAGAAATTGTTGTGGCCCACCATACGTCCATAGCTTCTATGATGGTGGGCTAGCTTTTCTAGTTCCAGCTGCGAAGTGGGTTTCGAGAAAATTCCTACATACAGTAGTATACTAAAATACCCATGCTTGCCATTTTATGCCAGATCCAGTCTGCGAGATAGGCGAGGTGCAAGGGTGTCATTATACATATTTTCTGCCGCCCCCCGAACTTGGTAACATTGTTGCACCACTCTTCCCATTGTACGGACGGTCTAGCATTTTCCATTTCTTAGGTCAACCGTTCAAGATGAGAACGAACTCCATCATTGCAGGCTCCCTGCTGGTGGCCGGCCAAGCCTTGGCTTCCGTTGCACCTCGTCAGCCCTATGCATACCCCGCCAAGCCTGAATTTAAGCGCGGCGACCAGGGTTGCACAACAGCTGAGCGTATTGCACCAAAGATCCTGATCATTAGCATGGTAAGTGTGCCACCATCTTACAACTGTTACTAAGCGGCCGACTTACGAAATGAACAGTTCTACCCTGAAGCTGATGTTTGGTATGAGAACATGCCCAAGAGTGGCTACGGTGACCTGTTGGCTCAGAACATCACTGTACCTGGTCTCTCTCCCATCTACCCAGAAGTACACTGCATCCCATCCGGAGAGATATGCCAAGTTACCGCTGGCGAGAGTGAGATCAATGCTGCCGCATCGATTTCCTCGCTTATGCTTTCTACCAAATTCGACTTCAGCTCGACTTACATTCTTATGAATGGCATTGCCGGTGTCTCTCCTAAGCTGGCCACATTGGGCAGTTATGCTTTGTCCAAATTCGCCGTCCAAGTCGCTCTTCAATACGAGTTCGATCCCCGCGACCTGCCTTCTAACTTCTCTACTGGCTACATTGGCTACGATAACCTTGCGCCTGGACAGTACCCTGCTGAAGCATACGGCACCGAGGTCATGGAGGTCAACGAGGCTCTAAGGGACATTGCTTTCGACTTCGCATCAAATGCCGTCCTAAGTGATAGTGATGGTGCCAAGGCATACCGTGCCAAGTACGCCCCAGCCGGTGATGTCTTCGCCGCTGCGGTTGCCGGTCCTAGTGTAGTTAAGTGCGACGGCGCTACTAGTGATGTTTACTACTCCGGAAATATCCTCGCTGAAGCTTTCTCGAACACCACAAAGGTTTGGACGAACCAGACCGAGTACACGTACTGCATGACCGCACAGGAGGATAGTGCAGTCCTACAGTCAATCATGCGAGCCCATCTCGCTGGTTTGGTCGACTACACCAGAACGATTGTGGTTAGAACTGGTACGTCAAATATGTTCTTATGCCAATTCAGATTGATAACTAACAACATGACAGCCTCCGATTTTGATCGCCCGCCGCCAGGCACCAGCGCCTACGACCATCTCTTGATTGACGATCAGGGTGGTTTCACGCCTGCCGTGGACAACATCTACCTCGGTGGAATCGAGATTGTCAAAGGCATTCTCCTCAGTTGGAATTGCACTTTCGCTGCAGGAATCAAGCCCACTAACTATGTTGGCGACATCTTCGGCTCGTTGGGAGGCGAGCCTGACTTTGGCATGGGTAGCGTTTTCAGTAATGGAAATGGTGCCCAGGCAGATGGTTCTAGCTATACTGGAGCCGTCAAGAGGAGCAATTACGGAAAGAGAGGTTTCTATAAAAGCCCCAAGGCTGCCCGCCTGATGAAGTGACCTTGTGCCCTTCAAGATAATGGACTTCTTGCTATAGGCAGACTACAGTAAATAATAATTAATACACCTGTCATGTATAGTGTTTAGTGGCTTAAATATCACACAAATGTCAACCCGTACCGAGTCTTCGACGTGCTCTTAAAACAAAGAATAAAGTCATAATTAAGACAATTGCATATATTACCAAGTCTTCATCGCTAACCAGCTCATTGGAACAGCGCCTGGATACGAAGCATAGCGTGATTGCTCGAGCGCAAATCTATTTTATGTACTGTACATCCATGCTATCATACACCCTCGTATTCTCTTTACCAAACGCGGTAACATTACGTCTCCTGCTGTTCAAAACAAATGGAAAATCGTCGTTTTGGTGACCGGATGTCTTGGGCCATCCTGACTTGGGGACATAAGTAATAGCCAGCAGCCGCGCTTCCTTGTGGTTGCAAATGCCCCAACAATAGCATCTATCCTCATCTCCGATAACTTATACCCAGCCTCAAACCCCTGTTTCGAAGCATAACCACCTGGCTCTTCCCCTCACTTCATGCCATAACGGAAAAACTCGGCTAACTGCAATTCGTGGAACAATCGATGGTCATTATTTGTCATCTTCATTCTTATCATCTTCCTCTTCTTTCTGACGGATCTTGACGTTGATCTTTCCACTCCATCCCTTAGATATCTCATACTCTGCACCGAGTACGAGGTCCTTGGCCACAAGTTCTCTCGTACGTCCGAGAGACTCGATGTCGGCAATACGCTGAAGCGTATCCGCAAGGAATTTGCGGAAGCCTGGCTCAGCACAGATCTCCTTGAATGCGCGGTGCATAGGAACGGAGCTGGCTCGGACTTGAGCGGTACTGGTAATAGTATAGAGATTGAGACGATCGAGATCGCGGATAAAGTCAGATCGCGTCATGATCTGCTGGGCCTTGTGCATCTGGTATGTGGGCAGGACGTGGCCGGTGATGTCGTCATAGGTCTTGTCCATTTCCTCCTCCTTATCGACGAGAGCCTGAGCAAGAACCATTGCTGCCGACTAGGTTGCTGTCAGTGCCTGTATTCGTATTGCTGTAATGCACGAGTCTGTCATGTAGAGAGGGAAGAGGCCAGAAAAGAAAATTGCAACTTACAGCCCATTTCTGTTGATCCATAACATCATCATCCATCTCCATGCCCAGAATCCAGCATTGATTGAGAAACCAAGTTTTCTCTGTCTCCTTGATTTTGTCGCATGTCATCAACATGTCTGTAGACTTAGCGACGCGATTCAGGAAGGATAATCGACCGCCAACAAGGTCATAGACTTCCTCAAGGAGTGTCTTAGGGACATTCTCTTGGAAATATCGCTGCCGATACTTTTGCAAAGCGGCAACGGCCTGAGATTTAGGCAAGTCGTGGACGGATGTGACCTCCATCCGTGTTGCCAACTGCTTGAACCGCTCGTAAACCCAGTAGTCGTCTGTATTGAAGACCATCGTGACAAGATTAGAAGCAGCCCATTGTTCAGCTCGCTGCTGCAATAGCTCCAGCAAGTCCTTGCCATCATCGTCGTCGCGAATGAGATGGCACTGATTGACGATAACAATAAGAGGCTTGTTCTTCTTTGCCCGGTGTAACAAGGCAACCTTCTCCAATTTGTTCAAAGCTCTCTCGATATCGAGTAATGCGGTGGTGTCCCTAGGACCTCGTTCGCTAAAGTAGCCTCCTATGTAATCCTCATCTATGTCGCAAAAGAGTTAGCCTGAAAAAAAGATTACTGACGACGCTTGATATTGTGACTGCGGTGCCTGAAACATGAAGAATATTCTATATCCATGTCACACGTAGATAGCAAAACTTTTTGCTCGTAGCCTTATCTTCCATGGCAGCCTCATGCGTATAGATAGACAAGACTAAAATCAACAACCCTTCAGTCTTTAGTATCAAGTCCGCAGATAATAAGCCTTAGAAGCCAAGCATAATAATAAGCTGGCCCTATGGCAACATGTTATAGGACCATAGCTTTTTTGGGTTAGTGATTTCAGTTCCACGGTGACATAAAAAGCACGTCCGACACCGTCTCCAATCTTTGAAGTGAGAAGAGGAGTTACAGCCCCTTGAAACTTCAATGCAATGAACGACCACTTCTTGCTAATATATGCTCGCCCGCCCCTCGACCAAGCAAGCCTGATTGCTGTCAGAAGTCGTGCCTCCTATCCAATGTGCAATAAAACAGAATTGGCAAATGACATCAAACCAATTCCATCATCTAACACAAACTGCTTGGACCGTTCAAGTCTTGGTAAGTTGGCGATGCCGTCCTGTAGAGATTGCCGCATTCGGCTTACTCCGTGCCATACCAGAAAATCGCGTATGTATATGATGGCGTACTATGATTCGGCTGGCCTACCCACTCAATGAGACCTTATCTGGCTCCAGCGTGTGTTGCAATGTCGGAAAGGGCGAGGAGCAATACCCCTGCGCCTACCAGTTGACAATGTTGCCATACCTGTTTCGTCCACTGATTGCAGCTCTTCTCGCAAACTTGAACAATAATTTGAGTAAGTGGCATCAGTTTCCGGCTTTGGCACAGCGCCACAATGCCGACACAAACGCATTTGATAATAATGCATGACCTGCAAAGAACATGATACGCCGTCATGTTACAGAAATCGTGGACCTAACACTGCTGCACCACCAAAATCCATCACATTCCAGTGCATACGTTGACGAAGACACTATCTCGAGAAGTGTTCGAAGCTACTGCTCGTCCCAGGAGGAATCTTCCTGGAATCTGTTTCTGGCTGCGAAAGTAAGAGCATGTGAGGGCTCCACACCACCACTCTTAACAATATTCATCTGAAGATGTGTAGGGGGATCGGCAACAGAGGCATAGTTTCTACGCTTGCCTCGAGAATCCCAGTCGACTGAAGTGTTCTTGAGATCGCATTTTCTTTTCAATCTCATACGCCTGCGTATTATTCCCACAACACCACCTCGTAGCCAACCACAGAAGCTTTTCTTTCATCTTCAGGCACCACATTCCAAGAAACAGTAAACGGAAGCAACTTACGGAATTCATAGTCGAGCGCCTTCCCTAGACGAATTCGAAATATTTCGAGATCAGCATGGGCTTCGAACATGGCGCAGCCATCCCCTTCAATCTTGCGCATCGCCTCCAGTAGCATCGAGCTCTTTCCGCTGCCCTTCTCGCCCATGATGAGATGGTAGTGTCCTTTGTCGGCTCCCATCACGATAGCATCGATCTTTGCTTGCTCTGCCCGCTGGATCCAGTGCTCTTGATCCGGTTCTGAGGGTACTTCCTTCGCAATGGCAGCCAAAGTAAGCACTGGATCACCGGGTTGAAATGCATTCTCCATTTTCTTCAACTGGAGGGCTTTGTAAGACTTGTGATACACATAACCGGCGAGAGCGAATCCGGCCCCCAACACCACGACAGATGCGAGGGTGGTGGCAGCCGATTCCACCATTTTGGCCAACAATGTTGGCGCTCCATTTCCGGCCTTTGGTTGTTCCTGCTGAGGCTCCTCGGATCGTTTTGTGGTTGATTGTGAAAAGTACCGATATGCCGGCCGGCTAATCGGCATCAGCTGGCGCAGGTCGCGTCGCGTGCGACCGCGAACCATTGGTCCCGCCAGTCTTGCGGGCCCCAGCCAGTTTCCCTTCATCACCAGCATCATAGTGACTAGCTGTATCTCATCGACACAATATGATGCTTTCAGGCTGTTTGTTCCGACCTCCTGGAGCTCATTGAAAGAAATGACCGATTGCGCTCTTTTCTCAGGAGGCCTCTTGCGAAACGTCAAACTTCGTTCCCTTCTCGGCGTTTAAGCCACAGGCTAGGAATGAGCTTGTTGGAGCGGGTTGGCTTGGCGTGGCTGTTGAGCTGCCAGGAATCGGTCGGAGATATTTCTCGGCACCGAAGATTGGCCGAGTTGAGCCTTCCGCATTTGAGTTGTAAGATGGCGCTAAGGGGCTGTATAGTCCTCGATAACTCTATACAACATCAGCATCTTCAAAACTCAGATACAAGTACAGAGAGTTTTGAGTTGTTGGAATTATTTCACATAAGTTGAATAACCGTAGTAAGTTATGTAGACCCTCAGGACTACCTAAAAAGTCTTAATTGGTGTTGGACTGTGTTGATACGAAGCAGCAGTTGATATTGCAGCCATGCCATGGCAAACAGGCAATGCCAAACCATACTTTTGATATCTTTGACAGGAACAAGTTCAACACAGTGTTATATTCCAGGTTGGGGGATATGATTGCCGCTGTGTGTGGCCCGTGCCTGTAGGTACTGTCTTCATCTTCATTTGTTGGGTGCTTCCAACTACCTGGCACAGTTCAGATCAGGACAATCGATGAAGCTGACCTCGCTACTTGTCTCTATAAAATCCACTAGCTCAAACAGCTAAGCAGATAGCTAGCGGGCAGCCTATTTGGGACCTCCCAAAGATATTGTGCCCCGCGTATTTCAAGCTTTCATCGACCTGGACGGCACAAGACCACAACACAACTTTGCATTCCCTTTCTCCCTGCATTCAAAGAACCTCGCATTCCACAATACACCCGTTTCTCCACGCGCAGACTTGATTGCCACTAGATCCTCAATGATCCATGGTAATATAGTCATTGCGATACCAACGCCGAATTTTGGCACCCATTTTACCTGGTTGCACGTATTTCGGCATCGCTTTCTTCCCCATCCATTCACTTCATTCCTGAGGAAGAATCTTCATACACATCCACCAGTCCCTTTCAGCCACTTAAATCACAAGTCATCGCAAGATCAAGCCATATGTGCATTTCGACAAGCATGCATCATCAAAAAGCTCACTAGAGACTGCTGAACGTTCTGTGGAACGCAAGAGATTTTCCTTATTGCACACAAGTTGGTACATAGAGTTCCACTTTGCTCTTATCTAGTAAGTCATCAATAACAAAGCGTTGATAGTTTGTTGCTTTCGTCTTCGCTGTTTTGCTGTTCTCGCACATCCCGTTCACATCGCCGCCATTGCCCAAAATGCTAACAAAGTCTAGGACTGCGCTGCTTTACAGAACACTCTGTTGTTTCTTAGAAGCAGAAGATTGGATATCTCTGTCTTGACTTTTTTGCATGGATGATGCTTGTGTTCGCACAATCATACATGGCAAGAAAATCCTGAGCTTTCGAGTTTCTGTGCTTGAATTAGATTTCTGCATCCTTCGCATACTAACTTACACCCATATGAACAGTGCAGGTGGTGTTTACGGCGTACATCAGTTCACAAGATGACGGGACTTAAATACCTCTCCGAAGCAGAGACGCTAATGAAGTCGAAGAAAAGTATCCGCAACCACCAAGCAAGATCATGTATTCTTACTAACTTGGCCAGAGCATTCGAAGTCAGCCCATAATGACAAGGCTCCAGCCACGCCCACTTCTTTGCCGCCTGCACAAGTACCTCTACCTTCTACTCCTATCTCTGCTGAGGAAGAGATACTCAATCGGCTACTGGGTAGCTATCGGGACCTTGAGGATGAAGACAATTACCCCAACCCTGCGCAGGTCCAGTCAAAGTCGAAACAGATTTCTACACCACGTCCAGCGATGACTCCTCAAGGCCAGCCAGAGCTGCCGGACAAGACGAAAATGAAGGGAGCAGAGCCTATTGAGGATGTACAGCCGACGTTGCCTTCTACTAAGAAAATGCTTGTTCGCCGCGCTTCACTTCGACGCGATTCACTTCGACTCGGTCATCTTGCCCGTCTCGCTCTTACAGATGAGAGTAAGAGGCGTCTGTCCAGCATTGTGGAGTCTGAAGTCTCATCAAGCACAGAGCGAGTTGTTACCATGACACTGGCCGAGGTTCCAATGAAACTCATGAGTCCACATGCCCAGATCATCGCTAGAGGAGAGCCAGAGCGCCTCGTATCATTCAAGGTCAACTTTCACCCCATGCTCGATACAATCGGTATGTCCGTGGCGATGGCAATACACCAGGGCTTTGCCGTCCCAATTGATAGACCCATGACGCCGGACACTATTGCGGTGCCTGCGGCGAGCCGATTGCAGGCTAACGATAGAACACCAGCCGATGCTTCGCGTAACTTTTCTCGTCTGCAGAGCAAGCTGAACCAGGTTTCTTTGCCGGTAGTAGCTGAAACATCTGATGCCACTGAGTATGAAATCAGCGGTGCTTTAAAGCCTATCCATGTTGGTAAGGTAGATCTTGTCCCCCGGGCGGCTGCAACCCATTCCAACAACCTGAAGGAAATGCTGGGGAAGTATGAATGCTTCAATGCAAACCTAACTGTCCAAGTCGACAAAGAGATTGCAGCTTTGAATAACATCGACAGCTCTTTCACCATCGGCGACAATTCAGAAACTCCTGTGCTTCCGGAGTTCAATTTCCATCGTGCAAGTGGTAATTTTGGGTCACTCTTTGACCGTAGTGTTGGCAACCTCAGGACTAATGCTGCAGATGCACTGAACTTGCCTGGTTTCGCACAAAGAGGTACGTCCTCTGAGAAAGACTGTGGTGGAGGTCTTCAGACTTCATCCCACAAGGATACGAACGATGGCGGCAATGCTGTAATGGACCCTAGTAACACTCTGAACATTATGACGGACCTTGGTCAGGGAACTGCAGAAACAGAAGCAGAAAAGGAAGGGGGAAATATCACAGACGAGGGCTAGGAACCCGGTCTACCGCGCCCTGATTCACCTACACTAGGCTACAGTGAACATGTTTTGTTCATGCAGTCAACAGTTCAGACAACTCCAGCTCCAGCTCCAGTCGTTCGGCCTTATGGTCCTGCAACCTCTAGCCTTCACAGGGTTCCATTGAGTTTGTCAGCTTCCCCACTTCCACCATTTGGTCCGCTGCCTCCAATTCCAATCAAGGCTAGATCCGCTTTTGCGGTCAATGCTCCGAGTTCGCCTGGACAATTGCGCCGACAAGGTTCGCGATCCAAACTGCACGAATCCAACTTGGTGTTGCCAGGTCATCCAAATGTTTTGAGGAAAAGAATCCCCACAGAACCTCCCCACCTTGAATCCTCTTCACCCATTTCCCTCGCTTCAAGTTCACCAACAATTCATTCACATACAGTCAAGCAATTCTCACAGGCTTCACTCTCATCTTTGAAAAAAGAGGAATTTCCGTCTCTAAGTTCCTACGAGCCCTCTACCTTTTTCTCGAACCCCTCCGGCTCGTCTCCCGAGGAAGACAAAAAGAAAGCTTCAAAGTTACCATCTCAGCAAGGGCTGACATCAAACAAACGTGAAGCAGATTCATCTAAATTTACTTCTCTGGCTGTCCCAACCTCACACAAAGGTAAAGAGATAGCTTTTCAATTACCTTTCCGACACGCCTTGACATCGAGCAAAGGCAAGGGTATATCAACCGAGTTGTCATCCCTACCTGTCCCGAAGTCACGCAAAGGTAAGGAGATAGTCACAAACTCTTCTTCTGCTCCAGTTTCCGGCAAAGGAAAAGACAAAGTGTCTGAGCTTCCGTATCTACCAGGTTCTACTTCAGCAAGAGTCTCCACGAAGAGCAAGACATCGAGTACTGAAACTGACACAGAGTTGTCCTCCGATTCACGCGGTAGTCAGGAATCACTTAAATCCTCTTTTACTTCTCCTCCTGGGTACAAGTCCACGACTTTTCCCGTACCTCGCACTAGTGATACCTTGGACCTAGTTCCAGCACCCCTAAAGATCACACGAAAGTCATCACTGCAGCTCACGCCTGTTTCAGCACAGTCATCAAGTTCGTCGACGAGGCTGCCCACACCAGGAATACCCCAGCTTCCAGACAACGACAACGTGGTCAAGCTAGCTAAAACACTACCTCGTCGAGTCAGCTCGTCACCAGATCTTCGTCCATGTATCAAGACAAGATCTTCAAGCAGCAGAGATATTACTGTTGAGCCTGCTTTCATCGATCCCGTGTCCCGACTACATTCTGCCGACGTTCCCAACAGATCCCGTCATCGTCGCGCTTACGCCATTTCGAACCTAAACAAGTCTACATCATCCAGACTTTCTTTAGTGGCCGAAGGTGACGAAGGCGATCAGGAACAAAACGTATCCGGATCGCAGGAGACCACCAGCGACCATTACGGGGACCCAGAGCTGGAACTTATCACCGACCAGCTCCGGGACCTCCTTGCCGAGTCCATCGATCGGCAGTACAACCAGCGGGTCGCCGAGAACCGGATCACCAATCCGGAGGTCGTCAGAATTGGCGACACTAGGCGCCAACCTTCCCTAAGCGGTATGTACTTGATCACATAATCATTTCCCATACCTCTACATATGTAGATAGATATAGATATATATACTAATGGCTATAGAAGCAGCAGAGACGAGCAGCGGTTCCCGCCACTCTTACGAGGGAACCATGGGTTCCTGCTGCAGCAGGCGCGCTCAGCCTCCAGCCAGCTCAAGCTTCGGGTCGGCTGCGACCCTCGTCGCTCCCGCCGGCGATGGGCCTACCCAGCCCATCGATATTCCAGCAGGGGATATCGCGGTCTCGCTTCTGGCGAGATACCACTCGCCGAGCTCGGCCGGCCGCGGTGGCTCGTCGTTTTCGTCTGGTGTGGGTGGTGGTGTTAGTGGCGTTGGTGGTCCTGGTTCCTCAGAGGAGGACGACCTCTTCGGAGGTCAACCAGACCTGTAAGTCGCGGGTGTTTCTTTGTTTTTTTTTGGGGGTGGCGGTGATGAAGATGGTGGTTTGTTTGCTTTTCTGGGGTGGGGCCATGCCCCCTAGATAAAAGAATCCAAGAACTTCTCTTTTCAACTCGGTTCCATCGGGAATTCTAGTCATATCTATAGTGAGATTGAAGAAATGCTAAACTCCTTTATCAATAGCCCCAATTTGTTATACTCAGCAAGTAAGGCACGTGCAGCCAATATAGTAGCCAACGAGTTCCTTGAGGAAATTGAGCTGGTGGCGGCTAGCACTCCTCGTGCCGTTATTCCTCATGCCGTTCCTCTCCCTACCCGTATCTTGTCTCCAATCCTTGCTGCCACTCGTGTCACCGCAGTTGTTGTGGAGCTTGATCTTCTGGCTTCGGCAGAGCCAGAGGTTTGGGATTTGATCAGCGCTCGTCGCCGTCAGGCTGCCAGCGGGTCGACAACGGTGAGTAATGGTTCGTTGCTCGACCATGCCACCATTTCGTTGGGTTCTAAATCCAGGGAAGCCCAGAGGCAAAGTCGTCTGCTCCACGAGCAGGACAACCGGGCTCGGGCTGCCCGTAAAGAGCATACGCTTACTCGCAAGGCGTCCAAGGCCGCGCTGAAGATCGTGAAGTCAATGGGTGGTGAAGATGGTGGTATTTTTGGCCGATTCCGTTCTGCTAGTAGACATGGCAGTAAAAACTCGGGCTCTATGACCTGAGAAGAATTACTCCTATGTGTCTGTGTGCTTGTACAGTTGGTCGTTCGGATCCTTTTTCCTTTTTTGCAGAAGCTATGCCAAAAGCTATAGAATATTTGAAACCATAAATGTTTCTTAAAATGATAAGATCAGTGAGCAACTCTTCTGCTTCCTGCGTCATATTTTGGGTATATTTACTTATGACCCATGTGTTTAGCGAAGAAGGTCGATAAATTATCATCCTTCCTCGAGTATCATATGTAAGATCTGGCCAGATATTAGTACGTCGTTAATATATTATTCACTTGATATGTTCAGCATTTCTGCAAGTAGCATGAAAGGTCAATCTCGGAAAGGTCGTTGGATTTACTCCTTCATATGGCAGTAGCTAAGGCTAAGCTATTCCGTGCCCTTACGAACTTCGGAACCAAAGTAGGTCAAGCTACATCAATAGCGACTAATTCGGGGATTTTCGCCGTGAGGTGTCGCAGGAAACTGAACACATCAAGTTCACCGTGATCAGTCTAAAAGAAACCCCAATTCAATTCCTATCCAGTCTTGACCGAACAAACCCAGGTCTCCTGCGTCTCAATCGGCATCTACATCAACATTGTGACAAATCTCCCCGCATACCTCCATCATATGGCTCAATCTTTGGCGTACCTCCTCTACTCTTACCGCACAGTCTTTTCCAAGGGCTATCTGTACCTCGCTTTCTAGGCCCGCGCCGACGCCTTCTCCAACCACGACTTCGTAAATGGCTTTAACAGCTTTCTTATGGTCACCTTTCACTACCATGTTCTTCTCTTTGAACACGTTATAGTATTTCTCCAGTACGGTATTCCGATAGTCCGCAGCTAGTGGCTCCCGTACCAGGCTGACCTGCGTGCTCATGGGTGTGTTGAAAGCACCCATATAGACGAGAAGAACCCGGACGTTGAACTCCGCGACTTCCCGCGCGAGAGTCTTGGTAATATCTATTCACGCTGTGAGCCATGTTCATCGCAAGCTATCGTTTTGAATAAGGTGTGAGAACGACTTACTGTCCAGCGCGGCTTTGCTGGCTCCATATGCACCCAAACTCTCCCGAGCCTCAAGTCCAGAGCCACTACTCAGATTGACAATTGTACCTCGTCTCCGAGCCCTCATGTACGGTATTATGGCACGCATCAAACGGTAAGGACCAAAAAAGTTCGTCTCTAGTAGCCCTCTGATTTCCTCCTCGCTGAACGCCTCAACAGGGCCTGCCAAGCCGATACCAGCGCTGTTGACCAGAACATCGATATGAGTGCCTCGTTCTTCTAGATCTATAATAACGTTTGCTGATTTGGTTGAGTTGACATCAAGGCTGAGCCATCGAGCACCTGCTGCTTCAATTTCCTGGACCAGGTCCGGGTTCTTTGAAGGGACACGGGAGGTTGCAATTACCTCGTGGCCTGCTGCCAGAGCATGTCGGGCTATCTGAAGGCCAAAGCCTGATGAGCAGCCAGTAATGAGCCACGTTAATGGCTTGATGGTTTTCGATGAAGATGTCATACTGTAGTTCAGCTTTTGCATGAGATTTCAATCCAGGCCGGGGTTCTCTGTATCCAAAAGCAAACTTATATCAACATGGACAACTTTTATTACCAAACGGATCTGTCGTAATTACGACCCAACACGGAATTTATGTCGTAGGGTTTAACAATGATCCTGTAGATCCCCGCTGTTTGCTGCAATATAGAGTTCCAGAGGCAAGCGGAGATAGCTCTTATCTCCAGTCATCTCGATACCCTGTTTGCAAATATCATACCAGATGGGCTTTAGTGCTGACCATTATAAGGCCTAGTACATACCATTTGTCAGTTTTGGATCATGTCCCTCAAAATTGATGGTCACTATTATTTGTAGTCGCACAAAGGAGCTTCGCGCGTGTGATGTTTAGTAATGCTTGGTGTGCTTGCCCGTACCCCGAGGAGCTCCTAGCCTAACCTAGCTAACATCAATCACTCTAACCTATACATCAATGCTAGACAAACATATGGGAGAGCAATTTTGATCAAAGCCAGTCAATCTTTGTTCAATCAGGGGACTATCAACTAACTGCAAGCATGCTCATCACTACTGAAACCATACGGGCACTTCACCTCCAATACGTGAATTTGTTCTGATAATGGCATAGCTTCATGCAGCTGTCGTCAATTGAACTACTTTAAGCAGGGGGGGGTGGGAGGTTGGGACATTGCGGTGGCCTCTCGATGCCAGCACAAAATCTCTATATTATGATTGGCATCGTCTTCTTCAACGAAACATACAACACTAACACTCCATAATAGAGTATGACACCCAAAACAGTACTCATCACAGGCTGTGGACCAAATGGGATTGGTCACAGCCTCGCTCTCGAGTTCCAGCTACGAGGCCATTTCGTCATTGCATCCGGCCTGAACGATACCCTTCTCGCGCCGTTCCGGGATTTGGGTATAGAAACAGTGGTCCTGGATGTTACGTCCCAAGATTCCATCGCCGCCGCCGTGGGACTTGTCACGAAACTCACGGATGGAAATTTGGATATACTTATCAACAACGCCGGGCTCATGCATATCATGCCGCTGTCAGATACATCAATTTCCGACGCACGGAGAGTCCTAGATGTCAACGTGCTGGGGGTCCTAGCTGTCACGCAGGGTTTCTTACCCTTGTTGATCCCTGCTGCGGAGTCAGGGAAGTGCCACAGTGTAGTGGCCAACCTTGGAAGTGTGAATGAGGTCTTTCGTCCACCGTTCTTCGGCATGTATAACGCTTCAAAAGCCGCGGTTGATGCGCTCAGTACTACCATGCGAAGAGAGCTCATACCGCTGGGTATCAAGGTGGTGCTTCTCAAGACAGGCAGCGTGAGGACGGAATTGTTCAAAGGCGCAATTGGAGATACGAGGTTGCCAGATGGAAGTCTATACGAATCCCTTAGGGACTGGATACAGGGACGAAAGATGCTGGAGTCTGGGCGTTTTGTCGAGGGCGACGAGTATGCGCGAAGAGTGGTGGATGAGCTACTTAAGAGCGACGTGAAAAGTGTGGTGTGGCAAGGTGGTCTAGCGACGCTGGCGTGGTTTCTGACTTGGTTCGGCTGGGAGAGCATGATGGACGGTGCGATGATAAAAGGCAACGGCTTGAATAAATTAAAACGAATCTAGCATGACTATGCAATCATTTACATACGAAACCTTGTCAACAGTTGCATATTGCTCATGAAACTGTCCATCTGTCCGTGATTGGCGGCGAAGGATGCCTTTCCAGAAACTATAGACACCAACAAGCTCAAATTGACGCCTAATCGGATCATCCACGCTTATTCAAATTGGGTTCACGTCAAGCTGCCCTACCTTGCGCACTTCGCGATCCAGAAAATCAGTTTGTTATTCTCCCTCTTTCGCCCTACCATACCATTTTTGTGCTCGTCTAGCCAGAATTGACAAAAGAATGAATGAAATCCCTGGGCCACTTGTTGCGGCAATTTTAACAGATTCACAACACATCGGCTATTACCGACTCAGACTGGAGTCATGACCGGCCAGTTGGGCTTGTCGACGACTTGCAAGAGATTGAAGTTTGCTCTTAAAAGAGTTACCTTCCACGTACATGCCTCTGAGCCATCTCTTGCCTGAACTAGAGTTGAATTGACGGCGGCCGTGCAGGACGCGAAGATTGTCAAAGACCACACATTCCCCGGGTTTCATCTTGTATTCAAAGACGTTTTTGCCATCCTCGAGCAGAGCCTTGAACTCATGGGCTGCATGTTTCCAATGCCGAAGTTCTCTTTCTGCCCCCGCTGGAATATATTGATCTGAAGATTGAAATGGAGGGGACCAGAAGGGCAACAACACTCGTTCGCCATTGTCTTGACAAGAAAAGCCATCCTGGTCGTTTCTCATTCTGTAATCGAAATCGGGGAGAACGGGTCGCGAGGTTGCGTAGGTATGCCCACCGCTTCTGTATTCGTACTTGACCCTGAACCTTTCGAGAATCTTCGTATGCCACCTTTCCTTCTGGAACTCTCTAGCTGCCTGTAAACCGTCGCTGAACATCGATTCGCCTCCCTCGCAGGAGTTCTCCAAACAGTGCAGGACCTGGATCTTCGGTGGATGGTCTAGGTATATCATATCCTGATGAAGACCAAGATAGTCACTGGTATAAGCGATGCTCTCTGGGTCAGGCTTTGAGATGACGTCCCAAGTCTTGCCGAAGAATGTTTCTTGGGCGATACCGAGCATTTTTGAGATATGTTCCACGGACTCTTCAGAGTAAGGAACATTGCGCAAGAATATGATTCCATACGCATCTAGCCGCTCTATTGCATCCACATACTGCGGGCCGCCATCCATGAAGCACTTATAGTCATGAAACACTGATGAAGTTCTAAGCTTCACACCATTCCAAGCAATCTTTGGTGCCTGGGTATGGAAAGGCTCGAGATACTCTCCACGGAAATAAGAGTTGTAGACCCTGTCAGCAGACAGTCGAGTAATGTGACTACCTCCAGTCAAGAAGTCGTGTTTCCAGCTAATCTCGAAGAAGCCGTCCGTGCAGTGTTTTACATAATTAATAGGCAGGTCGTTCGGTATGTCGCTGGTCGAAAATCGCTTCTGGTGCGAGGATGGATTCACGCAACGCTCACACGTACAAGCGTCTCGAAGCCATAACTTATCCAATTTCAAAAGATACTCCAATTTCGGATGTCTGAGATGGATGTCATTCTCTTGTAAAGCAGATAGGCTTTGTTCACACGATGGATCTACCATCAAGCCCTTCATAAGGGCAGCCTCGTCATGATGGTTCTCGCCCAACAAGTGGGCAAGTTCGCTTCCAACGGGATTTACCTTGAAAGCCGGCTTGCCTGCTTGACGAATTGGTGGCCGGAGATGCTCCTCTTTGTCATTTGATGAAGGTCCATCTAAGCTTACACTTGCTGAATACGTAGGTGGAGTGGGATCTTGCACCGGACATTGATTTTGGGGCTTCTTTTGAGGCAAACTTGAGAGCAGTGCGCGCGGTACTTGCAAAATTCGGCGCCTAGACTCTGAGACCAGGCTTCGGTACAGCACATTACGTGATGTGTTTGGTATCGCGAACATTTTAGGAGCACTAGTGGTTTCTCTCAGTCTGTACGGATGAGCAACAAGACTGATTCGATGGCCGTTGACACGAAAGAATGACACTTGCGAGTTGGTTGAGGATACGAACCAGATCTCGATTCCGACTTACTGTTGTCGTTTCTTGACAGAAAGCTTCGCCGCTTCAACTCTGCTGCTAAGATCAGTCAACGACCAAAAGCAACGCACAACACAGGTTTCACCGCATATCTGGCCAATGACAGCAGCTCAATTGCCCGATACCTGCGTGGTCAATGTAGATGCATATGCGGAGCATCGTGAATGTCTCTTGGTCACAAAGCAGGAGACGGGCACGCCAAAAAGCAAGCGATTCCTCATCCATCTCCATCATAGCAATCGTGCCGGCCATGGTCACATTGCCTGCGTATTCGGAGGACAGAGACTACTTGGTTGGCCCTACTGTGCCCCATAGAGTATGCACTATCGCGATGGGGCTAGATGTTGTTATGCGAAACATACTGTCCGGAACTTGTCGTGCAGCAGGCGAGATATGCGATATTATCGTGAGTATTTACCTGGACCCGGAGGTCCCACTCGTCAGGACCTCGTGTACATAAAACCTTGCAAGTTGAAAACTTCTACCAGGAACGTAATTGAAATGTGTACTGAGCAGTAGGATGCCATCCAAAGGAACCACTTATCTCAATCAATATGAGATCTCTGCGGAGATATCCATATTGACCTAGTCGGATGTCGACATTGCTTCAACGAGCATCATGCAACTCTCACAACCATGCTTGCCTGCCTAACTCCCTGCCCAGCAACAGCTATCACAAAATGCTAAACCCAAATGTGATAGGCTTGCATTGCATGCAATGGTGTAGGGCAATCACAGCCGATAGGGCCGGGATAGACTTGTGAGAACCCGGGCTATATCGAGACCCCGGGAAAGGAGATTTAGGGATCTCCAGGGCGTGCAGCAGACTCGCAGTTTTGTCTGTGTGTACAGCAAGATGTTCCGGGCCTCGAGTCTTTGATCGTTCATCCGCAACAGTGTTCTTCTTGGTGACCATCTAATAGTTGTAAAAACTAAGTGATCAATAAAGACGCAAATTGAAACGCGATTTGGGTTTCGAAAACATTGCATGCTGGAGACTTGAGACGGGGCATTCATCACCGAGTCACATTGCTCATCACACTGCAATCACCAACATGAGCGAAATCATCGGTGGCCCTACGGTAAGCCCCTGTCAATAGATAATGATACCCTGGCATCTTCGTTCCGAGTTCATGAAATGATTCGAGAAATTTGCGAGAAAAAGCAACTCCTGGCTTCCAGTTACCATGATTCACCAACTTCCTTCATTTCCGCCTTCTAAAGTTCCAACCCATGATCACAATCATCGACGCTCACACGAATAAATCTCAACGTTTCTCTTGGCACCTACGACCCCACCACCAATGAACTACCAAGTCCACCCCAAGCTACTGCCAGAATAGCGTCAACGTCGGTGCTCCATTTCGAAGCCCACTTGTCATTTAAAAGAACATTACCGCTCGGACGTGATCGCGACGACCCTGATGTTGACGAGTGTCGGACCACTCCCCAAGCCAAAATCTTTGCCTCCATCAGTTATTTCACATTGACCTATCCTTCGTTCCCTTGATGATTTGAGGCGTATTACGCCTTCAGCATTCCTGCCGCTCCCTTTGAGACACTTTTGCGTATACGACTCCCTTAGTCCCGCCCCATAACCTTGGAAGAAGCGGGCCTTGGCCTCTTTATTCCACCAAAAGTCGTTCACTACTGCAAGAAACACCGGAACTGGCGAGCGCCCCCAGGAACCTTAAATATCCTGGTGCCTTGTCTAGAGCATCGAAGACAACCCCGCAGCTAGATTGTCAAGTGGTAGAGCCCGCCGTTGAGACCATTGATTGCTCGTGAGCGTCCGGGAAGAGCTAAGGAGACAGCTTCCAGAGGCGTAGCCCTTTCTCGCCCTCCCCCCTCGACTGCTCGCGGTTCCGCGCTCTCCCGCCCCTATAGCGATCCGCTCGCGAGAGCAACTCCCCAAGGAGGAGGAGGACGACCTTTCTTTTTCAAGATGCCGTTCTCGACCGACTCCTCGGCACAGCCGCCGGTGCCCATCTCCATCACGATATGCGGCGACGGGGGGTGCGGTAAATCCTCCATCACGTTGCGCCTGGTGCGCTCGCAGTGGACCTCGGAGTACGACCCGACGATCGAGGACAGCTACAGCATCACGCGGCGGATCGACGGCGCGAGCTACCACCTGAGCCTGACCGACACGGCCGGCCAGGAGGAGTACCGCGGCATGTGGGCGTCCTCGAACCTCGGCGCCGACGCCTTCCTGCTCGTCTACGACATCACCGCCGCCGACAGCCTGGACGCCCTGGGCTACTTCAACGACCTCATCGACATGGAGGCCGAGACGCGGCTCGACAACGCCAGCAGGGCGCAGAAGGCCGGCCTGTCGCCCAGCGGGGCGGGCGGCGAGGGCAACAGGATGATACCGCCCGTCAAGATCGTCGCCGGGAACAAATGCGACCTGCAGGAGTCCAGACATGTGCCGGCGTCACAGGGCCTGGACTGGGCGCGGAAACGCGGCTGTGGCTTCATGGAGACGAGTGCCAGGCTGGAGGTCAATATCGAAGAAACGTTTGCATTGATAGTGCGGAGAGTGGTCGAGGCTCGGAGACTCGCCGAGATGGGTGTCCTGAATACGGCAGAAATGGACCGAAGAGGAGTCACCAAGCCGTTGACGCCATTGGGAAGCGAAAAGGATAACGATAATGAGAAGAGGGACATGGGTGCAAGAGGACCACGAGCGGGCCAAAACGATCAAATGGGTAAAGGGAAGAGCGGGTTCTGGAAGAGCCTGAGGTGTTGGTAATACCAAACCATCTTACGGAACCCTGTCAAACAGTGCCGGGGGACTATTTGGCCAAGGGATGTGGTTTGGGGGCTTGAAGTTGATTTATGGGAGACTATGACTCGCTGGTAGCGCCGGGACTCTTCCGTTCACGGCCAGGGATGTAAGATATTGCACTCGCAGTGGGCTATTGGCAGGCCCAGCATGACAATTAAGATACGCAGCACGAGGAAAGGGGGACCGGGGAATGGGGAACGGGGGAACCGGGGGGGCTGGTGACGGGCTATGGTAGAAGCTGTTGTTGGGTTGCTGGCTTTTATGATTCCCCTTTGCTTTTACATACAGCGATGGAGCCGGTGATGGGAACGCATTAGCAGTCTGTTTGGTTTAGACGCATTATATCTCATGGCGTACGGAAGAATGGGTTGAGGCTTATGTCTGCATGAAAGCACGCAATGCCTAGGGTTATGCTTTTCCTATTGGAGGTCTACGTCCCTACTATTTCGTTTAATTATCAATACTAACAATAATACAATTATCCCCTGAATGCCTCAAGACGGTGTTCCTGTATGGTCCTTTGATACCCCGTGTCACTCTCTGGGTGGTATGGCAGTGAGATGTTCAACAAATGGACACAAAGCGCAGGGTCTAGAGTCATTATACAAGCAAGACCTTATGTGTCTAACGCTATCCAGGACTGCTTTTGACTCTGAATGAGCAAGTCCTACTGGCGACGGCACTTTATCCGCTCAATCACGTGGAGTATAATTGGGTTTCGCGTTTTTACTATTGCCAAGAGGGAACAGATCTCAGGATTCTCCAATGGCCACAGAATTTGTAAGGATAATTATTGGGCGACTACTCATGTAAACATTCAGGCAACTCAACTCTCATAATTCACTGTAATGGTTGAGAACCAAAATTCTGTGTATTGCCAGTGACTGCATCAGCCTTCAATATACAACTGCTCAGATAGATTTCGAGAGCTCGTTTTGTTAAGCTTTACAACTGCATGTGAATATGCAGTAGACAGCAAGACAATACCAACAGAATAATAAAGTCTAGCCTGTAAATAGGAAGAGGAAGAGGAGGAACCCAAAAAGAGAAAAAAAAATGGAAGAAAAAAAGGACAAAAAAGGTGTTATCCCCAGCTCAGTTGAACTGAACTGGGCACCTTTGGGAATTGAAACCCAACCAGGAGTCGCCCATGGGTGCGAAAGCACCCCAAACTACCACTGCACCACAACGAGTGGGACTTGTGCCCCAGGGCTAACAGTGTTCCCACGCCGGGGACTGGTTGAGAGCAGCTCATTGAATAGACATTATGTAGCTATGGGGTCACTCCTCTGATGACAGAGCAACGTGGGCTGTCGCCTGGTTGCCTAGGTACCAGCCTTTGCTCCCACGATGACAACAGCATAGCTATGCCCTCATCTGTACCCTCAGGCATACTCAAAGCCGGTCACCTCGACGAGCATAGTTCCATAGCAGCTTTCATCCAGCGAACCGGAGTAGACTACAACAACAGAGCGATTAGCTCTGCTGATGTTGAAACCAGCAAAAAGAATAAGCATTACCAAACGATGATCTAAATTAAGTACCTAGCTATCTATATATGATCTCATCGCCAAAATATGCTGCCAAGGTGTAGTATCCTCCTAACGATGATCCTCCTCTAAAAGATTGCATGTCTCGTCACTAATGGCCCCATAATCATGACCCGGCGTTGCCTCTTAGATCATAACATAAATCAGAACATCAAATGCAGTAACCCCACCATTCCAACCACCACAATGCAGAGAATTCTCACCTCGAGGCTACTCGCACCAGCCTGAACAGGGACTAAATTCACTGCCGCCATAGCCGCCATATGTGTGGTCGCAGCAGCCTGGGCCTGACAACTTGGACATACATCTGCGTCACTGTCGGCGGAGATACTGTATCTAGGTCCCATCTGCACACCGATGCCCTTTGACAACACCGGCCAAAAAGCCCCTGCACCCGTGTCAGTTTCCACAGCATTGAAAGCGGTGACTGTCGTCCTGTATATCGTCGACGCCCACGTCGTGGTACGCCCAAGCACACAGTTCGTATCATCGGGCAAGGCGGTCGGTACCGCGAAGGTAGACATCTCACACTCCTCGGTCAGGGTGATATATTCGACCACAGCAACAGCACCGCCTCCATCGACAGATGTGCCCTTCACTGGGACGTCGGTGCTTTTTGCTGGTGTAGGAGTGGGCTGGTCTTGTGGACCATCATGACAAATTGTCGTCACGTAGACCTCGGTGTTCGTGGCAATCTGCCCCATGGGGCAATTCTGAACGGAGGGTGAACAGGCTGTGATGGTGTAGGTGATAAACCTAGTAATCGTGCTCGTAATGGTGTTTATGGTCGTGACGACAGGGGCGAGTGAGAACTGATCATCTTCACTAGCCGTTGTGACTGTTGTTGTAATTGTAGAGCTAGGAGTCGCAGAAGAAGCTGGTAGCTCAAGCTTGCCATCTTTGCATTGGTATTCCTGGTATATCGCCAGAGAGACAGGAACACAATCTGCGGGTACGCCAATCTCGGCAAAAGTGACCACCACCTGTTCGTCGCTCATCTGGCAGAAACCCGCCTCACCCCCAGAGAACGCGTCGTTGAACCAGTGGAGGGCATTGCCAACAACCACGAAAGTGTTATTTATACTACCATAGGGCGATACACGAAGAGGCATGAAGGCAATGCCGGGCTCAGTATTGACGATCTGCCCGCCACTGATGAGTTGACCGTTCGTAAGCCTGAAATTAGAGGCACTGCTGCAGGAAGATGGATTGACGGGGCCGGCGCCGCCAATAAAACCACCATCAGTCTGGCGCTTTTTAGCGCTCGAGCGACTGCTAAGTGGCAGAGACAGCCCAGTAGTTGCGTTTTGGGCAGCACCGCGGGCGGCGATGACTCCCAAGATGATGGGAGTATCATCAAGACCGGTAACTGTTGCAGTGGGTGTTTGAGTCGTGGCTGTGGAGGTAAGAGTGCCCAGAGATGTCATACTTGCCGAAACATATCCTCCAGGAAGGAAAGGAGCCGTTGTTGAGACACTATTCCCATCGTTCGTGAAGTTTGCCATGCAACTGCTGGTTATGGTTGATTCTCGTGACGATGTCATGGAAGAGCTCACGGAAACAAGTCCAACGGGGTTCGGGTCACCCGTAAATTTTGCTCCTGTGGGTGTTGATGTAACCCGTGTTGCAGCAACACCAGTGCATGTGCCTACATTAGCAGTTGTAGACGGTTGGAACGGTTGACAGCTGCCTTGAATATTTGCTGCGCCATCAAAGCCGTTCTTAACGGCTACGAGAGAGCTATCTCCACATTTAACATAATTGCTCATATACAATGCATCATTGTCCTGGTCGAATACCATGTATGTAGCTCGCATGAAGGTATCGCCAAGAATAATGAAGTTGTTGTTCTTGTTGGTATCAGGTGTTGTGTCCCATTGCACACCGAGTTGGCAATGTTCCTGGTCGTTGTAGAAACCAGCATTCCAAATGAACTCGGAGTAAGGCACTGATATGCTCACGTCGCCGAATGTGAAGTCCAGGCTACCCGGCAGTGACTGGTGGCAACACGGGACTCGATAGCCGCCGTCTCCATCATATACAGCGCCTGGAAAGTGGGAGGCGAATAACTCAACAATATCCCGCGGGAAAATGGAGAGGGTCGTGCCACTGTCCATTACAACGCTCAATGGGGAGGAAGTAATGATGGTCGATGCCAAAGACGTAGGCGCGCGATGAGAGACGGATGACAGATTTACTCTGTAATGTGGGTCTGCAATATCAACTTCGACTTTGCCGAGCTTCCCAGAGAACTTGTTGGTGTCCAGTCCTCCAAACACAATTTGCCCTGTAACTGCAATCTGCGGCGACCCTTGAGCACCAAGTTCGAGGCCGAAAAGTCTGCTGTTGGTGTAGTTCTGGTCGTACAGGTTGTCGATTAATGAGTCGTACCCGAGATGTCCTGGTGAACCAGCGTTCTTCCTGCCAAAACCAAGTCCCATGATACTGAACCAGACCCTTTCTGAATCAGTGACCACTCCAAATTGCTGGTCTTGGATTTGAGCACCTGAAAATCGTCAGTGCTGTCATAATCTCACTTGGTCATACAGTAATTTCACTCACCAGATATGAAGAGGTCATCGCTGACATAGTAGCCTTCGACGCTTCCTATGCCGTACTGAATCTCGAACGAAGTGGTCAAGTCAACTGCTGTGGGTGACAGAGTCATGTCGTATCGACCCAATTCCTTGCAGAATTCCGGCACGTTGGATTTTGCGCAGTTCGGATTGAACCATAGCTCATACGATCCGGTGTCCAGGAGAACTTCGACGGCTTGCCTCGTGGTTCCCGTTCCGACAGTAACTAAAAATTCATGTCAGAGTACTGATCGCGAAACTGGTGGCTTAAAATCCTACTTTCTGCCAAGTATGCTGCTCCTACGATATCTGTCACGCCGGCCTGGAAGAATCGTCTTTGCAAGCTTGTTAACCTATCTGCTGACTGTGAGTCGACCCTCTTCAGTGGTATCGATAAAACCTGCGACGGATCCTTGAATTTCTCTGACATTGCGCGCTTGGTGGAATCGTCGCCCTTAGTACTTCCAATCACGCTCGCAAGTAACAAGAAACTCGCCACGGCGAGCTTCACAAAGACTGCCATAGTAAACGGTGGAAGAAAGGCTTGAATACCTGGTGAGCTGCCGCTTAGAGGCCATTCTGAGAGCAAAACAATATATATATTCACTTAAACTGCCCGGCAACGCCTTCTATATAAGGGGGGCAACGAGGAATCTGAATTCAGTGCCACAGAGATCTGTCAGTGGTTTAACAAATATGCAAAAGCACGCTAGTTTGTTCTTGGGCGGTTGCGAGACATTAGTGTCTAGGATGACATTGATTTTAAGGTACTATTAGAAATGAAAGCAACTGCCGCATTCCATTGTAGACACTTGTAGCTTTTGGCAGAGGGATATAAGCACACTTTAGTATGAGGTCAGAGAACTGGTAGGGTCGAGGAGCCCGTAATTCCGGCTAGGCGATACTCCGGATTGAATCCATTTCAATCTCGCAAGCTCTGGTTGCTTTATAGGAATACCTTTGAGACGCCGGTCATCAGGCGCCCGAGGCGTGAGAACGTGGTCCGCCAAGTATGTATGAAAAACTCTTTGAAAGATCTTGAGTTGAGCTCGTAAAATAGCAGTAAAAAGAAGCACAGGTCTACCTGTATACGAGTCCCGGTATATCGTCAAAAACGCCATAGGGTTCCCGTCCTTTAAATACGCCTTTACCAAAGACAACGAGCTCTATGCTGTATTAATCTGAGCATCGACCCAGTCTCTAAATTGCTTGAACTCGGAATACCGCGCATCGTCCTTCTTGCCTTGATATCGGACGACCTTGAGGTCTAGGTCATGCCACTTGTCTTTCTTACCCATCCAACCACCTTTTCGAATGAGGCTCAAAATGGTCTCTTCTTTGGTCCAGCCTTGCTCAGGCGCAACGTCTGGCAGATATGTCGAGCCATATCGTTTACCTCGGTCGGTAAAGCTGAGACGAATGCCGTGTGTGCCAATCTCCCAGTCCATAGCATCATCGCAATCCTCAAAGTCGGTGAGCAACGTGATTGCCACTTCGAGAGAAGGCAGTTCTCGCTTCGAAATGGGATTGAAACGCGTGTCATGAATGGCAGCCGTGATGGCATATGAAGAAATACCGTCCTCCAGGTCTTGCGCTTCAAACGTGCCGATGCAACCTCGGAGGTTTGTATCCCCTGTTCTCGAAGAAACCGTATTCCATGTTACGAAGAGTGGCGAGTCGGTGATCTCTGTAGGCAGCGAGGACGTCGAAGTATCTGGCGTATCGGCGTCCAAGGACGTGCTCGAGCCTGACAAAGGCGACGAGGTATCGCTACTGGCTGCATTATTACCAACCCTTAGCAAGGCAGGAATCTGTTTCTTCGAGCTTCCAGCCTCAGTGGTGGCCTTGCGAAATTCACTGTAGAGCTGGATGGTGTCAGGTAAAGACAGTGGCTTCCGCTGCTCAAGATGAGCTGCCAAAGCCTCGAATGCGAAGATACAGTGCTCCTTGGTCGCCATGCTGTCGTTGCTTCAGAGCGAATCTCGCAGATCCTCACGGTGTGGAACGGTACAAAATACTGGAGCAGGAAAGGAACGAACGAAAGATGGAACACGTGGACGGGCAAGATGTGCACGATGACAATACAGACGATATCAAGTGTTTAATTGTAAGTGAGCGTTTGCAGGTCATCCACTGGCCCCGCGATGTGGTCATTAACCCAACCCACTGGGCGTTTCCCCGCCATGCGATCTGATGGCGGATAAGACGCTCTGTAATAGAAGTGGAATACACAAGCGGCAGCGTGAAAGCATGCGTTTGTACTCTGTACATAACTTGCAGTACAGATAGTACATACTCAAACGCCATCAGTCACTGGGACGAGACGCTATTTCCGGGTGCTCCTGCCAATAAGGTTGGGCCCAGCTGAAGCGGGGCAGCGTCCAAGTGCAGTGGGCTGACCGGAAGACGTCCAGCTTGGGGAGCGGGGCGATCAATTTTGCTGAGTTTGCCCTGGATGTATAATTCCCGGTTAGCATCCCCTACAGCTTGTCTTGTACAGTGTCATGTTAGTCGCAGCTGCGACAAGAAGATTACAGAGCACATCACGAGGGTGCCGTCTCGACATTATCAGAGTTAGGAGTCTGCCGAGTTCGACGAGCACTCGGAAAAGGCAGTGCTTCTCTATTTACCATCGCCACTTCTCTGCTAAGACAGACTTGCCCACCAAAGGTAAATGCAACCGGATGCATCATGCAGTACCGTATCCTGATTTTGCTTGACAAAATGCTGCGCTCACATACCTGCATACATATGCTTACATGACTACCAGATAGAAACATCCGGAGTCGATCATTAGACGTGCGGGGCTTGCAGAGTCCTCGTGGCCCAGTTGTAGACACCATGTCAACTATTGATCTGGGACCACTCGTGGACTTCACGCATACTCGATACGCACTTCACTTATCCAATGGCAAGCGTCTGGTTCTATTTAAGTTGCCGCGCATAGATGGCTCAAGACTTTCACCGGCCGCAAACGAGACAGAAGACGGATGGACGTACTATGCTATGGAAGCCGAATGTCCCCATGCTGGCGGCCCCATGACTGAAGCTCACGTAGATATTGAGGATTCTTCCTACGTGGCTTCATGTCCGTGGCATGCCTATGACTTCAATGTTGAAACCGGAGAGTCAAGTTATGGCATTAAGACATGCACATTCCCTATCGTCATTGCTGACGGTAAGGTCACTTTGCAAGTCCCCGGCCAAACCAAACTCCATCTTTCTAGAATGGATCCTGTGAGTGAAAAGGTCAAGTTTAAGCATACGCCCAGAACAGATTCTACAAAAGGCGTGGTGTATTTGGGGGATGATGCTACCCTATGTGACTGGTGTGTCCATATCCTCAACACGCCAGATCCAGAGCAGAAGATCGAGCTTACCACGCGGTTGTTCTCTATTTACGCAACAAAAGAAAAGTCTCCTAATCCGATGGAGCTTGGTGCGGGTATCGAAGCACCTGATAAGCCACGGCGAGATGACTATGGCAAGCTCAATCCGGGAGCCATGCCGAGGGCTGGAAAGGGCGGCACACTGAAAAGTCGTATAATGATGTTGCACAACCTGGCAAATATTGAACAGTGGGCTATTGACTTGGCAATCGATATTTGTGTGAGATTTGCCACGTTCCAGACCAATTCGCCGGACAAGGCATTGTCACGAGAGCTACCCCGAACGTTCTATTATGACTGGCTCAAAGTGGCCAACGATGAGGCAAAACATTTCAGCCTTTTGCGTTCCAGGCTGGAGGAACTGGGCACTCGATTCGGCGCTTTACCTGTTCATCACGGTCTTTGGGAATCGGCAACCATGACTGCACATGACTTGAGAGCTCGCATCAGTGTCATCGCTCTAGTGCATGAAGCTCGTGGCCTTGATATCAACCCTATGACAATAGACAAATTCCGCAAGGCCGACGACGTGGATACGGTTGATACTTTGGAAATCATCCATAATGATGAAATTACGCACGTCACAACAGGCCACCGCTGGCTCAGCTGGATATGTGAACAGGAAGCCACAGACCCAGTAGAGGTGTTCCGAGACAATGTCAAGAAGTATTTCTGGGGAGCAGTAAGAGGGCCATTCAATGATGAGGCGCGCTTACAAGCCGGAATGGATCCGAGATATTATGAAGCCCTTGATGGTGCCGACTGGAAGGGAGACATCATTGCGGGAGGCTGAGATGAACAAACACACCAGTATGTTGGTAACGGTTAGTGGATCGTATCTAGCAAACCCTTCAGCAGCACCGAGACCCATTGCAGGTCAGTAGGTGGCGGCGAACACTTGAGACGGCCTATTGTTATGTGCATTGGCGGCAATCTATACGTGGTCTTCCCAGATCTTGACCCAGATGAGAGGATACCCCTGCTAGGCCTGAGGAGCAGCTCGGCCGCAGTCGTTGCGGTCATGAAACCGATGGTATTCGAGGCCTCAGCATCACTCAGCGTGCTGGCGGTGGCCATTCGGTATAATACTTGAAGGTTATTCGCAACAAGGGCCATGATGCACTGCTCGCAGCGGGTACGATTCTTGGGACGGTATTTTGATTGTATTTCTCATGGGAGGCCTACCAGTTGCCAAACGGTCAAGCAAATCCTCAAATCCTAAGAAAGGCCATTCACCATGCAAGCAGCTGATAATTAAAGTTCCAAACAATCCATAATTAAACTGCCTGTTACATAAACATACAATCTTGGCATGAAACCTGCCTGATCCTCTTGGGGATCCGATGCATTCTGCAACACGGAATGCTCCACTGCCGCGAAGATCTCACCCCTTCGTCTGAACAAATCATCATTTGGCGCCCATTCGCACTAAGGGAACTTGTCCTCGGCAGTGCTGTGGTCTAGATCATCGGCGGTTAGAGAACCGTTTCGGACCCCTGTCCACTCCCCCGTTCTCCAGAAACCCCAACCCCAAGTCTTCAAACCCACGAGTTTGTTCCAATAACGCAGTAGTAATAGTCCCACAACTTAAGCTCGCAGTTACACGTACTTGCACGTAACAGCATGGGTGATATATCTTGAATCCCACGGCAAGATCAATAAAGACCCTTGGTGGTCGTATCCACAATGTGTTGATTTCTGGATTCGGGTCTGAATTTCTGCCCCCCAGGTCGTCTCAGTCTTGGCATCCCTCGTAGATTTCTTGCCCGATTAGGGGGTGACTTGATGAGATAGATCGTAAGCGCAATGCTAGTCTGATACTCGGAAGTCGATGATCGCGTCAAGGCATACCCATGGCGGCCGGCAAGCGAGATCAGTACTCGTCAATCACGGGCATTGCCATCCCATTGTTTTGTTTGAGCCCAAAATCATCCGGCATGATGTTCCAAGGGATCCGTCATCCCATGCATGGGATGTCGTCAGGAACCATCCCGCACAAATCTATACAAAAGCTGTTCCGTCCCATCCCATTCCTGGAGCTCTGTTATTCATATTCTAATCAAGTTCCTGTCGCTCACGGTCATCTTAGTCTTGCACGCCTTCCTTTCGCCTGTTCATATACCGTACAACATACAAACTTGCTCGTCGCCGGCCGACTTTGACCTTTCTTTCACACGAGAGCACGTATACCAGTCCACAGACAACCCAACAACACCACCAAAATGAAGTTCTTCGCTGTCGTTACTCTTGCTCTTTCCGCCGTTGCCTCGGCTGAGCTCAGTAAGTGGCCACAACCTGAAGCGGGCTGAGAACAAATGCTGACACTGCCTGTTTAGCCAAGGTCGTGAGACGCCAGGTCTCCACCCAAGACGCCGCTATGACGGACGCCAGCGGTAACATCGTTCCTTTCAGCTCATCTGGTGTCAACATGGCTTCTACCAAAGCAGGCTTGTAAGCCGTCGACACAGTCTTCATAATTTCCCGCAGCACGCGTCGTGCAGTACACTTTCAATATTTCGATGGTTCTGCAACCACATATAAGACGGCCATGGACTAGTCCCCCTTATGATGAACAGGGTGGCCCAAGGGCTGACATGGAAAGGGGGCGGGTTGAGGCATATATTTATATAAATTGGCAATTAACCATGGGTCATTTGTACCCATTGATGAAATATACAAATGAGTGGTCAAACTCATGTCACATGTATACATTTGACACTATACCTCTGAACTAATATCAATGTTTACCGCAACATCTCGTTGTGCAGGTTTTTCTCTGTGTTTCTTCTTTTTTCTTTTTGAGCTCTTCAACTAGTCAGGAGATGTCTAGACTTGCAGTGATCTATGGCACCACTTACAAAGGCTACACATGTCCCATTTATTAGTTGATCGCTGCTCAGCATTGACAGCTTTATACTCACAGCTCCGCAGATAGACGCTCTGTTAGGCTCCATAGTGTCTTTTGCAATACGAACCACGCAAAAATAGGTACACTTCAGGTCTGCTGGTTCGTAGAGCTCGTCACATTATTCTTCCATAGATCATAAAATCACGGTCAAGTTTGTGAAACTATAAAGTGAAGAACTTTTTGATTAGTCTATATTTGACGTGGCATTATCTTGAGCTTGTGCATGAGCTCTTAGCGAGCACAGAAATTATTCTGGCACACGGAATTGCACCTTCATTGCGTCCTATGCAAACGGCCATGTAATCAATTCGGAATACGCGTCGCGAAATAAAAACAGGCACCAGATCGGCGCGCCTGTTTGATCAGCCACTCGCCGCCACTCATTTGGGCTGCACGTCGTTCGTGAAGCTGACGCTCTGGCTCGCCTTGCCCTTGCTCGCCTGGTCCGTCTTGACGTTGGCGGCCAGCTTGGTCTGGATGTCCGCGAGCTGCGCCGCCTTGTCCGTCGCGCCCTGTGCGATCTGCACCGTGACCAACATCTCAAAGGTCCGTAGTTTCAGGACCTTGTTCTTGATCTTGCCGATCTGCAGAGCCGTTGCTGCGGAACCCGACGCCGCGGCCACAGCGGTGTTGAACGTCGCCTCCGCGTTCTCCGAGGTCTGGCGCGCGGCGATTAGGATCGCCAGGTCGTTGGCTGATACCGAGGCCGGATTGGAGATGTCGACCTAGGGTTGGATCGTTTAGTGGGATGTCTCAGATCTTAGACTTAGTATGGGAAAACTTACCGGGAATGCTTTGTTGACTTCGGCGAGGGCATTTCCAGCCGTGCCGTCGCTGATCTGAAAGTTATTGTATGTCTGGAACGTCAGAACGTCTGCGCGTTTCTGCGGCTGGGTGGTAGGGGCGGCCAGTGAGGTGGCTACGAGAGCGAGCATGGTGGCGATCTTGGAGAAATGCATTGTGGCTTGGTGGTCTCGAAACTCGTTTCAGCTTGTGAGAATTGGGCGGATATAAAGAGCGACTTCGGCTAGCGAATTAGAGAATGCGACTAGCCCAGCTAGAACTTAAAGAATGTAAGTGGTGGTTGAGAAATAGGATTAAGTTGTAATGAGATGGCAGGAATAAAAAGTTTAGATGATTCGGCGATCACGACGATCTTTTATGTGCGAAGTTTGGTGTTGTCCGGTGGTTCTCACGATATGCATAGCTCTGGTGTTGCGGGCCAGGGGGCGCTGTCACCATATGAGACGCCCCTTCAAACGGCCTTTTGGCCCTTCCCTGGTCCTATGTCACTGGCGTTCAATACCAAATACGGAGGTCGATAAAGACAAGGTCGTAGTGTACCAAGCTTTCTTGACATTTCGGGAGGTTCTGTTTGCTTCATTCAAGGCCAAATGCAACAGAATACAAGGTTCTTGAAGGCGAGCTCCAGTCAATTGGCGCCGTTATCCGGTTCAACGCTAGATGTCAGGATCTTAGCGCACCTATTCAGTACACTTGGCGTTAGACTTTCCTAACCTTAGGCGAATAAGCAATCTAACGAGCTGCTTAAATAACAGAAGACAACAAGTATAACTTGGAGAAAGATGCGGTGCCTTCTTTGGTAGAGCATGCACTTTCTTCGGCTAGAATTAATATAGATGGTTGACCTTCTACACTCTTTTAACAGCCTTGCTACCATACTATCCTAGAGCTACTCACAGCCAAAGTGTATACACTACACACCCTTAAAGCATCCTTTCTCTACTCAGCACGAAGTCTTGCTGCACTTTTTGTTATGTGGCAGTAGATCATACAGCTTGTACTATTTATCTAGGCTTGTTTGGTTTACTTCATCATAGTCTCTGTGCCTTCGCCGATAAACCCTGATGGTCGGTATCCGGTTGAGCTTCTTTCACGATCTTGAATGTGAGTATAAGACTATTGACCGGGCTTCCTTTTCAAAGCCGCGAACGTTTTCAGTCTAGAGACTTCGCTTGGTGGCGTACACTCAAATACAAACGGCGTTTTCAAAAAGATGACTCCTCCAGCAACAGTGTACTCTTGGCCACTATGGCGGCTATTGCGGCATCGCTTGCGGAACACGATAGAAGGATACCATTCTACCTTTCGGACAAGTCCTCGCGGCCGTATTCCTGGTGGAAAATATCTCCACTTTGGCTCTAGAAAAGGCAGAACGGTGAAAAAAGAATCACGACTGCAGGCCTATCATCTCAAAATTTGTGTCCTGCCTAACCCCACCGAGCTTCGACTGTAGGCCAGTCCTAGTCAAGGACAAAATATATATCGAATAAGCTTAAATTCGTCCCCACCAGAACTGCTGGTATCAAATATCTCGTACACATCTTACCATAAATTGGAGCCCATGCCACCACGACTAGTCGTCACCGAATCTCACAATTACTTGTTACTCAAAATGACAAACAAATTGACTGCGACTTGGTACGATTTGGCGCGTTTCTCCGTCGACACCTGCAACGGAGAAACGCGCCAAGTTGTCATGTCGACATACGTGCCACAGTGGGATGCTATGGGCTGGACTGATACAAGACATTAATTTAAACCCCCAACGTTGGCGCAGTTACTGGGTATAGAACACGAGCATTCCGGACGCAATACCACCCGACCAAGCTGTGTTAACAAAACAACAAGTAAATAGCGCGAGTGAGATACCTTGCAACAAGCTGTAGTTCCCTAAACACACGATGGGCCTTCTCCTGTTTTAGTCAGAGCCGCCTCACAAGTTTGCTGCCAATTCAACGCTAATTTAGATATATAGTAGAATTTTAGCCTAACGGCATGTCGGGGATCATCGAACTTGCCCTATTTGGACATTATCATTGTTCCCTGTACAATTATAAAGCACTCAGAGCGCAGAACGCCCTCGATTTTGACTCCGCATGACCTAATCTAACTATTTATATGAGGTAAGAAGGGTGGGAAACGTTTAAGCGGGGATCGAATGTTGGGTTCGAGGAACCTGAGCGAGGTTAGGAGCTTGTAGACTGAGAGTTGGTGCTGAGCAACGGCACTCAGACGCAAGAGGCAGTCTGCGGCACATACAATATACTGCCAAATGGCACCATCTTCAATTTTGGGTGCAGCGTAAATTACACACAGCGGTTTGGTGATTATGGGCATGTCATCGGTTACACAAATGCTCTCCACTGTTTGGGTCCAGCATTACGTCACTGGCCTGTCCAGACGGAACGTAGGGAGCAGGCTTTCATCAATCGTCAGAAACACTATAATACACACAACATAACTACGTTCAAAAAAAAAAACCTCTGTTCATAAATCAAGCACTCAATTTATCTATATTTCTACCCACACTTTGATTAACCACACGATACACCTTTTAGAATGTCGGGTTTCAACAACGGTCCCGTGAGCCAGAGCGGCCAGGCACAGTTCGTCATTCTGTGGTATCTACGCTTTTACACCTTCAAAGGCACTGACATCTGAACAGAAACATCATTGATGAGCAGAAGTCCAACTTCGGCTCCACAGTACAAGCTGAAATTGGTGCCAACGCCGGGGCTTCTGGCGAGGCTATCAAGGATAAGATCGACGATGCAGTACCCAAAGGGCCTAAGAAGGCCGATGCGTCCAGCGGCGGTAGGGTGCAGGTTGCCGAGACGGGCGACTTGCACGATCTGGCAGCCAGGAGGCAATCCTAAGATCGCATGTGTTTGATCAGAGGATCTAGTTGCAAGATGAAAAGCAGGCACGTATGGAGCGCAATCGCAATCGCCTGGCACGAACCAGGCGGCAATTTGAACATTATCTTCAAGGCATCAATTAACCAATTTGAACTATTCGTTCTTCTCGATATGCCATCTCAATCCGTGGATACCTTTCAGCTTGCGAACCGAAAGTCCAACTTCTTGGTACCTGAATCCTTCGTTGTTTGCAAGTAGTTGTTCTTTTCGTCTGCAGTCCAACGCATTCCAAATGCGATCCCGCGACTTATTGTGCCAAGTATAATAATTCTTGACAAAGATGGCCATGGCCACATTCCATGCAACTATCGCGAGCAGCACCTTATTGCCCCGCCGGTAATAGGGAGCATCGTCGGAGCGATAAATCTGGAAAATAACAAATCTAAGTGACAGCAATCTCTCATCTAGCTCTATCAGGCGGGCAATTTACATTGGAAGATATGAAACAGCTGGCCTGTCAGATCATGTTGTACAATGCACTGCCCACAGTCTTCGTTCAAACTGACCTAGCGTTTCGCGATGTAAGACTCACTACAAGCCGTTTGTCAGCCTCGAACATTGTCCCCGATGTGGAAGTTCGTGAAACTTACCCATGATAGAATCAATGTAGGGAAATCCGATCAACATGATGGTAATCGCATACCAGCTCCAAGGACTCCCAATCAACGGTAGAAGCTCCAACGCCAACAGAAGAGGCAGACACAATAGACTGTAGAAGAGAACGACGGCCATTCGATTATTGAAACTTTTCGGATATCCAGGACCAAGTAAGAAGTTGTATGAGGAAGAGAACGTATGCCTGTATTGTGAGAAGGTTCCTCTGGAATGTATTGAATCCGAGCGTCTTCAGGTTTAGTGTGAGGTATGCCGAGACCGGATTTGTAGAAATCAGTAGTGTGAAGCTGATAGCCGACATTAGCCAGAGATCGTAATCAGTCAAGGATGCCCAAAGCAGTCTTAGATTCAGGACTTGTCGGTTGTGCATTTCCCCTGTGATATTCGAAGTTAGTCTCTTTCCAAGTCCGTTATACCAGACGACAGACTGTAAGAACCTTGGACGGATCATCCCGGAGCACCCAGTTCACCATGATTATTTCTTCTCGTTCGTCGAACCAGCCATCTCTGCCTCTATGCCAATTTGCAGTTTGCGTGGGACTCGGTGGGAGGTAAAACCATGAGGCGACACCGACCAATACCGTGAGGGCACCTTCGATAGCAAAGAGCCACCTCCAACCTTCCCATCCTTGGACGTTCCGCATATGCAGGACCCCATACTCCAGGTAGGCAGCAACGATATAGGTAAAGTGCGACGAGCAGTAGAAGTAACTCATGCGCATAGGTAGCTCCTTGCTCCTATAGAAGTATGGCAGGCAGAGGATGGCGTCGGATATAAAGCCGCCTTCGATGAGACCGAGCAGCGCTCGAGTGGTGTAGAAGCTCTTCTCGCCAAATATGAAAGCCTGGCAGATACTGACAACACTCCAGATGACCACATGGATGGGTTTCCAGACGTCGGGGCCAAATTTCTTCGAGACCATCTGCGATGGAAGCTCGGCTGATAGGAACCAAAGGTAGAAGATCATCAAGCCATAGTTGTATTGGTTCGTACTCAGACCGAGATCCTTCAACACGTTGACGCTCAGCGCTTGAGAGATATTGCCGCGATCCAGCTGTGGGGCAAAGAACATCAGGCACACCCAGGAGCAGATTCTATAGTCGAGCTGGGGGAACAAGTAAGTCTAAAAGTCTCCATGTCATCTGTAACATTCCTGTTGGACGTTACATACCTTCCTTACAAGCCTTTTCCGCGAATTTCAATGCTTCAAAGATGTAAGTCGATCCGAAATCATGTCTCAAATCCGCAGGAGTTTTGTAGTTAAAAGTGATTTTGGGGTTCCCAAAGGCGACTACAACTACCCAGTCTCGAGTGAAGTCAGCAATTGCAGAATATATGTCCTCCATAAGTCTAAGTCCTATTTAGATCCCTTGATTGACTCAAATGCTATGCAGGTGGTTGGACAAGCGTCGAAAATATTTATTAGTTCCAGGGCGTAGCAGAAGAATAACGAAGTGACGAGACCCTGTGATTTACCGACAGGAAACCCGAGAGCTCTGCTATCAATGGGTTCATACGTATTGCATGGTGAGGGATTAAAAGAATTTCCACCCAGGGACACTCGAGCACATGTTGGTTTATCGCCACCAGACCCTCTACTTATCAAATTTGGAGTTCCCCATGATTTGAAAGAGTGTTTCCGAAAATAATATCTATGTTCTTTCTGACCGATGCGGGAAACACAACCACTATACCAGTACGAGAAGACTGTAACTATAGATATATAGACGATGCGTTTATGCCGCGAGTCTGCTTCATAAATCCACACGAACCAATTGTACCACTCCTTAGCGTTTACTAGATAGCAATGGTCCCGAACAGGAGATACAAACTGTAGTTCTGACACTACTACATCAAGACACAATATGTCGTGCATATACCGTGTTTGTGACCAACCAGTTATTCGGAGCAGCGCTTCAGTGCGCATACAATTCCAAATCTAAGTCCAGGTGCAAGCCTTGATGATCATTTAATCGAACACACTGTGTCACTGCAGATAATTGTACCACCGTGCCGTAGCGCATATTTCTTCTCCAATATTGTCTCTTGCCCGAGTATTTCTACTTATTGCTATTGCCGCATAGAGGTCCCAGGATCGCTCAACTCAAGCCTAAATAAACAACCACAGGGGCTATCCCTACTACGCGAGTACACTCCTGGATAATGACTTCCGCAAACTTGCTTGGCCATGAGCTCATATTTCCAGCCCTATAGCAGACTACAAACGTGTAACTAGCTTCCAATTAACGTAGTTTGGTATGTTGGCGTTCTGTCTTAGACATATAAATAGAAGATTAGGTAAGAGGATCAGTCCTAAGTTTCGAGTGGATTCGTACCCGGTTTACAAATAAGGCGGCAGGGTAATATCTATCCCGTTCAGGTCAATACAGCAGCTTTACCGTGGTTCCAGGAACTAGTTCATCATATCTAACCTTTTTAAGACTAATATAGAGGATATTTAAGATCTTGCGCTTGATAGCTTCCTGTCAAAACTTGAATGCGGCCGTGTTGTGTAAAGCCCTACCAACAACTCTGTTCTCCTTGAACAAAATTGATATCGTCCTGCCCTGTAACTTACCACATAATCCTCGCCCGAAATTCCGCTGCCAAATAATGATTTACACTGCCTTATGAAGATGGAGAGTGATATGACGGATGAAATTGTATTATCTAACAGAAAAACCCCTCCTCAACTATGGACCTATGGTTCGTTTGGATTTATTTAGAGAGGCTACTTTAGCGCTAAATTACCCGATCATGCTATACTGTACGAATGACCTTTCTGTTCACCATAGTCGATGTCATTGCGGTGGTTGAGCAAATACCTATTTTTCGGCTGGCCCACAACTCTTCCCTTTTGTTTGTTTCTCTAGGAACCGTGCATAAACGACTAATTCTCCAACATCCCTGTGCTGTTGTTATATTTATAAATTCGCACGGGTCAACAACATGGTTATGATGAATTTTGTTGGGATTAAAGACAGGCCAATTAAGGTCGAACCCTGGCGTTACAAGTGGGAACTACTACTTTTGCATTGTTATGACTTTAGTTCATCTGATGAGATATCCACTCCATTGTATACTTGTTTCCAGAATTCATAGACTAATTTATGTATTATAATCTAGCTCATTTATATCACCCGTTGATACGTGCCATATTGCATTAAAATGAGCTTTACAATCGCCTCCGGGGAGTGTTAAAGCTCATAGTCAAAGCTTCGCAAGTACACCAATCTTAGCGGGCCACACAACCTTGAAGGACAAAGTCTGAGACAGTAAGAGAAGTGAATAGGTAATCAGGTTACTACGAAAGGAATTGATATGCGGCTGCTGGGGTGCTTTGGGTTGGATTTGCACTGCCCGTGTACAACATCAACTTATTACGGATCTAGAGTCCAGATGGGCACCCACTGAGAAATAAGTCTCCTAGGTTTATGTGATAGTGGACTTCAGCGACTACAAAAAAAGTCTTCGCTGGGCACCGAGCGCTCGGTGACCCAAAATTAGAAACAGAGCCGCACTTGCATTCTGCTTACCCCGCAAAGCCTTGAGCCAAATCTCTGGTCGTAGCGTCACAGTGACAATGGGGCTCAACTGAACATGGTTTGCTTTCCATCGCAGCATTGCTTCTCATGAGACCATAATGTGGCTGAATTGCTCGAGGAACGAATCTGTTGTACGAGATGGCACTTCTACCCGTCCCGGCCCTTGGCTACTGGACCTCTATCCACCACATGCTGGTAAGGGTAGCTTCAAAGTCCCTCCCCAGCTGGGTACTCTTGGCGTGAGACCCTTGAAAATTTAGGAAATCCTTTCAAATTCCACGATATCCACTTCAATTTCGCATGCTGATGGTTCCAAAGTATTTTCGTTGTCCAGGTAAACACCGCTTATCCTTTGTAGTACGCTGAATCGGATAAGACTTTTCAACGACCAAGCTTGGATTTTCCGAGAGGCAACTGAAGTTGTTCCATGGTTTCCTGACTCCCAACTCTTTCTTGCGGCAGTCCAGGTCTGCATGCAGCGACTGAACTGCTGTACGTTGACCTAGATTAGGTATTTTTTATTGACAAAAGCAGATTTGGAGTCCTGATAGGTCATGATGATTGAATCTTCTAGGTTAGTCGCGTACGCCAACGAATAGGCACTGAGCCTAAAAAAAGGCGGTAAACAACCAGCACCGCCCCCGGCCAGCTCAGCAAGAGCCAGCCCTATGTATTTGAGGGGGTATTCCGTACTACTGGTAGTGCCAAGACACCCTCACCTTTAGACGCGACCACGATGAATTGCATCCCGCTTCATGAAGCAAAAGCTCACAAGGTTCTGATGCATGTCCATTGATCGGAGGGCATGTTGACCGTTTGTCAAAGACCAGCACTCTACCATGACAGTGCCTCTGTAAGATCTCCGTCCGTCGAAAGTGATGACTCAAATCACTAGGTTAGCTGAGCTCTCAAGCCCCTTCGCCTTAATGCAGACATTATAGCTTAGCCGCAAACTTCTTTAGAAAGCAAGGAAAGCACGCGTTTTAAGCTTTGCCGCTTGGATGCTTAAGCAATTTGCGGCCGACTATTGATGGCTCTACCTAGTTGGAAACGCAGAGTAAGCACAGCGCATTGGCATCCCCTTCAGCTGTTGGTGCTTTTGACAGCACGCGGCTTTCACGATTCTTCGTTTGTCTTAATTTCTCGTCAATATCTGCTTTCCATTCTCTGCAAATGGCATTTGTATATGTACCTTGGTAGTCGGAATCCTCGAAGGATCATATTCCTTCCTGGACTAACACAACTTGGACCGGCTGGCACTCTGTGCTACAAATTTCTGGCTTATCACTTAGCCGCAATCGTTTCGAATGAACGCCATTCCGTAACCAGTTAACCCCTGTTCGTCAAGGAAGTCCATTGAAAGGGGCTCCTCTTGTGGATATAGTTGGCCCAATTAGGTATTCTGTCTTGTTCAAGGCTGAGCACCAGCTCCGCAATCTGCTGCCATGGCGGAAGATGAGCGCCTTACCTGGGCTCTACCTGGCGCTGTGGGCTGAGTTTGAAAGCCTGGGCTGGAAGCGAGCTGTCTTTCGATGGCTTATTTTGCTAGTGCTGATCCCCGCCGTTGAAAGGGTTTCCGCGACTCGGAGCCGATGAATTAATTTATATACAAGCCCATCGCCGCTATGCGGGAGCTTGACCAAGCCTCTAATATATGATCATTCAACAATCTCTCACAGCGCAAAGCTACTCACCACTTGATCGACCTACAATATGAATATCTCGTGATAGTCACGTCAGACAGGAAAATATTTAACAATCCAGGAAGCCAAGGACTGTCGTGATCAGTTTGTTGTGGTTTGTGGTCCCCCCCGAGGACAGTGGAGCAAACGCAATCATGATCGGATCACACCGAGATCAATCGCAATTCGACCGTGCAAGATGGCGAAAGAGAGTGCTTTTGCCGTGTTGGATTATCCAGATACCTATTCTCTTGGCGCTTATGGGCGTCTTTTCATATAGACTGTCGAATACGGTCAAGACATTCAAAGAAGAGAAGGCAAAAGGTGGACTTCCGATGGTCGAGTTTGTGTAAGTCAACGACTCGGGCCTGGGTTTCACATGACAGGCCGCTCACGGAGATATAGGTGGGAAATCGTCAATATCACGTTCTCGGCGGTTTCGTTCATCATCGATCTCGTGCAAATCGCCAAGTTCATAGCTGAAGCACTTACCCCGTTCGGCATGCTCTTTGGCAATACCGTCAGCTTGACCTTATCCATGGCCATATTAGCGCTCGACGTGGTCGTATATGTACAACATACGGAGAAGCAGTATTCTCTGATTGCCTTGTCTTTGGACTGCGCACTGCTGTAAGTCTCAATGTTTCTTACCATGCTTGGAGATGCGGCGCAGCACGGAGACAGACAAACCATGTGCAGGGCATCATTACACAGGTGCAATCACTGTCAACTAACATGCAAACAGTTTCTTTACCATCGTGCCTATAATATACGGTATCCACGTCTACCGACGAATAGCCAAGGACGACGAATACGCCCATCCGCACAACGTTAAGCACTACGGCTTCACCCAGCCCCAAGACGGGCCATACGACCCCTCACGTATGAGCCTGAGCCACGATCCCGAGTCCCATCTATACGACCCCGCGAACCCGCCCGAGGGGAAGCCGCGGCGGCCGTCTCTCACCTTCAGACGCTCGCTCTCCGGGACCTCGATCGACCACAGAACCCCCTCCGCGTCGCCGCACCCGCGCCCGGAGATGGAACGGAGGCCGAGCTATGACCACAAGCGCGACCCGTCCTTCGACGAATACGTGGCCACGATACCCAAAGAGGCACTGCAGGCCCCGAGGTCGAGGGGGAACTCGCTGACCCACCCCGCGAGCTGGGAGCTCAACATGGGCGATTCGCTGGACACGCCGGTCGGCGGTACGCAGCTGGGACACAGCCTGGTCGCCGTGCCCGAGGCCCGGGAAGAGGACGACGTCGGTGTCCCTAGGCGCAAGAGCCGTCCGGTGAGCGAAGACAGGCAGGGGCTTCTCAGCAGCAGCAACCCCAGGACCTCCGCCCAGAGCTTCGCGAGTTATGCCTCCCGGAGTAGCAGGGTGGAGCCCGTCCAGGGGTTGCAGGATGTTGAGCTGGATACGAGGAAGAGAAGGCGAGATTCATGATACCCTTAGCGAGCCGGAAGATTGTTCATTCAGGAATTTCTTTTGATGTTCATATCGAGCGTTTGTCTATTTCGTTGGCTTTAAAGAAAAGAATAGGATTGGGACTTCTTTTTCATGACAAATCGTCGTGTGACGAATAGCTCAAGGTCGCACACAGCATGTTGTGCAACTTGGCAAGGATCCCTGATGAGACTAGTGACCGTCCTTGAGAGACGCCCACTTCAGTGGCGGTATAGTCACTTATCGCCCAGGAGGATCATGTCGCGACTGGCCCTTTTTTCTAGGGGGGGGGGGGGGGGCGCCGGAGGAAAGCTTTGTTGGAATGATCATCAAGTGCGGATGTTCACCCCGCCTAACTGGAATGTCGCATTCCACCTGCCACCAAATGTGCATCACCGCAAAAGAAGTCAGAGTTGAGCGCAATATAAAACAAGTGTGGTTTATCGAAGCCACGCGGAATCAGCTAGCTCGGGAACAAGTTGTGTGTCACAGACGACCTACCCATAACGAGTCAGGATACTTTCCAAGCGTTGAAATGGAAATAAATGATCATGACGGCCGCAACTGTTTGCTAAATGGCTTACTTCTGCAATAGGGAATAGCCTCGAGATTCGTTATACTTATGTAAGCTTTATGATAGAAAGTCAGTGGCCCGATATGGATGACCTAAGGAGGGGAAATGCTTTATTGGCCAAATTATTCTCGTCTGTTTTCTTGAGTGGCTCCAGATGCACATCAAGCTTCCTTCAGCCCGTCTTACCCGCACACAATACATATTCTTTCATTGTGTGTATAGATAATTTTAGTCTCCATAGTTTGAGATAGGAGTCGCCCGTGACTTGTTTCATGAAGACCATACACCAGGCAACCAAATACAGCTTCAGCAGATTTTAGCTACAAGACTAAACCACAATCCTCCAGGTCATTGTATATTTAAACCGACGTCGTCGGGCTTTCCTTCGGCCCATATGAGATATTCTTTCTAGTGGTTTCTCTCTACGCAGAACCATCATTTTCCCGACGAACATAGGTAGCTATTTCTACCCAATCCTCGCTGCCCGCAGTCTTTAGCACCGAAACTGACATCCACAGGGAGATATTCAGAAAGGTCCTTGAAGATATCAGGAACGAGTTGAACTGCACTCTCAAGTCTACTCTGGGATCTGTTATTCTGGAGTAAATGACCAAGGACGACCTCTTAAAAGGAGTTAGTTTCGAGAGCCGGATGGTCGTCCTCATTTTGGGCTTGGTTATCTGGGTCCAAACGATACTGGTCGTAATCATCAATATCAATTGTCACAATCAGCGTGAAAAGTCTTGCATGATCCAATTCTTTTCTTTTTCTTTTAAAAAGCCCCATCAATCTCTGTGGCTGGCAACGATAATCGGGGTTGCGAGCCGTAGTGGCGAGTTTCTTTGTGTATCTTTGCCCATGACAAAATGTCATGTTTTTCCATATCGGACACGGTTGGTATGTAATCGTCGAACCGTATTCTCGGAGCGTTCTCGTTTAGCCTACAATAAAGTCAGCTGCGTTACGAATGCTTGGTAGACGACAATGAGAGATTTTGTGAACAAGCATTTAACTTTCCAGCTGCAGATACAAAATCAGAGAGTGTTAGATAAGATTTGATTGGGCTGGAGAGAGATGATTCGGGGCACATAACGTAAGCATATTCTTCCATATTGCTTGCATTACATTTCCGCACTGATGTGATACTTCAGAAACGTAGAAACGGGGTGATAACGGGGGTTGACATTGGGGGAAAACTCGCAGCAATCTCGGTAAGATGTGAGGACATCCTTGTTATCCAGCAGTGTCCGTCGTTTCGTTTTTTCTTATTATCTTGTAACGCCGTGCTATAAATCGCTCGTAGAGGTTCCAAAATGTCTGGATTAGTTGGCATGCCAGAGGATGCCTCGTTAAAAGATAAAAATGATTAAAATAGTCGTACTAGGGCCTTATGTTGAATCTATATACATATGCGTGTACAACGAAGCTATGTCCAGACGGACTTGCCTTAACAATCGCTCCGTAGTGCGAAACTTACATAACGACTTATGGCTGGCCAGTGTGCGACTGTCCCACGATGCAGATCAGAGCGCGCTTCTGCAAAGTATATGTGACATGCACTTGTGAATTGCAGGCCGTTAGCAAAGGTTGAGATTGTGCGACTGCCGATTCACCATACGCAACACCTCTTCCAGAGAGGAGCCAGTGACGATAATATTTGCTTTAGCTTCGACGCCGAGACTCGGCGTCCCCTCTACGTGTACAGAGTTATCATTCAGGCGGCGTTAGATATCGCTTACAAGATCAACGATCTTGGCCAAAAGTATCTGACAGCAAGGTACAAAAGCGTGCATCTCGAACTGCAACGCATGATGTGCCTTGTCCGCGGTGGAATCACGAATTGATGAATGGCGAGGAGGGCGGCTTCGTTGGCACGCAGCTGAGCCCGCTGACTGAGAACAAGCAAATCAGGACCGATCTAGCGATCAAGGATGGAGGCTGAAACCCTCTTAATCAGAAAGCCAGCGATATGAAATGCGAAATTTTTGACAATGGTTATATACAGGGTCCATGATTTTGACAAAAGCTTCGTACGTGAAGTTGCGAAAATAAGACAGGAAATTCGGCCATGGAGATGTATGTGGAAGTAAAGCACTCCTATGGTGAAGGGTGGAATGCTACAAACTGCAATGACCCTGGCCAACGTATGCATCGCGGTTGCTTCCAGCCAATTTCCACGGGTGATTCTGCCTCACCAATAAGTACGATAATTTGATCAAGCTCGTTCGAAAGAATAAACCAACGATGATAAATATCAACGAAATATTTGCAAACAATCTGGGTATCTGGTATTTGGGTATCGCAAAACTCCTAGTATTCCTTCTATACAAGCCTCTCCAACCCACAAAAGTATTTCCTCGCGCCATCTAACATGTGCTTTTCATCCTTGCCGACAGTTTTGAGAATGCTCTCATGGGACTGCACGAATTTCGGCCATGTGTTGGTCAGCACGAGGTACTTGATCTCCTTCTCTGCCTCGTTGAAGACATCCGTGTTGAATGCAGAGGGAATGGGCATGTCGAGCTGGCCGTCGGTATTGAGGTTGGTCATTTGTGTCACGGCTGCAAGATTTGCCTTTCCGAGGGTATCCTGTAGGGTGTCGGTACCGGCAAAACCAGCATGCAGGTCGGCCGTCGACGAGTCGGATGGCACATCGCCAAAGGGTGTCGCCGAAGTTTGAGATCCTCTTCTGCTGTTGAGCTGTTGAGAGGCTGTGGCGAACATCTGATGCATGACCTTTCCGACGCGCGATGAGATGTTTATGGGGAAGTCTGAGTATTCGAGGCTGATGAAATGGGAGTAGATACGGACAGCGCGAATAAATTGATCGTAGCGCTCGTTAGGCCCGACCTTCAACATGGCGCAGGACTGCTTCCAGTCGGTTACGTGAGAGAGGAAACTGATGTTCTCTCCCGAGAAATCCTTCAAAGCAGCGAACTCCAGCAGTGGTTGGGGGTTGCTGCGCAGAACATTCTCCAGAGCTGCCATGGTGTAGGAAGAATTGCTCGATGTGCTGCTGGCCGACTCCTTGGACTTTGCACTCTTGCCGGCGAGTGAGGAGGCAGCCAGAGTTGAGCTAGCCATACCAGCACTTTTTTGCGACATGATATCGGGGTTGTCGGTAACACCTCGTTGACGTTCCCAAGCGGTGATGGCATCCAGTGTCTCTTGCTTGAGGTTGTGGGTCTTGATGACCTGCCAGCACGGAAACCCAATTGTGAAGATTTCGATAAAGAAGATTGATACAGAGAACCTGCCATATTTGTAAGTATCAAGTTGAAGATATTCAATAGTAGATAGACTTACCACTGAGGCGGGATGAAGACGGCATTAAGTGGTGCAAATGAGGGAACATATAAGCCGACTAGCCAGAGTGGTGTAGCAGGCAGTCTGTTCGGATTAGTACTATGATCTACTGTAACAATTTTGAATGGACTGCTTACCCAGCAATACAGCAACCGATGGTAGCGATGCGCCAGCCGTTTGTATCCTCGATGTTGCGGGTCTTCCATAGCATGTATGGAGCGTAGAACCATGCCCAGAAGAATTGCCAAGTAATAGATAGCCACCTATGAAAGTCAGCGTTTTTGTCATTAGGGGTTGCGGTTCTCGACATACCATTCCCAGCCTTGGAAGCATACAGCGGCACGCTGCTGCTCTGTACCAGGCACCTTGACATTGAACAGGCCGTAGCCCGGGTGAAAGATTTCGCTGCCAAAGTAAATGAGGAACGTGAGAGCCAACTATTCCATGTTAGTCGTTTGGCTTTGTCAAGGTCTCTTTCAACCACACTTACCTCAATCAACATTCCGATACCAATGAAAACCAGAATTTTTGTAACCTTATCCAGTCTCTTGAGCTTCTCAATATTTTTCTTCCACAAGGGCAATGAAGGATCGATAGTTCGGGATTTCTCAGACATGCCATGCTCTTCGAGGTTGTTGAACTGGGCAAATTTCTTTTGCTGACTGGCGATATGGAGAAACTGGCTGTTGGCGGCTTGAAGTAGGGCCATTCCGAAAGGAAGGTAAATGCTCATGATCCAGAACTGAGCATCACATGGGACTACCTGACCGACCGTGAGGCCCAACATGCAAACGGCGCCATAGATATGAAGATTGATAACGGCCGTGAACACCAGCGGAAGCTTTCGGATCTGCAGGAAGGGAAGCCGCCTGTGATGGTGGAGAAAAACCAATCCACACACCAAAAGGACCGTCCATACTATATCGATGACAATATAAACCCAGCCCAGGGTCGTGAAGACGATGTTGGCCATGGCGAACTGTGGTGATGCAATATGGGCTGCCGTAAGAAGTTGTGTGAAGGATTGACTTGAATCTCCCGGAGGAGGAGGGTTGGATTAGAGTTCCTACCTCGAGGGTGTGCCGTCTTTATTGCTCGTTGCCATGCATGCGTAAGAAGGGAGGGACCAAGGTGTACAACAAGCGTATTAGTGGATTATGCACATCGGTTTTCGCAAGCTAATGGCAATCTAACCGAATAGCTTGATAAACAGCTGGATGTGTGGGGATGTCCTGCCGGGGTATGGACAGATGGGTGCTATGTGCGCCTTGACCCCTGGCTTGAATCGTTGAACAAGGTTGAGAAAACGAAGCAGTGGACATTGTGGTTGCTTATTTCCAGCTGAATACAACAGTACATCCTACCCAGAGCATCGTTCCCAGCATAATGGTCCGGGAGTTCAGCAGCTTTTAGCATTAGTTGAAGTTAGATATCCGCATAATTTCGCTTGGCTGCTGTGAGCCTCTCATTCTCGGTCGCTTAGAGTACTATAAGTTAGCATCCAGCCGTGCTAGGCCTATTGGGCTTTGCTAGCCAAGAAAAATTATGACATGCCTGTGATAACATGGGTAGTCTATAGTGTGCATCTATTATTGTGGGGGGCGATCGATGATCTTTTGTCGTTCAGATCAACTGTAGATCAAAATATTGACGAGAGCGAGGGCCCTTGCACCTGATCTCCTCTAGCCCTTGTCACGCATCATTGCGTCTAGACTAATTACGAGGCTGGGATGTGGTTTGGAGATATAAGACGCACAACGTGGTTGAGGATCTTCTGCTGTTTCACTCAACGGTGCCTTTCCCGCAACTTTGTGTCGTTAACTGTTTGTTGCTTCTGGTGAACCTTGGTTGTGCGCGGTGTGCCTTTTTCGTTATAGTGCAGCATGAAAAGTACTTCTGCGGTCCACCTCGCGATTGCCGCATGTGGAGAGAGCCGGCGCTGGGACTAGGCCAGACGGCTGCAGTTTAGTTTATTTTTCTGGATGTCGCTACTAAACGACTTGACCTGATCGCGTTCATGACGTTCGGCAACAACAAAGCCGGTTAATGAGCAGAGGATTGCAATGAGGGTTAGCTTGAACAAGGCCCCCTGACACGCGCGTGCGGAAGACAAGCAGGCATTGATTCAGCTCCATTTTGTGGATAGTAGTCGTTTGAGCAGCTCGCCGACAAGTTCACCATTGAGAAACTTGTCAACGGTCGGCGACCCAACCGAGATGTCATTGCTGATTCCCTAGTAAAACCCAACAGCGATCTGTAGTTCGTTTGAATCAGGGAGTACTTTGGAGATCACCGGAGGCATTGCTCTGGAGAAAAAGTCACTGCCGTTAGATCTGCTCCAGATCGATCACGATAAGATTGCTGCTATCCAACTATTGAGTTCTTAAGTTTTAATATAGCAAGACTATTGGCAGTGCTTCGCACCGTATTCATCTAATCAGTCAGAAGAACTCTACTGCCTCAAAAACCAAACCGTTTTCGCTGTGTCAGAGTCTGCAGGGAAAAAAAAGCATTCTCGACACGTCTTCACTTCCATCTCGTCTTACCAGCAGTTGTCTTGCCAGTAAAGCCTCATCTCGAGAAGCAACACTTCTCAGCCGCCCTTGCATATGCCAGATGCACTGGCCATATACTCCGGGCTCCTGTTGGTCAGTTTATCTGGGTGTCTCATAGTTTTCAGTGATTGCATGCGTCTTGCCGATCATCTCTCCAATCGGAAGAGAGTGTTGCGGAGAACACCGTTTGCGTGAAACGACTCATGAGCAACTCCACGTGTGATTTCTATATTCCGCGTCCGACAAATCCGTATTTTCTTTTCTTTATGTGTCGTGCAGCTCTGCCGTTAGTACTGACGCATACTTGTGCCGTTCGCAAACCTTGACGCCACAGTTCCACATGCCATGTGAAAATTTTTGGAGCCTTTAGTGCACCGAAGCAGCTCATATTGGACTTCAGTGAACCAAAACGGCTGTCCGCCGATGCGATGGCAGGATGCTGGTCTGATCACATTACCTATCGCACAAAGGACAAGATCTGCTCACAGCACACGATAGTGGCCCTCCGAAGGCTGATGATTGGCACAGTCTTGAACTTGCCCCTGCAGTTGCAGGTGTCACATTGGTGTTTATTAGCATGTTACTGCAGTTTGGTTCCTGAAATCGGTGGCTTGCAATCAAGCGTCTAAGCGGCCGTAGTGCAACGGCCAAAGCACTGCTTTTCAGACCTGACTTGGTGGGACTTGTGATGGCGATTCCACTACCACCAAGCACAGATCTGAAGGTTATGACATTGTTCATTGCCACGCGTGTGCGTCGCTCGTGCGGCTCGGCACTTAAGAACGCATCCTCTGTCAATTCTAGAACTAGTCAGTCATGTCGTAACGGTCGAATGGATGGTCCAGCAACTGACTCACAATGGACGTTGCATCATTCTTGCGGTTAAGTCCTAAACCGTATCAGCCATCGGGGTCATGCTGTTGTAGACACTGCACTGCTTTCACCATGCGTTATGGCGTGAAGATAACCTTGTGCTCCTTAACCATGAAGACACTTTACTATTGGGTGGCTATGGCGTCTGAGCAAACGACTACCTACCCACACAACAACATGTGATCATCAAGTCCAAACACCACCCTCAATTGGCGCGTTTGGAGGGTTGATCGATGTGGTGGTTTCATTGAGCACTTCCTTTCTACCATTCATTCAAAAAAAGAAATTTTGAAATTGGCTGTCACCACTTGTGTATTTCAGCAGAGACAAGATTTACCCAATCAATCAGCAGCCTCCTCTGTGCCAGTCAAAGGGTATTGCTGCTTGAAATTGCAAGAGAAACGAAAACTTGAGGTCGATATTGCAAGGCGACTACATAACGTCCACTGATATGTTATATCACGCGAGAACAAGAATTGCGTGCGAGGTATGTATTGTGTCTATTTACTCCAGGGTCCTCCAACAGGTAAACCTATTATGAGATTGCCCTTCCTGTAACAGCTACCAACCATCTTCGAAACCAAAATCCATCGCGATCAAAGCAGGTCATCAAAATGATGGTCCTATTGTACTTGTTGTGTTTGCCGGGGTTTGGGGTAAGAACCAAGTATTGACTGAGGGCTGAGTACAACAGTGAACTAGATAGCTGAAACCAAAATACGAGTCAGGGTGAGAAACAAGTACTTGCTGAAGGCTGAGTACAGCCATGAACCAGTTAGCTGAAACCAATAGATGAGAAAGAGAATAGGTCTAAGAGCAGCAGTTTAGATGTACCACATAGTGGTGTTCAAGTGTTGAACTGATGATCTATTAGCGCTTTGGTGATCCATGGAGATGAGAAGAGGAGCCTCAGTAGGCGGCTTGGCTCCAGATGCAGTCGAGGAAGCCTTGCCTAGCGGGAACCCAGCCTTACCAGAAGGCATCTCACGGTTGCTGGCAGCGACATCTTCGTGAGAGGCAGCTCGCTGAGAAGCCAAGTGAGCGTAGTACACGGCTGGGTGAAGGGACACTGGGGTGGTGGAGCGCATGTACTGGTAGCACTGTTGATAGATCATGTCCTGCAATTTGTCAGGTTTGACCTGAGCCTCGTCCAGGATGACGCTGTAGTGAACAGGTCGAGCAGTACCCTGAATGGCGACATGAGATGCAAGGTAGAAATCAAAATGGAAAGGGTGAGTTGCATCACGCTCAACCAAGGTACCGGGAAGAGGGTTTTCATTCTTGTCGCCACTGGTCATATCACCAGGCTTGGGGAAGAAACGGATATGGTGCCGCTTCGTGGCAATAATGACAGTGAAGCGAGGAACGTCAAAGCTGGCGTCGCGGAATATACGCTTCAACTCCTTGACCTCATGGTCGATGACGTGGGCAAACTCGCCCTCAGACACGCCATCACGGAAATAGTAGACGTGCTTGGGAGGGCAGCCATTCATGCGAACCCAATATCGCATGAGTCGTTCAAAGAGAAAGTGCATGGTAATACCAGTGACAATCTCAGTGCGATAACCATTGGTTTGGACGTTCCCGCAGTACTTTGTGGCGGTCTTGTCAATAGACATGGTCAATGCAGCCTTGGAAGGCGCACCAGAACCAGGAGAGCCGTGACTGACATCCATGCCCAAGATCATGGTGGGGCCATTGAAGAACTGTGGCTGGGCTCCAACTGGAAGAGCCCGGCATGTAGCACCACCCAGCTTCGCGTTGACCTTCATGGCGACGTTGCTGCAGTACTGGTTGTTGTTCTTCTTGACATGGTCAGCTAACATGTTCTGGCTGACAAGACAGATGCGGCAGTCCATGTTCTTCTTAATACGCTCATAAACAAGCGAATTTCGGGTGCTGGTAATAAAGAATATTATCTGAGGCGTCGCCTTGCCGAACTTGCCAATCTCCTCGTGGGCCCGGGTACACATGTCAGGGTAGGAGACATTGTAAGGGTAGCACTCAACAAAGGGATCATTCTTGATAACACCACCGTGACCTCGATAGATGCGAACAAAGCTCTGAGCAAATGCTTTGAGTGCATCTTTCTCAACAGCGTGACCATCATTCGTGCCACAGCCGATGAAACCCCAAGACACAAGAGGTTTAGGGTTGGGCTCAATGAACCTTTTGCCACGCAAGTCCCAACGACCTGCCACTCCGGGGTTGATTTTGGCGCCACCACCAAAGTGAACCTCAGGGTTCTTGAGAAGTCGGGCCTTGGTGATGCACATAGTGTTCTCAACTCGGACACCATACTCACGGAAGTAAGGGTCATGGTCCCACCTCAGCTGTTCAACACCATGCTTGATTTCGACCTTACGCTGCTTGGGTCGATTGACAGCTATCTTGATCATCGTTGATGTTTGATCAGGGTCCAGCTTGTAGGCATATCGCTGGAAGTCAATCAATTTGCATACCTCCATGGGGAAGACGCCATTTTTCTCGGTCTCAATGAGAGGCAAGTCAGGGTATCCCAAACGACCATACTTCTGGATCCAGTGATCATAGATCCTGATGGGACCCTCTTCTTTACCAGTCTCTCGATCCTTGCGCATGAATGTGACAGCGAAAGAGTCAGCACCCTGGGCGCCATACTTCTGTTCGAAGATGATGCGTTTAACGGTGTATATCCTGGGGTTCTCCATCTTGCCACGGTGGGTAACATGGAACTTGAGACGAAGGAGGCGTCGGAGAAGCTTGAAGTGATCTGATTGATTGAAAACCGTGTTGCCTCTACGATCTAATTCCTTCTTCGGTCGGAGAAAATCCGCGAGCTTGCCGAAGGCCAAAGGAACATCGTTCTTACGGGTGGCGGGAGAAGCGCAGAGGTATTGAGCGATGTTGGCAATGGATTGACCACCCGACCAGAATGCTGTGTTGGCAACATCTACATTGAGACTGAGACCTATGGAAGGGCTGTTCGTGTCATTCTAGGGGTATCAATCAGTAATGTTTCTAAAGTATTCAATCTTCAGTAACCTACCTCGCATAATCGGAAAGCTGAGTAGATTCCTTTACGGACGCCGATCATTTCATCAATGCGTTGTTCGATTCCATCTTTGGAATAAAAGTTGCGCTTGATAATCACCATGCGCTCGCTAGGCCACTGACGCATGAGGTGGTCCAAGAAGTCTTTCAAAACTTGTTAGTAGTTGCGGAAAAGTCGATGAGTCAGGGTTGGCTTACTCATGCACTGCAGGATGTGTGTATCCCAATCGACGGTCTGCTTTAGGTAGGCTTTGAGCATCTGCATGCGGATAACGGTGGTGGCTCGAATCGTGACATAAAAGACACCATTTCTACCGACTTGGGTTTTGCCAGACTCCTTGTCAAGGTCAACGGAGATTCGAGCCTCGCCTTTGGGAATTGACTTGTTGCACCTGTGGAAATGTAAGCTAGCTTGTACGGCTTATAAATTTGAACGGCTTGCTACTTACCAGGCGAGCTTGTGGCCATCGTAAAGCCACATGCCTCCGGTGCTCGACGCCCAGTTTTGCATCGCCTTCGAGTGCCAGACCTTCATGACCAGAGCTCGTGAATCACTGGGGTTGGGGGTGACGTTGATCTAAGATCTCATTAGTCACAGGTTACCACATATGCATAGGCTGATGAACCCACATCGTATTGCTGAATGTCGCCAACAGGCAGGTTGGTGACGTTGAACAAGTTCAGCTGGACCTGGATCGGCTTGCCGGTGGTATTGTAACCAGGACGCTTGGCAAACATGGATCCGCTCCCAGGCTACATCAAGTGTTAGATTGACATGTCGTGGCAGATTTGTTGTTAAGATACTTACAGTGCGGAAAGCCTCGGCAGGGAGATCGACACGCTTACCGATTAATTCAGCCTCACTCAGCTGAGGGCGCGAAGACTTTGGGTCCATGGGATCAAAGGCAGGATCAACACCAGTGCCCTTGTGGAAGGGACCAGTGCCAGATGTAGGGGGCGAGCCAGGCTGACTGCCTCCAGCGTTGCTGCCTGAGCGAGAGCGAGCAGGGCTGCTTGGAGCTGCACCACGTTGAGAGCCACCAGCCTGGGATCCGGAGATGCTACCACGCTGGGAACTTTGGTGAGAAGATCCAGCCGGACTCTTACGATCAGAAGCACCGTCAAAGTTCATGCCAGCAACACGCTGGACAGCTGGGTGGCGGGAAGCCGAGTGCTGCTGGTTGGGAGCAGACATCGTGATTGTGGATCTGAGGGTCAATCACAGGCTCGTCAATACTTGAGATCAAGTCGTGAAGAGATGAAGCAAAAGGTATGGAAAATGGGGACTCTGTGATGTAATCAAGATGAGAAGATGTGTGGGCAGGAACAAAGTTGCTGTGAACATTGGATGAGGGAAGGCTAGAGTGGTTGATTACAAAATACAACAAGAGTAATTATATCATTTCTGATTTCTCTTGTCTTATGGCAGGATTTCAAACAAATGTACAATAGGTAATTAAGGGAGAGAACGTGATCGGTGAAAGGATATAAGTACTTACTAAATATCTGAAGTTGCGGTTGCCGATGGTAACGAATGATGTGACACTTCTGTGGAAGTTTCATCAGCAGACTGATCCCACAATATTCGATTAAGTGGTGTCAGATTTTCAACCGCGTAAGTAAATCAAGGTATGGGCTGTTCTTTGAGTATATGTGAAGTAGCAATGCATGTAAAAGAAACGAAGAAGAGGAGAAAAAGAGGTATAGGATGACGGGGAGTTGAGGAAGCCTCAGCTCAGATGCAGAAACAAATTAATATTAATGCAGTAGAACAAGCAATGGAACCATGACAGATGTTCCAGTTCAAGATCTTGGTGAGGTAAAGGAATGTGGTGGGTAAAGGCCGCCAGAAGAACTTACAACTCAAGACTGAAGAGCGTCAGATCTGTATCATGGCATTAGTGATGAGTCTAGATGGACTTAAGATGAAACAAGATTGTGAACCAGATGGCTGAAGCCTCGTTGAGCACAATTGTTGGGGTTATGAAGAAAATTAATATGGAAGAGAGGATAGGGGATGTCAGGATATGGTGATATTGAGCAGTGTTGATATCAATATTCATTGTGGTAGCCGTGGAGGGTAACAAGCATAACAGTGGAATGACAAGGAGCATGAACCAAAGATAACAGCAGCTTGCTGGAAGCACAGAAGACTCACCGATTCGTATGTTTAAGTGTGAGTTGGCGAGAGGCAATTTTGCCTGGGAATGATCAGCTACCAAGTGACGAAACCTGTTGTAACAGCAGATTGGTTAATGATGTTGTGACGATGGTGAGGGAAAAGACATACCTGAAGCAGATTAGTGTTAACGATGTTTCCAGTTTGCCCTGCGAGCTGAGTTCTCAAGTGAATAAGAAGTGTGTTGTTGTCGAAAATGAGCAGGGTCAGAACGGATGGAGGAGTGGAGGGATTATAATGGGGCAATGATTTGCGCAAACCAGGTAAGGCGACTGGGTATTTGACCCAGTGTTGCTGTAGTTGAGCGGCAAATCACTTGTCATTTGTCATTCAACAACAGCGTTCGGTTGTGCAATCAAAAGCGACAGCGTGTTTAATAACAAGATGACCGTGGTGACAGCTATGCTTAGGTTGTTTGAAAATCAGAAGGCTCTGTACTGATGATACTCACTTTGTTTGTGGAAGGGCTGGGTTAAGAGTTGAGGTGTTGTGCAGAGGTAGTGCATGAAGAAGGCAGAAAATAATGTAGTGAAGTGCGCTTTGATTAGGTGAAACTGGGTGTCTTAGATAACATTGACGTGAACGTTATTGTTGAAGAAATCTGAAAGAGCTTAAAATAATAGAACATACCCTGTATTCCTATCTACAAATGTTATTGCAAGAAAGGACAGTGGTGTTTGATGGTGACAGGAAATACGATTGTTGTTTGGGGATCATGGGGATCATGGATATGGGTGCTCCCAGAAACTTCACGTACCTGAATGCTCAGTCAGTGTTTATTCGGGTTACTCTTTGTTGTTATAATGGAATAAGGGTGGGTATGGCCACGGTCAAGACAGTGGAGAAGGGAGATTATGATAGCTCAGTCTGCCTAGGTGTTGAGTGAAAGATTTAAGCTGTTTCTAGATCAAACAGCTAGACTGGCCCAGGACAAATCCTTAAAACCACTCTATTATCAAATGGCTTACCTTAGGTGATATATGAAAAACAGAGTATTGGGACTTGAGTGGGTAATGTTGGTTTTTGGTTCATGACTAGGATAGAGTTGAGATGTGACGGTAAATGTTGATGTGGAAGTAAGGATGCTATTTTGGGGAAAAGACAAGGGATACTTTCAAGCTTTTGGGGGCATCGGTGGAGAGATTACCTACCCGTGATATGTTTTAGTTATTGAAAGGATGTGCGTGTTGTCGCGTGTTGACTTGGGTTGGTGGGTGAGGTTCCTGTAGAGAAATTCAGGTACAGGAGAGGAGATTAGTGCTTAAATAGAAATCCGAGAAGAGAGTTCTTACCTTATTATCTTGGATAGACTGCAAACAGATGATGCGAAGGCGAACTCAGGATAAAGTCCACAGATCAGAAGATTGTTTGTTGTTGATGGGTTGTGTAAGGATCGAAAGAATTGGTTGGGGGATTTGGCAGGAGAAGCTTCTGAAATAGATTTGACGGTCGGCTAAAGTTCCTAAATAAAGTTCCTGAGTATGACGGGTATGGCAGTATTCAGCGTTTCCCGCAGCAGTTACCTAGAAAATTTAGGGGCCCTCGCGGAAATTTGGTATCAACAATAGGGATACCGTTGTTGATGAGGCCCGTGAAGGTCAGATTGAAGAACGTCGGTATGACCTAAGCTTCTCAAATACAGATCATGCTCGTTTAAGTGCGACCGACAGCAGAATTCCGTCAGACTTCCATTTCTAAATATGATATACTATGGGTAGGCACGACCCCTATGCCGGTAATTTGGGCAAGGATAGTCTACAAAAGCCTAGGCAACTGGTGCCTGGGCTCTAAAAGCAAAATTTCCAGACAGTTACCAAGCACGGCATTCCCTACTGGCATAAGCAGGTCTGCACATTATGTTCAGGGATTTGTGCGGAGAGTACCCGGGGGTTAAAATTGTATAGAAAGAACATGCATATATAGCTATTTAGGCTTGTCAATATGATGCTGGAGAACAGGTGAAATTACTTAGCTCCTATTTCAAGCTTGATTGAACTCAGAAACTGAGAAAGCGACAGTTTTTGTCAGCCAGAGTGATCCCTAAGACAAGAAAATGTCATCCCTGAGGGCGAAGTCTACTAAGATGAATGCCACTGCTCATACCTCCTGGGTTAGGTCAGAGCAGCGGCGTTGACGGTAGAAAGCGCAGCCTTGTTGTTGGTAATAGCAGTGGCATGCATGAATGATATTTTAAACTAAATATCCAAGTTTGGTGATGTTGAAGGCTAGAAGTATGGTCGCTCAGTGTACAGAAGCTGGACGAGCAAGGCTATATTTACACCTATGTACACGGGTATTTATGTAGCACCGGCTATTCCGATGGATTCAACGATAATTGAAACTTGTTTTGGGCCTATTCCATCGTTGGAAACAAAGACATGATCCTGGCTAATACAGAGAGCAATGAAGTGAACACATCCCACGAGTGGGTTATCCACTATCAGGTTCAGTACATAAAACGGTACATGAGGGCTTGTAATGATGATCGTATCTGAAATTAGTTGGCCTTGTATCGTCAACAGCTAAATTGCTACTGTTTTTATCCCAGCAAATCCTGAAGAGAGCATCGCCGATGAGTGTGGACTATGCCAGCGAAGCACACCGTGTTGGCTGTTTCTTCGTTTAAATGTCGTTGGTACATCCTGTCAAGACGCAGCACTGAGTTTGAAACCACACGATCCGAGAAATGTGCAATAATCCATCAAGGTAAAGTCTCCGAGTCTTCTGTCCAGTCTTGAGCCACCAATATTACAACATGGTCGCTACTTAGCCATGGCGGGACATCGTCAGGTCAAACTCGCCAAAACGATCAACGTAAGCCTTCGCAAGCTAATGAATCCGTGAAAATCGAAAAACTGCCATGCCAGGGACAAGGATGAATTTGAGGATAAGATAATGAGGGAAATTAAAAGCTCAAGAACTGGGAACCCGTACGCCACTCCCAACCCAGCAAAAGAGGCACCGATATCAGTGCCCATATGACATAAAATTCACCAGGAATTTGTCACCGAGTCAAACGATCGAGAACGATTTCACCACAAAGCTAGACGATACCATGAGAAACTATCGTTGAATAATGCCATACTCTCACGAATAGCCGGAAGTGTCTATGGTGTCGACTCCTGACCATGGAGCTGGGCGAGCGCAGGGGCCCAGTTTGAAAGAACAAGAAATATGTTCTATTGAATAGCGGTCTAGTCGGAAAACCACTTAATTCGTTCGTTCGTAGGTAATAGAACGACGACCCGTCCGTTACGGAGCTACACTATGCCATGTCCTTCGCGTCTTTTGTTGAACGGTGAATAGTTGTGTTAACATGGATTTTCAAGATCAACAAATCAAAACAAACCACAGAAGCGGTGTTCGAAATGAGAATCAAGACCTCCGAAATACAAGAGAAAGAAAACGCAGCCCGAGCCCTGAACACTACCCCTATCAATCCCAGCCAAATCTCTGAGGCGAAAAGTACTGTTCTTCAGGAAGTACGAAACTTCCAAATAAAGGAGGAGGGGCAGAGTCAAACGCAATGGCTTAAGTTTTGGTAGTGGCGCAAAAGCTGGAGAGTTTCGGAAGAGGCATCCTGATCTGGTTGGCCGCCACGAGTTTCAATATTCCGAATCGATGATCCGTTGGTCAAGCTCGACAAAGAAAAAAACATCAGCGACTATGCGGAGATCCTGAACCTCAAGTCGATGGCCCACAACAAGTATAAACAATATGCAAGGTTTCGGCTATTCTTGAGTGGCTGTAGATTGCAACTAAGAATGGAAAGCTGGAAAAGACCAGACGGAAACCGGCCGAAATGCGACGGGAACTAGATCCATAATCCCGAAACTGCTAAATATTTGTGCCAAATCTTGACGGAAAGATAGAGAATTAACATGTTTATAGAGAGCCTAATGGGCATAAATAAATGACATTGAGCAGTGCCAATCTTTCTCCTGCCGCCGGAGCCAGTAGCAATGGCTTGGATTACAGGATCATGTTGATAGTAGCTGTGTTTTCATTGACAGATTGGTTGGCTATTTAATTGTGACCTGTATAGGGCCTCTAAGTAGGTGCACTCAGATCTGTCTAACTGTTTATGTATATTTCCCATTGATCAAGCTATGCTCTCTAACACTGAGACATATTTTATCATGCGAAAGTATGATCGCATGTTCCTGTAGATGAAGACGACTCTGTACATTCCATGGGGGATAAAATCATCCGTTTTCGCCAGAAACCATGCAACCTGTAATGATACACCCTTGACGCAGTCAACTACTCAGTGCCTAGGTCGATGACACGGAGGTCGTTTCTCGACAATAGCTTTTGTGCAGAGATATCTGCATATGAAAACCTGTTTCTTCGTGATACGTTCTCGACAGCCAAACCTGCCAGCGACAAATCATTAATTAAAATAAAATAAAACAATCAGATATGCTCAGCAGATCGACCTAAGACTAGATCGTACTGGAGCACGAAGGCTCCATTTGTCTTATAACAAGCCCTGCTCAACGAAGATACATCCAAGCACCTGTCAACCCTGCCTAAAGGGATGGTATTGTGGAATACCTGGTTGCTGGCCCATGTTGTATGGGAATGCGCCAGAGTAAAAGTTTGCAGGATTTGCTTCATTAGTCATTGGTGGCTGAAATGTGCCTGAACCGGCAGTCATGAACGGACTGTTACGTCCTCCAGCGGGTAACGAATAAGAAGCGAATTCTGAAGAGACTTGGCGGCTATGACGTGCGCCTTGATTCGATGCCTTCCAATCGTTGAAGTCGGGCACCACTGTATCCCTGAGGATACGTACCATGCCATCAGGCTTGTAACGAGGTGCTGCGTATTGTTGCGATGGGGGTATGAGACCAAGTAGAAAAGTGATATCGCGCGAGATGGGGGCAGGGCCTGTGGAAGTGACCACGCCTTGACCTTGAGCTCGACGTTGTTGGTCCAAACGGCGGCCTGCCGCACCTTTAAGCGGCGACACTCCTCGTGCCACTTTTCTTGGAGGGTTAACATCATCGTCATCTGGCTGGAAAGGTCGCTTAGGAGAGTTGACTGCCGGTAAAAATTGCGGTCGAGGACTTCGATCCGCAAGTACAGAAGGGTGAGGGCTACCGCGCATGGAACCTGGCATCTGCTCGACAGATTGCATGATGTGCTTGGGACGCATCTGCGCGGCTGGCGAGATGATTACTCTGGCAGCGATTGGATTGAATCTGTCTGAGGAGAAGCGAGCCGCGAAATGAGATAGAGTCGGGTCTTCGGGGAAACTCTCTGCCATTTGCTTTTCGAGGTCCTTGATCTGCGCAAGTTCGCCAAACGTGGCTTCATACTTGTGAAAGTAGGCGTAAAGCGGCTTAAGCTTCAGTACGAGTTCAGGCTTCTCCTTGAACTTCTTCACAGTTTGAGAGAATACAACACGTGCGTCTGTAAAAAGTTAGACTAAACAATCGGGGCAGTGGGGTGGAACTTACTGGTTGTGTCATGTCGAGAATGCAGATGCTTCAGATACGCGACAACGAAGTGCTCATCCTCTGGGAATAACTTGGCGCCACGCTCAAAGATCTTGGTGGCTACTGGATCCTGATAAATGTCCCACTCAATGTGAGCAATCGCCACATAAACGTCGCTGGTAAGTTGTCCTCGTTGTCGGGCTTCGGTAAAGATCTGGCGTACTCCTGTGGATGGTGCTTCGCGGCTAGTGGCCTTGCCTTGACCTTGAATACGTCGGAACGCACGCGCCAAAGCTATCCATAGATGAGAGATTTGCTGCTTCAACATGTGAATCTGCACTGCGAACCCATCCTGAACTGCCTTAATCCTGTCCTTCTTGGCGTTGTCTCTTGCCGAATTTTCAGAAACCTCGCCCTCGTCGTCTTCTTCTTGGTCGGCGGCTACTGTAAAATAAGGATCGTTCTCGATACTCTTGATCGCTGCCGTCTCACGTTCCTTGAGCTTTTTCATCAGGGCGTACAGTGATGTAAGTGCCTGGTCGTAAGGAACACGCACAGCTTGACTCAAAGCGAGCTTGCCAGCGTCGCCTTCTCCGGCTGGGTGAGTTGATTCGATATGATCGGCGTGCTTCAAAGCCAGAAGAGTGCTCTCTGGGTTCGCAGCGACGCCCTGTGACAGAAATAGCAGGCCTTCATCATTACCGTCCTTGGCCAAGATCTTCTGCTCAAAACACCATTCAGCAGCCTCGACCCACAGCTCCGGCCAGAAGCGAAGAGCCATCAATGCCTGCTTGTAAACATAGATGATCCGGGATTTGAAGGTCTCTGGCTCATCATCCTTCAAAACCAATGGGTCACTCTTTTCCCAAGCTATCCATTTCTTCCACAGTTCGACTTGTGCATTGAATTCGAGATCGCCCTCAAACCCGGGTGCAGGTGGCAGACGAGGGATCGAGGTTCGGTTGAGACCACGTGTAACAGTGTCGAGCTGAGTATTTGCACTGCGGGCTGACATGTATGCCGGCGATCTCTCCTGGAGGAACTTACGGCCCTGGGAGAAAATGAGCAAGAGAAACAGCGTGGATCACAAACAATACATACCGCGACTTTGTTGATGCCCAGCTCGAACTGGTCGTACTCTTTCCAAAGCTGGTTGAGATTGGAAATGGGAATGCAAATGGCACGCTGGTATGCCTTTCTCAAGGTGTCGACCTTTTGCATGTCTTGCCAGCCACTTCCACCGACCTGGCCGGGGCTGATCTTGAGGAATTGGATGTAATCTTGCCATATTCTACCGGATTCACGATCCTGTCCAACATTGTCGAGGACAAAGTCGTACGCTGCGTTAACGGTCTGGCGGGCGGCGCCAGTGGTGTCGTTGAGATCATTCCGGCGGCGGACGTAGTCAAGATAGGCAGTCCAGAGCTGTACATCGACTATGGTGGTCAGAGTTCGCTGAAATATGTTCTCGGCCTCTCCAAAGTTGTCGAGACTAAGCTCCAATTGCAGGTATTGGACCCAAACTTCAGCCTGTAGTTTCGAGATTAGCGCTACTATGCCAGGACACGATCAAGCTTACAACCAGGGCAGTCTTACCGATTGAGGGAAGTTCTCAAGGAATCGCTCGTAAACCGACCGGGAGTCCTGGATTACATTACGCCTCCGTGTTTCCTCGATCAATGCCAACCAAGCGTCCATATCCCCGCGAGGATCATTCTTAAGACGGTCCTCGAGAATGCTCACGATGTCCGTAGGTAGATGTGTACTACTTGTTTGTCCATTACTCACTTGAGGGGCAGGCACACTAGCAGCAGCAGCAGCAGCAGGAACAACCTGAGAAAGCGCAGTCTGCTGAAGGGGAGAATGCGAAAAGGCAGGCGCTGGGCCCTCAGCGGCAGCCTGTATAGGCTGGGGCTGTAGTGTGGCAGCAGGTGATGGCTGTGGAACAGGGGCTGGAGTAGGGGCTGGAGTATCTTCATCTTCGTCGTCAGAGGAGCCAACTATGAATCCGCCAGCCTTCTTGGGCTTCTTGGTCGGACGAGGAGAAGAGGTGGTGGCATTTGCGGGAGGCGGGGGATGTGTTGCAGTTGCTTGGGGAGCTGGTGTAACTGTAGTGGACATGACGACAGACTCCGGGTCGTATTCTGGGTCATATTCGCCAGAGTCGGCGTCATCTTCTTCAGGAGATTCACCAGGAACAAATGGGGGAACAGTAGAAGTACTAGGTTCTTGTGTTTGTTGATGGCTATTTTGCTCAAGAGTCTCCGCAGCTTCATTTCCACCTTCCATGCTCCAAACGCCCGGATCGTAGGCCTCAGAGGCCATTCTCAAGGCTACTGGTTTTGATTTCGGATTCGAATTCGAACTCGAGGCAGCCGCCGGCTTGCACGCTCTGCGGGTGGGAGCTACAAGAGGGCAAAGGCAGCGTCCGTCGCAACTCGAAAAGAGTCAAGAACGGAACCGAGGCGGGTCAGGTCGAGTCCGACGCGAATTGGCAGCGACGAATCGAAGAAAGATTCGCAATTCGGCAGGCAGCTACAATGCCGCAACGGCGATCGCGGAGAGTCGGAAAGGGAGATACAGTCAGAGTCGGCGAGGGCTAGAGAGTGCGCTGGGTGATATAGATGGATGATGTGTGCGAAGAGCAGTGCTTTGATCGGCGAGGCAGAGCTGTACGTGGTGAAGCAAAGCAAAGCTCCAGCAATTGAAGAATGCGCCTGCTTTGGATTTCGATTCAGGCGTTTTCAGAAAATAGAACAAGGGTAGCACAGACCATGTCCACGCTAGCGCCGGTTTACCGACGCTGTCAGGTCTAGTCAGGTCTAGACTAGGTTGGTAAGTTACTCAAGTATGTACACGGGATCGGCAACGTGTGTAAATGTGAGCGTGATTCTTTGGCCCGCATCCAAGATTCAATACATTCCAATGCAATGCCTTTGAAAGCAAAAACTGTCGTCTTCGAACCTGTTCAGTAGTCCCAGAGGGTATCACGGCTGCTATCCTGGACTCCATTTCACCAAAGGAAGGTACAGTACCAACAGCACCTAGGGATTATTAGACTTCACCAGCCACCGGTTTGCAGTCCGGATGGCCATGTGTTTGGGTTATATGCCATGTGAGCAATCCGAGAAAATACACGATCCCAACATGCAATTTTATAGTTTCATTGCTCCCAAAGGGATCTTTCTCTTCTATTTCTTGTTATTCTTCTTGTTCTTCCTCTTCCTCTTCCTCTTCCTCTCACTCCTCTTCCTCCTCTTCCTCGCCTGAACCTTGACTCATAACAAGACCGTTCATGCATGGCCTGTTGAATATGCACTGTAGGTATGAGAGAGGATTGCATTGTATTGTGTATGTCCGGGCCACGAGTGACAAAGTGCTGGTCCACGCGGAGAGAGACACGGAGACGGAATGGCGGGGTTCAAGTGAGTGTTCGATGCAATGCATGTATCAACCCCCCCCCCCCCCCCCCCCCCCCTTTCTGGGCCCCCCTGCAACCACTCAACGCGTGTCGCGCCAAGAAAGCGCGTCCTACTGTAAGTTAGTTACAGCACCCTTATCAGAGACCAAGGCCTGTAGCTGCTGTAGCTGTTGTAGTTGTAGCCCGCAACGTGCAGCCCGTAGGCCCCAAATTGAAGCGAAGCGGGACCCGCTACCAGGCCAATGTCAATAATCAGACCAAAAAGACCTGGGCAAGGAAAAACAAACAGATCAATCAATCACCCTTTTCGCATCTCATCTTTCGTCGCTGTTTTGGATCTCTTCAAGTCACCTTCTTCCTCCTCTAACCCCGTCTGGAGATCTCTTCACTTCACATCCTTACACGATTTCTCTCGCGTAATTTCTTACCGTCAAGTCAACTCCAAATAAATCAACAAACAAGCCAGTTGCCGATACCAACTCACTTCACCACACCGCAAATATTCGCCATGTCGGTCGTTTCGCTTCTTGGGGTCAACATCCTCAACAACCCTGCCAAGTTCACCGACAAATACGACCTGGAGATTACTTTCGAATGCCTCGAGCCTTTAGAGAAGGGTGAGCCTGACCACCTCCTGGCTATCAAAGTCTTGCAGTTTCCCAGGAAAAGCCAACTAACCACGGCACTGTCTAGATCTCGAGTGGAAGCTCACGTACGTCGGATCGGCCACGTCTGATCAGTACGATCAAGAGCTCGACTCTCTTCTCGTCGGTCCCATCCCTGTCGGCGTCAACAAGTTCGTGTTCGAAGCAGATGCTCCCGACACCAAGCGCATCCCCGATGCCGATGTCCTCGGTGTCACTGTCGTCCTCCTGACCTGCTCGTACGACGGGCGCGAGTTCGTGCGTGTTGGCTACTACGTCAACAACGAATACGAGGTCGATGAGCTGAACGCAGACCCCCCTGCCAAGCCCATCATCGAGAAGATTCGCCGCAATGTCCTGGCCGACAAGCCCAGAGTTACTCGATTTGCCATCAAGTGGGATTCTGAGGCTTCAGCGCCCGCCGAGTTCCCCCCTGAGCAGCCCGAGGCTGACGTCGTCGCCGACGAGGAGGAGTATGGTGCCGAGGAGCTCGCTGAGGAGGAAGGTGAGGACGCTGCCGTAGGCGAAGCAAATGGCGCACCGTCAGCGGCTGCTGGCGGTGATGCTGAGATGGGCGGTGTTGAGGAGACAGCCGAGCCTGCTGAGGAGGATGACATGTCCGAGGACGGCAGTGTCGACCTCGAGAACGAAAGCGAGGACGACCTCGACGAGGAAGAGGGTGAAGGCGAGGTCGCTGAGGATGGTGATGATGCTATGGAGGTCGATGACAACCCTGCTGATAGTTCCTCGAAAGCAGCCCAGCAAGTCTCGGCTCACTAGGGTGTGGCAGCATCCCTTTTCACCGACTTTGTCTACGAATAATGAGAAGGGTCTCCTGATTGGAGGCCATGTGGGGTTCAGACCAAAGTGAACTTGAACATTGCGTGTCGTTGGTTATTTAGTGGCATCTGTTGAATGAGCTGCAAAAGGAATGGTAGAGTACGGCATGGTTATGCTATACCTATTGGTAATGATCGGCATGATAGATAGGAGACACTCAGTGTATAGATATGACGACTGAAGAGTATACAAGATTCCCCGTGAAAGGCTACTATAATCCCCGCCCAAGCGTCAAAGGAGTGCACACAATAGTTAACACAAATGCCAGCAGTGTGGCCCCCATAGGTCAGATGATAACGGTTAAGCCCATCTCTCTGACTAGGTTGCTACCTTTCGTACATGCAGACATCCAGAAATAGTTCTCCTGGTGGTTCTGTCCTGAAGTCGCTCGGACTAAATTGCAAGTTGTGTGGTTGGTTGGTTCGTTGGTTGGTGTCAACAAGTAGAATACCCCGGGTCTTACCATCAAACACTGTCGGCATTTTTCACCATGAATGGTGCCATCCATATACGCACTGGCTTCACCGCGAAAGGCAACTGTTTCATATGAGAGTCTGCGCTTCATTTCGACAAATCAAGGTGTTCGGCAATGCGGTTACGGCGTATAGCCTTGAAGGATGATGAACCCCCTATGCGGAACACGTAAATGAGGGAGAGCGTATTACGTCGCGCTTGACTGTTGTTGAGCGAAATGTGCAGCAATCGGGGGGGCTTTATAGACTGTTTAAACTCCTGCTTATTTTCTGGTGTCGGCAAACCCGTTTCCCGTCATCATATAGGGATAGGTGGTGACTTGGAAGGCCCGACAGGCGATTCATATGTCGTACCGCTTAAGATAAAGCAAAAACCAATACGACCAGGACGAAACAAAAATGGGATCCTCGACGTGCCATTGCCTACTAGCTCTACTAATCAGCTCTATGGCCGCATAATTCTATTACATACATGTTTCCCATATTACCGTTGGGGCCACGGCGCATACCAATGCCCAGCTTCTTGATAGCCTTGACACTCCCAACCCAAGTCCAATGCCTACCGCATACATCAGGATAGGTTGTGCATCTGGTTTACGTCGTCAATGATCGCGCACATGAGAGAGAGAGAGAGAGAGAGAGAGACAGAATGAGCGACCAGCCGAGGAATGGGAGAGGACCAACGCGACAAAACTTACACCATATCACAACAGCCACCATCCCTCCAGTAAACCGTCAGACACTCCGGGCAAACGTTGAGCTCTCCTCCACGGCCGATCACCAGCATGTGTACGACTCGGTGAGTGCCCGCCTCGGCACAGGTCATTCCTCGGTGGGCCTCGTCGCCACACCGGCGACATAGGCCATTCTGCCCCTTGCAGTTGAGATGGTGGCAACTTTGGGAAACAACGCCTGTACCGCTGGGCATGCTCGCTATCTCGGGCCCCGTGGGGAGCATGCAGTTGTTGCATGAGCAGTGGCTCCCCGCTCGGCGGCGCCTCTCGTATAGGGATTTCAGTATTTGCTGGTCACATCCACTGAGGTGTTTTGTCTGCTCACACCTTGTACACAGTGGACTCGCTCGTGATCGTCCCATCAATACTCCCTGTGGTAGGAATACCAGTCTTGGTAGTGTTATAGACCCGGCGTGAAGTGCTAAGCCGGATTTAGACGTCGATCATGCTATACTATCGTTGATTCATGTGTTGGTATTTCTTCGGGGGCTGGTCCCGATTGGGGGACAAATTCTGGCTGGGTTATTGTTTGTGGTTGTTTCAAAACCTTTGCGCCTTTACTATGGCCTATAACTGGCTTTGGTCTTGATTCTATAATAAGCATCGCTCGTTCAGTCTCCATGTAGGCCCCGACTTGTTTCCCACGGCATTTAGTACTGGTACATTTCCATCTTGTGGTGCCTGATGTCGTTTTTATGGTCTTCAGGTCGGCGCCGTCTTGCAAATGGGACATTTCAACTCAGTAGTTTTGTCTGAACCTCCAAATGCTTCTAAAGGATCTTGGGGGGCGAAACTTTCACTGATGACGCTCTTGGACGGAGTCCCTATGATTTAGATCTTGCAGAAATTCCGAAAAGCAGATTCTTTTAAGATGAACCCTGGCTGCACGGGAGACATACTGATTTACGTACAGTGCTCCCCAAGTCGTCCAGATGTAAGTAAAGCGATCTCTCAAGAGTACGAGTTCTGTTCTTCCGTGTAATCAAGTTGCACGCATTAATCATAAAAACAGTGCCAGTTAGGAGAGATACCAACTAAGTGAAAGTAAACTGATTTGGCCATTCACCTGGCGTGTGGAGAATAAACAGGTTAAGAGGTCCTGGGCTGTTTAAACTGGAGTACATGATTCAACGATAAAAAGGAGAAGAAAAAAACGACGCGTGACCGCCAACGTGTGTACAATTGTGCCGATGGGCAAAACTAAATCAACTGGACAGGTCAATCGGGGATTCGAACCCCGGTTACCGGAATGCAAGAGCGAATATGTGAGACTCAGAATCCGATGTGATAACCAGCTACACTAATCGACCAGTGATTGGATGAGAGCAATGGTGCTTATGCTAGTATATATCATTACCAAACACACTCTTGAGAGATGTGGATACCTTAATTCCACCTTTGATGGAGACTACCAGATCGAGAAGACTCAAAGCATTCTCAATATGTGCTCAGAACATGGTTTGGAACATTCGAATTTGCAACTTGACTGGCGAAACCTTCAACAATTGATTGCATGTATAGCCGTAAGCATGCGACTCGTTCATATCCGGTATTACCAAAGGTCTGTTAACTTGGGAAGCCTTCCCAACCCGTGTAGGGTACATACCTGTAGCAGGACCCTCAGTCTATCAGGACGCAGAGCACAGGCGGTCTACTCGCACCCTACAGTTTCTTTGAGCGATATGGATGTGGAAGCACACAGCTTTACCAGATGAAGTGTTGGGGCTGGCTGAAACGACAACCACAATTCGAAAGACAAAACGACAAGTGCCAAGAGCGTGTTTTCGACTCTCCGGTTGTCTGTACCATATTGGCGCCAAAGACAAACACATGCCCTTGATGATGGGGAGCTGACTGGGGTTGTACACTGGAACTACCGGAGATCAGCGGCAATACAGCCGAACAAGATGCTAGCCGCTGCGTGAGCAGAGAAGGAAAGTTCTGACAGCCATAGGTGAGGCAGCAGCCTTTCCTCCTATAATGACATTGATTTCCCGAAAGCCAGTAGCTTTTCAGTTGTACAGTTTCGATGCGGTGCGGCGATGGAGCTAGACCCCGCAGTCTTTACGGAGTACATTCGCCGTGAGTAGTGAGATGTAACGACGGGTACGGATCCGTACCGCGGTCGAGTCCTACTGCCAGCTCAATCACATACTTGGTTTTAGTGGAGTGACTCAAGCCGTTTGGTTGCTACGTGTCTTCATGATACTGTATAAAGATCATGTCGACTGACACGGCTTGCAGGATCACCGTGCGTAAATGAATCAAACGAGTCATGATGGGATTTGAGGCAATGTTTGACTCGTCTTGCGCCGGGCAGATGGGGTCATGCGAGAGAAAAGAACGGACCCTGGACGGAGTGCTCTGTAAGTTACTGTAGTACTGTAAGTTGGAATTCAACACGCTGTCATATTTCTTGCACTCTCCAATGCAACGCAGGAACAGTCCTGCTGCTCCAGATTGAGCTGAAAGCACAATCCAACCAACCACATGGCATGTTTGAATCCAGCGAATCAGAGCAGATTGCGTACCCTCGCCTGCCTACTGTAGCTTTAAAACAAGTCAGGGCGAGAAAGATAGTCTCAGGGATTTCCCCGAATTCGCCTTATCAGTCAGCAGCCTAAGATTCAATCGGTAGAAGGACTTGGAACGTTCGAATTCCGGAAAAGACCACTTGGCCACAGGTGCAAAGTGGCGGGACACCCCTTGTGGGTACTCCGGACAGCGATTGATGGCCCAAGCTTCAGACTGGAACTCATCACTCACTCACTGCATCATCAGTGGATTGCCTAATGTTAGCTCGACTTCCAGCTCTAAATCAACTCACCTGCGAACACATCACTTTCACAATCACAACCTCCCCCATCTCCGAATCCTCTTTCCGTCCATCATAAATCCTTAGCGATTTTCTGCCGGGCGTGAAAATCATTCACATCGCATTCCTGCGCTTTTTCTTGATATTTGCGCCGTCCAATATCAAAGCCCACTCCTTCCATTTCTAGTTTCACCACGTCCACCTCACCCACCCCATCCATTCACATAGACTCTCTCCCCCTCGGTACACAGTCATCATGGCTCCCCAGGACAAGAAGAAGGTCAACTTGGCCGACGTCTCCGGCGCTGAGCCCAAGGAAGAGAACGATGTCTCAACCGCCATTCTCAAGAAGAAGAAGAAGCCCAACCAGTTGATGTAAGTAACCTCCATCTTTCAGGTGTCTTCGTGTTTGCAAGTAGTCGCCGCTGACATGAAACGTCTGTCAGGGTCACCGACGCCACCAACGATGACAACTCGATCATCGCCCTGTCAAACAACACGATGGAGGAGCTCCAGCTTTTCCGTGGTGACACAGTCCTCGTCCGAGGAAAGAAGAGGAAGGACACTGTCCTGATCGTCTTGGCTGATGACGACCTCGACGACGGGGCCGCTCGCATCAACCGAGTCGTCCGTCACAACCTGAGGGTCAAGCATGGTGATATCATCACTGTCCACCCCTGCCCCGATATCAAATACGTAAGTGCACCCGTTGAGACTCAGCCTTGACGCTCGCCCTTCGTGACAATGTGCTGACCCACAACAGGCCAAGAGAATCGCCGTCCTGCCAATCGCTGATTCAGTCGAGGGCATCACCGGCTCCCTCTTCGACGTTTTCCTCGCACCCTACTTCAGAGAAGCATACCGACCGGTTCGACAGGGTGATCTCTTCATTGTTCGCGGCGGTATGAGGCAAGTTGAGTTCAAGGTGGTGGAGGTAGATCCTCCCGAGTACGGTATCGTTGCACAAGACACAGTCATCCACTGCGAAGGAGATCCCATCCAGCGCGAGGACGAGGAGAACAACCTGAACGAGGTTGGCTACGACGACATTGGTGGCTGCCGGAAACAGATGGCTCAGATCCGTGAAATGGTCGAGCTGCCCTTACGCCACCCCCAACTTTTCAAGTCCATTGGTATCAAGCCCCCGCGAGGTGTCTTGCTCTACGGTCCTCCTGGTACCGGTAAGACACTCATGGCGCGAGCTGTAGCCAACGAGACTGGTGCTTTCTTCTTCCTGATCAACGGTCCCGAAATCATGTCCAAGATGGCTGGTGAGTCCGAGTCGAATCTCAGAAAGGCTTTCGAGGAGGCCGAGAAGAACTCACCCGCTATCATCTTCATTGATGAGATCGATTCCATCGCTCCCAAGCGTGACAAGACCAATGGTGAAGTCGAGCGCCGTGTTGTCTCCCAGCTTCTCACTCTCATGGACGGTATGAAGGCTCGATCCAACGTTGTTGTCATGGCTGCCACCAACCGACCCAACTCCATCGATCCAGCCCTGCGACGATTCGGCCGTTTCGATCGTGAGGTCGATATTGGTGTCCCTGACCCCACCGGCCGCCTCGAGATTATCCAGATCCACACCAAGAACATGAAGCTTGGTGACGATGTCGACTTGGAGCAGATTGCCGCCGAGACCCATGGTTACGTTGGTTCCGATATCGCTGCTCTTTGCTCTGAGGCTGCCATGCAACAGATCAGAGAGAAGATGGACCTCATCGATCTTGATGAGGACACCATCGACGCTGAGGTCTTGGACTCTCTTGGTGTCACTATGGAGAACTTCCGATTCGCCCTCGGTACTTCCAACCCCTCGGCTCTTCGCGAGGTGGCTGTTGTCGAGGTTCCCAACGTTCGCTGGGAAGATATTGGTGGTCTCGATCAAGTCAAGCAGGAACTTCGTGAGCAGGTCCAGTACCCCGTCGACCATCCCGAGAAGTTCCTCAAGTTCGGTCTTTCGCCGTCCCGTGGTGTCTTGTTCTACGGTCCTCCTGGTACGGGTAAGACTATGTTGGCTAAGGCTGTTGCCAACGAGTGTGCTGCCAACTTCATTTCCGTCAAGGGTCCTGAGTTGCTCAGCATGTGGTTTGGTGAGTCGGAAAGCAACATTCGAGACATCTTCGACAAGGCTCGTGCTGCCGCGCCCTGTATCGTCTTCTTGGATGAGTTGGACTCCATTGCCAAGGCCCGTGGTGGCTCTGTTGGTGACGCTGGCGGTGCTTCTGACCGTGTCGTCAACATGCTTTTGACTGGTAAGTTCAGACTCTCAAAACATACTCCTGACACGCCCTGTAGATAACTAACTGTTTGTTTAAGAAATGGACGGTATGACTTCCAAGAAGAACGTCTTCGTCATTGGTGCTACCAACAGACCTGAGCAGCTTGACCCTGCTCTGTGCAGACCTGGTCGTCTAGACTCCTTGATCTACGTTCCTCTGCCCGACGAGGAGGGTCGTCTCGGAATTCTTTCCGCTCAGCTCCGAAAGACACCTGTGGCCAAGGATGTCGACCTCAGATTCATTGCATCGAAGACTCACGGCTTCTCTGGTGCTGATTTGGGCTTCATCGCGCAGCGTGCTGCCAAGATTGCCATCAAGGAGGCGATCGCCAACGACATTGCCCGCAGCAAGGAGCGTGAGGCTGCCGGTGATGACATGGATGTCGATGATGAGGTCGAGGACCCTGTTCCCGAGCTTACCAAGCGACACTTTGAGGAGGCTATGCAGATGGCTCGCAAGTCTGTTGGCGATGTTGAGCTCCGCCGGTACGAGGCCTTTGCTCAACAAATGAAGAACGCCGGCCCCGGTGCTTTCTTCAAGTTCCCTTCCAGCGGCGGTGAAGGCGATGCTGCCACGGGTAGCAACGACTTCGGCAATGCTGGCGAGGACGATGGTCTGTATGACTAATTTACGACTACATGACAACCAATATCTGTGTACTCTAATTTCATTGCGGCCACTGCGGCGGGGGCATCTGGGGGGGAACCATAGAGGCGAAGCTAGTGGTGGTAATACCGAATCCGCTGCGAATTGGCGGTCAGCAAGCAGGACGACTGTGTTGTTCCCTGCTCTCATGGGAACACATTTCTGATACTCGCTGTGTCATGGGAATTTCGCCTTGCATAGGACTCATTTTGCAGTTCATGGAAACGTTACGATAGATCTGATAAAAAGGTTCTCTAGATTTTGATTGACTATATTACTATGTGACCTTGAATCATGACGTCATTCCCGCTATTGTCAGAGTATTCAATGTTTTGTTTCCTTGAGGACAAATTATTTCCTGTTCTTCCCTGGACTTCTTGTGTGCTCACTTCACCCCACTAGTAGCAGAGGTATTTTGTATCATGGAAGTGTTCATTGTGGCAAATTAGGTAGTATCCAAATGAGCACCGACCCAAAGACAGGCCACAGTCAGCCCAGGGCCATGGTCTATGCCGATCAGATCAGATCGACCATGATACAAATTAGGCTGTTGTGGTGGAAGAAGGTCGAGCAATAGAAAGAAGCTCAGGCATGTCAGGGGGAGAGAGCGTACGCCGAACCACTTGCTAGCACGGTAGTGCTCGACATGCTATACTCACCCCCATGAGTGTCTGTGCCGGTCGGCGGCCAAGGGCTGGCTCAGGAGGGTCTAAGAAATTAAAGGGAAAGAAAAAGAAAAAAACACCTGTTGGAGAATCTTTCCACAAGATGTACAGTCACGCGGTTTTCATGAGTTATGCCCGAACTCTGCATGGATAGATCAAGAGGGGCCCGCAGCAGGAGATCGAACATCTGTCACGGGATTCCGCGGACCGGGCCTGTCCTACTTTACGGTACTGCCCATGGACGCAACGATGCCCCTTTGGACTGGGATGGGAAGGTTGGTTGGGGGCAAAGCACTCCGGATATCGAAACATGTTCCCGTCGTTCGGAGCGTGTGGCGTTCACAATTAGATGTGTTCGAGTACATACATCTACTTACCTATCTATCTATCTATCTATCTACCTCCCTTAACCCCGTTGCCATTCTTGAGAGGTTGTGGCTGCACAGAATTGTGCCTCGCTCCATTGGCCTCGCAAAGGCGCTTTTCCTCTCGTAATAACGCCGTCCATGTTTACTTTGTTACTCTGACTTTTTCTTGGCCCTCCCTGCTTCAATGCCACTGTGCTTGTCAACCGCGCGGGTGACTAGAGTGGTACGTAGATAGGATCCCCCGAAAAACTGCTCTGGCTCGAAGTGGGGAAATTAATTTATGTCGGCTCTGTGCTTTTGACCACCACACTGAGCAGGGCTCTGACGCGGTTGACGCGGTTAACGCGGTATGTGGCATAGAGCTGGGCAAACACCCTCGCAAGTGGCCATATGATAGACAGCTGAATGTTTGCGCTGCGGCTTTTTAGGTGCCCGGTCATGGGGGATTATTCACCGGCAAGGGCTAAAGTACGGAGCGAATCGCCCCTACAGTCGCGGTTCCAATTTTGAGATGTCCGGGAAACTGAAGCCAGAATGAATGCCTGCTTTCGAGCCGAGATAATCGCGGTTGGGAGTACCGCATCAGGATGTCCCGAAGGTAGAAATCGAGAACGAAGTGTATGATGAGCAGTGCTGGGGCAGTCGTGAAAACCGCTGAACAAAGCAGCCCAGAATGGCAAATGCCGGGAACTTGCTGACTGGGGTTGTTTGTGGAAGTGGTCAAGGCAACCCGTCCTCGTCGGCATCAAGTCTTTTTCGTCTTCTTCATCCCTTCAGTAGTCGATGTAGAAAGATTCCGCCCACCACATTTGGCGATACTTGCGCCCTTTTCTACGTCCCGTCATCGCTATCGTCGGTTTCCATGACTTCCTTGAGCAGCTCCTTTGTGTATCTGACCAAGTCTTGTACGACATCGGTCGGCAATGCGAGGCCGTTTTCTGCCGGTCCAGCTCCATTGACAGCCTTGGACTTGCCGTTGGTCGTCGCGCCGTTTACCTCGCCATTCTTGGCGTCCTTGCTATTCTTGGCCTGGGTGTCGTGCCTAACTTCCTCCAAGATCTTCTTGATGAGCTTTGGAAAGGTATCGGCCTCCCCATTCCGCAGCATGTCAATTCCCCGTTGTTCCAAGGTAGTGGGCCAGTTCGAAGGGTCGGAGTGGAGTCTATGAAGGAGCCTCTCTTGGATTCTATTTAGGCAAATAGGGTTAGTGTGGACTGTCATTTGGGCGGCATCTCGGAGAGGGATATTACTTCTCCACGTAGCCTTCATGTATGAGGATCTTGTAGATCTCGTTGCGCGATTCAGCGTCTAGTGTTGCCGAAGTGTACTGATCTGCCGCAGCGGGGAGCTTGGCTTTTGCCGAAGGAGGCGGCGACATGGTGAGCCGCGGTCTGTAGAGCTGTTCGGGGAACTAGGAGAAGTTGGTGAGGCTATATGACCGTAGCGCGTGTAAGTCGGCGGTGGTTTGTTGTTGTCGTCGAAGTTGAAGGGCTGAATTGCGCAGGCGGCTGGGCAGAACTTGTCGTTGCTATTCCGGTGACTCTGCTTCGCCAAATGTAGATGCTTATTTTGCACCAAGAAAAGAGCAGTGTACAGCTCCTGATAGACACGACGAGCTCGCGCGCAATTGCTTTGGGTGGAATGTCGCAGCAGCGGGAAGCTCACGAGGCTGATGGTCTGCTGGTATGTAAACTTTGTGGAGGCAAGGCTGCACCCCGATTTAGAATGGGATCAAGTGGGCTAGGTTGAGCCAGTTTGTGGGGTCTGGCAAGTCGCCCATGCCACTTATTAGTAATAATCCGATGCTCCGCGTACTGTATGGTAAAAGTCGCTACGTTAGCTTTATCCTATACTACCTACAGTATCAAACTATGATTCTGCAGAAAGCACAGTTCGTCATTGATGGATTAAAATATGATATAACAAGTCTCCATTGCACAACACACGGCAAGTGTAATGACCATCTGACGATTCCATGAGATCCACGCTGTGTAGGTCTAAGCAATATCCACCGGAGCATTTAAATACTTGTATGCCCTGTGCTTTGTCCAAATCCATTGTAGCGAGCACTATGAGTGTCGGCCTGTCGGTATTGGTTATGATATGAAATCATCTGAGGAGGCTTGCTGTAGATGCTTTGCCTTGTGTGTTGCGACTTGATATAACGACAACATTCGAATCCCCATGTGTCTTCCATCCAATTGAGAGACTCTGCCTTGCAGTTTGGCCGCGTAGAGAATGTTACCATGTACAATTGGAAGTAGTCGCAGATACTGTGCATCACTAGTTGCTATCTACAATTAAGAATCGCATGTGCTGCCTTTCCTATAGCCAAGCCACCAGCAGAGACTCAACCACACCGAGACTTTTGAACAGCCGACATCAAATTTGTAAGCGTATGTTTGGGACATGGTTTAATAGAAACAGGGTATCTGAATATTTCCGCAAAACTGTGTGGAACTCTAGGAATCATGTGCTTAGATATCCGTAATGACAAAGAATCTCAAATTAAGAGCTTGTGTGAGGTTTTCTTTCCAAGTATAACAACATTATTGCGCGCGTTTGGTTCAAGCCAGCAGGCTTTCTTTCCTCATTCAATCTGGTCTGAAATACTCAAAAACGAAGTATCAATAAAATGTCACGAATACCTAGCAGGAAGCGCACACCTCCCCCGGCCGTAGTAGCCCACGCCTCCTTCGGTAGCATCAGACGTGATTCCTGCTCCTGTCCCATCAAAAACCTCACTATTCGGGTTGTCATCTCTGATGCATGAGAACGAATAGGAGCTTTGTACGGTTTGGGCTCTATTCTCGATGAGATTCATATCGTATTATAGTTCGAGACCTCAAAAACGCTTCTTACCAATCTTGGCGATACTCCGTGCTCAACAACTGCTGAATTCATGGTTGAAGAGGTTGCAGCATCTTGTACAGTTTCACTATGCAAGTCAAGTCGTACAATAGCCATCTCTACGACACCTTTTGTACAACATCGGACAGCGGCATCGACATCTGGGAAACCATCACATCGACCCGGCATCTTGGCTGCCAAACTCTAAAAGCAGCCAGCGTTGACAAGCTTGGCCCCGATCGATCTAGAACCTAAATAAGCAACTTAGGCCAAACCTCAAGAGGCCGCTCTATGCACTGGAACACGCGTACGGTTGAGCTGTGTTTCAACTTGATTGGAGTAAGCCTTTTGAGAACAACCGTCATGTCTGACAATCTGGATCAGAATGACGGTGGCTGACAAGGTATTAGCTTGAGCAAAGTCTAGGTAGACTTCCGTGCACTAAATAGAATTGTCTTTACCCCGTGGGAAAATCTTATCAAATCGCGGGACTTCTTTTGGAAACTATTCCCATTTGCGTAGAAATTTCATTTAGAAAAGTTAAGAGCACAAAATCCTTGTGTTATGAGCCGTGGCCTAATTCGGATGGGTCCATCTAAAGTCCGGCTATTTGTACAGATAATGCTGAAACGTCCCGAAAACCGCTCGATTTGTCCAGTATTCTGAATCACGGTTGAGAGTATGTTTCGAGGAACCCATTCAGACGCACTCCGTCGCTCCCGTACGATGCTTCGAAAACCTCGCAGGATTTTGGGATCAACAACAGACCTTGGGATGCCAAGCGGGTTTTCACGCAAGCGACAAGCTTTGCCAAGCGCCAAGCAGGAAGCTCGACATGGCGGCTGTGCAAGATAAGCACCACTTGGCGATGAGCAGTCTCCCCAGCGCAACGGTTCGCAACAAAACAAGGCGGGCGTTGGCTTGAAGAGCCAACGGTGCGGGGTGACGACTGCCCAGCTTGACATCGATTGACGAGCTGACATTTATGAAATATACTTGCTATGTACTAAAGACTCAAGCAATCATATAAAGGACCGCAAAGGGCTGAACAATGTCGCTTCCAACTGTGACCCCCCCCCCCCCAGTGTTCAGCTGGCGCAATTTCTCCACCTATTGAAGTCGAGTTGCAACCTGCACAGGCCGTGTCTGCTTTTGAGTGTCTTGAGATCCATTTGAATTTAAAGCCTGCCTAGGCAGGGTCCCCACCTACGTGATCATTTTCCAGGCACTTTCCCGCCGTCCGCATTCTCCACGGTAACTTACAGGGTTCTGCCTCGTCTGTTCGTGCTTAATGTTCGTGCTTAATTTGAAGTCCCCCCGGCTCCGATAAAGATTGGCCCGAAGGTCTAGCGCACCAGAACGCGAAGGCAAGTTCCTGAATCCTGTCAAGAGCACGGCTTTTTGTAGATCTCGAGCAGGCTGTTTCACCTCGCGACAACCACAAACAAATGTCGCAACTCGTCCCAAAATCCAGCTGTTTCGATCTTCCTCGGATCGCTTCTCCGGCCGGCATGGTGACAACGTCCCCAACTTGGGCTAGACCAGACCACTCGGAACCTAATGGAGGGAAGGGAAACAACATCCATCGTCTAACTTAGCTGACCTTCTGCATACACAGTATGTATGTTCGCTAAAGCTTCCTTCTATTGGTTGGCTGGGGGCGGGTTCCCTACTTTGTACTTGGTCGACATGCCCACCTTTGCTTGGTGCATCAGAAGCGAGACCCTCAAGCTGGGCAGGGCCGCTCATGTGAAATTCCCCATCTGCCATCACCCCATTGACATTCGGTCAATTTCGGTATCATGATACAGCACCTCGCACATGTCTTGCTGGGAGTTGCAGTTGCAGTCGCATTCCCCATAGCTGGCCATCATTTGTGGTTACCCCGATGGGCAGGTCGCATATCCTTCCAGCACACCTACCCACCACCCGATACGTTGAGCTTATTTGCTGGTGCATATCGCTTCAGCTGGGAGGATGCATCTTCATTGTGCCGTCAGACCCGATAGTCACCATCACTTTCACAAAGTCACACTACAGCATATGCCAACTCGATAAGTTTCCATTCAGGCGGCAAGTGTCGGCAGTTCTCGCTGCTTGAAGAAAGTGAAGCCATATCGCGGACAGGTTAGTACCGCGACAAGGAAGGGCCACTATCGCAATTCTCACTGAAATGAGACAAATCCAAGCGAACCAGCCTGTGCATTACACAAACACAGGTATTGCTACTACTGTATGTATGTATGTGACATGGGATGGGCCCTTCATCATCAGCACGAAGCGGCAAGACTCGCTGCTCCGTGCCACCACCGTGCTGCCCACCACCTATGCACGGTCTGCCTGTTGTGAGATACGGGTATCCATGCGTGCCCATTTTTGGGCCGATCTCCAGTATTTGCCCATTTCCTAGCCGGGCAATTCAAAACGCATTCGAGACGTCGAGGTGAACCACAGAACCAGCGCTAAAGGGAAAGCGCTGAAGCTCAATGCGCACGCTACACGATACAAGCAACAACAATAAGCCGTGTATAGTTTTGTAGTCGCTGGCATTACTCGGGGAGGCCAGACAGGGCGTTTGTCACGGTGGGACTTGGTAGCATCATTTGTCAGAGACGATGAGCATTTCAAGTGCCACCAATGCACCCAAATGATCCTGGCTCACAATTTACACACCACTAAACCTTGGGGTCATATGGTTCTTCCCGTTAGAGATTAGTCTGTAGTCACTGCCACTCAGCGCTGGCACTTCTCCGCCCCGGGGGCTAGCCATCGTCTCCCCCTTCATCCCCTAGGTTAGCTACGTACTGTACTATCCATGTACATGCTGTCGACCAAATCTGTCGAGTGCTGCAGCAAGAGCGTGGTCGGGACCCGACAACAAACCAGGGCCCTACTCTAGCACCGTTTTCTCCCCTTGTAGCGCCCCCCCCAGCTTGCTTTACAGGTGCGGTTCCAGACGTTTCCCACGTTCTAATCAGTGATCCCCCCCAATCCGGCACCCCGAATCTGCCTCTTCCACCGTTCCCAAGAATCTCTCGGCGCCCAGACTTGCAACTCTCCATACTGTCAATTTCATCCCCGCCGTGCAACAACTTGGTCAGTCACCGGCAAATCCATTACATTGCAACTCTTTGCGGCGACTGAGCCGGGAGGACCATACGGAGGACGACTGATTGATTAATTGATGATTCATTACCAAAAGTTAGACACCCTCGATTGCGAATATAGCCTAGCCCTGGAATTGGTGGGAGTCTCGAGGAGAAGGAAATCGCGCGTGAGACCTGACTGATCAACCACCGAAACACGAACCCGACGGCACTCGACATTTTGTTGTCTCTTCCCGACGACAGCTTGTGACATATCGCCCTCGAGGGGCTCGCGGCATCTCATGGCGTACGCCTCAAGATAATATAGTCAACCGCCTTTACGTCGTCGCCCAGCGGCTGGCCGCTCGCCCGCATCTCAATCAACATGGAGGCACGGCAGTCGTGGAGCGCGACCGCGGTGACTATACCACGGTCAAACTCCTTGACTGTTGACTGCTCGTCCTTTGAGCTTCCTGCGAACGGTATCTTGACGCTCAGCAACGGAGAAACAATCACTTTAGCTGCCGATGCGCTTTTCCAACCTGCCTGTCTTTCCGCCGCCACGAACACTATCGACACTCTTTCGCTCAAACCGGCCATCATTGGGAACAATGGTGTCAGCATGGACGAAACCTCCTCGGTATCCACGGGATCGTCCTCTGACCCCACGGCCTCCGACTTTCGCGACCCCTTCTACGCCTCTACGTTTCCGCAATGCTATGCGCTCGCTGCAACCACAATTATTGCGTACACGCTGTGCATTATGCTGTTCATCGCACCCAGGTCTTTCTTAGACGGTGGAATTGTTGTACTAGGACGCCGTGGTTTCACAAACGGCCCAGCAAATGGAATCAGCATTGGTGGAAGGCCCTGGCTTCAGAAGGTTGCGGCTTTGACCGTCGCCATCTCGTTGACGATTGCTACCGCCGACACGTTCCGCGTGGCCGAGGATCAATATGCCACCGGCATCCAGAACGCTCAGGCGCTCCAGGACGAAGTACTGGATGGAACGCAGCTCAAGGTCATCAGGCTCATCTCTGATACCTTCCTCTGGTTAGCTCAGGCTCAGACCCTCATTCGCCTATTCCCGCGCCAGCGCGAGAAGGTTATCATCAAGTGGACTGCATTTTCCCTGATCTCTCTGGATGTCATTTTCGGTGCTCTCAACAGTTTCCTATACGACGGACACACAAACACCAGGCCCGCCAATTTCACGGACGCAGTACCGGCTCTGAGCTACTTGTTTCAGCTTTCCCTGGGGCTTCTCTACGCCGCATGGGTCATTTATTACTCCTTCATGAAGAAGAGATATGCGTACTATCATCCGCTTATGCGGAATATCAGCCTGGTCGCCATACTATCCATAATATCTATACTGGTGCCTGTCGTGTTCTTTATTCTGGATATCTCCAAGCCGGACTTCACTGGCTGGGGCGACTATGTTCGGTGGGTGGGAGCGGCAGCAGCCAGCGTAATCGTCTGGGAGTGGGTCGAGCGCATTGAAGCATTGGAAAGAGAAGAGAAGAAGGACGGCATCCTAGGCAGAGAAGTTTTCGATGGAGATGAGATGATGGACGGGCCCGGCTCAGAGTTCATGTGGCCCCGGAGACGCAGAACGAAGAAGAAAACAGACGACGACGATGGCGGTGAGAGTGGTCAAGGAAGAAGCGACAGGGCATCATCCACTGAGCGGAGTAACATGTGGCCAGAAATGTCTTCGATCGCAAGCCGATATATGTCGAGGTCGGGCGGCAACACTGAAGAGAGGGAGCCCAAGGCAAATAATAATGCACCGGCTGCAGGTAGATCAGCAGCAAGCCGGTTCCTTCAGCCTCCATTGTGGATATCACGTCCGCCACCAGCAGTTACTCCTGTTAGCCGAACAGACACAGCAAGCGCTGACAGTACGGTCTACGCTGTACGATATCAACCTCTGACAGAAACCACTTCCCGGACAACAGCAGAGGATAGATTGGATCGGCCGGTTACCAGAAGCAACAGCAGGATTTCCGTGGTCAGACCAGGCAGTCCACCACGAGTCGAGGAGGCTGCAGCAGTAGTGTCAGCTGCACAGCCCAAAAAAGCAGAAACGAAGCCACCAGGCTGGCGATCCCGGCTCGGGTTAACAAGCGGTGCAAATGCGCCGCCTGCAGAAGTTGTTCCTCACACGCAAAAACCTCAACCTCCTCAACGTGAGTATGAGAGTCGAGGTTGGTGGGATGTCAGAGACAGGCTCGAAGATTTTGCAGCTACGCAAGCAGAAAGATTCAGAGAGAAGATGAAGCCACCACCTGATACCGAAAGCCTTGAAGTTGTTGTTATTCCTGCGCCGCCTCGACGTGGTGCGGCACTTGCGCAAGTGCTAGAGGAAGAGGGACGCGAAACAGCAGCAGCAGCAGCAGCGGAGGCCGCGGCGGCGCCAAATGCGCGAACCATCGCGCAACCTTTTGGTGCCGCCCTCGAACCCACAGCAACTGGTCGAATCATGAGAAGCGTCAGCAACACATCCACCGCTATTCCCCTGACGCCGCTGAATATGCGCAATAACAGCAATGCTGGAGAGTCTTCGAGACCTATGTTGAGCCCAAGCTCGAGAACTGATACTTTCCCCCACAGAAATTGGAGGCAAGACAGTGCTACCTCAACCGTCTCTCCAGCCTCCCCTCGAACGCGACCAGGGGAGGGCGCGGGCAACATCTCGCCCATCTCCCCCATGTTTCCATCGGCTCCTAGAAGGGCTATAGATGACCTCTTTCTTGACGGTCCATCACAGCCTTCAGGGTCGAGGTAGATGGGGTTGCTGAATTATCATTTTTGCATTGCTCTTTAGCGTGGCGCTTCGGTTATTACCTGTGATTTATTCACACAATCACAATTGCATTATAGCGTGGTACATTGCATTATATTTGGCCGTATCTAAAACTTGGGGTTACGGATTGTATATATAGGAAGATCGATTCATTGTGATCTTCTGATCAAATACATGACCGTCATTCAAGTGCCTGAGGGCCTGACGAATGTACATGTTACGACTTGATGGATGAGCATTGTTTACAGAGAGTGAGATGTGCTGGTGGCGACGAGACACTTTATTTGTGTTGTCATCCGTACACTGGGTCAAGTTGGCGTGGAGTCGGAGGGTCTCCCCCCCGACTGGCACGGCCTATTCACTACTGCACGGGGAGATCTGCTTTTAGCAGACAAATCAATAAAGTAAAAGTATAAAGTAACTGTGCTCGGTACTCATGATGTGATAGGTGCTCCGGTAAAGGAAGAACCACTCAAAGTATCCATTATGTCGGAAGGACTTGCCTGCATGGAGGACATTAGAAACTGACCTCGAGCACTGTGTTGAATTTCGTCTTTGTTGTCGATAGATTGTCGGTAACTGATCATGGTGAACCTCGGCCCTGACAAGTTGTAAATAGTTTAAGTAGTAGTAAGAAACAAGACTGGCCCCGTCAGATCCGAGAGCCAATGCGGCGCACTGGACTCGATGGGTATCGACACGGCGTCAGTATAAAGGCACGCGACAAGTGGTTTCTTGGAGTTTGAAACGGGATGAACGGAGGTTTGGGCAATGGCAGGGTCGGCGGCCGAGACGCCCGCAATGTCCTTGGACACATGAGCCAGGGAAATTGGACATTTTATTAGCATGTCGAGCGATGGGCGACAGGCTATCCGCGGACCGCGTAAATTTGTGTACGAAAAAGAGACATTGCCGGTATTTGGGTGACCCCTCCTGAAAAATAATAACAGGGTCCAGTGCAGCAGTCCCCGCTAAATGAGTTTTAGATGGAGAAAGGATTCGGCGCCATTGACAGATTGTTAAATACTTTACTTTACTTTGCTTGACTCGACTTGCTGACGGGTACCAAGGGCCAGAATATCCCTATTCAGTCTTCGCATTTGAACCCGCGAGCCCCCCCCCTCCCGTTCCCCTTCTTCGAACTTCATCATCTTTTCTGTGCCTCTGCTGGAATACACCCCCATCCTGGATGACTTCACTCCTTTAGCATCTGGACACGGCTATCCTTCTCATCTGCTCCGAGAAGAATCGAGACCGTTTTTGCCGGGCAAAGTTGAACTAGGCCCCCAAATCTGCCTTACGGATCCGTACATGCAAAGTGAGACCTATCGGCTAGGTCCTTTTACCTTTCACCCCGTCTGAAACCTTGCCTTACCGGGCGACATTTGGAACTTTTTGTCATCTCTTGCCCGCGTCCTTGCTTTGCTGCAGCACACAACCTTGGACGCAAAAGCAGCAATGGCAGGCGACTCTGAACCCTTTCCTGTTCTCAACACCTCGGCCGACCAGTTCTCCTCGGCCCAGGACTCCAACGCGCCCCGTCGACGTAGAAAGTCGAGCGCGCTGGGGCAAGATATCCGTGCCGGGGATACCGGCGCACCGAGTCTGGGAACCGGCGGCCTCGCAGTCCTTCAAGATTCCTCGCCCCCCTCATCTTCCCACTCGTCCGCCGAGAGAGAGCTGAACGGCGATCTGCGCCAATTTTCCGAAAAGGATGGCCCCAGAGCCAAGAAGTTCTCCAAGCGCAGAAAGGCCCGCTCTGCCATGAGCCGCTTTCTGCGCTTCTCTCTGAAGCACACCTGGACCATACCCTTGGTGCTGCTGCTGATCTTCGGTGCCCTCTACGCAATCAACCCGACCGAATCGAACCTCATCCACCACTTCATCTTCCTTTCCTACAAGCTGCCCCTCGAGGCCGGCGCGCATCCGGACACACCGCACCACTATGGCAAAGGCTCTTGGGATTTCGCTTTCGTGTGCTTCTACATCGTCGTGCTGTCCTTTACGCGCGAATTGATCATGCAGGAACTGCTGCGCCCCCTGGCACGCCATTACGGTATCAGGACCCGCGGCAAGCAGGCTCGTTTCATGGAACAGATGTACACGGCCGTCTACTTCGCCTTCCTGGGGCCCGCAGGCATGTATGTCATGAGCCGCACGCCCATCTGGTATTTCAATACTCGTAGCATGTACGAAGGCTTCCCGCACAAGACCCTCGAGGCCGACTTCAAGTTCTACTATTTGTTCCAGGCCGCGTACTGGGCCCAGCAGGCAATCGTCTTGCTGCTTGGTGTAGAGAAGCGCCGCAAGGATTTCAGGGAGCTGGTCGGACATCACATTGTTAGTCTGTTGCTCATCGGGCTCAGCTACAGGTTTCATTTCACCTACATGGGTCTCCCTGTGTATATCACGCACGATATCAGTGATTTCTTCTTGGCTGTGAGTTTTGTCCCCTTCTCCCTCCCCTTACCCATTCTTTGCGACCCGTATCGTTTGCATTGTCCTATAACGCATAGATTGGCTGACACACGACCACCCGCAGACCTCCAAGTCCCTCAACTATATCGACAGCCCCATCACGGGTCCCTACTTCGCCCTGTTCGCCGCCTCGTGGATTTACTTGCGCCATTTCCTAAACCTGAAGTTCCTCTGGTCTGTCTTGACCGAGTTTACCTATGTCGGCCCCTTCGAGATCAATTGGGAGACGGAGCAATACAAATCCCGCCTCTCTCAGGTCATTATATTCACCTTGCTGGCGTCTTTGCAGGCGCTCAATCTCTTCTGGCTGTTCTTCATCATCAGGATCGCATATCGCTTCATCGCCGCGGGCGACGCAGATGATGACCGCTCTGAGGCCGACGAGAGCGAACTCGAGGAGATGGCGAAAACGAAGCAGGATGTGAAGCACCTAACGGAGAAGGCGGAGGAAGTACCTTTGCTGAGCAAGGTAGCCAATGGCACAGCGACGAATGGAAGAGTCAAAGTGAATGGAAGTGCCAAGGTGAATGGCAACGCGAAGAACCGCTCCAGTTAAGGAGGAGCTCTCACGCCTGCTATTGCTAGAATCTCGCCTCTAGCACCAAAGCATGGAAGTGATTTGAAGCCTAGCGAGTATGATATACGAGGTATGTCTACAAGCGGTATGAAGAGGCTACAGCATGCCTAAATATTTATCACCCCAGCTCAGAATAGCCTCATTGTGTTTGGTTTGTTGCGCAACCGCACCATTCGCATGACACTCGTTCGGTTCGGAAACAAAGTTAGCTGAAGAGCCTGGCTGTTCAAATCGATCGTTTTCTATCGTAGTTGGGTACTCATAATACCCTCGTGGGGGGGCTATTATGAAGGACCGCAACGAAATAACAAAAGGAAGTCCTGGCTATACACCAAGACAGACCTATCACGCGCTCGCTTTCTAGAGGACGATTATCCGGAAACTGCAGTGTGGGAAATGACAAGATATGAGATACATAATAACTAATAATGAAACTGAATATTTTTATAACGTCGATCGTGCTCCGTGTCCGCCATTTCAAGCTTGGGTGACGAGACAACAGTCTGTCATAGGATCCTAACTTTCACCTAAAATAAACTTGAATGGGAACACTCTCGATATACATTACTCCAAGGTCCCACTAATTATGTCTCGCTCGCATGCCGCACGCATTTACAAGTATCGACCAACCAAATGGCCTGCCAAATTCTAAATACTAAAGAGTTAGGAGAGACATTGATAAAGTGGAGACCGGCGCTTGGCAGTCGGCGCCGAATATATGATCCCGAGTTTGGCATACCCATAGCTGTAAGTCAATGAGAAGAACTCCTAGACATGAGACCTGTTCGGGAGAACGCGTGGTATACCGAAACGACTGCGAGTATAAATATCCACACATATGTATATACATAAGGAACCCTTCACGTTGTTTTCTGGGGCGCAGTAGGCCTGCGCAATATATGGTTCCAAAGAAACTATTCGACAAATTCACTGACCATGTCCGTCTTTGCGGATATACCGCAGGCGGCTCCAGATGTCGCCTTTTCGCTCGTGGCCGCGTATAAGGAAGACCCGAGCGACAGGAAGGTTGACCTGTGTCCTGGGTTCTATCGGGATGAGAACGCCGAGCCGTGGATCCTACCTTGTGTGAGAAAGGTACGCACGAGAGGTTTTTTTTGGGGGGGTTTTTTGGTTTTTCTTTCGTCTGTTTTGGTTTTTGTTTTTGTTTTTTGTTCTTCCCTCATAAACATTTCCCCTTCCCCTACAAACTAATTTACATCTACCATGAGTGATGTTCATCCTACCTATCCCAGAATCCCCGTTCCACCCCATCTGAATGGAATCCCAGATTACTAACCCACCAGATATTATACGGCAGGCCAAAGATATCATCCACGCAGACCCAGACCTAGACCACGAACACCTGCCCCTGCTCGGCCACCCGGGGCTCCTGGCCGGCGGCCGCAAGATGGCCTTCGGACCGCCCAGCCCGGCGGACGACCATGCCCGCATCGCCTCCATCCAGACCGTCTCCGGCACGGGCTCCAACCACCTCGGCGCGCGGTTCCTGGCGTCGTCGGTCCTCTCGGGCCCGGGCCAGACCAGGAGCGTCTGGCTCCCGCACCCGACCTGGGTCAACCACCCGGAGATCTGGGCGCTCGACGCCCCCGCCGTCGCCCAGCGCGCGTACCCCTACTATGACCGGGAGCGCCGCGCGCTCGACCGGGACGGCCTGCTCCGCACCCTAGCCCGAGACGCCCGCAAGGGCGACGTCGTCGTCCTGCACGCCTGCGCGCACAACCCGACCGGCCTGGACCCCGGCCGGGAGCTGTGGGTCGAGATCGGGAGGATCTGTCAGGAGAGGGGGTTGTTTGTGCTGTTCGATTCTGCCTAGTGAGTCTGGTTTCTTTTTTCTTTTGGGGGGTTTTTTATTTTTAAATGTCCCCAAGGATTTCTCTTTCCATGGCGCCCTGCTTCTTTCTTTTCTCTTTTTTCTTTTCTCCTTGTCTTTAGGGCAGCCTTTCTTGACAAGTAAGTCTGGGTAAAGACCAGCCGGGGAGATATTTTCAGACCACGCAGGGGAAAAGAAAAAAAAACGAGAAGAAAAGAAGAAGAAAACAACTGACATTATGCCGCGTCAGTCAAGGCTTCGCCACCGGCTCCCTCGACGACGACGCCTTCGCGATCCGGCACTTCCTGGGCCGCAGGATGGAGTTCGCGGTCGCGCAGTCCTTCTCCAAGAACCTCGGGCTGTACGGCGAGCGCGTCGGCGCGCTGCACGTCGTCGCGGCCGACGCGGGCACCGCGCGCAGGGTCGAGGGCAGCCTGGCCAGGATGAGCCGGGCCGAGGTCAGCACGTGCCCCAGCTACGGGGCCAGGATCGCCGCCGCCGTCTTGGGGAGCGACGAGCTGTACGCGCAGTGGCTGAGGGATCTGGGCACCATGAGCTCGAGGATAATGGGCATGAGAAGGAGGCTGCATGGGGAGCTGGTAAGGAGGGAGACGCCCGGCTCGTGGGGGCATTTGTTGACGGATGTGAGTTTTTGCTCGTTATGCCCTCCGAAATGTTTGGGGGGTGGGAGGTGAGGAAATGCTGACGGTGGTGTAGATCGGCATGTTTTCTATGACCGGGCTCTCGAGGGAGCAGTGCACTGTTCTAAAGGACAGATACCACGTCTACCTCCTTCCTTCGGGGAGAATGTCGTTCACAGGATGTAGGTCATATCGGCGTCATTAAGATTTCCTTTTTTTTTTTTCCCCCTTTATGAATGACTAACAGCTTGAAGTGACAGGACGCAATGTTGGCCATGTAGCCGAAGCGATCGACCAAGTAGTTAGAGAGTAATCCTGCCGCGACTTTTTCCAACAAAATGATCACCAGCCAACTAGCACAATGGAGGTTTTTTGGCGTCCATTAATAGAGCTTGTTTAATTCTTACTTCGGCAGAAAATAGACCATGATAGGTATCTTAATCGGGACATATACCCCTACGTGGGAGGATATCAAGAAATTACAGCAACACCTCTTGCCCATTATCAAATCTTCAATATACAAGATTCCTTAATCAGAATACATTTGGTGTCTGATTTTAGTCCCGAAAAAATGGAGTATCCTCTCATTGTGATCTTCAAGTTCATATTATATAAGCTAATCAGTTGCCGCCGGGCTGTAGTCAAGAACTAAACATAATAATGAAGTTCTTTCTTATATTAGAGAGTCAGTTTATAATTTCGAACCATTGCTAGACTAAACCCTATTGGTCAGAGACTGGTTATTATTGTTAATCTATTTTTTCTTTTTTCTTCTATTCTCCTGGACAAGATATTAATAGGCTTCATGGGAATGAGCCACCCAGTATTCCTAACATTGCGACAACTAGTCAAACATTAGACGGCCTACATCTCTGCCTGATGTGAAACAACCACAATTCCAACAAATCAAACACCAGGAATTTGTAACTCACAAATTCATTAGACTACTTATATTGGCCACCTTTAGGATATCTCAAACACGATATGCGTAACATCTCCTTCAAACCGGACGACATCATCTCGGTCTCCTGCATTCACTGTAACTATAATGTGTCATTGTAGCACACCCCATCCTCACCTGAATACGGTCTCTGCGGGTCCTTCAGTCTCAATGAACGTTTTTTCGAGCCACTGTTTTTCTCTGTTATTGGGGAGTGGATCTCCAAACTAACACACCCTTGCGATTACTCCACTACTGTCTTTGCCCGGTCTTTGTGACTTTATGGCTACCATATGGACACAAGTTAGAACGCCAGTCAGCAGCAATAAGAACCAGCTTGAGCTCGGGTCCGAATTGAACCAGCTAGTATAAAGCAACAGTTATGCAAGCTAGGCATCCGGATAATACTAGCAGCGACAATAATGGCAACGACAACAGTGGTGTGGTGACAGTCCGCAACGTTAAGTTCACAAAAGCAAATGCAGATAAATTCGTAGAGGCAGCAAGTAACAGCCAGATCGCAAGTGCGACTGATAATTCTTAACACTTGAGTAGGTTAGTGTATTGTTCCTGGGGTATTTTTCATCCATGTACGTAAATATGCACTTGGTAATACATTTCAGCAGACATCAACCACTACGGTGATGCGTGAACGACTAAAATTACAGCCATTCCGACTTCCCTAAGAACGCGCTTTGGTAATACCTGGAATTAATCTTAGCGATTAACTGATGCACTTTTGACTGACCTTAATGAGGCATCATTTGCTTGAAGCATTGAGTTCTCAGATGGGCACTGGAAGAGCCAAAAAAAAAAAAAAAACATGTCATCGAATTCCGGCTAGCACCACCCTCTAATAAATATGATCTAGGACCGGATTGGCTGGGCTGCTCAAGTCTAGCCTCATCAGAAGCAGGTGAGTGACTACTCGAACGTATCTTGTGAGGCACTGCTTGGACATACTAATGAATGCCTCAGGTATCCACCTGGGGCAACCACACAACGTGACCTTCATTGGTACAAAGGTAGCTCTGTTCCTCACCCTTGTGTCACACACCATCAATAGACTACTATTGACCACTATATGTGACGTGTCTATCACGTACTGTAGGAATTATGGTGCTTGTAGTCAATGTCCTGGGACCGTGCAAATGCGAAGCGTAGATATGATACACTCGGAGTTCTTGAACACAAGTAACTACAACTCTTTCTAAGCATAGCAACAAGGACATTTACCACGCACGTAAACGAGGTCAAACCATGGACAATTGAAATATTTTCATTTCGAAGGACTTGTGCTCTACGATGAAGAAGAACATATAATAACCAACCCAGAAATATGCTTCTGATCTTTAAGTTAAATACTAAATAGAGTTCATGTGTTATTCAATACGGTGCGACGAACCCGGTACTGTTGATTAATTTGGATAGATGGAGAGCCTGCAATTCAGGGGCGGGTAACAAGCGTCACAGGTGTAAGAAGGAATGCTCCCGTGATCAAACTGCTGACTTATCTGGAGATTTGCAATTGCATAGTCCTCCAAAATGATCAAACAACTCTTCAGGCCGCAAAAATACCTTAACAAGATAGATGGTAAGATATGAAAATAGAAGGAAGTAAAACCAAATCTCAGGCTGTTAGACAAAGGGTGATTACGAACCACAATAGATTTATGTTCCAGGTATTTATAGATATCATCGTAAGTGTGAGTGGGGTTGTTTATAGTCGACAAAGTGGATACATCGCATATGGAAATGACACAATTTAGTTCGGCATTGTAGATGAATGGGTACAACTTCACAGGCTGAAGATTCCATGTCAAAACAATTTCGCAATTTTCTATAGTAAATGCTGGTAACAGCCAATGTGATCGGCAAAGGGAAGCCAGCTGGCCAGTTCCTGGGATCTAGTCTGGACTAGTTGCCTAGGCCGGCTGTTAGCTTGGCCAAGAGTCAACAGTATTTAGCTGCGACGCCACTTCTCATGAATTAGCTTTGTCAAGTCCATTGATGCCTACAGGTGACTTCCTCTCTTGTCTCTATTCGTTTCGCCGTGGTGCAAATCTTAACATGTTTGCCTCAGTCACCAAACGAAGGAGGCCTCTGTGATTCACATTGAAATATTCCAACATTCCAACACGGCTTCATGACACAACTGCTCAACTTCATACTTTTGAACCACTGAGTCCCAACAAAATCTACATTACATTCCTTGACTTCAGTTGAAATTTGCAGCTTGATCACCGCTTCCAGCTCGAACTCGTCCAGTCACCAATATGGTTCTCAAAGAAATTCCGTCCACCCAACAGGTGGACGTCCTCTCAAACACAGATGGACCGCAACAAGATTTCCTCTCCGAATTTCGACAGCTGACAGTTGATCTGCCCCATGACTCTACAGCCGCAGGTGGTTCTGGCAGCATCCGCATCAACCATGGCACCGCGTCCGCCGCGCTCACTCTCACAATCAACAGAACAGTCCGTGTTCCGGACAACCAGGACACCAACATGCTGCCGCCTAGTCTGGGCCACTTCCCTCTGTTCAAGGTCCAGGACTACGCGGACCGCATGCCGTCGGACATGGTGGCCAAGGGGGGTCTCTTCTTCCCAATGTACCAACGCGAGGCCATGTGGATCAACTTCACAGCGCTGCGCCCGTTCGCGCTCAAGGTCTATGTCGGGGGCGTGAACGCAGTCTCCGGCTTTCCGATGCAGGAGAATGAAACGACCCGGCAGAAGCGTCTGAAGATGTTGAAAGATGGTAAGCGGATCCAGGACTACATGGTCGTGCCTGACCAGCGCTGGTTGGACGGTATCGCGAGTGAGGACGGCAAAATTAGGCAGTTCATCGCCAAGCCCAAAGGCAGCGGTTTCAGCGTCGAAGCTCAGGTTACCGGGGAGGAAAAGGTTGGCGGTGTTCAGATCGAGGTCATACCAATCAAGTGTGAATTCCCTAGAGATATGGATGTGCGATACGAAAACCAGCAGGGCCAAGTGATTAAGCGCACGCTGGTCATGGCCGATAAGCGGTTGAGTGATCGCAGCACAGTCTCCGACCTGAAGGATGTTTTGAGTAGTGAATTTGGTATTGCGGTGCAGGATCAATGGCTCGAAACCGAGCCACACAACATGGACTCCTACAACGCACTCGATCAGAATACTGGAGCGAGCAGCCCGATGCTAGGAAGCCTCTACTTCAAGCCGAATGCCACTCTCAAGCTGTCTCACAAGCATCGCGAGCCACTGGGCTTGTATGGCGGTTATAGTTCTGCATCACCTCCCCTGGGCTGCATGTTTGGAGCCTCTCCAGCCACTCTCTCAGTGGAAACGGGTTCCAATGAAGCAATGCCGCCGCCCTCAGCACCGTTGATGTCAAAAAGCAATTATGGAGCAGCCTGTCAGCTTGTATCGCTCCAGAATGCAGTTCTGCCGGTAAAGCTGCCGTCGCCACGAGGCCTCGGCGGTCCCGCCTCCATGGTCAAAGAAATGGGCCTCGCAGCAGGCGGCTTCATCCAGCAGACCATCGAGCCGGATTCCAACCCATCCTCTATCTGGGACGCGGAGGCGTCGATCCTGCTCAATCTCCAGATCCTCGACTCGGAATCCTTCTGCGACGTCACGGGCCTCCCTCCGCCGCCGACACCCATAGATGCAGAGACGTACGCCCAGCATGGATACCCGTTCTTCGAGATCTGGGGCGAGGAGAAGACGGGAGTCAAGGGAGATTTCGACGAGGTGAAGAACGTCGCCCAGATCGAGGCCGAGAGAGCTAGGGAGAAGGGCGAGAAGGTTGTGGAGGAGGAGAGCGTGCCGCAGCGTGTCCACATTATTGGACAGTTCAAGAGCACGTTCCAGCCGGTGGAAGTTTTAAAGAAGGATCTGGAGCGTCTGATGCTTGGGGTTTGATTGTCTCGGCGAATGTACTACCCGGCCAGCAGTTGTCGACGTAGGTTTGTGCGATATTCAGCTGTTTGGTTGCGAGGAGAGACGACCGTTATGACTTAATACGAATAAAATGGGTTCTCCAGGGAAAGATTGATGACGATGAAGTCTTAGTCACAACAAAGGAGCCTACGAGCGATCAAGCGAGAGCGCATAACGTTCGGCTATCGTTATTTCTGGCATGGTAGTTTTAGCTGACGTTTATCAACTTGAAACGAATTTTGAGTTGTCTACAGTGATTCCATGCAAGTGCGCTTCATGATTTTTCTTCTGATTGATTGTGTACCAGATGGGCACATGAGGCAATCGTACCTCAAGGCGGATTTGGAACAAGTCGAGATATCCCCCTGTCCCGTTTCTTCTTAGGATATCTTAAGAGCAAAAAAGTTTATGCCTTGATCACTTGTCTCGTATCTTTGCCGTAAGGTTGAGTGTGCGCCAGAACTGAAATCACATGTTCGCAGTCTGATTAGCTGCGTGATTAAGATTGCTATGGTACAGCTTCAGTGCACCCAGTCTGCAGGTTGTCGCTGACATGCTGCTGACGTGATTGGGATTCCTCGATGTCCACTAATCTGAATTTGGCCAACACTACTTTGTCATATGTCGCTTTTTCAGAAGTTTATCACGATGCATTCAATCAGTTGGAACGCAGTAACTGCCGGGAATGATAAAAAGAAAATCTAGTTTCTTTTTTGAAAAACGATTGGGGACGTGTAACAAATCCGCTGTCGGTCTACTCTTCCGGATCTATGTCTGTTCCTAGCTACGAAAGCAGTATCGCAGATCTTCTCTGCCTAAATTCGTATATGCGACATTCGACCACGTCTACCCCAAGGATTCTCTAGTGCGGCTTATACGGGTAAGGTACCCATCTCTGAATGTTACCATCTTTATCGGATAAGAGCTGTAATGGTATGCTTGGGGCCTGATGACCTACGTTGAATCCCAGGTCGTCACTGAGTATTGCCCCATCTCATAGGTGCGTCTGAGGAGACAGCTACCCGCAGCATCGTCGTGTGTCTGTAAATCGTGGTAACAGCGAAAGTGGATGCTGTGGTACTGAGGCAAGGCTCAGTGTAGGTCTAGCCCTCGGCGACTTGTACGATCTCGACTACATTTCGGGCTCCATTTCAAAGATTTGCAAATCTATGTCTGACACGAATCCCCAACATTGACACGTGCTAGTGAGCTTGACGGCCCAAGATAGTTTCCCTTGTGTGGCCGCACCCATTAGTCGACTTCTCACCGAGTAATTCTCCGTTAGGTATTGTCACTTTGTTTCCCAGCGTCGGTGGTAACACAAATTGCGGTCCGCTTATGGAGTGGCTCAAATAGCCGGAGATGCTTCGGATGTGATTGGGTTAGGACTTGCGAGAGTTGACATATGACCCCGGCGAGGTAGCCATCGTAGCCGCGGTTGCTACGTCTCGGCGGTTGCCCGCATGTTGCTTGTACATCAAGAGAACTGGATCCGGGGAACAGCTGAAATAAACCGGCAACGCGATGTTCGGTGAATGCAAGATCGGCAGGGGCGTTTGGACGAGACATAAGGATTGCAGCATATATCGACGGCAGCCCTTGTGTCAATGACGGGTATCGACATAGGGGTGTTGGAACTTGAGAGCTTCAGCGCAATATCTTCGCCAGATCCGACATACCCCACATGCAATTCGAAGCAGCCCAAATCTCGACTCGTGACCCCCACGATGTGACGACGACAGAGGGCCGTCAATATTCAAGCGAGATGCTGTGGCTAGACATCAGGCCCCTTCAAGAGACTTGAGCTCGGCCTGGCTAGACCTTGGACCTGCAAGTCATCTGCAAGGGCCACAGGAAAGATTGAGTATGTCGATAGGGCTAGGAATGCAAGTCTGGGTCGAAGATCGCTCCTGTAATTAGCGAGTGTGGTAGTCTGACGCAAAACATCGTGCAGAAAATCAGGCCGTTAATCGTGTATGCAGGAGGCGAGACCATCATAGGTCCGCGGAAGATTTCCATCCCAGGTTGCTGGATTTGATGGAGGGTTCTGGTACACAGTAGATGGGTCCAGAGGCCTATTGAAGCGACTTGCAGCTGCAATCGAGCTAATGCGGAAAGCCATTACATATGTCGAGATCTTGTGGGGTTGCAAGGAAGTAATCTATTTTAGCTGCTGTCCCAGAAAACTTTTGTGGATAAAACTTCACACGTCAGTCAGTCGCGTTGTTATGATCGTGTTGAGATGACTGTTACGAGGCCCCGAGGACGTGTCATGCCTTATGGCAACCATATATGCTACAAACGGGCTTAAATGGCCGCCGTGATAGCAAGTGTTAATGAACAGCATCATGCAACAATCAGATGATTTCGAGGGCATGCAGGTCCAATCGGGCCATGCCAAGACTTTGCATTGTACAAACCAAAAAAAAAAAAAGCAACTTGATTCTCGCATTGTGTTTCCACAAGTGAGTCAGTCTACAGCCTAATTATGATAACATAATCAGTCTATGCGGCTCAACCTGTTGGGTGGTAAGATTTAAGGGTGACTGTTGAGGTTGTGGATTCGTAGTATATCATCGTGAGCTTCGTAGCGGCTCTTGTAATCCTTTCAGATTGCATTGCGTTGCCAGCATTGACTTAAAGTTAATTATATCCTGGCCACCAAACCCGGTACGGTACATGGCCTGCCCCAGCTCTCTATTTTAAGTAAACGTTTTACCATCTGCATTGCGTTGTGATGATGAAAGCGCTACATCACTTGGCTTGGCAGTGAGCATAGCTAACACCCTTTTCCATCCCCAGACAACCTGTGCTTGCTTTTTGATATCTGCAAGACATATTTGAAAAATTGCATATCAGAGGAAGGCGGCGTTTGAGCACTATAGGTGATGTCCTGCACGGAATGCTAAGCAAGTCATCGTAATGGAAGCTTGGATAATGGCAACCTTACTTCCAGACATTCCGACTGACTTTTTCTTCTCGAGTCAAACCGCAAGTCGCACCAGCCATTCTATTTGCTTTGTCTGATTGATTGAGATGAAAAGCGCTATCCCAAGCCTCATTATAGAGGCGTCATTGCTGCCAGAGCCGATCTGTTTCCAGTGGGGCAGCTGCATTTTTGATGCAAGAAACTGCCTGCCGTACGATTGTAGACATATATCAGGATACGCCGTCCATGTCAACGTCGCCAGCGGTTGCTTATTAAAAATGACACATCACTTATAAAATTGAAGTGATGGATTCAATTTTTCGATGAAACCTTACGGTTGTTTGGTTCGGATTGTTAGACTTCCGCAGCTATCAAGGCTGAACACGTTGGCGACAAGAACAAAAAGCATCGCATTTCCACAGGCATGTATGGTGCACCGTAGGCATGGGTAGCACTTTGTACGCCCTTTAGGCTAAGTATTGTCACCAATGTTAGCAATAACATCCATCCAATGCAATGGGATACTTCTACTATGCCTCAGTCGGTTATCGGTGTGAGATATTTTTCCCTTTTTTTGTCTTCTCTCTTCGTCTCTCGGTGCCTGCTGCGAAGGTTTTTTGCGATGGTGCGCGGATGCCATAAGCCTAAATTGCCATATGCGGTCATACCACGTTTTTCCAAGAGCGTACTTGCCATCACACTGCACTTCCCGCAACCCCAAACAGACGCTGGGTACTGCATATGCGATGAAATTGCCATTCAGCCCTGTAAGACATTTCCTCAATTTCGGTACTTGCATTTGATTCTGGGAACAGGTCCAAGAAGAAACATCACAAGTACCTTAATGTATATTATGCTCAAGGCCGATTTGCCCCATCGATCAATAACATACGCAGTATAGTATAACCGTTGAGCGGACCGTGCCTCGCACTCACCGGATGCAGGGAAAAGAGGATTGAAGATAATTGGTAGGGGTATACGGTCTCCAGTAAGTTGCATAAGCGACTACAAGTTGTCATGTGTACAACAGGCATAATGTGTCTGCGTCGGCACCCAACGCCATGACCTTGGAGTCGTCTCAAGTCTGTGCAAATGTCAAGCCGGTCAATGACGATACCTCGCGGGATTGCTGAATATGCTGGGGTGTATGCTCGCTGCATCTGCACTTCTTGCGGTGTGTCAATATGCGTTGTCCAAAAGATTGCAGCACTGGCGCGCAGACGCGGGGAATTGGGCGGCGAATGTGGAGATGCAACTGGTCTTTCTTGCCAAAAGAAGACGTGACAAAGTACCAGCAGCCAAGATCATTGGCGAAAGCCCGCTGCCACGCCCATGCGAGATATGCTGATCTTGTCTAGACCGGTTGAGATATCTAAGGACAATCTTATCGTGATGGCGTTTAGAGCGGACCGGAGCAAGTTGCAAAATCAAGCGGCAGCCAAGACAGGGTATGCACTCCATAGGCTGGCGGCATTCGGGACGCAAACGCGCAAACATTACAGCTGAGGGAAGTAGTTAATCCCTATCGAACCTCGAGCGACATGTCTGGCTCCAGCCGATCATGAATGCAGGCGAGATTCGGCAAGATGCCATCCGTCTACCACATTAGGCCGCCAACGTTGCAAGGCCATGCTAGCGAAGGGGCACCTTTGTGAGAGGCTCGTCGGCAGGATATTTGCTGCACAACAACAGCATACGGTCCGTCGTTAAAGTTGTGGTTGAGCGCGGCGATGATTGTTCGAGCCGTCGACGCGAATTGCGCGGCAAGTGATGTCAGATGGTGAACACGAACTTTTGCTGCCCACGTTCCCCAGTATTTCTATTGTGGTACGGAGTGCTAGAAAAATGTGCCAGAGGTAGTATTGAAATCAAACGCGGCCAGGCCCACCTGAAGTTCTGCTGAATTAGGAGACTCTTGGCTGATTGGAGCCACCGACAGACTGGGTCAACGACCCATAGCTCCGAGTCTAGAGCACCACAGGTCCATCTTGGCGTCTACATATTGGGGCGCTGATTTCGAGGTTGGCAGGTTGGGGGCTAGGGGGATCGTCGTCGACACGCTCTGGCAACGTATGCAAAATCATGTTACTGGGAAGCACCTGAAAGCATGAGAATCATGTAAACCATGGTTTTACTGTGTCATGTACGTGCCGCGACCATATATTCCCGTTGAGACAAACATACGGAACATGAGAGGTAACTTGGGGCGAGGTGGCTTGCATCCAAATCATCATGAAAACCACGTATTTGCTAACGATACCCAAGTACATACGTGGTAAGAGTAGAGATCGAGCCTAACCGTCCCTATTTTCTCCGTCGCACCGCAGTTTTCGGCAACGGGACCGGCGGCGCTGCTGAATCATACAACAGGTGAAGCCCTGCTTGCCCTGCTCCTGAAAATCACCATTGGGAGGTGAAACTTGTCGAAAGTGTCTAATATCTATTGGTGTATATCGGAAGTACGTGTCAACGTTGTTTGGCCGCAGTTTGACATTCTCAATCGCTAGCCGGTATCTAAATTGTTTATTTATATCCCGGATGAATTCCCCTTCCAACTATGAAAGTCGCCAGAAAGCAAGAAGTTTCGAACTTTGCTTCCACGGTCTCCATCTTTCGCTTTATTGAGCCCGATTATTTGACCCCACCACGATACTTTGAGACGATCCAAGCCACCGTCCGGTATTCATGTACCGAGCCCCTGGTCCACCACGATACTACCACGATACCTGCTGCAGACTCCAAGACTAGGAGCCAGCACCGCTGGTTGAATCTTATGCAAGCTGCTGCAACCACTATCGACGCCAGTAACCTTCTGGCATTGCTGGACGCAAGGCGGTGAACAGGCATAAAGCCGTTTGGCTGTTGCTCCCGGCCTAGGTAAGCGACCTGCTGAGTCTGTGACAAACCACGAGCCGTCATTCGACAGCTAGATCACACTCTCAGACATTGGAGTAATGCAAGTCCAAAGCTCACTGTCACGTTTGCTTTATGAGTTCCGTCACTGTATCGTCGTGACTCTTGTATGCATCACTGTACTTGTATGCGGCCAGTCTCACGTCCAATTGAGTCCAGCGTGTATAGACGGAACAGCAAGAAACAGCATTTGTTTTTTTCGCAATGAATTACTTATTGTGCGGTCACTAATGTTGGAGAGCAGCATCTTGGATTGCGCGTGATCAGCTGTTTTGGAGCAATGTGCTTTTGCTGGCAAGTCAGTTGTGCATTTTCAAAGATCCAGGCCTTGTTGATCTTCACCTCGAGTCTCTCCTGGGTAATGTTGCCAAACTGCCTAGCCTAAGCTCATCTCACCTGAAAACCATCACAGGCGACTCTTGAACATAGCGGACGGGGGCTTTTTTTTTTTTTTTTTTTTTTTTTTTTTTTTTTTTGGGCTCAGCGCACTCGTCAGAACTAAGCACAAGTACTCCAACTCGGGTACCATTTGCGAAGTACCTTGACCTTACTTGCCTACCAACAGATCAACCCACTCCATCAAAACAATACAATACAATACAACAGAATACATCACATCATTTGCAGAAGCTGGTAAAGACGCGGCTGCAGGTCGGATGTCCCGCGCTTCTCTCATACATCGGCATCTACTATCTTTCTGTCACACCCAAAAAACCCTCGATCGGAATCTATTTTTTTTTTCTTTCCTCCTGGCACGACATTGGCTCGTTCGCTGAACCTCGATTGACGAACTGGACTTCCTGGAGGTACGGGTTACTCTTTACGGTTGGTTAGGCCGGGCACTTTTCAAAGAGAACCCCAGTTCAATTGATCAACCTCTACCATAAAGGAAAGCTCCATTCCGCCCTTTTGCTAGATTTCGTCCTATTCTAGTCTGATTTTACTCTGCTCTCGTCGTCTGTTTGTGTCCACCGCCTGACACACTTGCACCTCGGAAGATCAGCATCTCTCTGCCTTGACACGCTTGTGTGCTTATGCTTGCGCTTGCGCTTGCGCTCTTGTACCTCCGATCCTGCTTGAAGTTGGGTCACCGGCCGTCTCAGCTCATCAGAGTCCGTCCGCCAAAGTCGCCGTGACGCTTGATTACCGTGGTAGCCAGCCGCTAGGTCCCCTATCCCTGCTGGTGAGTGAGGCACTGCCCTTTGTTTAGACTCGAGTCAGTCATGGATGTTCAGCGCAGTCCAGTGACTTTCGCCACTAACACCGTCTGATGACCTGCCCCACCAGTCCCTCTAGACCCCCCCCAACCGGGATTTCTTCTGGTCCTGACCCGAGAGTGGCAGAGTTAACCCTTTGGTTGTTCAGATTGGCTTTGGATCCTGATCTGGTGAGGTCAAGCATCTGGGAGGGTTGTCAGATTTGACCAGTCAAGACTTTGGAGGCCAAGACTAGAGCAGACAGACGAGGTTCGCCGCTGCAGGAACAGAGGTAATAGATCTATCTATCTATCCATCCGTCAATCGCGTGAGTGACATCAGTGCACTCTGCGATGGAAATGTGCAGACACGCCTACACCATTATATAACAGGTCAGTTTTTGGTACCCGCTCGCCACCACTACTACAGCACAACTGCTACATTGCATTACATTACACTACACCACAGCACGACCTGCAGCATTCCATTTCCGATCCCCCTCTTTGGCTGGCCATGGCATTCGTCCTGTTCGTTCTGGTTCTGTTCTGACCGTAACTCATTCACAGCAACGCTATGGAACTTCCCTTCGTGGTGAGCCCGGAGGAAGAACCTTTGGAGACTTTTCGCAATGCATTGCAATATGCATACCCGGGTGTCCTTCTCTTCGCTTTCATCGTAGTTGGCGCCACCGACAGCGTTATCACCGCCCTCCGCAGAGACGACGTAGTGGTTCCTTCTGTAACAGGACCCGGCGGGAAGCCCTTGCCAGTGACGAAGCGCAGAAGGGAATTTGAAGACGAAGACGAAGAACGATATAGCCCAGCATGCAAGGCCTTCTTTCGATGTTGCATGATGCTGGCAACCTTCACCTTCTTCTGCGCCGGCGCCAACGTTGCTGTACGAGCTCTGTACAACCGCACAGCGTCCGGAGGGCATGGGTGGTGGTGCGGAGAGCCAAAGACAGTAAGTTTACCTTGTACTTTATACCTCTCTCTACCTTGTCCGGGCCCCGAACTTTAATACTGTTTAAGCCGACCAATTGGCTAACACCCGCAGGTTTTCATCGTGGGGTCTGCATTTCTATACCTCTATGTCACCGTCACGCTTTTCGACTGGATCTCAGCCCCGTGTCTCGTACACATTGTTCTCTGGTGCATCGCGTTTCTCGGCGATCTCATGATTGTAGTTTCCGATGTTGTCATCCTCACCAGGCCGCACAATGTCTTAGTAAACCTTGAGGATAACATGTATATGGTTGTAGGAGGAACTAACATATGGGACAATGTTGATCTGAGTCTCTCTGGTCTCCGTCTCGCTCTTCTCGCCGGTATGATTACCGTCTACTATGCTATTGCGTGGTTGCGAACGCAAGTCAATCGTGCCGGGCTGGAAGACTCTTATCCCTCTGACGCGGATGAGACAACGCCTCTTGTGAATGGCAATCACAACGGCTACCTTTCAAACGGGCATTCCAGAAATGGAGCGGCCCACAGTACTAATGGTACCATCGAGGGCTCCTCTGCACCTACCGTTGACGAAGAAGCAACCTTTTACCGCCCAGAAAAGTTACCACACACAACCTGGGTCGAATATCTCAGGGGATACTCAGTCTTCTTTCCATACATGTGGCCTGCCAAGAAGCTTCGACTTCAGGTCATTGTTGTTGTCTGCTTTATCCTCCTAATCCTCCAGCGGGTTTTCTTCGTCATGGTTCCGGCGCAGTTGAAAGAAGTCACAGATGAGCTATCTGGGGATAGACATCCTGGAGAACAGCTGAAGATGCCTTGGGTCTCGGTTGGACTCCTGATCCTGTATAAGTTGCTGCAGGGGCCTTCCGGACTGCTCGGCTCTATCAGATCGCTTATCTGGATACCTGTCTCACAGCATGCTTATCGTGCACTGACTACGTCGGCGTTTGAGCACGTTCATTCACTCAGTTTGGACTTTCATCTGGGAAAAAGGACCGGCGAGGTACTCTCTGCCCTCAACAAAGGGTCATCGGTAAACTCGTTCCTTGAGCAAGTGACGTTCCAGGTGTTCCCAATGCTCATCGACTTGTTCTTGGCAGTCGGCTATTTCTTCTGGAAGTTCGACGCGACATATGCAGTCCTCGTCTGCATCATCACTTTCTATTATCTTTTCCTGACAATCCGCATGGCACAAAGCACAGCTGATCAGAGGAGACTAATGTCGAATGCTGATCGCGAGGAAGAGGCTGTCAAGAACGATTCGATTATCTCATATGAGACAGTCAAGTACTTCAACGCAGAAGATTTCGAATTCAAACGTTACAGACAAGCAATCAAGAACTACCAGGCTGCTGAAGCAAAGGTTACCTGGAGCATCTCGACCATGAGCATTTGCCAGTCTCTGGTGTTCATGACTGGTATGCTCGTCGCCATGATGTTAGGTGCTTACCAAGTTAGCACAGGCACGCGAACTGTGGGTGACTTTGTGGCCCTCATGACGTACCTAAACCAGCTTCAAGGGCCTTTGAACTTCTTCGGCACGTTCTATAGGACGGTTCAACAATCAATGATTTCAGGTGAGCGCCTCTTGGAGCTGTTCAAGCAACGACCGACAGTTGTGGATCGACCTGGCGCCAAAGCAGTGACAAAGTGTGACGGTGCCATTGAGTTCTCAAAAGTGCAGTTCTCGTATGACCCTCGTCGTCCGGCATTACGCGACCTGAGCTTCGAATGCCAGCCAGGCACCACAACCGCTCTTGTTGGAGAATCCGGTGGTGGCAAGTCAACACTCTTCAGACTGCTGTACCGCTACTTTAATAGCACGGGCGGCGTCATCAAAATTGATGGTCAAGACATCAAGGACGTGACTATCGACTCGGTCCGACGCCATATAGGAGTTGTCCCGCAAGATACCATCTTGTTCAACGACACGCTGATGTACAATCTGCGTTACGCCAATCAAGATGCCACGGAGGAAGACATCATTGCAGCGTGTGAAGCTGCTAGTATCCACGAGCGAATCATGTCATTTCCCGATGGATACTATACCAAAGTCGGCGAGCGCGGCCTGCGACTAAGTGGCGGTGAGAAACAGCGTGTCGCAATTGCACGAACGTTACTCAAAAATCCCAAAATCATCATGTTGGACGAGGCGACATCGGCCCTCGACACCCAGACAGAGCAAGAGATCCAGTCTCGGCTTGCGAAGATTGGGAAGGGCCGTACGTTGCTCATCATTGCGTAAGTTCTGATCCCTTGCTTCATGCATCCCACAACGCTATGGCTCTGTGCATATCCACTAACTTGAAATAGCCATCGCCTTTCCACTATCACACACGCCGACCAAATATTGGTTCTTAAGAACGGCCGCATCATGGAACAGGGCAACCACGAATCACTTCTCGAGAGAGAGGGCGGAATCTATGCCAAGATGTGGAGCAAACAAGCCAAAGCCCAGAGAGCCGCACAGGACCTCTTTGCGGCCCAGCACAGAGCTGAAAAATACATGCGCAAGGCTTCACTTAACGGCAGCGGTCCTGACGACGACTCGAGCAGCTCCTCCGACGAGTCCACACGCAATGGCCAACACCGGCAGCAGGACGAATAAGTGAAGAGACATGCTTATCTCCGCCCTAAACTGCACACAAACCCACTTAAAAATCGCGAAGTCACTAATCGTAATAGCCCTTTCGAATCTTTCGACTTGGTGAAAATAATTGTTACATATATACTGCTTTCTTGTTTCGAGTTCTGCACGTCCAAATAGACGTCTTCTAATGTTATAAGCATCAGTGCGGCGTTGGAGGCTGGCATATATAAAACGGAATCACCGGTGATTTGGTTCCGGACGGTTGCATTGCACTGATTTTGACATGTGCGCATGATACCAAAGAAGTCGGTTCATTTTTATCAAAGACTTTCTTCGCATTTTCGCGCGAGGCAGCCATACTGGATCCGAGGATCTGGAGGATCAGGATCGGTCCAGGTTTGGTAGATGGCGGGCATTGAAACAGAAGGACCACTGTTGCTTTCCCTATTTTCTGCTTCTCTTGGTTGTTTCGGTCTGTTGATCTGTCTGATGAGCTTTAGCTTTTGTGTTGTCCGACGCCTTCTGCTCCGCTAAGAGAAGCAGCAGTGGGGGCCCTTGATGAACGATATGAATCGCGTTAATGAGAGACGAAGCGATTGAGGAATGATGAAGTGGACATGTTTATGGCTTGAATAGAGTTATATGGTGTCAGTCACCAGCAGCAGTACAAGTGAAATGGAACAGCATCATGGGGAGAGAAAGAAAAAAAAATTTAAATTTTTACCAGCTCGAAAAAGTAACTACTCAATGTTTACATGGACATATCGACTTTTCTGCTTGATCATACTGGTGGGCCTTTGGGAATGTCCCACTTCCAGTTTCATCTAAACCGGAGTGCCAGCCAATCATGCATAAAGGCAGTCTCCTCTTTCGGGTGCATTGGTGCCATTATACACCTGCTAGCTCCGTTTGTTGTTTTCTTCGTTCCTAATTTTGGGTGTGGAGAAATTTGATGGCCTATTTGCATCCGCACTTGTAGGGCTGCTCGGTGGACAGCCAAGTGATGAGGTAGATCACATTCTTGTTGATCATGGTGTTGCATGACATTCTGTATAGGGTACCACTGCTAGTAGAAACCAAGTCAACTTGGGAGCGTTCGCAAAGCAGCTACATCCTGTGAATGTGGGAATATTGAGCATACCTACTCGGAGACAACTGTAGGTTTTTGCGTGCTGACTAGTGCGTGCCTGTCCTTTGTGGCTGTAGAAGGGAGCGTGTCGCACGAGCAGAGTCGCATGTCCTCTGTTCCATCGTCATGGTTCGTTCCGATGATCAGGACGACCCTGTTAATGCTGATGTCTGTTTGTGCAAGATCTAGTTTATCATCCGACAGCACAAAAGTCAGAGGGCCAGGGTCGGGTTTGAACCAACGTATATTCTTCCTAAACGTAAGAGTGCTTTGACCGCTAAGCTACCTGGCCATGTGTCCGCTTTCTTGACCTGAGGCTGCCCTGTTGCGGTATATGTGTGATTCAGGTCTGTCCGTAACGGGTCTGCATGTTGCCTTGCGGCTCTATGTCGGGTGAGGCATACGCGACAAATGGGGGGGGGGGGGGGTTCTGCATCTACGTCCAGGTCTGAAAACTGGGAAGGAAGCACCGATGGATCTGCTGGTAGTGAGATAGAGTATGTGGAAACCGGAGGAAAAAGAAATCCCTAAAAACGAACTGTGATTCGTCCCATCTTGCTGGATTACGTGTCCCCCTAGATTTAGAGAAGTAACTACCCGTTGAAAAGGAGCCGTAGCAGTTAAGTAACCGTGAACGCCCTCCTCAAGAGCTGCGCCTTACTCTGGGTGTTGCAATCTCGACTATATGTATCGTGTCTATCTGTTGATAAGTGTGTATGCAGGTTCCTGGCTGTCATTTCGGGGGTGGGGGGGGGGGGGGGGGGGGGGGGGGGGGGGGGACAACGCAGTCAGGCAATACTTTCCTACCTGGCGTCCTGCAACAAACGTGCCATAAAATTCGCTAACTTTGGGTAAATGGTTGGGATATCCAATGATGGGCAAGATTATGTTAGGCAACTTTTAACACATTGAAATAGATATACTATAGCATGACACAGCTGAGAAATGGCCACTCCGCCCTGTTGATAATCACCAGGGACTGTCATACAGAATTATGGCTAGATGTCTAGAAGTAGGCCATACGAAGTGCTAAGAAGAAAAATTAAAAGTTTGGCCAAGGTTGGGTTTGAACCAACGTATTCTGTTTTCTTGATATAACGTATGCTTTATCCAGCTAAGCTACCTGGCCTGCTTCCATATGTCAATGCTTTGTTCTCTAAATCGCTTGGTACTGTTATCTTCGGCTGCCCATGGGGAAGTTTTTCTTCTTCTTCTTCTTTTTTTGGCATGCAGGTTTCCGATGTCAGAGCTTTTTTGACGAAGCGACACATCAATATCGGAGCTCCCTATTGCATTCCAATTCCCGAATGTCAAGATATCCTCCTACAATAGTAATTCGTGCGAAAGCACCCACGGCGTCAGGGCTAAAAACCACAGGGTACCCTAGGAAGCACAGAGGCCCCGTCCTACTCAAGCGCCACCGCCCGACTTCTCCTTTTCCTGCGCGGCTTTCTTGTACTCCAGCCAGTCGTCCGCCCGCGGGTAGGCGCCGTCCGGGACGGGCACGCCCAAGAACTCGCACAGCGGGCCCCAGCCGCTGCCGGTCTCGTACTCGAGGAACCGGCGCCCCGCGGCGGCCCCGCGCACGAGGGCGTTCTGCCTGCGGTACGCCTCTCTCCCGTATGCCTCGAAGTCGTCATTCCACTAACCCGGCCTCCCGCGAATCAGCCAACTTCTCTACTTGGCTCTTACACTTCCCCCACCCCCTTTTCACCAAAGAGGACGAAACGCCCCCGAGAGGAGGGGAGAGGATAAACAGGAACGAACTTACGCAGTGCCGGTGGTACTTGGCGGCCAGGGGCGCCATGGGGCTCGGGTTGGGGTCGGGCGCGCTGCGGAAGTGGTGGACCAGCGTGGCCAGCATGCTGGCGCGCCACGCGTCCTCATCGGCGCGGACGGTGAGGATGACGGCGGCCTCGGGGTAGGCCCTGATGAGCTCCGCCGGGAAGATGGCCGCCGGGTAGTCGGCGATGCCCTAAGAATGACTTGGGTTGGAATGACAGGACGTAAGAAGAAAGGAAAATAGGAAAGGAAAAGAAAAGGAAAATTAGGGAAAAAAAAAACCCCCCCTGGTGGGCTCCCCGATGTTCTGTCCACTAGTCTAAGAGAAACCTGGAATTGGTGGGGGCGGTAGTGAGATGGGGGGTTTGATCTGATATATTACCTCGAAGTCGCCCAGGATGCTGTCGAATTCCTCGCGGTCGAGGACGGGGTTTCCCTCCTTTTCCGGCTCGTATTTCGCCTCGATGGCTGAGATCCAGAAGGCCTGGTGCTTGTTCTTGGCCACCTCGCGCATGTGGTAAATAGGTGAGATGCCGAGCTGGATCAACGCGTCCGCGATAGCTGGTGGGGGAAACTCGGTCAGCAAAAAGTTTCTTCTTGTTTATCTTGGTACTGGGTATATATATCTATATATATATTGTGTTGCCGCCATTTGGCTCACTGACATTGTGTCCCCGTGCGGGGCATTCCTAGGACTAGGACCTTCATTTTGGATCTGTATCGCGAAATGACCTCTTTTCCGCCCGAGCATCGAGACAACAGTCTTGAACCATCCGTTTTATATTAGATACTATCCGGCGTACAATCAGTACTAGGCGTCATGTCACGATGGACTGAGTCACGAGGCAGTGATCGGGGTCCCGGATGTCTCCGACCTTATCCTTGCCGCCATGGCTCGAGTAGGCAACTCACGTTCGAATGGCAGAAAACAGATCGGCCACAAGCTGGGCACGACATGCTTCGATACGCAAACTTCGCCTTGGGATACGGTGGTTCCAGCTGTGCTTATTCGCGCATAGCTAGGTATAAGCCTAATCGGTTTTGTGTAATCCTTGCATGGACTCGTGGGGTGGTCGTTTGGGTCAGCTTTTCATACCGCCCTTTTCCTATCCGTCAATGCATGACGATATTCAGTGAGATTCGGAGGCACGCTTTTCGGGGTAGAAGGTTGCAATCAATGGAAAATGAGGAAACAGAGATAATATCAGATAGTCGTAACCAGAACACAGTCTATTTGCTTTACTCCCTTTGGCATAGCCCTTATGATACATGATTCTTATCGATTACAGCACGAGTCTACCAGGATCATTCTCGAGGACCAGCTTTAGCCTGGCCAAGAATGCCTGTGCCCTCTTTTCCTCACTTGGCGATACGGTAAGGCTGAAGGAGTTGGCACCTCTGGAGATGCCAGGCACTCCCAATGAGGCGGCTGGCTTAGGGGCGCTCTTCTTGGGCTTGGGGGCTAAGAAGTCGATGATATCCACCTTGCTGGGCTTGGGCTTGGGCGCAACGCCAGTAAAGGAAGAAGGCCCAAGAGCTGTGACTTGCGGGATATAGAAGCCGCGGGAGACCTTGCGATCGACCTTGTTGAGCCCGAGGACTTGGTTGAACAGCTCATCAGCAGAGGGCTTGTAGTTGGACGGTAGCGGCAGTTCATCATTGGCAAGCTCGGCGGCGCGGGAGATGAAAGTGGAGATGGGCAAAAAGGTGCCAAGGGTAGCCTCGACCTTGTCCTGAATCTCAATGACGGCTTCCAGGGAGACAGGGACCGCAACGAGAACGTCCTTGGGAACAACAACCTCGGGCGCCGCGGCCTTGGCTGGCTTGGGAGCAGCAGGCTTGGCAATCTTGATGTTGCTCAAATCCAGGTGGGAGTTGTGGTCGAATCGCTTCTTGATGTCGGCGGGCCTGGACTCGGTGGCCATGCCCAGGTAAGCGAGCACATCGCCCTTGAGGAGACGTCCCTGAGGACCTGTAGGGGTAATCTCGCCGATGGCGGCCGCGTCCAGCTTGTGCTCCTTGACCAGGTGCTCTACTGAAGGATACAGAGGGTACTTCTGGGGTGGCGCCTTGCCGCCGGACTTGTTCCTCTTGCTGGGGTCGGCGGCCTTCTTCTGAGGAGCAGACTCGCTGGGCTGCGCAGATGCCTCGTCCTTCTTGGCCTCCTTGGGTGCGGCTCTTGACCCGTCTGCGGGGATCTCGAGGGTGCTGATATCATCGCCGGGCTCTGCGATAACTCCGATGCGTGTGCCGACCTGGACGGCCTTGCTGCCATCTGCTGCGAAGATCTTCATCATGATACCATCGTCTTGCGCCTCGACGTCCATGGAAGCCTTGTCGGTTTCGATTTCGAGCAGAACATCGCCGGCTATGAACTCGTCTCCCTCCTTGACCTTCCAGGTGGCGATGTTGCCTTCAGTCATGGTCGGCGACAATGCGGGCATGGTGAAGTTCTGGGCTGCTCGCGATGCAGCGGAAGTCCGTAGACCTTGATGGCGGCACTACATTTAGTGGGTGTCCCAAGACGAGTAGATGGATAGGATGGAATACGGGTTGGATCAATGCATACCTCTGGTCGCAGCATCTTGAGCAACTCTGCGGCTCGTCAGCCGAGCAGACAGACGACAGGCCGTGGCAAAGGAAGCCATTGTTTGGGGCCAAGTGGGAGATAAGAGATGAAGCTCAATTGAGCTTTTTTTACTTTGTTTTATTTTAGGCGTTGAGATGCTGCTTCACTTGCTAACTAGAAGGGCGACTCGCTAGTCTAGCTTCAAAATGCTCCCCTTGCCTGCGACTGAGTGGGCTTTGGCTTTGGCTTTGGCTTTGGTCTTGGCTGGGTCTCAACCTCTCCAATCCTTTCCGTGTGCCTTTTGGTTGGGGTCCGATCTTCTCCGGGCATTTGCTTTCAATCGGACCTTCGTGGAGGGGGGGGGCGCCATTTCTGTCATTGTAATAGTGAATAATAATAACTAAAGTAAGCCTTATTATTAACGGCTGTTCGCTGGGCTAGTAAAAGACAACCACAGACGCCTTGGCCCAGGAGCTCGGGCCCAGAGCACAAAGCCGCGATCCCCTGTAAAGTCTAGCGCGCTGGTGTATTTCCACCGAACCAATTGACAGGGTCGCACCAGCTAGTTACGATTGGCCCTGTAACTTATGCTTGTGCACTGCACTGTTAATCCGTACTTCGCGATAATTCTTTCCAGCTTCAGGGAGCTTCAGGAAGCCTTCTTTGGGCCCGTCTCGAATTAAGAGCCCTGCGATTTGCAGCCAAGCGCAGCCATTGCAACTTTCCAATTCACCAATCGACCCGGAGCTCTTGCGCACCTGCGAGTCTGCGTGTAGCAACTTTGTCAGTCACAATGGCAAACCCAGCATCAAAATGTCGCGGTTTCACCCACCCAGTCATCCTTCTGATCAGGAGTTCTCTTCCGCCCACAGCCCGGCCGAATGTCTCCAAATCTGGCACATCACCATGTCTGCGATTGCAACAGTCATCCCGTTTCTTCGCCAGCGGGATGCGCCCGAGCAAGAAGACCGTGACAAATTCGAAACCCCTCCCCGTCGTAAAAACCACAGCCAAAGCCGCAGCGCCCTCCACCCGTCCCGCCGCATCCTCCTCATATGCACAAGCATTGGCTCAAAGACCAGGTGGCGCTGTACTCTATGAAGGAGCCGGCCAGAGAGCCTTCATAGCCTCTAGCTATATGGCCGGCTTTACCTGTATAGGTGGTGCCGCCCTGAACACCATCTTCAACGTCTACAATGTCCCTCCAGGAGTGCCCGAGTGGACCGCCTACGCCTTTGGCTCCGTCGGTCTGATGCTGGCCATCCTTGGTATGAACTTCGTCCTGAAGCCCGCCAACATTGTGCGCAGGATTACCTTGCTACCCGCCGTCGCCGCCGCCCCCAAGACAAAAGGCGGCTATGTCCCACCGGCGAAACTACAGGTCGAGGTCCTCTACCGAAGACTCAATCCCATCCCCGGCCTCCCGCTGAAGAAACAGATAGTCGAGCCTCGGGATATAGTCCTCAAGTCCAGGATGTATAATCCTAGACCATTCGGCTCCCAACCTGGACCCACCTTGTCCCAGGAATGGATTCAACACAAGAAAGCCAAGTCGGGCTACGACAAGGAACACCTCATGACTGCACCCATCCGCGATGCCGGCTGGATCTTCTCGGGTTTCTTCGCTGCTGTACGGCGAGGTCTCACCGGAGAAGGATTTGCGCCCATCGAGGTCAAGGGACAAATGCTCAAGCTTGACATCTCGAACGGCTATATTTTAGAGGAGGGCAAGGCCATGGATAGGGTCTTGAGAATTGAGGAGGAGCAGGACAGCAGGCCCTCCATGCTCTTCAAGTCCTGATGGGGAGGAGCGACTGCTCTGGTCAACTGTATTCCTATGTGTACTTATACATGTACATCGGCAGACCTTGTCAGCATGCCTATCCTGCTGAGATCATCCGACGACGTCTACCGCTGACCCACGGCCAAGGACGGAGCCGGGTTGTGAATTTTTTACATCGCTTATTGACATGGGACCAGTGCTGATGATACACGTGCTTCATAACCGGCATTTCAAGCCACCATCTGCTCCGGCAGGTCAATCTTCGTGTGTTCTACAAAGTGTGCTGCTGATGGTACTCCCTGGAAATTATGCGGGAAACTGGTTTTCTTCTGTGCAACAAAAGAGCCGCACGAGGAGACATGTTCCATTATTGGCTCCAAGTTTCTGGATTCCCTTCGCCCGCAGCATTGTTTAATTAAGTACCTGATCTACATGTTGAAAATTATCATTACGCCAAGCCATCGCTTGTGGCTTCGTTCCCATATCACCAAACACCCGGTCCATTAAACCGGGAGTCGATGTCCTCTTCTTCCTGATCTACAGAGCCACAGAGCCGAGCTCAGGAGGGCTTCCAATCATACGCCACGGCACCAGTACAGGCGCCGTCCACGGCTGCGGACTGGATCGTCTTCTCCACCACGCCACCCGCAGCGAACCGCTTCATGGTACCCTTTAGGACCAGATTGTCCGGCGCCCAGCCCAGCCGCTCCAGCCCGTTCTCGGCATCCTTGAGGAACGCGAGGACGTAGTCCTGCATCCTCTGCGACACCCGCGCCTCCAGCTCCGTCGAGCCCCCGTGCAGGTCGTACGTGCCGAACACGGGCGGGATGTCGGACGCGTGGTAGGCGCCCAGCCACTGGTACGGCGAGACGTTGCTGAAGTTGCCCGCGTACTGGTAGCGGTACGTGGTGAGGTTGTTGTAGACGCGCACGTTCTTGCCGTAGAAGGCCGGGCACACGAACTGGAACAGCGTCAGCCGGTTCGTCGTGGCCTGGTCCGGCCCCGCGACCAGGTCCCCGGCCGGGTACGTCGTCAGCGAGGCGTCCTCGTTGGCCGTCGTGCTGAGCAGGGCCGGGATCCGGGCGATCTTGCCCGCCTTGGCCTGCGTCGTGTAGTTGGCGAACACGGTCCGCTCGTCCACCGTCGGCCGGAAGAGGAGCGCCGGCTCCGTCCCGTTGTCGCCGTACTGGCCCACGAAGTTGCTGATCAGGTTCGCCGGCACCTGCTGCATGCACTCGAGCTCCGCGTCCGACTGGTCCGCCGGGAAGTCGCACCCCAGGCTCCTGGCCACGAAGGTGAAGTTGGTCTGCAGGGCGTTGTCGCCGCGCGGGAACTGCCGCAGCGCGTTGCCGGACTGCAGGAACAGGGCCGACGCCAGCGGGTCGTCCGGGTACGCGAACCCGAGGATGTCGGCCGCCACGGCGCCCGCGGACTGGCCCCAGAGCGTGATGCGCGCCGGGTCGCCCCCGAACGCCGCGATGTTGGCGTACACCCACTCGAGCGCCAGCCGCGCGTCCAGGAACCCCAGGTTCTGCTCCGAGAGCCCCGCCGCGTTCGGGAACCCGAAGATGTTCACCCGCCAGTTCACCGACACCACGATGTGCTGCTGGCTCCGGCTCACCCACTGCTGCGGCTTCAGGTACGGCGAATCCACGCCGCCCTGCACAAAGGCACCGCCGTGGATGAAGAATGCCACGGGGAGGAGTGACTTACCGGAGGCGCCTGCGGAAGAAGAAGAAGCAGCAGCGCCTAGCGGAGTCCATATCGCAAGACCTAGACAGTCCTCCGCCGACGTCTGCGCGACCGTGCCGGCATAACGCGACTGCCCGTCCGTGTCGATGCCGTAGTCCGTCAGGTTGGTGCTCCAGAGCGAGAGCGTCGTGGGCAGGTACTGCGGACAGTTGGCCGGGTACCGATAGCTGTAGTGGCGTCTTCGCGAGGCCGGGAGCGCGACGGGCGGCTTCCAGCGGAGCTTACCCACGGGGGGCTCCGCGAATGGAATGTTGCGAAAGGCCCTGACGTTGGGGAAGGCGGGCTCTATGAGGCCCGTGTATATCCCCGTGGACGCCGTGACGGTCAGAGAGTCGGAGGCCTGGCTGCCAACTGTGGCAAGTCCTAGCAGGAGCGACCACAGTGTCCCGGGGCTTGGCCTCATGGTTATTTGTTTCTCGTGGTGTGTTGGCCTTCCTAAGTCGTTATGGATTGTGTGTAACTAACTTGACATGCCGAGGACTCAGTTCTGTCTAGTTGGGAGCAAAAGAGGAAGGAGAACGTCCGAGGGCATTATATCACATGAATTTCCCTGCCCATATGCTTGATATCACACCCATATCTGGATACGACCCAACAACAATATCATCTACCTTGTCCCTTTTTTCACTTACACGCGCTATACAACGATTAAATCAACGGTGACGAGCCTTGCCTGCCACTTGGCGTCATCTTGATTTTCTTGGCACAACTGCCGAATCACCTTCCTATTATGTTTGTATATACTACGATCTGGACGAATTGTACGCCATTCACTTGGCCGAGTCCCCGCATTTCTAGCCACATGGCTGTATGCTCTGGGAGCCTCGTCATCTGATAATCCCTGACGTCTATAGTCGGGACGGACAGGGACAGGTGCAGTCTTGAAGGTGTGTCAGGCTCTTTGCTTATGCAGCGACGGTGAGGTTCACCTGGATGATACGGGGGGAATAGCTGCGAATCACGATGTTGGAGCGCAGAAAACCCGTCAGCATTCGGAGGTCTCTTGCTCCATTGCGTGCTTTGCCCAGTGGGTGTTGTCATTGTGCGGGGCTGATAACCGCCTCGAGTGACTTGTGTAATTGGCCGCAGAGATGTCGCCGTGCGAGACGCAGCCCTTTTTGGGGTGTTGACATGTCGGCTCAGACTGGATGTCAATATTTGATGTCATTTCAGTCTGCATGCCGCGGCTACGTTTCAATTATCGATTTTGAGCAGGCTCGGTTGCGCTGTTCACTCGCTGGTTGGCATTCCTGCAAGGCATCGCTACAATAAAACGCTGACTGGCTCGCCTGTCTTTTCAAATTATCCCGTGCCGGCAATAATAATGCCAACAATGATCAAGTGTTGCTAGATGAGAAACCTGCTCATCTCGAGTTGCCCAAATGAAATTCTGAAGAACAATCAAAATGTTCCATGTAACCACCCATGGTATCACTTCCATCTTTTTCTCTTGCCTTCCATGATTTAAATCGATCGTGTCGCGCCATTATATCCCAACTCAATCCAAGGCCGTGTGTGGGCTCATCCTTTGAAACGCCTTTCTAGGTGAGACGCCGTCCTATGCTAGGCAGAGCGCTGTCTAGATATTATACACATGAACAAATAAAACGAAACCAAATGATGCGAAGACAAAAGATCATCGGAAATCGCTAGCAGGGTAGAGAGGTATATTGACGTTCGCAGCCAGCGTATTTTCCAAGCCTGGCAAAGCCGGCCCTAGGGTATAGTGGCCATAACTCTCCGCCGGCTCGACGTGGTGTCCTATTGGCATTGTGCCACCAGGATGATGCCATGTAGGCCATAGATCGTCAAAGTCGAAACCCATATCCACTCCTGGCATTGATTCAATGGGCTGCATACCAGGCGGCATCACTGCTGCGCTCACTGGCGACGCCCCTGTGGCATCCGGACTAGGTTGTTGCAGTATTCGAGGAAATACTGGCGGAACCGAACCCGGATGGAAAGTAGGTATACTTGAACGGCCATGCTTGCGCGATGGGGCCAAGGCTGGAAGCTGCTGCCCTGGGCTGCTTTTGGTGTAGGCGAAGAAATGGGCCATAGGGTCATGTTGATGGTTGCTCGAGACTGGTATGATCGTTGGCACTCTCCGTTTGAGAAATGAGATACTCCGAGCATTTGCAGGCCTGTTCAGATTCGCCTCATGAAAAGCTTCGACAATATAAACCACTCTCTGTGCCTGCGCATCTCTTTCAGCGCAGTATCTGAGGATCTCCACGCAGCTCTGAATGGCCTTGTCCGCATCTGGGTTCCGGTACAGTGAGGCGAATTCGTTGCTCAGAGTTATCAAACCAGCCGCGAAAACAAAGTAGCTATAATTTGTTAGCCTGGACACAAGCTATCGAAGATGCCATAAAGAAAATGATAGTGATACATTACAAAAGGGTCACATTGTGACAAATAGTTTCCTTCTAATGCAGTTTTAGCGACGGCTATGGTGTGTTGTGCAGCTTCCACGCAGGTCTGAGCGAAGCTTTCCATCCTTTGGCTCAGTCGCGAAGGTTTATGCTCAATACCTGCCTTGAGAATGAACAAGAAAAAAGGTCGCGCAAGGAGTATGATCGAATGGCACTGCAGGAGGTTGATATGCAAGATTGCGATACCATGGCTCACGCCCATGGACTTGTTTTTGGCTTGCTTCCAATGGAGACTTTGATGCAGTAACTTGTTCCAATCATCCAGCTCTACTGCAATATCTTGGGCCACTGCAGTGGATATCTTTCGTTGAGAATAAACCCTCTTAAGGGTTAATCCAATAACCCGACAACTTCTTACGGCAGCATCTAATGCAGCCGAGTTGGTTTCCTCAACTTCAGTCTCAAAGGTCTTCTCAGTGGCATCAAAGGCGTGGTCTGAACAGTCTTCGTCTGAGATTGCAGTCGGCCTCCCAAGAGACGCTGACAAGAACCGGTCAAGAACGTAAAGACTCCTCCAAAGATTCCGCCGCACTTTTCGTTGCATTGGAGTGAAAATGACAGAGTCCTCTTCACGATGCAATCCGAGGGCGAATGCCGATCGTACGGCCATACCTGTCGATGTTAGCCATTCGACTCTACACAACCTTACAAAGGTTACTCACCATAATAAGCATATGCAGCATTTCTCTTAGAAACGGACAGCATGTAAATTACCATTAGTACAAGCGCCTGAACAGACCAGAAATCTGCGTCCTCGAAGCCGGAGATCGGATCGGCAAGCCCTTTAGCGTTCCTGAAAAATACCTCAGCTCGGTTGACTGTCTTGTTTTCGCGGACTTTTTGGATGATTGCTTCCTCCTCACTTCCAATCACTGGCTTCGAAAGGACAAGTCCAATAGCAAAGACTAGGTTGAGTTGACATATTACAGCCGGATCAACAGTAAGCGGGTCGAAGTAACATTGATTCAACTGATCCAGAAATGTCCTCCTATCAAACACCTCAATCAGACCAGATGTCTGGAAGGCATGAGTACTTGAGCTATGATACGGGACAGGAATTGCCACAAACTGACGTTGACGAAATATGATTCCACCAGGACATCCGCTGTCCTTCTATCTGGTAGCACACCTGGCGGCGTGTTACATGGAGGTGGATCGATCCTAGCCTCCATAATCATATGACGCTTCGGGTCTTTTGTGAACCTAGATTCGCCAGCTATTCCGTCCACAATTATGCGTATCAATTGTAGATAAGACAACGTGGCTGAATCGCCGACGTATACTATATTATAAGATTAGGGGATATAGTTCAAAGAGCATAGAATCTCGGCTAATGATTGCAAAATTACTCCAACACAGTTGAAACAAGAATGTCCTTTTGCTTGAACGTTGGTAGAGGTTCGATAGTGGTAATTAAAACTCACATAATCTCCCTGTCGAATCCTGTAGCATTCTTTGCGATGGATAGAGGTCAGCTTCATCCGCCGTGCTATTGATGGTGCTCATCCTTGACCGGGAGTCCTGGTCAAGCTCGCCATTGGCCGCGCTCAGACTCGGTGACATGTGGAACTTGATCCCGGGTGTATGAGAAATGTCTGATTTGGTCATACCCATGGCTGATGTTTCAGCAATATCCCAAGAGCTCAAGGCTGGAATGTGCACTGAGGACTGCCGACGAGGTTTGGACATTTCCAACTTGAACGCCGTAGGCGATGTGTCGACATTGCGCCGCTTTGCTGGTGACCCGACGGGGCTTTCATCTGGTTCCAGGTTGACAGGCGCCGGTGTGTACACGCACGCAAGCTGTCTTTTGATGCAGGTATTGCACGGTCGTTGTCCGTTGCACTATATGATAAACCGTCAGTATAGTATGGAATGCTGTAATAGAGGCTATGGGGTACTATCGGTTCGGACCAGGGGGTATATCATGTTGAAGATGTGTTGAGCTGCATAGCGATGCGTTGCTGCGGATGGCCGCACAGGCGTGTTCATGTAAGACCGCATAATCCCTCGTGATGCTTTAAGCTGTCAAACATTATGGTGGCCATCATTTCTCCCATGTGTGATTTCGGATGAATCTTTCAGTCGGTGGATCATTATGATAGCCCATGTCGTTCTTGAGATTTCCCCAACTGATATGGCCTGGCTTTAGAGAACTCGTATGGAAGCATTGCAGATAGATTTTCGCACACCATGAGCACCGAACGGAAGGAAATGTGAAATACCTTTTGTTTTCGGCGCTTGCAGCTGTCGCACGCGCAAGCAGTCCGCTGTCTTTTATCGGGATCAACCTTGGGTCGAGTCATGATCTCTTGGCCGCCGGGGATTCAGGTCACATGCGCCATCCAGTACTATAGCCCACTGAATGACAAGGGCCTGGTCTGTCACGGACAATGTGGGACGTTGCGGGCTCACTCGGCGACTAAAGATTCGGTCTCGGATGAGGACAAATGGATCATATCAGGTTGTCGGAAAAGATGTAAGACTGAACGCAATGTGGACCTTGGCCTCAACTTGATCATCCGGAGTCCACTTGACTGAATGGATATCGTCTTGCAGGGCGGCAGTTGACTTGTGGGGCAGAGCTGACACTTGAAGCGGTCTGACGACAAGGGCAAGTTGAGCCTCAAAAGCTGCCGCGTATGTTGCCAGAAAAAGCCCAGGGAAGTTTCCTTTGCACTGCGTGAGCTCCCGGAAGCCACGACAAGGAATGCTGAAGCTAGATAACAAATTGTGTCGCAGCAAATGTGCCACTTGAAGAGAGAATAAGAAACTAATAAGAGGTCGGCCGAACTTGGTTGGATGCGGGAAACTTGACAGATATGAAAGACAGGCTGGCTGTGAATGTAAAGCAAGAAGCAGATAACTGTGCATAAAATGCAAGGGCACTCGCTAGACAACGGCCTCCGGACCTCGCAAAACTGTTCGAGACCAAGCCTGGTTCTCGCTTTGAGTTGTCATTGGGGAGGGAGACGTGGAATTTCTAGGCTGATGATTGGCTTGTTGGGTCTAGAGCAATCAAGTTGTCGAAATTGGGACTGGCAGCATGTGGCGTCTTTTTGGCAGCATGCAGTTGGGGGCCCTGTCTGGGCCATCAACGCCGCTAGGCGCAGGTGACGACTGCTTCAATCCACGATGTAGATATAGATGTAGATGTAGACGTAGCGGGCTGCCTGGCAAGCGGGCCGGACCTTACTAAGGCTAGGACTTGATAGCTCCATCTCGCCAGCAATAGTTGCTGATTGTACATGAGTTCATTCACAGGGGGCTACAACGAGTCTATCAAGCCTGCCTTTTGTGAATCTTGGGCGCGGGGGCCCTGGTTTCTGAGATGTGATAGCCCTGTATCTCTGGAAGGGGGGCATGCAAGGGATGTTTGCAGTAGTTTTTAGCAGCTGGAGTTTTTCTTGGGCTGGAGAGGGAGGTCTGTGAGGTAATCCGTATACTTTCCCAAAAGCGGGGTCCTACAAAAAGGTTCGGATAGTGCACCTGGCATTGAAACGGGTTCAAATCAAAATGACCAACTCTAAAAAAAGCTCGACTTGGTTATCATCTCTGTCGTTTCATGTGTAAATTTCAGAGACAACCAGAGTACCTACGCATTTACCGAAGCCAGGCGATACTCTAATTCAAAATAATGATCAGTCTACACAGCTGGAGACAATGCTACGTCCAATGTAGCCATCGGATAGTACACTCAACTGCCTTTGGAACGCCTCAACGATCCGACCCTCCTTAGAGCGAAACAATATTGCGGGAGTGATCTTTTTTGACCGTGGTACTGCATGCGTCACCCAGTTACTGTGCATTCTTGACATGAACTTTCGCAGAATTGGCGCTGGTGCCATGCATACTACGTACAGGAATGATGGAATGATGCGGTAAGTTCTTTTGTTTTGCACCGTCAATCTTCGAGCATTGGCATCGCCAATTTCGACGACGTGGTTCATCTTTCAAGCAGCAGACACATTAAAAATTTTGCCCTTCACTGCGCTATCATGATCTCTGTCCAGCAGTGCAAAAAGAAAGAAAGAAAAAGGATTTCTTTTTAAATGAATTGACGTCATGTTATTACGAACACTGTATTTGTTGGTTGGACAGCCGCCTTTGACAGATTGATCATGCTTTATGCCAAGACAAGGGCAAGGTCTTTCACCATTCGAGCTTAATCAATCAACATTTGCGTCACTGCCAGCAACCAGGTTTGGCTGTCACATGATAACCAGACCGGCCCAACAATCAAAGCACATCACCAAAAACGGAACAGAATTCCATAGAAGATATAGTCTTGGGCAAACTGATCATGATCCACACTGACCACGGGGCACCGAATCCCTATGCTTGCCGCCGCAGAGGCTGCCTGTCATATGGCGAAGTGGATCAACATTCCATATTCGGCCTTCATCACATCTGTCGGTTGTGATTAACGGTAGTAGTCTGAGCGTTGACCCTCGAGGGGCGATTCATTTCGGGAGTGGATGACTGATGTTGTTTCTTGCTCAACTGACTACAAATTGTTTCATATGTACTGCTGTCATCTCTAACTCTTGATCTTGTAAACAATATGACACCGGTCCACAATTCAGTTGCCGAAAATCTGTAACTTTCAGACTGTAACTCTTCGCCTTCTGGCCTCTAAATAAGAACTATCGCTTTGGCGAGCAGCGGCTTGCTACACACTGCCAGCATCATGGTCGTCCCACCCACGAAAAATGATATGCAGCTGTTCAGGACCAATGACTATTCTGTTATCGACGGGGCTCATGTGGCACTCCAGACTCTTGCTACTGCATGCAATACCGAGCTACCACTCGTGTTCCAGAATCAAATGAAAGATATCATTTTTACTGCCACGACCCCTGGTACTGATACGATCTGCTTCCCATGTCCTCTCCCAGAACAAGATCTTGGTTCAGCTCTGAAAGCTATGGAGGGTTGTGTGGCAGCCATTATTGCCGATATTCGGTACGGACGTCAGGAGAGGAAAATCCACGTTGACGTAGGGAAGGTAACTTGCTTTTTGATGTCTGCATATTTGACAACCCTTGACGGCATGGGTAAAAGTGACACAAGAATAAAAGATCGGCTTCCTGGTTGGTCCTCCGTTCTTAGCCACGTACGGAACACGAGCTGACCATCAGGCATAGACACGGACCTCAACCAAGCCCAATCTATACTCTATAGGCGGTTGTCTGCCAATCTCTACGAAACACGGATCACAGGAGAATATTATCATATCCATGGGTCGCTTGATGCGACCACAACTTTGGGCATGTTGGGCTTGCCTCCTTTTGCCCCAGGCTTGACCGACTACCATGAGTGCATCAAAATCATCGAAACAGCCGTAAAAAAACATTCGACCGCTGAGCTGGAAGAACTGAACCGGCGTTTTCGTCAAGCTGGTATACCTGCATTAACGAGAGACCAATTCCTGAAAACGCGTCACGGTCAGGCTTTGGCAAATATTCCGCCTTTCACGGTCCAGACCCTGGGTAGTAGCACAACGCCTCAGCCATTTCCGTGTACGGATGCTCCAGCTGGTGTACGACGATGCCTCACAGGAATACGAGTTATAGAGCTGTGTCGCGTCATAGCTGGCCCGACCATAGGTCGATCCCTTGCAGCCCACGGCGCCGCTGTTCTCAAGGTCACCTCACCAAAACTACCTGACGTGCCTTTCTTTCAGCTAGACGTAAACACGGGGAAGCATACGATATCCCTACACCTCAAGGACTCGGACGATCGTGCCAAATTTGAGGAACTCCTATTGTCTGCGGACGTCATTATTGATGGTTATCGTCCTGGCGCTCTTGCGTCGCTAGGGTACAGCCTAGAATCACTCGCAGCAAGAGCATCAATCCATAAACGTGGAATCGTCTACGTGGCAGAAGACTGCTTTGGTGGCACCAGAGTTCCTGGCGCAGATTGGTCTTCCCGCCCTGGCTGGCAACAAATCGCTGACTGTGCAACGGGTGTCGCTTGGGAGCAGGGCTCGTTCATGGGGATCGGCGAGCCGGTTATCCCGCCCTTTCCGATTTCAGATTACGGTACTGGCATCCTCGGCACTGTGGCGGCGCTGACGGGTATCTATCGGCGAGCCACGGAGGGCGGCTCCTGGATTTGTCGCACCAGTCTTTCGCAATACAATCTCTTCTTATTGTCCCTGGGTACGCTTCCACCCGTCGTCCAAGACCAACTTCGGGAGAGCCATGACCGCGCTTTCTTCGGCTTGAGACACAGCGATAGTGTAGATGAAGTTGGTAGGCGGGCCTTGAGGAGCATGAGAAGACTGCACCCGGCTTTGTTCTCTGATGACATAATGCTGAGTGCATACAGTCCGGGCTTTGGCGGTGTCATCCGCTGGCCAAAGGAACCACTAACTGTAAGTGGCCTGAAAATCGGGCATGTAAGAACTGCGCGGCCAAATGGCTACGACTCTGCTACCTGGGAAGAATGGGAAACGGATGAGGACCTGTGAAATGTCTGATTAAGACATTCAAAGTAGTGTCTACACGATACGATCTGCAACAAATTCTTGCGCAGGTGTGGCATTTTTCTTGCTCTTTTCTAGCTCTTTTCTAGCTCTTTTCTTCTTCTGTGGCCTTATAGTCTTGTATAATTGGCAAGGACATATATATACACACTTGCCTAGTTTCTACAAGAAGGCCTACTAAAGACCCCGCGAACTGTTTTTACGGATATAATGTTTTATTCTCCGGACAATAATGACCTTGGTTAAGCTTGAATTTGTCCTAATATGTGCTGATAACAAAGGACTTCGGTACTCGCGATGACTTTTTATAATAGCGATTATTATAAGGACTTTCATTGAACTACAATATCTATGTTTTGAGATGTTCATAAATCGCGTGCAAGTTAAAGTGTGCTTGTTTACCGCAGTCTGATTTATATGTATTTAAGTAGGCACGCTTAAGCAAATGGCAGTTTATTTTGATATTAGCAAAGTCTTTCAAAAGACTACAAAAGAAATTGTGTATTAAAATAGAAACCAAATGGGAAACAAAAGCTTACTTACATGTACACACAAAAAGACAAAAAAAAAAAAAACCAAAGAAGAAAAAAGGTATTGTCCCCAGCTCAGTTGAACTGAACTGGGCACCTTTGGGAATTGAAACCCGACCAGGAGCCGCCCATGGGTGCGAAAGCACCCCAAACTACCACTGCACCACAACGAGTGGGACTTGTGCCCCAGGGCTCACAGTGTACCCACGCCGGGGACTGGTTGATAGCAACTCATTCAATAGGTATTAAGTAGTTGTGGTATCACATCTTCGATGGCGGAATAACGTTGGCTGAGCGTTTGGCAGGCTGGCAGGCGACCCTGCAATGGTAACCGACGTCATCATGCATTGTGAGACTTCGTAAGTCAGTAGATGTGTGTTCGAGTTCACATAGCTACATCTAGGTATCGCTATGGCGTTGCTTGCCACTTATATACATTAGGTTCAAGCCTTGCACTGCACTCGCACCCAGAGCTCATCAACACATCACCAAACTCACCATAGCAGCGGATCGTTTCTCGATTCTCTCGACACTGTTGACCATATTGGTCTCAAGCTCTTCGACGAGAAAAACGGGAATGGTGGAGGTTGAAACGGTTAGCCGGTCGACAAATCTAGGTAATATGTTGTCTTTAATGGAGTGAAGTATGCCCTATCGGTGCTGTTGTAAAGAATAAGGTGCATTCACCGTCCCCCCTTTTCTTCTTTTTCTTCCTCTTTTTTTTCTCTCAAAAGGATAAAAAAAAAAAAAGGAAGAAGGGGGGAGGGGGGGGGGGGGGGCAGACAAATTCGCAATCATCTCAATCCTGTCATTACCAGTGATTGCATATCAAATTTTGTAGGCTCTCTTGAAAAGGTATTTCATCCAGAAGATTTGCACGCCGTTTCAATGCTTGGTCTCTTTATAACTTTGACGTCTACCTAGACACGAGTCATATAAAGCATTTAAGTAGTAAATCGTAAAGCAAGGAAATCAGGTTTCAATCATTGCGACTTGAAGATGCTTGACTTGGTTGTTTGTTTGGGGAAAATAACCTTCCCTCCCTTTCAATAAGCGTGCAATTTGTGAGACGCGGCAACCGGGCGGCCGCAGGTAATGAGGGCCATACAACTGGTTCCGAAAACATCAATATCTTTGTTCATGACACTTGTCGTACACAGCTGCTCGCAATAAACATAAGTTCTACCCAAGACAACCACAATTCGCATCCTGGACTTACTCCCCGGAGAAGACGACAATCCCACCAGATGCCAGATTCATGTCGTCGTTCTACAACACAGTCCAGACTATGAAGCACGGTAGTACGTCTAGGGAGACCAATCAGGAACCATCAAGATCGAGATCTTCGAACAGAGGCCGTTGGTGATTCCAATAAGGGAAAGTCTAAACGATGCCCTTGCTCGTCCCCGACGGCACGATGTAGATAGAGCACTGTGGGTTGACCAATTACGTATCAATCAGAATGACAACCAAGAAAATCTTGATACAAGGCAAGCTTATGCGTAATATGTACTCTGATTGCACATCAGCCTTGGTCTGGCTAGGTGGGATTCGAGAAGGTAATATAGAGCTGGTGGACGCGAAATCATTCGTTAGCTACATCAGGTAACTGGCAAACGCCAGACCTGGCGGGGACCATACTACTATCTCATACTTCCATGTGGAAACACCGACATGAAGTCAAGGGGCGTACTCAGCATTGGTGTCCATCACTCCGCGGCATTGTCCCTGGTGGACTCATGTATGGACAACCCAAGAAGCTGCACTCGTTTGGGTCCGCTGATCAAATCATGGGAACCGATCACTTAGGCATGTCAAATTTAGAGATTCGAAACATCGGGGAAATCCTTCTAGTCCAACCCACCTTGCAGGACAATTTCTCGAGAGTTTCCTTATTTTGATGAACTTCTTGACACATCTCCTATCTTGTACGAACAAACCATAACCCAGAGAGAAAAACTTTCGATCCACTAACCGGATTCTCGTAAATCAGCCTCAACCTCTAACCCGCATGCCGCGATGGCGAGCTTTTCCCGAGACTGCTACATAGTATGCATGAAAAAGCCTCACTTAGTATATGTGACAACCAAGGAGGAGGGTTCGAGTAGACTGCTTTTGGGGGATCCTCAGATGAAGACGCCAAGGAGATCGACGGATCCAAACCAACAAAAAACATCAATCAGAGCGATGCTAGAACCGTTATGGATGTATTAACTGATAGAATGTAGAGCTCGGATGTGGAGCTGAAGTACCTTGTTCTGAGTGATCAAATGTATTTTTTGATCGCTTGGCAAGGGCTTCTTGGACTTGAGAAGGACAAGGTCTGGATTTTCAACATGGGGCCCATCCCGTTTACATTGGGGAAAAAAACGAAAGGAGGCACATGATTGACTGCGACTTCATTGGCGCAATCTGTGTCCAAGGAATTATGCGTTATTAATGATTCAGGTACCAAGAGTCGAAACCAGTAGAGCAGAAGATCCATCTCCACTAGTCTAATTATTTGCAAGTCCAGGAGTTCTCATTAAAATACGGCCTGCTGGCCCGGTTCTTGAAAGTGGCCATTAATCGAATGCAATTTTATCTCCCAGTCTCAACTTCGACTTCTCAATCATGCTCTCACCACCCCTCACCATACTGGGTGCATTTTCCAGTGCCTGCCACCGCCTTGTTCGCGTCCAAGCAATCTATGTACTGCTGCTTGCACCGCAACGCCGCACTCTCGTAGCTCTCTGAAAACCTGTCAAGCGTGCGTCGTTTGGGCCTTTCGGGAGCGGCATAGTCTCGATGGCGGTTCTTGCGAGCGCTATAGTATCCGGTGCCGTAGCTCTTGTCGCCGGACTTGCCGTTGGTCTTGCAGCCCTCGGCGTAGACGCCAAGGCAGTCGTTGTATTGCGCCTTGCACGCCTCTGCGCACGCCGTGGGGCATTTCGACCTCGGATACGATGGACAGGTCTTGCTGTCGGACTCGGTGTAGAGCTTGAAAACGTTGCCGGACCTGTAGTCGGACTCGAGGTTGTTACAGGTCACGACTGGCAGTTTGATGTCGCCAACCGGGTGATCTGTGTCGTACCCGTACTTGGAATTTACGGGTTGCTTGCAGACACCTGTTGGAGTCGGCACGGGGTAGCTGGATGTCGGTTTGCTGGAAGTGGTGCTCGAGCTTTTGGTGGATGTAGTCTTGGTCGTCGTGCAGGGATATACTGAAGTTGAGGTGGTGCCAGGCTTGCTATTGGCCGGGGGGATTTCCTTGAAGCACTCGGATTTGCCACCGCAAGACTTCCCTTTACTACAGCTACCGGTGCAGTAGTTCTGTATGTCACCACACCACTCCAGGAAATTAAAACAGTCCATAACATCGGGCCATCCTGCGTGACTGAAGCAGCTGGTCACTTGGAGAGCACATGAAGACCAGCCAATCAGGCAGCTAGTACTGTCATTCCAATCAGGTAGCGGAGTCGAGCACCATTTACCACATTTGTATTCGCAAGTCGGGGGACTAGTTGTGGTAGCAGTGCACAACGGTACCGTTACGGTCGAACTGGTGGAGGTTTTTGTAGTGGTGGTAACTGGATATGTCGTTGTTTTGTAGGACCCAGTGCTCAGGGTGGAAATCGACGTCAAAGGCCTGTCGCTGGACGTCGTTATCGAGGAGAATGTAGTGCTGGAAGTTATTAACGAGGAGAGTGTTGTGCTGGAGCTTGTAGAGGCCGTCGAGGAGCTTATAGGAGGAGGCTCGTAACCACAGGGCTCCAAAGACAACAGGTCTTTCGCAACGTAGAGTGTCAAACGATCCGGGCCGCCACAGATTTGGCTGGGATTGCCGTTGCAGGACATTGCACATTCGGCAATGTCCGCTTGAGCAGTCTGGTTTCCCAAAACGACACCACAATAACATTCTTGACCATACTCGGTGCCAGCAAATGGGAAGCCACCTGCAAGACATGATGCGAGGCATGTTTCAGTAGTCACATCTCCAGGGGCCAGCTCTTGTTTATAGAAGAGAGCCTTGCCAAGCGTGGAACTATCGGTGTAGCATCCAAGAGCGACATATTCCTCTACTGTCGTTTCATTGACGGGAAGGAATGTAGGATCCTGGTAGATGTTGATCTGCGTATTTCCTCCACATGTCTCATTGCTGTTGCCGTCGCAAGGCAAGGAACATTGATCATTGTCGACCAGAGCTCGATCGACAGTCTGGCCGCAGTAGCAAGATCCATACCAAGCTAGTCCTGCATAGCGAAAACCATTACCTGGTAGTTCCACAGTCAGTCTCAACAGTTGATCGATATGCCGTGTATTACTCTCTTCAGAGCTACCCACTCCAACTGACGAAGCGACTTACCTTTACATTCAGCCACGCATATCTCGGTCGTCATCCCCGTGACGGGTAGGTCGGTTTTCATGGACAGTGCTTCCTTTTCACCTGTTTGACCGTTGTCGAAGCATCCAGCTGGAACGAATGGTTGGAACTCATCTAGGCAGGGTGGTAGTTCGTTATACCATGCGTAGCTCTTGTTGACTAAGCTGAATGCCGCGATAGCGGCCAGGATTCTAGGTGTCATCATGGCAAACGATATCTGCTAATTTGTTGACAAGTCAACAAATGATAATCAGTCAATTGTAGTTCGGAGAGTTGCCTCTATCACTGACCCCTCGACATTGTTGCAAAACATTTCCGAAGCACACGTGTTTATATAGTCAATTAAAAAATATCAAATCCAGTACCTAACCATAAGCAATTGAACACTATGAGGGCTCTTTGCACCTGTGCCTGCCATGCAACTGCCGAATCGAATGAGTGTCATGCTCGTGGCGTTCAGGTGAGGCCGCTGTAGAATGTGCTTGCCTGCGGGCAACAAGACGCATTGTGGTCCCAAATCAGCAATGGCTTGAGAAACACCAGCATATAGTTGATATTACTACCTAGATGTGCGCTTCAGATCCCGGAATATTTACTCTGAAGGCAATAAGCTTAATTTTGATTGCCAGATTAAGCAGACTGGACGTCTCCCCGCCTGGACATGCAGGGGAACTACCGGGGTGTAATTATTCTGTACCCCATTAGGTCTTGCAGCATCTTCCAGGTTCCAACGACATTTATCTGCAAGCCACAACAGCCTCAGCAATAGTCGAAGCCATCACATTCTATATTGCTGGCAACGAATCCTACATAGGGGTAATATTTACTACTTGTGTACGTAAGTAAAGCTTAATGATAAATTTAGGAATAGGCCATTATTGGCAGGGGTCTTCCGTACCACTATCGTGTCGACCTGCTCGCTGCATTCAAGATCGCGGCCTGGCCAGACCAGACAGTGAACATTTTGAAAACGGAGTATCATTTTGTCCATAATATTTGTACGGCAAGAGCATAACCCACAGTTCTGTGCCGCAGACTTTTACGGCACTGATTGCCTTGATACCGTATATAGTGCGTTGTTCGTGAACGGTATGCAGGATGGGATCTTTTGGGTCGCCAAGCGGCTACTGAAATACGAGAAGAGCGGAGCAATAGTTAGTATGCACGATCCAATATGAAAAGGCGGGCCAAGGTGCACGTGCAATCAGCCGCATCGAATGTGCTTGAGTGCCGATTTTTCTCTGTTAAAAAAAACCCCCCAAGTAAAGACGGAACACATGACCTCTGACAGACCGCAAGAAAGAAACCCGCCTTCTCAAGCAGAGCTATTTTGGGTATAGAAAAGCTTGAACATCTGCCACATGGCGTGTTCTGTGTCGCCTGTGCTATATTCGTCCGGACCGCTTTACAGTGCTCGGAGGCTCACGCGCTATGCACCAATTCTCGCACAGCAAGTGGAGCAGATACTTCCAGGCATTCCGTTGTGCCTCCAAGGACGGAGCACAGTTTGTGAATACTGGGCGCCAAGGTGGTTTTGACAACTATCGTCATTGACGCATTCTCGAAAGACGCCGGAGAGTTTCACGAATCCAAGTCAAGTCGCTGTAAAGCTACGCCGACGGAAGAATGCGATCAGACCATGCAATTAAGATCTCATCATCTACACCAGGTGCCTGTCAAAAATGCACATGATAGGGCTGGCCAGGGTTTATTGCGACTCGAAATTGCTAGAAGACGTGATGCTCGTATTTGTGCTGGGATTAATGAAGGTGTATTTCAAAGACAATAGGAGACCATGAGCTAAACCTGATGTAGGCTGATTTTAACTTGTTAGGAGCACCCGACCCGAACCATTGATTTGCACGCTTATTCATAATAGAGTTAAAAAAAAACTTGTGGATTCCACCAAATTCTTTTACCATGCCATTTCCTCTTGGGTTAGTTCAACATCTTACCTTGTCCTGCAATAAAGTGCAATAATGGTAAGCAAGGCGCCCAGTGCTCACGTCTTAACGCCAAGTATCGACCATGTAAAAATTTAGAGTTGATTAGGCAGACACTTGACCTGAACTCAGAAATCGGCAGGGTCTGGAGGCATTTATCACAGTAGTCTAGCGCGCGGCACGTATCCTGGAGACACTGTGTCGTGCTGACCAGAAATTTGTCGCTCTGTGATCGAATGCGAACTTGTAGTTGACAATTCGAGCCGCTCTCTGTCATACCAGTTGTTGAGTCCAAGAAACCGAGAAGCGACAAGGGCTCAAGGAAAACGTTACTTCGGAGCCGAGCGTGTTAGTAGCACGTCTGGCCTGACCGGGAGAAGCTCGGACGTTTTTCTTTTCAACGAGAAGGGCTTTCGTAAAGCACGGGCCGCCTCTTGGGTATCTCGCAATATCTGTTCCGACAGCCAACAGTTCAACGGAGCGGAGTCCGGAGTACGAAGTCTACTGTGGACAACAACCTCGCAATACCCGTATTCGGATGACTATGATCCATCAAGGCTGCCGCTCGTCAGGCAAGCATCGTCGATTTGTTAAAGTGGTCCCTCGCGCCATTATGCAAACCAGCACGGCACGACATTGATGTCATAGATCGTGACTCTACGAAGCGAATCGGAGTCTTGGGGGTTGGACACCACTTACATATGCACTCAAGGAAGCATTCAGGGGAGAACGATACTGATGTTATGAACAGATGCAATTAAACCTTGGTTGAAGATGCTTCACAATATTTACAAGGAAATGATATCTAAGCGTGTCGTCGCTGATTGGTATCTCTAGACATTAACTTTTGATGCTGCCCGTATGCTGCTCGTAGCCGACCTGACGTGACCCTTTTTAAATCTCTTTAACGCCGAACTCAGAAAGAAAGAAGAAACCCCTTTTAGACGGGGCTGTAAGCCCAGCTGTTGCCGTTGGACCTTTCCTTGTCAGTCGCATGGAAGAAGGACGCACCATCACCGCTGATGCGAGGCGTAGGAGGTCCCGACATGCGCCCCGAACCCGATGCTTGAGTGGCAAAGTCGGTGTGCGAAACTCCTAGATGCGAAAGTCTGGTGTATGTGGCTTGAGGTCTGGTTGGGTTGGTTGGGGATGGTGGGATGGAGTCGACCTCGCCAGGGGTATAGCTCAGTCTATTGTTGCGGACTTCCACCGTGGTGGTGCGAGTCTTGTCATCACCCATGTGCGGGAGACCATGTGAAGTGTAGGTAGAGGAGCCTGCGCCGGAGCTCGAGGTGGAACTGCTTGGCGAAACTCCGAGCTTCTTCTCGTTGACATCGTCCTGCTCATCGACCTTCATAGCAACCTCCACCGCACGAGCATCTTCAATGATCTTGGGGTGACGCTTGGCGAAGTACTTGGCGTACTTGTACAACGACCAGTAGCAACTTGCGACGTTGACGAGAGTAAGAATTAGCTTGTAGGGCATGTAGTAACAGATGAGCACGGTCCAACTGATGCGTTCTTTTCTCAGGCGCAAATGTACCTCGTTGAAGATGACAACGTTGAGCAGATACAAGACGACCGTGCCGGCAAGCAGATATCCGCAGAAATCAGCACGAACGATGAAGGAGATGGGGAGAATGAAGGGCGTGAATAGGTAGAGGAGGGTCTCGTAGACCTCCTGGAAGACGAAAATCTTGGCGCCAATTTCCCACCAGCCGAGGTTCCAGCTCTTGATGATGTACTTCATGTTGTAGTACATGCCGTTGACAAAGAAGAAGTTCCAGCGCATAAAACGTTGCTGGAAGATGGTCATTTCACCGAAACCACCACGGGCGCCTCCACTGCTGAAGAACACTGCGTTGGGTGTCTCAGTCTCGACAAAGACAGATGAGCACATGACAATACGACCTCCAAGGCGGCGGCAACTGTCTCCGAAAAACCAATCCTCTGAAACTGAGTATCCGGGGTGATCGTTGAAGGTCTTGATGAGAAATTTGCGGTTCCAGAGGGAGATGGCGCCGTGAGGGAAAGTAGCACTACCGACTTTGCCTGCGAAAGCACGCTGAAGACCTGAAAGCTTGTACTCAAGATCTTGGGCTTGCTGACACCAAGTACCCTTGGATGAGTTGGGACCGACACTCTTGATGGTGTAACCGACACTTTCAACGCCGCCAGTGAGTCTGTCACTGACGACGGGGAAGTTCGGAGGGAGAGCACAATCATCGTCAATAAGAAGAACATTCTCGAAGCGCTTGGCCTTGTAGCAACCAACATATTGTGCAACAATCTTGGAACCAACGCCAGACCAGACATGTTGAACACCGTAGCGAGCGCAGACATCTGCGGTGTTGTCGAGAGGAGTTTCCGAGTTACCGTTGGCGATGACGAAGATGTGAGAGGCAGGGAAGATTTTGAGAGCTGCTTCCAGAGTTGGTCCAATGATGTTTTCCGACTTGTAGCAGGGAACAAGCAAAGCAGTGTTGTGAACTCCTGGAATGGTGGTTCTGTCAAAGTCGTCGGGACGATCAATCATAGGAGGTTCCTTCTCAAAGAGGATCAGGAGAGGGGCAAAGGCATAGCTATACTCCTGTCAGTCTCGAGTATCACGTGATGGATGAGGTTCAGAATGACTTACAGGACCGCGATACCAATGGTGATGGACCAGCCACCGGTAATGACGAACTTGGTGGAGACAACCCAGTATAACCAGTATACAGCTCCCTTCCACAAGGGCATACCGACCAGAACGAAGTAGATGAAGCAAATTAGGATCAGGTAAATCGTGTACTCGAAGAGTACCTGGACCCATTTCTTGCGCTCGAGTTCGGCGCCTCTGATTTTAGCCTTCTCATACACATCAACGATACTGGATCGTCTTGCCCTGTTCACGACACTGCGTGTTCTGTCCAAGACGGCATCAGGAACGACAGCTCTGACGATGGTCTTGACAGTGCCACTGCGTTGGGGGACATGAGTGGGTTCAGGATCTTCTGCATAGTAGTTGCTTGACGAATCGCTCTCCGCCGTCTTGGATCTCCTGTTGTTATCCCAGTGGAAGTTGTCGAAAGAGGTGGCGGCTGAGTTGGTAGAGTGATGTGCCGCCTTAAACCTGCCCAAATCTTCCCGCGATGTGAAGGCAGAAGACCTTACGGAGTGAGCCTCTTGTAATGTGATAGGGTCGCTGGTTTTCCTGAGCCTCCCAACCAAAGTGGGTGTTCGCTCGAGCACTGGCTCGTCGTAAGTAGAACTTCTACACCGTCCAAGTTTTTGAAGGTCTATTTGTGCTTGTTGTTGTTCGAGATCTTCTTGCTGTTGAGCCTGGACGGCTTGGGGTCTCCATTCCTTGTTAGGATTCCTCGTTGACATAAGCCGTTGGGGGACGAGGACGTTCGCCACCTTGACGGACTCCTTGCGTGTCAACCCCATTGTTGCTAGTTGCTGTCCTGTCCAATATGAATCGTGTTTTTATAAATGTTGAGTTAAGTGTCTAGCGAGGGTGTTGGGAGTGCGCGGTCTTGCAAAGTATTGCGATGATATGCGTATATGAAGCAGCAATCACCGACGAATTAGAGTTTATGATTGGGCGTAGAAACGAATGACAAGGGGGTGCGATAGCGAGCGACTGGAGAAAGAATCCTAAGATATAATTCACAAGGGAAGGAAAGATCTGAGATCGAGACCATGCTGTAGATATTCCATCAGTCCCGAGTCCCAAAGCACGATCCAGCCAGCCGGTCTAGCTCCATGTTCAGCAAATTTCGGGCACCCCATCATCATCTCTGCGCATGTCGCCTTACAAGACGGAAGTCGAAAAGACATTTGTCAAGGAAATGGTATGACCTCGCACCGTTCGGCTTGGGGGCAGGCCAATCCTGGCCAGCACATCAAGGTACCCCCCATATTACGCAGAATCTTACGTATAGAAGCCTGTACATTCCATGGACTGAGGTGACCAGGGGGATGATGTGTGCTTCAGGTCAAATATCCTTGTGTACCGTTTTAGTCGGCCGGTACCTGAAAAGCCACGCCGTTTGCGCCAGCATCGACAAGTACCATACATACGGGGAAACCCATGCGCTTAGTCTCGTCGGGTTCGACCTTGACTAGAACTGGCATAGCCGCGCACGTTATGAACCTAGCCATCCACAAATCGTGGAACCGCTGGTCCGCAGTAAGCACACTGGCTCGTACAGAAGAAAAAATCTACAACTGCCCCAGTTTTCGTCACCTCCTCAAGCGGCGCAGCTGGGGCGTGCGCTACTGTGTTACTCGGGTGGGGCTTACGAAATCACATCAATCGGGGCTAACTATGCGTGCGATCAGGAACAGGTGTCCGCAGATCCGGTTCGGAGCGGTTGTGTTGCCTCTCCCGCTAACCATACTTGTAGTGGGCTGAGTTTGGCTGCTTTGGCTTTGGGCTTTGGGCTTTGGGCTTGGGCTTTGGCCTTGAATACGGTACTGGCCCCTGAGTACCTCTCCTCCAGACGAAGTCTCCAAGTCTAGGGCCGTCCGAACTCTAAAGCAATCACACTTGAAAAGCCTGGGTCAGGCCAATATCAATGAGGGACGCCTCCTCGTGGCTGCCACGCCGAGCTATATGGAATGGAAAGTTGTCTCACCTCATCATTTCATTTCATGGTAAAACATTCGAGAAACGAATCACCTGGAAATACTTGGCGCCGGCGGGTATGATTGGATCTCCCTTGGAAGTTGGAACGGCCACGTTGAATAGCATTCCGAAATACTACAAAGTACATATTAATTCTTCACGAACACTGACGTCAAGGGACAATTTTTTTTAACAGAGTTCCGCTACGTTGCTCACGCTAGAACGGTCCTTGACTCGTCAGCCCAATCATATAACTATTCCACCATCTGCCTAGGCGCTCCACTTAATACATACGAGTAGCAAGCAAGGCAAGGTCGCCATCTGGGGAACGAGAAGCGAGGACCGTGTATAAAGGAGATTTTCCAGGGTCAACCCCTCTAAGCTGTTTCGACTCATGGAGTCTGGTACGAATACTCACCATCCGCATCTGATCTTTTACGGATTCCGGTCTACGAAAAGGAAACCATGTTACCCGAGGACAAAGCTCGGAACGAATAGGTTTCAATTGAATTGAATTGGAATGAGGAATGGCTGTTTGGCTCTGCTTGACCATCGAGTCCTCAATCATACCTGAGCGGTCTGGCACGGCCTCATACTGTAGCTGATCTCTTTTCGAAACGGCTTGATCATTAAATTTGTTCTGCCTGAAGTCCGCCTAGTCCTTTGAGTACTTCAGCACACTAGCTGAGTTGCATCTTCTGTTCTATTGACGAACTATCGTGAACAACCCCATAACGGGCCTCAGGCCACCCGAACGCACCTTGCCAGAAGTCCAGATGCACACAAAATAAAAATAAAATGACAAGCACCAATCATAGGCCAGACCCAAGGCACGCAATTTTTAGCAGCATTATACAATTCGTGCTGGCTTATGGTAAACATATGCAGCCGAAATTGCTTGTGTCTGCGAGATCCTCACTCTACCAGGTAACTGTTATTATTATGCACGTTCGGCGTGCCGCATTGGATCACGGCTTTCGCCAAGTGCCGCATATCCAGAGTGCCACATAACTTATGTCAGATTTTACGCTACGTAGTAGCTAGCAATACATAGTCGCTATTATTACTCCCTTCAGCGGGCCTCGCGAGTTCGTATTGATCATCACGACCAACATCGTCATCATCATCATGATGTTGTGTTTCCATAAATTAAGCAGCGAAAATCTTTGCACATCCAGGACTGCACCACTGGTGCGGATAGTCTGACAGAACATGCAGTTTATTGAACTATAAAGGCCGAAGGGAGCGACGGTGCAGGATGAGGTCCATTGAAGTCATGCTTGCAGCAATGTTCTAGACAGCCTTTGCCGCCCGGAGGCACGGAAAGTTCACGGATCTTAGTAAAAGGTCGGCGATCTGGGCAACATGCATTGCAATGCCTTGATTTCCATTCCGACGAAAGTTCCGGATCCGTACAGACCATCCTCTCCAATGACAACATCCCGGAAGCCTCAGGCTTGAGGACGAAAAGCTTACTCGATCACGACGAAAGACGTCAACTCACGAGCATGCACGACATGGAGTGGTTATTGCAATCCTTCGCCCAGGTAGTAACATCTTCCGGAACCGCGGCATAGTCGTTTTGTCCACAAACCATTTGTTTTGTCCACAGCAGCTGAAGAGATCAGCGCTGATCCAATCTCCCTGCTACATTCTACGTATCCATGATGGCGCAACCTACGCCTGTTCACAATCAATAATATCTCGTAACACCGAGCCGAAAAGAGATTCACAATGCAACCGCTGCTGAATACTCGCGCGCAGGTTCACTCTAGTCTGGCCGGGACTATTCAAACCACCTTTCATACCCTTTTCGCGATGCAGGACCACGACGCATTTTCCACTAAGTATGCTCCGCTAAAAGGATTTGCCCCCTGAATGCTTCAGGTTAAGCCACGTTTTAACCCTCGAATGCGCGCAATCCATCTTAATTTTTTTTAAGCCCTTTTCCATCGTCTTCTTGTATGTACCGTGTAGAGAAACAAATCATCGTGTGTGCACGTCGTTCCTCCGGGTGCTTGGCATAAACAACAAACGGTGCGGTCGGACTAATTTTCTTTAGCGGCCGCCAGAGCAAATGTCGCACGCATCAGGAGCCTCCCCAGGTGCAGCCGCCCCAGTCAGTGGCTTTGTGGCATCGCAGCTTATTATTTTTAGTGCTAGAGTGTAACAGTATGGCGTTTGCCGGGCGCTACCGCGTTAGAGCGCGCCACATTCTTCGAAAATTTCCGACGAAATCTAGAACTGCTGTCTAAGCATTCCCCCGGGTAAATCAATCCATTGAGGACATACAAAGATGCCGTAAACAGTAGAAGCAGAAGTAAGTGTTGTCGTATACTCGGCACGCATAGTGTAATAATAGCAATAATAAACAGTCAAGCTGAATGTCGAAGATCGAAGTAATTCCTCAGTGTTTTTCGGTCTCGTATTTTGCTTGTGCATTTGATTGCGCCCAGGTGTTCAACCAAGTCGCCAAGACTTGCCGGCCTGGCGACGAAGCACTGGCCTTGATGATCAAATCCTCGACTCTAGACTAGACGCTATCACCACGCTTCAGTGCACAAGTGTCTGCTAGGCTGCGCAATATTGGTCATTCCCTTCGATCCAGAGGCAGCCGTCGACTCTGTATTATGCTAATGTGTGCTAAAAATTGTAATTTGGGCGTTTGGCTGTGGTTACATTGAGCAGACAGACAGAGCTGCATGCAACAGTAAGCCGCGTGGGATCGTTGCGGTGAATTCAGCCGTGGAGCGTCCGCGTGTTGTAAACTCAAAAGTTTCCCCTCATATCCAACGAGTCTCTCTAATTAGGCTTTGAGGCAACCCCTTGGAGCCATGGGACAATTCCAGGCTCATGTCCCCTTCGACACCCATGTAATCACATGTTGCCGGACTGAAACTCTAGGGACTAGCAATTCCATAGACATGCCTTAGACTCGCCGTACCTGCTTCTCTACGTCCCATACTCCGTGTTGCTAACCGGGATCTGGGGACCTGCAGTAAACATGTCTCAGACCCCTTTTCCCCGAATCAAAGGTGAAGTCAACGGGTCTCGATTGCTTCTCCGTTCGAATGTCCCTGCACGTCGACTCGTGTCCGGCTCTGAAGCGGAGCTCAACCCAAAGATCGGTTGAAGAAACTTCAGCGAGCCCATATGCTAACGAGTGCCGGACGTGATGATCATGAATCCCCAGGTTCCAGTCAGGTTCTGCTGAAGAGCGCAAGCAAAGCCAAGTCCCGTGACTGGCCAGGTATGCGACCCCCCCAAAGAAACATCGCTGAACGATGGATTAGTGATGGTCTGTGGCCAAACGCCAATGCCCTTCGTTCAGCTTAGGAGCATCGCCGCTTGTTCTCTTCGGCTGAATCCCATATGTTCGTGTCTCGATGGCGATTTGACATATTGGCTCTACATACCTAATCGAGTTTCCCCGAGATCACCGCACGTCTGTTCAGAAAAGCCACACTCGCGTGTAAGAGCAGCGAGTTTTGCCTCGATCCTCCCGACCGAGAAGCGCGGCGACTAGGGCTCTTTCCATGGCGTCGAAAATTGCAAAATGACTTGCAAACTACGTCATCAACAAATACTCCGTGAGGGGATCTATCTACCTGCATGAGCGCGCACCTCGGGCAGCACCGCAAGTGATGTATGATGTCCCTTAACGTGATATAGTGGTCGACTGCCTCGGCCTGTCCGCGGTAGGCGCATGGAGATGCGCCCCTCATCAGTGTGATGGGACGTTGAGTTTTCTCCTCCACACCACCAGGATGAGAAACGGGTTTGCCATGTGTTCATTATGTGACGCCACGGATACCGACAGCGTGGAAGCTCTTTCGGCTATGACAAATGCGAAGAAGAAAAATTCATCGGTATTTTACCCACAATAAAGAAGGTGAACCCGATTAACTTCAAGATCCAGTGAGACATGAGGGTCTATCAAAGTGTGATAGCAGGGTACTGTACTTGGAATGAGTAAGACATCACGCTAGTGCGTCATGTCTCGGGATTTCTCTATTTCCTTCAGCTGTCTCGGAGGGCTGGGCTTCGCGCGCTGCAGCCTCAGTCTATAATTCGATTTAAACGACATTTGGTAAACTGCGACCATGGCGATCTCTAATCGCTGTCACCGGTGAGGTCAACAACCTCGGCAGCCTTGCGTTTCGTGCCGGCCAGTGGAGGTACTGGGGGCAGCCGGCTGGCTGGTGCTCGAGTATAAATGGAGCTTTGCGTTGACGAGCGTTGCGCCGAGTCATATTTTGCTAATTCAGACGACGGTAACGACGGCACATGAGCGATTCCACCGGCCCGTGCAATTTCAGCCTGGAGGCGCGCGACCTCTTCGTGGATGTTCCTAGATGTCAGTGTGAATGGCGCGCTGGGAGATTTTGGTACTGGTGACGTAGAAGGATGCATATGCGAAAGGCTGTATCTGGAAAGGGATGAGGTGGCAGCGTGTGGTCTCGGGGTAGTGAGCCGTGAAGATGAGGCCGACAGGCCCAGATTCGGATGAGCAACATTTGAAATGACGCTATTGGCTGGGTTTGAGGTTTTGACACGACCAGCTGTTCGCACCTCGGACACTTGCCTCATGGAGGTGATTTTATCATATCTGTCAGCTAACAGAAGTTTCAACTTTTCCTGGTCGAAGGCAGAGATCTTGTTCTCCGCTGTTAGCCTTCGCTCAACCCAGGCTACAAATTTATTATCGTAGGGCTTGGTCGTCTTGGTCACGACCAAGGTATAGGGTGTGCGTCCGCGTTCGGTCACAATGCTGTAGTACCCCATACCATAGTTCAGCTTCTGCACCAAGTGTTTCCTCCGCTTCTCGGCCATGCAGTAACGGTCAGACTGAGCTGAGGAGTCTTCCAAAAACCTGTTCAGAGTTTGGCAGTCTAGGCAGATGCAACCTGTTACGGTCCGACGCGTCCAATCACCCGCTTGTGGTTCTATGCCTACATATTTGCCGACATACGCTTTCAACAAGGCTTGGAATATGCGTTGATAGCGGTCTGTCTGCAACGAGACCTTGTGCGTTTCGAGTGAAATCAAGAGGCCTTCCAAGATAGGAATGTACAGTGGGTTGAATTCTTTGAAATTGACATTTTTGGCATCACGACTGAGCTTATCAGCCAAAAGCTCCAGATGTTTGTCCATGTCAAACTGGAATAGACTTTCGACAAAAGCTGTGAGTGCATCATGTTCCATGAACAACGCCGACGGTTTCAATTCTGGCTTTGCCACGGTAGAACCCATCATGTAATGGTCCTGCTGGAGTTCACTTTCTTCGCAAGCCGTTACGGTAGAAAGATTCATAGCCTTGATGGTGGACTCGGCAAAAGTCTTATAGACAGCCAAGCCTGCATCTCGTGCAATTTGTCCGCAGCTGATTGCCTGACGTAGCATTTTCAGGAAGCTAAGCATGAAAGGTGTGTAGCTGCTGTTTTCTAACAGCGGTGTGAGGCTTCGATAGATCAGCGCGGGTGATCCAACGTAGAGAAGTCAGTAATACATACTCATCTGTGATGTAGTCGAAGTTCTTGTGATACCGTGCTAGCTCAAAGACGGCTGGCCCATCTTCCTTGTAAAGTACAATGGTTTTACAAGATTCGAGAGCTTGTTGAGCAGCAGATATGATAATATCCTGCAAAATATCTGAGGCAGCCTCCTCGATTGTGTTGAGCTCTAAGATAACATCATATTTGAGGGAAATACGCGGTTGTGCCTGAATTGATGAGCACAAGCTGCGGCCATCATTAGTAATATTCCTCATCACAGCCGTCAGTAGCAAAGAATACTTACACTGTTTTCAACTTGTCCAATGGAACTTTCTGCCTGTCAAGATCTTTCGCAGCCCAGACGAAAAACGCCGTGGGAATTGGCTCTTTGTTTTGTGCCAGGGTGAGTTCAAGTAGCTCCCGTTGATCATGCATCAATGAGATTTTGAGTACTGCGCAAAGCAATGAACCTGTGATACTCTGTCGAGAAATTACAGGATAGTATGACTCTGTCCCTGGCTGCAATAGTCGCTGGCATAATGACACGCAAGCTTTCAGTGCAGTTTCCTCTACCGTAGGTAAGAGGCAGCGGCGGACATACCATGTCGTTAAATGCACAATCTCGTCTTGGTCAAGAGAGATATAAGAATAGGATCTAAATCCTTTGGATAAGAATGCGAACGTTCCTTGCGATGGCACAATCACCAGAGCCTATAAACAAACAGTCATTAAGCTTGCACAGGCGCAATTTCTAGTCTGGGACGAACTTACTGCTTTTCTGTACCAATGTGTAATATCGGGCCCTGAGTTTCCCATATAGCCCTCGTATTCTTCGTCGTCAGGGTCACCTTCGAATATGTCCCACGTATCTTGAAGAATATCTTCTATGTCAATGGCGAGCCCTGACACAACCTGGTTGCCGTGCAGATCGAATACAGTTTTCAGGCGATAGTCCTCTCCATAGACTTCGTCCATGGAGTGATGCCCTTCATCATCACCACCGTCGCTCTCTTCCTCAGAATTTTCTGAATTTTCGCCGTATCTTCCATACCTGGCATACGTACCGTATCTATCGTAAGATCCATCATCTTCCGTAGACCCTCTCTGCTCCTTCTCCAGAGTGGCAAGGAACAAGTCAAACCCCTTTTCTTTGCATATTCCTAGCAATCGCTGAGTCATCGTCTTATCCTTCATCTTGAGCCCTTTCAAAGATATGCTGGCTTCGGTGTACTCGTGGGCAAAGCAGTAATAAAGCGGGGAATGAACATCTCGTACGCCATTGACAATCGTGCCAAGCCACTTCTTGAGTAACACTTCCATAGCATCTTCGAACAAAGCATTTTCCTGAAGCGATGCTGCTGATGGAATCTCCTCAGCTGGGTTGGTGGCCAGGTTATAGGTCAAAACCCAGCGGTAACCCTCAGTCACCGGAAGTACCTCGTATGAAATGTTCGAGTACCTGCAAGTAAATCAGTATCTTCTTTGCATTTTATCGATCCAATACAAACCAGCACACGAAAGACATGTCTGCAGTCGAGGTTTTGATTGATTTCTCCTCTCCGCCGTGCTTAAGAACGACGTCTCCACCCACGTGAGGTGAAGGCAAACTGATAACCAATGTGCCGAACATGCCTGGGATCTTTTCTGTGCTTTGAGTCTTTTAGCACTTTTCCCCCTAATAATTACCATTGAGATGCAGGCAAAAACGACTTACTCTGTATGCGCCTTAAACATTGCACCTTTCTCGTATAGTAACATCTTGTACAATTCCGCTGTAATTGGCGTATTTATGCCGAGCCCCTGAGCGATGTGAGGTAGAATGGCATTGGTTATATATTAATCCCATGCTGATTTTCCGATCGCGAACTGCTCCGGATTGAGCTCCCAGGTATTTCGAACAGTCGTGTCGACAATGGTCTCAGTTCCTTTGCCATACGGTGCCTGTTCATCCCACATTTGTAAGCGATATCCTATGTCAGGACGTTTCTGGAGTAGGTTTGAGCGTCTGTCGTGGAATGGAAGCATAGGTCACCAAACAGAGCAGCCACAGCCCTCGAGGCAGTGCAGACGAGGAATGAGAGATTCTGGATACTCACCTGATGTGCCTCCGCTGCAATCCGTTGTGCCTGCGACTCGGATAGAGGCGATTGTATAAGGCCGATATTATGCACGACGATCTATGAGTGAATGCTAGGACTGAGTATGGCATGAGAGGCGAAACTGCCCGGCACTTGGATCGCGTTAAAAACGTCCAGGAGCTCATCCTTCAAAGTCAGACTATCCCGATCACCACCCATACTGGCTGCGCGGACTGCTTGTAGCAGATCCAGGCTCTTCGACAGTACTGAGACAACACTTCAATGTTGTTAGGTTAATTACAGGTCTGACCAAGAATCGGGATATACGAAATCGTTCGACGCACCCAGCTCTAACAGCGACGAGATAAACGACCGCGTATAAGCCTTGAGATTTATTTCGAGTAGGTATCTGCTAGAATCAATACGTTGACCCAGATACAGGGCACGATGCTCTGATGATTGCTGAACTAAAATAATGGGTAAAACTCTTGTATATTCTTCTTAGGCGTTGGATTCACACGAATGTTCCCTGCATATATCAACGCGATCATGTACTGTTAGACAAAACGCGTTTTGACCCCACCCACCACATCTGGCTTAGCCCCGCCGACTCAGAGATCATTGCTTTTGCAAAGACACAATATTTCGGATTTGAATATACCAAGTTACCTAGCTGTAGGGTTGTCCATTTAAGATGATGCTGTTTCGCTTGACCTCGATATAGCTATACCGCATCATTAGGGTTTAAAGGCACGAAAAGTTATACGAGACTAAGCAAATAAACTCTATTTCAATTATCGTCCCTCTTGGATGTCAAAGCCATAGAGCCAGTCATTCGAGATAACGAAATCCCAACTTATATCTCCGAGCGTACAATCGATAATTCTGGTTGAAAAATGGATAGAAAACAATGTAAACAGAAAACATAATGATCTAAGACATACAGGTTTTAGGAGACTGAAAATATATGAGAGACATAGGTTATGCCAAAGAATCAATCAACACTATGGTGAACAAGGTTGGGTTTTTTTTTGTTTTTTTTTTGCACAGCAAGAAATTCATTAGCATAGGGAGGCAATTACAACAACATATCCTACGCTAGATAACAGGTAAAGCCGATTCCGAGGATTCAAAATAGGCCCAACTAAACAGACAGACACACACACACACCCCTCACAGCATCGAGGTGCGTCCTCGTGTCCGCACCATCGCACTTGTTCTTTGCGACTAGAGTTATCCTGATGCGGGTTAGACTCCATGCCAAACCCATGGAAGCTTCTGAAAGAGGGCGAGCATCGTTTTGGACCCCCCCCCCCCCCCCCCCCCCCTTCAGTCCAGACTTTCTGTCCACCCGGTCAAAGTTCCATGGCTCGAGACATTTCAGCCTGGGTGTGAATACCTGGATAATATGCTCTCGGCGTCCCACTCGCAGGATATGTTTGGCGAGCGACCAAGATATACGAGAAAAATGGATTGCCTCAACTATCAGGACAAACCCACAGATCCTGGTCAGTGGTGGTAAACAGCATATTCACCCCCAGCATTGGCGTTCCAAGATTTTGCGAGCGCTTTTTCGACTGCTACAATCACCGTAAAATATCAACTGTTATAGAGACTGTAGCAGCTGGGCTGGTTTGCCTTGATTCACTACGAGCATGTAATATGGGAGGGTAAACACTATTAAGAGTGTTTGTTTGGCGAGGCATGAGACAGAATTTGGGGGTTTATATAGGAGATATAATAAAAGAGAAACCCACTTCCCCGAGTTACACAGAGCTTCGGTTTAGTTCTAACTTAGTCACCTCTACGTGAAGCAGTGTCGGCCAGAAAATAAAATACAGATCATGCGCGTAGGATCGCCAACATAATAACATACATCATCTGCCCAAAGTCCAAGCTCAATGTCAGCCAGCCACTTCGATACGTTGAGCTAAGAGCATGACCCATTACAAGCTATAATGGCCTCGCTATGTTCATTACTAAGGACATGCACCTCATCGTGTACCGGTGGATTAGGCAATCAAATAACACCAAATCAATCACTATTACAGTAGACAGCCCAATGTATCATTCTCGAAAATCAGATTATGCTATGCGATGTCTCGTTGCTTTACAGCTGCGTTAACTATAATGCTGCTGCTGCTGCTGCTGCTGCTGCTGTTGCTACTATGGACTTTTAAAATACAGAACCGCATGACCTGTACCAGAAACCCCAAACTCCGATGCGTTTTTCATCGACCGTCGTTGCGCAACTTTGCCAATATCATATCATGGCTCTACTGCTTGTCACGCAAGTGACGAGGTACCCACTTGCCGGGAGCACCAGACGCCTTGAGGGTCTCGGTAGGTGCCTCACTGCGCTCAGGAGGTCCACGAACGGTGCGAGCAGGGGGGGTGTCGCCACGCTCTGGGCGCTCAGAGCGCTCAGAACGCTCAGAACGCTCAGGCGGGCCACGTCCTAGAGGAGCGCGCGGGGGAGGTGTGGCACCACCGGTCGCACCCTTGGCAACTTCACGGTCTCTCCATGATGGTCGCTCACCAGTCTTGCCAACGAGGTTGAGACGAGGCGGGCCACCTGCAGATGGACGGTCGTTCGAGTCCGTACGCTCTGTAGGCGGTGTAACGCGCGAAGGTCGCTCAGCCGGAGGTGCGCTGTCGTCGGCAGCGGGGCGCGAAGCTTCCTTCTCTCTCCACTTGCCAGCACCGGGAAGGTTGAGTTGTGGCCGGCGGTCTTCGGATCCTGTGCGGGCCATGGTCGGTGCTTCCCGGCGGGGAGCAGCAGTGGCAGCGGCCTTCTCTGCTTGCCTCCTTGCCATGGCTTCTTCTTCTCTGCGAGCCTGCATGGCAGCCTTCTCCAAGCCCTCTTGTCTCTCCTTCTCTCGCTGCTCCTTGAGCTTGGTTAATTCGGCCCGCTTTTGCTCTGCCAATCTCTCTCTCTCCTCCTTCTCCTTGGCGGCACGCTCTTCAGCCTCGCGCAAAGCACGCTCTTGCTCTTCACGTTCACGCTTCTCGCGCAGCTTGCGTTCACGGTACTCCTTCTTGCGAGCAGCAACTTGGCGTTCGAACTCCTTTTGTGCGTCACGCTGGCGTGCCTCGAACTCGTCTCTACGACGCTCCTTGAGAGACTTGGTGAACGTCTCGTATTGCGGTACAAGACGCTCAAGTCTGTGCTTAAGCTCAACGTTGGCCTTGTGTTGTGCCTTGGACTCAGTAAGAGTCTCGGTCTTAACCTTCTCGTAAGCGGCAAGGTCACGCTCACGTTGCTGCTGGTAGTCCTCGGAGAGCTTCTTGGCTTCCTCCTTTCGGAAGGCACGCTCAAGATGATCGATACGCTTGCCAGTGACACGGAGCTTCTCGTTAACATCGTTCTTTTCACGCTCAAGCTGCTGCAACTTGAGGGCACGGAGACGGTTCGAGTCGAAATCGTCCAGATTCTCGACGTCAATGTTGATGGCGTTGGGGCCCATCTTCAAGTCTTCGATCTGCTTCTTGAGCTCTTCCTTTCGGACACGATCGCGCTCGTCCTTGAGACGCTTCTCTTCACGATCCTTCTGCTCCTGTGCCAACCGCTTCTCCTCAGCCTCGGCCAACGCTTGTTCCTGACGACGCTTTTGTAAGGCTCTCTCCTTTTCTCTCTTGGCATGAAGTTCTGAAGCTTCTTCCTTGCGCTTTTGAATGATCTCCTTGCGAGCCAGGATGACACGGTGCTCATCATCGGCATTCGCCTTGGCCCTTGCAAGAGCAGCTTCATGAGCCTTGATGCGAGCCTCGTTGTAGGTAGGATCAATGAAGAAGCACGTGGTGTTAAGGGTTTTGGCCAGACGAGTGAGCTGAGATCTGACGATCTCGGCAGGAGTACTCTGAAGACGTTGGACAGCGCCAGTCTCGCTCTCAGCAGAGCCAGCAGCAGCGCCGGCATGAACGGCCCTGGAAGAGGCAAAGACATCAGAGTCGAAGCTTAGCACGCCAGTTGCGTGGTCCATGCGAATTGATAAATCGCCCTTCTTGTTGCCGTTCATGATGAACTTCTCAATAGTACCACGGGTGATTTGATAAGGCTCAGGGAACTCAGCAAGGCTCTCAACGAACTTCAAGTCCACAGTCTCGTACACCTGAGACAACTGCTGGAAGAGACGAGTGAGGATGACTTGCTGCAAAGGTGCAATGTACTTCTCCATCTCTGCATCGGCGCCAATCTGGGCCAAGATAGGGGAAATCTTCTGGCAGATAGAAAGAGGATGGAAATCAACCTCGAGGATGTTGAAAAGGTCTCGAATCTCAGGGCGGGCGCGCTGGAGGAGGGACTTGGACAGGGCATCCTTGAACAAGACAGAACGAGTGGGTGCGCTTGACATACCCAGCAAGTGCGTAAGACGCGAGTTCTTGTTCTTACGCTGCTCATCAAAGTCCACCATGGCACCACGAGATCGCGAGGTGCTAATGACGGGAATGGACAAGGCCGAGAGCAAGACGAAAGAAGCAGCCTTCTGGAGATCCGCGTCGGTAGCGGAAGGGTTGTCGGACTTCTTTCCATGGCCACTGGCTACGATGGCGGCGGACTGGCGGAGGAGGTTGTAGTATCTGGACCAGGCCGCAGCGTGGAAGAGATAATTCTCGCCGACGAGGAAGATTCGGGTGAGCTTCTCGTAGTAGTTGGCCATCATGATGTTCTTGGGAGGACGCTTGCTCAGATTCAGAAGCGTGTGGATATCCTCAACGCTGCGGAAAGCTTCCTGCCATAGCTCGAGCTCGACAGCAACGTTGAGCTGCTGGAAACGGGTCTCCAGGTGGCGCTGCAGAGTATCGGGGTCGTTCAAGTTGATGGCGTGAACTTGGGATGAGTACTTGGCGGCGGTCTGGACGTGGTTTCGGAGCAACTCGCAAAGCCTTCGGAACTCGGTCTTGCGGGCATGCTTGAGACAGAAGTCGAACGCCTGGGTGGCAGTACTCTGATAGAGAATCTCGAGTCTGGCATTGTTTCGGAGGATGTCGAGAACAGTTCGGTAAGCCTCCCAAAGGAACTTGAGCCAAGGAGTGATGATAGCACGATCGGTACGGTCCTTGGATTGCTCGGCAGATACGGTTGCCAAGAGGATAGACTCGGGCGTCTCGCTGGCCTCGAGATCGTCGACGCTGGCCGAGGTTGTGCTGTCGAGGGAGGACTGAACCTCGTCGGCCTTCTGCTGGGCGACCGAGACCTTTTCGACGGCCAACTCGATGAACTTCTTCAAGACGAGCTCGATGGTGGCGACGTTGGTGTTCTGTGCGATATTCTTGTACGAGTACAGGGCATCCTTGGCCAGCTTTCCCTTCTTCTGCTCGACGGAGAGCTCGACCAAGAGGAGGACGACAGGCTCCAGAGAGGCGATGGGGACATTGCGAGATCTCTTGGATGTGACGTGTTCGTGGAGGAGGTTGAGGGCAGTGGGCGCCTGGCCGACACCCATGAGCTCCTGCGCACGCTTCAGGACATTCTCTGGTTTTTGGTGAGGTGGAGGAGGCTGTAGGAATTACTGTTAGCACGTTCAGAGGCGCAAGTAAAGTGCAATGATTGAGGGGTAAGCAGTGTATGTGTATGTCTAGGTGGTGACGTACCATGATGGGCAACTCCTCTACTGCTCAAGGGCAGGTTGCGATGGAAAAATATGTAGTTGACAGTCAGTCAATAATTAATGCTGTTGGGCAGCAGATGGACTTGGACTTGACTGGCCCCGCGGGTGGTGTAAATTTCGTTGTTTCCAACGGACCCGGCGATGATAAGGCAGACACTGCTAAAAAGAGATTTTGCGATTTCTTCGAACGTGTGGGTTGCACTTCCCTCAGTCCTGTCCGCGAGGGGCTAGTTCGGAATTACTCCGGTCATGTGATGTGATGTGTCTGACCCATTAGGACGTGGGCACTGTATGTACGTACATAGTACAGGGTACGGCGGGATAAGTAGAAAATGATGCACGACGGAATGCTTTTTCTAAGAGCAAGGAAATAGTATCAGGCATTATTTAATATTCTGACGGTAATCCGGTCGAATGGGGTAAGGAGACAGATTTTCATCAGCTTCAGCATGACTTCAAAAGGGAAGAAGAAGAAGAAGAAAAAAAAAATGTGTTCCGAACTCTTTTTCTACATGGTTGATTGCTGCACCTTTTGCTGCGCATTGGAGACTGCCAGTTCAGGGACCTAAATACAACAGCTTCGTGCTTCACTGCTCACCGAAAAACGGTCGATATCAAGCCATCATCCATCCTGAAGCACGTTGTCCTTTATGGGCCACATATGTTGAGTTGAACCAGCAATGATCTTGTCAGGTCTCTAAAGCACTACAATGCTTCAGTTGCTGCCTCGCAGCAGCGTGTGGGATTTGGAAGAAATGTCCTACCGAGGAGGTAACATGCTGGATTTCAGGACAGTGCTTGGTAGTACCTGAAGCAAGCTATTTATGACCTACCTGCACCTGCCATCACATGCTCAAACATTCCCCGTTGTGGAGACTCGTTGCGGGCGATGCGAAGGAAAATTTACGATTGCGCAGCTCTTGTAGGACAATTGTTACAATGTGATTGATAGTGGGAACATGCTGCCAAAAGACTGCCCACTCAGAGCTTTCAAGATGAGCTATATTTGCCCCGCCCATGGATGGGTATTGGGTGTGGGCAGGCCTGGCCCGTGCTACAGAGTTGACGTCTGACACTCATTCCGGCAGTCCTGTCGTTTCTCAGCCTGGAGGGCTTTGCCAACGGTTCCGGGTCGACACACCACTGTAGTCAGCAAGCACGAGCAGGCCAGCAAGCCTCAAAGGCCTGTCAACCTAGGATCGCTTCTCATCTCGCGATGCAATGCCTGCAGGAGTCCTTTGTGGGGCCGAGACGAGGAGAAGGAACAAACACGCCCGCTGATTAAGTATCTCGATGCAGTCTAACCTAGTACAAATATAGGGTATGCTGGGTTTGATAAAAGGGCATTCATGCAGGTTTATACTTGTCCATGGACATGGAGACATTTGCATATTTCCAGCTTGGGTTGAATCTTAATTACTCGAGGTGCATTTCTGGTCAGAAGCTAAGACAGAGCTATTGCGAAATCAAAGTCGACAGTTCATTGACAGCGCGGTCCGCTATTGAAGAAGCAATCAAAGGTGGACGGACAGCTGTGAAGGTCCCCGCCGCGCCGCCAAAAAAGCCAAAGCAGCCAAAAGCCAAATCCGAATCCAAATCTACTCGGGGGAGCCAGACCGTCTGGCCCAAGCCCAAATAGAGCAACCCGAAGCTAATTTCCCATTGCCCACCTAAAGGCAGGGTAGCGCATACTTAGAGTCGCTTCCTCTTCCAACCTTTCCCTTTCTCTCCCCGGAAGTTAAGCCCGGTTTTATGCCCAGTTCTGCGCCCAGTTCTACGCCCAGTCTACTCCCAGCAGCAGCAGCAGCAGCCCCAATCCCGATCCCAATCCCAATCCCCTAACCCCCTTACCGCGCTGACCAATTGTAGCCGGCAATCTCACTCAGATTTGACTCTCGTCTGTGCTACCCGACCCCTACCAAATCAATTCGCCAGTCTCTCATTCATCTTTTCCCACCGTTGTTTTCTCCTCTGTCCCAATTGATGCTGTGATATTGAAGTGCGACGACAACCTCCGAGATACAGAAGGACATCGCAGCTTCGCGCCTCTGTCGTCGTCAAGTTCCGTCTCTGTCAGCGACCATTCCTTTGATCGGCCATTGTCTTATCCGGTGAGTGCAAGTCCGATCCCATTCTGACTCTCTTCCGCTTGGAAGCTTTTTCTTGGAGCTGTTGCTTTGGCCCTCTCCCTGCCAACCGCGTTCTCCCCTGCCCCTACACGCAAAAGACGGCCCGCCGCGAACAAATTGATTTGGTTCAACCGCTCTCTGTGCTTCCGAACACGAATCGCACATGGTTTGCTTCGCCTTGGTTTGGTTCATCCCGACACGGCAAAGGGGCCTGTTGCACGCACAGCGTACCTACAAGAACAGAAGGGAGGGCGGATCATCATCGCCAGCAATGCCAGCAACCGCTCGCCACGCCACGCAACTATCGCCAACGAGGACTTCAGACTCACCAGCTATATCTCGAATGTATGCACTAACCAGAAAATGTCTTGTTCACAGAATCAGAACTCTAGGAACGGTCGATTCTCGATCGCCGACCCCTGGTCCAAGCTCTCTAGCCGGATCTGTGTCAGGACCCGTTCATTCACCTAGCCGCCACGACTCAACCTCGTCGGGCATCTCCACCAACATGCCTCAGTACACTTCCCGCGATGTCGGCGACCCGTCGCAAATCAAGAAGAACAAGCAGTCTATGGCTGACTTGAAGCTCCGACGTCTAACTGAGCTCAACAACCGTCTGCGCGAGGACCTAGAGAGAGAAAGGATTCCCGTTTCTCAAGCATCCACGAGGTAAGCTCTTCGTCAACACGACATGCTGCATCGCACGTGAAACAGAGATACAGCCACTGACACGCCGCAGCATCATTGCATACTGCAACAGCACAAGGGATTACATGGTTCCCTCAGTATGGGGAGCTGTTCCCAGGGGAGAGGATCCGTATGCGCCACAACAGAGCGGTGGATGCTGCTTGGTCATGTAGTGACCTACCACCCAGCCGGCACTCGCTCAGTTGAGCGCAAAGCAACCTCTTAATACGGGAGTCACGTCGTCTCGAGGCAGGCAGGCTACTTGATTTCGACGGTGGGATTGGTTCTATCCCATTCGCTCCCTTGCCCTTGAACACACGTTCGAGCGCAATAAAAGGAAAGGACTTGACGAATTATTTAAATATTCCAAGGAAGGAGAAATACCCCCGATGTGGAGAAGACGAAAGGTGCAGGAAGAGTTGGCACGTTATGATAATCGACGGATATATCCCACCAGATGTCTCTTTGCCACGACTTCTGGGGGGACTGGCAGACACGGCATGGAAATCACGAATGCTGGCCAAACAGGACGCAGGCACTTGTTTTTTTTTTGGCGGAGGAAATGCTCATCAGCATGTAATAATTCTTTGCACCTGTATTTTCTTTTCATTTTTCTAGCATACTTGATGACATTGTGAATAAGGTTATATTCCCCCCAAGTCTGACTTCCGAGTATCTACCACCCAATGTCAGATTTGTGGATATCGACCGCCAGTAACGGGTTCATCGCGGGTCATGAACTCACCGCCCGTCAAAGTTGCTTTTTCACCTTTCCCTTGCAAGCGAGCAATAAGCTTCCCGACTGGTCGCCACCACTGCAATCACAGCAAGTCACAGTCTCTTCAACCGACGCGCGGGTCTGCATTTGTATCTGCATCTGCATTAGTGGGAGGATGCGGTGAGGAGCTATCTCCCACTTTTCACCATTTCACGGCCTATATGCTGAGGATTAAGATGATGGCTTGTAACGGTGCCACATGGTCGACCTTGTCTTGTCTTCGGTAGTCCAAGATCTGACAACACCAAATCTTGTAGGGTCGCCGATGTATTTACCTTTGTTTTTTTCTGAGCTGAGAGACAATCGGGTGTTGGAGTGACAGGCGCCATTTCCGGCACTAAAATTCATGCGGCTTGGCAGCATATCTTCACTTGCTGCACCTAACTGGGTTCGCCAAAGCGATCTAACGATGGTGTCCTCATTATGCTCAGGAGATTTTTTATAGTTCCTATAGGCTTTTACAGGTAGGAGGTCAGTCAAGCCTTGCCTCATGTAAAAGAAAGCGCTATGATCATGCTTATAAGGAGTCAATTCACACGTCTCAGCCGCGCAAGCCTGGCCTTGAACTGGCGGTAGATCTACTGTCCCGAGGATAGATCGACGTCTAAGACATGCGTGCTACCTGCGGCAAAGCCCTCATTAGTGTTATAGCCAAAGAACTAAGAGCTTTTCAGATGCTTCTTCGCTTTCTGCGGATTATAGAGATCCGCATTCTCTTTTGCAAGACAGCACACACTGCTGTGCTCGCAAAGCCACGCTGAATTCGACGATGTCTACTAATTTGATGATCTTGCTCAATGATCTTGTACCGGCCAAGAGCTGACCCAGTGGACATTCCAATTCCTTGCGTAGAGCTCATTGCACTTTGATGCCTGGTATGCCTAGACTAGGATTGGAAGGTGGCCCCATCTACATACTCTACTGCTGATCAACGGCCACCCACGTCAGCGGGGTCCAACCAACTAGAGCCCGGCTACCCCACGACATATGGCAACATTCCTGGGTGCTGCCGTGGAGGACTTGTTACATGTGCAAGTAGGGACTATAACTAATTGGCACCCAACTGCCTCTCTCTGGAAGCAAACATGGCCGAATCTGGGCCGCCTTTGCAAGAACCTCAAGAAGTCGCTTCTGCTATAGTTGCGACAGGCACCCAAAACCCCGCGTTCCCCTTCCCCCTACCGCGCGTGGCTATACGCTTCTGCACGCAGTGTAAGTGGATGTTGAGGGCTGCATATGTAAGTCTCTCTCCTCTCTCTCTCTTTATTCTGCGATACACGACGAACAAGACACGCACGTACGACTCGATTGGTCCAAGCATCCAAGAATAAGAGGGTGATATGACCAGGCATTGTCGAAAACTTCCCCCGCTCTCTCTCACACTTACACGGGATTTTGCCCTGTAGTAAACCCACCCAAACTAACACAAAACCCCCCTTTGCAAATAGTACGCACAAGAACTCCTATCGACCTTTTCCACCTCCCTCGGCGAGGTTGCGCTCCAGCCCTCCACGGGGGGCACCTTCGTGGTGACGATCCAGCACTCGGCGGCGCCCTCCACGACGGACACGCCGCCCGAGGCCACGATCCAGACCAGGACGCTGTGGGACCGCAAGACGGACGGCGGGTTCCCCGAGACCAAGGAGCTCAAGCGCCGCGTCCGCGACGTCATCGAGCCGGGACGAAACCTGGGCCACGTCGATCGGGACCACGACAAGGAGAAGGGCAAGGTGACGGATCAGCAGCAGCAGCAACAACAACCACAGGAAGAACAAAAGACAGAGGTCGCACAGATGCCCGAGCAGCAGCAGCAGAAGCAAGGGGAGCCGTCGGCCTCGGGTCTAGAGACACAGTCGCAACATCATTCCGAGGGTGGGAATCAGCCAGAGGGCGACTTTGCGGACCCGATCCGCAGGGGACACTCGCGGCCTATGATGCCTGCCGACGGCCCGGCGGCGCAAGGGCAAGGGCAAGGGCAAGTGGGACAGCAGTACACGCCGAGGATGGCCGGGGGTGGGAATATGCCCGTGGTGAAGCCGCCGGGCGAGGCGAGGAACGAGGAGGCCCGGGCGAAGCTGGAGGAGGCAAGCCGGAAGAAGGAGGAGTGTGAGGACTGCCAGTAGGTGGAGCATGTCGGCATGTCCCGAGCATGCTCTCATGGCAGGGAAAGGTGGACTACGTTCTATCGATATACAAAAAGATGAAGGACCGTCCTGTCATGGCTGTCGTGACACCACTTGGTTGCTTCAATTGGGCCGCAGACTCCATTGCCGGTCGTCAAACTGGCCCGTCAGTACGGCCGAGTGCTTCGAGACTATACGTTGTGAGAGAATGGTAAATTGCACGAAATGGCGAAATTAACATATATATGAGGCATGAGCTATAGATAATAATACACGAACACCACGTTCAAAATCACCAAGACCGATTCCAATATACAAACAGCAGAAACGTTGCAGAGGATCGGTGAGTGCCTTGTGGTGAGTTTGTGTCGGGACTTCGATAGCTTCAGACACATGTCTCATGTATAATGACTGTTGATGACTGCGGGCTAAAATAGACCAATAATGCTAACTGCCACCAAATACAGGCTCATGGATAAGTGCCAACCGTCAACGGCAAGATGGTCCAGCAACACTTCATAAAGAGCATCAATTCTATCTTGGAGCAGCACACTTACGCTGATGACGGAGACGGCTGGCCCCTGTATGACCATGGCAAGTATGTTGTCGGCTCCGTTCTGCGAGTTCACGGAGACTATAGACACCCCCAAGAGAACTTTGCAAATAGGGGGGGGAAGATAATAATATTAAAGCAATCATCGGCGTAAACCCAAAGCCTGGAAGGAAACGCCCAAAAGAAAGATAATGCTCTGGAATCTGCGTACATATCTGCAAGACTGGCAAATGGAGGAACAATTTGTCCTAGTTTTCTCACATATGCGTGACCACAAAGAATCCCCAATGTTTCTTCCTTATGTGTAAGTAAGAAAACGCTGTCTCAAGAGCGATCTATAGAAGAGGAGGATCTCGCTCAAAGAGAGAACAGCAGATCTGGTACCAAGGGATACAGCCTCGCATTCGTTCCTGGGGTAGCATGCAACAACACTCCAGTTATTACTTGGCTATCACAAAAGATCTATCTATACACGGTGGAAACGGGACTCTTGCATGGTGCTCCTTGTGTACTTTCCCGAGATTTTATCTCCGCACAAGCGTGCTGTCCCGTAAGGGAGCAAAAAGGCAAAAGGAAGAAAAGTCACCTCGGAAGGCGCTTGAGCATCTCGAACTCGGAACCTGCAAAAAAAGAAGATTGGCTGAGGGAGGACGGCTCAGCCAGAAGGTAAGGATAATTCCTAGGTGAGCGGATAACCACTACACCACTGTGACCTGTGGCTTTGTGGGTTGTTAATGAAGGTCCTTTCTTTTAGACTTATATGGGCATCTGGTTCAACGGAAAAGACCTCGTTACTCTTTCTTGGGTCGTGCATCAGATAGACTTTGACTTCGCGCAATCTGGTTGTGGCAGTGTTGAGCAGGTTTTCGGTGTTAACTGGTATGGTCCGAACCATGGTTCAGGGTCGGGAGAAAGCCTTGGCGGACAAACTTCCAATCATGGGTTGTCAGTCTAGGTGTTAATAACTTCACGGAAGACATGATCAACGACGTTCCTTGAATAAGCTCGGCAGACGATCAGAAGAGACCCCTATTATCAAACGCCATCACTCGAACATTGACCTCGAATGCTTCATTATCTTCCCATCCTAAAACTTTTTGTGGTTACCATCACCTCCAGACCTCTCCCAGAAATGCACGGTCCATCACGGTCACGGAAATTACGTATACGGATACGATTTTCCTATGGCTAAGCCCTCAGCGCGACAGCCAGAGAGTACTACTGGCTGAGCATTGAATTGAAAATAAATAAGGGCCACGTGGGAAAATTGGCTGTCACCAAGATATTCTATAGACTCATATGATGCTCTCGCTCTGCCTTATCCTTATTGAGTCGATGGCAGTTCAGATTTAGAAACCTCAATTCAGTGCTTAACATCTTCCACAGGCAAGTGTTTACTCCAAAGTTCTCAACGTACCATGAAAATCTTCAAATTAAACCTTGCATCAAGAGTTAATACGAAAGAGCCAGCCCTTGATAAGGCCATGAGCAATTTCACCAACATGTCAAGAGCAAGATACAGGGTTTTATCGTTGAAAGCTGGATGCTCATCGAATCTTACTGTACCTGAGAACATCGAAGCATTAACATCTTATACACTACGGCCAACGTATCTGCCAATATTACACAGCGCATCATGTTTGTTGGGATACGTATCACTTGTTTGTGTTGCTAGACAGTAGAGTATAGGAAAAATGGCATTAGTCTACTTTGAAACCACTCAATTACTGAAATCCAACAAAATCTCGATAAATAACTTATAAAGTGGTATTCCATGCTAGCCGTGGACCAGCGTAGTAAATTAAACCCCAGACAATAGAGCCTAGGTAGCCACCGGCGCTTATTCCCAGAGATGGGTAAACTTCCGAGGGGGTGTCGATCGTTCTGTCCATACAAGGTCACGCATGTATTGTTGACCTCGGCCGTTCTAGATCCCGCGTTTCGACATTATCCCATCGGTGATCGTAAGGTTTGGTGCGGGATGTGCTGTGAAATTTATTTACCCACTCCCAGGCGCTGGGGATGGTGGTATCACCATCTATCTGTATCGTCGCGTCTAATCAGACATTTGGGACCGATAGGCAGATGGTATGATCCAGTGTAGCACCAGCCTGCATTTTGTCAAAGTCAAACGAAATCTAGGGGTCGTATTCACAGGCATCAACATAAAAGGTCTCCAAGGCCGTGTTCTGCTCAATGCTATCGCATGCGTCGTCTAGCTGCAGGAGATATATTGAAAGGCAAGAATCTGGAAGACATAGTTTTACCTTAAGCTGTGATCGACGTGCAATTAAGAATGATTTCCCAGTTGAGAGTATAGAGGAATGTCAAAGCAACATTGTTTGCAAGGGCTAACTCGTCGCATGTGATATCGTGAGAAAGTAAGGAGGTTACCCAATATTCTTTCAGTGAATATGTAAGTGGACAGAAGAGGCTTTCATATGTCAGTATTGCTCGAAGCACCGCATTAGGACTTGATATAGTTTAGCTTCCCTTTACAGACGTTGTTGTACACTGAGCATAATGTTTTCTGCATCATCAACATTCGTTTTTCGTGGCAGTAAGAGCAGAGTCGTGCGCGCGACATTTATTGGACGCTGGTGGCACTGGTGAACGCCTTGATTGTTTCTGGATGATTTTACCAAAAATACTGCAATTCAAGTTTTGGTAGTTCTTACTGCTGCAACAATTACTGCTTGATTCATCCATGAGATGTGTTTCATTGTAGCCAGTCCAGATCCGTCCAGCCAAAAGTGTTGGGACTGTGTCACTTATGTTACAACCTCGACAAGAACTGTCAACATCAAGGAAATAGTTCTTGAGACTAGCACCGCCCATGCAAATGCACAGCTGACACTTGGTATAGTTAGAGCATATAAAACTCGATATTCTCTCAAAAGTCGCTTGAGCTACCTGAATGTAGTTAATACGTTGTAATTACACTACAGTTATGATAATACCTACCTGCCAGAGAATCACACAAAAATTGATATAATAATCGGTAGCTCTGATGTTAAATTTAGAACTTCTGATACTTCGAAGAAATTTGTTCTGATGTACATACCTGTGTAAAGCAACAGTAACTTTTTATCCAGCGTTGTGACAAGCATTGCGATTACTTGCAAGTTTGACGAATAGTACATGCTAGAATGTATGTCTTCAAGAGCTGTATACCTGGCATAGTGGCGGTCGCGACGTAGAGCAAAAGTTTCAAGGAGGGTTCAAGTTGGACAATATGTCCTGGGCCGTCTTAACATATGCAAACTCTCTAGATACTTAGTCATGGCAATGGCGATGCCTGCAACCCCGCCGAGCTGAGCTTGTCCATTTCATACCAAGGCAAAGAAAATGAGCTGGCGAACTCTCAGCCAGCCATATGCTCGGCTCGGCTATGTCAAGCTGGCCAGATTGGGTGTAAAGCTGTTGTGTCAGTTCAGATTAAACTTTTGCTATACCCACAAACCTGATCTGATATGACTTTTTATCTTCGTTGTGGCGCGATACGTATCTAACGATGCTGGCCTCTAGGGAAAACACCAAAATGGTTTGACGGTGATTTTGTGGGTTAATACAAAAGCCTATCGCCGTTGTGTCCCTGCAATGGATCTTAACCTAAATAGACCCCAAACTGTCTACACTCATCTCAACTTTGTATTCGCCATAATCAATCCGAAGACTTTCGAAGTCGTCCCAGCTTCTAATCGGGATTCTACTTTTTACCGAAGGTTGGATGATCTTAAATTTAAAGAACCAGGTTCAAGGTCTTCATCGCCATTGGTGGCTGAAATTTCAATGATCCCGGTCTGACAACAACCCTCTTTTCCGATATTGCATCAAGCGAAGCCAAACAGAAAGCGTGTTTTAAGCCGTTGATCAGTTTCATGGCTACTTGCAATTTTGATTGTGTTGGTCTTGGTGGGAATTATCCTGCCGCTGACGATCGAGGTGGTCGTGCTGAGGACTCAAGAATTTCCCTACGTTCATGGCCAGGCTGCAAAAGACTCTTCAAGTAATAGTTGAAGGAGATAATTTGGGCATTGCCCTCTCAGTCTCTTACTATGAGGCATGCCCCCACCCC